GCAATTGGCCATCGTGTTAAGTAATCAACAGCCACAAGTAGAAATCTATCACCATTCTTAGCTTCATTGGTAGGTCCAACCGCATCCAATCCGATCATGTAAAATGGACGATAGGGTGTAGGTATTGGCTTAAGCTTTATGGTCTTCTTGTGCTTCACCTTTTGCCTCTTCTGACATATTTCACAACTTGCTACAATACTTGCTGTTCTGTTATATATTCCTTTACCATTATACTGTAATAGTACATTATGAACCGTGTTCTTTACTCCAAAGTGACCTTCTGCATGCACTTTTAAGATTATATCATCAATATTCCCTTCATGAAGAATCTCCCGTCCCAGAATTATGTTTTGCGTTGTACCATCTTGACCTTCTTCAGTATTCTTTTCGAACAATTTTCCTTTGCTTGCCACGTATTTCTTTGCTTTTCTTGATATTTTCTTTTGCCAGGCAGGTGTGCAATCCAAGGGATAGGTATTTCTTGTCAAATAATAATACAGGGCCACGTATTCAGGATAATTCATTGTTCATTTGTAATTAACCTCTTTTCTCCACGTTATAAGTTCCAATAATATATAATAATATGATAACAACAATAATAAGATAAAAAATAAAATAAAACAAAATGTATAATGATATCTATCGTGTAATTTCAATATAAGGATAAAATATAAATCAGGTTACCCCAGAATTTACTCTCTTTTGTGACTTTTTGTTTTTCTCTCTTTTTTTTTTTTTTTTTTTTTTTTTTTTTTTTTTTTTTTGGTTAATCAGTTAGTTATTCAGAAGAATCTAGATAATACATCTGCTGGATTATCTTTTCCTCTTCTATAGCGTACTTCAAAGTTATGATCCATTAATGCCGCTGCCCATCTGCTAACTTTCGCTGACGGATTATCGTTATTTAGAATATACTTTAATGCTGAGTGGTCTGTATACAGTATAAATCGTCTTCCACCTGCCAGATAATGCCTAAAGTATTTTACTGCCCAAATCACAGCATATGCCTCTAAGTGTGTCGTTGAAAACTTTAACTGTTCAGATTCCTTTAACGCCTTTGATGCATAAGCTATTATTTCTTCATTCTCTGAATCACCAGTTGGAGATTGTGATAATATTGCTCCTAATCCTTGCTTTGATCCGTCTGTGGTCAATATTTGTATCTTATCCTTGTCTGGATATGCGAGAATAGGCGGACTTGTCAACACCTCTTTTATTCTTTTGAATGCTTCTTCTTGTGATGATTCCCAAGTAAATGGTATGCTTTTCTTCATCAATCTGGTAATAGGATGCATGATTGCTGCATAGTCCTTTATATATCTTCTATAATAATTAGTAAGCCCACACAATGATCTAACCTCATTTGAATTTTTTGGTCTTTTCATATTCAAGATCTTTTCAACATTTCTGCTTGTTGGCATGACCCCCTTTCCTGACACTTCGTGTCCAAGATATTCAACTTGCATCGCACAGAACTTGCACTTGCTTAACTTTAACTTCAAATTTGCCGCACTACACACTTTGAATATTGTATCTAAATGTTGTAAATGCTCTTCAAGTGTCTTACTGTAAATTATTATGTCGTCTATGAATACATATACAAACTTTCCAATGTACGGCGAGAGTAGATCATTCATCGTGCTTTGGTAAGAACTACTTGCTGTACATAGTCCAAATGGCATTACGAGGAATTCAAATACACCGTATTTCGTTATAAAACCTGTCTTTTCGATACTTTGTTCTTCCATTCCTAACTGCCAAAAACCGGAAGCTGCATCACATGTGGAAAACCATTTGCTTCCACCAAAGGAGTCCAACAATTCACTAATGTTCGGCAAGGGAAATGCTGTCTTGATCGTATTAGCATTCAGCTTCTTATAATTTATAACTAGCCTTAAACCTGCTGGTCTTTTCGGAACAAAGAAAACCGGACTCGACCACTTTCCTTTTGAGGGACGAATTAAACCTTTGGCTAAAAGATCCTTGAGCTCTGACTTAAGATGCTCATCTTCTTCCCATGTCAATCTATATGGCTTTGATGTCACAGTCTTGTTTTCATCAATTAATTCTATCTTATGCTTGTATTGAGAGTCTACCCTTCCTAACCCGGTATTTTCCACGAAGCAATTCTTATATGTCTCCTTTATGTATTCAATAATTCCTTGTATTTTTGGATCCATTGGCTCTTCTGGCTTGTCAGGTATACTCTTTTTATCATCTTCCTCTGTGTATATTTCATCTGCATAACTGTATAAATTTTCTATGAATTCCTTCTCGTCGTCTCTTGCTTTAAGTATTTCATCTTTTAGATTCTCATTTAGTCGCACACTGATGGTATAGACATCTACTGAATCTAGTCCTCCTATTTGAGTGCTGCTTCCTTGAATTATAATATTTCTTCCACTCTTGGTAGGTACTTCTATTAACCCTTCTTTCAAATCAGTTTTGATACCATATTTCTTATGCCACGTCATGCCAAGTAAAAATGTGTCATCTGTGCAATCGTCACTAATTACGATATGTTCGGGGCGTAATTTCCCTCCAATTCTGACTGGTACGTTAACAGTTATATCAGATCTCTTCCTTGGTTCTATTTGCCCTTCCTTTTCCACTTGATATTTGTCATTCACACCGGTTATAGGTATAGTATCACCAACGGGTAATAGACGCAATTCTTTTGCTAGTGCCCTTGATATTACACTACACGACGCTCCTGAATCGAATATTGTTAATATATCCTTGTCCTTGATTGTTGTGTAAGCTTTCAACGGTGTAGTTCTTTTTATTTCGTTCAGATCATAAGGATATTCGTAATCTGTGTCATCCTCATCTGAATCATCTATTATGGGCTCTTCGTCTGATGTATTCACAGATGCTGATGATGTATATTCTTCTGATTCCGAGTCAACTTGTTCATAATATTCTAATTCTTCATTTGTATCGTTTCTTTCCTCAAAGTCACTTTCATGTTCAACAGCATTAATTACCATGGGCGAGTTACTGCTATCTCCCATGTTATTATCCCTATCTATATTTTTCCCTTTATCTCTTTTTAATATCGCGGGTGTTTTTCGCCCTCTCAAGAATCTTAGCCCATCACTTAGATCCTTTTGTACCTCTTTATCATTTACTATTTTCTCTTTTAAGGTTGTCTCCACTATTGTTTCATCAAAAATGTCCCAGATACCCTTCTTTTTCCTTTTTAATACCACGGGTAGTTTTCTTGGAGGTGCCCTTAACCGTTTTACTTTTATCTTCTTTCCTGTTACTGCAATATTTGATCTTGCGTCCTCTTCTTGCTGAGTCGATTGACTATTTATGACATTGCTTGACGTAGGTGATATATCTCTGACTTGTTGATTTATTTGCTGTAGTGGTTCTTGTGCGTTATGTTTATTAATATTTATTCTTTTATTGTTTCCTCTATCACTTGCTTCAGCAGTAGATCTTGTTCGCTTCTCAGTTACTGCATAGATTTCATTCATAGCACTCTTCGGATTATCAATCTCTTGTATAATTTTAGTTAAATTAATGTTATGTTGCGATAGATTATTATTACTTTGCTTATTTCTAAATTGTTCTTGAGCGTATTGGTTTCTATAGATATTATTTTCATGTTCATTATTTCTGTGGACAACACTAGTACGCTCCTCTAATGTTGCCCTCTGTCTTTTCCCTGGTTATCTTTATATTGAGATAAATTTCCTTCACGAATCGCTACACCTGGTTGTTGTAAGATTATTCTATTAGGACAGTTTGCTACTTTATGTTCCAAGGATCCACAATTAAAACATTCTGCTTGTCCAATATTGTTTCGTCTGTATCCATTTGTATTGTATTGTTGATTTCGTCTATTTGTCATGTAACTTTGGTTTCCCATATTTGTCCCGACATTGCTATTGATTTCCATTTTTGCCAGGGTGTCGCATAATCTATTTAATGTATTACTCAGAGTTGATTCCACGATATTGTTACTTGCTGAGTGTGACGGCGTAATAGTATTAGAGTTTCCAGGGGCATATCCCTTGCCTTCTTCTACTATTGCATGCTGATTGGTGACGGTGTTATAATCGATTACATTATGTTTCTTTTGCAAAAGTTCAATACTACGCGCCTCATCAGTTACTTCATTCCAAGTGGGATTCTTCAATCGCGCTCTATCCAGCTCATACTGTATATCTTTTCTAAGTGCATTCTTGAAATATCTAATCTTATGTGCATTGTCGGTTTCGATGTTCAATAAAGAACATAAATGTTCAATCCTAAGTTTAATTTCATCTACTGTTTGTGTATTTAATTGTTTCATATTTTCTAGTTCATTCCACCATATGTCTTGCTGAACTTCTGTGGGAGCAAATGTATTTCTGAATTCTCTTTCAAACTGTTCCCAAGTTAATATTCTTTCTTCGTGGATTGACCACCAGATCTCTGCGCGCCCGCGAAGATGATTCCCAATTATAAACAATAAGTTGTCGTCGGTCAACGATAAACCGGTCCTTAATCTATCTACTTGTTTTATCCATAAAAGTGGATTCTCCTCGGCTTTGTCACCAGTGAAGATATCTGGTTTGGCAATTAGGTTACTCATTATTTTGCTTTGACTGTCCATTGTTTGCTGTTGACTTCTCTAATTATTTGTTTCTCTTGTTGCTCACTAATTTCTCTTAATAATTCAACTTGAACTTGAACACTCAATAACTTCTCTAATTGTGTATCCTGAAATGGTATTTCCGTGCCTTTGACTTATGTATCCCCTGGTAGCTTCGCCAAAAATGATATGGATTATATCGTAAATGAGAATTTATAAAGCTCTGACCAACTTTATAGTACAAAATTATAGATGGAGAAAGGCCCTGTTCTATTTATTATACTTCATCTCATTAAATACCCCAGATTAAGCTATTACTACATACTTCTACTCTCCGATTACTCTTAGATACACCCTCTTCGGTCCAGCGCTGCTTATAAAATCATGTGACCGGCTTTTCCTTAAATTTACTATGACAATCTACGTCACGCATAACAAAAAGAGCCTGCCTTCTTGGCTCAGTTGGCAGAGCGTCTGCCTAGTAAGCAGAAGGTCGGCGGTTCGATTCCGCCAGAAGGCATTTTTTTGCCTAACATCATTTTAAATAAGATTTGAGTGGTCGGTGGTTGTGTCGTGCACATGTTGTGCTTGAAATGATAGCCTCGTCAATTAGTGCAAGTTTTATACAATTCAATAATACTTTTCAAAAGGGAGAGAAAGGATGCCGTTTATTTCTTTTGCAACATTCGTCTTCTTTAGGATTATTACTGTTACATTTACTGAAGTTTTACAGTATATACCGTAATTTTGTGGTGGTACGACACACAAAGCGACGAAGACACGAAGTTTAATGATGGGAGAAAAAGACTGGGGTTTTATTCTTTATACAATTGTTGCTTATATATTGTTGTATATTGAGGCATACAGTAAGTCTGTATATAGATATTGACAGAGACAAATAAATCCTGCAATACTTGCTATGTGACTATCCCATAATATGACATTAGTCTCTTCTGGTACTTAATCATTCACTGTTGAGATTACATATGGATAAATGATATATTATTTATTGTCTGTGCATTATGAGATAATATTATTATAATATTAGAGTCCAATGCTATTGCATGTTCCATACATATTTTTATCCTAAGCCAGATAATATTGTTGTATATGTTATAGTAAGAATAGAGAGAGAAAAGAAAACAAAAGGAAGTCTGTGAAAACCAAGTTATCTTCTTTTATTCAGTAGAATATTCAGATAAAGAATGAAGACAAAAACCATGTAGGAAAAAAGTACTTCTATTTATATTTGTGGATATTGTAAAAAACTTTTTCTATCGGGACCCTTAGGTACAAGATGGCCTGATGATAAAAGAAAAGACATACCCAATTGCTACAGCACGGTTAATCATGCTAGAGCGGTGCCTTGACCGATTGGATAGGTATAAGAAAGTAAGTGATGAGCTGATCTGGCTATCGGTTCCTTTAACCGATACCTCGGCAGATTCATTATGACAAATGGGACGGATAGGATAAATTACTTTAAATCTGCCGATATCTCCATTTCAGTCTTATTGAATTCTGTCAGAATGTAAAGAGTTAAAGTAAGGGATCAACAAGTTAGATAATAGCTTAAGTAGATCAGATTTATGGATTGTGGTTTGAACTGCTAAATAAAGTTATCTGATTTAATCAAATCCAAATACTATAATATCTTATTCCTAAATAAAGTCAATTACTAATACAATGTTGTCTCGGATATACAGATGAAATATTCTTCCGTAAAAGAAAAGAATTTTTCTAACAAATCTATCACTCACGGTTATTCTAACCTTCATAAGGATCCGCAATCTCTTATTTCAGTATTATGTAATAATCCAAGAGTAATATGCTGTTGGATACAACAATCTTTAATATTTGTATATCATCTGCCCTCGAATACGACAACATACACTCCTACAGCAAAATAAAGTACTCCTACAAGTAAGCGTGTGGATCATCTGATTGACGAAGGTCCAGTATGAATGACAATGACAATTTTTACCTGACAACTGGGTATCATTGATATTCTTACAGTCTACTACTCTTAATTATTGCAGAAGAAAGAAGTAAAACAAATGAATAAGTTGGTGCTATAAGGTTATGAAGTAAAAAATAATGTTGTATGATTACCTGATAGGTACAAAACAGATTATTTGGACCATAAACAACTGTATTTTTCTTTTTTTGCAATGGTAGGCTGCAACTGTATTTGAGAGCGTTGGTATTGGCCCAGCGGAAGACATGAAACAGTTGAAGAAAGGGTTTGATCAAAGGCCACAAGCTTGAGTTCTATAGAAAAAAAGTGTCAATTGAAGATATGGTATAAATATATAACGTCTGCTGACCATGAGTTGTAAAAGTAAAACGAAGAGTTATTTTTCTTCTGGGCCAAAAATAAACTACCTGTTTGGAAAGATTATTTAGTTGTCGTTCGCAGTGCTAAATGATAAGTAATCGGCATTATGCGTATTTGACGTCGTTTGCTTCACTTTCTTTATACGACCTTGCAATCCCAGTTAATAGACAAGCTAAACTATAAGCAACAATGTAATGGCAAAGATGAGCGTGCCTTAATTACTCAGATGTCACGGTTCATTGTGCATCTTGTCGGTGATGTGGCCAAATGAGCAGATTATGAAGTTGAGATGTAGTAACAGTATTTTGTTAGCTTTTAAGAACCCTTGTAAAAAGAAAAAGGTGAAGGAAGGAAGCCCTCAAATAATTGAAAACAACAGCCCAAATGGTTGCTCAAAAGCTGAAATTGGTGAAATTGGTAAAGGAAGCACTAAACAAAAGAAAAAGGACATTATCTTTGGTTATCGTTATTCTTCATTGATGCTTCTATTTTACAACAGCAAAACTCTGCACTTGCTTATTATGCATCGTCGTCCACACCACTTTCTTGTCTAGGAAGTTCTAACATATACAATATCAGTCTACATATAAGAGACTCTTTCTACTCTTTTTTTTTTTTTTTTTTTTTTTTTTTAATTCTAGAATGTGAGCGGAAACCTCACAATCTGCTGGTAGCATCGGCTATACCAGCTTTACTTTGTGGTGGCACGCAAATTGCGTGGTGAATTTGCGAGCATTATGTACTCTACCACGCAAATTTCATGCTAGCATGACTCTCATATATCATGAATAGTACACTGCTCTCAGTTAATCGGTGTCGTGAAACAACTTAAACGAAAATGTAGTATGAAATAAAACATTTGTGAAGACTAGTCCAAGCAAGAATAGTAATACTATATTCGTCAATAGTAAAACTTGTATTAAGCGTACTTCCTTTCGCAATGGATGAAAAGAATTCACAATATTTATCTAAACTATACATAATTTAACTGAAGATCTAGTCCAAAACATAATATATTGTTATGAATTCGACACAATTTATTAAATTACAAAGCTTCATTCTTACAGCTGCATTCAGTTATCACTTTACTGGATTCTTTACATTTTATGAATACCACTGTTAATTACTGATGCTCGCTCATTTACAGTAGAAGGTTTAATCAGAGCTTTCTTCGTTGTATGGTCTTTTGATCAAATCAGCCATTAAACCACGATGATAATAATTGACAGGTTCTGGATTACAATAAGTATCATGGGGGATTCCAAGCACCTCAAAATCTTTTTTGGCTCTTTCGGTCCATTCTATACGATCTTCTGGAGCGAAAGCAAGTTTTCCCAGATTAGCCCAATAGTATGCTTTCAAAAATTTTATCTCTTGTATGAAGTGCATTTCAAGAATTCCATGTCGCAACACCTAATAGTTGAAAATAGAAAACTGCAAGTTTAATAATACGACTTACGATTTAAACTTAACGAAGGAAAATTTTGTAATAGTTACCATGTAAGCTTCTACAATGCGTTTTGTTGCAACATACGGAAGCGCTCTCGCTAGGTACAGACAGGGTTGCGTAAATTCCCAAAATTTTACTTGCTGAAAGGCATGATTCAATCTAGACACCCCAAAAATGAATTTATCGTAACTACTGACACTTCCATCAAATGAAATGTCCATCTGTCCACTTTCCACCAAAGAATAAAATCCCATGGTAGCAAAAATCAGTCCAAAAATGGGGAATATATTTGCTGTGGGAAGATGGTAATTAGCGAACTGATAAGACTTACTATTCGTGTCTTCTTTCGGAACTTACGGGTTATCGTCAGAGAAGGCAAAACATGTATTAGCTTTTGAATATGTCGTTTGGATGATTCATACATATGGATTCTTGCATAGTAGCATACAAGAGTACCATGAATAGCAATTCGATTGTAAACTGCAGCTTCCTTTACGTGCGTCTCCAATAAAGATACGTAAGGCGCACAATCGCCTATACGATCAACCACAATCGCATTTGCAATGTTATAGACACCAAGCCATATTTCAGCCTCAAAATCTCCATTCGCGTGAGCAGTTTCTGCCATTTGTTTTAATAAAGCTAAATCTGTTGAGGATCGGTTAAAAACCCCCTCGAAGATGCGCATCGTTACGACTAATCCAACGGATCTATAAAAGGCTTGACAATCTGTTACAGTTCCAAGAGTTTTACAGGCTTCGATCGATTGGTATAGTAAGTCTCTAGCGTTAGAAAACTTTCCAGCTGCGAAGCATAAGAGTGCACAGATGGTTAGCATCCCCGAGTCAGTTTTGTTGTTTTCCGTTTGCCGCAGTGCTTTTGCAATATAATGGATACTATTCGTTTTGTCATCATTCAACCAACATAGCAATGCGTTTCTCCCTAAAAACAGTGTGTAGATAGAACCAAAGTCTCTTAATTTTTCGCATTCGTTTAGTCCTACTAAACAAGCATATATGAAATCTCTGCCATTGCCAGTGTATAAGTATATATTGGACAATTGAGCCATAATTTCGGCCTGCCGCTCCCCTTGCTCTCTTCGTAATTTGCTTGAGTACTCTCTCAAAATGCCCCATCGACGGTGTTGATATTGTCTTAAGCGGTTCTTGTAAAATTTGTATAGAAACTGAGGTTCAGAATTGGGCCAAGGATGGCCAAGAATCTCTAGCGCTTTGAACAGGTAAGTTTCGCCTTCTTTAAGCATCGTTCGCATAGTATAGCAAATGCCCAAACGGCGGTAAATGTCACTCAAATGGAGCTCACCAAACTGGTTTAATAGTTTATCGTTCAGATCTAAAATCTCGACAATTTTTTGTAAATTTAGTGTTGCTTCCGGTAATTGGAAGGTTTGCATATTGAGGTCCGCCAAGGCTTCTAAGTAATATAATTGTTTCGCTACGTTATCTGTCTGCATATAATGCCTAGTGATTTTCCCCAGCAGCTGTATATAATTGTCTTTGTTTAATTGGCTTTCGTAGTATTTTGCTAATGCTCGATGACGGAAAATTCGAGCCTCATATGAAACCATATCGTAAATACTGTGAGGAATAGTTATATGCGCGAAGGTGTAGACAGCAATATGACCTTCTGATAGATCCCCACTATGTACCTGCTGTAGAAAATTATACACGTCCAGACTCTGTATTGTTCTTTGTATCTCTTCTGGCTTCCTGTCGTTATATATTCGATTATGCTCACTGACGACTGAGCCAACTTCAAACAGATTGAAATACTGATCGAGGCAGCAGGCAATCTTTCAAAAGATTTTTTGCAAACTTAATATCACGTTGGTTTAACTATGAAGAACGCAATATTACAACTTACAGTTAAGAACTCTTGAAAATTAGTATCTAGACGATCAAATTGCATTTTTATGATGCGTTTGTAATCAAAATTTCCTAGAAGATCCTCCAAATCGAAACTGTTGCTGCTTGGTACCAGTTCACCTTCTACGACTGTCACATGGTTAAAATCCTTGAGAATAATTGCCATATTCCTATAGTAGGTAGAAACGATCAATATATATATACATATATATATTGCGCTCTACAGTATTTATAGAATATCCGTACTTAACGTATAAAGGGTTTCCACCTGTTCTCTTCTACAGCGTTCAAATAAAGATGGATCAGAGATAATCCATGTACCTCATTATTAATTGTACGTTTTGGGATGTTTGAATATTACCTGTATAACACTGACAATTTCTGGGCTAATCTCGTTCACGCCACTATCAAAATTTTGAAGGATGATCTCTCCAATTTCACAGTTATTCAAGCCGTTCAATGAAATTTCGATATGCGATCCGACAGTTCTAAAGTCCTCAATAAATGTCACATTGTAATCCTTGATAGGCCTTGTAGCCATGATAATCATTGCTTTTTGGCAATTACAGTGAATTTGCTGTAATATCTTGACAGAAGTAGTATCTGCCCCTACCAATGCATAAAATGGATGAGCTATAAGCATTTTCAAATTATTACTTCTTTTTGTTTTGCCACTTACATTGTACGTCATCGCATATAATAACTAAACCTACATGCTTAGATACATGGTGCATCATTCTAACGATTACGCCAGCCAAGAGAATATCTCTGGCTCGGCCATCTAATAGTCTTGTATATCTGTTTTCCGCGACATCAGTTAATGCAGTGAATATTACTTTGAATAATGGCAGATAACCTGCTTCTTCCCCACATTTGTATAAACATCTGGATATCAAGTTAACAATCTCCTTTGTAAACTCCATATTCTCTGTAGTATTCCCTAATGTAGGAACTGGCATAGTCCCATAAGCAAAGCGCTTGTACCAGTCTTTATTATCTCGCAAACTTGTTGAAGAGGGATTGGAGTTTGTAGAATCAGAGGAAGTTCCCATTGACGAATGACCGAGTGATTGATAGCTAGATCTATCAATAGCCGCATCTCGATCCTCATGTTTGGCTTTGGTCTTGAAGGGAATTCTATCGGAATCAATCATCTCAAACACGGCCAACATTATATCTTTTAGCAAGTAATATTTACTACTCTTCTCCACTAAATTCCATTTGAAGAGGATCAATTAAATGGTAATAAAGCAATTGAGTCTGACATATTACAAAACATCTCACCTTCGGCAGAAGATGACCAACTAAATAAGATAAGGAGTAGAAAAAGAGAAGTGTTAGACGAAGTGAAATTACTTGACGATCCTTATGCGTTATGTTTGACCATACCAACTAAACACACCATGCGATGTAATAGCTTGATAAAGATTATTACAAAAAAAGCTTTTACCAACACCAGAAGGACCTGACACAACAATTAAATGATGATTAGGTGCATTGATCCAATCATCTATAAAATCAGTTGCTGTTAGCATTTCTGTCTTGTAGCCAATAAAGTCGTTTGAGGTTTCCAAACTAAGCACTGAAATTCGTTTGTCTCTTTCAGGAGGGCCAAATCTGGATATACCAAATATTTGTATAGGCTTTGGTTTTCCTTTCACAAAGTTTTCACCATAATCTTCAAACTCGCACAAACCGCCAATTTGTTTTCGGGTAGCAATATCACAAACAACATTTTCCACTGAAAATTGGAATTTAAGCATACGGACGGCCACCACGATGGTATCCCCAGCAATGCTGGCATCCTTTCTGTAGGGATCAGCTGGAGGTATAACTGAAGTGAAGATGACACCCGTCGATAGTGATATTGCAAATCCACGGAAGCCAAGCCCTAAATATTGCTCGCGTATTTCTAGAGCAGCTTTTGCTGCGAATAAAGCGTCGCGTTCATGTGAAAGAGGTGGCAATCCAAATACTGCTAATAATGTTGCGCCTGCCGTAATGAAGAAAACAATGTAAAGGCTGTTTCAGAATGACTACCGCTCCACATGCTTATTGTAGGGAAATTGTTTAACATCTTTTGTTTGCTTTTTTTTTTACCTTTATCATCTATTGCAAACTGCTGTAACATTCCTTCAAATTTCACAAGCGCCTGTATAGCCACCAAGACAGCTTGCTGTGCCTTTAAAAGGCCCTCACTGCTGGCAACATGTGTTTTACCAAGACTGATAAACATGATGGTTACTTCACGGAATTGTGCGGGTATATGTCCACCTACGCTATGTTGCATACGGTAGAGTGCGCTTCTATTCACATATTTACAATAAATCGGATTTGCTTCTGCCGGTAGATAATTCAAAAAAGTGTTTCTGACCCTTGGTATGAGTGGTTCCATAGTAATACCGGATGCTTCCACTTTCACACCTGGTAATGCTTTAAGATATTCCATATTATTAGGCGGGGGATACTTTTTGAGAATGTTATTTGTGTTGGGGCGGAGAGAAGGCGGATGAGGGTAACTGCTTTTACGAACTGAGTGATCTTGACCTTCAACAATATTACTGATGACGAAAAAGCGTCCTCTTCGCTCAAAATTGAGATTGAATGATTGGCGTTTAATGATATCGTAAGCTGTAGCCGTAAGACCTAGTTCACCTGCTTTTGCAGTAGATAAAGCTTCATCAAGAGCATCGACCACATCCCCACCTATAGCATACTCTAGTCTACCCCTATAGTCAAAAAAATACTCATCAACTATAGGCTTTGCGCTCTGACTATCGCCGTAAGATCGAATTTGAGGGTAAATACTGGGATGCCGCAGTATTTCTGCTTCGTTGGGCATATCACCCAGGATTATATTAATGATATCTCCACAAGACAATGCCATATGTAATTCTAGTTTGACTGAATAGATTGAAGAAGCTGCAGTATTCGTTGTTCCTGATAAATTGCTGCTATCACTAGACCGCCTATGTCTTTGCCTACCCTTATGCCCTTGTTTCTTCCAAAATGGAAACAGACTCTCCATTGATAGAAAATGACTGTCCTTAGATGTTGACGTTGTTGCTTCATTTCTATCGCTTTCTGATTTTTTTCTTTCCGTGGCTGCTATATCAGGCGTCCTCTTATCGTACATTGTTCGGTTATTATTCATATTCCTTAATTCAACACTTGGTCTTCTGTGTTTCGTTCTTTCCTCTGCAGTTAAATACACAGTATAATGCGATAGTCTGGCGAGTAATTGTAAGCCGCATTCCATACTTTTTCGAACAAGCAGGTTCTTTTGTCTCTCTGTGAGTTCACTCTCTTCGTTGACATTTGAGTCGTTTGAACTCTTCCTCTCTGTTGTGCGCATAGGTTGAAAACATACAAGTACAGCGTCACCTAGAAACTGAAGAGCAGAGCAAAAATATCAGTATATGTCTCTTTAGCGATTAAGATGCATAGTACTATCGGTCACCTTGACAACGTCTCCTCCGTAAAACTCGATTATTTGGATGCACTATGTATGTTTGAGTGTTTAGCATTCTGCCATTGTTTCGCAAAATAGTTTGCTTTGTTACCTCTCCCATATAGGCACCTATTTCCATTGCAATAGCTTCTGCTCCAGAATCTCCTTTTTCAAGCGCCATTGAAGTGAGCTACATGAATTGGTTATTGGTCATTTTTGACTTTTCTCCCTCAAAAAAAAAAAAAAAAAAAAAAAAAAACCATTAATATACTTACAGTGCTGAAGCCTGCATAGAAAAAGAGGGAAGAAAAAAGTGTCAGTTCTGAAAGAGAATGGGTTATTCAGGGTTGCGACCCTAATGTTACTTTACCTACGACATCAACCATAAGCACAACTCCAAATTGCGAATGACTGTAGGGCAGCGAGAAATCTTCTTCGGTTGCATGCAGTGCTTTGATGTACTTTAAGAAAGGGCATCAATAAACGATTTAGTATATAGGATGAGCAATTTCAATCAAGGCTGTAGTATAGAAACTGTTACTTTTGGAATAAAGGGTGCAATATTAAACATCTCTAAAGTGTAGGACCCCCTCTGTCAAACGTAGCGCAGATGTGTGATTACTGTAAAGAGAACAAATTTTATGCAAAAATAAACCGTTATTTTTTTTTTATTTTTTTGTTTGTTTCTGCTCATTCATGCTGCTCTGCAACATATTATTGGATGAAAATATTTGCAAGATAATGCACGTTGCTTTATTTTACAGTGCTTGATAAAATTGTTAATTGTGAAGGCAAGTAAATAATTGAATAGTTGTAGATTTTTCGAGTGAATAAAGAAACAACAATAACAGTAGCTGATGAAAAGGAAACTTGGAAAAAATGAAATGCGTTGTTTGAAGGAGATTGAATGTTTTTTGTTCTATCCGTTAAGTGAGTACACTCACAATCTTGCCCATAGTACGTTTCCATAGCGGACCAGTGGCCTTTTCTGAGTCATCTGTAAAAGAGTACTCTGCTCTTCCAGTATCAATGTCTATCTCTGCGATGGGGATCATTTTTGATTTAGTCCAGAGCTTCAGAATGACAAATAAACAGGCAACCACAATTAGACCACCGTAATTACCAATCAAGCCTACGGGATCTGGTGGTACAAAGTAAGAATAGCCTGCCATTAAAGATATAACCACGCAAGCTATCATTCCGAATATATCGCCAAAGGGATGAAATGGTGTGCTAATGGGTAGGTCCTGAACACGATGTCCATTAAATTTCAAAGCTTTTCTAAAACGGAAATGGGCAAAACAAATTCCACCCCAGGTAACAAAACCTGCGATACCAGAGAGATCAGTGAGCACTGTGAATAGGGCTTTACCAGGAATGAAAGCCGTTGCAAACGTAATGAGACTGATTACTGCCGTAATAGTAATAGACCAAACGGGGACACCGTGTTTATTAATGTGAGCTAGATAAAAAGGCATACAATTGTAGTTAGTAGGACTATTCTTTATCTTTATGATTTCCTTGTTGAATAAAAGGGGGAAAAAATGCATACATATTCTTTTATGTGCTAGGCCTTCTTTTGATAAGCACAAAAGGGTACGTGAGCTGACGTACATTCCACTATTTGCACATGATAAAACCTAGGTATGGCAAATACGGAGATATTCCTTTTAATCGTTTTTTTTTTCTTGAAACAGTGTTGACATTTTCCTTTAAACATCTACTTACTGTTATAAGAATGACTGCATTCATGATATGTGCCACACTTTGAAGACCTGCCTTTTCAAATACAATTGTGAAAGGGGAGACTGTAACACCGCTTCCAGCGGATAAATTACGCTCGTCATTCCAAGGAATGACCATACCCATTACGAAAACTATGAAAAATAGAATGGTTAGTTTCTGAGACCAAATGAATATATGAAGCAAATGCAGACGGTACTAGAGCCAAGATAAAAAATGATGATCCGCCAAAAAACGTTTCGAATAGCACGTGGTACTTGCTGTAATGTATTTAACGATTTAGTAAAACTGGTCAAATGTTTGGCTTATAAAAGAAGGTACGCTACCTTCAGCGGGTTTTCGCACTCACCAGCAGTGATACCAACAATTTCAGTACCCTGCATACTGAATGATGCCAACACAAATGCATTCACTACACCAAGGGCACCATTGGAAAAGGCTCCGGGATCTTTCCAATATTTGAATCCAAATACTTCGTGTGGTTTCTCCCCGGCACTATATTGAACAGAAAGGTATCCTTTTTAATTGCCATGTATACATAATCAAGTTCTCTTACTATAGCTACCCAATGACACCACCAGAAGTGAGACAGCCTACGATGATGAAGACGAGTACAGCGATAATTTTGATCTGCATAAAAGTTAGAGAAGAGTAGCGTAAGATCTTCAACACATTTGTGTATGTATGTAAGTTGTATATATACCAAGCTAAACCAATATTCTGCTTCACCATAGCTACGAGCACCGCACATGTTTAGAACATAAATAATGACAAGGAAAATTCCTGACCCTACAAGTAGACAATGAGAAGAGGTTCATTCTATTAGCTATTATACGTCTAACATCACAATGGTTATCAAGATTTTACATGCCCAGTCTGGCACCTTATTAGTCCAGAATTGCATTACGAGCGGTAGAGCAACAAGCTCGGCAGCAACAATAATTGTCCAACAAGCCCAATAGTTATAACCGATGGTTGTACCAAAAGATTTATCTACGAATCTTCTACAGTATACGGTAAAGGAGCCAGAAACCTACAATGATAGGTGTAACACGGCGAATAAATCACTGTTTGCATTTGTATGATATGGCTAAAAATCCCACCCTTCAATGCTATACAACTTACTGGGATATAAGTGGCCATCTCACCTAGAGAAAACGTGACCCAATACACGATAAAACCAATAATACTGTAAGCTATTAGAGCCCCTGCGGGGCCTTTTTTTTGGAGAAATGGGAAGGAAAAGCAGGTCAACGGGTGTCACGCCTATTACACATTGCTTTTATGTATGCCTTTACCTGCACGGTATAAATTGCCACCAGCAGAAAGAAAAAGACCTTGACCGATAACACCACCTAGGGAGATCATCTACATATGTTATGGTTTTACAGCTTGTGAGCCTCTTTCAATTTGTTGTTACTGATTTGAAGTCCATATCAACCTACAGCTAAATGACGAGCTTTCAAAGACCTTTTTAGATGCGGCTCTTGTTCTTGGAGCTGGCTTTCCATTGTGCTCATTGAATCGTCGGTAGTAACTCTATGTACATGTTGGCCTTCGGTTTCCAATTTGTAGTCTTGTTTTATAGAACGCTGATCTGGCTCGTTTTCCCAACTTTTGTACATTGATACTTTTCTTTAAAACACGGGAAAGCGGGAAGTAGGGCACGTAGTATTTACAGCTCAAGAAGAGATAAGAAAAATGAAAAGAAACAGAAAGTTTTTTGATTCAAATTTTTTCATTATTTCATGCGCTCAAATGTGGGGTAAAATTTGGTTAGCTTGGATTACACGAACTAAAGTATGTATTTCTCACAAGTTTTTTTTTTTTTTTTTTTTTTTTTTTGTAAATATGCGTTATCATTTCTCGATTCATTGGTTTTTCTCAATAGATGCTTATTCTGATTTGAAATGTAAGGTTTCCTTTGTAACCAGTTGTAGAACAGGTTTGTGCTGTTTTTATCATACGTCTATATCTTTCTTTCATATTGACCTATGATCTGTTCTATGGTCGAAAATAACAATTTATGACTTTTGTTTGCTACGTAAAAGTTTTTGTGTTAGGAGACTTTGAGAAGGAAAAAAGATGGAGATAGAATAGTTTTAGGTCATTATCTAAATTGCCATTGTACAAGCAATTTCAAGGTATAAGCTTTGGTTTCTGATCTATTGCCTGTTTTTCTGTGCTTCCAATTATTTTGTATATACTGCTGCTGCAAGGTAATTGGTGAGCATGCTTTCCAGACTTGACGTACGTCTCTTTCATAGCAAACAGAATTATCTACATCCCTTTAAGAAAACTATTCGACAGATCACCTTCTGGAAGAATACTTTGTAAGCTGAAGAGGATCCAACTAATTGTTACATGGACAATTTTATGTTCACGTCTGTTTGGAATACCGTCTTCATACATCTTCTTCTTACCTTACCTGCTTTATCTGCTTAATTCTATTCCTTTCTGCTCTTTAATTGGCATGCTTGTTACAGAGATAATTGGCTTTGCAAATACGCTCTATCCGCTCTCTTCACATAAAGAGTGCGAAGCTTACTATACCTTAAAAAGGACGTTTGTAGTTTCGACCAATACTACCCCTGCTAGTACAAATCTTCTTTCATAGTACTACGCTCATCATATCCTTTTAAAAAGCGAAACGGAAAAGAAACATGTGATGAAAAATGACTTCATCTATCGTCTTTTGCTTCTTCACTTATTCATTTTGCGAGCCGAATGGTGCTCATTTATGGGTAAAACAACGTTGGAAAAGAAGTAGAAAAAGTTGTATAAGAGAAAAACATGTAGGGTTAAGGGTCACCCAGAATGTAACTGAAGCCAAATTTTTAGTGATGTTTGCTTTCTAATAATTGATGGCAACTATAGTCGTAAATTATATCGTTAAAGATTGTTTATAAGTATTAAAATATTCATCCAGATAACCATTAAAGCAATCGTAACAATAATCAAATCAAGTGTTTTCAGCAGGTCAATGTTTGTCAGTTTTCGATCCAATTTCAAAGACATAGGCATGACCGTTTGCCGCAGAGCAAAAATTGAGCGACCACTAGAAAGTAACAGCATGAGAAAAAAAGTCTTTCTTCGTAGTAAGCATCCATCTGCTATTTCATTGCTAGCATGCGCCTGTAACCTGTCAGTGTTTGATTTATTGTTGCCGAAAAAAAGAAGATTGATTCCGAGAAGTTACGCTTCAATATCCATTCCGCGAGTGTTAGCTTTCAATCATTTTTCATTGATTTAAGAATCAATAAGAAACATTATTTATCAGTCTGCAAAATTTAAATTTCTATACTTGTTTCCCTATGTTATGGGTTTAGACTTGTAGCTCTTGAAAATGAAACACTGGGACGCGTAGCTAACCCTGCTGTTAAATAACTAAGGTAAGAAAAAAAGCGCGTAAACTGCTCCGCGTGGAGAAAAATTAGAAGAAGAAAAAAAATGTCCTTCTCAACAGTTGCATATTCGGATTTAATATTTCTATTTCTTATACTTTTCCATTATACAATAAAATGGTACCAGATCAATTAAGAGTCAAACAAGGGCCTTTGGCTCGTGCTTGGCTTGCTTCCCACTGGGAAAAGAAGGTTTCAAAATCCCAATGCTTACAAACAAATTTAGAACGAACCATCGGTACCTTGAGACATTTGAAAACGAAAATCAGCACAACTAAAAGAAGGGCACTGACACTAAATATTTAGATGCCATCACAACAACTAGTAACGAAGACGGTCAAATGACCTTGCGTGTATCTGGTCAATTATTGCTTGGTGTTGCTCGTATCTATTCTAGGAAAACAAAATACTTACTAGAAGATTGTAACGAAGCCCTTGTCAAGATAAAACTTGTAATCGTCGACTAAACAATCTCATACTATAAATCACAAATTGTGTTTCATTAATAACACATTTTTGTTGTGCTATTTAGGCCTTTAAGAAGGGAGATGTTAATATGCCAAATATTCAACATTCTATTGCTAATAGCAATACAATTACAGTCCAAAATAATCTAACAGAATTCGATATCCTACTTCCTGATGTGCCTTTCAGCACTGCAGCAGAGTAAATATAATACCACCAATAGAGCTGCATAACGGCTACGATTATCTCTGATCTTTCTTTATCTATTCTTACTCATTACTCTTGTAGTGGCAATTTGGAAATCAACGATCCTCTTTTTGATGCACTTGGTGATTCATCCACTTCCCAGAATAATACACTAACCGATGTGCAAAACAGCTTCTCTTTCGGCAACTGGATATCAGGACCCGAAGCAGGTCGTCGTGATACCGAAGCATTGGAAGAAAATTTTCTGGAAGCAAACGGTTTAGATCAAATGATTGAAGGGCCATTAAAAGAGCTCAACCTCGCCGACAATAACAACATTGAAAATGGGCTGAATGACAATAACATCAACTTTGATTTTGACGACGACAATATCGACTATGATCTACCGGATATCACGGATGAAGGAGTTACATTTGATATGAATCGTTTCAATGCTATGACAGGTGAAACAGCTGAAACTACTGCTATGAGTAGTTTAGGAGACATCGGTATTGTGGAAGATGACGTGTTTGATACTGACAGCATCATGGCCGAACCAGCACCTCGCAAACGCCGACTTCTTATCGTTGATAATGAAACTGAAATCCCAGCTGAAGACCTTACGCGCTACATAGCAGATGCTTCTTCGATTATCGTGAATGTAAGTTGCTTATATCTTTTATGTCTGCTTGTATTTAGTAACTGACACTTTTCCTTGATCTTCCATTTTTCTTTTTAGGATGAGGTGTCAGATGTCGTTTCAGCTAAAGAAGCAGCGAAAATAAAAAAAACTACCAATCTTCGACAACCTTATGGCGATGAATTAGGCTCTGATTTGAATAAACTGTTCCAAGATATCAGTCATAGACGTCACGTACCGGTATCTCTGTCAGATAATGTAGCAGCAACAAGCCATATACCGAGAGAAACCGAAGTGAATAATCCTTTTCACTTTGAAGATGATGCCGTTGATTATAATGATGACGGTGCTGAATTCAATGAAGAAGCCATGGATCAGTTTAGAAGTGTACGTTTTTTAGTAAGAGGACCACTTGCCTTGCATCCCTTCCATCTCTGTTCTTAAACTAACGTATATTTTAACGTGCTTATAGGCCATGGATCCGTTAGCCGGTGAAAATATGGATATGAATGATGGTAGCGAAATGACTCAAAATACACAGGCTATTAATCAAAAAACTATGCAGACTTTTGAACGATTACAAAATGAGTTCACACGTCAAGAAACAATACAGTTCAGTAACTTAGCGACAGTATCTTCATCAAAGAGTGAGGCTGCTCGTCTTTTCTATGACGTCTTATTGCTGTCCACCAAGAATAAGATTAAGGTTCACCAATCCAAGCCTTTTGGCGACATCCAAATTCGCGCAGTTGCTGTTTAAGGTATGCGCTTTAGTATGACTAGTTAATGGAGATAGCACTGACTTCACATTAAACCTTTATCATCTAATTACCATCTGTTCCAATCGTTTTCGTTTAAGAATAATTTGTTATTGAAGGTTAAATTATACACATTTTATATCACCTACAAAAAAAATAAAGAAATCCATTCTTTTCATTACATACTGTCAAATGGAATAAGAAATTTGACTATACACGAATGTGAATTGTTTATTACATGGAATAATACTACAAATTTTCAGATGACACACAAATGGTATTAATATAACGTTTTTAAGGTAATCAGTTAAAGTGAATAATATCTAAGATTATTAGCTTTTCTAAGTACAATTGATTTCTATGATGAGACAACGGCAGAAGCGGTTTTATTTTCAGCAGTGTGACCCAAAGCTTCTAAACCACCAGCAGCTGCGTCAGGGTAATAATAAAATGTGATAGCGAGTAAAACGTATAATGCAGATAGCATGAAGCCTTCCAACCAATTCGATTTACCATCCTATATAAGTTTTTTTACATAAATTATCAAGAGATCTTTGCTTCTTACATTCAATAAAATCTTCTTTCAGGTTAATGGCTTACCATAATCAAATAATTTAGCAATATAACAGTGACAAAGAGTACAGCAGTTTCGTAAACGTTGAAGTACAAACTCATGTCAATATTGAGGCCCCAGCCAACAATAACCATAATGGGTGTAACAAGTAAAGCCACTTGCATACTAGAACCAACAGCTACACCTAGTGCCAAATCCATCTATGTGGATTAAAGTAGCAATTGATACATTCACATTAGTATAACTCATCTGCTATAATTTCCTTTTTTGAAGAATTAGCAGTAGATTTTATACCTTGTTTTTGTAAGCACAAGTAATTGCTGTAACGTGTTCAGCAGCATTGCCAACAATAGGTAGCAGAATCAGGCCAACAAATGTTTCAGTTATACCCCATTGTTCAACAACAGATTCTATGGCAGAAACCAAAAATTCTGCACATACAGCAACTAGCACAGTGATAATAATTAAACTGAAGGGGGGAAAGCAAAAGAGGAAATGAGTTCCAGATTCTTGAAAAAAAAAAAAAAAAAAAAAAAAAAAAGGTATGAAGCAGCACGTAGCAATTTAAAAGACTTACAGTACGAATGCCATCCAACAAGGCATGGATGGATGTTCTTCTTCTTCTTCTTCTTCCTCATCGATCTCTGATACCACACGTTCTGGCATGGGTCGTTGCTCCGGATCAATATTGTTCTTGTTCTTCTTATTCACCTGTAATTTGATCTGGGAGGTTTGACGTTCGACTTTGTAGGCTTCAGTTGGTACTTGCATAAACTGTACAAGTATTTGTGTCAATCCCAATATGGAAAAGCCACATGGGCTATTATTTAGAAGCAGATTCAAATTGATATGTAAAAGATTACGTTTGAACTTACCAAATCTCTATGCGTTCTTAACTATAATAAGCGATTTTTCAACAAAGGAAAAATTGATCATCAACTTAGTATAAGAATGAAATCACTGTTTGTGCAACTTTACGATAGTACCTGGAAAACCATATAAGCAAGGTAAACAACCAATAATATAATGGCTGTTGCTCTTGAGATACCTAAAATATCCGATCTTTCCTTCTCTGCAGATTCAGCATCCACGGTGGATCCATAAAATGAAGCTGGTAATAACAAGGAAGCTACAGACAAGAATAATAATGAAGCTGAAGTCTGTGCAGAAGTGATGTTGAAGCTTTGTTCTTTATATTTTAGACCACCGGCCAGGAAACTCATACCCAAGACGATCAATAAATTAGACAAAATAGAACCGAGCATGGAGGCTTGCACCACCACAACTAAACCTTGAGTTAGAGAGATAATACTGATGATAAGCTCGATAGAGTTACCAAAAGTAGCATTCAATAGGCCACCAATGACTTCACCAGTACGAAGCGCAATATCTTCGGTGGCAAAGCCAAGTAGTTTTGCGAGGGGAACAATGGCAATGAAGTTTAGGATAAAAGTGACTGTAGGAGACCAGACAAAGTGGGATACCCAACCAAAGGGAATAAAAATCAAGAGAACGTTAAGCCACGTTGCTCTAACGATGGACATTAATCCTTGCCCTAAAGTAGGCTCTTTGAACTCTTCTTTTGCAAGTTCTTGTTCTTCCTGTGTTTGCTCACAATTATTATCGTCGTTGTATGCCGCACTGCCGCTATTTTCTGCAGTTATGTTGTTGGATGAAATACTTGGTGTTATTTCTGATTTTTCTTCGGAAGCTTCTGCTTGATCTAAATGATTGATCATTGATTATGCGTGTTTTTTTAATCGGTGCAAAGTATATATTATATAAAGGGCTAATACAAGAAGCAGACTAAGTCAGAAAGAAGAGAGGGTAGAAAATGTTAAAGAGGAAGGGAAGGGTCAAGCCACGTTTACTTTTCTATTAAAAAAAAAAAAAAAAGCCAGTTGTTCAACATACACGGGTGACCCAAGGTTTTGTAGCTTGATCTGAATCTAAAGCCATAGAAGTAGCGTCGATCTTCGAAAATAGCCACATAATTCTATTTTGGGTTAATTTGCTTAGAAAAGTAAAAAAAATATCTCTTTTTACACTTACAAATAAAGTAAATCTGTAAACAAAATTTTTACTCAGCAGTATGAATGGTTCACGAAGACACAGATTTTGTTTGTTTCTCGAATCAAAAAAAGTGTTGTCGCTTAGCAATTCTTTCATATTGTAAGATCTTAATAGAAGGAACGGCTTTTCTAATATTTGATTTTTATTAATATACAATGGTCCTTTTGTACATTCCGTAAGAGGAGATGGTATACTGAAAAAGAAGATTGGTCGGGAAGTGTATGTACATAAAATGCTTGACATAAGCCGACGGGTATTCAATTTTTTTTAATGTTTCGTTTGCATTCTTGACATTTGTTGCTGTTGCTGCTTTTTAAAACTAGACGATGAAGATTGCAGTGGATTTTCCTCATCATGAACACTGTAACGTGGAGGAGGCTCATTCGGCTCACTCGAGCTATTTCCATGCCTATCGTCTTCCTCTCCATCCTCATACTCGTCACGCGGTTGCAGTAATATTTCTCCATCTTCATCTTCTGGACGAGTGAGTCTAATGGTTGCTCCATCCTTTATATCGTCAGTTTTATGTTTGATAAATGTATCAATAACCCAGAATTGCATGATGTTCATCACTAGCGGAAAACTACAAAGGTCATACATGGATTAAGAATTAATAAGCGATCATATACATTATGCCAGTTATTTTTTTCGCCCCTGATACACTTACATTAGCATGACAAAGACTACTTGCAATTTATAATTGCCAACAGTCCACTCTAATACCCAATCACCAAAGTCTTCAATCCAGGGGCAAAGATGAAACAGGGAGACGACAATGATCTTCATCAAGAATAAACTCAGAATATAGACAAAAAGTTGCTTTCCCCATCTTTTCAATTGCTCTTTTAAGGGTGGATCTCCATAAACGCCGCTTTTGAATCCTGTCCATTGTAGTCGATTAAAGAGAGACTTAAACCCTTTCAAGATCAGCCATAGAATACCAATGCCTAAAGTTGTATCTACAAATATGTTGAGGAAATACCTAATTCATTATCAAATAACATTCATCAGATGGGAGTTCTTACTCAAAACTGTTCAACCTGGACGTTTACCACACACAAGGGTTGGATCTTTTCCCTTCTTCTGGTTTGACTCCCAAGAATACGGCCGCAAACACATTGAGCGAATGAACGACTATACCACCTGCAAACTGTTTACTAACGTCTAAGGCCCTGTATGATGGACCAAAAAAGTCAGTATGGGTTCTTATGAGTATGACAGCACTAAAAATGCAGTTTTCCAAATTCATATAAACATGAAGTACTCTACCAAATTCGAATGGGCCGCTGTGGTTGTTCTCTCTGTCTTTTGAAAATTAACGTCGAAAAAGCAAAAGCAGCTAAGCAAAGTTGAATAAAGATTCCAAAGCTATCCATCAGTTTGCATCCTGACTGTGGATTATCTTCTTCCAGCTGTGTCGATGGCGATGTTTGAAGGTCTAACATGAAATTTTTTGATTGTCGACGGAAGAAAGAAATGATGTGGAAGCAACTTGAACAAATTACTGCAGATCGCTGTCTTTCAAAATCAAAAATCTTAATCCGGGCTTATTACTGCATAAAGAAAAATGCATTCTTCTGCACTTTCTCAGATCACGATAGATTGTAATGAGTTCCTCACAGCAACCCGATGACGATCCCTATGGAGCCATTAAATTTGGCGAGTTTCGAAAGTATATGCAAAATAAGAAGTCAAAATTGAAAAAGCAAGAAAAGGAATTGTAAGACGAAAGCTCAAATACTTTGTTGAAACTCATCGATCGCTGAATTCTACATCATCTGGATCGTTATTCATTCTATCGTTTTTTACAATTTTTCGATAAACAGGAAGGAACAAGCAAGCCAAGACTTGCCTCAAATATTTTCTGGAACTTCGATTTATATTAATGGCTATTGTGATCCACCCGCTACTGAACTACGTAGATTGATTTTGCAGCATGGAGGCGATTATCAACACTATTGTAACTAAGCAGCATATTATTTTTTTTGAACCAAATGAATAACGATGGGTGAAGATAGTTAACTTGGTTGGTATATTTCATTAGTGAAAAAGCTCAGCGTGACCCATATCGTTGCAACCAACCTGACGAATTCAAAATTACAAGAATTTCGGTAGAATATTTTTCAATAGCGAGGTTATACATTGTATCACTCTTATTCATACTGACCAAATCGAAATTTCAGAGCATATAAAGTAGTAAGACCAAATTGGATAGTGGAATCAATAAATGCGAAACAATTATTACCATGGCAAAATTATCGCTTAGCTTCAAAATGTTCAGGTCAAACAGAACTTCCTTTCCAGCCAAAGGCAATAGCACCGTTACCACAGCCGCATATACAGCCAGATGAACAGCAATCACCTTCCGAGCAGAATAATCAGATAGTGAACAAAATACCAGACCTACAACAGCAGACATCTCTTTGCAATTTGAATGCTAAACCGGCTACTACGGGTGAGGCATTGAATGCGGACCTACTCAGTAATAAATGGGCCAGGGAAGTGTCTACTGTAAACCCAGCATTCATTAAAAGATACTATGAGACATCTCGGTTACATTATCTATCTACTTGGAAGCATGAAATAAAAAAAATTGTGGAAGCGTTAGAGTTGAACAATGTTAAATCATTGAATAGATCTCCATTTACAGGAGCAGCAGAAAACAAGAAGCGGAAGCATCCTTCCTCACCTCGTGTCATCATGTAATTTGTGCTCAGCTGTCAGTTTTATTAAAATAGCGTGAACTGATAATTTACCATTTATAATTTAGGCATATTGATTTTGATTGCTTTTTCGCTTCCGTAGGGATTAAAGATAGGCCACATTTGAATGATAAGCCAGTACAGTCGAATAAGGCTTTTGTCAGGATATATAGCACGCATGTCAGTGGCTTTTATTTACATATTCTCTTGCACATTAGGTCGCCGTTACTCATAGTCGAACTGCAAGTGAGACATCAAAAAGTGATATAGGTAAGAAACTTATGTAATACTTATAAAATTTACTGAAAGGACCCAGTCCTCTAACCTCCACAATGCTTCGAAATGATGTAGCTTCATGCAATTATGTGGCACGTTCGTATGGTATTTATAATGGGATGCAGTAAGTATTGCCTTCTTCAACCAATTTTAGTTATGTTTTGAAGAATGAAAATTCTCACTTGCTTCTTACATCAGTATTGGAACAGCAAAACGCCTTTGTCCTGATTTACAAGTTATTCCGTAAGATTATTTGCTTTTTTTGCCGATTCTTCAACCTGTTCTTTTCAATGCCTAACAGCTCGAATGCATCTAATACTTTTCTTACATTACAGATATGAATTTGAAAAATACAAAGCTGTATCTACTAAGTTTTACGAGGTAAAGAAGAAAAAAAAAAAGGGAAAAAAAAAACTTGTTTTCAACAAACTGACGGTTGGAGGATGCTTGATGTCATTAACTATATCTTATCATATGCAGGTTATTCTTCAATACGCTAATAAATTACAAGCCGTCAGCGTAGATGAAGCATTGATAGATGTAAGCTCTCGTATAACAACAGCCTTTGAAGACAGTCAAAAAGAAATAGAAGAGCTTGCAACCAAAATAAGGGACGATATAAGAAATGCTACAGGTTGTGAAGTGAGCATAGGCATTGGTCCCAATATTCTAGTGGCAAGGTTTGTTTGCTTGTGCAACTGAGAGTGTCACTGAAAGTATGCACTAAATATTCCTTTTCCCGCGAACAAAAAATTTAGAATGTCAACGAGAAAAGCGAAACCAGCTGGTCAATATATGTGCAAGACAGACGAGGATATTGAGCATCTTTTGGATAATCAACAAGTGGGTGATTTACCAGGTGTAAGTCTTTTTTCATGGTTCTTTGAAATAAGGAAACAAAAAAAAAAAACAAAAAAGTATAGAAAAAGCAGAATCTCATTGTATCAATTGTTAGGTTGGCTTTGCAATCGCCGAAAAACTAAAGCAATTGGTAATAGCCGCACTTAAAGTTATATGCCTTTATTCAACTTTTTCAGTATAATTCTAAATGAGAGATGGGTATTTCTATTTATTCCAAGAAGAATGTAGAGTCAATTGGCGATTTGAAAAAGGTGCCGCTGTATGAACTTCAATCAAAAGTAGGCGAGAAAATGGGTCAAACTTTATACAATTTTGCACGCGGTATTGACGAACGCCCGTTGACAACACATCAAGAACGAAGATCTGTTAGTGCCGAAGTGAATGTGAGTAATTTTCTAATGGTTCTGCAGGTTCATACTATTCTTTACTTATGTGAGAGTTGAATCCGCACTAGTGGGGTGTAAGATTTGAAAACGAAGAGAATCAAAAGGTATTGTTAACATGAGGTAGTTACATGATGGAGTGACTACTTACAGTCTTTGAGGGGCATGAATGAGTATAGGCGTTTGTAGAAGGGCTCGCAGTAGAAGTTTCTTCTCGTTTGAGGAAATATAATGTGAAAGGGAAGTCGATTACATTAAAGGTAAGACAGCCTTGAGAGTTACTTTAAGAATTCAAAAGCTTGTACTTAAAAGAAACAAATGCTATATACAGATTTTGAAACGGAAACAAGAGGCTGGAGAAACTGAGAAGCTACTAGCTCATGGAATGGTTGATGCGTTCTCTAAATCCTACAATTTGAACAATTATACTGATGATGCTGAAATAATCAGGAAACATGTGCATAATATGCTGAAATCTTTTCACTTCCACTATGCTGATATACGAGGTCTAGGGATACATATCTCTCGTTTAAACAATCGGGAGACCCTACCATCAGGTAAGGGAAAGGATTTTTTTAAGATGTGCGAGACGTACCTTTTGTTCCGCCATGTAAAAGCTTACACCTTAAATATTGGATTCAGCTAATCAAGGCAGATTGGATTTCATGAAAAGCCTCAGCCCTAATAGGCATGTAACATCCGAGACAGAGCCACAATCGAAGGACTTAACTTCGCAAGCATCCCGCCGCAAGGAAACCATGGTAAAACAAGGTTTTTTATCAATGATCTCAACCCATCTTATTGAACATTCTTTTGCAATAGGAGGTCAGTATTCATATTTTTAAAGAGCTACCTGAATCAGTGCAACAAGAGTTGAAAGCTGCATATAATATCCAATACACAGAGTCGAAATCAGAGGAAGAAGAGCGACGTAATAATGTGGATATATCAGAGGCAGCACAGCCTACATCCATACATAAGCTTGGTTCTGACGCATCGACCTCTATGAGCATATCGTCTGCTGAACTTCCACCTTGGTCTCAATTAGATCCTGGTTCGCTGCTTGCTTTTCCTGAAAAGACAAGAATACAAATATTGAAATACTATGGAGAAAAGAATGAAAAAATGGTGACAGAGAATAAAGAGTTGGACAAGCATCTTACTACTACTGGGGCTGCTGCGACTGGGTCATCAAAACCTACCACAGCTACTTTTGGTCCCTGGAGCCCGCAACCTACAAAGACACCAAAAACAAGTGGCGAACGTCCAAAAGTAACTACGCCAAAAAGCTCAAGTGGCAGTAATAAAACACCACGATTAGTTCGACGGTCAAAAGTAAATAAAAGTAATGCAAGCACCATAACCATCACACAATTGTTTCAATCAGGAGGTGGTAGTCCGTCAGCCCAGCGAGTGATTGGCTCACCTAGTGCTGGTGCTATTAGGAGTCCTTCCTTTCGCCAGCCAAACAACGGAAGATTTTATTCAGTATTCGGAATACCATCTGTACGAGAAGCTACGGAAGAAGAAGATGGCTATGACCTTTCTTTCGATACAGATGTTCTGAATGAACTACCGAAAGGTAAAGTGAAAGCAAAAAAAAAAAAAAAATAAGTGTACGGAACATGTGTTTCTGTTTGCAGGGACAATTAGCACTAACTATTGCAAATTTATAGAGATGCGAGCTGAAGTATTACAGGACTATCGAACTGTGAAAAAAGCAAAAGTTAAGAACAATGAAGATACGCGTCTCAACTATACTAACGAATTCGTGACAGTTAAGCGTGTCGATCTGCCACGTGCAAAAGAACCTGCTCTACAAGATACCGCTTATATAGGCGATGTAAGGGAATTGCTTAATCAATGGGTTCACTCGTACGAGGAAGGGCCAGAAGATGGAGATGTGGAAACCATCAAGCACTATTTGATAGAACTGGTCCAGTATCCAGATCTGGAAAAAGTGCAACTATTGATCATGTATCTACAATATTTAATACGAAATCACCTTTCTTCTAGTAGCGCTTGTCTTTGGAATACAGTAGTGCAAGATCTGCAAAACGTAGTAAATGACAAGGTTACTGCTTCTTATGGTTGTCCTCTGAAATTTTAGGACCGTCATACTTTTAGAATACCCTTATTTATTAATATATAAGTTCATAGAAGATAAAAGTAGTTTTTCTATTGCTATTTTTTCATAGCTTTTAGAGGATTGAAAAAAAAAAAAAAAAAAAAAAGACTGATTAAGGTGTACTGTTGTCCATTTCTTGTTTGATGCATGTGGGTACAACGAGCTGATGTAGATTGTTACTCGAGGATTTGGCCATGAGCTCATCGATAACAGGCATGACAGTAGTAGTTGCTTCAGTGTAATCATTATCCTCAGAAGGAGGAACGTCGTCGAGGAGAATGCTATTCTTTTTTGATGAGGATGGACAAGTGAACACCTCTACATCTCCTAAGCCGATGGTACTTGTAGCTGAGCCTTTCCTGCTTCCTCTTTTCTCTCTTCTTTTGTACTTTTGCTGCTGCTGTTGCTCCCCAAGGCTGTTGTTGTTTTTATTCAAATTGTTTGAATGAATATAGTTGCTCAATGAATGATGCCAATGTGCTGTTGTAGGCATTGATTGGGAAGAAGGTAAGCTATCCTGTGGGAGTATTTTATTGTCGTTGCCTACTGCTGCTGCTGTTGCTGCTGCTAAGTGCTTCGTACTAGCAGTATTGTCGTTAGTATTCATATCTTCTGGCCATTCAAGTGCAATTGGCGAGGTGTCAGGTAGTAGACCTTCGAGGCTATTACTATTATTATCAGTTGATGTATCAGGAATACGATGATTCGATTGCTGTTGTTGAGAATGGTGTTGGGGATAGTTAGCATTGCTGTTATGTTGTTGACCTATATCGTGGTGTTGCTGCTGCGTTTGACGAAAGTCTGTATGTTGCAAAAGAGGATGCCCCGTTGCTGTTGAAGACGGCCTTATTGAGGAAGAAGAATAGAGACCATTTGTAGTTACTTCCGCATCAAAAGAGGAACTGTTCATTTGGTTGGAAAAATTGTTATCGTATTCATTTAAGATATCAGTTGGTGACTGGCGATGATCGAATTCTACACTGAAATTTATGTTGAAATCATTCGTTGTAGCTGCTGTTGCATGGGACGGCCGTGATAAGGTTGGAAGGATCAAGGCATCATTAGAGGCGGCAGCATCTGAATTTTGTTGATACGATGCTGATAACCACAAGCTGGTATTTTGAAAAATCGAATGCGATGGTGGTGGTGGTGGTGGTGGCGGTGGTGGTGGTGTGTGCGGTTGGGAGGAGAAATAATGGTGCTGATGCTGAGATTGAGACGGTAAATGCTGCTGATGAAAAGAGGGTGGTATTAGAATGTTACTACTGTTAGATTCGCTGTTATTGTGGGAGTAGTAGTGATGCTGTTGGTGAGACCCTGTTAAAGTAACAGAATGGATAGGTACAGGTGGTAGTGGAGGCGCTGGAAGACAAGATGAATACGGGGTTCCTGCTAGAGAACTCGATAATTCCAATGGACTGATGGCCCTTCTTTGAAAAACGTCCATGCTATAGATTGTGTCGAGACGAGGTTTTTTCATGACTTTTTTGTAAGATGTGCTGATTCTCTTTCTGTTGGACGACGATGAGAATGAGCTCTGTGTCAGCGACGAAGCGGAAGATGAGAGATTGATGTTCTCCTCGTCAGTTCCTCCTCTGAATGACGAAGCTGAGGATGAGGAGGTGGAGCTTTTGCTATTGCTGTCATAATGAATCTGCATATTGCTGGGCTGAGAGCTTGGCTTTGGACCGCGACGAACTGTGCTCACGACAGATGGCACTAAACTTAAGTGACGGTGGGTGGATAACGATGTGATAGTAGGAAGATCTTGGCCAGGTCTTACTGGTGGAAAAGCATCTATAATACCCTGCTCATCTAATAATGACCGTACGTAGTGAGATAAGGATTGCTGAGCATGGCTTTCATCTATGTTACCATCACACACCAAATCTGCACGCATAAGACCAATCATGTCGATATTCTTGCTGTTGCAGTCTACATCATTTGGAATGATACTAAGATAAAGTCCAGGTGCAAGCTGGTAGCGACAAGGCTCGCCTTTTTGGAAAATAGTCAACAAGTCTTGAGTTGTCTTTTCACTGAGATTTATCCAATTTCCATGACCAGCGTACAACCGGTAACAACTTTTATAGGCAGACGTTGAGGATCTTAAGTTACCGTGGCTTTTCTTGTTAGTAGACATTTGGACAACTTCCATAAAAAGTGCTTTTATTCTGGTAAAATGTAAAGTATGAATAGAGAGCGTTGAAGGGAAAAAAAGAAGGGAAAGATAACAGAGCTTTAAACAAAGAAGTTATATATACGTCTTTTTTTTTTATTTTAAGATTCCCCAAACTCATAGTGAAGTAAAATGGGTAACGGACAGTTGTCTGTAATAACTATCAAAATGGGACCTTATTTTTAAAACTGTTTTTGTCGTTTTCAGTGACACTTCATTTGTGAAAATCTTCAATCACATGTGGATAAAAAGGGGTGAGAAATGATGAAAATGCTTTACGCGTACATATTAATTCTACAAGGTGTTAACAGCTGTTCATAGCTAAAGTCAGTATCTGTTGGACACGAAAATTGAGCAGTGCTTGAAATACTTATGCTCTTTATTGCTAGAGAAAGAAGTTGACAACATTTTGAGCATGCTTATTCCATGAGTTTTTTATGACAATATTGGCGAAAGGCCACTACTCTACTGACGTAATGCGATATAAATTGTTGACTTTTCCAGACTTCTCAGCGATTGAAGTATGGTCTTCAATACCACAATGAAAAAAGAGATTTTTATTAGACTTTATATGGCGTAAACCGATCCGATACCAGTCTTTTGCTTCTGCATAAAACATATTCTCAAATAGTTACTGTTTTTTCTTGTCGTTCCAACACTAAGTAAGGTTTAAACGGCATATAATGGCTTAGATAACCATAATCGTAAAGAAGGAAAGGTTGACCACATTTCCCGTCATCGATACTCATTGTTGATTGGCCTGCCGTTTAAACTGAGAAAAATGTATTCTTTCAAGTTCATTGTTATGCAATCTCTTCCTTCAAACTTCACATACTGTACTTTTTGTAGAAATACCTGCCCTTAATCAGCTGTCCGGGTTAGATCGTGCTATTTTTTGAGGATGCGCGTGTTCTTCTCATCCAGATTGCATCCTTGTATACGTCGTGAACAAAGCAATCCATAAGAATTTTTCTCTATTTAAACAGTAGCCTACTGTATATCCAGCAAAGTTGATTCTGCAACAATAGTCTGCGAATTTGTTTGTTGAAAAGACAATTACTGAATAGAGTTGGATGTTACAGTGCGGTTGGGTGACTTCTGTCACTTTGTGAAAAATAAATGTCGTTGTGCCATAAAAAAAAAAATAGAAATTAATATGGTAACTATTGGAGTTTAATTGTGAAGTATTCACGAGATATCGCGTACGTTTGACCGAATAGAGAATATGTTCTACCATATTCTATGTATATTGCATCTATTATTTAAGAAGATAAAGGCCTAATTATAAATAGATTACACGTAAAGCATATGAACCTAAAACTGGAGACTAGCATACGCGTCCTCAAATTAATGTAATTCCCACTCAACCTTACATAGTAAAAAATCTTCCTACTTTGTCTGAAGAGTAAAAAAGACACCAAATGTATAGCTATCGACTTATAGCAGTTGTCAACTTCCAACAACTCAGTCATGATATCTCATGTATGTAATTGTCTCTTCATTATATTGTCGCTGTTTCAGCAGGTCATGACATCGATCATGATTATTATTTCCGATTTCAAGAAAAAATATAAGGGTAATTTTTATGTATAACACGAGAAATAGGTATAAAAAGGCCGCATACAAATTTCCTTTGAGTTATGTTAATGTAGAAATGCGGCTTGTTTATTCGTCAGTTCGTATTATTCATTTAATTACATTCAATTGAAGCAACTTAGAATGAATTCCCTAACTGAGCAACTCTGAGCTTGTTCATCCACCCACACGTAATGACTTTTGAGTTTAAACGTTCATTTTAGAGTTGATATTATGTTTATGTTTACCACAAACTGACAGACTCAATATAAAGTTCAGGTCAGACCTTATTGTGCAAATTATGGAATCAGGAAAAGGCCCCCTTTATTCAGGTCAAGTTTTCTATTACTTAATGATGTATCCACATCAATGCTTTGACTAATCCACTCTTTGAAGAAAACTGAGACATAACCACTATGATCTAAGACAAATCATTATAAAATAACAACGCTCTTCTCATTTAATAAAACGGCATCTTTTAAACTCGTTTAATACTTTGCTATTGCAATGGATAAATCACTTAAATACTTTTCTATTCTACATTGAAACATCCGCTATCTTCGTTAAGTTACTGCACACCACCTTGGATCGCTCAGTTTATATCGTGAAAGGGTTGTATAAGTTCTCAGGTATAACTTATAGTAAGTTTTGGTAGATCAAAAAAAGGCCTCGTTTATTTATTCAGATCTAGTTCCTTTATACTAAAATTAGAATAAATTTGAATAAATATAATCTCTGGGAACACACATGCTCGACCCGCACTAGCTTTTCCGAGTCAATAAATAACGTGACGGACTTACAATTACTACGGCTACGTCATTTATATTTAATTTGATCAAAATATCAGCTGATTTGGCCGAGTTGGTCTAAGGCGCCGCACTCAAGTTGCGGTCTCGCAAGAGGCGTGAGTTCGAATCTCACAGTCAGCAATATTTTTTAGTCTCATCTCACATATGTGAGACGTTTCTGTATCGGTTTTGTCTTTTTCTCTCTTCAACCAAAATCATTTAAGTTAGTCGTCGCGTACTGAGTGAACGTGAAAGTAAGATAATTTTTAGAATAAACACAACGTCTTTTAGAGGGAGAATAAAAAGAGTATTCTCTATTCATTCAGAGACGTTATTTTTCTATAATTTTTGGCTACAATATAGTTCTTCTTATTCAAATGAAAATATAGACTTTAATACTGTGTAAATAAACCATCACATGTGTTGTTCCTTTGCTCTTTAGGGAATTCAAGCGAATGATAATGAGCAGAATTGCACAAATATAGTCATTTCACAAAAGATTCAATATCATTTATTTGTTAGACATAAGCAGAACACTTGAATATTGAATGTTCTAACCAAAACTGGCAGTTGTATACCCTAACAGATGACAATTAATAATGATCAAAAGATGAAGTCGAAGACCAATCAGCTACAAAACTTACTTCTTCATGACATTCCAGTTCAATTTCTTTTACGTATGTTTTGCCCATTAATGCCGCAGATATTGCGATATAGTACGGGTTTTTGAATAGTAAGCCTTCGTAACAACTCTCTCCTTAATTTCTAAATGTTCCTGGAAGCTTTCATGGTGGTAATCTATTTATATAGTAATAAATTACCTGTTTGTAGAAGTCGATACATAACAACACTTCTACACCTGGAGTGTTAAGTAGATGTCCCTGGAGGTATGCATAAAGGTTCGGCTCAGTAGTAAGGCTTAGTTTTGGTGAGCTTCATTTGAGTACTGTTCCGAGTTATCGAGGGGCACACAGGTTGGACAGCTTTTGGACACTATTACAAAGTCATGAAGCTAGAAACTCTTGAATCAAGAGATATTTTCGGACCAGAAAACTTGCTTTGATTCTCTTACTTTCGTATTTGGATATCAACTACGGGTGGGTAGCTACGTTGACCCTCCCACACGAAATGCGAGAAAGAGAATTTCTTTCTTTTCCCAGTTGTGATTAAGTCATCTTCAACATATACAACCATCTGATCTGCTATGTAATACTTGCTGCTAGTACTTTGATATCATAATTGCTTTAATATAATTTTATTTTGCAGTTCAAAAAAGATCGGTAATGTATATAGAAAGTAGCTGTAAATTTTTGTTTTGCCTTTATTGTATCGTTATTGGTGGAAGTGTGTATATGAACGTCCTGTGGGCATGAAAGCACGTATGTGAGTGCTTTCTGTATAAATTTTCTTTATCAAATTAAAGATAATAACGGGTAGTGCTCCTCTAGTTTTACTTCGGAAACAGTTTGCAATGAAGGCTTCTCTCCGTGAATGTGGTTTCTTTCATACTGCATTTTTGACTTTAGATACAAAAAATAAATGAATGAGCATGGTTTTACTATACAATAACTATACACATAATCTCAATTTAGAGGTTCAAACGTCATTAACTATATACGTAAACATAAATAAGACTAATTGATACACAGGAGTTAGTCTTCCGAAGTGATCGTCACGGTTGGTACATTGACAGCAACATCAGATGAAGACTTATCTGAGCCAATCACTGTACTGGGAATTGATCCATCAGTTGTAGCAAATGGCTGTTCTGTCCTGCTGTTTTTATCACCATCAATATCTGAACAAAGGTGCGATGGGTCACTGGTTATAATGGTTTGGGTATATGTGTGAAGCGCGGCTTCAAGTTCTTCTTTTCTAACGGGCTTACTGACATAGCCATTCATTCCTGCATCTAAGCACTTTTCGCGGTCCCCGGGCATGACGCAAGCAGTCATTGCAATAATATAAGGGTTGACATTCGACACAGATAATTCTTCACGGATCTTTGTGGCAGCTTCCAGCCCGTTCATTTCAGGCATCCAAACATCCATAAAGATGAGTTCGACAGGCTCACCTGCTTCTTTGGCACTGAGGACAATATCACATGCTTCCCTTCCGTTCTGTGCAATTCGTGGCTGCAATCCCATTCGAGTCAACATACGCGATAATACTTTTTGATTGATGGGATTGTCATCGACTAATAGTGAGCGAACACCTGCTAAGAAGTCAGCAAGTGGTCGACCTGATGATGTACTAGAGAAGCTGTTCGCGCGTTGTTCCGCTGGCGATGAAGCATCTATCACTGTAAGTGACGGTCGTGTGGCTTTTAGTAACTTAGAATCAGCATTAGCATCCAATGAAGCAGATGCATCTGAGCGATTACTGGTTAAGCGATGTAAGGCTGACAAAAGCTTTGAGTTTTTGAACGGCTTATAGACGGTGTACGAGTTGTCATCCACTTCGTCAAATGGATTCGAAGCCTCCTCCTGCGGCGTTGAGGTAGTATCACTTGAGCGAGAGGATGCATCTACTTGTTGACCGATGGTAGAAGGCGGTATTTCCAGCTTAGTGGTTCGTTTCAAACGGAAGTCATTTATACATAAGGTAGGAAGTTTGTACAAGAATGGATACTTCAAACGTAAGTCCTTCAAAACAACTTCGCCAGAAGTAGGTTGAGCACCAAAATTTTCAATAACATTAATATCCACATCGATAATTAGTAACGAATGCTGAATGATGTTGAGATGCCGTGATAGGCTATTGAAGTAAATACATGCTTGTTTGTAGTCCATCACTCTTGTTCCAGTAATGCAAAAGCTCGACAAAACGCTGTACCAAGCTTTTTTCGAGCTGTCTTTTTCTGTAATAACAATAGGATTGCGGCAATTTCTCGCTAACTCTTCCAAATGGTTGTAATCACTATAAGTAGGACTATCTTTCTGTTTTTGAAGCATTGCTTTAAAGTAAAAAGTGGAACCCTTTCCATACTCTGATTTAACCCACTGCATCAATTCAATAATAGTCAATTAATATCTCTTTACAATTGAACCAAGCACAACAGAAAAAAAAAAAGCCTACCATTTCACCTCCCATCATTCGACAGAGTTGACGACTAATAGCTAAACCGAGGCCAGTTCCTCCAAAGTTACGAGTTGTCGAGGCATCCACTTGTGAGAAGGATTGGAAAAGCTTACTCGATTTGTCTCTAGGAATACCAATACCGGTATCTTTTACAGATACCAACAATGGTACAGCATCATCTTCACGATTCTCATCCTCTGGTCGAAGTAAAGGCATTGAGTCTGGTGTTCCTGGTGCTGCGTCTTCATTTTCGTAATTGGTCACTTCGGAAAGATCGCTTATTTCACAAAGTAATGGATGCTCACGGTAAAGTTGTACATGTACGCAAACGTAACCCGTTTTGGTGAATTTAAATGCATTTGATAAGAGATTCAATATGACTTGACGTAGACGAACCAGATCGCCAAAGATGCGAATAGGTATGTTTGGATCAATTTCATACCACAAGGTCAAATCTTTGTCTAGATAATTCGGTGCAACAAGTTTAACAGCACTTTCGATTACAAAAGTCTGTAATTGTACCAAAAGTATAAGGGAGTCAACGTCTGTCTTTCCAAATCCTTCTCTATGGTAAGGAAAACTTACCAGATTCAGTAAACGCCTTTCTAGAGAGAGCTTTCCTGATTCAATCTTTGAATAGTCCAGAATATCATCAATGATAGCCATTAAATGATTGCCTATGAATTGACAGCCAATATGAGACTTGTAATAAATAAACATAGTGTAGAAAAACTTTCATTACCTGACGATTCGATTGTTTCAGCACACTCGTACAACTCAGGAGGCAAATCGCTTTCCATCAATATACGAGACATACCAATGACAGCATTCATAGGTGTACGAATTTCTACAAAGAATAAAGCGAGGGAGTTAGCTATATGAACCGTCCCTAACAATTTCGTTTGCTTTTTCTTTCATTACCATGTGACATGTTGGCCAAAAAGTTCTGTTTCGCTGCAGCTGCAGCTTCCGCGACTTCCTTAGCGGCCTTGAGGTCTAATAGAATAATTAAATAAGTCAAGAGATGTCCCATAACATCGAAAAAGCAACTACGACGTAATACCTTTTAGTAAAGTTTGGGTTCGACCTCTTTCTTCTTCGAGTTCTAGTGTTCGTTGCTGAAGATTTGCCGTACGCTTCCGAACCAAATTTTCCATGTCATTTGCATATTTCTCAAGCTATTGTTGATTAAAAGTTTCTCGATTAGCATTACTTTCTCGTCTTTTTCAAACTCATAGAATTATCTTACCAGGGTAGCCAAATTTTCGACAACATTGTCTGATTCTGCCAAGTACGGATCAATAGACTTCATTTGATTCTGTTGTAACAAAAATAAGAAGAAGTGGTTCAGTCATCAACAATAATGTTAGATGTTAAGATATAATTTGCTTCCTGCTTTACTCTCATATTGGCACATGTAGGTCGGCAATTGGGATCCGGGTGCAAACAATCACTTATCAGCGTATTGATCTTATCAGCATACTCATCTTCTCCGTCAGCATACATCGTTACTCTCAGGTCTCCATCACGAACATGAGTAAAGATATTCTCATACGACATGCCTTGGCGAATCAACTTCTGATATGGTTTTTCTCTAGTCAAGATTTCATTCATGATGATGCCCACACTGTAGATATCAGCACGTTTTGATGGTGTCACCACATACAATCCAATCGAGGTAAAGGCTACTGTTTCAGGGGCTGCCCATAGAAGTTGTTCAGCGTTTGTCAATATGCGTACCTCATCTTTGAAGAAGTCTTTGCATTCCACATGAGAGTTCTTTCGAAGAGCAGTTATAACAGTTGGATCAATTTGAGTTCTGTGAACCCTTTTCAAACCATAATCGGTTATTTTCAACTCCCATTTGCCCGTGATGAGACAGGAAGTGGACGTTAGACATCCATGATAAATAAATCGCGAACGTTGTAAAAATTCTAAGCCTTAAAGTACGATTGTAGTTGATAAAGGAGTAATTAGTACCTTGAACGAATATACAGTGAAAAGCAAGAACATTGATTCCTTACCCTCCAAAAGATCATTAATGAGCGAAAATCGAAAGATCCATGCTAAATCAATATCAGGATTAGCCAGGATATCAGCCAGAGTACCTTTGGCGCAGAATTCTAGAGGAGAAATACATGTTTCACGTAACAAATAAGATACTGTTCCATCATGGTGTAGCTATTCTTACATTGGTATTACCTTCAACAACATAGGTAGCATGTGGTTCAATACATAAACCAATGAATTCGACTAATTTAGCATGTCTTGCGCATTTCATTAAGGCAACTTCCTGTCTTATGGAATCGTCAACTTTCAGTTTTCGAAACCCAATTTGCTTAATTTGTACTGGTAAGTTATTACTAAATAGAAGGTAGTATCAAATAGCATACATATATACATATAAGTAGATGCACAGCGGGTTAAGAATTTCAATTTAACTTACTGGTGACCAACGGTATACTCTAAGGTGTAATTGAGTTTTTCTGGTTGTTCTGTGGAGGAGCGTATACTGCTATAATCGGATATAGATGCGTTTCAAGTTAATCTACTCATTCTTCCTCTTCTCTGAACTTTTAATGAAAGAAATTTACCTGGTTGATTTAGCTAGTTCATTGTTAGCTGCAAGTCCAGATTCTAATAGACCAGGTTGTTGTAGTGGCTGTTGATGCTGCTGGGCCGAATGGGGTGTCAGAGGACTCAGATAGTCAGGCACAACATATCGAGTATACACGCCTTCTGTAGGAGAGATACTCCGGTGATCATCATCTAAAAGAGGAGCATCCACAGATGAAGAAGGTTGCGAAGGTAAATGAGGTAAAAATGGCCTTGTCAATTTTTTATATGACAATAACCAAGCTTCATCGCTAATATTCGTGGCCGATCGTCTTTTTCTATAAAGCAACCATAAAAACAAACCAAAAATAGAACAAACGGCCGCAATACCGATGGGAAGAAAGATAGACAGATAGAGCCTCTTCTTTGATTCCGCCTGAGCATTAAAGTATTGCATACAAAAGTCGTTATGACTGCTATTAAAATCGTTAGAAATACATGGTAGACAAGTGGAAGATCCGGGAGGAGCATAAGTGCCTGATTGGCAGGGTGTACATCCTGGCATATCTGGAAGTTCACTGTATGTGTTAATTGGGCATTCAGCGCAACGAACGGAGCGAATGGTACGTGCAGCTTCGTCTTCACAAAAGTAACTCTGTGCTAATTCATAATAGTAAGTTCCTGCAGGGCATATGAGGTCCACTTCGGGTGTTGCAAAATTCGTCAGCTTCCAAGGTTGGTGGATGGTTAATGACTTTGATAACAGGATATCTAAAACAGATATGAATCCCATGGCGAATGTATTCAAGTGCCAAAAAGTGTGCACTCTTTTTTCGAAAAAAGCCGTAATTTGGTCATAAAGGTCTGCTGAGGTATAGATTGCAGTTGAGTTGTTCATATATCCTTTTACCATACGCTGAGAATAGAACGAGCAGAGTAAGATTAGATTCTGTTTGATTGAAATGGCTACATTCGAACAGGTGAGACTTACAGCGTTGATAATGTTGAAGGTATATTCTGACATGGTAACAAAACTACTTGCAGTGTTGTTTTCATTCTTCAATGCGCCTAGTATAGTAGCCATGTCATAATCCATGGATGGGTCTGTTGATATATTCAGCTTGTAAATGGGATAGGTTTGAATAGAAATATTCCTTGATTGTGCAATTGATCGAAGCTGTTGATAGAATAAATCACAAAACTGACTTTCTTTCCAAGGTGTTAATTCAGAAACACATAACGGTCGAGTGGAGTCATCTACCAGGACCTTTTCAGCGACACTCTTAGCTAACTCATTTGTGTCAAGTGAAAGACTATGTAGTGAACTAAGAAAAGCAAGAAAAAAAAAAAAAAAAAAAAAAAAAACCAAAAAATTCAAGAAATGTTAGGTGTATCGACATTATCTATACTAATGTTTGTTTACAATTTACCGTGTTATTATGAAATCCAAAGGCTCATAGAAGTTGCCTAACGTAACCATCGGAATATCCGTGTTGTTGACTTTCGTAAGAGCATAACTAAGAACATCGGGATTGCTTGTTTGAATGAGAAAACCAGCAACTTGCTTTTCTACATAATGATCGATTTCCCTCTTCAATTGCAAACTAACGCCTTTAACAATAATAATTTTTCCAAAAAGAGAAAAAGAAAGAGGAGTCAGTTGATAATGATCAGTGAGGATCTGCAGGAGAAATTTCTTTTGTACTACCAAGCGGTCCACTCTATTGTGATACAGAAAGATTATAACAAACAAAGTTAGTATATTATTTCTCACTTTTCTAATTTTCAGATTCCGCGCGTATACCTCAACAACATTCCAGACATGCCAGTTTAATCGAGTAGCAAGTTCACGAAAACCCGCAAGAATAGCACCATTATAGGAGTCGCCCTCTGAATTGGGTACGATTGCCCCCACTTTAGCATCTTTTTCTTTCAGTGGGATAAGGGTCGTTTGCTCGTTTTGCTTAACTAAGGGCCATGTGTCATTGGTAACCCAAATCGGGCCTGTGTCGATCGTTTGATTTTTAAATACGTCAAATCCAGTAATAATCTGGATCAGTGTAGATGATATGACTGTCAGTAAGGGTTTTGAATCCGCAATATACAAACAAAAGAGAGCAAGACTCACTCTTAAATACATGATAAAAACAGGTAAGGCGGCTTGAAAGTACGGCAATTGAGAGATTCCAAAAACATCTTTATGTTCTGCAATCAAGGTCGGCATGCTCATATCACTGGTATCAAAAAAAGCAACACCTAGCTTTCTGTTGGTATTGTTACGCAGCACACTTAAAGCTGCAGTGCTAACTATACTTGTGCCTTGCTATCATACAAAAAGGAAGTCAAGAAAAAAGTGCATTAACATGAAGTCATAAAATCCTTAAATTCGCTTAAAACATACAGATCCTCCTAACGAAATAACAGAATCGTACTGCGTATTCTTTATCAAATGATCTGTGAGTGTGTTAATCGATTGAATTGTATCGTTCTCGTCCGAAATCACAAGCAAGTCAGGCTGTTTGCCAAATACGTCCCCAATACCAAGAAGACGAGAGCCAAAGGTAACATCATCTATGGTGGATATCTGAATGACAAGTGGATTGGTATAACCTCTGCGCAAAAGCTCTCTGGCTATTTCATAACCAGAATCTCTGTTTCGCAAGAGAATTCTGGTGAGCCCTAACTGTTCGGCATATTCTAAGCCGGCACTATAAACGAGTACGGGTATATTCTTTGAAATAGCATATTTCACTGCCTCTAACACTTCCTGATTGGGAATAGTAACAATGATACCGTCTACTTTCTAGATTTGTGTTATTCCATTCCAACACAAGAAAGATGAGAAAAAAGATTGAACGTTAGGAAGCAAATCAGCCAATATCTTTTTTTCTTTTTTTTTTATGAAAATATCATACATCATTCACTGCATCATAAATATCTGATTTCATCTTTGAAGCTGAATTAATAAAATGACTATTCCATTCTAATTGTACATCGAGTATGGTAGCAGCATCTCTAGCGCCTTGTTCTGGATTCTGGGTGAATGTATTGATAGCAGAATCATGTGAAATGACAGCTATTCTAGGTCGAATATTAGCGTTGTAATTCGGGTTCTTTGAACATTCAGGTACTTTTGATTTCTTATTGCTGTAGTCAAGCTGAAATGATGTCTCTGTGAAAGCAATCAAAGCCAGTAATAGAGTGAACAGAAACTTTTTCATATTAGCGGCATGGTTTTCCTATTTATTGTTCTGCGTTGTTATGTGTTGGATTTGACAAAGTTGTATCTGATACTAGAAAAAATTATCGAGAAGAAAAAAAAGTTGAAAGACAAGAGACAACAACGAAACCACTAGGAGCCGAAAGAAACAGAAAACGGTATTTTTTTATAAGGATTAGTGTAGGTTTCAAATTTCGGAATGTAGAAGAATTCAACAGAGAAAAGAACTTTTCTATAGATATAATTGACACTGAAATAAGGATAAAAGGTTCTCAAAATAACGAGTATTATTTTCAGTTGGCCAGCAGAGCAGTAGAGTCAATATTTAAAATAGTGATTTTATTGATGAAAGAACTATGAATTATGTTAAATACAATTAAATGTCAATGTGCAAGACCCGTCAGGGCATATTGAAAAAGAAATTCAAAAACAAAGTCGAAAGCTACGTTGGAGAGAAATAAGCAGTCATAACATATAGAAAAGTAAGGTCGTAGAAAATAGGCATAAATGTTAAGAAAACGAAGAATTGAATAGCCATAGAGAATAATAAGTTATAAAGCAGTAAAAAGTCCGATGGAGTGCACAGTTGATATAGGGGGAAAAAGCACCGAGAATTGATGAGCATCGAGGGATCAACCAATGCTGATATGCTGCAATTTAGCAATGGGAATTCGTGAAAAAATAGTTTTTTTTTTTTTTTTTTTTTTTTTTTTTGTTGGTTTTTTTTTTGATTTTTTTTTTTGATTTTTTTCTGATCATTCTATTTTTTTTTATTTTTAGGGATGCTGACGTTGTTGCAGCAGCTGTTGTGGCTGGTATTGCTTCTTTCTGATAAGACCACTGTTACCAATTTTCAAAGATCGACTTTCACATTCTTTCCAATTTCTATTGCCAATATCACGAGCCACTGCTTTCCAAGCTTGCTTGAACAAACGTGAGTTCTTTTTGATAGCTAGTAACAAAAGACGGTCTTCAGATTCTGTCCATTCTTTACGTTCTAACGCCTTTGAGCGCAAGGTCTTGAAACGCCCCCAGCAGCAGCCACGAGAGCGATGTGGTAAGTAAATAGTAGAAATCATTGCCCAAGATAGGCCTTGAGAGTAACCTTGCTGCAATAACTGATCTTCTTCTACAGACCATGGTGTCCTAGTTTGAGTTGAAGAAGAGACACGGCTATAATTATCATGCTTATTATTGCGTTGTACGTTATGGTCAATGAGACTCATTTGTAAAGGTGTTGAGGGCCTCATATCCAATTCGGGGGATGAGGGGATCGAATAATATGCAGTAGATGCGGAGGCGGGGCTGTCTGGAGAAGATACGCATGATGCTGTGGACCAAGAGGGAGTTCTAAGGTGATTGTGACTTTTAAGACTTGCAGTGTTCTTATAGCATACTTCATCTGTATGAATGACTTGTTGAGTGCATAATAAGCTTTGAATATCCATTTTAAAATTCTAATCGACTGTAATGTAAAGTAGATAAAGAATAAGACTGATTGAGTTTATTTCAGGTACTGAGGTAGTAATGTAATAGTTGAAGGAAGGATTGTTTTCGATTTTGAAATGGCATTTATATACGTTTTCAAATAAAATGGCCCCTTCTCCTCAATATTATTCCCCGTAGACCAGTGTAGCTAAAGCAGGCTGTATAAATTCATTAGAAATTCACATTTGTCAGAAAATAAAAGGTAAAAAGGAGTAGAATATTGATTCTTATATCTCGATGAAAATACATATGACCAAGCCTGCCCAAACAGGCGAGATGTTGATAATTCATTGTTCGTAATGCTTATGAAATAGTCAGGACTGAAAACCAGGCATAATTATAAAAATAAGTATACTTCGTACATGACAGCCAGATCTACAACTACGTTTAACAGAAAAATAACAAATTCAGCGCTGAAAAACACTTTTTTAACGGACCACGTTTCCTTTTGTTACCGTTATAACTGTCTAATTATTGTTTTGATGATTGATAGACATAAGCCATAAAGTTTATCTCCTTTCGAAAGGGACTCTCTACGGTTAACATAGTAATTCTTGACACATCGCATCGAATTACTTTTCTAGGCTTTACTATATTTATACCTTTCACCGGGTTTGAAGAAATTGTTTGTTGAAAGCAATTAAAGGAGAATTTGTGATAACATCTTTTGTATTGTTATACATTAGCTGTGGCTTTTCGCTCTACTCGTACTAGAGCTGACAGTTCATTCTTACCATCTAAAAAGCGATTGCCCAACATTTACGACAGGTCAGTAGCACAAAAGAAACGTTAAAGGGAGAAGTATAATAATTTGGAAATCCAAGGGTCCTATAAGCTATGATTGGATAACATATATGAGCCAATATACGTCAATAACGCAGGGTATAGGAGGGAAAAGTTTTATTAAGTATTTTCTTTCTCACTACTGTAAAAACTGTTGACGACAGCTGTCAAATATACTTGTATGGGATATAAGCTCCTTTTAACGAAATGTTTATTTTATTTCATTTTTTCCAAGGTAAAACGTGGGCAATCCCTTGGGCGACCCTTTTGTTACAAGCTCACGCGGAATATGGTTGGAAAACGCACGCGTATATTGTGCACATGCTTTATTGCAAAACAGAAAAAAAAAAATTAAAGGAAGAAAGCGCGTTGCTCCTGAAAAGGATGGCCATGCCTCATCAAAAACAATTGTATATCATCTCAAGTCATCAGAACCCTGATATTTCGTGTCGGATCTCACTTTTCACTATACTAGAATTCATTCATTCAGCATTTCTTTGAGTGCTATTTAATGTTTAGCGTCTCATTTTTTTTTTTGTTTCGGAATTGAAGTATAGTCAGACAAGTGTTAGTGATAAAAAACAAGTGATTATACCATCAAAAAGAACCAGAAAAAATGCCCATAGCAGAATGTTTTCGTCACTAAGACCTACAACACCTCCTACTTTTTCTCTATTTTTTTATTTCTTTTTCTTTTTGTAGCCATGCTTGGAAAAGTAAGAAAAATATCCTCCATCAAATTCATTAACATTTAATTAACGACAACAGGGACCTTCGTTGACATAGACACACCAACTGCGAGCATTCAGTTTATTGAACAAAACTATAATCACAGCACGTGAGACTATCTCATCTTCAAAATCCACCCCCTTTTCCGCCAAAGGACCCTTATCAAATGACTTTCATTAAACTGGTATCGTCAACGATACAACTTGAAAGAGTACGGCTACAAAAATGCCTCTCAAACCAGGCAATTTACCGACCTGATACTACCATAAAAACCTAATTAATATCTATCATTAGGGGCATAAGCCATGGGTTGAAGGATTATATATCATGCTGCATCCCGCCATAACATAATCGGTTTTGACAGGGTGGGCCGTTTATTTGTAGAAAATAGTGTGAATTCTTAATAAAATAGATGCAAAGAATGATTATTATTAAATGCCTGGTATACGATTATAATTCGAATAAATGAAGCTCAGTTACAACTGCTAGCGTCGTGAGCGATTTGCACCAACGTACACAGGCTCGCCCGAGGGTGTAAACTGATCAATTCATCCAGTTAGTTACTCTTGAAATACTTATTAAATGCACTCAAACGAAACCGCATGACTTACTTGGAAATTAGGATCAAAAACAATGCCATTCTTGATAATCTCGTGTCGATAAAAGCCTTACAAATAGTGTGAGATAATCCACATGCAATCTTTTTGATTTTTTTTATGAAAGCTACTTACTGCTGCATTGATAGCCAACACTATTCAAATAAAACGGTGAGACAACCAGTCGCACAATCAAATAAGTTTGTAAAAATAGCTAAAATCCTTACCGATGTGGTATGTAACTTGCGAATAATCCCCACTAGAAGAAATAGAAGCCAAATGTAAGCCATGTGTGCAGGTTATTTAGTTTCCCCTACTCTAGGGAAAAACCATATTTAAAGTTCTGATGATTTACTTACCTTGTCACCGCAGCCATGCTCTTTGGCAACCTAATGCAACGGGCAAAATATCATTTTCAAATCAGCCATTGCGAGGAACTCGAGGGGTAAATCGCTTTTGGTTCTTACCTCGATGAAAAGCGCCTTTTCTTCCTCTGACCAATCATGAAACCATTGCACTTCACCGGGCTCGTTCAATCTATAAAAGTATTGATTTGGATTTTTTTTGAACATCTTCGAAGCGTCTGCCTCAATAGTTCAAATAACAAATTCTGTATAAGCCTTCTTGCTATTGACGCATATGGGGAAGTTTCTTTTCTTACTTTGGCATTGGTCGCTGATCCTCGTTTCCGCTTCTTGCCACTTCCTGTAGGATCCAAGAAGGAATACGTTCCGCCGCCATTTTTCTCCCAAGCCTCAGTGGCGGATGATTCCAATCCGTATTTCTTGACGATCACTGGATTGACCCAACCTTTGAAGTGTCCATCTGTAATGATGGCTTTTTCTCGAATTTCCTTACTAAAGTATTCTTTCGCTGTCAGTAATTTGCCTTCATCTAGAATATCTTGGTATCTTGGGTCGTTCTTTTTGTAGCACAATATAGAAGGTGTAAGCGACGTTTTCTTAACCGTTGATACAGTTGGATGCACCTTGCTCTATTTACCTTAAGCTGCTCATTTAATAGTTCAATATTGTTCTCCTTATCTATTTCAATTTCTAATGGTGCTTCTCCTCTTAATCTCGAAGATTTTCTAATACTAACTGGCTTTTCTGGTACCTTTCGTTGTTTGGCTATTGTTGTTTGGAAAAATTTAACAGCAAAGCAATATAGAGTATATACGTCAAATGATCAAACTCACACTATCATGCCGTCAACTGCATAATATATCTATATTTGTATATATATATATATATATATATACCTTTAGTAGTTGTAGTTCGTTGTCGTTTGGCGTTGGTACTGTTTTTGACTTCTTTCTCACTATTATCACGGATAAGAATAAAATTCCTGCCTTTTGATGCCTTTTTAGACTTTATTTGGTAATATGTTACCCTTCGATGGCAATTGACGTGAGCGAATCTTTTGCTGATTCAATCTCTAAAGATTGTAAAAGTGCTTTATTCCTCTCAATATTCTTGAGACGTTGTTCCTCTACATAACAGCATTAATAAAATATCTGTCGTTTAAGTGTCTCAGCTGACATTATAATCCATTTTTTTTTCTTCCATCTCTCTATTCTCTTTCTTGGCTCAGTGATTTACCATATGGTGTCAGTGATCCCGTCATTTAACGATCGTTTACCCGATAACACGTCTCTAAAAGAGAATATCAGCATAAAAAAGGGGTAAGGTTTATTCGCATTCAGCAAAATCAGTGGCTTAGATGTCCATTCTGCATTGATTTATTGGCAAAGAGGAAACATAGTTACGTTTACAAATGGAGAGGAATGATTATGATATAAAGAAAAAAGAAACGCGTACAAATATAATCTAAAAAAAGGTTAAATATAGAAAAGTCTTGTGTGTACAAGTTTACTGATAAAAAATATACTGAAAAAGTTTACTCTTCAAAGGAGTGCACTTGACCATTATGATAGCAACTAATCAAATCCACACGGAACTCGGCCAACTGGTGATAAAAAAGTTTCAAAAGATGTGCTTGATTGCTGGAAAGTGTTTCTCCTTCCATACAAACGGTATAGGGTACCAGTAAGGTAACAATACCATTCTTCAATACTGTGGGCATGCCCAATTGTCTTAATAAAGGCTCCATATTGTGAGGCATAGGATCCACTCCGCGTTTAACGGGTCCTTCAGGAATAGTGATAGTTTCTGTAGCAATCGCTCCAGAACGTGCATAATCAGGTCGAACAAACTCGTCAAAGTAATTCTTTACTTCCTCTGGTGTTTTGTTGGTGAATAATAGGCCTACTTCACTATTTAAATCCTAAACAATTAAAATGAAGATGTTTGTTCATATACTTTGCTTGGCGGATAGTGTTGTTTTATTGTATGGGCTTTTACCTTGGCAATGGCAGATAATCCTTCTTTATATTCTTCTTCAGCACTAGTACCGAGTGCTTTTGCCATCACTCGATTCTTACCAAAGAAAAACCGTGAATCTTTAAAATCATGACGGATTTCTTTCAGATATGTATTACGCATATCCTTCACCGAGTATAAGTATAGATAATCGTATTTATCAACACATTCATGGATCTGCCAAATTAAAACAGTTAATGCCTTCTGTCAACACATCGATCTAATCAGACAAGCAAAGAAAAACTTACATCTTCCATTAATTTTTCTTTTCCTTCACGACCCTTTTTATCAGTTTTGGTCAAGGAAACTATTCAAATAAACGTTAATAACCCGGCAGGATTACATTTGAAATTATCAAATAAGACATACCAATAGTGCTACGTTTGGATTTGGGCATGGTTTTATAAAAAAATCTAAATGTTAAAGGGAGAATTTGAAGGCTTTTTTTGACATTCTGAATTTTTGACATTTTCCCTAATTTTCCAACTCGGACTGCTTTTTATCATGGTTCTCTCCAAACATTTCTGGACTGCATAAATAGATGTTTACTCTATTGAGTATCATACCTTTAGAAGAGAATCTCAAGGGATATAGTTGGTTCTCAACGACAACTTGCTTGCACGAGCGATCTTAATTTTTTTTTCTTAGAGTTAGAAATGAAGACAGCTGGAACAGAGGTGAAATGTTTTCTAAATTTCGAGTCGCTCTCTTGATAAGGCACATAAGGCTTACCTAACCTTTGTTGATAACAGGAAGCTATTTATTTTAAACAGATTTGGTAGCCTATTTGTTTTTGAACGTGTTTTCTGCACAAGAAGCATTATAAAACTGATACCCTTTATTGAGAAATACAAAATTGACATAAAAGATAGAAGAATGTGCAATTGTAAAGAACCTGTTTTCAAAAGGTGAAAACACAATCTGTTCACAACTGCTTAAGGGAGGGTCTAGCGATAAGGTGATTCCATTTCTAATCAAATTGTATTTGAACGTTTGCTTGCCGACTTACTTCCTACGGGAAGGGATAGTCGCGAGCCAAGCGGTTGACTTTTTTCATAAAGGCGTTATCATTGCACTAAGATTGAAAGATCTCTAGAATTATGCTGATTTGATATTCCGTTGACTATGGAAGAAGATTAGAGAAGAAGACCAAAACGAGCTCTTTATTTGTTAATGATAGACTATGCAAAATAAGTTAGCTAAAATAGTGAGTTTTTACGTGTTCATAAAATTGGGTAACAGTATTGTTGGTTATATTTGGGACGATGAGAGGTTTTTTGTTCAGACAATCTAAGCTTCAGTTTCATCATTCACCTCTATATTTCTTTTTTTCAAAACAAGTTCTTTTCCAGTCATACGCTTGTAGATACTCTTAACATCATCACAGACAGATTCGAAATGTGAGGTCGCATCATAGGACTTGGAGACAAAGACGTGATCTGCTGTACCATCAGCAAGAGGCTCATCAATGGTGGACACAGACACAAATTTGTCATAGACGTCTCCTAATAGATCTAAGCCTGCTTTGATTTCACTTTCAGGCTCTTCTACATTCTCTTCGACAATGGTTGAAACAATAGCCAAGTACATATCCTTTGGACAAACAGCATGCGTGCTTGAAACACATGCAACATAGACATCGTGCTTGCGGCCTATTTCATTCTGTGGAAGCACAATTTGAACAGAATCGGCGTCGGAGGTGTTAGGAATAGGTTCCTTTAAGAAACAAATGGCACGAACAACGTGGCCGACGGATTTCACTTTGTCTTTAGCATAAGAAGGGTCACAAATGATTTGTTTAGCTTTGGCTGTTTCTGTTCCAGAGCGTATACCAATAGCAACACCATTAGCATCATAAAGAATTTCATCAGCAGCTTTATCAAGCATATAAGTTCCGCCATAAATAGCACTCAATCTATAATATATGTTTATGTGGTTAAGGAGGCAAGAAAGAGGGTAATGAGAAGAATATTCGAATTATAGGGGATTTGTCTTAAAGCAAACAAACTCCTTCCTTGTGATCCTGTTTTACTATTCTTCATCAACCACTAAACCCATCCACAACTCTGTTTTTCAATGTCCGTACATGTGTATACTTTACCTAGCGAAAGATTGAGGAAGCTCACCTAAACCGTGGAGGGGGTAGATATAAGGGCTCTTACCATAACGAGCCATAGAGGCGACATAAAGAATAATTTTATCAACAGTTTCACGGGCTGCTTTTTGAAGATATTGATCATCCAAATGAAGCGCCATAGCATGTCCTTATTAGAGCGAAGACAAATGGAACGAGATAGAAAAACGTTAGTAAGTTTGCTTCCCGCTTTTCTTATCGTATGATTTACCCAATCTTACCAATGAAATCTTGGGTTGCAGGTTCTAATCCGAATTTTTGATATACCTCCATCATGGTGTTATCATCCAGATTTAAACCTTTGTGTAATCAATAACAACTTGCGTTAATTAGATCAGATGGATCAATATTACTGTTGTCCGTCTATTTTGTTAGAATTACCCTTGTGAGTGGATTCATCGTCATCCTTCCAGTTTTGAATAAATTCAAAAAACTTTTGCAAACGACGTTTTTCAGCAATGCCCAGCAAGGACGTAGAGATAGCTTCTGTTTCACTAGCGGGCACTTTACAAATCTTTCCATCCTTGTAAACAAAGGAACCAGCAATTTGCTTGAATTCGAGATAGCGGGTGACATCAGTATGGGTCAAGAAACGGACAATCTCACCATTAGCCATCATAAATTTGGGAATAAGGTCGATATTGTAGTCTCGATCGCGTCCCAATTCAGAGGGCACCTCAGTATGAGGCCTAAACTTTCTGTAAAGCTATTGCATCTCATCAATAATTTGATCTAACCCGTCAAAAATAGTGCGTGTGTAGTGTTTGTACCTGAGTAAGATTCAATGATGCTGATTCAGCGCCGTAATAATCATTGCGATCCATGTGCAGTACTTTCTTCCCTTCAACAGAAAAGATACCGGACAATATACATTCAGTCAAACCTGTACCAAGGACAATGATATCGTAGTTGTCATTCTGTATATATATATGCGTGTTAGTTCGTCTTCTCTGTACATAGCAGAAATCATAGTTTTTTTTGTGTTTTTGAAGCGAACCATTACCATTTTGTTAAAAGCTCTTTAACCTGTGTAGAAATATAGAACAAATTAAAAAAGAAGAAAGGAAGAAGCAAAATAGCAAGAACTAATTTTTTAAGTTTAAAACTTTATATTGATGCCTCCTTCCTCTTTTTTTTTTTTTTTTTCTTGTCGAATTCGTATGCCCATGAGTTGAAAATCGTGTTACTCGTTGAAAGCTTTCCAAACTAGGGATCTGAAAATTAGAGAGCTTCTCTGAAGAAGGAGTTCGGGCTCAAGCCAAAATTAAATTCTACGTTGGTCCAATTAGAAGCTTGCCCTTCTCGGCATTTAGTATCCAAAGCAACGTGTGGAGTGTACGACATTAGCAATATATACGGGTAAGCAATCAATTACAAAAAGCTTCCAAAAGCAGGTAATGTGCACTCATTTATTTACCCCATTATGTGCTCCAATATCACTCCAGCGTATGCTACCGACATAATGATATTTTTATGTTCCTTATAGCATTGTCGACGCTGTCAATCGGAGCACACATAGTTGGCAATACTTTTACACAAAAATGTACAACTAAGTTTGTCTGTTACAGTGTAACATGAGCCATGGGTAGAGAAAAGATATGCATGAAATAGTATGAGTTACTGACAGTTAAATGCGATACATAGAGTAGCATAACTTGAAGAGCCTTAGTAAAACCGATGAACAGTCATTAAAGACCCACTTGATGAGCATGTAAGACTATGTATTGGTATACCTTTTACAGACGGAATAGCAGATTCTTAACTTTCCTTATCCTAAGATTCAAATGACTTTAATCCATTCTTAGTGAAAATTCATTTAAATCATTAAAGTGATTCACAAAGCTTATAATAGTTGCAGTAGTATAAATTATCACTCATAATAAGAGTTTGTTACTTTTTTTTACGAAATCGGGCTTTGGCAGCGAATTATGCATGATAACAGATTCATACTTTCACCGCTTCAAACACTTATCTGACAGTTCATTAAAGTTATGTGACTACTCCCTAATGCGCTTAAAACCCATCCGACAAGGACGAGGAATACAAGGAAAGTAGTTATTCGAGTTCAATCTCAAAAATAATCATTGCCCATTGACTGCATAAAGCTCTCCGTTAAGAACTGCTGTCCCTTTTTTGAAAATTTGATCCGTCAGAATGACTATGTTCACATTTAAAGTAATCGCGTCAAATTCTATACTGCAACTACATAAATTGCTTTAGAATATCGATCAACTGAGAATGCCAATGAAACAATTAGACCAATGTAAGAAGAAGATACAGAGGGTGTGCAACAAAAAGCACGTTTTTAAATAAAACTGTGGACCGAAATAGTATCGGCATAGATAAAGTGTTAAAAGTACTTGGTAGCTAAATAATTAACGATTACAAACACATTTATTTGATAATACATAGTAACAGGGAGTAACTTAAGGGGAGAAAGTAGATTTATAACTGCTTATTGTTGGCGATGAACTTTGCCGTTAGGAAAGCTGTAATCTTCAATAGAATCCCGCTTCATTTCGATAGAATATCCGGGCGCAAGAGGAGCAGTATATCGACCATTCTTCATAATAACAGGGTGGATAAAGTGTTCATGCAAATGATCTACATATTCTAAAGCACGACCTTCGGTGGTACCAGTGACACAGATATAATCAATTAAAGATAGATGCTGAACATATTCACACAAACCAACACCGCCTATACAATACATGAAAAAAAAAAAGAGAAAAAGATCTCAGTACTTGATATTTTTTGAAGTATGTATTTTCATACCTACCTGCGTGTGGCCAAACAGGTATATTATATTTCTTTGCCATCAAAAGTATAGCAAGAATTTCATTAACACCAGCAACACGACAAGAATCGATTTGACAAAAATCAATAGCTTCCGCCTGAAACAATTGTTTGAAAATTACACGATTTTGAATATGCTCACCCGTGGCTACCTTGGTATAGGGAAAGAGCGCCTTACGAATAGCCGCATGACCAAGCACATCGTCTGGAGAAGTAGGTTCTTCAATGAATAAAGGTTTGAAGGGCAGTAAATCTTGCATCCAATCAATTGCTTCTTGAACATCCCAGACTTGATTTGCGTCCATCATTAAAGTGCCTTTTTCACCAAATTCATCACGAATAAGAGAGGCGCGACGCACATCAGCAGCTTTATCTCTACCTACCTTTTGCTTAAAGATAGTAAAGCCTTCAGCCCTAGCTTCACGAATAAGTCTGCGAACTTTCTCATCACTGTAGCCTATCCTTGAGAATATAGATATGAACAGACTTCATGTTAAAAAGGACTTTTTTTTTTTTTTTTTTTTTTTTTCCCGCGTCTGTCAGATTACCTAACCACCCTGCAGAGGTCGTATAACTTGGATAACCATTGACAAGTACGTTGGATTCGTATTCCGCTTTATGAGGGACATTGACACGCAGCATCTCAATTGCTTCTTCCGGTGTGATGACATCAGTAATATAACGAAAATCAATACACTGCACAAATTCTTCAGGTGTCATATCCACCACTAACTTCCACACAGGCTTCTTTACGGCCTTTGCCCATAAATCCCAAATGGCGTTAATGACAGCACCCGTTGCCAAATGGACCACACCCTTTTCAGGACCAATCCAACGTAACTGAGAATCGCCCGTACAAATACGATGAGTTGAACGCATATCGGATACTAGTTCTCGCAACGATTTATTGATAAACTTGACAGCGAGTTGCTTTATACAGCAGCAGACGGTTTCATTGCCACGGCCGCAAGTGAAAGTCATACCATGTCCTTCCAACGACGGTTCTTCGGCGTCCGTATAAAAGACAATATAGGCGGCAGAATAGTCAGGATCTTTGTTCATAGCATCCGAGCCGTCCAAATGCTGAGAAGTAGGAAAGCGGATATCCCTGACTTCATATCTAGTGATTACAACGTCAAGCATTTCTTTAAAGGTCATTGTAGTCTGGAATGGGACAGTAGGGACAAAACCGATTTTTGAAGTGATTTAGTAGGTTGATTAAAAATAAGGAAGAGCCTGTGAACTTATAAAGCTAACAAATTTGTCTGTTCATTTTTATACACATTTGAGAAAAAAAAAAAACTTGATTATTGAGAGGCTACCAGTTTATTTTTTAATGCAGCATCGTCTGTTGTGATTTGATAGGCTACGGGGAAAAGGAACATTTATTTCTTTATGAGCTTTTTTGCTCTCCTGTTTTCTCATTAGCGTTCAAGCGGTGTATAATGTCTTTTCCTAGTGTATATACTATAGCAGAAGGTATAACGATCCATATACCATTAGGGATCTATCATAGCCATACGGATAGCAACATTCATATATGAGGATACCAGAAAAAGGAATAAGAAATTGTCTTGTCATTTGATTCAGGCAACCTTTCTTTTTTTTTTTTTTGTACTTACAATCCATAAGAACACGAGATCTTTTAAACTGTTGTGACCAATATGCTGAAACCCCGAAAAAGGTTCAATCAGCCAGTAGAGGACAGTCTTTGAAAGCGTCATCAATGCAGCTGAGAATCCAACCAGATTGGCTTGACCAACACTCACATTTTCACTGCTCAGTAGCCTTAAGAAAAGAAGATTTAGTGCGGTTTCGATGACATTCATGACAGCTGTAGAGTATTGAAAATATGATAGCTTTCAGTATGATTACAGAACTCTATATTTCATTCCTATTTTATTTTTCATTTCGTTCTTACCTTGAGCACCTGTGAAGCCATCTTGTAATTCAAAGGCATGTAAACCGTAAAAATGATCAATCTTTCAGGGCAATAGGAGATACGTATTAGACTCCGAAACAACCGTAGAAAGACAAATTCATATTTTACCTTGGCATACAAATTATAAGGTTTCCAAAGAAAGTTTAAAGAGCCTCCTTCCATGCTATGAGGTCTTTTTCAATAACAAATGGCTTTTAATTCAGCCTATGCTTCACTATTACGAATAACAACCGCTATAAACCAGCTGCTCTTCTAATTACCTGAGTAAACAATAGCCAAAATCCTACATTTTATTTGTTCGGAAAAGATTAACAAAAAGGCTCATTCACAATCAACAATCTCAGCTTGAAGTACCCAAGTGACAATGATGGAGCTGATCAAGGCCCAAGCTTTTATCCATGCTGGCACTTGCGAAGCTTTATTAAGCTGTTTTACACTCTTTAGCATTGTCCACAGTTATTATGTAAGAATCTAAAGGGGCAAAAAAAAGGGGAATTAAAAAAAATCAAAGAAAAAGAGGCCGACTGATTTTATTAAAGCAAATGATGCTCGGGATTGTTTGATTCGATATGCTTGGTAACAAATGTGAGAAGGATGGCCCGAACAGAGCAAAAATGAAATTCTTGCCCAGTTCGTTAATTCTCTTCCATTGTCTTCATCGATCTTGGCCCTACTGCTACTCATTCAAACATTTCCTTAAGAGCTTTTTCTATATACAGTAAACTCTATGAGCGAATTGGCCGCGGCTGAATTAAGGAAAAAGAAGGCATCGAATAATAGGCTGCATTAAAGAACCAAAAGGAGACGAGAATGTTGATGTACGAGTTCGATTGCAGAAACTATAGCCAAAAGTCTTACAAAAATGAAGTCCCCCCCCCCTTCTCTGACAGCATGAATGAATTGCAACCAAGGATTTTTGCAAGAAGAACAAATCCGTGATAGCTCAATGAGCAATGTTTCAGGCAATACCCAGAGTGTAATGTCCCGTTACTGAGTCCACTTCTAGTTATTATTGCCACAAAACTCGGATCACTGTAAATTTGTGGATGGTGAAGTGAACATCGTTTCATTAATGAACAATAAGCGAGTACTCAAGCTGCAATTCACAATTATATGCATCTAGTTATGAATAATGCCATGCTGTGAAGCGGTAGTTACTTATGCTTGTGTAAGACGGTAGATTATTGTTTTTTCGCTGTGTTGATGTAATCGATTCTTCATAGTTGCACTACACTTCTTGATTATTCTTTTCCCTCAAATCGAAACTATGGAATTATCAACGCTTTAATTTTGATAAAAAATGCCCTCTATAATTTCATTGTCGTCAGGCAAATGCGAAAATATCGGATAATGCTGGAATATCATTATTATAAACTGTTAATTAAGCGCAGCATCTGGTATATTTAATGTGGATTCTACATTATCGGTTCCGTCGCTACATCCACAGGGATACTGTGATATGATGTCTTTACAATCGAAAATCGGTTTATGAAGCCTTTCGTTGACTTTGTTATGTATAGCACATAGCCATTCTGAGGCTGCCAATCTGGATGATGTTTGTGGCGGATAGAGTTTCAGCATGTTACTAAAATGTATAGCACTAAAATTGTTTGATAAATAGTAAATCGGCATCAGTACAGGATGACCTGAAAGAGATAATCTGGTCCTGTTTATCATTACCATTCACCACATGGATATAATCTTGAAAATAAAAACAGAAAGTCATGTAATGTTTGTCGTTGTTCTGCTGAGGGTGTTTCGGGGTATCTAGCCATCATAGTGTGAAGGAACTGGAATATGCGAAATAAGTATATGCAAAAAGGCTAAACTGAGCACTTATACCCAATAGATAACAAATAATTTACCTTCCATGTCGCTCTGCCTAATTCAGCTCTAGAATAACATATGGATGCTGAATATTTTGCAACTATTCATAGCAAGTAGTTATAATAAACTTACTTTTGTGTCTCGTTGCCCATATAACCCATGATAACTTCTTGCTGCATATCTATAGCGGATTGTTGCTGTGCTTGAGATGTGTCTGAATACAACTGTTTTGATATTATTGTAGGATGCTGTTTTACTAAATAAAGAGAGGTCATCACCAAAATGGTCAATCCAACTAATGAAGCTATCTGTAGTGGCCTCATTTCAAGCCGATCTTATTTCGACTTTTCTTCAAAAAAGGATACAGGAGAAGAAAAGAAAGTTGATTCATACGCCAACTGCAATGAAGATATCTTTACTCCACAATGTGACTTTCAATTGGCGAAAACCATCATTTAATCGTTTACCATTGTTCTTGTTTGTAACCATAGTAAGAATATTCGCTGTTTATGTATTATACCTCTTTTCATTTAATCAAATTGACTTTCGCTTCTTTGTTGTAGCGTTATTCTAAAGTAGAAAACATATATGCCTGATGTAACCATTTACTGCTAATTTGATGCAGTTCGTTAAAAAAACAAGACCCGTATTGCACTCATGCAGCAGCAAAAAAGCTAATTTCTCCGCTTGGGAGTTTCCCCTTTTTTTTCTTATTCTTCACGCCAGTTGTTTCAGTTATAAGTATACTTCAGTTTGTTAAGATGTTGGAATCACTCGTGGCCAGCATTTTAAACAGATTTCTAAAGAACTACGTCTCGAACTTGAATTATGATCAGTTGAAAATCGGCATGTGGAAGGGTATATATACTTCGCGAGCTGAAAGAGATATAAAGATCTTTGCTGAACAACATGCATAAATAGGAGAGGTTAACCTTCGTAACCTGAAGTTGAGAAAGGAAGCCCTTGATAAATTAAAACTACCAATTGATGTATCAGAAGGTATGTCGGCCACAGAGTCTTTGTAGCACCAGTACGAATCTGTAAACAAAAAATTTGATAGGACATCTGGGCGAGATAACACTTGTTATTCCTTGGTCTAATTTGAGAAACGAGCCTGTAAAAGTCATTATTGATCATGTATATCTTCTGGCCGAACCAAAAAATGAAGCAACAGTAGGTTTATTGATAACCGAGCAAAAGAAAGACAATGATCTGTCTAAATAGTACTAAACTGTACTCTCCACAGATTTCCTTAGAGGAAGAGGAAGCAAGAGCACAATATCTGAAAATGCGCCGCTTGTCAACTGCTGAAATGCTGGAATTCTCAAAAACCAAATCATCTGCAGAGCAGGAGGAATTGAATAATAAGGATGGCAATGGATTTGTAGCGCAACTGACAACCAAAATAGTAGATAATCTCCAGTTCACCATGAAAAATGTTCACTTGCGATATGAGGATAAGATTTCTGACCCTAGCGCACCTTTTGCAGCGGGTATTACACTTAAAGAGTTAAGTGCTTTATCGACGGATGAATCTTGGACACCGAAATTTATAAATGAGTCAGTTAATATAATTCATAAGGTAGATGCCACTTTGCAGTATCATATCCCCATTTTATTGCTAATTGAAGTTCAGCTAGCTACATTAGAATCATTATCAGTCTACTGGAACACAAATGCTGATTCTCTTTCGGGCATGCAGCCGGATGAAGCTGCACGTATATTCACAGAGATGGTATGAAAGAAATCTTAGTCGTTGGGTTTGTAACATACTAAAGATCTATTATATACGGGCAGATTCCCTCTACGGATAATCAAGTCAAAGAGCATCAATATATACTTAAACCGGTATCAGGAAAAACAAAGGTAAATCAGTAACAAACCGAGAAATATCTAAAACGAAGAAAAAAACTAAGTCAGTTTCATGCCCGAAGATCAAATTAAACAAAGTATACGGTGATAATATCCCAAAATTTGATATAGTTATGCTATTCGATGAGCTAGCTTTTTGTCTGGATAATCATCAATACCGTGACGCTGTTTTGATGGTTGATCTGTTTCATGCAAATTTGAAAAAGCAGAAAGTAAGTTAGTGCTTCGAGGTATCCTATATGCAGTAGAACATTTGTCTCTAAATATTTAACACTATTACTAGTATTTGAAGTTTCATCCAGGAACAGGCAAAACACCGATGTCTTATCCAAAAGAGTACTTCCAATACGCAGGAAAGGCAATTTTATCTGAAATTCACGAGAAAAAATACAAATGGAGTTGGGATCATTTTAAAACACGTAGGGATCAGCGGTATAAATATATCGAATGTTACGTTGCTGACAGAATGCAACAGGCTACATCAGATCAATTGGAAGCTCTAGCACAATTAGAGCGTGTACTCTCTTTTGAAGACATCCGTTTCTATAGAAGCATTGCAAAAACGAAACTTCGTCAAGCAAAAATCAAAACTCATATTGAAAAAGAAAAAAACAAGGCAGAGAAAGCTAAAAACAGTTGGTGGGGTTGGCTTACAGGCACTTCTACGGAAAAGCACAACGTAGAGCATATAAATAACACTGACGATCTGGGTTCTATGACGATGACAGAAGAACAAAGAAAAGAATTGTTCAATGCTATTGGTTATGATGAAGATAAAGCTCAGATAGCGGCTGCTGTGGACGTGCCTGCAAACGTAAACTTTTTATTGAATGTATACTCGCATTTTATTTGTCTTTCCGTTAACATATTTGTGCTTGTTGTTAGACTGTTAAGTTCGCATTGAAAGCAAAGCTTAAAAGAGGGTCCTTCACCCTAACTCATAATGTCAAAGAAAAAACGGAAACAGAGCTTATAGGCTTGGTTTTTGACGTTGTCAGTTTAGATGTAGTACAATATGTGAAGAGTATGAAGGTAGCTGCAACCTTAGGCGATCTCAAAATGTATGATGGTGCCACAAAGGGCACGTTATATCCACAGCTAATTGGTGTAAACAAAGGGTAAGTGGAAGACTTACGGTTGTCCAATTTCATTTTCTCTAACAATGAAATAGAGAAAGCTTACTAGACGTAAAGACGATTGCCAAGCAATCTTTAAAAAAGCAGTTCGATGAAACAAGAAATAATGAGCCGTTCTTGTCAATGGTATTTGAGAAGAAGCCATTGAATAAAACAGCCGATAACGCCTTTACTTTGAGGATGAAGCACGTAGAAATTATTTACAGCCCAGTCATTATTTCAAGCATGATGGATTTCTTCAAACCACCAGCTTCACGAATGGAAAGCGTCCACGCTTTGATTGCTGTTGCGAATAGCACCTTACAAGAATTAAGACTTCAAACTTTAGCCGGACTTGAGTATGCGTTGGAAACACATACAACTTTCGATTTGAACGTCGATATGGATGCACCTATCATCATCATTCCAGAAAAGTAGTATCGATACACTATTTTTTTGTTTAATTTGTAGGTTAACAATGTATTTGTTATTTATAGCCTAACAACTCAAAATTCAGCAGTTGTAATTCTTGACACTGGTCATATAAGTGTGGACAGTCAGCTGGCTGACATTGAAGTATTGAAGAGTATAAGAAATAAGCATATTCAGCAGTTCACAGAAAAGGACACAGCAACGCTAGAAAGCCTGATGTATGATAAATTCACACTTCAGCTTAGCCAGACAAAAGTATTGGTCGCTGCCAATACCAAAGATTGCTTATGGTCTTTGCAGAATGATACAAAACCACGCGTTGATGTTCATTTAATAGAGCGTGTTGATATGATATTCCTTGTAGAGCTTTGTATTTTGCCAGGAAAGACAGAATTCACCAAGTTCAAAATTTCCGGCCATCTACCATTGCTTACAGTCAATATTTCTGACAGTAAATACAAAACGTTTATGAAAATTCTCAACTTCGTGATTCCCAAAACTGAAGGCGAAGAAGATGGTTCGATCGCCAATAATGTTGACTCAATAGAGCCTCCATATGTCGCAAATGCTAATCTTATCAATGAGCGATTCTGGCAATCTCGAACAGATACACCATTGTTAGTGGATTATGATAGTGATATCGAGAACGAAACTGCTGATCTATCAACAGCTGCAAGCTCTACTACTTATGGTGTGAAGTCAAGCGATGTTAAGCAGTTTCAACTCACGTTCCACGTCGATGAAGTATGTGTTTTAATCAACGAGACGTCAATACACAAGCCGCTTAATGATACTACACTTTGCCGGCTTCTCTTCGAAGATTTTGAACTAATTGTTGTTACAAGAGCCAACGATCTTTCAGTCAATGCTTCTCTGAAAGCGCTCATGGTACAAGACGAATTGTCGCACGATCAGAATTTTAAATACCTAGTAACTTCAGCGCCTACAAATGGAGCAAACTGTATGTCAGAATCAGACAATCACAACTTGATAAACGTCCAATATAGGAAAGTTTCTAAGGCGCATCCTGAGTTTGATGCTTTATACGAAGGGATTGAACAGTCTGTCGTAACCACCTTATCTACCCTCACAGTTGTTTTGAGAAGCAAATCTATTTTGAGACTGTATAATTGGATAATGAATACGTTCACTTCGCCGCCTGACTCTACAATTGAGCAAACAAACGACAACCTCGCAGAGGAAAAACTTTGCGATCATGAGGAGGCCAAGTTATACCCCAATACTCAGAGTAGCATTTTTTTACGGAAAGATACAGGAAGCTCCGCGTCCGTAATCACGTCAACAAGCAGTAATGACGGCCGCATGAAAGTGATGATTCATATGGATGGAGTTTCGTTGATATTCATTAAAGGCGGTAAGAGAATTGGAACAACAACGTTAAGCACAGGTGATCTCTCAATAAAAATGGAGCCTAGCGGAATGGAAGTCAAGGGCAAATTTAGTAATCTTACCGTAAAAGATGATACTGCCACAGAAAACAACTCTGTATGGCAAGGTTATCAGAATTTTTCCTCTTCTGAACCATATTTGTTGAGACTTGTGGGTGACGATTTGGCCAATTTCACATATACTACATACGATCCGGATTCTGAAAACTTTCCTGGTTATAACCAGGGATTCAGACTAAGAATTGGTGCTATTCACTTGCTAGTTACAGACTCACTTAAATCGATATTAGACTTTTTGCAAGAATTTTTGACCATGAAATCCGTTTACGATACAGCTAGAACTGCTGCTGTGGAGCGTGTGCAACAATATCAGGGGGGTAATCGATTTCATTTTGATGTACTAGTCAATAGCCCCGTTTTGATTTTCCCTGTAAATGATACTGCAAAAAAGGGAGCCATCATCGTTAACTTGGGTGAAATTCGAGCGAGCAACAAGTTTGCTTCTATCCAGCGAAGTGATTTGTTCAATTCCGCTAAGCCAGTCCTCATTCCTGCTATCTTAATTGACTGTGGTTTATACGATATAAGTTTACGGTCTATCACTACTTCAAGAAATGGTAACTCCAACGATACATTACCTATCGTTGACGATTTGGATATAGTTTGTAAGATTGAAACATTGGAAAGCGCTACAGATAGTTTAGGGCCAAGTACTCAAATTGAAGCTGATATATCTGATATCCTCTTAAGTTTCAATGAAGTACAATATAAGCACTTGTGGCAGACATGGACATTTATTCAGCAAACATTCTTAACATCTGAACCTAAGGAAAATAGTAATCAGATGCAGTATGTCGACAACGATGACACAACATATGCAAATACTGTATCAAATGGCTCCTGCCAGTCCGACTCTTTAAAGACTGAATCGGCAATGCCTGCTAATCCAACACGTCAAGATGAAAGTACTAACAAAATCACTCTTGATTTGATAATGAGGCTTAACACAGTTAACATGCAGATTATTTTGACCGAATCTTTTGATACCTTGACCCGAAATGAGTGCATGCTATCTAAGTTGGCTTTTAATGGAATTCAGATGAAGTTACAAAACACTTCGAACAATTTTATGGCTATGGAAGTTAGCATGCAATCTATCAGTTTCGCGGATACCAGGACAGAATCACGATCGAAATTCAAGGATGTCCTACCAGCCATCCAACTTGATGGACCTCAATTTCAATTCAGGATGAATTCGTGTAAGTTGAATGATGCCACATTGATGGATATGAAGGCTACTGTGGATAGTCCGAGGGTAATTCTTTCTCTGGACTACCTGTTACTTTTGAAAAACTTCTTTATCAGTCCGTTCGCTGAACCCACAGAGGCACAGAAATATGCGCGAATTCACAGTCAGGATTCGAAAAACGAGCCCTCAAAGCAAATAGAAAAAGCTGCTCCATCAATGACAACAACAAATTTTAAACTTAATGTTGTTGATTTAGAAGTTATATGCCTCGCGAATCCTGACAACGTAGCTACCGAAGCCGCAATATTTTCGTTTAAACAACTTACGATTGATCAAGACAGTAAGTTAGAAATGCACATGGATGGAATCGGCATTGTTCTCTGTAGAATGGATAGTCGCAAAGAGTCAGAAATGCAACTTGTAAAAGAATTCAGTGTTCTGTTTAGAATGGAGAGTGCCTCAGCAAATTCCATACACAATCTGACCACCATAGAACTGAATGTGCAACCTATTATTCTTCGTCTGTCCTATCAGGACGCAATGCTTATTTCCCACATAGCAAGCAAAGTTACTGCTTTGGTGGGTTCTACATCTAGCAATCCTGCAACATCCCGTACTCCTGATTCAAGAGAGCGCCTCACGTTAACGAATACCCAACTGAGCGACGAAAATAACATGTTCCTTTCAGCATCAAATCAACCTAGAAACGCAAATCGAAGAACAAGCGTAACAGGGCATATTGAACCTTTTATTGTGATGTCTAAAGAAACTGTAAGTTGCTTTAAAAATCATTATCAGTATAAAGGCGTGCAAAGATTCTTAATACTCGAAAACATTAGTTGCTTGCCTCTTTTGATGGTATTCAAATAACGTTGATAGAAGATCTTCATGAACTGCCATTTATTGATGCACAGATACATCCGTTTGTTTTACGGGCTTCTGACTGGTCAAGAGCGGTAGAAGCCGATGTAGACTTCCACATAAAAGTAGACAGTTTCAATTTTAAAAACTCACATTGGGAACCAGTCATTGAACCGTGGAGTTTTTGCATAAAGGTGTCTCAAGATGCCACTAATAAGTCTACCTATGTTAACATTACATCACAGGAGCTCCTTTTATTCACCATAACTCACTCCTTTGTCAGTAGTTGCTTATCAATTTCTCAAACACTAAATGATCTTAAGGTTAGTTAAGCACTTTTACTGTAATGGACATATGTCGAATCTTCTATAATCCACCAACCGATACATCATCCTGTAGCCCCTTGCCGAGAGTTCTCCTGGACAGATCAAGCATTATCTATTCAAGAATTGTACGGGATATGACATGCGATTCTGGAATATGTCTGATGATGTTGCAAAAGGTGACAATAAAATCTTCCAACTTAAACAAGGGCAATCACAACCATGGACATTTCGTGATTGGAGAAAACGACGAGAGGTAAGCGTAGCTCATCACGACGCAAGAATTTTGATAACCAACCAGTTACTTTACATTTAGAGATCTAGCATAGGAAAAAATCTACTTGGAGTTCAAATTGAAGAAAGTTATTGGGAAAGTATCTTACATATACCACTCGATAATGAAGGGGAGCGAGCATATCGTTTACAGCCAAGTATAAACGGTGTCTATCATCGCCTAATCGTTGACATTCGATTGGAAAACCATATTAAAACTGTGGTGTTTAGAAGCGGTCTTGTTTTAATGAATAAGACTTCAGAAAGTATGCAGATAGCCATGGTCAATAGCAAGAGGCGTATTATATCAGATATTGTGCATTTGAGGCCAAATGATGCTTTTAATGTACCCGTCAAGCTTTCTTATGGGTATTGGTTCGTAGTTAGGCCTTCAGAAGGTTTCCATTGGAGTAAAGAAATGCTAATGTGGTCAGATGTTCTACTCCCCTCATCGCCAAGATGCATCGAATGTATATTGAGCGAAGACAATGAACATTCAAAGTCAAGAAATTATCAGATCAATGTAGACTATGACAAAAAGAACTCATTAGTCAAACAATATCCCTTCCTGAAAATCCAATTCTGCCCACCCATCGAAATAGAGAACTTGTTACCGTTTGACTTAAATGTCATCCTCAGCGACAGGGTATCCGGTAAAACGCTTTTTCAGAATATCAAACAAGGCAATACTGCTCATGTGCATGAGTTCAAAAGCGATACTGTACTTGCTATTAAACTTGATCTTAAATCAGATCGGTATAATTGCAGCGATACAGCGATTATCGAAACCAATCCAGGCTTCTCAGCGATGAACGAAAAAATTCAAGTTATCAGCTCTGATAATGTGCCATTGAGTCTAAGGATGAATATCATTCGACTTACAAACACGTCAGACGCACTGCATATAAATGTGTACGCTCCTTACCTAATTCTGAACAAATCTGGATTGCCTGTGTTTCTACGTCAGCGGCAACACCATTACCGTCAGGGCCGCACCAGTTTTCTAAGTATCGAAGCATATAATGAAGGTGATGTCATTGAGCCAGTTGTGTTTTCTTATCCCGAGATTGATCACAAAAACCGTGCCCAAATATCATTCGAAGGATCAAAATGGAGCGAACCAATTAGTTTTGAAGCTGTTGGGAGCAACCAAGAAGTCACTGTATTGAGTAAAGCAGATAAGCACCTCATTCATGCAGGAATTAATATTGAGGAAGGTGTTGGAAGCCTACGATTAACCAAGATTGTGACTATCACACCTCGGTTTATGGTGAAAAACAATATGAATGTCGCACTGAAATTTTGTGAGTTTGGAGGAGACGATGACTGTAAGCTTGCTCCTGGACAAAAAGCAGCTTTTTACCAAACTTATAAATCCAATGTTTGCTGGTTGTGCCTTCAACTTCAGGAATCTGTCAATAAGTGGTCCTCACCCTTCAGTATTCGAAACATCGGCAAGACCTACGTTAAGGTCGGAAGGGGCGATGATTTGATTCCCTATTTAGTGCAGGTTTCAACACAGATCCAAGATTCTACCATATTTGTGACATTCAATGAAGCTGAAAAATGGCCATTCTACATTGAGAATAGGTCCAGCATAGCAATACGATTTAAACAGGAGAGTATCGGTTTGGATGAGTATAATTTGAAAGAAAGACAGAAGAAAGCGTTCCGCGAGCCTAAAACTTTTACAGTACCTCAAAATGGCCGATTCAAGTATTCCTGGGATGTACCGGTCGCTAAACAGAAGAGATTGGGCCTTTTTGTAGGAGATCGCCATCGAAGGATTAATTTCGAAGCGATTGGACCTCAGATACCTTTCAGATACTCGAAAAATCGTGATACTCCGGCCGAAGCTTGTAGTTTGTCAATAGATATTGTAGCTGAAGATACAGCATTGGTCTTGTGTCTTACGGATTTTGACTCGTCTAAAAGTCTCTATCAACCGAGAAGCCTCAGGGCGCCAAGCTTATCGTCGTCATCTCAGGAAGGTAGTGTTAGAGACACTTTCGAAACTTTGCATCTCGAGCATGTCATCAATTTTAGTGTAGAAGTAAATTTTGCTGGCCTTGGGCTCTCCATTGTTAACAGAAAATATCAAGTAAGATTTCTCTTTCAAACTTCAACAATCTAGATATTCATTTTTTGTATCTCTTTGTCGTAGGAAATTTCTTACGCAACTGTTAAAGGTTTTGATCTTAAATATACGGATTCGAATCTGTATCAATCTATAAGATTAGGTCTACGATGGTTGCAGGTAATTGTTGCTCAATAATTATATTAAGCCATTGTGTTATTTTCTTATCTATTATAAAACTTCTATTTGCAATACGAACATTAAAGATCGACAACCAATTGTATTCTTCAACTTATCCGATCATCCTGTACCCTACTACCTTACCCAAAGTTGCTTCTGAACTATCTGCTCATCCGACACTTCATATAGCTTTGGACAAAGTCAAAGATGAAAGTAAGTATTTTAAGTGGGGGCGATGGTTCATCTCGCGTCTTAACAAATGACTGACTTCCTGACCCGTAGGACATGGTGTCTATTACTTCAAGTTGTTCTCTCTTCTTTTGCAAGAGATCACAATTGAAATTGATGAAGATTTTCTGTATGCTATTCTCGATTTTGCAGACCTCAGCAACAGAGAAAATGGGGGTACTAGCACGTAGGTGATCCAGAGCATTTTTATATGAATTGCTTGTATTAGAAATTGATCTGCTCAATTCCTTATAGTGATAGTAATGGTTTGTTCGTAATGGCAATCACAGAACCGCAAATAGTCAGCGTAGAAACCCTTTACTATTTCGAAGAGTTTTGTATACAGCCAATGCGTTTGAATCTGTCCTTTGTAAAAACGGATAGAATTGTAGAGACAGACACAGTGCGGTAAGCCACTTCATTCTATAGCCATGCAAAAGAATGAGAAACTAACGCATATATTCTTCTTTCGTCATATTCTAGAACTTCGGCGGTTGGTTATATTTTTAACGTGCTTACGATGACCTTGGGAAATGTCAATGTAAATATTTTCGAAGTATTCCCTTTGAAGTTTTATGCGAAACAATAATAACGTTTACGTAATTAGGATGCGCCGATTGAACTTAATGCTTTGATCGTGGAAAATTTGCGCGCAAGCTCTACAGATTTATCTAACCGTATCTACCTTCATTATCGCGATCAAGTCATTTATCAAGTCCACCGTGTCATTGGAAGCGTTGATCTTTTTGGAAATCCCGTTGGTCTATTTAATACTTTGAGTTCTGGTTTTAAAGAGCTTTTCTATGAACCCTACCAAGGCTTTATCATGAGTGACAGGCCACAAGACATCGGTATTGGTTTGGCAAAGGTTTGCAAGAAATAATATAAACGCTTTAAAAAACTTTTCAACCTATCATTTAACGATCCATCGTATAGGGTGTAGGGGGTTTTATGAAGAAGAGCGTCTTTGGCATCACAGACAGTATGAGCCGCTTCACAGGTAGTTTAGGAAAAGGTGTCTCGGCAGCAACCATGGACAAGGGATTCCAGGATAGACGACGAATAAATATGATTCGCAACAAACCTACTCATGCTCTTTATGGTGTCACTCAAGGTGTAGGTTATTTCGGTACAAGCATTGTTAGTGGCTTCACCGGCCTGGTAAAGCGACCCATCGAAGGTGCAGAGGAGGACGGCGTAGTAGGCCTCATTAGTGGTATAGGAAAAGGTGTAGTAGGTGTTTTCACTAAGCCCATGGTAGGGCTTTTGGATATGGCTAGTAACATTACAGCTGGTATACGTGAAACCACGACTGTTTTTGAGAATACCAACCTCCAGCGCGAGCGGATTCCCCGTTATACGGGCAAAGATGGAATTGTGACACCTTATTCGCAAAGAGAAGCTTTGGGTCAAATGTGGCTCATGGAAATGGAAAGTGGAAAATACTCAAATGAAATTTATATTGCTCATAGCCTGATGGGGGATAGTGATGAAAATGCAGCCATTTTAACTTTAACGCGAATATATGCCATTAATACGGATAATATGAGAGTCTTGTTCTCAGTGTTACTCAATGATGTAAAGTATGCCAAATCCGAAGTAGATGGCGTATATTTGCATATGAAAACGCCGGGCTATAAAAAATTGTCACTTAGAGAAGAAACGAGCAGAGAATGGTTTGCTTCCATAATCCAGCAAACATTGAATTTCAACTTAGAGGAGAGTCGGCGTCAATAAAGATATAATATGCTAAATATAAAAGCTTTGTAGAACAATGATTGCAGCCACAAGTATGATGAAAAATGAACTATATGCATATACATTTATGTATGTACCATGGAAAATAATAAAAATCCTGTATTTTCCAATATTTTTTCTTTTTTTGATATTGAATCTTTTTGGATACTACAACTCTACTGGAGGGGGATTTAAACTGAAGACAAGATGGGGGGCTCCACAAAATCCTTGGCAGCCTTAGCGCCAGTATCTTCGGCAGCAGCAGAAGCACCACCATGAAGAGCCAAAAGAGCGGAGACATCGAACTTAGGGGCCTTGAGAATCTTCACTTTACGTGTATAAGTATTTTGAAGAGGATAAATACCTTGACAGGCCTTTTCGATACGGACAGCAATGGCATCTTGAGCGGTTTGAGAAGCGGAAGAAGTAACCTTGGCAACAAGTTCCTTAAGATCACAGGCAGAAGCTTCTTCAGTCATGATTTCGAACATCTTCTTACGGATTTGACGAATTTGTGAAGACTGAGCATAAGTAGTCTTCTTAATTTGATTACGACGACGAGAAGTGAAAGAAATAGCAAACAGACGGACGAGGTAGCCATCAGTAGTCTTGACATCGACGAAAGCTTCAATCAAGGTTTGCCACTTCTTGACCATGGAACGGAGCTTGTCAGTAGTCATGTCCATACGGTAGAAGTTGGTAAGACAATTCTTGCCTTGAATTTCATCAACCTTCAATTGAATCTTACGGAAAGAACGAGATTCGTCCTTGGAGAGATCACCAAGAGACATTTCGACAACACGACCTTGGAGGGAATCGTTGGCATTACGAAGACCTTGAGTACGGTTGACAAGAGTCTTACCAACTTGACGGACATCGAACATGGAAGGTGCCTTGATATCATACCAATCTTTACGGGTGAAAGGATCAACGCTATAACGAAATCACAAAGTAAATAACGTCAATACAGTAACTATCGGCAACTTCAAAATCAATACTCAGGCTCCTATGGTGCTTATGATGGGAAAATGATCGTGATGAAATTGAAGTTATCTTTAAAATTGCATAATTCATTATGCAAATTCAAAATAGCACATCAAAGCAAAGTCCTGGTTTCTGAAAAATTCAAGTGCTGAATAGTGTGGATCTACTTACACCTTCTTCTTCAATCCCTTCTTTCCCTTAGAAAGACGCCTATTTTGGAGTTGGAAGAAATTGGGGCAGCAATTTAATGTCAATGTCGAAATTGTAAATGAAAGTGATCAATAATGTGTAATCATACTTGTTCTTGCCGACAGCTATATTTTAAAATGCATTGAATTTGTGGAACTGATTAGCTTCTAAATAATATGATTACTTCTTTATTTAAAGGATGGATGGTGATCACATACCCATATTATCACTTAGAAAGGAGGGTTCTCTTTTTTCCAAAATTGATGCTTTGCAACAGCTCCTTCTCAGGCCCAAACAAGGGGGTGACCGGACACTGCATACTATTTCGCAAGCGTCCGAACCGAACAATTACCATCCGAAGATCTAACTACTTGCTTTCAATTTTTGCTAGCTATTTCAATTTAGTCAACGGACAAGACCGTAAAATCCTCCTCTTTGCAGATTCTATAAATCCAATATGGTAAATACGACATCTATGCAGACATACAACATCAATATCAATCCATCCATATATAGATACTTACATTTCAACATTGGTATCGAATAATTTTCCAATAGGGTAAAGTTCACGGTTCTTTGGCTCGTGCCGGTAAGGTCAAGTCTCAAACTCCCAAGGTTGCTAAGCAAGAAAAGAAGAAGGCCAAGACTGGTCGTGCTAAGAAGAGACAAGTTTACAACCGTCGTTTCGTTAATGTCACCACCCAAGTTGGTGGTAAGCGCAGAATGAACCCTGCTCCCACTGCTGGACCTTAAGCTATTTGGATCAGTTTAGTACACTTAACAGCACATCTGATCTTGTAAAATTTATTTGGAGAACTACGTGGATTACAACCTATAGCTACAATTACGCAGTTACGAATAAACTTTCTCAGCTGAAAAGATGTATATGTAACCAATGTTAGAATTTATAGTGGTTGATGATTGGCCTCGTATTTGATTTTGTCATGTGTAAGAACGTAGAATCTGGATTCAGAATTGAACAACATCAGTATTCAATGTCTCACTAGTTGGATATGCCTACTCTTATTTTGAAGAATGTATTGATTATGTTTACAGAGCAGGGGATAAAAGCTTTAAGGGCAGCATACACTCATTGTTCATACTTAATACACCACTTTCAACCGCAGCAGAGTTGAGTATCAGTTGTAATTGTGTTAAGAAATGGAGCAAGCTTTCATTCTTTAAGTCAACCTTAACTACGCTAAATTATAAGAATTACTGCAGATAGCTCAGAGGGTCCTCATTTTCTAAATGCTTTGATATTACAAAAACGTACAATTTTGCAGCTGTAGGTTGTGAATCAGTATGCCTTAAGATTTCGGAATGGGGTGAAATTTGTAAAAATGTAATTTGTTTTTGTTGATTTCTGAAAGAGTGTGCAGAAAAGGTTGAACTTGAGAAAGCTACTCCGTAATTCGAGAGGATAAAATAAGCAGAACAGTTCCTTGTTAAACTTTCTATGATCTAAAGCTTATCGTAATGCTATTTTTTTTTTTTTTTTTGAAAGCTGAATGCTTGACATTTACACATAAGTCACACTGGTCGGGAGTAGTACAAATCGTTAATGTCACCATAGACGAATTTGTGCATTTAAATGCTTTTCGCCTTCTTATCGCGCCATATTAGATAGAGTTACTTTCATGCTATTGAGGGGTAGTAAGCATCTGATTCGTAGAAATAATGTCATGATTGCTGATGTCGGAAACCATTGTTTCGGTATCACTAAATTTTTCGTTCAAATCACAAATTGATCAATTGAAACGATTAAAGGCTTGAAGACAAATTCGAGAGCACTTCCAAATTATTTACTTTTGGTAAAAAGGAGAAAATTACGTAATTTTTGTGTTTGACACTGGCTTTTGTGCGCATGCTCTGTACTTACCAAATACCAATGGATTTAACTTAATATATGCCAAAACCGTCGGTGAACCATTGGCTCACACGTGGGAGTGCACGCTTTCGCAGTTTTCACGCTATACCGATATCGGAATACTGTGCATTCTTGAATAGATTTTATATTTCCATATTATTGAGTGTATCATTGTGAAGTTATATCACTTTAACGTGTCATTTTTTGGAAAGGAATAAGTTTCTAAAACTCATCAAACAATAAAATAGATACCGAACTTACCCTAACGCGTATCGAACATTGTTTCTGTCCGCTTAGCCAACTTTGACCAACATAAAAACGACTCAGGTTACGTAGGTATTATCAAATAGACAGTTTGAAATTTCCACTATTTCGACCCTCAAAAAAAAAAAAAAAAATGGGCGTGTAGGCAAACCGCCAGAGTCAGTACTCTGTGAAACAATTTATCGAAAGGTTACTGACTCTCTGAGCCTTTAATTGTGAATCCCTGAAACTCAAACCTGCGAACTTTTTTTTTCTCTTTTTCCCATTTTCAAATAGAAAAAAAGAAACATGATTGTTGTGCCTGAAACTTGATCAATTTAAATTCTTCGACAAAGCCCTTCAGTGACCTTTTTCACTAAGACATTTCTGATAAAGTTAGATTTTTTTTAATGTCATGTTGAAAACAAAAACTTTGACGTTTCATATATTCTTAAAGAATGAGCCATATAATTGTTATATAATTTTTTCCTTTCTCTTCTAACAGTTCTATTTCAACGAGACTTAGCAGATAAATACTGTCATGCGTTTGCCAGATACAATTCTATCCCATGTTTTGTCGTATATACCAATCCCTGAGCGATTCTCTCTATCAAGGTATTTGACGAGAGCTTTCTATCAATATCTTTTATGTGAACTAACAGCCTTTAATTAGCATTTGTAAGCAATGGTACGCCCTCTGTCACGATCCCTATTTATACCAATATATCGAGTTATGCAATTTAGAATATCAACAACTAGTCCTTACTCTTCAAAAGGTGGCTAGTATTGCACCACGTATCAAATCTATTGTGTTCATAGGATGCTATTCAACTTTCATACAAAACACTGTCGTTCCCGTTCGCTTCTCAGACGATGCAACTGCAGCGCACCATACTGACCAGCGCCCACTTTTTTCACATATCACTGCTTTACAGCCTGCTCGTAGACGAGAGGAATACTTAAAGCACAAATTTGAGCTCCATGACCAATTTTCAGACGTGATGATTCAGTTAATGCGTATCAACAAAACCCATCTAAAAACTCTCACCATTGTAAACTGTACACTTGATCTAGAAATGACAGAACTCTTTTGCTCCATTACCTGTTATGGCAACGCACTAGAATCATTTATCTACAAAAATAATCACGATAGTGGCATTCCTTCTTCCGGGCTCTTGCAAGCTATTGTCACAGCCTGTCGAGGTATGCGCCATTTTCATGGCCTCCATTCCGGCATGGACGATGCAGTTCTTCTCACCATAGCTCGTCATTGGGCGACAACTCTTGAGTCTTTAACTTTATGCTCCATGAAATCGCGCGAAGTGGTTCGTCCTACAGAGGTTGTGAGTGACAGAGGCCGGCATTTAATGGGTACTTCACCTACGGGGCGTATTTCGTCACAAGCATTTTGGCAACTATTAAGTCGTTGTGAGAAGCTAGAATATTTAGAGCTTCAAGACTTGGCTTGTATTTCAAATTATGATTTGGCCAGATTTGAATCTTTACGTATGGAAGCAATAAGACAGATCGAAAGCTCAAAGATTGTTTGCAACAAATATTCCACAAATTCTACGATATCAAAAAAAATAACAACTACAACGGGAACAACATTTCAGCAACGCCGTGCCATAGAGCGGTATTCCCCTTATCTTATGAACAAAAGCAACAACAGGAGGACAAGATCCAATCATTCATTGCCTTCGTCCTCCTCGCCGTCCATGGTTAAAAGATCCACGGTTTCACGTCCTTTCATTCCTGGGTCTTCCATTAAACAACTTTATGTTACAAAATTCATGACTACACCGTTGTCGAAACCTGGGTTCGAGATTTTATTGAAAATGTTCCCAAGCTTGAATCATTTAGAATACGAAACCAATTTTCTAACCTTTGATAATTTGTTTGAAGGTATAACGAGAGACATGTTTGATGCTGAATGTGCAGCGGTGAAAGAATGGTTTGATAAGATGAAATCAAGAGGCCATTATCATCAATTAACTTATATTGGAAACTGGAATGCACATATCACTGCAGAGCAGCGATTGATGGCAGGCATGGCTAGTGTATCTGAAGATAGTAGCAGCTCTACTTAAACTATGAATATAAACAATATACCCTGTATCAACTATTTATTTGTACATTCTGTAATTCAATAAATCTTTTTCTTACATTATGTTTATGTAATTACGACCGTTTAAGTTTAGTTTCACTAAAAATGTGTATGAATAATACTTACATAAAGGTTTCAAAATGGATCTGCATTACAAAAATTGTTTATTGATTACTTGTTCAATTTTATCGTGTCTGGATCAAATTTTTTTTCTGAAAAAACACACAATTTACGCAGAATGCGTGAAACTTTTGTTAGCCTGCCGGGGAAAACAAGAAAAAGCAAATTGTTAAGAAAGCAACTAATTGATTATTTGAAAATAAACATGCAATGCAGGTAAGAATACAAAAATACAGTGATTTTTCGTTATTTCAGGAATGAAATGGCGGTCTCCAATGTGTAGTACAAATTAAAATGATTATAATCATTTTTTTGATGGTACGAGGGTACGTTTAGTAGTTGAAGTTGCTGTGGTTCGTCGCTTTTGTTGTGCAAGCACTGAAGCTTCTCGTGTATATTGTTTGCTCTTATTAGATGATGATGATGATGATGATGATGATGCAATGTTATTACTTTTTTTTGTTAATGATTTGACTGTGTTCATCGATGAAAAGGTATTGTTAAGATTGGTGCGAGTTATGCGGCGGGTATTATTTCCATTAGGTAATTTAGTAGTACTGGTATTAGTCGTAGAGGTAATTTTGTTAGTTGCTGGTATAACTGATCGACGAACGGTAGTGGTATTATTGGCTTCAAATACATCTGCGGTCTTTAGTGAGGATGTTTTGGAAACAATGGCATTAGTTGTTCTGATATTGGTTTTGCTTGTGGTTTGTGGTTTCCGAGTGCTGTTTGCTGCAGCTTCGGTAAGTTTATCAATCTTTGCTTGCATTTTTCTTCTCAATTCAGCATCTTCTATTGCTTGCTTACATTTCAAACTTTCTGTTTCCTGCATTTGGCACAAAGTGCGTGTTACCATGTCTTCTAGCTTATTTCTTGTCTTCACTTCTGCTTCGAGTCTCTGCTCTAGCTTGTCAATATGAGCAAATGCAGCAGATAACTTTTCTTCGTACAAGTGTCGTGCTTGTTCCTCTTTTTCCAAACGATCGTATAACGCCTTTTGTTGTTGGTCAATTAATACTGTCATATCTTCCATCGCCTTTTCAAATGCAGTTCTCATTGCTGTTTCTTCTCTAAGTTGTTGCTGAAGCTGTTTCAATCTGTCGTTAACGGCTGAGACCTGACGGTGATGAAAGCGACTACAAAGGCCCGCCAAGTTAAGAATGGCTTGTTGAGATACATTGAAAGGAGTGAAATGGCGATGATTTTGTCGACGGCTGCAATAACCACGCCAAACAGCTTGAATTTTAGTAGCAGCTTCATTTTGAATGGCAGATAGATCATCTAAAGCCTCCTCTTCAGCACTGAGAGGGTAGAAGACACATTTAGATTCTAGTTCTTCTTCTTCTTCAATGTCACCGTCAATGTAACCTTCATCATTGATGATATAGGTTATAAGAGGTTGTTGTTGTAGGGGTTGGAAGTTACTGGCAGTAGTTGAATGTGGAGGCTTAACTAATTTGTTTAATTTGATCAGTACAATTCTAGATTCCGTTGTACGAACACTGCTGGAACTATCAGTGCAGCTATCGAAATCAGGATCCATTATAGGAACTGACTCATTGTAGTAAACGCGTAAGTTGTTATAGTCCTCTTCGACGTCATCTTTCAGCATGTTATTGGCATTGACTGGACAAAAAGGATATTTTAGTTACACCATATCATTTTTTTTTTAAATGTAAGGTTCATGTTACCTCGATGCATGTCATTTTCTTGTCGTTGCATTTCACTTTGTGCGACTTGTTTCGGATACATGTGATCATTTTGAGCATGGGATAAAAAGGATGCTGGTCCGACAGGCTTTTCAGTTGTTAATAAGTGATTTACAGCAGCAGCGGCTTTCTTATCAACCTGTGCTGGTAATTGAAGAGGTGATAGCCTGCTATCATCAATTATTTGAGCTTTTTCTTCGTCTTCTTCGCCCTCTTCGTTGATGGTATCATGCCATGCTGTATTATTGTTATTATTGTAAATGAGATAGTTTGCTCTAGTAATTTCAGCCGGAGAATATACCGTTGTGGTAAATGAACATGGATCAAAAAATGAATATTCGTCTTCTAATGTATCTAAATAAGCTAATTCTTGTAAACGATGTTTGGGTGGAAATTCAAATTGGAATTGTTCTTGTGTTAAGTGTTGGGCAACAACTAGACTATCGTCTTCAAGAAGATCATTTTCTTCTGGCAGGCAAAACTGAGTACATGCAATATTTCCATCCAAGTTGAAATATGTTGATATGGGATAGATGTGGATGTGTGAGTTTGAAGACATCAATGTATAATGAATGAAAGTATTCTTGTTGTAGTCTTTACCTGGTCAATATCAGTAGTGCAACGATACGGAAACTCTGCGAAATATTGTTGTTGATTAAATAGAGATTGATTTGCTGTCTCGGCCATCATTTTTTAACGAAGATGCTGTACAAATAAATAATAAATTACAAGTGAGGAGATCAGAACAAGTTCTTCTTTCTTTCAAGCGTTGATATTTCTTTCTTCGAGAAGGAAAAGATCAGAGTAAAAGGAATGGAAAGGGGTGGTAAAGGGGACCGATTTGTGCTTGAAATTGACTATTTTAACAGAATACAAACAAGGAATAGACAAAAGGAAAAAAGAAAAATAAAATAAAATTCAAAATAGACCCTCATATTTATTTTCATTAAATTTGATGTGCTGTCAAAACAATAAAGAGATTTGTTTATGATAGGGGTTGATATCAGGGCTGTTTGCACGCACTGCACGCACAACAATGAAAGGAACAGGGAGTGTAACACACTTTGCCATACCTTATTGATCGCACATTTTTTGAAGGTTTTCGGCTACGAGCCTTTTTGAGAATATTGTGCTTTCTCTTTTTCTTTCACGCAACATTAATGAAAGAGTAAAATACCAAGTAGTTATTTGAACAGTAAAACACTATATGGTTTAACCACTACTAATTCATTGACGTCCTACACTTGAAAGTCTTGCTATCTCTTTAAATAGCTGGTGATAATTAATTACTAAAATGTTAAGAGATCGCAATTGTGTAACATTGTGAACAATGTGCTGTATAATGCTTTCAACATCATGTTCAGTTGATGATGACTTAAATAGGTTTTTGCATTGCGTACAACTTTACATTGTTACTCCCAAAACCCCAACTCCCGATACAATATAAATTGCACTATGTAGATCTCAACATAATTTCCATAACCATTGCATGAAGCGACTTTCTTTTTCTTCACTGTTATCACATAACTCCTATCCCACAAGATTTCAATATGGGGCGGCACCAGTTTCTAGGGCTCTTTTTGTAAGGGAAAACTTTTTGGCTGCTGTTGAACTCATGATAACCCCATTAAAAATAAAACAATGTTTGTAGCAATTTCACTTACAGCACTGTATCTTGTGCGTGAACGCGATGACCACCTCCTCCTACTCCTGCTCCTCCCCTCTTATATTACTATTCTCTCTTCTTCCTTTTTTATTCCTGGCTCCTTGACATTGGTTTTTTTTTTTTTTTCTTTCCCAAGCGAGATCTATTGGTTCCTTGTTTACAGTTTTGTATAGTGATATACACTCCCAGCGAAATCACTTCGACCTCTCCTTTAGCGAGATTAAAGTGAAAAATAGGACTTCTCGGGTATAGGCAATTGCAGGGCGTATCAGCCAGCACATAGTATCACCGTTTCTATTGCAACTAAAAGTTGAAAAAATATTCATTATTGAGTTATTTGGATTTACTTACTGTTATATTCTTCTTCTTCATCATAGACAACATATTCCATCTCAACTTTCTTGCTTCCCAAAATGTCTATTGCTTGCTATACACGTTAGTCTTTATCAAGTACAATGCTCTTTAGAGATTTCAGAAGCAGGTTCAGAAGTTACTGCCTTCATCTGGTCATTGCTGCCTTTGCTTTTAAGATTCAATTTCTAGAACTGAACCATATGCCCAAACTTGTATACATAGTATACATAGCTATGGATTCAGTGAATGTATAATGTAAACAATTTTTAAGACGTTTCTACGCTAATTTGACTTTTGAGGTATATAATATGCCTTTATGTTAAAGTCTAAGGCACTACATCATCTCGAATCAGTTATGGTGTTCCAAATAATGACTTAACATATTACAGTGAAAACCAAGTATATTTTTGTAGCCGTGCTAAACTAACGCTTCGGTATTTTTCTTTCTTTTTTCAGTATACTTAATCTAACAAGTAGATTTCTGTATTTGCCCCAGCAGCTCTGAGCTGAATATGTTAGCGACTCTCTACAATGTACAGTATATTTTCACGTTTGTTCCAAATATGTTAATAAGGACCAGCGTTCCTTAAGTTTAGAAAGTACTTTTATCTTACTTAGAACTGTCCCTTTTTCAGTGGATAAGATGCATTTTTTCCACATATTATGCATGCAAATCATTCTATGCCAATACTGGGTAGCATATCAATAAATTTCTTTCCTTTTTATCTTTTCTAACTTAAAGATTCTTTTCTTCAAGTAATTTCTGTGCTACAACTATAGCTACAAATACTAATGTAATTTTGTACCGTTGAAACGATTTGTATGTGTGTGTGCCAGTTTACTTATATATAATTCGCAATTATGACAGAATATCTACAAGCTATAGCCATATTTTATTATGCCACTAGTAATTACGGGAAAAGAAGAAGGATTGATAAAGAGCAATAATAACAGTGCTATTTTGATTGAAGGGAGCACAATCATTTCAACCGTTGGTGACAACACCGAGCACTTGGAAATGATGGGATCTATAGATATTGACAGTACTACGCTTCCAAACGAAGAAAAATTAACGAACAACATTGCCGAAATACAATACGGAACTACGTGGATTGCTTGGTTACAAGTCTTGAGTATTATATTAGTCAATAGCGCTTGCTCCTTGATGTGGATGAGCGCTACTAGCTCGCCTACCGCAGTTTCAGAATGGCTTAATGTCAGTTTTTCGAGCTTAAATTGGTTATCAAATGTCTCAGCTATTGTTAATACTGTTTTTTCACTTATTACGGGTTGGGCTTACGAAAAATTTGGTATAAAACGCAACATTATTTTTTCTGGCGTGATGAATTTTCTCGGTTGTTGGATCCGTTGTCTTGCTATTGTTGCTCCTCGAAATCATCGTTTTGCTGTTGTGATGGTTGGACAAGTTATAGCGAGCATTGGAGGACCATTCGTTTACAAGTAAAAGGATAGAATAGGCACCATTTTATTAGTAAACACCTTTGTCTGATACTCGAATCTTTTTTTCTTAACAAACAACAACAACAAATAGCATTGCCACAAAGGTATGCTTTGAGTATATCACCCAACAATCAATATTATGCTGCCGTACACTAATAATCTCTGATAACGACTCACAATTTAATATGTAGCTGGTTTCTATTTGGTTTGCACCTAAACATCGAGTTATAGCTAATACATTAGCAAGTAAATCACAATCTATCTTTCATATTAGATCACCAGATGAACACGCAGGTCTAACTAATGTCATTTAAACAATAATCAGCTCTTTCGATAGGTATGGCCATTGCTCCCATCTTGATACCTGCTCTTGCTCCAGCATCCGTCAATGTCCCATGGATGCTGATTGTGATTTCTGTAATATCTACTATCGCAGCCATTCCATCCTTTTTCCTTCCAAGCAAACCGGCTATTTTATCCTCTCCTTCTGCTGAGCAAGATCGTATGAATATTGTAGAAGGCATTAAGCGCTTAATTAAAATAAGTGGGTTTTGGTGGAGTCTCATCTTATGTGCTGTCAATGCTGGTATGGTATTTTCTGTCTCTGTATTAATTATGGAAGCAATCATTCCTCTGGGTTATACAGATATGGAAGCTGGCTACTGTGCAGCGGCCATTGTAGTTGCTGGCTTTATAGGTGGCATATGTTCTGGTTATTGGGCTGGTAAAACTGGTCAGCACATCATGCTTATCAAGTTATTCACACCGATGATGTTATTTTCCTACATCATCCTAATATTCGAATGTAAGCAGAAGAGTTATACTTGCACATTTTAGCTGGCTGATCTCGACTACTTAACCGTGAGCTCTTTCTCACTATTATATAGTGGTGCCCAACACGTTTCCAGTCATATTGATTGCATGCATACAAATTGGTTTCTTTGCCTACGCATTGTTTCCGCTTCATCTGGAAGTGGCTTGTGAAAGTAAGTGATGTAAAGATATTATCCACATTCCATTGATGTATGTATACTTATTCGTTTCTGGTTTTTGTACGCTCAAGTTACATATCCAATTCCGGAAGCTATAACTGCATCTCTCATGTGGTCTATGGTGACAGCGGCCATGTTGATTTTTTGTGTTATCATTGACGCGCTCCGAGCTGGTCCAGAAGCTGTGCCGCCCAACAATATGAAAATGTCAATCAATGCTGTAGCTATTATTGTTTGCATAGGCTCTCTTCCTATACTTTGGTTCAAAGGAGACTTGAAAAGATTGGCATATGATAAAAATGAGCAAACTTGTCGAAAAGTATAATGATATAATGGACATACACAAATACGAGCTAAATTAGAAACATAATAAAAAAAGATATTAATAATGGATAATAATCGGCCAGGATATTTTCAATTTCTGCTGCTATAGACTGTATTTTATTCAATATTATACAAAGTAAGAATCCTGGAAGCGCTTAGATCTTGAAAGTATGATTATCTTACTCATTGATGCTTTTCAATATGATTAAGCTTTTCATAATAAAGCCCTGTGGTTTATAATATAGTCGATGTAGCAAGTAAATAGTCTATTTGCAGGAATGCAGGTTCGACAATAAAGCTTCAATATATCGTCAACGGTGGTTAACTGGTCGACATCAACGCGAAGCACAACAATGATATGACTTTCATACTTTTTGTTCCATTACTCCAGTCGCAAGATAAAAAGCCCGTGAACAAAAACGTGGGTTGGCCTAAAGTCAGAATATAAAAGCCATTGTCTCTTTCACCAACTATACCAAATGCAGTTCATATCTGACTCTAGGAGCTATTATGGCATCCCTTCATGAAGGTTAAAGTACCATTAGCCATGTTAATCTTTTTCACTTTATTGACGCACTTCAAGTTGGGCTAGAATCTATTCTAACAATATGAAGATGTTTATTATTGCTATAACTTTATTGTTTTGCATAGGCTTCCTTTCTATAATTAGGTTTAAAGAAGACCTAAAAAGTTTGGCATACGATAAAGGATCAATCGAATGATCAATAATATTAAGAAGTGTGAAAAAGTATTATATATACATTGTCAACAATGAATAAATGTGGAAAAGCAATCATAAGCTCAACATGATCAAAGTTGTCTTATGAAATGCAATCAAAATTTTTCAAGGCTTAACACAATATCTGCTAATCTTGAAAATTGATTACTGTTTTTATAATTTGAAGATACCGACGCTACATTATGAGTATTACCAAAAATTAGTACATGTATTCAATGTTCATCATTGACACTGTTTAGATATACTGGCATTTACCTTTCTGCTTGTTTGGGTATAAGGTTTGCGTCGCCTCCTCGTACTTCCAATGCCTTTGTGTCAGCTCTATCAAACATAAGGGTATAGTGCGTCAAGTTCACTATCAAAATGTGTGCATTGCCTCAATTTTCTTTTACCTTGAATTGCTTCATTTTCGGAAACACCAAAGTAACATGCTGCTTGTTTCACTTCAATCGATGAGTAAACTTTCGATACAAGTTGAACCATGTATTCTCTCAAATTGATTTTTATTTTATGAGTGGCCAGTTGCATATAATCATTCCATTGAAATCCGTCCAAGTCCTGGTAAATTTTTGCATAATCTTTGGTAATAAAGTCGACTACAACACGCCAAATAGCATCAATTTGGGCTGTTTGTATTTTAGCATTTAAGCTACGTTTCCGGACGTGTCGTGCTGTCTGACTTTATAAACACATATAAGCTGCAGGGTAAAGAGAAACTTATCTTCATTTTCATAGAGAGCACACTTACAGATCGCCTGTTAATAAACAGCTAGCCAAGTATACAGGATAGACTTGTGAAAGGTCAATGTTGGCATCCGTAACAGCCTAATGAAATAGCGATTTAGTCAATGAGATCTGGCGAGAAGAGTTTGAAGTTGCTGTACTTGTATTTCAAGCTGTTCGCATCTTTCGAGTAGAGCTAAAAAGTCATTTTGAGTGATTAACATTGCCAAGTCGTTCATTGCCCTCGGTTAAATCGAAATAAAACTGCTTTATTATGATGAGCGGAAAGAAGAAGGTAATAAAAAGTAAGCAAAGTTTTTTAACTCAGTTTTTATGCAAAAGGTGCAAATAAAAGAACAATGAATCAATGCTAGAGGTATATATTTTACAAAGGTAAGAAATATTAGTAAATTGGCCTGTAACCAAGACGCCTACGACTATAAACTTTATATCCAAAGAATGCAATCATAGACGAAAGGCCTCCTACAAGAATAATGATGACAAGGGTAACAATCACGGACCAAACAAACGGAAGACCAAATAAACCTCTTCGTATAGGCATCAATACGGTATCGATTAAAAGCACACCACCACCTGCAGTAACCCGACCTAAACCAAGTACGTGCCCACGGTTGTTACCTCCACCGTTTTTGACTTCAACAAACAATTCACCTTTTTCATTCTCGCGAATGGCTACTTTATCGTCTTCGGAAAGCAACGTAGGAAATTCAATTTTTTCGCGTCTTCTTCCCCCTTTACTGCCAATGTCATTCAATAATACCCAGCGTTCTTGCCATACACTAGGTATAAGATGTAATCTAGCAATCCGTTCCAATTCATAAGGATTAGCCAACAATGCATCAATGTCGTTCAACTTTGCGAATGCCTTCTCAGTGGGTGCTAACACGACCAAATTCTCTTGATTGATGGTGTCCCATAATTTCGTTTGTGACAGAATCTTTAACATCGTCTCTGCTTCAATGCCGACCAAAAGGTTTTGGTTGGTGATTTGGACAGATTGTGGAATGAGAACTTCTGACACTTTATGAACAACACCGTTAGAAACGAGCATATCGGAGCGTATGACTGAACCGGTTGTTCCTTCAGATCGTTGTAGTTGCTGTTTTTCAGGTGCACCGACATGGATGGGTGAAGTTGCGTCTGCAGAAGGAGGTGTGATACGCAGTGTAGAGTTAGCCAAGGTTAGTACCTCATGTACTTTCGATCTCATAACGTCAGCATAGAGGAGAGAAGAAGGTACGGCATGGTGTCGTAAAACAGTTTGCAGATGAGATTTGGCGCTTGGATGAACAAGATATTTTGCAACAAGATCGAGGCTGTGGAAGGCTTCATTGGTAGGTACAAACAAGGTAAGACCAGGTGTCTTCCTTATCTCTTCAACTAATTCTGATACGTAAAGAGTGGCAATGAAAGTGGATAAGTCAAGTTCTAAGAGTACTTTTTCAATGATATCGCCTGGAATGGTGAGAGATTCTGATACTTGATATATGATATTGTCATTGATATTTACTGTTGCAATAAAATTGACAATTAGCTCTTGTTGAAAAAGAGGCAAGAAGAGAGGAAGATGTTATCTTACCATAATCACCAATCACTCGAGCTTTGTCAAACTGAATTGTCTTTCTAGAAGACGTACCAGGTGTATACACAGGAACACGTTGTCCTTGACCAGAAAGTTGATTTGACCTGAACTCGGTTTCAATTAGCATATCATTCGCAAGAGCATCTTTTGGCCAAGGCTGTTGAAAGATATGGTATTTCAGCCATGATTCTGTAATCAAGGATTTATTCAAGGTTTCTTGAGGCGGTATGAGAAAAGTGTAGACATTATTTGTTGACACCGAAGCGGATGCTTTGTCGCTCCCTGAATCAGTAGTATTAGTGTCTGATGTTAAATATGGGTCACTTAAATTGAATTCGTCTAATAACTCTACTATGTGCATGGCATTCATGCCATACAAGTATTTTCGAGTGTTGAACTGAATTATATCAGGTCTGAATGTGCCGTCAATCATGTGAATGACTCCATTGGCGGCAACAATATCAGATTTTTTGACAGGTAAGCCATTGACAGTAGCAGATTGGTCTTTTTCTGTAGCTGCTAATACCAGTGGACTGTCCGAAAGAGATTTATCTATGTGCGCAGTATCAAAAGCAACTCATAAGTTTTCGAAAGCCCCAATAAATAACAAAAAAAAAAAAAAAATTCAAGAAAAATAAGACAAGATGATGTCTAACTTTACAGGTGGTTTTTCCTGAAGTAAATTCGTCCAAAAAAATGGCCTTATCAACAATACTGTAATTGAAGAAAAGTGATAAATCGTTTTTGCCGTTACTGGAAGTTAGATATGTCGATTCAATAGCATTGAACTGTTCGAAAGGGTTTTCCTTCGCAGATAGGAATAATGTGAATGGCTTATTCTGTTGCAAGAAAGAATATTTGCCTGTAGAATTCAGTAGGTCAAAAATTGCTCTGTTGTTATTGAACAATGTATCTCCTATTATATCCATATAAAATTATGAATCAGTATTGAACTTATTTCCACATACTTTAGTGTTAATGTTATATACCTAATAAAGCAGGAGGACTCAATACTTGGTCAATGACTTGGATGTAAGTTTGATTGTTCACTTGTAAATCCTTATCGATGATTTTTGCTTGATTTATAAACACTTTCTTATTATTAGCTTTCGTCGTCACTTTGATACGTTGACCGGCTGCTTTTGTTGTGTCGGGACCCAAATATCCAGGTCTTACATATTGTGATTCTTCAAGCTGTCCGTCATAAAATTCATTGTATTCCCTCTTTTTCTTTATGATATGGTATAGAAGAGTTGATCGATCCAGCTCAAATTCGCATTTAGCGAATGCGTCATTAACAGGTGCAAATAAAGTGCCCGAATCGAGATCGTTTATGAAGCTGACAAGTTGAAAATGTTGGATATGGGCTAAGAGTGTTTCAAAACGGTTGTCTTCTTTCAGAATATCAATAATAGTGTTTGCACCTAACACCAATTGTGCATAAACTAATAAGAAAAGAGTCTGCTTCAACATTGAAGAAATAATAATTTTAATAGATTCAAGAGTGAATAGCAGTAAGGCAGAAGAAAGGAAAAATAAAAAAACGAAAATCTAAAAATTACACTATTTCTATCACTTAAAGTGGGTTCTTTTTTTGCCCAAAATTCATGCGTATAACCCAGTCACCCACTTTTAGCCTTTAGACAATCCCCCATTTTGTGATCTGTTGTTTCACTTCCCCTTATTTTTCTTTTGATTGCTGGTTCTCAAATGGATTTTATACGGACTCATAACCAGAATGACGAAATGCGGCGAGAAGGGGTCTCTTTGAAGGAATGAACACCCACAGAACTGCCATAGCGGTAGTCATAAATACACAAACAAAAGGCACAATTAAAATACCAAATTTACCAGCAATTTGACCTGTCATAAACGGGAATAAGGCAGCACCACCAGCACCAAGCCTATAACAATAAAAGCAATGCGTTAATCTTCTATGACTGCTCAATAAGTAACTGAATAACTTTACGCAGCTACGAATCCAATGGCAGTCGCATGATAATTCCTAGGAAGAGCCTTGGACATGAGTGAGATGGTTGTAGGGAACATAGGGCCCAATAAGAAGCCAATAGCGATCAATGCTATTGTGTGACGGAATAATTTTTTAGTATCTTGATGCAGATAATGGCTACCACAACAATGTTTGTAATTATGCGCTAACTCTATCTACCTGTGGAATCAAAAACAATGTCAGTTGACACCATCATTGTCACCAGGCAAATGATAATCGTCATAGTGAATATCATGATCGTTAATTTTTCTCCAAAACGATTAGACAAATACCCAAGAAGGATTCGACCTGCTGCTAAACCAGCCCAGTAACCAGAAACGACATTGGCCATAATCACTTCATCACCATGCCTACCTTCTTTTAAGAATGTATATGCCCAACCACCCATTGTTACTTCTACGCCTACATAAATCAATATGTAGGCAGCGCTAATGATGGTGACTCGGTTAAAAATTGCTTTCTTAGTCAACTCGCTATGTTTTAGTTCAACAGGTTGCTGCTGCTGCTGCTGTTGCTGGTGTTGAGATCCGGTGTCCCCACGAGGCGAAGCCGATAATGGATCTTCTACTACAACCACTTCTTCTTGCCCGATATGCTTAGCATCCTCAAAGTCAACATGCCAAAAACCAAACGCGATAGAAGCTATATTGACAAAGCCAACAACGGCTAAGAAAAAATACATTCCTTTCCAACTAATATCATGCTTCAATAGAAAGGAAGCGACGAGAGGGCTTATCATTGCACCCACTCCGTAAATGGCTATAAATGATAAAAAGTTGAGATGAGAAGTCTTACATAATCGTAGAGGAGAGGAGTATACCACACAAAAATTAATAAGTCCTTTTTTGTTTACCATGTAATACATTTAGCATAAGGGTTGCAAGGGGTACATTAGCAGTATATACATTCATTGCACCATCCAACAACGCCATACCTCCGCCTACAAAAGGCATTGTGCATGCCATGAAAGGAAATGGTAGTCCCATGGATAAAAGCGAGAACGAGATAAACATCATGGTTGAGCCAAGAAAAAGTGTTTTTAGTTGGCCTAATTTGTAAACAATATAGCCGTTGAATGCACCGCTCAGAAAGAAGCCGAAGGCTGAGCACAGAAAGAGTATTGAGACAGTTTCGTTTGTGATTTGATAGTAGCTTTTAATGCGAGGGATAATAGAACCCAAACTACCATCATTGATACCAGCAACGATACTGATAAAGAAAGCAGAAATCAATGGTTTCACATAGCCTTTTAGATCCTTTAAACTTTCTGAATTCTGCTGATTTTGCTGATTTTTCAATAAAGGTTGACTCTCCCCGGTATCGATATCTTGAGAAATTGTCATTGGTATCTTTCTAAAAGCTATTTATTAGAGTGTTATTATAAGTGCAATTTTGGTATGATGAAAATTTGAAGTGTATAGTGAAGCTTACGTAACTGTGGTATATCTTTTTTACAATTCAAGTTAACAAAGAAAGAAAAAGGAAGTTAAAGGCAAGAAAAAAGATTAAGGATGTACGACCAAGCCTTTTTTTTTTTTTTTTATCGTTGTCGTATTTCAACAGTGTTTCTATGATTTACAAGGAAAAGGTTACATTGGTAAGACGCAAACTTAAAAAGCTTTTTTCGTTTACTTTTCCCCGAAAACTTTTTGAATTTGCGCTCCCCGTTTAAAGACAGTATTGTCGCGCTTTTCACTGCCGTTCTCTTTTCACAACAGTCAGCAATAATGGCTGAAGAGCAAACACTTGAAAGTCTTCGAGACAATTACAGTCTTAAACCCGGAACTAGTTTTGGAAATGCTACTAGCTTTTTCAATGATGTTTATGGCTTTATTCAAGAAGGCCGAAAAAATTTGATAGCGGCCGCGCAGAATCGCGAAGAAAACGATCAATCAGACAAAGTATGCAACTCAGGATTTCAGGATTTCTAGAGCAATGAGAAAGCCCCATATTGTTATTCATACATGTTGCCATTTTTTCAACCCCACTAAAAACGTAGTTAGTCACTATTGACCAGCGATTTAAAAACTTGATCGATCTTGAACGTAAGATGGACCAACAAAAGCAAGCTATTGAAACATTAAAAAGTCAAATTGATAACGGTGAAGTCGTGGTATTGTGGAAAAAGAAAAACAAAAAAAAAAACAAAAAAATGCGATGATCTATATATAGAGCTTTTGCAGAAGTTATTTTGTTAAACTAGATTTGGATTTATCTTTTAGACGGATCCTGTCGCGCACTACGAGACATTATTACATCAAATTGCGCAGGAAGATGAAACTAAGACAGATGAAGAAAAATATTATACAAATCACAGATACATTCAGTTCAGACAAACTATATGGAGTATAAAACACCCTGACGAAGAAATGCCTAGCTTAGTATCTAACGATGATGATGATATTGTAATGGGCCCCACTAAGATTTCACTCAAATGCCCACTTACCACAACATGGTTCGAGGAACCCGTAACAAAGTAATGTTGTAGATACTCAAGTCTTAAGAAAAACATACAAAGGAAATAACAATTGACTTTTCATTACTCTTTGTACGATAATAGTACACCTTGTAGACATACCTTTTCAAAACGCGCAATTTATGGTTTGTTACGATCTGGAGGATCTAGGGTCTGTCCAATCCCAGGCTGTGATAAGACTGTCAGCACAGGAACGTTAGTTCCTGATCCAGTCATGGCTGACAGAGTGGCCAGAGTTAGAGCAAGGGAAGAAGAAAGTGCTAATGCAACAAAGGTAAAACTAAACTATAAAAAGCATGATACCAATCGTTAAAACTGATCATCATTGGATCTATTTTTTCGTAGCGCTTCGATATTGAATGAATACATGAGATATTCAAAGATGTAATAGTAGTAATATACATATATTGTACTTTTTTCTTTTTTTTTTTGTTTAAAGGAAAAGTGACCTTCGCATTGAATTCTGTAAATAGTTATATACCATTCCAGTCACGACATGATCAATAAAAAGATGTATTGCTAATTTTAGTAGTATTTCTGAGGATATTGAAGGTTGTTCGTACTAGAAATAAAGCCTATTTTCAAGCGTTATTATTCCAATATCTTTAACTGCTTTGCATTATTTTTCCCAACCCATCCTCATAATCTCTTGCTTTTGTTACTTACCCATTGCTCTAGCACGTTTAATAGCTTTCGCTAATCTACGCTGATTTTTCGCTCTAACTCCTGTTTGATCCCTTGGTAAAATCTTTCCAGTTTCTGAAATAAATCTTGTCAAAAGTTTATAGTTCTTGTATTGGTGGAGTGGATCGATCCCTAATTGGTCAAAGGGATCTTCCGAGTTGATTTTGGAACTGTTGCGTAGAGTTCGTTGTTGCTCCTTGTAGCGGGTATCATCTAAATCCATTGGGTGATAAGTGTCACCGGGATGATGATACTTCTGGAACCGGTTACTTGCTGCCAACTTCACTTTGTCCTCTGAAAAGTTGAAGCGGAGGAGAAAAAGTAACATTGTTAACATACCATTCTATCGATTTATCGATATATAATACACAATCAAGAATTTGAGCTTACGTTCTTTTGTATTCTGTAATAAATCGCAGATCTTTGATTGTACTTGAGCATTCATGGTTTCTTTGTCTTTTAAAAAAAAAAACAAGTTGCCAGTTAGGACAGGTGTATAAGGTAGGAGAGAGCCAAATCTGACAAAAGCAGAATCCCAATTTTTTAACCTACTGTTAAGTTGTTTTTCTGTTCTTTTATGAACAGCTGCTGATAAGGCCGGTGTTGCCGTTGCAGGTGCTTTGATGACTCTAGATATTGTAGAAAATGCTCGGCTTTGTAATGACATTGTGCGTTATACAGATCCAAGTTTTAAAAAGATGTCTAAACGATAGTGGAGCAAGGGACAATTTTTAGGGAAAAAGTCAACCCCATACAAAGTTGCTGTCAATGGGATTGAAATTCCGAAGCCAATCTTTGAGTTGTTCTGAAATGCCCAAATCTAAGCGACAAAGGCGATGGTTCAATGAGAGCAGATAATGCTTTTAGCTTTTTCTTTAAGGCATGTTGAAATGGGTGATAAAGGTACTTCTTTTCTGTAAATGGCATCTATAGCAATAGACATAATAATGCTCTTTTGAATTTTAAACGGCTTACTCATTTCAATAAAAAGTATTGTTCATAAAATAGTTCTCTTCTAATTTAGAGTGATTTTATAATCATTTTGTGTAATTTATTTCTTTATTCAATATAGCAATGAAAGCGTTCTCTTTTAATCGGAAAGTGAAGACAGTAACTGGTTTGCCTCTTCACAAGCTTCTTTATATCTTTGCCATATAGGTAACTCATTATCCGTCTGTGAATCAAAATCAGTATGCTCACTAGAAACAGGGGAAGTACATCTGCTAACTGTAGCCGAACTTCGTGCAGAATAATCTATACCACCAACATGTCCTTCCAAGTATATCATGAACAAACTGTTCAATAATTCTGCCTGTTGAGAGGTCAACGTTCCTTCCGCCATAACATTCGGATTCTCTGTAAAAGATAGCCAAACTTCCTTAAATGTTTGGTAGAGTGGGTCTTCTTGGATGTAATCGGGACCGATTATCATTTGAGCTTGCTGAGCAATTTTAATGGCATCTTGTAGACCTATTGTTCTAAGCTCCGGATTGATTGCCTTCATATAAGCTTGTCTATTTAAAATCTTATGTAAATAATGATAAGAATACAAGAAATGAAGATCAGAATTAGTGCTCTCATGATTCGATCTATTGATACTTATTCAAGGTTGTTCGTCCCCATTTCTTATTTACCTGTAGACAAGCCTTCCCAAATCTCTTTACCAAATCATTGAAAGAAATAGATTCCAATCCAGAGTAAGCAGTTGACAAATCGGTATCTAACATCACTTGTGTTTTCCATGAAGCTTCTACTCTCTTCGTATCCAAAAATTGCTGCAAAGCATTGGCGAAATCCTTCTTTGAGAAATATATCAAAGCTTGAGTAATCATAGTGCCGATAGCCGAATAAGATTCATATTCTTTCCAGATTAATTTCAACTCACTATCTTCTTTAGCAGCTTTTTCATCCACAATATAGTCAGCTTCGATTTCATCCTCATCAACGTTGTTATCAACCATATTGTATCTTTCGCTAGGTGCCTTATCTTTTGAATATAGCAAATACAAATGTTCCAAATTTAGATGATGTTGAGTACGAGCTAAAAATACCTCGAAACTATAAAAATTTGAAGCCATTCGTTAGCAGCAATGAAACAAACAAAAAATCCAACACGTTGTGGTATTTTTACCTTTTAAGGAGACGATAATCATCTTTGGGAAAGGTAGAAACTCTAACAATCTCATTATTGACACGATCGCGTAGTTTCAAAAATGGTTGTCCTGAGAATAAATACGAAGAATTATTGCTCTGATGGTTAGATTCAATTTGAACTTGATTGCTATCTTTGTCGAGTGTCGGTGGTGCGTGACTTAAGAAGGGATTGTTAACATTGAATGTATGTGTTGGGCTTGTTGCATTTCTGTTAATCGCAGACACAAAAGGATTATTGTAATTAGGAGAATGATATGTCATGTTTTCGTCTATTACATGCTCATTTTCATAATGAACAGAGCCTTGCTTTTCACGTAGGGGAATATCCTCCTCTATTGTTGAATCCTCATACGCTGCTTTCGAAATGTTATGGAAGGGCGATGTGTATGACGTGGCGGATGGCCCTATGGGTTCCTCTACAACTACTTCATCCATTATTGTTGAGGGATTGTTATAACTGTATAGTTCTTTCTCAAACAGCTCATTATCTGCAGTAATGAACTCCTACAATAAATTGATTACCAGTATTATTCACCCTAGTCCATGATATAGGTATTATAATAAACCCTTACTTTGAGTGTGTTGGGCATCCAATCGTTGTAAAGTTGTTCTTTCGTGAACCTCGGTAACGTCTTGGCATTGCTATCTGCAGCCGTGTACAGAAGAGCGAAAGGTGATACAGGATCAGCATAAATGTCATTTTCAGTAACAGGCTCAACCGATGCATCACAGAACTTGAACCAACCCCCTCCCCTGGCATGTTCGTCACAATTTCGTTGCTCACTTTTAGCATCCAAGGGTATATCCTGCAATAAATTCTCCTCCGCAGGTTTAGCGGGTTCTACCCAAATGTAGGCCCAATGGTGTCCTGTTCCGCTTAAACCATCATGATGGAATGACGCTCGCAAAGAGTAAGGGTAATCTTTTAAATCATCCCTATTGTTGAATATGCTGGCCATCTTTTGTTGATGGCTTTCAATACGAGCCTCCAAGTCCTCTATTCTTGCCACAATTGACTGTTTGATTTTGCTTATAGATGACTGAACAAGTTCAATATCTTCTGGCGTTAATGGATCCTCTCCACTCGTATCATCTTCTTCCTCAAACTGCTGCCTAGAACAAAAATGATCCATTGCTAAATCAAGAATGCTTGGCATGCTCAGGGTTTGAAAATTATCGTGATGGCTAGCATTGCTGCTATTGCTTAATCTCTCCAAGTCAAGCCGACATTGGCGTATTTCTTTACGATAAGTATCCATTTGTTTAAATCCTTCTAATGATATAGCTTTCTTTTCCTCTAAATATCTGTCAAAATAAACTGTTTGCTCGATATTAAACCTCGTTGTTCTTTTTTCATCTCTGTCTTCCAATATTATCATCAAAATAGGCGGTATTTCTGTGAAAGTTGTGAATCTGTACTGCTCCTTTTCATCTGTCTCTTGCTCTGAATCAGATATGGATGGGTCGCACTCATCTCTGTTTATTCCATCCTGTTTAATTTGATGTGGCTCAAGAGATTCATACATTAAGGGATCTAAACAAAGATGGATCGAATTCATATGCTCATGTATGTTGAGTGTTAGGAAGTTGACTTCTTCAGTATCCTCTTCATATCCGTATATAACTTTTGCTTTCCACTGGAATAGCCTTTTCGAAAGTCAGTGTTATAATGTTTGCTACATTTCGTCGTCTTCAAATTCAAATTGAAATCTTACCGTTTAAGATTTGCTTCATAATCGATATCGTCCGAATAATTGCCAGCTTCCAACAAGCAAGTGATCAACATCTCGATAAACGCTGAAAAGCGTAAGGAAACAAGATCAATAATTCATCGTTTGGGTTCATCAAGAAAAACTTAATCATTTACCATCAAATGACTTCTCATTATACTTCCAATCTAGTCGACTATTGTTGTTAAGACTTGTACGAGGCATATGAATAGCTACTGATGCTTCCTGGCCACTAGCATTCAATGCCCTGGTAAAATGAGCAATATTCCCGTATCTCCGTTTTGAGAACCCCAAAAATCCGAATATCTTTTGTAATTCTGCTAGCGCTTGAACTGATTTGGGTACACATTGCAGTTCATTTTCATAACGTTCTTCGTATTCTACTTCCTCTATGTTACTAGCGAATGGTGTGCTTGTGATAGTTTCATTGAATGGGGTATCCATATGCTCAATATTCCAGTCCGTCAAATTGTCATTATTGAAAGAATTATCCTCATGAAGCGTTAACTTCTGCATTGTATCAACAGCAACGTCTACATTCACTAGATTGTCTACTGTTTTATCAGTGATGTAATCAGTGTTACTATAATGGCTATTAGCACTCGAAACTGATTCTGTAGGTATGATTGATGTCGGTATCTCTGATGCGATAGGTAGTGTCGGTGCTGTCGTTGACAAGCTGTAATCAGTACCACTCGTCGATTTAACGATCGGTACTTTCGTCTTCACCTCCCGCAAAATATAGCCTGGTACAGGTTCACCATAACCACGCCAATATTCTTTCGACGTTGAAGCATGAGCGTGATCACCACCATAAGTGTAAGGTATAGGTCGATAAGCGAGTATCAATTGCTGAAATGCTGTGATATGAAATAGAGCTTGAATCAGTATTGGTGAATAAGCGCAATTGGAGGAAGGAGGCCTCAATCCAATGGGTATATTTCTAAGCGCTTTTCTCTCATTAGGGTTTTCAGGGTCACTCCACCATGTAAGTGAATTATATCTTCCTGCGACTGAAGTCTGTGCTGTCATTGTTGAATGTGAAGAAGCAGCTGAGAAAGAAGAAGAAGAAGAAGAGGGTGGTATAGAAGTTACGTTCGGCTCTTTGGCAGTGAAAGGAACGACACTCCAATCCGGAGCGGCAGCAGGCTTTTGCGAAGTAAAAGTAGCTGCTTTATCAAGGTAAGCCTTCGGTGCAGTGGTATCTAAAGTGTTTAATGCCATTTAATTAAACGAGATTCATGCAAAATTGCACCTTGTGCATTATCTCATAAGCTTACGGTTTTCTTGCTCTTCAAGACTGAATCTGATGGCCATTTCTTTATCTGTTTCCATTTTCTCATCGATTACCTTTCGAAGACAAGAAGAAGGGTGGTAGTGGGAGGAATAACATTGTTAATAAAATGAAATGTACATAATAAAAATTTGAAAGTATTTGAATAAATTACTGAAGCATCGATATTCATATCATTATTATAATCTTCATCGTCCTCATCACTCAGTTCTGCACCAGAGAAAATATAATCAGCAGCTCTAGCTACATCATTATTATATCTCTTATGGAAAGCAGTATCAATAGGAAAAGATCTGAATCAATTTAAAACTGTATATCGCTTGAAATATTCTGTCAGTTGGCATATATTTACTGCTAAGGCTCTTTTCGCTTGTCCTCTTGTTACACCCTTAAACGAGAAAGCGTGATAGCATAAAAATCATCAGCATGCATCAATAGGCTAATGAAACCGAAATAAAGGTCGCTCATAGCTTACCAAAACTTGCAATTGGTTTATGGCATCTTCCATTGTTGGTACCGTGCTGATTGACTTTTTGTTGAAATTTCCACAACGAACAAAAAAAGGTAAAAAAAAAAAGAAATAGGAATAGTAACTAATTTTTTATCTATTTATTTTTCTTTGTATTCTTGTGAGTTGTAATCAATTATTCGGAGTTGAGGCGTATGGTTGTTCTGTTGCTATAACAATGAACATAGAAGGGTTAATCAGAAACAAGTCATTTGAAGATTGTTCGAGCTAAAAGTGAATCTTGCCAGAACACAAAGATGCCTTCCTCCATTGTACGTTGTCGTCTCAGCGGCAGTTTGGCAGAATTGTCCACATACAATAAGGTAAATGATTTTGATTGGCTAAACAGCTTTGTAATTTAAATTCATATTGTTGAATGCAGCCGTATCTCATAAACTTCTTTTAACTCCACAATAGCATAAATCGAACAACGTGAATCATACAACATGAAGAAAAAAGAGAAAGTACGCGGCTTTTTTTTAAAGCTGTTCGAGCCTTATCTACAGTGTTAAAATCAACTTTGCTCAACCATATTCTTCTTCTTTCTTATTGAAGGTATTGCTTATGGGCAAGAGTGGATCTGGAAAAACGTCTATGCGTTCTATTATCTTTAGCAATTATATAGCCCGAGATACGCGAAGACTAGGAGCTACAAGTAACATATGAAACAACATATTGTCTTTATTGTTAGACAGCTAGATTGACCACTCACTATTGACAATGATAACTTCAGTCGATGTTGAACATTCAAATGTCAAGTTTTTGGGGAATTTGGTACTTAACTTATGGGACTGTGGAGGGTAACGCTTAACTGACTATAATGAGGGTGGTCTCAGCTAATGCCTTCTAGTTGATTAATTCCAAATTATTCTTTTCAATTCACAGACAAGAAGCGTTTATGGAAAATTACTTTGCCTCACAAAGAGATAGAATCTTCAAAAATGTTGAAGTGTTGATTTATGTATTCGACGTGGAGAGTAGGGATTGGGAAAAGGATCTACATTATTATCAGTCTTGCCTAGAAGCCATTCAAACCAACTCGAAAGAAGCGAGGATATTCTGTTTAATACACAAAATGGACTTAGTACCAGAGCATCAAAGGGATCAAGTGAGTCATTTAAGTAACTTATTTATGCTTCCAGGTTGGTAGGAAAGCAAGACGCGTTTCTAATGGCTATTGTATTTGGCTATCTTGAATGGGTGTAGGTGTTTGAACAAAGAGTATTAGAATTACAGCGACGATCGGAACCACTATCGATACAAGCATTTAGTACATCAATATGGGATGAAACTCTGTATGCTGTAAGTGATATAGAAGTGGCTAGTGATAAACAAAATGAAGCGTCAAAATAGAAGCTTCCTTTTGACTATTTTTGTACTATAGGCTTGGTCAAAGATTATTCATTGCTTAATACCCAATATTCGCGTACTAGAATCACATTTGAGTCAATTCTGTCGTATATGTGATTCCGATGAAGTAGTTTTATTCGAGAGAACAACATTTTTAGTGATTGCTACAGCCGCTACAGTACCACATCAGGATCATCATAGGTTCGAAAAGATCAGCAATATCATTAAGCAATTCAATCTGGGGTGCAGTCGCTCACAGACAAGGTTCAAAAGTATGGAAATAAGAGGAAGTAGTTTTACAGCGTTTGTCGACGTCCTGACAAATAATACATATATCATGGTGGTTATGTCAGACCCAAACATACAATCAGCGGCCACTTTATTGAATATAGCAGCAGCTAAAAAGCATTTTGAAAAGCTTGAGGTTCAGAAATAAAGCGAACTGGCTTCTGTATAAATCTATAGTAATAGGTCTTTGCATAATATATCTATCATTATCATTTGATCGTTTATGATCGCTGAGAAAGTGTCAGTGTAACCCATATGGAAAATACGACGTTGAATTGAAGCGGTAATACAACTTTATAAGTCTCCTGCAGCAAAACTGATGGAACCGTTTCATTAAGCATGATGTTGCATCGAAAGATGTTCTTGATTGTTTTGTATATTTCTTCTCGTCTTTTCTTTTTGTTAACACTATTAAGTGTTCCAAGAAAGATAGAAACAGATGAAAACTGTTACTTAGCACGTTAAAAGACGATAGGTTCGCAATATAGCTGTAAAAGAATATCAATTTTCTTTTTTAACAAAGAGAAATTTCTACTGACGTATGCCGTTTAATTGACAAGAAAAAAGAATTAGGAAAGTTCAATTTCTGCGTGAATGTCCTCTGTATGCGGAGAATAAGTTGTTTTCAGTTGCAAACGTCATGCATTAGATAAAAGAGTATTTTTACAACTTATTGCATTTGTCTTGCTGTTGACAAAGCTGTGCAGTTAGTAAAATTTCTTTTTTTATATGTTACGGCTGATGCCCTTGCCTCACTTAAAAGTATAAAAAAGCTAAACCAATGAAAATCGTTCTTAATGCAAATCAGAAAAAGCAAATAAATCTCGATTCTTGTCTTTTTTTCTTTCTCCTCGTCAGCTTATTCTTCCCTTCTTTCTTTCCATTACTATATCTATCAACTTCTCCATACATTGCATAAAGTCTGTAATTTACACTATGACGAATAGAGCAAGGCGTTACCATCAAAGTTCTTCTTTGTCACAATACCCAAGAAGATACTCTTATCCGCCTACCAGAAATGTCGTGCCTGCAGCATTTTTTCCAGGCCACTCCAAAAAGCCCTTCGTAGATAATATCGTTTATCCTTTGACTGAAGAGAATCTGGCAATTCATACAAGTTGTGTGAGTTAAAATGTTAATCACATACATAGAATATCAATATAGCTAATATATCTCCCTGTTGATTGTCTTAGATGGCTCCTCAAAGTCAGGAAGAGAAACTTCGTAACTTGATACTATTTGTACAAAATCAACATAATACCCTCTTAGAGCAACAACAACAACAACAACAACAACGAGAGCCAGGCGATGATTCAATCCGCTTCGTGAGGACTGACTCAGTAGCATCGTTCAGAGACGACGGTGAGCAACTTCAGCACTACTGCGGCAACAAAAATTCGAAAGAGATCAAGAAGACAAATTGGTTAAAGAAGTTCGCAAAGTGGCTCCGCACATCGGATCAGCAACAGCAACAGGAACGAAAACCAGAAGTTAAGAACAAAAATAAGAGTAGACGTCATTTGTCATGGTCAGCAGGCATTAATTTAAAGAAGGCTCACACTGTTGACCTATTACCTGATCAACAACAACATAATGCGTTCAAGAAACGAGACTCAGGCTTTTCTTCACGGTTTTTTTTCCATTCTATAAGCAATGAAAATTGCAATAAACGAACCAACCAACAACAACAGCAATTGAATTCTATACCTATCATTAGACAACCCAAATTCTCCTCGTACAATGATGAAAATACCAACCACGCTTTCCCTGTCAACAATCCAAGTAGCACTAGAAGAAAGAGTTATCATATGACAAGGAATCCTGCTTCCAACGCAGCATTACTTTTCGAGGAGACGGGTAATAGCAGGGTACAACCTTACGTTGCAGTTTAGAATACCAAACAAATTCCCCTTGTCTGTAAATAGCTTTCTCTTAATCAATATCAACAAACATAACTACTCATATTGCCTACACTATGATAATCATTCGCTTATGTTATAATCTTCAAAAAAACGTACTCAAATGCAGTTTATTCATATTCATCGCATAATTTACAGGGTAATAACGCGTCCTTCATCATTACTTTGTTGAGCAAGTTCAATGATACGTATACAATTCATACCATCTTCAGGCTTAACTGCCAAATGAGAGGGATCGTTTTTCAAGATAGCTTCTGCCACATTATTGTAATAACTTAAATAGCTACCCTTTTCGGTTGTAACTTGGCCAACAATATGGACACCGTTGATGTCACTGTTGATGGTACCATAGCTGCTGGCACTTTCCACGCCAAATCCATCATCAGCAGGCACTTTGCCACTCTTCAACTGGTCTTCTTGCACATCCAAATTGTTCTTCACGAAAGAACCATTCATACCTCTCAAATGAAAACGCAATTTAGGATCGTGTCGAGCTAACATGCTGGAACGTAAAATAGCCTTCAAATGCTTGTGTTCATAATTGAGAATAATTGTGAAATCGTCAATAACATTTGTTTCCTTGAGTTGTCGCTGATTACTTAGAGTGGCATAAACAGAAGTAGGCAGGCCAAATAGATGCAATGCTTGATCGATCAAGTGAGCACCCAAATCATAAAGCATACCGGAACCAGGAGCATCATTTTGTTCTCTCCATCCTTGTTTCATAAAGTTACGGAAGCGGTCAAAGTGGGATTCATACTCAACGAGGCGACCCAATTGTTCTCCTTCAATTAACTTCTTGACAGTAAGGAAGTCACCGTCCCATCGACGATTTTGGTACACACTGCAAACACGTTTGGTTTCCTTGGAAACTTTGACGAGTTCTTCGGCTTCCTTTGATGTAATAGTGAAAGGCTTTTCAACAACCACTATTTTTTATCAAACGCACAATTTTCACTTCAGTAAGCAAATCATGGATCGGTTGCCTCTGTCTATCATCGTGTATAAAGCTTACCGTGCTTTCCCTTCTTCATAGCTTCGAGGGCTAAGGGATAGTGTGAGCCGTTTGGAGTAGTAATTACGACCAAATCAATAGAGTCGTCAGCGAAGAGCTCATCAGTGCTCTTTTTGACATTGATCCAGGGATACTTTTCCTTTGACTTGTCACTATGGCGTTCAACCACAGCAGACAAATGTAGATAAGGAGAAGATGTAATCAAAGGACAATGGAAGACACGAGAAGACATGCCTATTCAGGAAAGAAAAGACGCGTTAGGTGGATCAAGCTTCCTCTTTGTTCTTTGCCTCGGTACATCATTCTCACTAGCAGCTTACCAAAACCGACAACACCGACGTTGACCTTTTGTTGATTATCTGCCATGATGGAAAAATGTTATGCTATGCTAAAAATACTATGAAATAGGAATGAAAAGAAAGTTGGTAAAATTTCCTTCCCCATCTAATACCTCTTTTTATGGTATTTTAATGGCGGGAACAGCAGTCAGGCAAAGACACTTTCCTGGCGTCATAATTTCCTTATATATAATTAAACGGGATCTAAATTTTTTCCCGCTCATTCTTCCCAGTTTACAGGTTTTTAGTTTCGGGTTGAAACAAAGCTAAAATAAACTGGGCAGAAAATATTAAATTTTTGGGACATTTGAGTTGATGTTTGAAAATTGAAATACACTAAAATGAAGACGCTTACCTGTAAAAAATCGAGCCAGTTTCGTTCTGGAGATACTAGGAAATGACTAAAGTGTTGTCCTTCCAAATCGAAATGCTGATAAACATCATGTTTCTTTTTGCTGCATTGATATTGCGGTTCTATAGTATCTTACAAGTTTTGCAAACAAGGATACTACAGTCATGGACGGTGTCAAATGCTTCTAATGTGTCTGAGCAACCAAATGGATCTCTTCACCCTGATTCTTATGCTTTTCTTCAACAGATCTAAGTTTCTGTATAGTAGAACTTTTGAACATGAATTGGGCTGAAAATTACAAAGAATGAGGAATACGAAATGGAACGGATCTTTAACCCGCTTAAAATACAACTTCATTATAATATAGCTTGGCAACAAAAATGCGAGAAAAGCGTTGCTGAACGACGCGTCTCAAGATTATTCAAGAATGGTAATCTAAAAGGATGACAAACATAGTTAAAAAAAGTTGTCGCCTTTGTCTAGAAAAAAGCTTCAATTAATTTGAATTTGCGTTTTATTCTGTCTAAAAAATTAGGAGCTGTTGAAATCTTAACCAATAAAACTGCATTTTACATTGCCCTAAGCTTCTGTAGCCCTCCTGCTTAATAATCAGAAAATGTGACTTGTTTTGTAGCATTATTGCTTAATAGTTTATTGATAATGAGTAAATCTGAAGCAATTACATAGCAACTAGCGAGCTTTTGCTTCTCCAAAGATCTTTCAGCAGCGAAGAAAGATCCATTGAAATATCTTTAGGCATTTTTACGTAGCCGCCATTGTTTAATTGACACCCTATGTGTTTCGTCACATTGCATTTACCGTCTAACAGACTGTGAAGACTAACGTGAATCATGCTTTGGAAAGTTGAGAAAGTCGAGAATTTTTTTATTTGATTTTTGTTTGTCATCATTTCATCTTCACCTATTGCGTATTGCTTCATAGCGCCAGCTAGTTCTCCATAACCATTCTGCATTCAACGTAATACAGAACATTTCGTTGATATGGGTATGATAAGGGTTATTAGATGTTATTTCGAGAATAGCTGTGCCCTAAATGAAACCCGGCAAATAGTGCTTATGTTGGTATATTATCTGTAATCTGGCCTCCATCCGTCTTTCTGTTGTTGCATGGTGCTTCCTTGATGGTTCTTGGCTTTGAGCGTCTATATGGAGAGCATGCAATGACTTATCTTTTGGCCTCCTCTACTTGCTCGAGGGCTTAGCAGCCTGCGTTTGGCAATCAGTCTCAGTATTTACTGATTAAATGAGAACGAAGGAATGTGCTAGACCCTTGTCTTTCCAAAATGATTGTGAAACTTAACTGTTGTCATTGAAAGGTTCATGTGGGTTGTTACTACTCACCACAGTCAACACAAATATTTATCCCAAGTACATGCCCCATCATGTCAATTGAAGACATAATATGTTTTGTCTACAGAACAAAAAGAAGAATATAATGACTTTGCTTCCGACTATTGTTCGTTGCTGCTTCCTATTTGTCTTTCAAATGTACTTTGCTTTTCTACAAGATATGCTTAACTATACTTATAGATAGATTATTGATGATGTGATAAGGCGTTGTCAGAGAACCAAAAGACTTTTATTGTAGTCGAATTTTAACGTTATACATCTTTCGAGCATGCTCGCTCACTATTGCTTATACAGTACGTTATTACGATCGTATTCAAGCAGATAAAGACCTCTGACATGTTTGTTTAAGAAATCATCATGTATAATAATGTTCGCGTCGGCTTTTCATACAATGAAACAAACAAGGCATTGGTTGTAATTACCTCAAATGCAATATCAGCTTGATTGTTCATCGCTCAGATTGAAATTGACGATACACTGAGAAGACTCACGATAGCGAATATGATAGTGCCCGGTCTAAAGTTGACAGTGTAAATAAATTTATGGCTTTCTAAAGCTTACAATTCTTTTTTTTTTTTTTTTTTTTTTTTTTTTTGCAGTCTACGTTTTCTTTTTGAGCATAGCAAAATAAAATACCTATGAAAAGAGGGTAAAAATAGGTAATGCTGTCCTACCATCGAAAATTGCAGACAGGAGTATATCGTGAACTTGAACGAAGAGTGAAAGGTCAAATACACATCCGTTACAATAGCCAACATTGTGAAAGAGAACTCTAATATGAACCAATAAAAGGCTATTCTTAGCTTTCAATTTACGCAGGTAAGTTCGCAGGAACCACAGAATAATCATCCTTGCTCTATAGATTCTACTTTTGTCATTTCACTTTTGAAAGAGGCTTGCTGCTAAGAAGACGAATAGATAGATATATGAAACGAGTTGTTTCATGTAGGCTTTGGCTTTGAAGCAATCAACAATAAAAACTGATACTATGATTGCCCTATTTAATATTACGTTAAGGTGAACCTCCAGTCCCACCCTTTCTCGCCAGAATATTGTTTTTATGAGCTTGTTACCTACGATATGCTTGATCACAAAGAAGTTTCTCACCATTAGCTTGCTTGCAAATAAGGCAAGTTAGAGTCGGACTTCAATGAGCAAGCACATTGTCAGTTAACTATGTATTTCGCAGAACAAACTATTTTTGTTCCTTTTTTTTTGTCATCTAGTTTCCTTTTAAAAAAGAATGAGGCTTGATGAGTTCATACTTCATATTGTTAAAACTTTGAAACAATTATACTAAGGATTGCATTCTGATTCAAAGAAGATAGGTGGATGTACAAAAAATAGCAAGGAGTTGGTAGAAGACCCAGATGATACAAGAGGTATACCGTCAATGATAATGTTGCCTAGACTATTTTCAATGGATTACACTTTATTCGAGTAATCATGTCCCGAAAAATTAATCTCCATCACGCTGACCATACGTCAAACGACAAAAAATCATTTCAGATAAGGAGGCAATAATTAGGGAAAATCTGTTGTATCCAAGACGTAATAATACTGATTACATTTTTATTACTTGATTGTTGCAGAATAATAAAGGGGGATATGATATCTTAAGATAAAAAGGAAGATTAATGCACCGTAGGAAAAGGAAGAACGAAACAGTAGTATTCGTGTACAGTCAATTTCAGGAAATGACTGTAAGTAGGGAAAAAAAAAAGAACCGGCTTTGTAAGCTGTCAGTGCTGTTCGTTTATCGCTTCTTGGTCGTACGAGGTTTGATCTCTTCATCTTTGACAGCGTGTAAGTAGATCTTATTGGTATTAGAAGGTAATGCTTGTTTATAACCCTGCAACCATCAAATTTTCCGATTAGTAAATTGAAGAGAAGGATTAGTTTATTATTATAACATACCTTTGACCAGTCGTAACTAATAGCATATGCATATATACTGCCATTTCTGTTGAAGGTTGTACAAGCAATTTGTCCATTTGCCTTAGGGAAAGGCTTTAATCTTTGCTTAGAGTCCTTATCCCAAAAACTGACAGTACCATCACCGCCTGCTGTAGAAAATGTTCCGTGTACGGGATGAAAGCTAATATCATTTACTGCATATACATTCTTTGCTTCATCTCGATGACACTTGAACGAAAAGTTTTTACTGAAACATATGTTAGCCCATCAGTATTCTGCCATGAATCCTACTTTTCAAAACTTACGATGAATCTCTGTCCTCGACATATTGAATACCAACTCTTCCTTCAATCGAACCAACAGCAAAACCTTTGCTATCAGAGAAACAAGAAACGACACGCGTTTGCCATTTTAATGGTGATGCGATATTCTATTCGAGAAATTAAGTAAGTAATTGTAGATGCGAAATTCTAAGACAATATGATATGATGAAGTCATTCTCTTCTATTTCGCTTTTTCTTTTTTTTTGCTGCTCCTTTCGTGATGTGGGAAGGAAAAAATTAAAAAATATACTTACTTTGAAAATGACTGTAGGATTGTTCAAATCAAATATACAGAGATGTTTCTCAGCGGTGCCAACAACCATTAAAGGCCCCTTGGAATCCAATGAATAACAACGTTCTGGTAACTGAACTGTACCCACAGGTGTAGGGGAGCGAGTATCCCAATATCGAATCGTCTTATCCCAGCTACCTGTAGCAACAATATTACCTTGATCCAGAAATTTTATACTTTTGATCGTATCATCGTGTTGCGCAATTTGTGTTGATTGCCCAGTTGAAATATCGTACATTCTGCCTGCTTTATCTGCGCCACCTGATACGACTTTTGTACCGTCCTGCAGCAATCAAACAAAATACATTTTTGTGAATATCGCAATAAATACAAGATTTAAATAAATAGTTATTTGTCAAAAGGTGGATGATATTTACTTTGCTCCAACTAACACATAATGCGGGGGCTTCATGACTGTAAGCTGCTTTTGGTACAGTTGCACCTGAAGGTTGAACTTCATAGATACGAACCTAGCATAAATTTATAGTAACGTTAATAAAAATTACGACAAATATCTATCGTCTGTTCTGTGGTTGTACAATTCTAGAAATTGTTACTTTACTTGATTGTCCCAAGACGAAACTGAAAGAAAATCGGCTTGAGGTGAGAAATCTAAACAAGAGATGCCGTCGCTTGGAGGAGAAACAACCTTTGTATTTCATGAAAGGGTTATATATTAGTGATTTAGTATTAAAATTTTATTTCCTATACCGATTAAGTGAAGAATAACGTTTTCTACCTCGAAATCTTTTTGATCCAACATGGCAGGTTTAAAAGAATGTACAAGCTTAAGCACGCGTAAGATGGAAGAAGAAAAAACAAATTTTTTTAGCGGCCCCACTGATAGCATTTGGCATTAAGTCCAGAGTTTTTTAAAGTCAGCAACTTCAATTCTTTTACTTCCTGTGGTTTTGGTTCAATTGATGAATATGAAGAATTAGCATTTCATACTCCCATTATCATTTTCCAAGTGAATGACAGTTACTATTGAAATTTAGGCTCATATGATAGACGCTAATAGAGGTTTTAGGCTGTATACGATAAATTGTTCGTATGCTTTTATCATTCTAATGGTGGTACTTCTTTGCTCAAATACAACACTGATTGATATAGCCTACTGCAGCAATAGTAGGTAGCTCTAAAAGCTAGACTTTTTGAGGGCTTACAAATGCTATCTGAGCTAGTTGAGGAGAGTTCTAAAGAACAAATGCATTTGGCTCCACCGTTGAAATGTTCGGCCCTAATCTAGTTCCTGGATTCAAGTGCGGAGAATTGAAGTGGAGCGGAGTAGAATACTCAAAAATGGTTATGGCATTTTTTATCAGGATCCTTACAATAACCACTGCTTATGAGACTTATTCAGAAATCATTCAAACTCACGAGGGGGTTGGCGACATTCAATAAACCGTTACGCGTATTAGGCATAGAAACTTCATGTGATGACACCTCGGCTGCGATTGTCACTTCGGATAAAAAGATTCTAGCAGAAACTGTAAAAGGACAACAGGAATTACATGAGCCAATGGGTGGTGTAGTTCCAACATTAGCAAGCAACGGTCATTCACGAAACTTGCCAGGTGTCATCTGCGAGACGCTAGATAAGGCAGGTCTGTCTATTCATGATCTTGATGCTATTGCAGTGACCAGAGGACCAGGTTTGCCACCCTGTTTGCCTGTTGGCCTAAATGCTGCAAAGACCTTAGCAGCCGTCAACAAAAAGAAATTGATTGGAGTGCATCATATGGTAATATAGAACTAGAATGCTCCCTGATCGTGTCATTAAATGCTTATTTAAATATAGGAAGCGCATGCTTTGACAGCACGCTTGACAACAAATTCACAAAGTGAACAGCCTGCACCAGCCTTCCCATTCATGGCATTACTCATATCTGGAGGACATACACTTCTTCTCACAGTAAACAATATCGGTGATTACAACCAATTAGGAACAACGCTCGATAACTCAGTTGGAGAAGCGATTGACAAAACCGCAAGACATCTAGAGCTGGATTGGATAAAAGGAAGAAGAGGTGGCCCAGGAGCAGCTTTAGAAAAGGCAGCTTTGAATGGCGACCCTGAAAGATTTTTATCGCATCTACCGAAGCCAATGCTACAGAGGAACAAATCTGTCATTGCTTTTAGTTTCTCCGGTTTAAAAACGGCCGTCTCTAGATTAATAAATATAGATAAATGCGTAGATTTGAAGAAGCCAGAAGATGTTAGTGATATTGCTGCCGCCTTTCAAACAGCCTGCATTCGTCATTTGGAACAAAAAATAACTTTGGCTTTCGAACAAGAGTTGGTGCAATTAAAGAAACCGCTGACTGCATTAGTTGTAAGCGGTGGCGTGGCAAGCAACACGTTTTTTAGGACGAGGTACGAAAAATTCACCTTTTCTCAATATACTTCGTGTTATACTAACCGTTCATCAATATTGTAGGTTAAATGTATTGGCGCAATCGTACGGACTGCCGTTAATATGTCCACCACCACATCTTTGTACGGATAATGGGGTCATGATCGCTTGGGCAGGTATTGAGAGACTACAGGCTGGATTAATTGATGATTATACAATTACTACCTTGCCAAAATGGCCGTTGGAGTCATTAAAAGAAGCAAATAAGAAATAGACAATGACGAATTGTAGACTGGACTAATGCAATTTCTTTTCAAACTCTCAATCACTGGTCCGCCTAAATTCTTACTACTAGTTTGTCTTCCATAAGCTCTTATAGCAGCTCGAGTATGCAAACTATCTATACCCTAACGCTTTAAAGCAATAATTTTATATATAACAATTCCGTTGTTTTTTATTGAGCTTGCGAATTAAAATTGAACACTTCATGCACCTTATCAAATTGGACACTTCATTCAGTCATGATTTCTCTCTCTGCGACTTCACCGAAATCTTCAAGTGTAGTGGTAATTATCTTTCTAAAGGCTTCAGAGCTGGTACCTTCATAATTATTCCACGATGAAATGCTCATACGCACACGTTCTTTACCAATTGCATAATTGATACCGTAACCTTCGGGCACAACGGCTGCAAATCCTCCCCATGAATAATCTCCCGGTGATGTATTAGACGTTGATAATTTCCAATATTGCGAATCCCAGTAAGATGAGTCTTTGAAAATAGTAGCTGCATTAGATGCTGCTTCATCTTCCGTCATTTGGCTACGGAGACCAAGTAAATGACGGTCAACACCATGTCCATTACTAGCTGCTTTCATATATTCTGAATGGCTGGCAATAGCTTCCTTTAGTAATCTTAATTTATCTTTCATCTATCGTGAATGAGTTGGTTGGATGCTTTTAGTAATTGATGTCTTGAGCAATTCATGGACTTGTACCTACCTTAACATCCTTATTATCCCAAGCTTGTACAAATGCAACAGACTCCAATGTACAGCTTCGAACTGTTTCCGTACGCCCTGCTATAAACTTACGCGTTGAAGCAGACTCGTAAGTTGGACAGTGTGTCCCAGTATGTCGGTAATAAGCAAGTTGATATATCATTTGCATCCAGCTGTCTGGGCTAATCTTGGCTTTTTTCATAAAATCTGAACCATAATTGCCATAGTGTAGTAAAACACTGTCAAGATTTTCAATCAAAGCTGTTGCATTCTTTTCTGCGTTTCTGATACTTCCATTCAAATTGTTGGTAATATCCCAAGTTAATAGTCGGGGCTCTTCGACATTAACAAAGGAGTTAATCTTAATGTCTTTGAAAGGCTCTCTAAAGATTGATCGCTTTAGCTAGGCATGTCGGACAATAGGTTTGCAGAACCTGCATTTACCTTTCTAATACATCTTCAACAACTCGTAGTGGAACAACTGCATCTATTGGCGAGTGCTACATAGAACTACGCTGTTAAATCTATGCAAGGATTTTACGTATGCAGAAGATTTTACCTCTCCGTTGACACCAGCTCGACCATTATTCTCTACAATGAATTGTAAACACTTGTCGAACCATCTGTTTCTTCCTTTTCTGCCATGAAATATATTTCTATGCGATGAATCAAGTTCGATTGGCGAGCTATAGTCATCGAGACATAGAGTGAAGATAGATCGATCAATTTCTTCCAAAGCTTTTGCGTTGGTTCGCACTTTTTGCAATTGTTGCCTGATCTATATATTGCTTTAAAATTAATGCAAATGCTGTTATAATCGCACTGATTGTACTTACAGAACCCCATGTATCTCGATGCTCCGTTGTCAATAAGCCTACAGGTGGTTGTCGCTGCTCCAAAGGAGTTTTATCAACTTGGTTAATCACACTTTGTAATTGGCTTATATATTCGCATGTTAGGTTTTCAATACTTTATCATCTTGAAAGAGGAAAACTTTTTATAATACCTCTCTAAGACATTTAGTGGCAGCGACTGACCAATGGAATTGATTACCTGCACCGAGAATATTTGATCTTTATAAATTACAGTAATATGTTTTGCTAGGCAGGGCCATTGACTCGATACAGTATCAATGTATGGATCTGCTATACGGGTTGTGCCAAACATGCCTTTCAACTGGTGCATGCATAAGGGTCCAGAACGTGTCATATCAGGAGGTATTTCCTCGCTGTTTTTCAAAAAAAAAAAAAGAGTTAGATCATCAATAGCAATCGTAGTATACGCTGCATGTTTCATTTTCTTACTTATTAATACGGTTCGAATAATCTACGACCCCCTTAATTATATCAGCTGAACGCTTAATTTGGAAATCTGATGCTTTACCCTCCTTTGTTGTTTCAACAAGACCATTTGGTGGATCGCGAAATTGATTCCACCAGTTAACGTTGATGAAAGTAGGGATACGGTATTCAAGATATGCCTTCCGTAGCCATAAACGATCAAGCCAATTTAATCCTAAAACCGCCTCCTGCTTATCCAAATCATACAGGCGATTCTGCAATACTTCGGCAAGTCCATTTGGTTTAAAAAATTTATCTATTTTTTTTGTCACTTCCGCATGCTCAGCGGCAGAGAGCAGAGGTAGGAGACTGCGCTTATACCGTGCAGCAGTTAAATCGAGTTCTGGAATAGGCAAGCGTGGTAGTTTCCCTTGGTTTGAGAATGTTTTTAAAGCAGTTGAATACATGCGATGGGTTCTAATTTGAAAGTCATTCGTGAATAGAAATATTATGTAATACGTCTTCCCTTTCTATCTACTCTACCCAAAATTACAAGGTTTTTTGAACATTTTAAATTTTTATTAGAAGCCAAAAGGAAAAAAGAAAAGAAAGGCCTTCAAATAAAGATGGTGAGAAAAAGGCTTGGGTGTCGCATGTGATTTTTAATGTGTTGATCATTCTACTCCTCGACATGCTTTGAGGTACCATATATTAATTTGGCCAATCAAATTACAGTTGTTAAAAATTCAGGTACGGCTTTCCCTACTGGGCTTTTTTGACAGCTGTACTTTTTATCGTAATTCTACATTCATTTCTGATCGGACTGCAGAGCGAACCTTTTCTTGAATTTGATTAATCTCTTCATTTGTGACGTTTCTAATGTGATTTGATTTGGTTTAGAAATTAGTTAGCAGTTTTTTTGCCTCTTAAACAGATTTACCTGTCCATTGATCTATAGTTGATGCGGTAGCATAAACTGCGCTTCCCTGTTTTAGGATTCCGAAAATCATCAATCTGCAATAATTGTAAGTGAATGTCTATCGCATAACGGAATTTCAAGCTCTCATAATCTCAACTCACCAACTCCACCGTTTCAACAATATCACCAGCAACACCGCGAACTAATTCACAGAAATCATTACCGTGCCATTTGTCGTCGGGAATCCAGAAAGAGATGTCTTTGATGCATGGTGGATATTTAGAGAAAGGGACAAATTTATTGATTTTACCTGGGGTGAACTGCTTAAGAAAACGCTTGTCTTCTGACCAGAACAATCGAATATCTGGAATACCGAAAAGTACCATTGCTAGTCGTTCAAGTCCCATACCAAATGCCCAGCCGATTTTATTGTGAAGCCCAGCCTGATTCAGAATTCTTTGATTTACGACACCACATCCTAGAACCTCAAGCCATTTGCCTTCATAATAAATCTCGACTTCCCAACTTGGACTCGTGAAAGGGAAATAGGCATCTATCCATCGAACCTTTAAGTCTTTTTCTTCAGCAAATAAATTCCGGATCATAAAATTAATTGAGTGCTTTAAGTGTGCTGAAATTAGATCTACTGCTTCAGGAGAATGGCAATCTTGGTAAGGATTATCTGGTTTAATTATCGTATTATCAACGAGTTCTATGTTGGACGTCTTTTCGTTACGAATGCTTTCGAGTTCTGCATTTAATTGTGCCACATTGTTGTCGGTATAAAAAACACCTTCTATTTGATGAAAGACAGGGTAATGAGAAGAATCAATCTCGTCACGCCGATAAACATCACCACTAATCAAAAATTTGTTCTCGCCGGAGGCTAGTCCCTGCAGTTGATGTGCTGATGTGTGAGCACGAAGCACAGTATCTTTGTTGAAATAATAATTATCTGATTTTGTACGGCTGGGATGTTCTTTAGGAATATATAAATCATCAAAATTCTGCTTGGTGGTTACTATGGGGCTGTATGTGTTGAAAGTTTTGAAATTTTGAAAGTTCGACTCAATCAATTGACGGATAATAGATATTGGGTTTTGTGGCTGAAGATGCAGTTTGCGGTTGATTTTAGCAAGTACTGTAGGAGTTACATTTGTCCAGCTATCTGTAGGTATTTCTTGACCATTGATTACAGTTGCATTGGATCTAATTTCGAAATCTGTGCCAATACCACGCATTTCAGTAAGTTAAAGATTTCGATATTACAAAGTTTCTGAGTTACCTTGTTTCGTTGAGTACCAATACCTTTGCGTCGCAAAAACACCTGTACAACGGATCCCTAGTCGTTGTTTTATACTTAATACATAGTTATGATGTAAGGGATCTGCGCAAATCTTCAACATTTGTTTTTCGCTTTTTGACAGTTTATGAGCATGGAAATGGAAGCCAGGGGCACCTTTCCTAATCATGCATAAAATCAAGCGGAGCCGAAAGAGTACCGACCTTTGATCAAAAAAGCCTTTTTCTTGTACCCATTTAGAATTAACGCTCATTAACGTTGAGGAAGCGTATAGCAAGTCTGGAGTGCTAAAAAACAACGCAAAAAGAAGGGCCACTAGATTGAAAAAAAAAACTCCTGAGTGAGATATTTTAAAAGAAGCAGAAAAAGCCAGTTCTCAGAAAAACACAGACTTCATCAAAAGATATTGTGATAATACTCATTTTACAACTAAAGCAGTACAATGTTGAACTGGAACATTTGATAATTTTACTTCGGGATAGCGATCCGCGAGCAACATTATCAATAATGAACGCGACTTGTCCTGTAAGAAAAGTCACCTGCAAACCTTCTGCAAGAAATAGGCAGATAAATTCATTGAAAGATAAGAATGGGTTAAGGAATGGATCATAAAAATTGTGTTTTCATCGATGGGGCAAAATTTTTCATAAATATGAGGTCATTTTATGGACGTTCAAAATAAAGGAACTTCTGCTGCGTTCGAGACAGCTACAACCAATGCGTTAGGCTATACCATTCTTGGAGCAATTTGTACAGCTGGTGTTGCCAATCTTTACATCAAGATTTTTTATAAGCCGAAAGGATGAGGTCGATAAACAAAACCAACTATTACACCGGCTGTTTAAGTCAAATGATGGATGTAATGGCTCGTTTTCCAGACAGTTAGGGCAAATTAACTGATTGAAAAAGTTAAAAAGGCTCAAACTGGTACCAAGTATCGCCGTTCTTTTCACTTTGTCTAGTATCAAGCAAGAGAACAATGGAGCTGTTAGAAAGATGGATCAAAAGCCAATATATCATCGGGCTCTTTGCGATCTTTACCGCAATTTTGGTTTTTTTTTTACAGCAACAAAAGACAGAGTTTCTTAAATAAAGTATGCTTAACGTACTTGTTGGCCATTTCGTTAATTAGCTTCCTTTATAAGAGGCACTACCATGAAGATCAATCAGTATCGTATTTTAACAGTATTACATCTATTATTTGCTGGAGCATAAATATATATATATATATATGTGCTCAACTTTTGAAGAACAAGCTTCCTTGGCACTTTTCTTTGCCATCCATTATCTTCCTGTCTCTCATTCTATTTATTTGTTTACCATTTACATAGGTCAAATCAAAAGTTCAAAAAAAAAAAGTCCTCTCTACCAAGACTGCTAAAGGTTGTGTAAAATTGTAGTTCGATAAGGTGTTGAAAAAAATAAAGTAGCCGAATATTCATAGTTCTTGATTTGATTATATTCGAGACAAAACAAGACGTAATTGCAAAAGGAAATACTTTAATGAAGGATTAAACGTACATTGCAAGTGATGATTTAATAAGCGGTACTTTGTACCATGCTATGATTTGATGTGTAGAGTAAACTAGAATTAATTACAACTGGTGTATTTAAAGTATGTATATGCATAAAAAAGATGAGGGAGAGCTATGTAGTTTTCGGCTTCATTCTGTTAACAATTTTTTTGCTTCGAGGCAGAACCAGTTGTCCAACCAAGATTCGTGATAGCAGGAATAAAATAATCGTAAAGATAATGAAGAGTTCTGCAATACAGAAATGACTGATAGAGGTACCAATTTCTAACCAACTTCCGTAGTCCGTAACAAAGTAGAAGAAATTGATTGTTTGAATATCCGTTATTGCCATAACCGCCAGGAATAACGTGAAAGGAGGCAAATCAACACTACAGGTGAGAACACTAAGAACAGCTGACACAATGAAGAACGGAATCAGAACCTTGATCAATAGGAGGCTTCCCATAAGGAATGGATCGAAAATAGTGGTAAATCTGTAAACACTCTCCAAAGAAAAGCTACTCAAGGACGCAACATTGCCTGTACCGAAAAAGGCGACGTCAATGAAAAACAAAAACAAAAGAACTGAACGCATATCGCCAGCGTTCAAAACCCGACCACTGGCATATTGTGTGTTCTTGTATAGGGTTCGTTCCACTTCAAGCCATATTAGGACTGTAGTGCAGAACGAAACATAAAAGAGCATTTCGTAAGAAATACTTAATAGAACCATGAGAGGAGCAAAAGCGAAGCAGATTGTGAGCAATCTTCCCATATAGTCGTCATACTTTCCACGGTAAACAAAAGGAAATAGACTGGAGGTACCTATAAAAGTAATGTTTAATTACTTGCAATTGATCATTAGAGATAGAGCATTATTGTCTGGTTTACCTATAACGATCCAACTTGCAATTTGATTGAATGGAGGAAGCCCTTCCCTTCTGTGAATACTGTCAGATGTTGATTTTACGAGGATTATACTGAAAGCTATTATGATCAACTGTATGCTCATAATGACTAATAATCTTCGATTAACACGGCTTTTCTGATTTAATCTTATTATGCTGAATAGACCCAAAATGATACCGATTATACCGCCACTAACACTAAAAGTTTTGAAAGACTGTTGAGGAAAAGTCTTTGCCCCAAGGGACCTTTTTTTTTTCTCACTTACACTGATGTAATATCTTCGCCTTTCTCAACAGGCAAGAGGGTGAATATACTTGTACATAAACAAGATATAAACCAACCGGTTAAAAGCAGTTTGCTTTTATCACGAACTTTGTTTGACATGACAAAAGGCCAGAAAGCTAGAAGAATAAATATGACACTGATAATTCCTCGATAAAAGAAACTAAAGACCTTTTTTCGAGGTAGCATGTTAGCGTGACTTCGTTGTTCGCGAGTATATAAGAGTATAACACTTACCAGAGCCTCTAAGAAAAGTAGTGCGATGACGACAGTTCCAAGAAATTTCAGAGGACCTTGCCTGAAATGCATCTTCAAAGTTTCCCAGAGATACTGATAATTACGAAAATTCTGATTCCAAAAGAATACAGGAAATACTACATAGCCATAGTATGTCTTCGGCATTCGTTGTATATACAGAATACTGCATAAAACGCCTAAAATCAACACAGACGAGATATCGACCTTTTTAACATGAAGTGAGTAATTTCTGAGAAAGCAAGACATAGGCAAGTCGAGTTAACTTACAAAGAGAGTAGACTTCTTTGACATAGAATTTTGTCGCTTGTCCAACAGAACAAAATGACGGAGTACAAATTGCAAACAGTATACGCACCATCCAATATAGCCAAGAGTTACAACACCTCGCAGAAATAGCCAGTCGTAAGTTTGAAAGTACCGTAGACCATCCAAGCAGTCTCCCATGAGTTGCTTGGATTTTAATTCAGCACCTACATAATCTTTCTTGTCTATCATCTTTTGAATTTCCGCTACAACATTGCTAGGATCATTCTCTCCTGAAAGCTTTGAGAATGGTCTAAAAAACAGCTCATTTTCTTGCTTTTCGTCTAATTTCAAAAGTTATTAGTTTTCATTTTAGGTCAAGACGTTATCACGGTTGGCTTACCATGCTTAACTTGATACTGTTCAAGAATTTGGCGAGCATTAGCAAATGCAGCTTCTGCTTTAGCATTTTCGTCTCCATCTAAATATTCTATAGGGAGTTCACCGACTGAATTAACAGGTATATCAGCCCCAATAAGGTGGGCCATCAAAGGAGCAATATCAGCTTGACGAATGTCATCACGTTGTAATTCACTTAACCCCCATTCTGCTGAAAAATCATCGTGGCCTAAACCGGATAATATTGGCTTTCGGATGCCCGCACCCCAAGCAATAATCGGCGTCCGAGTATTATCCGGGTGCCCATCCCCATGAGCACCTATTGTAACAAACATTATTCTTAGATTACAATGTCCTTTTGACGCCAAATGTCATTATTCTTACCTCTGTTATTCATGCCATGATCTGCTGTAAAAATATAACTAGTGCGGCCGTCATTATCATAGAACTCTTCAATGATTTCAACCATCTCCTTTATTCCTGCATCCACCAAATTAATATTGTTCAAGTACTCCTTCGACATTGGTCTAAATCCGTGCCCGTTTGTGTCTAATCCAAGTAAATGAAGGAAAAATACAACTTTCTTACGATGCAGACTCTCTCTTAAATCTGCATTTGTAGAAGCATTCGCAAATAGTTCTCTGACATGATCGAATACCCAAATGTCCAGCTTGGAAGCCTCTATATAGACGGTAGTGTTAGATCCTATCAGAGCTGAGTGAATAATTTGTATAATTTGTCATTATATACCTCCTTGAAAATCCTCATACTCTGGTGGGTACATAAATGTTTCTACGCTGCTAGGGTCTGATGCACCGTGTTGAAACATCGGAAGAATATCAGGAGACCCAAAAGACCATGTATGTGTCGATTGGTTAAAGACCGAGTCGAAGTTTACAGGGTTCATCGACCAGCCTGTTCCGTTAAAATTCATTGTATACAGTTAGCGCTTTTTTGATTTATAATAATTTTTGATCAGGGGATAGAGCTTTTTACCTGTTGTTACAGCACTGACGTCTTCATAAAAACCTGCTATGATAGCAACATGTCCGGGCCTGGATTCAGTGGGAACACGAGTATGCGAAACACCCCAAGTGCCTTGTTTCTCCATAATTTGGCGTAAGAAGGGTGCTCTACTTTTGTTTTGCTCATCAGGTTCATAAATTTTGTCAGCTCTTAATCCATCAGCTATTCAACGATTGTAAAATTAGATATTGCGCTTCGTTTTCGTTAGTGATTCTGAGAGCTGATCTTACCCACAAACAAAACAAGCCGTTCAGCTGGTGCCTCAAGAGGACTTTTATGTGGTGTCATCCCATGAACAAGAGGTGACGTAAAATAGATGTCAAAGATGCTATATAGGTATATAACGTGGAAAACCACACCTATGATAAGCAGCCCTACACGTGTTAGCATTTCAATATGCTGAAAATTGGATCTGTATAGGGTTTTGTTTAAGAATGAAGGAAGTAGCCGTTACTGAATTTTTGACAAACTTAAAGGAAAATAGGTATCTTCGGCATTTAGAAAGTTATTCAAATTTGGAGTTTTTTGATCTGACAGTTTGGAAACATGAGAACAACTGAAACGAGTAGAAAACGTAATGCTATTTATTGATCCATTTGTGAGTTTAAATGCTCCCAGATAATACGTGAAAGCTTATCCAGATGTAGAGTTATGTTTTCATGAATCAATCCTGGAATTCTTTCTCGTTTGAGGCCTAACCATTCAACTGGTGGTGTTGCTTCACCCATAATCTGTAACTGAGGTTGGAAGTTCACAGAGTTTAAAGCTGTATACGTATAACGGTCATTAACCGTTATATCTTCTTGTTTTTCTTCTCCTTGTGTTTGTAAAGGCTTCAATAAAGCTGATGATTTATCTGCTGGGTTGATATCCTCGACCTGTGATAATTCTATGGACTCTTCTTTACCCTCCAGTTCTTCCATGTCCCCATTACTATTCGTACTCATTGGAGTACTAGCCTCCACATTAATGTAATATCTACCAGAGTTTCTCTTCAAAGCACGGTCAAGTTGCATATTAAAAATGTTAATCATTTCTTGAAGGTATCTTATCAGACCAATATTAAGAGATACACTGATACGCCCTCCAAAAACGGCATCAAAACTGTATGTTATATCTGTTTCGAGCTGGATTGATTTCATTTTAATTTCAGTGTCTGGAATACCAAAAATTTTGGTTCCACCAGAATGCTTTGGTCTTCCTTCAGCGATATGTAAGAGATCGCTATAATACACCATTAAATCCTTTCCAGGAACATTTTTGGCTAGCGCTGCACTCAATAGCTTGATTGTCAAAACTCTGTGCTCCGCCTCTTCGTTGTTCGCCAAACCTTTGAATATAAGCTGAAATTGTTTAGCTCGCATGTCAACATTATCCGTGTCTTGAAATTGGCTAGGATAGATTAAAACTTCTACAGCTCTGACAGCTACGGATATCAAACTTTGGATAGCTGTTGTCTTGTGATCTGCATTTTTTTTCTTTTTCTTAGGTAGAGTTTCTAAAGTAATAGCACCCTTTTGAGTATTAAGCGCCGAGTGGTAAGTCTCCGATGAAATACCAGCTTCAATCTTCTTCTTCTGGAGTAATTCTTTGAATTTTCGCACCATAGTTATGATCACTGGTACTGTTTTTACTGAAATCCTGATCATTAGTGCTTCAAGAGTTGCGTCAACGTTGAGCTCATATCGGTCATTAAGCTTTAGTAAGGAAATATCGATTTCCAAAGGTTGCTGTATGGCATCGAGGATATTTTGATATTCATAAGCAAAACCGGCTGTAAAACCAGCAGAGTGAATATAAACTGTCGATTGCTTTGTAGTTTTATCAATAAAGCCACGAATGAGTGCTTTTTTGAAATGCGCTTTCCCAGAGAGTCTGCCATCAGCGATAACTTTAATGCTATCGAGAGATACATCCAATCCTTTAGTCTGTGCTGGTGTATTGTGTAGCAGAACCGACAATTCTTCTGGCATCAGCGTGATCTCTCCGATATTCTGTCCTAAATCCGCTGAAAACTGCATATTTTGGATATGAATAGCCAAGTGTTTTGACGATGATAGAGTAACATGAGCTATAGTACCGTCATCGACATTAATATTTTCCTCTGCATTCACAAGAGTGCTTTCGCCTTCAACGTGCTGTTGTTTGTTTTGAGAAACCTTGGCGATATCCGCTGGATCAAACGGTTTCTCATCACCGAGCCAACATGTTTGGAGAATTAGCAAATCTTGGAGATGGCGCATGTTCAATTTACCGGATATCAAAGGTAGTTTGACGATAACTGATACTTCATTGACATCCTTATTGTCGCTTTGATGAGAGGACAATATTGCATTTAAAATAATACGGTTCAGTCCTACCACAAGACAAGGCTCTGGCGAAAAGTGATGCTTAACTATCCCTTTGATCTCTTGGAAGGAGCTCAAACAACTAATTGTACGAGAGTGTTTGCCAGATGAGAAAGCGTTGAATAAGAATTCACTATCTTCCCATCCAAAAGAGCATGAAACTTTTGAATTAGGTTGACAACTCAACTCCACTTGTGTTCTGGATAAACGTAATAAAACAGTGGCATCCAAATTCGTGTAAATCTCCTTTTTATTATTCTTCGCTGCTCTTCGTTCATTTTTTTGTTGAATCCCTGTCTTGAGCCCCGCAGTGACATCGCGCAGAAACTGAGCAAGAGCTGGATGAAGTGTATTCGTGCTTTCCTGTATCAATATGTCGGCGTAGAGTCTTTTAGGCGTGTTTTTAGAAAGACTTCCAAGCGGTGTTTCGTAATTGACCAATGTGCTGAGACTAGGAAGTTCTATAGTGGCCATATTGCCCTCAACGCTCTTAAAGTCAAAACTGGTATTTATACGCAATGTTCTGGGTTTCTTTCGACTTTTCGGTATATCTGATGTAAATCTTTTGGGATAGAGGCGAATGACGCCACTTTCACATTCAAATTTACAGCCTATGTCGAGGTATACTAGTTCAGGAGCGGCACTGGTGTTATCAGACTCAGCTTCCATTGAACTAGATGATGTATGTCTTTCGCATTGTGTCTCGTGGAACGCCTTTGTAGTAAATGCATCAAAACGGTCCATACTTTTATGGTAGATAACATTCAATGTATTTATGTAATCGGCGATTGAGCCATCCATAGCAACTGCGAAGCCTTTCACATGGGCATCTATATCTACCGAACGCTTGACGTTTTCTAATGCTGTTGCAACACGACATGAAATGAATGGAAATTGTATCTGGTTCATTTGTGGATGTTTTTCAGCAATGAAGTGGTCAGCTTTGTTTTGATCGAATCGCCGTACGAATTGCACTGAGATATTCTCTAACTCCAATGCATTTTTTTCGATATTTTTCGTCGTAAATTCGATAGATGATATGGATAATAATAAAGCACTACCGTTTCGATTCGACTCCAACAATGACGCATCTGCTTGAACAGTTAATGGAATTGCAATACCTAATTGTTGAACGCGTATGCTGATCAATTTATCCCGCAATAATGTTTGTGGTTCATTTTGGAAGGTCTTCGGCCAGTCGTCTTTGGTTGAAAACGATTGTACAATTCGTTTAGTGTTGGCAGAAAGCTGATCAATTTCGTCCTTCTTTTTCAGCTTCTTCTTTTTCAATTCTGAGTCATAGTAGATGTACATATCTGCAAGCTTACCAAGTGCGATAGGTTGCATCACCGTTCGTACCCGACTAAGATCCACAAAAATTGATTCAAAATCACCCTCCCTATCATGTGCATGGGTATCTTTCTGACAATTGTCAATATTACACTTTGGTAAATAGTTTTGCAAAGTGAAATCGAGAGTAATGTAAGCTAAACAATCACGCTTATAGATGTTGTTTTCTGTGGTGGTATTCCAACCACTAGATGTTTCTTCATTAAAGTCATGATCCAACGAAAGTGAGAAATGTTTTGCCTGGAGCTTCCAATACAACTTGGTATTTGAATCAGATACTGTTTTCTCTGTGATTTCATTGCACAATGTAGCCTCTAAGAGGTTCGATTGAAAGACACCGATGGCCCCTGGACTGGAAGCGGAAATTCTTAGACCGTCTAAAGATAGCTCTATGGCATATAAGAAGTATTTGGATTTATCTGCTTTTATGGCAGATCCTGTATCTGTGGAAGCAGATAGAGTGCTATTTCGTTTAGAGTAAGATAATACCTCGACAAGCTCACTAAGTTCATTCCCGACGAGAGACTGGGCTGTCAATAACGAGTCAATCAAACCAACATTCAAAGACAAAGAAATTATGTCAATTGTGATAATCGCCTGTAGCTTCGTTTGAGCCACGCCATCGACTATCTCTTTCCGGATAGACCCTGTACTGCGAATACCAGGAATACTGAAAATGCTAGCATTATCAACGATTGGCGTGCTTTTAGCTTTTCGAGTATCCTTGGTAACGAGCTGAATAACCTGCTTTGACAGTTGAAATGCATACGTAAATGCGGGTTCGGATTTATGCTGCAATTGATCAACCATGATGAAAAAGTTTACGATTCGATAATTTGCACTTAATGACGGTAGAAGGTCAGCCTTCGCAACAAATTCATTGAGCAAGAACTGGAGTTTGACATCTGTGATGAACGGTTTTCTTGTAGTTGTTTCAGATAGACTAGTTGATAAAATCTGATTTTTCGCATGATCCTTCGAAATACTCATTAATTCCTTGCGTTGTTCCTCCCATTCTTTCACTAGATTTTGAAACATAAAATGATAGCGTCGTCCTTGTTCAGCTTGCCATGATTCAATAAAGCCATAAAGACGTAATAAACTTTGAGGAGCATCGATGTGGAATTTTTGAATGTTAGAAAATACATTGAGAATGTTTTTGCTGCTTTCGGATTTGCTGCTATGTTTCTTGGAGATTTTCGGCACTTGTGTTATGTTTGCATTAACGTTGGCCTTTTTAATCAATACTCCTAATAGTACAGCTGTTCTTTGCTTCTGTGGTATTTCCTCTTTAAACTTAATATCCACCATGTTTATGCCGCCAGTAGCCTCTAAGAGCAAACGTGGTTCGAGATTTCCATTACGTTTCGAAGCACGGTTAGAGCTACGTTTACCAGAACCGGTATCAGATTCTCGTTCAATATTGATAATATGTAACGGTGATAGTTTGGGATTTGACAACATAATAGAGCCGCAAACTCCCTTTACATTCGACTCCATGCATAACTCACGTGCGTCAGCCATCAATTGCACTCCATCTACATTCAGAAGCGCATGTACAACTATATCGATCTTGCTTAAGAATGAATCAAAGTTGAATTGTGTTTGGTTATCAGCAATAGAAGCTGCCTGAGAGAAATCTGCATACGATAGTTCCTCTGCTTTACTAGTCAGTTTCTTGGTATGAGAGAGATTGGATAATTTTGCAGCAAATACACGTTGGACCAACAACATATGTCTCGCAAATGCTAAAACAATTGGGTTTGTCGTAATATCTATACCGCCAATATTAAGATTGGTTACAATGTCCAAATAACCTTCGGGCACTATGAATGGTTTCGAATGACCATGAGTGGTTGGCTCCACGACTGGGGATACGAGTGTGCTCTTATACAAAGCTTCAAAAGCAAAGTTGACATTTTCAATGGAAATACTATTGTCTTCCTTGTTCAGATGTGCAGCTTCTTCTTCAAAAATGGCGAACTTAAAATTCTTTAGAGACAACTTTGCCAGATTGGTTGATGATACCAAAAATCGTATGACACGATCCGTCGTATTTTCAATATCAATTGATGATGTTCGTCGTGTCGTTTGTTTGAATGGTTGCGTAAATAGACGACAATTTTGTATATCAACACTGCTTATTTCCCAACTACGCCATAACGAGAATGTATTAACAACGTTATCGAACATGGCTTCCGAATCTAATTCCTGTAATGCATGGCCGGATGTAAGACGATATTGAAGCGCTTCTCTTGTCGATAGAGGCATTGACCGTAAGCAATGACGCATCCGTGCTAGTAATTTCCAACCACAATCGTTACGAAAATTTCTCGAACCGAGCCTAAGCATTGTAGTTGGTGTTGTTAAAAACGCAGGATCGCCGACGACACCTCGCGTGATTGAGAAATTGGCTATAGCATTAATGAAGACTTGCATTTGCCTTGTTCGTTGTTCACGGAAGCCCTCCAAGATACCCTTAAGATCGTCAACAAAGACCAGCCAGGAATATACAGCACCCATCAGAATCTCAACGGATTCAGTGATGATGATTGTGTCTACGTCTGTAAAATTCAACGAAACGTAATTGGGTATCATGGCCCCTAACCATTTGACATTAAACTCTTTTACTGACAAGTCTAACATTACTAACTCATCAATGAGAGTATTATCATTTTCCGAATCAGCATAGCGTTTTTTGTTTCTCAACCGTTCATAGGGTATACCAAAATCGATGGGATGTTGTTCGCGTTGCCTTGAAATGTAGCGCACTGTTGAACCGATACTATCCAAGTCAAAATGAACTCTAGACTCTTGCAGCACAAGTTTCGATTCCACCATTTTGTTCTTCTTCTCATTGAAGGCGTAATCTTCAAACCTAACTCTTCCCATCAACTTCAAATCGTTAAGTGAAAAGTCTGCAGAACAGAGAACGGTACCCTCAGAATTATATTGAGTTTTTACAACAGATTCCCCATGCTTGTAAGAAGGGAGATCGTTGGGCATAGTAGCATTCTGGATGAATTGAAGGTAAGTCTGTGGAAGTATCACAGCAAACCGTGTGCATATGTATTGATCAGTTAAATAACGTGTTAACTGTTCAATATACTTCATTTGGAGAGTGTCCAGCATTGTCTCTAAATCCCAATCCTGCAACGATAGGAATGTAAGTAAAAATGCAATAACAATTCCTACTGTTAGCATCTTACATCTTTTATGATCTCTTCTGCTAATTCTTGAACCACTTTAACAAGAATTGGAGTGACGAGGATAGTTACTGCTTTGGTTGCCTCAATGACAATAGTAGCAAGTACTTCATTTCCTTGCCCATCGGTTCCAGTATTTTCTGAAATACCGTTGTCGTCATCGTTTCCGAAATAGTCTGTCGAATTTTGTTTTACAAAGTTATGAATTGGAGTATCTTTGTTTTCGCATTCCTGTAAATGAATGCTTGTGTTCGTAAGTAACGTGATATGAATTTATGTGGATGAGTTATTTACCTTCTCTGGTATGAAATGGGGCTTTGACGGAGGCATGAATGAATGGAAGAAGCTGCCGTAGTCGATTTCAGAGCCATATCTTTTGACTTTATAACGTCTGAGATAATCACTGTAAGGAATAGACGGAGGGATAGCAGCAACCAGGTTTTTCTCATTTAACTGATGCTGCTTATCGATAGCTGTATCTGTTTGCCCATTATACGATGTGTTATCTGTAGAAATATATCAGCTGTGCGCTTTTGAAAGTGCATAAACCAAAGTTTATATAGGCTCTTTTTTAAACTTACAGCTACTACTCTGTTCATCACTATTTTCTTTTGATGTTGTTGAAAAATCGTCTACATAGCTATAATTATCGTAATCTGTGTTATCTGCTGTATGGAAGGATTCGACATCTTTAATAGTGCCACTTTTCATTGACAGAGCTTCGTAAATTTCGTCGTGAACATAGCTTTCGTCTTCCTGCTCGGAATAGTCTGATACGTACGAGCTACCTGAAGTAGCATCATAGCTAGAGATACTTTCGTCATCACCATAACTTCTAAAATCTTCATAATAGATGAGTTGCTCTGCTGAAGTTGATAATTGGCTACTGTAGAGTTTTGAAGTATCATTTACATGACCTAGAATACAGAGAAAAATGAGTTTTCACACTGACTAGCCTGAAGAATCATTATTACCAAACGTGAAAGGCCTGAAGGGCGGAGCATATAAAACCCCTACATGATGATTGTCGCTGTGCTGAACTGATGATTTGGGGGTTTCTATTGTAAGTAGTAATTAATAAAAACTCACATTTATGAGTGTGCTACAATTAAAAAGAGCTCATCTCGTAAGAAATTACCAGCGTTTTCATATAATTTAGAACATCGTCTCGTAGGATAATCTTGAGCTCTAATAAATTCTTGTTGCTTTTCTCGTAAAATTCTCCATGATGCTGTTTGTCGAAAGATTGTTACGTTCAAACCAAGGTCGGCTTTAGCTACTTCAACCCAAGAATAATTTTCTTCCTAAAGATACAAAACTCATTAGTAAAGTACATTGTAAGAATAAACAGTGAAAAGTGCAACACTTACATCCATATCAGTATCTCCACGTGCTTGATCAGGATTCGCTAACGAGCGTACTAATACCTGAGGAATTTTCAAAGAAATTCGTTGACTGTATTTAATGTTGATCAAATTGTCGAACTCCAGCAGAATGCCTTCTGCTAATTTAATATTAGTAGCACTGTTCATACTCATAAGACAGACATCCACTTCCTGAACAAACAGTTTTAAAAAAGTCACATCTGGTAAGTTTTTGCTTTCTAATTCTTGGGGAGCAGCATTATCTTCGTCAATCATGTTATAGGCAAAAGATTGGCCAAAAGAGCCCAGCCCCAACAGAAATGATGGTTTGATTTCACCAGTTATGCGGCCAATATCAAACTCCCAATGACAGAGGTAAGTCAAGCATTGTGGTAATGGACCGAAAAGACGATGTGCAGAAACATTGAGGCCTGGTGAAAGGAAATAAGCTTTTGTTAAAACAAATCCGAATAGGTACATGTTGCAATCTATTACCGTCAACATAAACGTAATTTTTAGGGTCACGAGCATTTTTTATACGGAAAAGGCCTTCTGTTGATTGTGAAGTAGGATTGCTATCTCTGCTTATAGTTATTGGGCTTATATTCAGATACATATCTACAAAAGCAATGTATAAGTAGACAGTTCCCTTTGTCAGTACGTAATCCATCGTTACCTAAATACACATCCAAATTACGCAGTTCCAGCTGCAATTCCTGAAATTCCAATTGAGAGTATCTTGAGCACTCATATAAGTTTTCTGGTAGAAGCAAAACACCATCATCCAATTCCAAAAGAAGATACACCTCGAATGGGTCGGAAAGTGGCTGTACAGAGAAGAGAATCATAATCATTCATTACGTTAAACTAGTATTTGACTTTGTGGAAGTTCTTGATAAAAAGTACCTTAGCTGCTGCTTGCTTCGCTTTCTGTTCAAGCCACTCTTCCTTATTAGCTTTTCGTCTTCTGTATTCATCAAGCGTTGAAAAATGATTATATTCACCGAAGTAGTTGGCTTTTAAAATGAAGATGTATCGAATCAACGTACCAAAGAGTTTAACCGTTGCACCACTTATTTTGATATGCAGGTTACAAGTTTCTACATGACGTACTATGTCCACAGAATTATAAAAATCGTAGGTACCGTCAATTGAAAGGCTTACTGCTACAGCAGCATGGGAATCTTCCTCCCTGAGGAACGCATTCAGAGTATGTGATGTCTGAAGAGACAAGCCAGCGCTTCCATGCTCTATATTCACAGCAAACTTCACACTGGTAGTTTCTGGCTGATATGTCACAAAAGGCAAGGTTATACTAGCAGTTAATTGATGTCCTTGCAGTTTGAAGAAAGCTAAAAAAATAAGCGTAGAAATAAAAAATAAGAAAAGAGATATCCTATATCAGTATGTCCATCTACTCGTATCTTTTTACCATTATCTGCAACTGAATTCGGATTATTGATAACGTTATGATCGTTCACGCAAAGGATAATGGTGGGGTTATCCAAATTAAACTGTAAAACATATGTCATAGGCGTAAAATATAAGAGATCTGCTGGCGCTGACGACGCTGTCCAATCTTTGACTAAGTCTTGTAAAAGGTAAATATGATCTCGTAATAGAAAGATGATAGGTTTTCGCACATTTAGCTTAAAATTCCACTGTCGAAAACCGTTCCATTGTAATGGTGTAGGCATTATACATGATATCTATGGGAAAGCACAATAGAAGGTTTCAAACGTGATCTGCTAGAAAAAAGGGCTATTAATATGATTTACCTCGACCTTCTCTGTTTGTATAAAAGATGCATGATTAACACTACTGTTAATTTCTGTATTCTTCAATACAATATCAATGGTGCTAGTGTGGCCTGCACGACCAATGACAAAAGGTGTATTAATTCGTACGTAGGAACCTTCGCCGGCTTTGATATTTATCCAACCGTAAGGCCTTGTATAATGCCCATCAGTATCAACGTCCAAACCCATTGATCCTAAGGTATACTTCCAATCCTAAGTATGACAGGTTAATCTCAATTAGCAAATGGGACAAGTATGGTGATACAATACCGAAGAAAACGAATATGAAAATAGGCGGTACCTTTGATTTTTCTCGTGTGGGAATCAATAATTTCATATCATTCATGAATTCGATATATGTCTCAAATGCTGTAGCAATGCGCTGCTGCCCGGGTATAAGTTTGGTTGTGGGTATATTATTACGATGAGAACTAGGGAAGAAATAATCTTGCATCTGTGACCTCTGTCTATCGGCCCAAGGACCATAATGAATTACAGCATCCCATAAGGATATTCGTATACCCCATTCAGGAGGTAAACCGCCGTTGCCTATATCTACGCTTTTGTTGTAAAATTGATCAGATGCTTCGGTTGACGGTACAGGGCCTAAGTTGTTGGCACAAAGTGGGCAAAAAAAGGTATCAGAAACTCTTGCCTAATATGGACATGATACGTAGACGCTGTTGTGCTTACCCGCATAATCAGCATAGTATGTCAATGCCATTTCATTGCAATCTACAATATTTGATACTCTTGCATATTCTTCGTGATATGTCGTATTTTCTTCATTCATTTCTTTGTGCTGTCTGTCTTGCCCCATAATATTGTGCATGTGTTGCATCTTTCCGTATTGTCTCATCGAAGCAAAAGGTAGAAAGCATTTCAATGGTTTCAATAACCAAAAGAAAAACCTAAATCTAATGTTAGTTCATTCATCCGAGACTGAATTCTTTGCTAATCACAAAATTCTTACGCTGCTCTCGGTAACGGTTCAGAGGAGACTTGACTTGGTGGCTCGACATTCGTGAAGTCCATGTTATTTTTCATACTGATTTGAACTTTTCGCAGTATGCAATCAGCAACGGTTTTATAATAGTCCATTGGCGACCTTGATTTTGCTTTGGTATAAATTCCACTCGCTTGCGACAGCTTCAAGACAAGCATCGATTTTAAATCTGTGTTACCAATCATTATCGCACCTGTTGTACACTGGAATTGTAAAGGCATCAATTTTTCTAATAAGGATGGCTCTTCATCAGTTGATGGCAGCGGAAGTTGGTTCACGGAATGCGCTCTCCCGAGTGTTTTATGCTCGTATAGAGTACTATTCGCTCTATCCATATCTGTTGAAGATAGTCCAAGTATATCTCTTATTTTGTTATAAGCAGCTGTGTTGTTATAAAGGAACCATTCAAAGCCTTCTACGCTACATACAATTCTACACGGTAAATTGCTCAATTTACCTGAAAAAAATAATGCGCTTAATTACTTTAGAACAACCACAAAATGAACATAGCCGACGAAAACATTAATATACCATATTTATCGTTTTTAGTGCTTCTCACATTAAAGAGCCAATATCTTATTGTAACATGTCCTTTTAAGATCGAAATAGATGCATTGGTCGAAAGATATCTTAAATTCTTAAACAATATCCTGCCTCCTAGTAGAGACACACGTATCGAATCTAAATAGATACATGTTATTACTTTTGTTTTCGTTTATTACGCCAACCCAAAGTATATCTCTTTTGCATATTACTTGCCTACTTCGATGTAAGCATTATATCGTCTCCACGTAAACTGATTGATTAAGAATGTCAGCAGCTGGCCGACTACACGATTGAAGTAGAATAAAAAGAAGATGGCAACTACAATGACAACTAGGCAATAGAGAACAAACAGCCAGAAGCCAATGTATGACTGTACGTTGGCATAATTGGTTGCGATGGTATCTTCACCAAGTGCCATTCAAGCTGATTTCTTTCTTAAGACTGAATGAGTGTAGCTGGAAAGTTGAAAGAAAAGAGGAGAATTAAAATTTAAGGTACACTTTTCACAAGCAATTTTAAATGATCGACTTTCATTGTTTAAGTCACGCATAAATCTCGTCAAGTAGGGCCGTGTGTCTCAAAATTTATAAATACTCCTGATTGAGAACAGACTATGATAGACCTGTGGGTTCGCCAACGTCTCAATTTTATGCACTCTGTAGGCTTTTTTTATTGTTCCAGAAGCGAAGGTCTCCTAGATCAGGAAATATAGGGTTCTTTTTTCTGGTTTTTTTTTTTTTTTTTTTTTTTTTTTTTTTTGTTTGAAGCTTTAAGGTGTCAATTCTATACATCGATTTTTGTTTCATAAAATCGTTATAAGGCTTTTATTGAAAAATGCTTTCACTGTTCCGTTGATTTTCCATCCATTGTATATTACAATTCAAGACTTTGGATGAGTGAATATTGTCGAATACGCTATTCTTAAACTTATTTCTTTTTCTTGTCTTTCTCTGCTTTCTTGTTATATCCTCCGCTGGCAGCAGCTTTCATTATCGTTTTGGAGACTGCCTCATCACTTTCAATCCAACTAATATCTGAGAAATCAAGATCACCAAAACGTTTTTGAAACTTATTCAATTGTTCACTTTCGTCGGTCAAGCCTTCTTTCAACAATGTAGGATTCCAGAGTGGATGATTACGGGTATCTTTTGTGAGACGAAGTTGATGTCGAACAGGAGATGTTGTTCTTAAAGTAAATGTCGCACCATTGCTTAATACAACGGTTTGAAGAAATTTCTCTGGCTTTGCTTGTGTTGTTAATCGTCTGATTTGAAGTTGTGAACGTAACATTAGTGAGACTATTAGACTGAAAGAAGCAGGGAACACTTGAATATTGCAACCAACTTCCCCTTTGTTTGCCCCAGGTTAATAAGGCGGGGGATGAATAGCCTGAAAGTAAATCAAGTCAAAAAGTCGGAACCACAACCCGGTCACTTTTTTTTTTTTTTTTGTAATTATGCATATAATTTCTGCAACTCAACTTGTACAAGGATGCATCTCCTTCCCTCTTTTGACAAGCTTTTGATCTGGATTGGAAAAGATGTTTTCCTTACAACGGTCGCATGTCCGAAACTATCATTTGTATAACTTAAATATAAAGAGGTTGTATGCTATTCTTGCGCAAAATACAGAATCTGTCAATACATGTCATAAGGCGACTTGCGCAGAAGGTAGGAGCATGTTCTTTGTAGTTCGTTTTATACATACTTTCATCAAGAACCGATATTAATTTTTGTTGTGTTAAACATTAAGATACTGCAGAAAAGAATGAATCAGAAGCTTCAGTAGCACAAAATCAAGAAAAGGAGAATAATAAATCATGGACCATAACGACAAAATCGACGTTTGGCAGGAACAGAAAGAGTCTAAGTACTAGGCTAAAGACAATGACGAACCCTTGGATTCAGGTTCCCTATAATATCCAATACCAACGTAGAGTAACAATAGATGATTGACTGAATGATATAGATGAGAGTTTTCATATATGGCTATCCCTTTGTTAAACACAGGCGTAGATCCACCATTCCCAGCTGAGGTTCCTCAGTTGGCTCACGGACTGCAGAAAGTGCTGTTCAAGTAAGCCACTTTCCAATCATACTATTTTGCATCACTTTGACTTTGTATTTTTTAACTGTTACCAGCCCTGGTGTTCATTACTTTAAAGATCCCCGGACGAAAGAATACAATTTTACGCCCTATTTAGAAGCTATAACCCAACCAAGCGATTTCAACTATGATGCAATTACACCATATATCACCTCTTCAAAGGATTCCGTATGTATTTGAGACTATATTCATTGTTGCTAGTATGCATTTTGCGTAAATTCTTACCTCTCCTTATTATAGTCGTTGATTGATTTAGCGAGAGCAAAAGCGAAACGTTACGTTGGATCAACATCATCTATATCATCGGCTTTAGCACAGTTATACTTTCTAATGTCGAACTTGAAGCCAGTAGATACGGCTTGTTTATCAAAAGTATTCACTGATCAGGTGGGAAGCATTGTTTTTATTCATGATGTTGTGTGAATAAATCTTCAGACTAACATTTATAACATCTGTACGCAACAGCCAACGAGATTTACACCAGGAATCCGCAAACCTTATACATTTTATTTGAGATGGAAAAATGGTGTTTATGCTATTGATGCTGATAAGGCATTTGACGATGTAGAGACAATATTGAGTACTTTGGTAAGCAAGCAGTAAAGCTTAAAAGAGAAACTAAGTAGGGTCGATATAGAGATGGAAAAAACTCAAAAAAAAAAAAACGTTTTCAGGGAAAATCATTAGAAAAGGTGTTGACAAACGAGCCTGCACAGTATGAACGTTATCTAAGAGTGAATGCTGCAGAATTTAATGAAGAGGATAGATTGCAGCGAGAAGCATATGCATATGGCGAGGTATGTAGGGCAAATTTTGAAGATGCATTCATGCGTCTACTATATGTATAAATCAGGCCCGATCACTCACCGCATCATTATTTGTTTTAGATGGGTAAATTTTTGCTTAGATCACAGTTGGATTGCTATGATGACAGGCTTCCTGGAAAGACGTTTGATCTGAAAACAAGGGCCGTTTTACCTATCCGTATGGACACTGAAAACCACTATGTGAGTTACATCATCGTTTTTGTAATTAAAATTTGCTTCTATTGGGTATACTGACAAAGTTTGGTTTTGTCAGAATTATTATGGATACACATTGAAGAGATCACAGGGATTGTATGAATCTTTTGAGCGGGAATATTATGACATGATGCGCTCTGCATTCCTTAAATATACGTAAGTGCTTCAAAATGATATTGTTTTGTTTCTGCACATAAGGTTTGACACTAATTGGTATGTTTAGTTTTCAGGTCCGCATTGGCCATATGGATGGTATTCTGGTCGCGTATCATAACACACAAACATTATTTGGTTTTCAATATATTTCGAAAGAAGAAATGGACGCTCGACTTTTCGGATCCACCAAATTGGGAGATCAAGTCTTCCGAAATTCCTTGTACATGTTTGAAACTATTTTGGACCAAGCAACTCAAAAGTTTCCTGAGCAAACCTTGAGAATATCCTTCGATACAAGGCTAAGACAATCACAGAACACAACAATGTTCGCTTATGTTGAGCCTGTGCCGACAGACAACGAGCCTTCCACCAAAGCTAACGAACCCACAATGAACAACAATTTGGAAGAGTTCTTTCAAACCAAAGAGACCTCGGATGAGACCAACGGCAAGGATTTCAGTCCTTTTGAAGGCTTGACTGTTTATCAAATCAACACATCATCCAAAGTGAATGATACAATCATCAACGGACCTCTGATCCTTGATAACTATAGGAATTTCCGATGGTCATTACGAATGAGAATGCAAGAAATACTTATAAATAACCTTCCGGAGAAGCAAAAACGATTTATAGCACTACGAAAAACTCAACACAAAATAACGGAACCTTCTCGTAAAAACCCTTTTTCGAAATATCTTAAATCTTTGATTGAACGTAATACAAATCATGATCGTTTCTAACAATTCCCAACACACAACACAAAGAATATTTCATTACGTACTTTTTTGTTTATCAGAGCTTGCAGCGGCTTTGCCCATTTTTTTATTATAGAGTATTAATAAATTTTGAAATTATAAAATGCCTTTCTGTCGAGGTATAACAAAAACATGCCGTGCCCGTTGATCATGTGTTTCCATCACATTTGAAGGGATTGAGAGGGGTATTATTATTATTTTTTTTAGGAACAGAAAAACTTCTCTCTTATACACGTACGAAACAGTGAAATGTTACTAAAGTATTTTAAGTTTGCTTTAAAAGTAGAAAATTAGGACATATTTATGCAAGCAAAGCAAAAACATCGGTTAATGATTGCATTCCAGATCATGTACAGCCTTGTGGGCCTTCAGACATCGAACAGTACAATAATACGTTGATTTGCATTTAGAGCAAACCGGCATGCCTCTTTTCTCTACACCACAATTAGCGCAAGCCATTGAACAAGATGAAGATGCGCCACTCGAAACAGAAGAAGTTCTTGAAGGAAGATGAGGACGAGTTTCTGTTGCTGTTCCTGCATATTTGTTGTATCGGTCGGCAATTAAATGCCGAAGGGCTACCTTAGCAGAACTTTGAAGTTTCTTGGCTTCTGACACGGTTGAGGGACGCACAGATAAACATTTTCGATAATAAGTGATAGCTTTGTTTGAATCCAAATCCTCGCAAAATGAAGCACGACAATGGTAAATTGAAATACGGATGGCACGAGCAAAGCTATCCTTCATCCTTGAATTATAACCCGATGAATAATACATCTCTGATCCTCCTTCTTCTTCTTCTTCTGCGTCTTCTTCTACCTCCTCCTCCTCCTCCATATCAGTACGCAAAGGCAAAGGTACAATTCTGTCTGAATCACGACTCTCTTCCTTTATCTGTTTACATAATTCGCGTAGCTCATCCATTATCATTGGCAACCATGGTAGGTGGTGCACTCTGCCAATATCAGCATGGCTTTGTACAAGCTCGATTGCTTGTTGTACCAGTTGAAGTAGTGTTGGATTGCATTCAATCGGTTGGGCATTCTTTGCAAAACGAAACGCAGCAAGGTAATACTTTGCCAATTTATCGCACCGATAACACTCTGTGGCTGTTGATACATCGTGCTTAAAACTCATCATCAAAGATAATTCAACGGCTGCACGTATAGATCCTTGTTTGAGTTGTTGTTCGAGGTTCCTCCTTACTTGATTTTCCTTTGTTAAAGTAAACGATGTAGCAGTGGAAGACTTTTCGTTGTCAGATAAACGCTCTAGTGAACTGTTGGTGAATAGTAGGGTAGGCATTGTTACTGAGTTATGAAACGTATATCTCCGATTTTTTGAACGAAACCAAGTGAAAGAAAGAAAGGGAAGAAGAGAAGAAAAGGAAAGGAATAATAACAAAAAAAAAAAAAAAAAAAAAAGAATCTAGACGTATGGTTATAAAAAGCAACAATATTGCGAAATTAAGGCTTGATAGCATCTGGTTGTTCTTCTCTTTTACTTTTTGAGTTACACCGCTTTCTTTACATACATTTCCCTCACGTGAGATAATCTGACAATCTTCAAACAAACGCGGAAAAAACTGTACCGGGAATAGAAAGCTTCCTATTGAAACTCAAAGCCAAACAAAATTAAGTGTTCGCCCCCAAGTGACGCCATGTGTCTCAGGATATTGTTGCTCCTCAAAGATCATCTTTTGATAGAAAACGATCCAACAGCAAAACAAAATCGTTTGAAGATCAATTACGGAAATTTCCCATAAAGGCGTAGTATTCCGAAATAGCCGTTAAAGCTACGAAGTCTATCTGTCATCTTAAATACAATTACGAAATATTATCCATCCCGTATGAAAAAACCAGTGAGGTCTCGACTTTCCAGCTCGTGGTTAAACTATTCCTCTCAGTGGATCAAGAATGTTTGTGTAATACTTTACAGTTAAGCTACACCCTTTTTGTGCGCTTCTTATTGATCACTATACATGCCCATTGTCTTAAAGCGAGCCATTTGATATGTTCAGACAAATGACCGTCCCCTTGATACATGAATGGTCTGTATAGACTGTATTGTTCGTGTTATGTATACTTGGCTTGTATTCAAGGAGTTTCGAATATTCGATCCATGCGAAATATTTGCCCGAGAGCTTCTTTGCTTTATTCTATAGCATCAAGGTGATACCAGAACTTTGACGAGTCGTGTAAGGTATACAATGCACAAAATTTTTTTTTTTCTTACTGGAAAAAGAAGAGAAAAAATAAAATGGTAATCCGTAACAGCCATGTGCGTAAGCATTATTCACAGCAATTTAAGATCGATACAGTGAAAATTTGGGCAATATGCGATGAAATCTAAATGACAGCAGCTACAGGTTTATACATACTTCGGAGTTTTGTGTAGCAATAAAATAAACGAATGGCCTTCGCTTTCCACGTACGCGAGATCAGATACGGTATATTGATCGACATTAAAAGCTTAGTTATTTGTGATACCTACAGGTCAAATCAAAGAAAAATCTGACTGGTAATTTGCAATGCCTTTTTAGTCTACAGAAAACAATTTTACAAGCCCTACCGAGAACCCACGCACAGTCTTTTTTTTTATTTTTCCTTGCTCAATCACAATCATCATAGTATTTTATCGCTTTTCATTTCGCTTTAAATAGATGTACCATTATAAATGATACATACATCAAATCAGAAACTATCACTACTGCTTTCAAAATAAATTGACAAAAATTAACAAAGAAGATGAAGGAAATTCTGTCTGCCTTCCTTTTCTACTTATCGGTTATGTATTGTTCATACCAAATATGGGTCTCTAAAAAAAGAGAGGCCAATGCGGAAACAATCAAAGATGCACACAGTCTATTGAATGCGGGGTTTCGTCTCGTATACCAAAATGATTTATGGCTGAAACCGGATCCGGGGAGATGTGGTGTCGGATGAGTGACCGGGATAAATCCTACCAAAGAATAAAAGACCACTGATCCGATACCTTCACTGCCCACGTCCCATATAAAAGAAGGCCATACTCCACCGCCAATTTCTATATTTCGTAGTTTTTGGGAAAGATTTGAGAGCGGTATCTTATTGTTCATCAATTTTGGAACAATAAAATTTCTATGGGCATTAGGTACTTTTAAGAACCCCTGCAATACGTTTTGGGACCAAGTTACAGTATTGCAGGAGAAGAGCCGGAACCAGAAACAGATTCTGAAGCACGGTAAGCAGTAGTTGTTAAGGTCAGCGGTGGAAGAGTAATAAGCAGGTGTTATCAGAAAAATAGTAGTACTATATAGACAGTAGCAGAAGACATGGAACTAATACGAACGCATTTTTCTTCATCTAAATTCTGTTGTCTATTGCTATTGGCATTACCAGTCATGGCATACATATATTCCCAGAATAAGAATAATGTGTGGAAATCATACCACCAAATAAGCTATACACCCGTAATACTGACAATAAAATCGGATATTATCATGCATACTTATGCTTTGTCTAAAAATTGGATAAAGAAGGCTTTTAAATTTGTCGGTCATACCAAAGACGACAGACGCAGAAAAAAGCATTTTTTTACACATGGGAAAAAGAGCTACCATATCGATGTAGGGTTAGTAGATACCGAGGAGACTGTCATATAACCGAGCCCTGTTTCAATTTTACTCAAATAGTAGCTCGCTGCTCTCTTCATTTAGAAATATCCAAGAATCTTTTGTCCTTTTGGTATAAAATAATTAGCGCATAATCGTGTTGCATCTTAATCTGCGTTCCTTTTCTAGCTTATGTTAAGAACCAGCAGTATGTTATTACAAGTAACAAGGCACAACCCGCTCATAGGATACTGCTTCGGCAGTAGGGTGAATAAACTGAACACCCTTGGTGATTTGGAGGAATACTACCGAACAAATGTTCTTGCAACGGCTAAATGAAGGGCGTGCGTGCCTTTCTCTTACTATATGTTTGCCAAAGAGCGAATGTATTCATAATAGATCATATTAAGCTTTTTTGATTCTTGACTAAGCGTCTTTTAGTTGAACATCAAAGTGAAGAGATATAGAAAATAGCGACACTCATGTTATCACTGAACCCTTTGATAAGTTCTCCAAATGACTATATAGTCCACGAGTTTATTCAGGGAGTACTTTGTAAGGATTCATAATTCCCTTTGGATCTATTGCTCTTTTTATTGTTCTCATCAGTTGCAGCTGTGTAGCAGACCTGGCTCTGTGCATGTACTGCACTTTGGCTACACCTATGCCATGTTCAGCCGTAATGGAGCCTTTATTTTTCACTATAACAACCAACAATCCAAATCGATGAATTGCTTTTTTCCTCCAATCAAATGTTCCATTTGCGATACATAAATCGATTGCTTTTTTACTTACTTGCCCAAGAGAATATAAATTCGTCCATAAGCTTCAAGCCATCACTGTCAGTTTTGTTCAAATTAGCCATGATATGCAAATTCTATCAGAAAAATCATGTCAGATAGGTTACTTTGGGAAAGGAAGGCGACAGTTTAATGCTCTTAAGGTCTACAACAACTTACACCATCGCCTACATGTCCAAACCCGATCAAATTAGAGTAGACTTTTCCAGGCCCGAGCATATCCTTCTTTGAAAAATACTCCTTTGTATCTTTCACTAACTTATAAAGTAATGGTACATCCATAGACACATCGTAAGTCAAAGCAACACCACTCTTGGAAATGGCTTCAGGGATTTTTTCGCGCCATGCCCATAAAGTTTTTATTTGGTCACTACTCTGCGCCATAACACCATCTAGAGCAATATCTTTCTCCATCAGTAACTGGATGTATTCCAACAATTTCTACATTGTCATATGTAGATCGAGACAAAAAAAAAAAAAAAAAAAAGTGAGAAAGATGTCAGCTATACGTAATACGTTCATTTAATAGTAGTAGTAGTAGGTTGACGAACCGTTTCATCATGTTCACGTTTACTGCCTTGTGTTTCTATGAGCGCGTAAAAGGCATGCTTCCCTTCAAGTGGGTATTTAGATTTTTGCATAAGCTGTGACTTTACAACACCAACAGAATCTTGATCCCAAAACTCAAAGGCTATGGTTTTGCATTTAGAGCCTTGTGTTTAGAAACCTTTTTTTTTTCTCTCTCTTTCTTTCTTTCCTTACCTGACAATATCTCTGTTAAATGGTCTTTTGCCAGAACGAACGCTTTTTGTATTGCTTCGAAACTTTCCAGCGCGATCAAGGCAACATTCACAGCCTAAACTCAATGTTGTCCATCCATTATTACATAAAGTTATATCATCCATTCATCAAATCGCACTTAAATCATACCTTTGGTCGTTTGGGTGTCAAAAGAGAGACACCAGTAATGATACCTAGTGTTCCCTCAGCGCCTATGAAAAGCTGTTTCAAATCGTATCCTGTATTATCTTTTCTAAGGGTGGATATGTTATCCAAAACCGTTCCGTCAGGTAACACCTATTATGATGGGTAGAGAGGGGAAAAAAACGAGCCCATCAATTACTTGGAGCTTATAGTATAGTATGAATGTATCTAGCGTACCACTTCGAGCCCTAGCACATTACCGTGCAGGCTTCCATACCTCATCAATCTCAACCCTCCTGCATTTGTACTAACATTTCCACCCAGCTGACATGATCCTTTTGCACCCAAGTCCAAAGGAACCGTGTACCCTTTCGGTTCCAAGAATTGATCCAGTTGCTCCAAAACAACGCCGCAATCGACAATCGCTACGCCTGAAATAGGATCAAAGTGTCGAATCTTGTCCATTTTTGACAAATTAATGATGACTTCATCGAATACGGGCACAGCTCCTCCACTGACGCCTGTATTTCCACCTTGAGGAACAACGGCTATTTGTCTTTCATGACAGTACTCTAAAATTTGTGATACTTGTTTTGTAGTTTTAGGAAAAACACATAAACTAAGTAGAGAAACCTGGTTTATTATGTTTTCTTCTGTAAAGAGACAATGGTTGGTTCTGTCCGCAATTGTAGAAACAAAGGAACTAGGTCACGGTGGGGATTATGAGTATTGAGCACTTACGATGACGATCCACGATAGAGATTAAACCAGTCAGTGTTGAGATGAGCAATGGCAGTACTTTCAGGATCTTTTTCGTAAATCAGATCACTTGAAGTTAAAAAGGTCCGCAAATGCTCTACGTCCTTATCGGTTATCTGAAGTGATATGGTTAATTTTGGTCCATTCAACAAACCCAAAATAGGGTCGTCGTAAAAGTGGCGATAAATTTACTTTAGAATAGCATGGATTTCTTTTGAGCTTTGGATACTTTGTAGAGGTGAATGGAGCTAATGGTTTGTTTAAACAAGCTTTTGCCGTATGAAGCAACCGTCGCTGCAACATATTATATTACGTTATGAGCGCAGGTAGTTGTCAGAAGGATGAGACAAGAATAGCAAAGCAGAAAAGAAAGAGATTTGATTACCGTACCACGTCAAGTCATTTGAAACAAGCTTTTTTTCTATCTAATTGATTCATGATAGCACATTTTCTAAATCTTTGTGTGTCCATGAGAGTCTACAAGAGGCATATCCGTTATTGCCTGATTCATAATTTAATTGGTCACTTATTTATGCAACCATCAGTAAGATAATACTGCACACTGTACACAAGTTCACTGACTAAGATACATATATGTACATGTTTATGTACATATATCTCAGATCAAGAATGTAGACGTTTTGTTCACTAACTGATACGCTACCGAGTAATGAAATCAAAAGCCCTTCTATCAATTTCTACAAGCATAAAAGCTTTTTGTCATGTGCAAACCTGTTTTGTTTTTTTGGGCAAAAGTAACTCCGGAAACACAGTAGTAGAATTTTTCTTCTTAAACAAGACAAAATGCCATACATGGTTCATCTGCTGTTCAACTTGATCAAAAGTGGCTGGCTTGAGACTGTCGCCTTGTTGAGTGTTCGTTCTGTATTGTGCCTGGAAATGCCACTACAGCAAATCTCCTCCACCTGTATTGAATAGTGAATGATGGATTCTCAATTGCCTGAAAGCTATTACAACCGTTAGAAGCGCATTGGATGCTGTTCACTACACAGGATACAAATACCTTCCCTGTCGTTTCTGTCTATGAAAGGAATTTTATTGATCTGAGAGACGTTGGACTGGTGCGTTTTTTTGCGTAACTCAAAAAATCTTTTTACTTCTTTCGGCCTTCCCCTGAATTTCGATGAATGGTGTGCCTCGATTTGAAAGCAGAAAATAGAAATTGAATCAAAGGACAGTGTCATACATCCTTGCTGGTTTGATAGAGAAAACTTTTTTTTTTTTTTTTTTTTTTTCTTTTCTTATATATCTCTTTCTTTTTTCTTAGTTTTTTGTTTTTATTTGACTTTTTGCCTTTATCTCCTCCTCTCCCTCTCTTTGAGAAATCACTTTATCTTATAAAAGTATTCATGACAACAGCAAGTTCCTCCGCTTTGACGGAATCAAACAACAACACTAACAACAATGGCAGCAGCAGTGGCACCAAGATATCCTTGTGGCATAGAGCTCGACGTTCTCGCTTGGGTGTCGCATGTGTCGTCGCACTTACTCTATTTACGTAAGGCATTGATTAGAATTCTACAAAAAAAAAAAACATTTGATCTGTATCACAAAAGTGGGAACAAGGTTATTTCAAGCAAAAATTTAGTTAACCAATGATAATATATTAGCGATATGTTGGTGTATGGAGTAGTGATTCCATGTTTACCAATGCTTGTTATTGAGCGGTTAAAGGGAAATTCGACCATGGTGGGACTTTTATTCGGGTGTTACGGTAAAGAACAAAGGATACTCTAGAGATAGACTATGGAGGCACACACACCCATCCATACATACACACATGCAGAGAGAGAGAGAGAGAGAGAGAGAGAGAATGGGTATATATGACTAATACTCACTCCCCCCCCCTCCGTCCTCATGGCCTTGTATAGCTTTTGGGTTACTTGCTGCTACACCTGTGTTTGCCATTTTATCCGATCGATACCAAAACCGAAGATATCCAATGTTGAGTGGCATGATTGGGTTGGTCATTTCCACCTTGTCTTTCGCCATGGCAGATACGTATACTTTACTCATTATGGCTCGGGTAGCTCAAGGAGTGGCAGGTGGTGCATCATGGTCAGTAGTGACATTCCAGATCTTTGTACACATATATGCAAAGGCTGTAGCCGTGAGAAAGAAAAGGATGGGGGGACGGTCGATGGGAGGGGCTATATTACTGTACAGCATTCTAGAACCTTGTACTCAATTGTACCCTTTTTCTTGTGGTGGTAAAATAATAGGACGATTGGTCTAGGCTTACTTGCTGATGTGTTTCCCACCAAAAGCTTGGGTGTGGTCATGGGAAGTGTACTAACAGCACACACAGTAGGATTTGCGATCGGGCCCGCCGTTGGAGGATTCTTGTTTGAATATGGAGGGTTTGCTGCACCCTTCCTCTTTTGTGCGGGTTTTGCTGTCATCAATTTTATAGCTATTCTTTGGCTTGCCGAACCGGAACATAAGGCTGAGGATGTTGAACATACGCAAGATCATGTTTCACGCGCTCAAGAAAGTATTCCGCCATCGCCCACAGCAGCAGCAGAGGAGGAGGAGGAAGAGGCAGGAAAGATACATGCCTACCCGTTTTCTGATGAAAATACACCTTTGCTCCATAAAGCAAACGACAACACGAGTCATACAGACAGCAAGAAAAAGACAAAGACGCCAGTTACCATGATAGGATTATTAAGGAACTGGCGTATTATGTCATGTGTACTATGTACAATCGTTTGTTCTTCTGTCTTTGCCGGTATTGAACCAGCATTGCCTATTCATCTGACAAAAACATACGATGCATCTGCTTCTGTTATCGGACTCATCTTTGTGGCCATGGTGATTCCGGCCTTCTTAGCACCCGTCATTGGGCATCTTTCCGACAAGGTAACAAGGATCATAGGAATGACATAGACAGATGTAGAATAGAGAAACGTGGATGGAGAATATGAATGCACTGACCGGGCCGTTTCCCTCTTCTTCTTCTTCTTCTTCTTCTTTCTTTCGAACCCTATATACAGTTTGGTAGGCAATTCATTTCTGCTACTGGCATGGTGATGATGGGTGTGTCATCACCTTTGGTAGCTGTTCATTTCTCTGCTATCTATCACATTATCCCTCCTCTTATGCTCTTTGGTCTTTCTTCACCGGTGACACTTACTCCCATATTGCCAGAGATGGGTGAAACTGTCAATGAAATGGTAACGTCTATTTGCATTGGATAGCGATGTTTGTGAATAAACAAGCTAACAATCGTATTTTTCCCCGTTCCTCCACTGTTTATTAGGGTGGTGCTGCGTATGCTCAAGGTACTATGAATAAAAATCAGTATCATCTCTTTCAGAAAAAAAAAAAAAACCCCCAACTCAATGTTTTCCTTTGTTTCTATATTAACGTGATAGTTTATGCATTGTACAACATGGCTTACTCTATTGGTATGTTTGTGGGTCCTGTCATTGCCGGCTTTATTATGTCGGCGAGTAACTTTAAGATTCTGATGTTGATATTCGGTGCTGCCAACATTATTTGTAGCCCTATTATGATGGATTGGGGAGCTGTGTATAGAAGTATCAAATCCAGAATTGCGAGGGCGTTTTAATGGATGGAATATCAAAAGAAAATCATACTTTCGTACAATATATACTTTATAGAACGATATATATATATATATATATCCCAGAGTAACTTTTTTTTTAATGTGTGAATTATACCTACTTGCCTGTAGAGCTATCCATTATATACGAATACAAAAAGTAATGCTTTCTTTTTGTTGGCAATAGACGTCGTAGACACTTGACATCTCTATGTCTTCTTAGGGATTGAACAATCGATAGAACAGTTGTCCGAGTCTTCTTCATCTTTACATTATGATGAAGCTGGCTTTTGAGCCCGATAGACAAACTTCATTACCATCACCTACTGTAATACTGTAAAGAGTAGGATTCTTGACGAAAAAGTTGAATAGTGACAGTACCGAAATGCTTCATGTACAGCGTTTTATTTGAATTGATGATTACTTTTTTGACTATGAGAAGTGGACGGAGGGGTATATATACATGTATCAATAGGAATGAATGAAAAAAAAAAAAGAAAAGAAAAAAAAAGTATGCAGTATGACTCTAATGATTTATAGAACAAAGGACATTGGGTATATGTGGTGCACTGCAAGATAGCCGGAAGTCATAGTTACACTCTTTTACAGCTTCAACAGGTTTGTCACAGGTTCAAGATGAAATTCAGAATCTTTTATAGTTGTCATAGCATCTTTTGCTAACTCAAACATGAGGAAATACACTGCTCCTGAGGGACCTGCTTTCAGTAAACCAGGAACGATGCCCTTATATAAACCGAGGAAACCTTCTGTTTGCACAATTTTGTTGAGACATCGAAAGATACTTTTCTGATGTGCATAGTTGGGAATGGACGAGACGGCGTATTCAGAGAGATGAGGGCCCTGTACTTGTAATCTTTTTCTAACGACATCAATAGGAAAGACACCTGTTTTACTGACAATGCCTGCTATGGATCCACATAGCATGTCTGTCACTCGTTTATGGTCGTTTGACATGATGTTTTTCTCCTAAGAATAGATAAAACGTCAACATTCTTCAGATCCTACCCTCCTATTTTTGTCTCGTGCTTTTTTTTACCTGTAATGCGCCTGCCATGGAACATAAACTTTCATAGCTGAAAAACATGAGGCCCATATAAGGCATAATTTGTACGATGGAAGAACCCAAGCCTCTATAAAATCCGCGCATACCTTCATTCTGATATATATCCGACACAGCATGCGAAAGACCATTGTAAACCTGAAACAGACAAGTTGAGATCATCAGCTATCTCCTGCTTCTTTCTTTTCCTTTTTTTTTTTTTTTTGGCTCCGAGACACTACCTTATCTTTTCCTTGTATTGCAAATCGAGTTCTTAATAGATCAAAGGGATATGTCACTGCGGTAGCAAAACTACCAGCCAACATACCCGAGATAAAAGGTTGTAGCGTTGAATTCAATAGGTTTTGCTAAAATAAATACAATATATACATGTCTAGCAGAAAGTTCTTGACGACGGACGCAAATGGATGGTTACCTTTCTTAAATAAGTGTCTAAATGATGATAGGCATAGAATTGTGCTGCTCCGTAAGTTACATAGAGCCATTCTGCTGATACATTTCCTTTGAATAAAGCCTAGGATATTCCGAAATGAAATCGTCAGTTTTGCATTGTTATGGTTTTTCTTATTCTTTGTTTGTAGGAGTGTATGCAGTTCGCTCTAACCTTAAATCCTTCTTCTTTAATAATGACTTTAAAGGGTTGAATGATGCCGGAATATTTAGGTGCCGGATTTCTTCGTACAAGAGGATGTTGATAATGATGATGATGATGATGATGATGATGATAAGGATGGCGGATAATCCATTTTAGTGAATAGGGCTCAGATTGAACCTGAAGTCTGATCTTTACAACGTCAAATGGTGAAATGACAAACCTAAGCAATCAAACACTGATCAGCCATTTCAAGTCTTGCGATCAGTTTTCGTAAAAATTCAAGCGTCTGTTCAGTTCCGTTTACCTTGTGATAAGGCCTGCTAAACCGCCGCATAACGCCGTCTCATTCGCGTTTAGTTTCGAACAAGTGATATGAGATACCATTCTTTGAAAAAATCAAGGTTAGCATCAAAAGACGAAAAAAGAATAAAGAAAATGTTCCTCAATCAAAAAAGTATTATACTCAGAAACAAGGGAAAATCTGGGGTAAAAATAATAAATGTGAGCCAATGAGATTAGACTTTTCTATTCCTATTGTTCTGACAACCAAAATGAGGAAAAAAGGGGGGACGGGAGAAAATGGACGTGCTGTGACAATCAAGAGTTCAGAGAAAGACCAGATAACTAACTCATCCACTCATTCTAATGACGAACGAAAACAGAAGATGGAACTACTGGCAATCCGTCTTGGCCGTATTCGATTCAGCTGCCTTTCTAATGGAATCGCCTGTGAACAGTCCTACTTGAGGCAACTGCGAACAACTGAAGCGGACGACGAGACAATGGATCCATTGAATCTTGAAAACACACCCCCTATTGTTTATTTGTATAGAATAATGAATATACTCATGTTGTTCACACACAAGACTGATTTTTACTTTACATAAAGAAATCATGTAGTTTTAAATAACCAATGTTGTCAATCTTTAGAAAAGCGAGTCCTTTTAACTTTAGTATGGAGGTCGTGGGAGAGAAAGGGGGGGGGAACGAAAAAACTATAAATACTCTACAAAATTTTGCGCGATTATAAGAACCTTTCTTTACCTTTTCCCTTTCTTTTTTTTTTTTTTTTTTTGGCCACGCATGAATTTTTGGATGAGACGAGTGGGCTTAATTGCCCCCTCTCTCCCATTGCATGAACCCTGTTTCCGTAGTATGCTCTGGTACTGTGGTTTTAGAATGAACTCTTATGCATATGTCAAATTCCATTAAAAGAATGACATAGCTCACTCGATACGCTCCAATTAACAGCCATCAGCGCCATCTATTTAATATATACAGACAAATGTAAGTGTTTTTTAGTAGTTTTTTATATACTCTCCTTTCTTCTAAAACGCCATATATAGACTTGAAATGCATCTGTACAAACAATATTTATTCAAACCACAAACAGTGGCTGCATATTCCGAACAGGATTTTATTGTCAAGTTCTGGTCGTATGCTTTTGAAGAGGTTTTTTCAGCAACGGTGGCCTGTGCCTGCACTGGTAAATTAAAATGGATGATCTTTGAAAATGTCAGAATAAAGTATTAAAGTCATAGGTCCTTATTTCATTAGGGATACTCACCCGAAAAAAGCAAACCAAGGAAGCAATGAAAATGAAGACTGCTTTGCCATTCAATGAATACGAAGCAGTCTGATTCATCTGTTGCCTAGTTTGCTAAAAAGGGCCATACCAAGCAAACTGTACAATGATAAACTGAAAGAAGTTCTCATATCAAAGTTTCATTTGAATAATGCACTTCTTTCTGGTCTTTCACCAGCCAATGCTATTATTCCGTTAATTCAAATCATGGGTTTCAACTGCCAGTTGAATGTCCTAAGATACGTCGAAGGATTTTACATTTTAGAAAATGTTTATTCTGTCTTCTTCCCCACCACTCACCACGATATAAGGGATAATGGTGTTGTATCCAAGATACAACTATACGTCTTAAGCTACAGAACGACTTCAGTACCTGCTTTATCATTCTCATGATAGTTTTAGTTCAGTTGTATTAATAGTTGAATACCCGTTAATAACCCCGTTTCTCGTATAAAAGTATCATTCTCAACAAACTTGAATAAAGAGTATCTTTGTTGTGTCTGGTCATTTTACTGTCTTATTTTATTTTTATAAGTCTTTTAAAGTAACTGGATATATCACCATCAATTAAAACGACAGTTTAGCAGAAATTATCTGTCATTTGGATGCAGAATAATAGCAAAAGCTTCCAAAATAATCATAAAGAATATTGTTTCAAGCCTCAGAAATTATTTGAACTAAGAGTTTTTGCACATAAAAGGTTCTCCCTGTTGAACTTTCTCTTGACGACCGACCAAAAAAATAAACCATAACTATTTTTCAAGGCTCATGTTTTAAGTAACACCTTCAGAAGTATGGATTTTTAGCTTTGAAATTGCTATTTCTTTGGTTTGAAAGAAACACGATTAAGCTCCGTATGGCCCATTTTATTGCAACCATTTAACCACCAAATAACACCAGTTCGAAACATTTTCAGGAGAATTGCAGCTATGAAAAGTGAGACGTCTAGTGAAAGCGTTCGTTTTCGTAGATTAAACACATTATGAATCACTTTGGCTGCAGCGACCGTAAAGATGGGAATTGTATGAAGGATGAACCACCTTATACCAGAATAGCAATAAGAAGACGGCCAATTCAGTTTCATTTATTTCGATTACCATATGAGCACCAGTGGTTAAGACAAATATGTTTGGCAAACCGTTGTGACCTACTCATTATTAAGATGAAGCAGTCTTCCTCTTACTATAATACTATTGGTTTATCAGCTTGACGTCAACAAAGCATAAATAGACTATATTTTCCTCTAGCTACAAAGAGTTTCAATTCATGTGTTATCATTGCCTGTCATGGCGAGTTATTTATGTAGCTGAGTAGGAGATCTTTGCTCAAGATAAAGCACGTCAGACGACCTCTTTCCCTGTGTCAACACAGTGAAAGCATTCATCTTTCGGATACACTTAAAGCGACCGTGTCTGTCCCCCCTCGCTCTGAGATCCTACATTTGAAATATGCTCCTGTGGCAGAACGCCTAACAATGGACGCTGATGCACCCACTCGTTATTTCCAGGCAGTTTTAAAGTGTCCGATGACGACCACCCATACGGAATGTGGTATTTGACGACTTGAGAGTTGAATATCACTCAGTTAAAAACAATAAAAGCTTAACGAGATCAAACTAGTAAGTCTTTATTTTGAAATCAAGTTTAGTTCAAAGAGAAGAAAAATATCTACTGCAAAAAATTTAACTATCTTTTTCATATTGCGGAACCGAGAAACAGACAGCTAAGTTATTCTACTCAAAGAAGACGTACGTCTTCTGAACCGTAAAAGAATAGAATTCTCCCTTGAGGAGATGACGCATCTACCCGGAGCGGGTGGACTTGTAAACGTATCCATGGCTTGATCTAATGATCATGCAACTAACCTATTTTCCCGTGCTAACCATTATGTAGCACTGCTTGCAGGAAAATAGAATTAATTAGGAAAATAGTATTCGTGTGTGGTGTTTGAGTTGAGTGAACAGTTATTGTAAAGGATGATCACAAACTATTATCTCGTAATCATTCTTTATGCCGAAGGCAGAGAATAGTACTTATAACCTATTATACCTTGGAGTTGAATCAATATATCCTGCATGTCCATATATTCATTCTACTATATATCCTATGTCATATAGTAACGTATTATAGCAAAATAAGTAAACTATATATCCTAAATGACAACCTGTTCAGCCTTATACGAGGTAGCTAATCTCGTATAAGAATCATCATTTATTCTATATTCGTTTCCTACTCTACTTTATATTATTTCAGCAGTAATGAGGTGTGAGGATCTTGTATAATTTGTATACGAGTTCTCCACATCTCATATGATGCTGTCAACTAAACACAACACTTAAATCACGGTACTCATATATTAGAGTTTATGTAGTTTCTAATTATTTCTCGTTTGCAATAGTGTATAATTCATCTTTATCCTTCATAAAGTGAATTATATCTTTACTATTTGTATATCATCTACTCTCAAATACGACACGGGAGTTAACTCTTACTATCTGAATAAAGAGATAGATGGCTCTAGCTCCCTCTCTGCGGTTTAGCTCGTAAGGATGATGAGTAAACCCCCCCCCGTCCGTATTGCATCCTTAAATACTTGACACATTTTCAAAGGCGGCTGATAAAAAAACACCCAACGCGTTTTTATATCTTGCTTCAAGTCATCCTCTCTTTCTTTCTTGTTTGCAGAAAGTACCAGCTTTCTATCCCCAAGATCACCCAACACGACAACAAGGCAGCTATTTTCATTATTTTTTTTTTTTCAACTGCTCTGCGCTCTTCACCCATTGCTGTAACATCTGCTTTTCATTCACAAAGAATACTCGCATTCATGTTATCCAGTTTTGCACTGGCTTCCATAGAGAACCCAATCAAATCAACTGTTCTGTCCCACATTTTCATGTGACTGGCCCTTCCATTTTGGAAATGGCCATGCTGAAAGAGAAAAAGTTCCCCTGTGGGTTATTATCCTTCCATTTTTACCCCACTGACAAAAGTCTGGCCGATTACTAGAAAGCATAATGACAACACCATTCCGTCAAGGCTTGAGTATGTTTTATATTCCATTTCTAACGCCCTTTTTGTCAGAGTGCTGTGATTAGAAAATCGAGTTTAGTAACCAATAGACTGGGGTTTGTTCCCCCCGTTTCCTCTTCTAAATAGACAAAGTATACCTGCCTAATATCATCTTTAAAATGGTACGGTCATCTGGACTTCAGCCTAATCAAGTGGCCTTCCGAGTTCCACCCAGCTGCAACAAATTCGACATTCACTCTTATTTAACCAACATTTACGGTGTGAACAACATTCAGGAAGTGCGTACTATGAATTACGCCACTGTTTACAAAAAGCGAGCCAACAAAAGATTCGATAAAGTACAGTCCGCCTACAAAAAAGCGATCGTCACGCTGGACGCACCTTTTCAGTACCCTCCTGAACCAGAATGGTGCAAGCTCGATCGTCAACAATTCGATGCCGCCAGGAAGTCAAGTGCACGTAAATTGAATGGCTGGCGTATAAGATTGACAGAAGAGGAGCGCATCGAAAAGAAGGCCTTGGATAAGGCTGTGCAAGACAGAGCGGAAGAGGAACAAAATGTAAAGAACAAGAAGAACAAGAGCAAGAAATAGATCATTAGAGGAAGGACAGACATGAAGAATGCCTTTCATTTTTATATTGGAGGGGAAAAATACCAGCCCAAAAAAATCAACCCTTTCACCTTGTTTGTACTCATGATTTTTTCCGTAGAGTCCTTTTGTAAATACATACAACATTGAAGATTGTAAAAAAAAAAAAATGAACTTTTTAACCTATCTGTCATTCAAATGTTGTGTGTGCTTTCAGATAAAATTTAACATGTCGCTTACGTAAATACGAGCCTAGTCGGACAGATGTATCCTTGTCCCAGGCCCGACCTAAGGAGAAGCAAACGGGGTGACGAATGCTACATTGTCTCTAAAGTAGACTCAATAGTGCTTTCTTTTTCTCACAAAATAGATTGAATTTGGTATATGAAAGTGATGGTATATCATGACGAGGTACCCCCTTCTTTCATCATAGAACTTGTTTCCAATAAAAACAGGGTCCAAGCCTTGATTGTATTGAGTTGATTTCTCACTAAAACAAGCTTTGAGTATAATGGAAACGAAATACAACCACAACAAAGAGGATGTTGGAGAACACGATGAATAACTGTCATTCCATTTTATTTTGTTTCTGTTCAGTTTGAAAATCAATCCCAATGGATGAAGCGTCTAATAAAAATACGAGGTGGTATACATGTATATACAAAGTGTGTCTGTCTACCTAAAATAAAGAGGGAGGGGAGATAGGTTGAGAGATGGGGGGGGGTATCTATAGAATCGAGAAACAGTCAATCTACGCATTAAAGAAAAAGAGATCGAATAGAAGGAAGGGTCGTTGCAGCAGGAGCTGTTGTTGCCATGAAAGACATGCCTTTGTCTCGTGGATGTTGCTGTGAAAGAGGGGCCATCAAAGTAGGCAAGCCGCAATAAGAGGTAGTAGCAGATAAGGGTTTCAAGAGACTTGTGTCGTTACTGAAACTAAAGGAGGGTTCAATGGTAAGAGGCGGTAATGGAGACGTAGATGGAGCAGAATGATAATAAGGCTCGGCAACAGAACGAGGGGAGGATGCCACCGAGGAGGAGGAGGAAGAAGAGGCTGTCGTCACGGAAGAGGCGTCTGAAAGACGACGAGCAAGACTTGGTAGAGAAGCGCGATGTGGAGGAAGCTGGCCTGTCTTATGGGCAGCAGCACGGTCAAGACGTTCTGCTAATTTCTCTTTGTTGGCGAGGTCAGCCTTTGTCACACGAACACCATGATGTTTATCCAAATGACGGACCAGTTGACCTTTTCGCCAGAAGGATTTGAAGCAGCCTTGGGCCAAACAGTGGTGGAGGACAGAAGAAGAAGAGACACGACGGTCACGGACTTGACGCTGTTGGTCTTCCATTTGTAGAGAAGTAGGGGCTGTATTCGTGGTGGTGTGACGACTCGTATTGGGTGCGAGTCGAAGAATCGAGCAGTGTTGTTGCTGACGAACATAATCTTGTTCTTTCGCTACATTCTGTTGTTTGGCGGATTTCCTCCTGCGACGAACGGATATCGTGCATGGCGAGGTATGGACACGCACATGACGTTGTAGTTCGTCAGAGCGAGCAAATCGTTTGTCGCAATTCTCATACGGACACACGTGAGGCTTTTCTCCAGTATGTGTTCTGACATGACGAACTTTATGCTCGAGACGATAAAATGACTTTGCGCAGAAATCGCATTTATAGGGTCTATCTTCAATGTTGTTGTTGTTGTCGTCTCCCATGATGTAAGACGTAGATGCAAGGTTTTTTCCCTTTTTGGGTGAGTGAATAAGTTGGTCTGGTTTTATAATGGAAGAGGAAAGAAAGGGTCTGTAGGGGTTGTTACGTAATAAGTGATAGGAAAGATCGAAAAAAGTAAAACGCTGGGGGGAAGTTTTCTTTCTTTTTCTTTCTTTCTTTGTCCTCCTTTTTATACCTTTTTTCTTTTTCTTTTTGTTTTTTTTTCTGTTCAATTACATGAAAAAGGCTGAAAAAGCTGAACAAATAGCGGGAATTCCTTTTGCGGGTCCTCAGGGATCAAATTTCTCACCGGTAAAACAGGGAAAATTTCCAAAAAAAAATTACATAAAACAGCCCCACTTTTTATTTACAAAAATGACCTTGTCTGAGTTGTCGATGCACGTTCAGCTTTTTGGCTTTTATTCACCTACTTACAAGTCCTTTTTTTTTTTTTTTTTAACTAAAAAAGCCCGTAAAGGACGTACGTAAGCAATCTTACTGAGTGTGCTTGACAACTAGCGTAGTGGTCAGTTATCAAAGCGCATGCACAAATAAAGCGGTGAAAACTAGCTGCTACTGGGTGCGATTTTCCCAAGCGTCTTTTTGCTGAATTCGGGTGTTGAAAGGGCTTTTTTCTTTTTTTCCATAAGAGAAACAGAACCACAAAAAAAAAGAAGGGCGGGGAATTGAGATAAAAATGAGTTTCCTAATTAAGCAGATGGATAGGGATCAATCGCACCATTATGCTTTTTCATTTCCACTGGTTTCACTGAAAATGATTGGCTGTTGAAGGCCAGTTTAAGTAGCAACTATTCCATAAAGTGTGCGACGTTCAAGGTAGGTTTTTTGTTTTGTTTGCATTCGACTCATTTTGTATGTTGAGTGATGAAAAGGTGAAAGGAGGGCGACCTGATAAGCCGCCATTGAGAGAATTATTTGAAACCTGAAAAAAAGCTTTGAATTTTGGCGGGTTTTGTCTTATTTGATTGGTCAAAAACGATAGGGTTTCCTGAATTTAGTATGGGATTCAAAATTTATTCCTTGTCTCAGCCTGGACAGCTTACATAATCTTCCCTGAGAAATTCAACAGGGACCTTGAGTCTCATTACGTAAGTTTATCCTTACCCGCTTCCGTGTGTGCAAAACGTTTGGTGTTGTTCACCTAAAAGTTGGATGGGTACCTTGGGCATCGTACTACCAAGAGGAACGAATGACAATGAGTCAAAGTGCTACTACCCTCGTGCTTATTGCAAAGAAACTTATTTTACTTATAGCACAATAAAGCAGGACACTTGACCCTACCACAGACAAAGCCGCAAATTTGAACCCTTTCTTCCCTATTTTTTTTTCCAAACTGAAACACGACTTATATCATCATAGCAAAAACATGAGCTACTGCAAGTTATTCTATGCGTTATTATAGAGCAGAAAAATAAAAGGATACTACTTTTTGCTTGGAAACGTCCAACGATCTAAAATATGAGGTGATTCAAACAAGTTGAAGCTACAAAAAGCTTATTGTAGGTTCAAGCGTTATAAGGTTTGAGCTTGACAAAAGAGAAAATTCATTGGCTATTTTTCCCAGATTACAGTATTTTAGGTTTCATAAGAGACGATTTCGAAAATTTTGTGGACGAAGTCGGTACCTTAATTGGGACGTTTCTTTTTCTTTTAGTGGACTATAGATTTTTGATTTTAGACGAAGTAGGCTTTTATGGTAGACGAGATATTTTGAGTAGATTTCTTTTGCTTTAAAATAAACACATCCCTGCAACATGGATTACATAAATTATAATCCTGCAAGTGAGCCTATGCTTTCCGAAAATACTTTTGCTATGGACTTGGATGAAATTGCTGTTACTTTCGGGCAAATTGAGAAGATCGTCGACTATGATGAGATGCAGCGCGCGGCGCCCTGTAGTCGATGATGCGAAAATGGAAGAAACTGTTGAAGAATTAACAACAGAATTCAGCACTGTCGCATTAACAGATAAGTCCAAGAAGCGCAAGCAATATAGTGAGCACAGCATTAGACGGTTGATTCACTTAATCCAAGAGGCTGGGCTTACAGTTCCCAAAGCTGCGGCTGAGTGTGACATTCCGAGGTTCACCGCTTATAAGTTTTCAGATCAGTGGAATGTTAGTGATGGTACAGTCCTTCCTGGTAGCAAGCCAAGAACCGGCATCTCTCGACCAAAGAAGCTTTTTGCAGAACATACTGAGTTTCTTATAGCATTATTTGATGCGAGACCTTTGACAACAATTGAAGCTGCAAGACAGGAGCTCTGTGCCAAATTTGAAGGTTTGAGTAGACGTCTCAAAAATCTGGTTTGTACTCTCCATTCATATGGCAGCTTTGTTAAATCCAACGCTAAATTACTGTATCGGATCAAATTTTTCAATATCTGCGTATTTTTAAATGTGACATTAAACGCGTAAATCATACTGTTATTATAAATGTTGTTAAACGAAATGTTATGTTGCCAAAATTTAGTGATCATTCTTATCTTTCACCTTTTTCAATTATTTTCTTATCTTCTTTTTTTCTTTCACTTCATTACCTTCAAACCAACGTTATTTTCTACACACATGTACAAGACAATCATCATAGATAAAATCAATTCAGTGAAAGAAAATCATACCAAGAAGGAAAATCCGCCCGGTAATGGCATATCACTATACAGTGTGTAGTTTGAGACATTAGTAACCTTATTGTACACTTTTCAGAGCATACCAAATGTAAGGACTGTAATGATTTGGGTCACTTTAATAAAAATTACCCGGGATGCAAGTACCATAAAGCTATATCCGCCGATGATGGTAAGTTGAGCCTCGACCTGCCTTTAGCCACACAAGCCAAGTAATAGACCATCTCTTCCACATATAGTTGGGACTCGCAATAAGAAGAGAAAACAGAGCGCCAGTGTTAAAGCAGAGAAGAAAGCAGTGAAAAAGAAGAGAACAGCATCACAGGCTGTAGAGTGTTCCAGTTGTGGGAATGATGACCATGCTTCTCCTCGTTCGCCTCTTTGTCCTAATCACATACAATCAAAGGACGAGGCCATTTCATCTGTCCTTGGCCATGATTCTACTGTTTTTGCGAGGAAGCTTCCTATCGACAGTGCCGTTTTACCACAGTTTCGTGAAAAGTTCAAGGAAAAGGTCATCTCCTGCTGCAAGGACATCAGAGCTATAGTGTTTCGCTGCCAGCTATTTGTTAATGCCTACCTCGTGCATAATAAGAATGCCATTCCTTCAGAAGTCTTCACACAGCAATTTTGGTATTCTGTTGGACAACTCGTTACGGGCAAAAAGGTTACTCACAAGAAGGCGCTGAACGACGACATCAAAAATTATTTTGATGACTTTAAGGAAAAGCATCCGACAATAGTAATCAGTCAGAGTTTCACTAAAGGTTACAGCCACTGTCTCACAGAAGCCGCCAAGGAGATAAGCGTTTCGTATACTAACTCTATTGTTGAGCTTTTTGAACAACGAGTGCTTAAATATCTAACCTATAAGCTGCAAAACATGTTTGTTGTGCGTATTGTTATCACTACTATAATTTCGATTTCTTAGTTTCTAACCATTTGTATTTACTTTATAATAATCAGAGCATGAAGAAGACCGACGCAGTGGAAATATCAAAAGAATACTGCTACCAAGTAATTTGCAAAGGCGAACCCAACTGGCCTGATAGAATCATGCTTAGTAAAGAAGACAAAAGCAAGATAGAGATGCTATGCAAAAGCTTTGAGAAACTTATAACGGAAAAGGTTACGCTGCTTTCCTTATCATCCGATCCCGCCAAGTTTACCAAAGCATTATGGCACATCCTATCCTCGTATGAAAAGGAACATGACGAACATGCAGCTTACGATGTCCGTAGATTACCGTTACCGAAGCGCTTCTTCCCTTTCCCTCTGCCTTCGCTCCATTGGCGTTTCATCTCCATAAGCGTCAACTCGCTCCTCCCATTCATGTTTCCCGGTACAGCTCCAAAAGGCTATACAAATCAACTCGAAAAGTTTTATCAAGTATTCAGCTTCAAAAAGATGGGATTTGATAGGTAAAAAAAAAAAAAAAAAAAAAAAAAAAAAAAGGTTTGGCAGAAATGTTGTCATTGGTATTTACTGAATTTCATTTTTTGTGACAACAGTTGGAATGACCTCAAGACAAGCCAAGAGACCCTATTCCGTAATATCGTTCGCTCGGATGGCTTCACTGTCGACTTTATTTTTAGTAAGAAGAGGAAATCAAAAGAAGAGAAAACCATTGAAGACCATCGGTTGACTTTGGAAGATTTTGATTATGCCGAAATCGAATCTGGTTACAGGCCCTGCTTCATTGATCCCGGGAGAAAAGACGTCTTCACAGCAGCGATCGGGCTGGATGATGAAAAGCACCAAGTGCGAAGATGCTCTACCAAAGAGTACTATCACATAACTGGTAGCACCAGGTACTCTGCAAGGCTAGAGAAGAAGAAAGCGGACAAAATCAAGGGCATCGAAAGTGATATGCCAACTGCCAAGACAGGCTCCAAAGCCCAATATCACTGTTATGCAGCATACATCCTACAGCACTTGGAAGTCTTGTTTTCTTTCTACGGTGATGACACTGCCAAAGATCGATTTCATTTATACCAAGGACGGAAACGTGCAGCAGACAAAATGGTAAATATGCTAGTTAATGGCAGTACAAAGTATAACGAGGATCTCAGATTGAAGAAGAGAGAAGAAAAAGAAAAGAAGGGCTCAAAGAAGAAGAACAATGGCAAGGCGGTTTCTCAGAAAAGACGAAAAAAGAAGAAGAAAGGAGCACCAGAGAAAAAGAGTATAGAAGAAGGGACATCAAAAGTTAAAGTGGAATTGGAGAAGAAAGATAGGTAAAGTTCATAAGCAATCATCATCAACAACTTATAGAAAGTAACATGTTTTTTGTAATAGTAGTTCAAATGCCAAATGGAGGCCCCAACCCTTCAATGTCGGTGATGTCAAAAAAGTACCTCTCATTGTATTTGGCAATGGTATGTTCGCTAAAGACAATGTCGCATTCAAGGGTCACCGATGTGGAACGGTGGGTGTTTTGTGGCGTGCACTCAAGCGACGTGAAGCAAGCGGAGACTTGGTAGTACTTGAAATTGATGAATACAAGACATCCAGAATATGCTCCTGCTGCTCTAACGATACTTTGGAGAGGTTGAAAGGCGTTGAGACCTGCAGTATACTTGTTTGTAAGACATGCCATATACTGTGGAATCGAGACGTCAATGCTGCCAAGAATATGATGAAAATTAGTTGTGCTATTTGGAAGGCTCTAGGAAGGCCAAAAGAATTCACGCGGACAAAAATATAAAAGCATCCTCTCCCTCAATATCGCTGGAACGAACCCAGTTTGATAATTACAGGTAAAAAGAATGAAAACCTTATACTTTCTAGTGTTGTGCAAACTGTCTAACATTTTATTCTTAACGGTCTACTATTATCTTACATCCGCTTAAACTTAATTTCCTTATCGTCTAAAACTTTTGTGTGTGTTGTCCAAATCTAAAGTTAATAAACTGTATTATGTTTTATTCTGAATTCAAAGAAAGCATGAAACGTTCATTTTCGTCATTTGATAATCAGCTCAGTTTTAATGGCTTATTTTCCCTGATATCCTGGCTGATGCATTTTTTTACTTAAAAGACATGATTGGTGTAGAACGTGCTGCTTGCTCTAACTTTTCTTTTTTTCTTTAGCCAAGAACAGCAATAATATTCTCGTGGTCTATCGTAGTTTTGTGAAACGTATGTAAGGAAGGTAGAGCCTCTTTTCCCAGTAACCAAGCAAAGCATCTTCTTGCATTTTACCATGCTAATGTGGCTAGGCTTGATTGGTATAGGTACTTGTAACCATGTCATACCATTATTGCTTGTACAAACCAAAGAAAGTGGACAAAAAAAGGTCACATCCATGAATAGAAGTGAACTTTGTGAGGTGGACCTTGTTGTCCTTATTTCAGTCCCATTATTCGTATGGCTGCGCTGTTTTCTATAAAGAAACACCAAGATGCATATCCATGAAGCAAAGATAAAAACTTTTATAGCGTGACAAACGGACCAAAACTTATATCCTTCATCTCGCTCCAATAAGTCGCCAAAAATAGCTTATCAGAAATCCTTCTTCTTTTATGTTCATCATAAATATGGCTGGTCGCAAACTCCATAAACCAACCCTTTCCTGATGTCTACCGTATGAAAAGCACTGCAGTGTAATACAGTAGAAAGGAATTGAATAGTACTGCTTCATGTCAAGTACGAAAATGCAGTGTTGGCAAGCGACACATTCAGCCTGATTTACAACTTGTATAAAAATGCGTCAAACGCTATAAAATGCAGCGTCCGTAGAAAGCTTGCAAAAGCGTTTAAAAAAAAAAATACTCTGCCATACTTTCGGACCAGCCCTTGACGAGCTTGTGATAGACGGATACCATAATTCAATCCAAGAAGACTTATACTCTTTCTCATCACATATGTTATTGTTCATCAGCGCATTGACTAGAAGCGCTTCTTTTATCCAGATAAGAGCCATGATGACAGTAGACCTGCTACCTATACTTAGTATAGATCTGTAAGAAAGCTATTCATCCGCCAATGACTTTCCCTTCTCCTCCAGCTATGGTCCGAATCCCTTATACTTTATCAAAAGTGACTTCATTTTGAAATTAGTAAGTACTTAAAGTTGTTCTAGCCATGAACCCTACCATCCAGAGTTTCAGGATCCGGCAAATAGTTCAAGTCTAGTAATACTATTATCCGTTGAATTTATGGTAAAAAGGAGGCCGGGCAGCGATTAAAGTTACTCATAACTTGACAAACATTTGAGTGATTCATGCAGCTATTCCCAACTAAAATACATCTGACCCATTATGTCGAAAAAGTCACAACAGACCTGCAATAGACTTGTAACATAAGCATAGCAAGATAAGTAATTCAACAATATGCTTACGACTGCCTGTTGTAGCGTCATTAGTATCCCTTCTTGCAATTCAATTATTATTGAATTATTGTACATACATCTATGTCATTTATCCATCCTTCTCCATTATACACTAGCACTATGTCTTTTTCAGTGCACAGAAATGACCAGCCAATAGCTTTCTTTTTTTTTTTTTTTTTTTTTTCCTTTCGTTAAAGATCTTCCATCAAGGCCACGTACAGCATGTAACAAAATGCAGGTTTGAAGACTCCTGAAAACTCATGTAGCCAGAGCTTGCTTCTTACTCCTGCTACCTCCTTCTTCTAAAGTAGATTAATTTCTCAACCAACCCTTAACTTTTCCTCATCCAAATGATGAAACTCTCTTTTCTCCTATTTTTTTTTTTTTTTTTTTTTTACTACATCGTTTTCTTCATTGTTCAACAGGTACTTTAGCCCATAAATTTCAATATGACTGTAAAACTTGCAAATGTGGATGAGAAAACGCTAGTAGCAGAAGCAGCAGCAACCTCAGATCAACAGTATATAGCACCGCCTGCACTTTCAGTTCATAGTCATCCTAATGATAATGATAATAGTCACTGCCATCAACAATTTGAAACTGTAGACCCAGAAAGTGTATCCTCTTATAAAGGAGATCATGATGAGCAACAACACTTAGAAACACAAAAAGAAGCCATTGTTTCGACGAAAAGAAATGTAAAACCTAGTTTGACTCGCTTAATACTTCGGGTGTGGCAAATGTTGGCTGCCATGGGAGCTTTTGGATTTCAAGTGGGTGCGAGTCCTGTACGTGAACCCATTCAATATAAGACACGGTTATGGTAGAACAGAAAAACTAAACTTATACGTTAGTATTCAGCAGACCCTATCCCTTTTGAAAAGCCCGATCTTCTTTACTGTGGATTTTCTATATGCTGGCTCTCCTTTTTTTGGAGTTCTTTCAACGTCTTTGTCTACCTAAGCAGACGGTTTGGTAACGGCAGCAAAATTAAGCGATTCGTTTCCATTCTCTTTGACCTTACTCTGACGGCATTATTTGGCGTTTGCACTTTTTATGAGATTGCCACTTATAAGTGTAAGCCTGGATTACATAATGGATGGTAACGCATTGTTGAATTTTTGAATGTTTCGTTTTAAAAAAGAAAAAGAACCCAGAAACTGAAGCTGATGTTTGTGGCCCCCGCGTTAGGTGTGATTTTTTCAATACAGGCCTGTTTTTCTTAGCCACTCTCTTTACGACCTATCTTATCCACACAACTTGGGATATCTTTAGTACCCTCACTTGTTTACGCACACGTGAAATTGAATAGTAGTAATTTAAAGAAACAATGAGCTGGGAGAGACATGGCAGTCTCTAAAAATCGAACGTTCAAAAACACATTGCTTCTTGATGTAATATTATGTATTTAACGAAAATAAGTGTCGAAAGCCGCTCACCATGGAATGCGTGTTCACAGAAGTAAAATTTTAAAAAAATCAAAATTTTTAAATGAAAAATGCCCCGTTTTATTCTTAAGTGTACGAAACGTTCAAAATAAAGATGAGCATAGCACTTATTTCCTGCCAAATAAACCACCGGTTTTAGAAGCTATAGAGATGCTATCTGAATCCACAATAGACACTCTCATATGAACTTCGCCTGAACCTTCTGGTGTCAATGGCAACCATCCGTCAAAAGGCTGTCCAGATCGAAGGTTATTCTCCAAAGCAAAGTGATGCTCGCCGATATCTACATCATTTAAAGTATTGTGATCCTTGATTTTGAGGTTCAACACACCGTTAGCGCTAAGTTTGGCATTAAAAGTCTCATTCCATTCGGGCTGTAACGTCTTTTTCAAGTAACGCGTTTTGTACACAACTTTGTTACCGATACGGACACGACAATAAGGATCACTTGTACCTCCACGGTCCATTGCAGTAAGGTTTTTGGCTCCTAACAAATCCACCCGAATCGTTACTTCATCACCAGCACTCTTAGGAGAAGACTGTCGTTGAGTAGTACTCTCCTTTCCTGGCAAGGGGGATGATTCTGTCGAGTCATTGTCGACGGATGCTACTGTTGGTGCCCCACTAACAGGCATATCACGATCCATTGAGACAGAAGAGTCGTCAGATAGGGACGAGAACTTCTTACCAATCTTACCAATACCACGTATACCACTTCCCAGAGCGGAGACACCCGTTCCCAATACCTTGCTACCGGCTCCAATAGCGCTACCAGGAGCAGACGTAAAAGCACGTGTGGTGGCATTGAACAGGGATGTATTCGTACGTTTACGAGCAACAAGTTCAGGTCTCCACGTCAGACGTACAGTAAGTGTACCACCATTGTCAATATCGATCTCTCTTGTCGTCGTCTGGAACGTCTCCACTAGATCGCCTGTGAACTGGATAACACACTGACCAATCAACGTATCTTTACCCACTTGGTCCCAGTCATAAATCTTGGCGACAAGAGGCGTATACACTCGATTGACGACAGGAACGGTGAACGTTTCATCTTTGAACACAGGATTCAGAGTCTTCTTATAGGTTTGTGTCTTGTACACGCGCTGGTCTTCCAAGTAGAAGCGGATGAAGGGGTCACTCGTACCGCTGCGATCAGCAGCTGTCAAATTGTTGGCCTTTACCACATGAACAGTCAAGTTGCCTTGATTTTCCAGACTTTCCGCCGGATCCAATTTGAATCGAATGACAGGAATGAAATTGAAACTTACACACACCTTTCCTCCACCATTGGATTCTAGAAGGGGAACTTCTTCAATAACAGGCTCACTGATCGTTTCGTCTTCGGCATACTTCATCAAGCGCTCAATAATGTTTCTGGCGTCCAATGTGCATCGTCCGCAAATCTTCTCGTCTTTATCCGCATCCTTCGCATTTCTTACACGAACCAAAAGTTTTGAAAAGTCCATTTCTTTAATAAAGACGGTGCCAGTTTCGTTAATGTCAAGGTAGGCACCTTTTTGTTCAATGGTTGAGAATTGTGGATAGTTGGAATCCAACAGTAATTCAACAACAACACGCTGAGGCTCTGTGAGAGTCACAGAATGCACCTTGACAACCAGCACACCGGATTCATACGCAGAATAATCAACGACTTTGCTATTGTTTGGCAGCGTCTTATACTGAATGAGCTCATTATGTAGGTCTCTTTCAGGCATCTCTCTGGGCTTCTCAACAAGCTCAGGTTCCTCAGAGAATTGACTACCTCCTGATTCGTCTTCTGCTGCTTTTTGATTGGATAGGGTCTTTTTACTACCATTGCCGTCTCGTTGTGCCAAGGCTAAGGTGGGGTAGAAAGAAGCGGTGTACTTGATGGTACCACGTCCCTTCTTACGATCGCGGCTGACCAGATCAGCTACTCGATCTACCATGTCGGTTGCTTCGTAATAAACTTGGCCATCCTCCGTCTTGACTTCTTTCATGATATCTTTCAGATGCAAATCCGTAATTCCTAAACTCTTATCCTTCGAGCCCTCATTGTAATCCATCACTTCAAATACAAGATCCTCACGTTTGGAATGAACTGGCACATAAAGCACTTGATTCCAAACAGGATCAAGATCGTCATCCACGTGCTCTGTCTGGCCTCTATTTTGAACACCAGACATAATACGCACATAAGGATCGGATTTACCGCCTGTGATCGCTTCAACATTCTTCAAATCATTGGCACAAGCAAAGTGAACACGAACAACACCAATAGGTGGTCGGTAACCACCACGGGACATACCTTCTCCAAAGCCTACCATAGTAATAGGCTTCCACTGCATACTCAAATGAATCTTGCCGCAGCCATCTTTCAGCATCCACCAGTCTTGATTTTTGATAAAAACATCTTCTTCAAACTCCTCCAGTTTAGCGCTCCATCTACCCAGCAGTTTGTCGTCGTTGGCGTCGTCCAGTACATTAACCATCAGCGACAGCTCTGATTTATCAGTAACAAATAATTCAAGAGATTTATCCCAACGTGGGTTGATGCTGCGTTTAAAGGGACTTGTGCGCATCTTTTCTTTGCCGTTGACCTTCATGACCGCATAAGGACTAAGGTCGCCCTTACCACCAATGATCGGAATACTGATTCCACCACTTTTCTGTTTTCCACCCAGTTCTTTGCATTCATGTACAGTAAATCGTAAAATACCACTATCTTTTTGAAAATATTTCCCCAATTCGAACGTAGGATGAGTTTTTCAAGGAAAGATTCTCTAACGTATTTAAAAGGGCTCTTACTTGATTCTTCTGCAGGAATGATAGTACCATCCTCACTTTTTGAAGGACTGTTAGCAGGAAAGTAATGGAAATCGCATTTGACTTCACCATAAATTTTCCCCTTTTTCAATACGGGTAATGAGCTAAAACGAAAGAAAAGGTACGGGTAACAACCATTAACACGAATAGTCAATATTATACAAACATAACAACGCAAATAGCGTCGAGAAAAACTTACACTCCGTCTACGACATTATCAGATTCAGCAAGAGATTTCAAATCAAATGTACAGATACCAATAGAAGAGTCGCTTCTACCAGTATTTTTATCCATTACTTCCAGCACCAAAGTTTCATTGACATTGTTAAGCAAGACAAAGAGTGTTTCATCAAACTTGGGGTTTCTATTATCTTCGATCTGTTTGGTACGTCCAAGTTCTGCATTACTGGCATTATTCAAATGAAGCGTAATATACGGATCAATTGTACCAAAAAAGTCGATATCTTTCAAGTTTGTAGCTGAATGAATCTTGACAATCAAAACACCGTTAGCACTATCTATTTTTTTTTTTTTTCATAAGTAGATGATTAGCATGGGGGGGACTACACTCTTCCAATAAGGTAAGGTTGAACTATTTGTCATACACTTGTATATCATACTTACTCAAGTCAGTTGCACCTGACATCATACCGGCCACATCAAGAGTATATACATTAGGAGCGTACATCATAGGTCCCAAAGTAGCATGGACTTGTTCTCGAACAAACGATTCAAGACCGGGAATCTAAATAGAGGCAAAAAATGAATTATACTTTAGTTTCTTTCATCATATCCATGAATTCACTATCAACCTGCTCTTATTTCTATTTTTTATTTTTTTCTTCCCTTGCGCGACCATGATGTTTATGTTCTTACATTGTTAATATCAAATCCAAAGGTTTCACCTCCAACCGGTTTGAGTGAATAATCGAAATGAGGCTGTTCCAAAAAGGATGCTTCGACGCTCTTGATATGAGGGAACTCATTGAACATTCTGAACTTTAAGCGTAGATGACCAGAGAAAGCGAGATCTTCTAACAAGACAGGCATACCTGCACCTATCATACCTTTACCCACGCGAATGGTCAATACAATTTTTGGATTGACCTTGGACTGCTTATCACGCTCAGTTAAATCAAGCGTATCATTGGGAATGAAGGAAAATTTCCAATCCATACACTATGCATCATAAATATAGAAGAAAATGTTGGCTTATTTGTTCTTTCATCATAGCTTATGCATCTCTGTAGCGTTTCTTTCCCCTACTGTACCACAATGTTTGGTTCGGTCTTCGTTAGCGTTTTAACGCTTTCAATTCGTGGTGCTTTTGTTCCCAAAGTGAAGGTAGTCAAACGAATGGAGTCCAGGAATGAAGGTGTACTCTCGACCAAAATAGAATCCGCTATACCAATAATTTGAGCAGAAAGCACTGGCTCATATATCAACCAAAACTTTGAAAGGAAGTGGTTAATCCAGTCTGCTGTCTCTGTCTCTGTTTCCAAACGATTGATCGCCAACTCTCTCTGTATATCATCTCGAATATTCCTTCTTAACCGACGAATGGATGTTTGATAATAGGTTGAAAGAAAAGCACCTACAACCAAACAGGCCATCAAACCTCCTCCCAATTTTGTCAACAGCCAAGTGAATACTACCGTAAATAGCATGACAGCAGCATTGTGGTACCATTCTCCATAATAAGCTTCGTTCAAGAATTGAGACAAAAGATCATGATGCTGTTGATTAGATTCGTCTGAACGAGCAACGGTGCTTCTGTATGTACTTATCAAGGAATCCAATCCTACTTTCGAAGAAAGTTCGGCAAGAGCACTCTCATCACCTGGGTTAGGTAGGGTGGAAAACGCGTTCCATCCGATCTTTTTATCATAAAATGAACCTGGTCCCTCTGTTACTTTTGACCTCGATGTGCCTTCCGATCCCTCTCCCGCTTTTTCTTTTTGTTGCTCTCGAGGTAGGCTCACTACTGGCTTGGACTGAGCCGATGCTACTGCATCATGAACCACACTGGAATCATTCGTATCTTGATCAGTAGGAATGGATGCATCTGCTTTTAACTTTGGAAGACTATCAAGAACGACTTCTGCCTTTTTCTCTGCTTCTGCCTTCTTTTCACCGGGTGATAAAGTTTCGCTAAAGTCATTGACATCCCTCACCGCAGTCTCATTTACTTCTTTTAAAATATTGCTACTGCTTTCACTTGCCATGAAAACCTGCTCTTCTCTTTTTACTGAAACGGAAAAATAAGAAATAGGGTAAAGAAAAAGGAGAAGAACGAGAAGAAGAAGAAAGTGCTATCGCTTTCACTTTCCTTAATATTTTTATTTTAACTTTTTTTTTTCTTTTTTGTGTTCCCTCAAATAAGTCAACGACAGTATTTGTTCGTTTCCCTTTTTGATTTATCGTAAATAAATCGCTATCAAATCGTCAGAAAGGCTATCTTCCCAAGTCGAACATAGATCTTCCCGTCTGATGAAATGAGCCTCTATTTTTTTAAGATACTATGACCGAATATAGGTGCACTTTTCATGAATGAATACCTCGGATGGATGCTACATTCTCAACTAGTGGCTTTCAACGCGTTTAGAGGTTTTCATTTACCGTAAATGCTCGTAACGGCCGGCTTCTAGAGTTTAGGATCATCCTATTGTGGCGTACGAAGCGGGGGATGATATTTATACACCAGCCAAAATGTATGGCAAATCAACTTTCCCAAATTGAAATTGAAAGTGCTATGTGATAACTGTTGAAATTTCACTTTTTGTAAAGTTATACTAAAAGATTACGTATACATATATATATGTGTTTAAAATGAAGACAGAACAACCATTATTCAATATTCCTATCTGTGTGTGATTGCATTTAGCAGCAAAAGCAGAGCTAAAGTATAAGTAGCACAATTATTAGTACCTTTAAAACACAGCTTTTGTGTAGCTATTCTAAGTGTATACTTGTGACAAAAAAAAAAAGAAAACCAGTTAACTTATTTTAAATGATATAAATTCAATGAAATAAAGGAAGAATAACAACAACTCAACTCGAAGGGTTCGAAGTGTGGTTTCACTATCTCAGGATTCCAACATCTTGAAATGCCCCAAAATCATTTCTGAACAGCATCTTAGGCTTTTCTGTCTTTAAAAAATTGGTGCCTGAAAAGTTTCAAATTCCCATTTTTTCTTTCTCAGAGAGAAGGCGGTGCATGAGACCACAAAAGCAAGCTTTTTTTTTTCTTTGTTGTTCTTGACAATCTTTACATGCAACTTTTGCAGAGAAACATTTGCAATTAACAAAACAGAAACTTGACAACCATCGTGTCTTACATATGAAAAGTGTATTTTATGGTCCAGCAAAATAACGTTTGGATAATGAGAAAAACGGTTTTGAATGTGCAGTTTGTTCGAAAAATCTCAAAAACGCGCGAACGATCAAACTGCACCTACAAACTCACGATATAACATGCGATTATACATTTGATAAGTTGTTGATTTCAACGCGGAATGAGGAGTTGCCGGACAAAACTCTCATTAATTCCATTAGTACTCATTGGTTGCAACTACATCGTAACATCCTTTATAAGCTCAGTTCATCCTCTGAAAATATTTATCAAAATATAACAGCATTTCAAAACGTAAAATACAATCAGAGGAAGACAGTGATCCTATCACAACAAACATAAAGGGTCATATCTTGCAAAACGACGCAATAAGTCACGAAAATGCAATCTTCATGTTCAATGTTGAAACACAAGAGTCTAGCGCGTTCCCACCTGCAGATTGCAACTTATCAATCATTGACTAAAGTTAACGTCGCTGCCCTGCTCAAACCAGCAACGATTTGGACTATGTATGATGACTACGTTTCACAACAAAAACTATCTCAAGAGAATGCAGGATCATATCTTTTCCAAATGATTGGAATGTCAGTGGCCCGAAACCAACAAACAGCCATGTTGACCAAACAGCATGTTTTGCAAACAATAGTAATGATCGGGGTAAAACAGCTGCTAAGGAAATTTTGGAGCAAATCTTAAAGCAGTTTAATTCAAGCGAATCCTTGCCAAATATTGGAAACGAACTATTGAACAATAAATTGACATTACTGGCAAATTGTGCCGCCAAAGCCTTCAAAAATATCAACATTCGAGTTGAACGAATTTTCATGCTTTTATTTTTTATTTTTTATTTTTTTTATTTTTTATTTTTTATTTTTTTACTTTTTTAATGTTTTCAAATTCAATAAACTTGCACCATAATCGTTGTCTTATATTGGTATGCCAATTTAACACAAAGGTTCACGTAATGCTCATATAATGCTGGATCATATGTTCATATAATGCACAACCTCGATTTTTTTGGCAGTCATTGACATTGAATTACGGTGTGCCGAGTGGAACCTTGCGCTGAAAATTTTCCAATTCACTCATAAAACACTCTTTTCCATTGCCGTCGGCACATTCGACTGTTGCTTCAAGAACTCTGTTCGAGGTTGTGATTTCAAAAGACTTCTACTTTTTTTTGGGCTTTGCTGTACGACTTTCAATTTATTCAGCATCCGGATTGGATTTCTAACCCAACATAACTACTATTTTTGTCAACTACTAACTTCATTTTTGGTAGATCACAACTTTCATTGCAGAAAAGAATTGGATTACATATTGAACGACTGATCAGAGCAACTGTGCCATGTGACAAACTTTATTATGGACATACTGTGCCGTTCCTAAATGGAAAAGGTCCAAAAATCTTCCCATGAAGATGTATTCCATAAAGAAAAAGGGCTCACTATCCTTACTCCAATTTTTTATTTTTCTTTTTTTGCCAACAGATTAACATGAATATCGATATACTGCTTTGTCAAAAGCGACAAGTATCAGGCAACGTACAGCCTGTCTTTGTAAGTAACGTTCTATTCTTATTACGTCCCAAGTGCCGAGATATCAATAATTGTTGCCTTGGATTGGTTTTGCTTTGATGATGAATAATAATAACTGCTGTTCCTGAATCAACGGATTTAAAATTGATTTTTTCTTCATTGTAACCATTATTCTCTTGACAGTAGATAGGATTACCACTCGTATTGAGCGAAAGCCATCTTCGCAGTAAACTCATAAAACAATTTTTATTCTCATGTTCTTGAATCATTTAAAAATGAGAGAAAAAAAAAAAAGGAAGAAATATCATTCAAAATATATTTTAATGGAATTGAAAAAAAGGTATACAAGTATTACATGTAAAGTGACTACCTTACCGATATTGCTGAAATGCATTTATATCTTCTTTCTTAAAACGTAACCTGTTGCTGAAGAATCAATTGCCAACTCACATATCTTCCTAAGTTGCCTTGGGCATGCTTATTTTCGGTATGAGGCTATAAGATTATATACCTGATGTTACATTTTGATTTGATATATATCAGCGCTTATTTGCAAACACATCATACAATCTTAAATTGAAATAGTAAAGAAGCAGACTTATCTGTATCCGAATGATATTTAAATCACCACCGGTCTTCAGTGCTTCATCTTCCATAAGCTAGAATTTTAATGTATATGTATATTGCCTTAGTAAACAGCGTCATCTTCGACATGGCAATAGACAGAAGTAGTAACTATTTATGATTAACATCGATTCAACCAGAAAATGCATTCTCAGTGTCATTTAGAAGAACTGAAGTCATTATAGAGTTGCAGAGCATTTGAAGCAAATATACAATCATAAAAGTCTCTATCAGATACCTTGCATAGTGGCGTTTTGCCGAAATACGCTGCACTAACTACTTAATTTGTAAAAGTCATCATGCCTAACGGAGGTTTGCGTAAAGAGCATCATTATGGAAGCTATTGACTCTAACACAAAAGACTTTTGGCGGCACTAAATGTCCCAAACGCCCTTTTTTCGTTAGCGTTGATTGAAGGTTGACATTAACCGCTTGACCAATATACGTTTAAACAAGGATTTTTATTACTAACATTTTTTAAGCCCAATGGACACGAGATATTTAAGCTTATCTAAATTGCCCGGGGCAGCTCGAGTTGAGAATAGAGCGATGCATAGTGTCGGTCAGGGTGCCGTGGTGGGCGAAAAAGCATACTATCTAAATGGGAGGATGGGGAAGGGGCTAAACCAATCATTATAATTGGTAGGCTAAGACTTTGGGCGCGCTTGACCAATATACGGGTTAGAGACTACGAGTTTAACCATTCTATGTCACAAATTAGACTATGGAACCATTTCAAGAATGTTTGCTCGATAGGACAGTAGAATAGTTATTCATTTATTATTATTTTTTCTGTATCAATTGATATCTTAGAGCAGAAAATTAAGTTACGACTGTTTTGGGAAATCAATAGCAGTTACTCAGTGAATCCGGCTAGTGAAGCAATTGTTTGATCACTTTAAGTACCGGCGACTATGGAGATCAAAGATCACAAACGAAGAGAAAATTTTGAATGTATTTCGAAATTGATAGAAGCAGTGCAGCATCTCTTATAACGAAAGACTGAATACTTCAATCTATTAAATTGTTTATTGCTTGCGTGTATTCATCTATTCCAAGGCATTGCTTTACCAAAGTTCACATTTATGTGTAGGGTTCATGGGGCTTCCAACAGGACAGTTGAAAACCTTGGCAAAATGATTTGAGTTTTGCACTGCTCCATTAACACGCCACTTGCCTGGTGAATGCTCATCGGTGAGTACCTTTTTGATGAAAAAAGATTGATTAGCAACTCTTCCAATGATAGCTAAGTGAAAAAAACAACCAAGTATTATATGAAAGTTACCCCTTTCTTGGCCTGGGCAGGTGTTACTTTGTTGCACCATACACGACCAAAGTTGACAAAGAATAGCTTCTCAGGAGACAGCTGATCGAGACCAGGTAAGCGAACATTATTATATCGCTTACTTTCCTTATCACTATCGTATCTTTCTTTCCAAGCCACAAAGGCTTCGCCCAAACCTCCATTGTCTGCTAAATTTTCACCCAAGGTGAGTCTGCCATTTACATGGATAGCTTCTCCGTTTACGTCAACCATCGTAAAGTTGCTGTACTGCTTGACAAAACATTCAGCTTTTTCATCAAATTGCGCAGCTGTTTCATTTGTCCACCACTGAACTAATCGACCTTTGGCATCAAAATGACGACCCATATTATCAAATCCATGCTATATTTATTGAGGAAAAAGTCAGCTACTTCGAACTAATACAGTAAGGGTCGTAGATTAACTTACTGTAAGTTCATGGCCGACCACAACACCAATACCACCATAATTTAAATAATCCGGATAATTACTTCCAAAGAATGGGTTTTGTAAGATACCGGCTGGGAAAACAATCTAGTTCAATTTAGTAAGTATATCAATTTTAATTAACTAGTATGTTTCATTTTTCGCATTACCTCGTTGAAAGAGGGGTTGTAGTAAGCATTCACTTCTTGAGGATTCATCAACCACTTGCTTCTGTCGGGTTTTTTACCGACCTGTCGCCATTCCTCTTCCACTGCAAATGTACGGGCCTTGATATAATTTTCAAAATATGTGTCATTTTGAATTTCCAAGTCTGCATAATAATCTGAAAGAGACACCGGTGACATAATATCTGGCGTTACGTCGGAATACCCTACTTTTCTTACCAGTTCATCGACCTTCTGAACAGCCTTTTCACGTGTTTCGTCATCGATCCACTCTAATTTAGGTAAGCGTGCTAAAAAGACCTCCTTGATACTGTTGACAAATTCATCGGCTTTTTCTTTAGCGTTCCCACCAAATTTGTTCAAAACATAATAGCGACCGGCCAAAAATCCTATGTCTTCATTAACCTCATCCAAGCATGTGTCCCAACGTGGCTTGACCGATTTAGGGTTTGTACCAGTGATTTTTGAATTTAATCGACGAATAGGTCCGCGAATATCTTCTCCAAGAGCATCTCCGAAGGCAAACATGACTCTCCATGCCAAATAAGCTTGCAAAGTACGCGTTGATGTTTCGGTTCCAACCAATTTGGACACCTTTGCAATATAGTCAGGAGAGGTAACAACTATTTGGCTGGGATGCTTGGCACTGTTAGAGGGCAATAGATGATGAACATATAGATCCCAATCAACGCTGGGAACCAATTTGGCTAGGCTGGATAATGTCATAGGATTATAGATTTCTTCTGGGTTTTGGAGTTCTTCGGGCAGTTGACTTATCTCAGCGAGGCTTCTTTCGAAATCGACGATTACACGGGCTGTTGCGTCTGCATCGAAGCCTAAATCATTACCGATGATGTCCTTATTGGCGCCTTCATTGCCAGATAATCCTTGTTGCAGATGTTTAAAAACAACATTCAATATCTCGGCAATGGTATGTTGGAGAGTTTCAACAGTATCTTTTTGCTTATAATATGCCTTATTAGGTAATGTCAAACCCGATTGATACAGTTGTAGGGAGTTGATTTCAGGATTTTTGGGGTCAGCATCGACCATAATCTCAAAAAGAGCACCAACACCTTTTCGGGCTAAATAGGAAAGTACTTGTGATAGCTGGCGAGCGTTGACGGCTTCATCTGCGGAAGCCCTGGAGGCCGGAAGCATATCACGGACTTCTTTCAAAAGAGGAATAAGAGGTTTTACTCCACGTTCATCAATAAGGGACTCATCCATACAAGATTCATATAGTGCCTTGGTCTTTTCAAAGTTTTGCTTATCAATCAACTTTTCCGGCTCAGGTAATAATGAAGGAGACTGATGTACTTGCTTGTAGAAATCATCGAAAGAACCTGAAAGAATATTACGCAGAGCTTCTTTATTCTGTGTGGCAAGGGATGAAAAGGAGTTGATGGCTGATTTGCCTTCAGGGATTTCGTGGCTTCGTATCCAATTGTTGCCTATAATTTGTGATATTTCGAATTAGACTGATAAAAGATTTCATTCAGACACTAACTATGTTTGAACTCACAGGTAAATTGATAAAAATCATCGCAAGGATCTAAGGTAGTATCGATATCCTATGGGTAAGAGGAAATTAGCTTATCGTTTACATCAAATCAATAAGTGCGGTGTCAACATGTTTTGCTTACCTGCAAAATTTGTGCTGCTGTTAAAACGCATTCAGGTTTTATGCAGACAGGCTAATTTAGAGAATTAGATAATGAACAACTTGTATTTTCTCTTATTAAGTTTTGAACAGAATCATTGGGGTAGTTACAGTGGAGTCATTACTTCCGGGAGGCGCAGGAACAGTATGAGATGGCTTCTTAGGCCTGCGTTCATGATCGTGATTGGTATATAAGCTTGTTATAACGCATAATAAAACGAAAAAGGTGATGGCGATAGTAAACATAACTTTTTCCAACAAAGTGAATTTTCCACGTTTAAACCGGGCGAATTCAGACCGACATTGGTTGCTGCCACCTTCATTTCGTAAAAGTGGCTCGCTTTCAGTGCTCATTCTGTGTCGCTGAGAGATTCTATTTCTTAAAAGAAATTCACAGGGAAGAGTGAAAAGAGAACCTCGTTTCCCATCTGAGCCGGAACTATTATGAAGCAGTTACTGTTATTGAATTTATCGCACCCTATTTATGCATTCTCTGTTAGACAAGGATCTCCTGCACTACAATGCTAGGGCTTCTGTACTTCTCCATTGATGGTTGTAAACATTCACTGTAATAGCAGATTTGACGATTAAATAACAATGACCGCAATAGCCTTATCGACAAGAAATACGTTTTTAAAAAACATCCTTTACCTCTACCTTTCAGTGAGGAGACAAAGTTCCTTTTATAAACTATAAACAAATGGTCAATAGCATATTGAATAGCTCCAATTGAAGGGTTTGACTACTTACTGCACTCAAGAAAACATGAAAGTAGAACAAATATGCAAGCTTAATATTGACAAGAGCTGTTATCGTACGAAAACGCGAACTGAAATATCTAAATACTGCTTTGTCACTGAGCAGTAAATGTAGTCATAACGTTCGATGTCAGGCTGAAGACAATACAAAGAAATAGGCTAAACTGGATAAATCCCAACAAAAGTCGCTAATAAATGACATTTCCTGAGCATACAATGTTTACGACAACTCTTGTTATTCGATCTTATGTCAGTTTTTCATATAGATAGCCTCCTCGATCCATGTGTATTCTACCTAACAGTTTGCGCTGTTGATCTTCCGCTCATAAGGTTACACCAAAGGAAAGGAAGCCCACAAAAGGCACATTTTATTCAGTAATTATTGTGATTACAAATGAAGATAAAAATTTCACTTTAAAGCAAGTAACTATCTTTTTTGATGATTTCGTAGTTGCATATACAGTCGTCAACCCATTTATGTGATATAAGATACTTTGTAGGATAGGTGTTTTTTAGTTCTGCTATCTCCTCATCTGTAAAATGCGTGCTGCCACAAACAATTAAATCGTCGTATTCATCACCTATTTCCCCTCTTCCTACGGTTATGTATTTGCGGTACAAGTCCTGGGTATCGTTTACTAATCCCACTTTGATCCCAAAGAATAAATTCTGTTTCTGAAAAATCAAAGGAAGATTGGAAAAAACACGTTAATCCTTGAGTTAAAGACATGGCTACTATTGAAAGAACTGCACCCATTATTTTCCCCTGATATCAACTTACTTTTAGCTCCCTATTTCGTCTCGCTTTACTTGGTGCACCTGTTCTTCCATGATCCATGTCACCTTGTATTTCAAATCGTTCCTCAGGTACCATCTCTCCCTTCTCAATTGAAATCTTCAACCCTAATAGAAGGTTCACTATCAGTACCCTAATTTTTAATCTGATCTGCATTCACCGTTTCCAACTATCTAAATTTCGACTATGCTATACTAACAGTTTTGATTCACGATGTAACAGCCATATAACAGCGCAATTCGATATTTTGCATCATTCTTGGCTAGCTGGTTACTATCTTTGAAAAAGCGTGAGTGGGCATCCTGTTTTATTGATAAACAAGCTTCACATCTCAGTATACCTGCTTCCAATACGAGATGAGTCAACTGTGGTAAAAATTTCCTCATCAAAACAATATCGACGTTGGGTATATTCGTCACTTCCTATGTATGAGCCGATCATTAGCTTCTTCATTGATAACCATCAAAGAAATAACCTAGAGTTTTACCGTGATTTGTGGTTCGCTTAATTGTAAGATGCGATATTGCTTTGGTTTTTTTGTCAATGTACTATCAGCATTTTCTTAAAGATACAGATATAGTTCAATAAGGATAAGGTTTGTATCTAATAACAACCCAACTAGGTACTACCTTTGTGCCCTTCGTTTGATGCTGTCATTGAGTTTGCGGGCAATATAGAAGAATGGATGATGGTTTGTTTACAAAACAAGAGTTCAACTATTTATTACCTTTTCTAAATAACGGTGGTGGTGGTGATGTTATTGCCTCTAACTCCCTTGGAATGTTGAATGGTTCAACGTCTCTCAAATTAACGTCGGTTGACATTTCAAATTCCTTCCTGATAAACTCGAAATCGGCAACAATCTTTTGAAACGATTCGACTGGATTAGTTTGTTCGGTTGTTAACATGCTTCGACAAGTGGGACATTTTCCTCCATTCGGTGAAACTATATAAGTGATGCACTGTTTACAGAAGGTATGACCGCAAAAAGTTGTTGTTGCTTCTTTAAATGTGCCATGGCTTTTGCATTTAATTATAAGTAAAACCATAATTCCTCTCAACTTTTTATAAAGGATTTCTCTATTTTACCAGATAGGGCAGTCAAGCTCTCTGAGCATACCTGCAAGAAGCTGTGCAATTTTATCTTCTATACCTTCGTCTTCGTTCATAGTATTTTATGATGCGTCTTAAGATTTCGTATTTGTGATTCAGTAAATCTAAAACAAAAACGAACGACGGATCGAAATGGACTAGGTTTTTTTCTCAAGCCGTTTTCGTTATTTGAAACATTTTTATTTCAATTTAGGCAGCACACCAAATCATTTCGTTTTCTATTTTCTGACCTTTTCGCGCATGCAGGGTTGCTGCCATAAGAATATATATTTTCAGGTTTAAATGTTGGACGTTCTTAAATCATAACCCGAGCTGTTAGTGTAAACAGTTGAAAATACAATTGTATTACAAAAAGATTGCAAATTCTATACGTATCATTTCTGCCTTAGAAAATGGGGCAAATTTTGGCAATATATACAAGTCTATAAGCTATTTTGCTCCTACTCATACTATCCGGTATTATTAATATTATTATTGTTATTGTTGTTATTATTATTGTTGTTGTTGCTGGAGAATCTCGCGTTATTATTATTATGTCGGTAACCTCCTCTGCCTCTATGCGGAAATGGCGGGCGACTCCTATTCAAATGATAAGGCTGTGAAGGATTATTATTTTGATGATGATAACGTCTATTCGTGGGTATATGGTGAATAAAATGTTGCTGTGATTGTTGCTGCTGCTGTTGTTGTGAATGCAGTTGTTGTGCTGGTAATTGCTGTTGCTGCTGTTGGAATGGCGGTTGATAGGGTTCATTTCTTGCTGACTGTTGCTGTAAATTATTACTCTGCTGTTCACTGTGGAAAGTACCAGGAATCTGATTTTGATAGAGATTTTCAGACATATTCGGTTTTTCATTAAACGGAAATGTATCTTGTCCAATCCTTTTAATTTTACAGCCCTTTGGTGTTGACAGATATAAATACCCCTTTCTCAATTTACTATCACTAGAACCAGTTTGTGGGTTGAGTTTTATACCATTCTGACAGGTTTGACTTTCAGATAAACTGTAACTACTTACACTCCGTTGATACGTAATATATCTCCGGTATGAATGTATCCACCTATTTCACCCCATACACTTAATGTGATAGAACCTGTTTTATCAGCTACCAAAAATCTATGTATAAGGTCGCCATCACGAGTTCTAGTAACTTCATCCTCTATTGTTGCACACACATGTACACACAGACACACACACGAATATTTCAATAAGGGTTGCTGATATGAATCTGTAAGATATGGAATATTTACCTTTTTCTAGTACGATCACCTCACAATCAAAATTTCTTGCCATGGGATGTGTATCTTTAATAGCAAGGAGATTGGATCGCGGTGTATTGCCTTGTCCAATGGAGGACATGCTTGTTTTTTTTCTATTTTATCTCAAACGAAAAAAGGATATACTGTAGGTTTTTACTAACGATAATTTTTTCTTATTACTTTATGTTTTGAACCAAAGATGAGATTGGTGGGATAAAAGCAAAGAAAAAATTGTCGTTTTCTTTTTCGTTTAATTTCTTATAACTTTGTTTATAAAACGAGCTTTTATAGAGCTTGTATGAAGGATTTGGAATGTTTTTATTCTTGCGGATGGTTATTGAAGAAATAAAAAGCTTGGAATTCTTTTATAGATTCTACTTCTCTTAAGCAATTATTGAAATTGATAAACAGGAAAGAAAGAAAGAAAGAAAATTGTCAGGAAAGAAAAACTCTGCTCCCTATTTTCTTGAATGACGGAATTCAAATAATGATGCTGATTGAGGAGGAGGAGAAGCCGTGACGACTGTGGATTTCCTTATGTCCGATGGAATGAAGGGTTCACATCGAAAGGGAAAGATGGCAGCAAGTAAAAAATCATAGCTTTATTTGATTAGATATACTCAGACAGTAACCTTCCAAAAAACTGTAGTGTCGAAAAGATAATGCATAAAATCCTTTAGTCTCGGTCCTACATGATGAACGATTGCTAAGGCTATAGGAGACTTTCTCCGTCTAAGGACAATGAATAGTAATGTGAATATACAAACGTTGAGAAAGATATGTTTTGCAATGGACTTGATGAACCATAACCATGGCCAAGAGGTCAGGAAAGAGAGAAAGTGATTCTTATAAGAACTGTGGCTATTTTTTTGCAGGGACTTGATCTCTTGGCAAAGCGCTGTTACTTCTGTCTGTAGCATGTGTATTGCTTTATCACTGGCTGACGATAATGAAGACGACGATGTAGTCCTTTTTTTTCTCCTCGTCCGTCTAACAGAAGTAGCTGTTTCCGATCGATTACTGCTGCTTGGGTGAGAACTGAAGTTGAGTGAATTGGTTGCTTCGATTGCTGTAGCAATGTTTGGCATAATATCGTTGCTGGGTTGATATATAAAACCTCGATTGTAGTTTCTCTCGTCCTGTTCGAATCTGTAGCTACTATGTATGTTTGTTTTCTCTTGAGAGTATCGCGGTGAGAAATAATGATTTCCTCGAACTGAAATCAATAAAGGTGAGATGGGCGCTAATTCTGGAGTGGGTAAATTCTCAGAAGACGTGTTCGGGCTTGACAGACAAGAATAGATTGTTTGTTGTGGATCTAGTACAAGTTGCTCTTTTTCAATTTTAGCCAAGTAATATTCTTCTGTTTCTTGCTCGTTGGTGTCCCATTGAACTAGGTCTTCTTTTAATCAACCCAAGAGAGATGTCATTATATGTTGACTCATAAAAGTCCTCTATAATAGCACATTGGCTCACCTTTTTGGTCTTCTAACGTATCAAATTCAGCATCTTCCTGTAAGTAATTCAAAGATTCTACAAGGCTTTCAGCCAATTCTGATTCAGGATATCGATCCAAGAACTATAGAAGTAGTGATGAAAAATGCATTAGACACGAAAGGTCGGTAAATTGTAGTGAGAATTAAGTGAAGGCTGTATTCTTTTTTACTTCTTGCAGTAAACTGATCAATGAGCTGATATATTGAACTTGAGCTTCCACTGGGCTTATACCTCGAAGCTTTTCCCAGGACTTCCATTTAGCGTAGTCTACAATATGAATGGATGATGGTTTTGGTTGCATGCAATCGCCCGCAATAGCTTGCTTGTAAAGCCCATAAAAGTTTAGTTTGTCTGCTACTGAAGGCTGGAACTCATAATCTATTGGTAGGGATCGTACAACTGCAAGTGCTCTACAGAACTTTATTTGCGTGATGTACAAAGAAACTGATTTCGACGGCATGATTTGAACTCTTTTGATCGATTGATAACAGAATAAGGACTCTTATGAAGATGTAAATGTTTATGAAGGGGTATATTAATGTCGAATGCAATGAAAATGGCGAACAGTTAATGAAGCAAAGCTCAATAAAAGGCGACAAATAAAACAAAAATAAAAGCCAAATATAGCCGGTTAGAGGGCAGGTGAGAAAAAATATAACTAATGCCTTTTTTTTTTTATCTATATTTCTGTTTGCCACGTGAGGTGGCTATGATATACACAAGTTTGCTTAAAATGAAGACAGTCGCACAATTTAACCGTTGCAGCTTTTTGTGTGGAACAATGGTTCGTATGAGGAAAGCCTAACTGATGCAGTTCATGCAATGCCAAATAATGGCTTTTGAATTTGCCAAATGGCAGATATGGAAAAATCAAAAGCAGTTCGTTAGATACCAAAGGCGCGTTTTGGAGTGTCAAGTTGGTTTCTTAATAGTGGTCACTATAAAGTGGCTCTTTGTTAAGACATATAAAAACTGTTTGACCGAGCGTTTTGTATATGTTACAACATTGCAAAGTTGTATACTTTTACTTTCACTAGCCTCAGTGACTACGGTCTGAAAAAAACTCTTCTCTTTCAATTCTGCGCGTCTTAGTTCAACCTTTACTTCTGCCGCACCTTGCTTAATAGGGTTTAATTCTAAATAAACAAGTGGGCAAACAAATTCACCTATAGCTGCTTCGCTCTACCACTTCTTCAGTAAGCCCGTGGATGGGTGCATCCATAACAAGGCAGAAGCCTTTCATTTCGGAAAAAATGATCCATTATGCTCATCGTTTATAATGGAAGTTTTTCGTATCGCCAGTGTATGTCTAGTTTGAGCTTTATTTCTTTTATTAGCACCATTGTGATCTTCCTAGGCTTTTGAAAAACTATAATTTCAGCAATCGTACGCCATCCGTACAAATTAACCACAAGAACAGTATGGCTATTAGTACTAGCTGCAGGTGCCTCAAAAACAGTAGCAGTACTTTGTTACGAACATCCGTATGGTAGCCTCATATCATGTCAAAACCATATCTAAAACTTCTTATATTAGGAATCATGATTATGTTAGTTATACCGATGATCATCGACAAAAACCTATTCTCGTCTGATTTCTCGAGGTGGAGAACCAATCTTTTGAAAATGCCAGATGAAGCAATCAATTTTAATGCGAACCCAAACGCTGTATCCACTACGTCAGAAGTATTGTGTGTCAGTCAAGAACATTATTTATAAAGAAGTGAAATTCGCCATAAGCTCGTTGGACAAGAATGATATTGCATATAGGTGGAAAAAATTGCTCAAGACACAGGTACCATACTTTAAACAATTGGGCTAGCCAAACCAATATTCGCTCATCATTGATTATTTCAGTTTGGTGCCCAGAAATCTTTCGATATTTATAAGGTATGTGGACCTTCAAAAAGAAGCCATTAACCACCACTGCTACTCTTACTACGACAAACAAAGGATCACAGCAGCATCAACGTGATATCAAGATTATTTTTTTTAATGAGTATCATTTATATAACATAATACATTTGTATACACCATAGCTCTTGTTATAGGGCATTATCTACAATCAATTAGGTATTAGTGAGGGAGAAAAGATATGCAACATCCAGGATTCCCAATTTACAGGGAAAAAAAAGTTAAAAGTGCGCAAAAGCAGACGAAAAGCATTGATATGTAGACTACAGTTATTTCACTTTTCATAAGAAATTCCCCATTAATAAAAGAACAATAATCCTATTATGTTTTCTCTTTTCCGCAGGACAGCAGTTGAAGTGGCAGAGTCGAGCTTGAAAGGTTCAGTTTTAACAATTAACCAGTGCCAGAATTTAATCGACCCCTACTGAAAAACGATCTTATTTACCACCTATTTCATTCAACTTGACCATGAAATGTAGCTTTCAACATGGAGGGTCTTCGCGAATGGCAGAAGGAATCCCTTATGGTTGCTCTCAATTCCAAAGCGGATCTTGACAAATGGGCCATTGGTTGTGACAAAGACATTGGAGGTTTTTCTGAAGCAAAGTTAGAGATTACGGCTGAGGGCAAAGGCAAATTTTCAGGAAATATTTCATTGGATTTACCCCTAGATAAAGAAATAAAACAGAGCGGATACGCAGCAATCCGTACCAAGCCGAGAAAGGATACGTTATTTGGTACACCATGTTGGGATACAAGCTTATTTAGATACTTGGCGTTACATGTGAAAGGCGATAATAGAAAGTACTTTGTGAATATTCAGACAGATGGTGTAGTAAAGACAGATCTGTATCAACACAGGCTATTTTTGAGAACTCCCGGACAATGGGAAACAGTATTGGTTAGTATATAAAGCCGTGAGCAGACAGAAAAAAGCTACCAATAATGGATATGGAAGTGAACTGAATTATACAATCTTTTACCTGCAAAAAACGAACTATCGTTAGATACCTTTCAAAGATTTTATTTTGACGAATAATGGTGTAATTCAAGAAGATCAAATTGAGATGTTTCGAGAAAAGGTAAAGACAGTAGGATTGTCCCTGATGGACCGTCGAGAGGGCCCTTTTAGTATAGAAATCGATTGGATTAAGGCAATGAATACCGAGTTCACAGAAGGTGACATGGATCGTATTCCACCAAAAATGGAAAAGACTGACACATCATTTTCTTAAACTACAACTGCAAATTTAACGTTGTCTTCTGTACATATTTGTGCCTTAATTTGTATTTTAACAAACTACCACTTTTTCCTCTGGGCATGAATAAAGGGGCGCTTTACTGAGTTCTAACGGATGCAATGTTGTTTGAGCCTTACAAATGCTGACTGCTGGCTGCTAGCTGCTTGTTCAACTTTGAGCAATTTCAATTCAATGAGCTCACTACTAACGCTCTTCGAAGACTGTTTCGAGAGCATCAATACTGTTGAGAGAGAATTTCATCTAAATATTGAGAGTTTCTCATCCTTTGAAAAAGAATCGCTCAAAAAGCTTAATTCGAAAGTTTTAATCGCAACACTGAGAAGATCAAAAGAAATCAATGAGGATTATAGCATCAACAGCGATACGTTTGACAGCTCGATAGAAAATAACTTTGCAGCTGTAAATACACAAATCTTATGGATTGCCTGTTACTTTTCAGCACTGTTAATGACTTCTGTACCAGTTCTTAAGAATTATCTGTAGTCGTCTTTTATCAAGCAACAGTTGGAGACGTAGAAATGCATTGACTACTGGATGCACTATGGTAAATGCGCGGACTAAGTGATATTGTAAATCTCTTTGAAGTTCCTAACCAAGTTTGATTCAGAGCCATTCTGAGTTGGTCAGTAATTTTGATGGAACATTCATTAACGAAATGTTGTCAGATGAAGCTTGGACCATTCTATTCAAGAGGTAGAGTTGAAGAATACGAAAAAAAAAGAAACAAAACTTGATATGTTCCCTTGACCTAAATCGAACTTTATATATGTTCAGTATTGGGACGGAAAAGTTTACTGAATTGTTATTGAGCAAAGTGATTTTGTGCCGCATATCATCTGGTGCTTACTATCAAATGGCCGGTAAAGCGATTGATGAGAAAGTATTTGTGCAGTTGTATTCATTACCTTTTATTCTTCAATCTTCAGGGCCATTGCTTTCTGACGAACGGAGACATAGTACGGCAAAAAAAACTAAATTGAATGCGTCACTGCATAGAAACGATTATTTTCCTACGTATATGAGTGAACTAAAGTGCAACAACAAATTTTCGAACTATCTCAACAATATTTTCCAACAGCCCATGAAAAGAAGTGGAACGATGAAAAGCGAGGAACTTGACAAAAAGCCAAAGTCAACCAATTCCCAGCCCATGCACGAGCCGCTTCAGATTGAGCGAATAAATATGTACCATGCTGCAAACCGTATCTCATCGATTACTGGAAAAGCTATCATGAAGCTACCCAAAGACCGTAAGCTAAGGATGTTATTTATTCGTTGAAGCCTACGACCTGTAAATCTTATTTTACTACCACTTTTTGTTAGACATTCTACGAAAAAATGTTAGAGAGGCAAAAAAAGAACGCTATATATCACATTGCCTGTCAGTTATATTTCCAAGAGAGTTTCAGACGGTATCAAGAAGGGTAACTGCTTAGCAACGTAAGAGGAGCGACAAAGATTTGATATTAACAAATTTATCTTTCTCAGAGGCGATTTTTGAAAGACTATAACGACATTCAGAAGATTGTTCATCAATTATATGTACATTTTAACAAAATCAACCGTCATGCCATTTTAAACAAAAGATGCCCTAGGAGAGGGCTATTAAAGGTACTTAGATATTGTTTTCTTTCGAAGGATAATTATTGAAGCCATATTGTTGTAGAATGTTAAGGACCTTACCAGATCCATGTCTACTTATGCCGAGGTATATAAGAAAAAGTTCTGGAATGTTAGTAGTCTGACCCAATGCATTCTCTAACTATGAAATTGCCAGGTCTATCAATTTATGAGAGAGGTTACTAGACGTACTTTTCCTCTGGAATTGTGGGGCTCTCAGCATAACTTTAGCATCATTTGTAAAAGTAAGTTACAAACCATTTTCTCCAGTCTCAAGCTACTTGTTTCGTTTCAAGAAAGCATATTGATGTACAATTCCAGCAAGTCTATTCCAGGGTGAACCCATTCTCTTGGCTGCGGTTAAGTGAAAATTATAAGTAATACCGTAGCGGAATAAGGCTTATAGTTCTTCTTAATTGTGAGCTATAGATGGTTCACCATAGCGTTAACTAGCGCTTTCTGGAATAAGGCTTGCTTCATTATCGTATTAAGGCATTGACAATTTTATACGTCGTCGTAAGGGTGAGTGTATATCGTATACAGAAGTTATTCACCAATTCAAATGTTCCGATTGCAAATGGTTGAATAAAAACAAGCATAATGCTCAGCGAGTATGTCGTGAAGAGATGAAGAAAAGACAATTGCTTCTACAACAAGCCATTGTATGGTTCTTTAACGGTTTTGTAGAGCCGACATTGAAGGTAAAGTATATCAATAATTTGATGACCTTTACCAGCTTCCAATTGAATCGGGAATAAATTCAATAATCAAGTGTTTATAGGCCTATTTTTATGTTACGGAACATGCTAAACAAGGAAAAACAACATGTTACTTCAGAAGAGATGTATGGCTTGAAATCACGAAGGCGAAATTCTTCTCGTTAATCCAAAACAATTATTTTGAGCAAGTTCGTTATACTGTAAGTGACATGTATAGTATGTTGAAACTTTTCAGTTGGCTATTGACGCTTAATAATTCATGTAGATGGGTCTACGTTACCTCAGACTGGGCGCTGGCCGTTTGAGATTTATACCAAAAGAGAACGATTTAAGAATAATCACTAATATGCGTACTACTGTCAAACCTGTAAGTAAACAATTTTGATCGAGGCTCACGTAGGATTTGCGCGTGAAACCTCTGATGAACTTTTCATTTAAGGTCAATGGAGGTAGCATAGAATTCATAAATGCAAATTCTATAATCAAACCCGTCCGAGAAGTTTTGACATCAGTAACAGTAAGCATTTAAATGGCTTCTATGCATGTTTAAATTTTAAGAAAGACCAAAGACTCAGCTTTTTTTTTTCCTGTTTCACAGAAACAACGACCTGATTTAGCAGGAAGTTCACTAACAAGCAAAGACAATTTGCATGAACGCTACAAAGCATATTTGAACCGCACTAGGACTATGGATGGTCAAAAGTAAAGTATAATTTTTCAGTATTTTATAAAATAAAGGACTTTATTGACTAAATTACAATCGTAGGTATTACTTTGTTAAATTCGATATTGCGAATTGTTTTGATAATATCGATCAAGATCGAATGCTTGATATTATTGACGGCATCGTAGCTGATAAGGATTATATAAAGCGAACTATTAGTCACCTGTATCCTACTACAAACGGTGGAATTTCAGTCAAAGAAATAGTCACCTTTTTTGAAGAAAGTATAGTATACCCTATTGATAACAACTGAAACGAAAAGTTATCTTGTTATATTCACCAATTAGTACTGTTATAGACAAAATTGAAAGTATTCAGAAGCAGCTTAACAGTTCAATATCAATGAAGGACTCAATATATGTAGACCAGGTACTAACTTTCCTCATCTATTTTGTACACGCACAACATCTGACTCTATATTACGTAGAACACATACAAGTACAGGATGGAATCAAAAAATATACGTAGCGTATTGGAAGAGGTTATAAAAAAGAGTTTTACACAGGTAAAGGGTTGTGAATGATTATAAACAGTTAGCGATACTAATTGATCCAACATTTTGCAAAAGTATGAAGGCAATTATTACAAAAAAAATAAGGGTTTACCTCAAGGATGCAGCCTGTCGCCATTGCTCTGCAGGTAGATATGATCTTTTTGACAAATCGTCGACTAACTGGAAAGGTTACTGAGCCATTTCCATGTACATTAGTCTCTTCTTAGCTGCGATGGAACAGAAAATTCTGGAACCGTTCAAGACCGATGAAGAGAGTGTAAGTGAGATAATTGAATTGTTAATATTGTGAAACAGATTCTGATTGCCTACTTTATCAGGTCTTATTCCACTATGTCGATGATTATTTGTATATAACGACAAATCAGCAAAAAGCAGAGAAATTCATGAATGTCATGACTGAAGGTTGGTAATTATGGATTTAAGAGAACCATATGCTTTAGCTTATTGCTCACGTATATTGAGACAAATTTCGTAACAGATCTATCAGAATTCGGCATGCATATCAACGAAGACAAGCAAGAATCAAATTTGACGAAGAATACAGATGGTGAGACAGGCACTTTAACAGGATGACAACATCTATTTACCAGTTTTATAGTTATTTCATGGATAGGATATAAGTTTAACACTAAAAATCTGGAAGTTCAAATCGATAAATTAAAAAGTGATCGATTAGGTGAAGCTTGTTTACTTCAAAAATTTTGTAAACTTTACGCAGCTAATTTTTATTCTTCACATAGCAATATTGAATTCTTTGTCAATAAATTACTCTGGTCGATATCCTCAGTTAATAGAGAGCTTGGCAATAAGGTATCTTGTGATCGCTGTTTTCTTATGTTCTTTTGTACTAACGTAAATAACGAATACACGTCTTATAGAACCATTAAAGCAAACTGGCATAGCATTCTATTTGATATTGAAATCAATTCACGGAAAACAATTTGCAAAAATCTCTATGATATATTTGAGTCGGCAGCTTTGAAGACGGAAATCTACACATCTGAACGCGCTAAAAGCCCCCTATGCTTCATTAATGAGGAACTGATAATAAGTAATACATCAGAATAACAATATTTTAATTTAATCCTTTAACTAATCGTGCCCCGCAGTGATAATCATTCGGATAGGATGTAGGATCAGACCTCTACAACCAAAGGGCGTTTGCAAATCTGATCTAATGTATGCATTTTACCAAGCTTTTCATAATGTATACAGAAAGAAACATATCAAATACCCCAAAGTGGTGCGATTTTTAAAGTTTTCCGCTCGGAAGCGAAGATCTAATAAATACAATTCCTTAAGCTAATTTTCCATCGCATTGGATATCCTTGCTTTTTTCCTCTGTTCCAATTTAGCGAGTTTTTTCTCTTGTCGACGGCTCAGATCACCTGCCTGGCCAGATGTATTAAACATTTGCTGCTTTTCAAAGAACTGGTCTAGTGCTTGTGGACTCACGTCATCCAGTGTAAACCGCCCTAATTTGCCAGTTCGATAATGTTTTAAAAAGAATTTTGCTGCCAAAGTGTGATCCAGCACACCACCTTTAGATATTGCGCCTACTCGTTTCGCCACACCCTCCAATAACTCATGCACATCATTTGTAGGCTGTTCTTGCGGTAATCTGAACCAGGTAGCATAATCATAAGCACCAAATAGATTTAACCGATAGAGTAAGTAGTCAGCCATGATCTGTTCATCCGATAGATGATCACGGATACCACCCGTTACCGCAACTTTAAGGCTTCGTACAGGATCTGCAATATGCGGCACCATTACACCCGGTGTATCCATTAAGTATACCGTGGGGTTTTCAAGCACCTTGATAGCTGTATTTGCTACCTTCCGCGTGATGCCTGGCTGGGCTCCTGTGGCAGCAGCCTTTCCTTTCCCCACACCTACTCTTCGTAACGCATTGATTAAAGAAGATTTACCAACGTTAGGCATGCCTACTACCATTAACGTTACTTGTGGAATAGGATCGGCCATATGTGCTGCGTGCTTAAGGATGGATTTCATATTATTGTCTGTTAGGCAACTTGTAAAAACAACAGGTGTGGCAGGAGCATGTTTTTTGAAAGCATTAAGAATAGGGCTTTTTGTGGATGGATCACATAAATCGAATTTGTTGTATACTATAAGGCGTTGCTTTTTACCAACTACTTTTTCAAAGTTGGGATTAATCGAAGACAAAGGTATACGAGCATCCCTAACTTCAACAACGAGATCTACTGAGTTGAGACTCTCTGATATTTGCCGCAGGCCCTTAGCCATATGGCCAGGAAACCAGTTGATAACTTTATCATAAGAGAAAGTGGAGCGTGGTATGAAACGACTTGCCATTCGTTGATTGATTTGCCTGTAACGATCTACTATGAATCTCTTGCCTTTTCTCGGTGTGAAAGGGGTCGGGGTAGTATTGACCCCACCATCATGCCGCTTTTATCTCAAATTCCACACGGATTCATCTTATTGGGTCGTCTTTGAATTTGAAAGTTTTCTTTTTTTCAAAAAAAAAAGACGCTTTTTTCCGCGACTTTGTCTTTTGTGTCTTTGCAATAATTGCGACATGTCAAGCGATCAGAACGATAAAAAAGAAGAAGTGCATTATGCCGCAGAGGAGTATGCAGTTGATGATTATGTAGCGCCTGCAGTGTATTCAGTACCTCAAGGTTATTACAACGACGAAGGAGAATTCGTCGAAGTGAGTACAGGATCTACAGATCCAAACCAACCACCACCACCATCATCCAACTACCATAACCGTCAATATTACTCTGATCCAAACCAATACTACTATGGTTACAATTACAGTTCAGCATATGGAGATAATAGTACAGCACCTCCAGGAACGGAAAATGTTTCGACAGCAGCAACAGGTGCGCCACCAGGAACTTATAATTACGACCAATATTATTCACAAGGCTATTATGATTCTTCGTATTATAATGATAGTGCCACTGCAATGAATGATATCACACCCTCTACCTCTACAAGTGCAGCAGCTTATGGAAATAACAGTTCTATGATACCACCCTCTGATTCAACTGCATCAAAGATGCCATCAGCGACGCCTGCTCCCAAACCGTACTTTCCTCCACCCGCTAACAGTAATCAACCCATTGGGCCTATTGTTATGACACGGTCTGGCTATACGGGTCAAGATAACACAACATCAACCACTGACTCTACTTCATCAGGAGCAGTAATTGAAGCAGCATCAGAGAATAACAGTAATAGTAAAAAGAAAAAGAAAAAGACTGCCATTCGTGCAGCAGGTGGTGAGGTGTGGGAAGACGCTACGTTACTGGATTGGGATGAGAACGATTATCGTCTATTTGCAGGTGATTTAGGCAATGAAGTGACGGAGGAACTTTTGTTCAAAACCTTTTCAAAATACCCAAGCCTTACAAGAACGCGTGTAGTTCGAGATAAACGCACAATGAAATCGAAAGGTTATGGATTTATTAGTTTTAAAGATCCTGATGATTTCGTAAGAGCATGGAGAGAAATGAACGGTAAGATCAATAAAATCAGCAGCGAAATGGAGACGAAGGAGCCTAAATAGAAAAAAACTTTCCTCCCATACCCTGCATAGGTAAATACGTTGGTAATAGACCTATCAAACTTCGTAAAAGTAATTGGAAAGAACGTAATCTTGACGTTAAAGTGAAAAAGGAAAGGGAGCGTTTTGGACCCTATGCTAAGCACAAATAGAATAACTGTGTAGATAGATGAGAAAGGGAAAAATTGGTAATATGTGATAACCCAAATCTGCCGGTTTTATTTGACATCATTTTGATTGATACACAATTATTATGGCTAATTCGACATAGAAATACATAATAAAGGAGTTTCCTTTTTCTCTTTTCTCAAATATATAGCCTGAAAATTGTGGTGTTGAATTCTTCATAAAGTAATTTTTTTTCGACCCGTATGCCTTTTAACGAAGATGACAACCGTTAGGATGGTCATTCAGGACATTCAAAGCGATCAATATAACGTCTATGGTCCACCAAATGCCGCCAAGTCCAGCAGTAATAAGCTTAAGGAGGCCCAAAAAGATGTAACCAAGGTAAAAACGATCGACACCTAGTTCCAGTGATAGAATGGATCAGTTTAAAAAAACCCTTACTCACCCTATTTGACCGTATTTCCAATTCAAAGCACCGCTTTCTTTTTTGGCGATTGCCTTATTTTTTCCCTACCTAAGGGGCCAAAAAAGATGGAAAGTAAAAGAGCTACAAACCAACTACGGTCTGAAACGCAAGTGGTGTCATACAAGACATCCTTGGGAGGATCTTCAGGTATATGGGGTGGGGTATGTCCATGTTTATAAGCATAATAAAATGAAACAGTTAAGACAGCTGTGATAGCAAGGACAATGATCCAAGCAGAGATAATGCGGAAACGATGTTTGTGTGTGATCCGCATGAATTTCTGTCTACAAGACTCTGTTGGTGTTTCTGTGCTGATTAAAGGAGTTTCTTCGTCATGCTGCTGATGCTGCTGCTGATTGACAGTGCCGTATTCTGTGGACATTGTATTAGAAGCTGTAAGTATAGAAGTGAAATTGGCGGACGATAAAAGAAAGAAGTGGAAAAACGGAAAACGAAGAATACAATTATTTCACTTTTATGAGACGATGCCCAGCAAACCTGATTAGCTTGGCTTGTCTTGTATTACATCACTGAAAGCGATCCATTAATGCAAGCGGAAATTTGAATGAGAAAACGCCACTATAGGTTTCATAGCCAAATCCCCTGTTAATTGCTTTTTTATATCTGCTATACTATATGTAACGCTTACAATATATCGATAATGTTGCTTTTGGCCGTAGCCAATTCATTCATGCCAAGTAGTTTATAAAGAAGCCACATTTCGAACGGGAACACTTCAGGAAAAGGGAAAAAAAGAAAATTCTTGTGTATCTTCTCTTTAAAGTACGATCGGGTGTACCTGAAAAGTTTGATCCATCTTTGGGAAATTTTGTTCCATTGTCTATTTGTTCCTACGAAATACTTCAAACAGCGCGTTGCCTTACTGAACAATAGAGCCATGCGATGTCGCGTCACATTGTTACAAAGTAACCAGGAGTCTTAAAAGAGAAGTTTATCCTTACAGCGCTCAGAAAACCAGCTATATCTCAAAAGTACCATAACCCATGATGTAGTACGCAACGGTTAAAAGATACAATTTTCGTACTTGTGAGACAATGTTTTGTGCACCATTACGCGATGAATGGACTGACGATACATAGAGGAACACGGTGTTTACGTAGGTGTTAACGTTATCAACATAACTGATTCTAGCCAGCATTTTATATTGGAAACAGCATCGTACAATAGTTACTTGAAATTAACCCCTTTACAGTACTTGGAAAAGTTACTTGTGAATAAAGCACTATTCTTATTGTCAATTTCATAACTCTCTCTCTGCCTTGTCTATAATTTTCGTTGATAACTTTTTTTTACTCTGTATAAAGCAAATATGTATCATTGAGAGTAAATTCCAATTCAAATTGCCATGAACTCATTTCAATTGTAGAGCGGTAGAAAATGATATTCTGTGTTGCTCTTGGGCACTTTTTAATAGATTATCTAGAGAATATGTAACGGTACTCCGCCTTTTAAAGACAAGATTGCTATCAATCTCTTATCGACCTTGCCATGAGTGTTGTTGCGCTCTGCATAAGCGTAGAATAGCAGCGTTATATTCCTTGCTCGTTTACAAGATTAGCATTTTCTTTTTTTAAGGAGCAATGTGCAGTTCTTCACATTTTGCGCGTTTTTTAATTCTAAGCGAAAAAATAGAATAAAAATCAATAAGGAAATCCTCTTTTCCTTTATTTTATTCATTCTTCTCATTGTTCTCCACTCCTACTGGACTAAATTATTCTACTTTCACACTAAGTAATAGGCAATGGAACGAAAGAAAAGCGCTATTTTTCAGCTTAGCCTTTTGGCAGTAATACAATGGCTTAGTATAGTCGTGATTATTTTGAATACGTCGGCTTTAAATTCAATGCGAAATAGCACTAATCAAATTGATGCTGCAGAAGGAGGTCCAACCTTTACAGATTTTGCATCACTTATTCTAGGTGCGATCTCGCTGATCGTTGCCTCATTATTGCTATGTCTATACCTTCACTTGAGTATGGGTCTGGTAGCCAACAGCAATCATCCTATCTACTTCTCTAAGAATTTGCTGACGGCAGAAATATGCTTGTCGCTTAGTATCATAACCCTATGGACTACGGTATCAGGTGTTGTGTACAGTCGTTTTCACGGTAATGTAGTTATTTTCCCTTCTTACCGCATTAACAAATACAGATATCTAATTACCGCACCGCTTGTATTTTTACTTGCAAAATACTATTCTTCAGAAGTGTCTGCGTGCCAAAATATGGATCCCTCTCAATCACCAACGGCAACAGAATCATTTCCAAATGAACTATGGCATAGCAATATTGCTGCAAAAACTTGCAGTACAGCTAATGCTATGATTACTACTGGTTAGTTGCAATACAAACCTAATTGTATCTAATAAGATCAATTATACACTAACATCTGAGATGCATTCAATACATTGCATACTAGGTCTCGTTACAATATGTGTTTGGATGATAGTATTGATTTTATCAATTTACATATATTATTATCAGCTATGCGATGGCTCTTGTGCTAATTTACTTACATCCACATTCTCAGTGCACCCATACTGCGAACAGAATAAGAATACCCATAATATGACAACCACGCCTATCCGACAACAAGCTGGTAGTCTTCGAGACAAATATTCACCTATCATTAATCTTCAAATGTCTGCACCCATAACAACATCAACCGCAATAACAAAAAGCAACAGCAATGCAATGGATAAAGAAACGGAAACAACAACAATAGCGAGTAATTTTTACAATTTTTCAGCTTCAGAAAAGGCAACCGCAGTATCTATGTTAACAAATAACGAAGCAACAGTAGTAATGGAACAAGAGGAAAAAGGAGGCATGTTCAATTACACTCATGCCAGATTGAGTGCCTTCTCAACAAAATCAACCAATCAATTTACAGAAGAGGATGTGATGCACAAAAATGCATATTACCCTCAGGAACAAATGATAAGCATATCACGACCGCCGTCGACATCGGCAAGATCAACTGCTCGAAGATATTGGGATTATTTCCAATTCGAGCCCGTGAATCTTAACTTAATGCTCCCAACGACTCACGAACTCATAGGAGACCAGAAACGTGATAGCTTCTATTCCTATTCTTACCACTAACGTCTTTTGCGTGCGTTATTAACTCTTTAGAAACCCTTAATCCATTAATAATTGATATATAATTTTCAAACATTGATCAAATAACACAATTTCAATGATGTACAAGAAGAGGGAATTGTTAAATACTTACAGGAACAAGAATAATTATACATCTAGCAAGAACTTAATCACATGAATTATTTTTTATTTTTTTTTAATTGTAAAGCAATGCTCGTCCTCGATTCATGCCAACAACATTTTTCGAGACCGAGGTATACATATATAGCATTGTGAATAAAGAAAAATTGATACTGACATAAATATATACATTGCATACTATTACTGGTAATGGATCAAATGTATCAATTACACAAACGTGCTGAAGGGTAGTAGTTGTAACATATCGTTATATTCTTTTTCCCAATTATTCCTCCCTTCTACCTTGTCTTTCTTTATTTCGCTTCTCCCTCAAATCCAATTGCTGTCCTTCATACAGTTCTCTTCTTAATTGACGCGAAGGATGCTTTAAATGCATAAAGTTGCAGAAGCCTCCACGGTTACATTCTGAAATTTCATTTTGTCGACAGCAAGCTTCTCTAAAATCCGTCACAGGTGATAGTTCGGCATAAAGTGGTCTGCCTGCGTAGAATCGGTTGTTGAGATTCTCACAAGCCTTACCTGCTGACTCTTCATAACGATATTGGCAATAAACGTTGCCTACTAAGTGATCGCCTACATTGTCACAAACAATCATCTCTTCAATTTCACCGAATTTTGCCAATTCCATAAACACGTCTTCGTAGAATAAATCAAAATCTTTCTGTAGGGATTCTTCATCAAGCGCTGTGGGTGGTTGTTGTACGTTATTGTTATAATGATTTTGATAACGATTATGTGGATTGTTAGTATCCATGTTGTTGTCGTTATTTGCGGGATTTTTATACATGTTGGCAATCAAAAGTGTTTGAGAAAATGTTGGTTTGACATGCTTTCTGGAGCATTTTTCACCGTGGCGACAGGCCCCAATCTATTGAGAAACATTAGACGAGTAAGTATTATTGTAAGGATTAACTTTGCTGCAATGCCAATCTGTTAAGCTCCCAAGTAAAACTTACCTTGAAATAAAAGGAACAATTGACCCTAGTTCGTTCAGAGAAATGCAAAGATTAGCTACGCAACAAAACTATAGAATTTGCAAAAAAACAAAAAATTGTATACCTATACGTACTTATCCTTTTCAGTACCGTAAATGCTTGCAAGATATTCAGCCATGATTAGTTTATAGAACGTAGAGGATCAAGAAAGAATATATTCCTTTCAAAAAGCCACTGGCAAACCATTCTTCACCGTTATTTATAACCTTAGCGGAGTTACAATTAAAGTGGTATGAATACATTTGCATCCAAAATGCAATGTTCAATTGCCATAAAACTCAAGACTGCAAGGTAAACAAACAGTGGGATAAAATTGAACCGGTTCACATATATCAGCAAAAATATTTGAGTAGACATTACTCCCAATACATTGGCATGTAAAAATAGCAAGCAGTATATTTCTTTTTATCAAGCATACACTCAGTTGAACGCAGAGAAAGTTTCGAAAACAATGGAAAATTCTGAAAAATTGACGAAATTTCATTGATGCCTTTTTTCTACTTACTAATGCTCAAAGTGTTTCTGACAGCGTCTAAAAAAGCTGGCTAGAAACAACATTTACAAATCAATGAACAGTATTTCAAGTTTCCTGACGTTTAGTTTTCCCGGCTTTGGATATTTCACAGAGTATTTAACTTTAATAAATCAAGGAAAATACACTATCTGATGCCGTTGCTTGCTCATATAGGCATGTGCCAAAAAAAAAAAAAAGAAATGCTTCATTCATATTCGATTTATACACATGGGTTATGGATATACTGTACGACAAGATAAACATGAAAGGTATGTTATTAAATGTAGTAAAACAAGAAGGAGCAGCGCTGAAAACTTATTGTATGTTTGATGAGTGTTGATTTTGCTGGTAAGACTGATTTACAGGGATACTGTTCGCAGGTGCAGTAGAACTCGTGTTTGCTTGCTGCGGTAATAGATAAGCTGTCCAGTCGTTGAGTTCAATACTACTTGGGATGGACCAGAATGGATTGTCTGGTCTATTTCTAAAGAGAGTCTGTTCCATCATCGCTTGTTGTTGTTGTTGTTGTTGTTGTTGTTGCTGTTGTTGCTGTTGTTGATCAGATGGTAATGAAGTGGAAGACCCAAAAGCAGGATGGGTGGTTGAGGCGTTAAACGATGAATTACAACTTGATTTGAAGGGTTGCATGACATTATTGAATGTTAGATCTGAAGACGTAAACAATAAACTCTCAGCCAAATTGACAGGTGGAATGAATGATGATGTATTATTGTAAGTTTTATCGGTATTGGTAGTGGTATTAGATGTGGGGGCTGTTGATGTTTCATAGTGTTGTGGAAAGTTGAGGTTATTGTTGAAATCAGTCTGCTGATTCAGTGGTGCCAAAATTTGGCCCATACCTAAACCAAACTGTCTTAAGGAATAAGGATCAGATTCTAAGGGATGTGCATTGGGCATACTCAGTTCGTTCGAGAAAGCTTGCTGTTGCTGTTGTTGCTGAAGGGATGGTGACATTTCAGGTTGTTGAGGGGCATCACTGGAACTCATGTTTATCATATTGTCAGTCTGCAAAGAGGAATACAAACCATTGAGCCAGTCAACATACCCCGAAGAAGATGTAGGTGTGGAGTGAGCACTTGCGTTCATTTCAGTATCGGACAAGATAGTTCCTGAAGGTGAAAGTAGCTCTTTTGTCGAGGCTTCATCTCTCTGCTGTTGCTGTAGATGGGTCTGACTCATATGAGAATGCTGCCGCTGGTGACGCGATCCACGACCTACGTCTGATATTTTTCCTCCCCCTACCCTTACATGAAGCGATGAATCTTTATAGACAGGATGCTCTGAACAGCCACCACCATTGACCTCAGCATCTTCTTTTTCAGACGTGTCGTCTGTGTCATCCAAAGGTTCCAATTCGGGAATACTGATTGCTTGTATCTTTGTTAGTTGTGCCAAAACACTATACAGTTTCCCAGCTGAAGTTGTCAACTTGGACAGCCGTTTAATAACTGCAGCCGCTCTGATAACATTCGATTTGGCTACGTCTGACACAATAGTATCTGAATTTGTGGCGTTGTAAATATGAATTAAGGAAGCTGTAAAAACAGGATACATGGCAAAATTCCATGAAACTAACAAAAAATCACGGTAGTGCATTTTTTCTGCTATATCTACACATCGAGTAGCAGCACTGGTACAGATACTGAGGGAAGAATGTGACGAGCGTGTTTTCTGTCCGCCATCTTTTTCAATGAATGGTCTGTGGAGTAAGATAAGTAATGTACAATAGGCCAAATAGATTAAACCTAATGGGTCATTGAAAATAATAGAATTTTTTAAGTGCTGTGACTAACTGCGGAAAGACGTCATTTCTTTTTACCTGACATCGATTGAAGTGGCAGTTTGTTATGACTACTTAATCGACGCACATTCATGGCTGATATTTGCAACGAGGGTGGTAGTTTGGATCTCCATTCAGAGAGTGCATTATCCAAATAAGTAACAATTGCATCACTGCCGAATTTCTCACTATGTCGTTTTGCTAAAGGTGTATATAATCCTTGTAAAATTCGACCCAAGATTTCCGACAATTTAGCAGTTTGTACAAATGGTTGGTATATGGGAATGGAATCCTTTTTTGCCTTTGATGCGACATGTTTACTGAGAGATGGATATCTTGGACCGTCATCGTCATCCCCATCCCTATTTGTAGAAGAGGAAGAGGAAGAGGGAGCATCCATCACTTCTTCCCAGGAAGCGCTTTCACTTGGATAAAGCTCATCGCAATCTTCATCAAAAATAGTTTGTGGCCTACCGGTAGCAGCAGACGACCATTTGTCTAGGATATATACGGACCACCACACTCTTCTTCGCGTTTCTTTTTCAGATGTGGGTATATCCCATTTTTCACTGGAGCGGTGCAGACCCAAGTCCTGCGCCATTCGAATGGCCGCTGAATTTAGCAACCAACCGCTGGCCATTTTCTCGTCCAGACTCGCTCGATGATTTTGACTGATAACTAAAGCTTGAACCGTCGAAATGCAAGGACTATACTTATCCTTGATGTAGTGTATCATATTATCAAACAGTTTTTCTGACCACCCTTCTTTCGTTTCGAGTTTATGTTCCAGGGGTACCTTTTCACCAAACAATTTGCAAGTTTCTATATATCTGACAGCTGCACCGTAGATGGCATTCAGTAACGGTGCTGAAGGGTATTCACCAATTTCACCGCGGTATTGTTGTAAGAACAGTTGCTTGTTCACAACAGGTAACCCCGGATGAATATACGCGAAATAGCTACGGCCACAATCAAGAATAGTGTCAATACCCCCCGTTTTGCTTTATTCTTTCAGTATTTGAAAAATGCCTTTGAGCTTACATCTTCATTAAAGTATCACTGGTAGTTTTATCGACGCCAGCAACCTTATATATCCAATCATTTAACCCTTTGATCGTTTCTCCTGGTTTCAACATTCCCAGACGTTCTAATAACTTTTGATTGGCGTTTTTTCCATCGTCTTTCTCATATAAAACAAGACTCTGTCCAAATCGCTTAATACGTATACCGATTTTGGTGCAAAGGCGAGCATCAGCAAGGTTGATTTTTTGAGCCAAAAATGGTAATGGGCTCATATCGCCAATGTAACGTGTGCGCATGTTAGCGCTGATGGAGGACAGTTCAATCGCCAATGATTTTTCGGCGGTACTGCTGTGGGATTCGACTATTTTAGTTTTGCCGTCTTCCTCACTTTCGGCCTTGTCGCCGATTATTGTGGATGACATAATTCCGTCCTGTTGGTGCTGTTGACTGTCATTTTGACTTGTCGCTGCTCTAGAGAAATCACAATTACTGCTGCTCCTGTTGATTTGAGTCATATTTTTTTCAAAGTTACGTTTGCGTTTCAATTTATTCAATGACGGTTCCGTATCATTCCTATTGTTTATACTGAATTCAGTGCCTTCTTCAGCTCCAGTGTGATGATGTTGTGCGAGGGGTTTTAGATTACTACTACTACTACTACTACTATTACTACTACTTTCTGGCTGCTCTTCCGTAAAAGTGTTTAAAATTTTTTCGACCCTTTTCAATCTGTTTTCGAGAACTTCAATGTATCTAATATTATGGAATGAAAGAGGATGAGTCAAGGAAAATCAATTTATTGTGTTAAAGATTTTGTACTGTAATAAATACATACCCTTTAGGAGGGCCTCTTTTCTTGGCGCTTTGATGGGATAGTCATGTTAATTGAGAGCCAAATTTCTGGTAGCGAAGAAACAAACTTCAAGTTGGATTATTCTATACATTACCAGTCATTGTATGTGCATTCTATTTCTAATGATTTGCAATTTTTACATGTGTTTCCGGGCAAACTTGTATCACATTTCACTTTTCTACGTCTACAGGTGTCACTGGGTCAAAAATTTAGTTACAATTAAACAAATGTGCGAGAAGCAATGCTGCAAAAACAACAAAAAAAAACAAAGGAAAAAGATGGCTACCATGCTCTTGTGATACGAGTGCGTTTATTATTTAATTTCATATCTTGTGGATGATACACGCTGGTCTCGGTTGGGCTTTGATTAGAAACTGGAGGATAGAGGGGTGAAGACAGGATAGATGTATAAGGGCTGGGCTGTAGAGGTCTTAGAGTTGTCGGCGGCGGCGGCGCCGGTGCTACTGGGCGTGTATGCGGGTCTGAGTGCGGAGCTGTGGAATCGTAATGGTCATTTGGTCGATGTGGATCCATGTGTTGAGAGACTGAGTAAATATTATTTGAAGAGTAGCGATGTAACTCATTGGCATGCCACCTTGAAGGATCTGACATTTTAAGGCAGAATAGGGTCTAGAATAAATAAACTGTTTGTAGTAGAGTAGGGAAAAAAAAAAACGAAAACGCCTAGAATAAAACGATGCAGAAAAGGAAAAATTATGAGGGCGACGGGTCCTGACCCCCCCCCATTCGGGTAGAAAAAAGAAACCCAGACCGTATGTGGGAGTTTTGAGAGTTTTTTTACTGCTTTTCTAGAGCGCTCTTCTCCTTTTTATTCCTATCAAAATGCTACCAGAAGATATTGTTTTACAATTGAAAAAGAATGGTTTCTTTGACAGTTTACGAAAACAGTTACTAACGGAATTTCAAATGAGTGTAAGTGTCATCTTTCATCAAAGATCTCCAGTCATCGGCTCATCAACATAAAAACTTTTAGGATGCAGGTCAGCAATTTTCCGACAAGTTGAACAACTTTATAGAGAATAAAATAGAGAACGATCCCAGTCTATTAGAAAGGAACTCTTCCAGCTTTTACGAACATATATCAAGCGAGATCGAAAAGTAGGGTTTATGACATTTCTCAATAAGAAAAGTACGCTTGTTAAATGTTACACACAAACATCACTAGGTCAGATACGTATACTTCCTTGCGAGATCAAATATTGGAAACATTGAAACGAAGTGATTTTCAAGATAAAATCGATGAAGAAATACGCACTGTAACTGAAAAAGCAGAAGCTGATGAGCAGTAACATCATTTACCGTGATACCCATTTCTTTCCATGATACTTGATACAAAGGAAAGATTCTCGCATAGCAAGTCACTCAACAAAACAGTTTCCGTTGGAATGAAAACCTTCCCAATATGATTTGATACCCCTTTCTTCTTTGCAATAACTTTATGTTCTCTGTTGACAGATTAGAAAATCATATGGAAAAAAAAAAAGGCGTATTGCAAAAATAAAAATGTTCTATCAGCATTGTATGCAATCGGCAAAAAGGTCATTCATAAACCGATATTTGCAGACATCATTACCAATAAAGAAGATAATCATCATGGCTGTTAAGGACCGGCGAGCTGCGAAAAGGCAGACATCCAATGTGAGCTCTCAAAGTCTCACTTTTTCGTCAGTACTGAAAAGGGGTCGCTCCCTGTCGCGAATTGAAAAAGAAAAAAATGGTTTCCTTAAGCCTGAGACATCTGACAACGAATTGGCATTACTGTCATGGCAAAATGCTATATTACAAACGGAAAATCTATACGTAAACGTAGCTTGTCATGGAATAGCCGAAATTCAATTCAGTAAAAACCTCAAGTCACGTGAGCCACGATGACAGCAGAGGAAGGCCTTGCGCAGAAAGGATATTTTTCTTGATTAGTTATCCCTGATTTGCATAAAATCGATGTTTCACAGCATGTTGTCAATCTCAATCACATGATGAAAAAGCAAAGAAATTTACAGTTTTCAATTTGTCAGTTAACTGACTGTTACGTAATTGACAGAAGCTGTTCATGCAAAATAAAAAAAAAAGAAACGTTCTTCATTGCATGATAAAAATTATTGGTTTAATTAAACTTTTCTTCCACTCCTTTCACTTTGTCAGTATAAAAAGATCTGGTGCTGAACCCGAATGTCCAAATCGTCGTCCATGTTCAAACTTAGCGATGACTGTTTAGAGCTCATATTTATAGCTTGTGAGGGTTGCCCTTTGACCTTATGCACTCTAACCCAAGTATGCCGTCAATGGTATGCTATTGCTCAAAGGCATTCTATCGTAAGTATTTTGACTCAACCATGTTACCCTGTCATATCCAAAGAGTTTAAGCGAGGAGCCTCAACCATTGACGACTGCATTTTATCCAATATAGTGGCGTCGAGTGACATTCAGTAATCCAAACAAGCATGCTGCATATACTCGTTTCTTGACATCTAAATTTAACAAAGAACGATTAAATCAAGTGAAGACCGTTTCGATTTCGAAGCCAAACGAAAGCCGACATGCTCACCTACGACCTCTACCGATTACATCGATGCCTCAACTGAGACATTTGCATACATTCAACCTTTGTTTAGCAGAAATTGATTGTCTATCCCGTCAAATTCTGGAAGTTGGATCGAAACTTCAGAGCATATCGTGCAGTCATATTGAGACGTGGTGCGATACAAGAAGATTTAGTTTCGATCTTATACAGCGGCATGCTCACCTCAACCATGTTTTATTTCAGTTCTTGGATGACGGTCATTCAGGCTTTGCGTCTATTCACAATATGCTCACGTCGTACAATGCCACAATAAAATCTTCGCTGCATTCGATGGTCATAACGAGCATACGGGATAATGAAATGAGTAATCAAAAGCAAGTGATTCGTTTTTTAGAAGAAGTGGAAAAGGATAGAGATGATGTATTCACACAAGCAGATATAGAGCGAATAGAACAAAAGCAGCAAGGCTTGATCAACAGTTGGTATGACCTAGAAAGAGGATTACTGGATAAATACAGCTTTTTCGCAAGTTTGGAAAATATGTCACACTTGGAGTTTGGCTTCTGTTACGCCTGGACATCGAAAATATGGAAAGATGTGTTTTGTAAAGTCTTACATCAATGTCCTCAACTGTCTTCCTTGAGTCTTCATGGCTGGGACCAGTTGGGCAAATTGGAAAAAGTGGGCTGTCATTGTTCAGCGATACAACCTATTCGAATAGAAGCTGAATTAGCTATCACTGAATGTTTTGAAGCGATTCCTCAGCTAAAATCTCTACAACTGGTAGATTTCAGTATTGGTTTTGGCTTGTTGAAGGCAGCGCATCATTTATCAAAATCAATAGAGCATTTAGAAATTGCCTTTTCAGGGTCATTTACAAGGTACTTTACTGAGCCCGCAGACCTATGGCACTTACTGGGCCCTGTGAAAGATTTTACCACCATTGTGTTCACCGGTACATCTTTGTTATCGTCAGCTTGCTCTGCTGAGCAACAGCAGACGAAAGAGGTCGTTTTACGCTTACATTCAAGTTTGCAAAATGAAATGAAAAGGAATCAGTTCTTCTTTGATGAACCGTTAAAAGAGACAATTGAAGAAGCATTAACAGGAAGAAATGTCCAAATTAAGCTAGTTGACTTTTCCAACACTAATTAAATCTTTTTCCATCTATCATTCATGTCATATAAACGTGGAATGGATGCGTGCATAAGTGTTAGAGGACTTTTCCTTCGAACATCCATCGACAACTTTTCCCCCTGTACGATGCTCTTTTGCATGGGCTCGAAAGCCTTTGAGTCTAACTGCAGCCTACCTTATGACTTATAAAAATGTCACAATGTATATTTTAGTCCAGATACAATCTTATTAACAGCATTATCATCTGTAGTTTGAATAAAGACATTGATAGTGACACAAAAATAGTATGTGATCTATCCCAATAAAGTTAGGACATGAACAATTTTTTATCAGATCTCTCGTTGGGATGCCCTGTAAATCTAAACTTTATTGGTTAAGGCTCATCAATATGAAGTAGATAAGATGATCCACTCATTTCTAAGGGAAGAACAGCTAAATAATTATCGATTATCAAAAAGATCTGATAAAAAATGATGTTAATATTCCTATCTCTGCTTTATGCTTGGTTTTCTACCCATTCAGTTTTGGATCCTACATCCGCCTATAAGGTGTAGATCTCACAGTCTTGTTATGTTTTATATCTTTGATGTTTCAATTTTCTATTTTTTTTCTTGCAAAAAGCATTGACTTCCTTTTTCCTCACATTAGATAAAGCAGGCAAACAATAAACCAAAGTCAGATAACCACTCAGAAGTAATGTCATACTTTGAATTTGTACCTGCTTGTTCTTTGTTTAACCACCGTTTTCTCAGCGATGGTTGAACAAGATAGTAAGATGTGTAAATTCTTTTCCCGTAGTTGGTAGCAGATTCTTGTACGAATGGCTTGCAATTTATTGGACTAGGCTTTATTAAGTGCAGGCAACTGTGAAGTCGTGCCTTTCCTCTGTGTTGATCATTGTTACAAGACGAAAAAGGTCGCTTCGACACTTTGGTTTTATTTTGAGTGAAAAGCTGTCATTATATCGTGCGACCCCTGGTCGGTTTCGCACTACATCAGATTTATAGAGCTGATATAAATTTAGAAAAATCCTACTGGTAAGAACTTACTTTAAAAGTTGTTTTAAACCAAATTAGAGTTAACAATAGACGGGAGCCTTGTGGTTTGATGACAGACTGGAGAGAAAATCATGACTAAAAGAGCGCCATGTTGTTGTACAGACTCTTACATAGGTGATTGAAAGATTGCCGTTTATCAGATAACAAATAATATTGAGTCATTTCATTCTGCCATTCGCCGTTTTGCGTACCATCAATAAGAACAAGGGCTTACACCTTAGACCTCGCAACGGATCAAAATTCAATAGAGATCCTTTGCGAAGGCTAGTGATACGAATTTTTACCGAATACGATTTATTCACCCTTTTTTTGATCTTGATCTCTTTTTTTTTTTTTTTTTTTTTTTTTTTTTGCTGGGTCGCTGGAGCCTTCGATCTGTAACACTCATTGTCAACTGGTTTATCTGATTCTTATTTGTGATGTGGCACCAATCGTCTTGTAAAGGTGCAACAAAAAGCCACGTACGATCGCCGACTAAACGTTGCCCTATTGTCGTATACTTGCTGACCCCACAACCCAAGGTTAGAATACAGAAAAACTGGGTCCCATACGAGTAAAATAGAAAGCGTAAGAAAATCGATTATCTGATAACAGGCCAATGCACGTATTAAACTTTCATATCCATCGATGAAATCATTACAGGATTTCCCCCCCCCAAGTCCTTGCCATTGTGAAGAATATTATGAGGCAAAATTTTCTTTATTGATAATGTGGCCAAGTAGCTATTGGTAATACATGTATTAAAAGGTCTGGTATGCGAAAGACAGGCCTTGATCAAAATAATTTCTAACGTAGTACAAGTTTTGGGGATTTGAAAAAAAGAATGCAATTAAAACAGCAGATGACATAAAATGAAGCGGGAGATGATAGAAGAACAAAGTGTGTTACAATGGAAGTTTTAATGTTTCCCTGTTGTGTAAACTGGAATGGCTTCAGAAGGTCCTTCTACAGAAGGATGTCGCTTGGCTTCCTCCACATCGACAACAGCGCCACGGATTTCACCCGTTTCGTCAATGTAATGCTTGGCTTCTTCCAAGACCTCGTCACCATCATCCCATTCGCCTGCTTCAGCCTTTCTGATAGCATTGCGTTTTTCTTTGAGGAAACTGTAGACGAGATAGCCAACGACAAACAACCAATAAAGACAATAACTAATGATACTACCGTAAGTGGCCGTGTTGTTCCAACCAAGGATGGCATTAAAGATTTGCCAACCGCCATTGGTATCAGTGTTCAATTCAGGATCTCCCCAAGAAACATGCCAAACGGAAGTGGTGATTCTGTAAGGAATGGTATCGCCACCTTCACCGCCGATGACGTTGTTCCACGCATTTTGTTCCAAGTAACCAACACCTTTAGACATCAAACCAGCAGCAACAAGATAAAGAATAATAGTGGAAGCGACAAAGAACCAACGTAATTGAACCAGGCGACCACCACGATAGATGATATAACCAACAACGCAACCGCAGACAATACCCATGATAGCAGCGATTGGAATCGATTTGGCTGGTATGCCTAGTGAGACCTAAAAAAATGGTAGACAATAAAACATGAGAAAAACGTGACCCTTGATGCGCAAAAGAGCAAGAGATGCAATTGAATACTTACACCTCCAATGAACACGACAGCTTCTAGACCTTCTCTAAGCACAGTGATAAAAGGTAGCGAAAAGAAAGCATATTTTTGCATCTTTTCTTTGAAGGTTGATTTTTCCGTTGATGATTTCATGACAGCTTTAGCCAGTTTCACCTTCCATTTTTCTTGCATACGTTCTGTCTTCAACATAGCCAAGCCCATCACGGTAATCATAATAACGGCAACGAGAGAAAACACACCTTCCCAGATATCTTCAGAATTACCCCACAGATCCTTGAGCACTGTGTAGTAAACACCAATAAAGGCAGCACCGATACATAAGCAGATAAAAAGACCCACCACGGAGCCGATCCAGACGTGATTTCGGAGACGCTTATAAGTGGGTGATTCAGTATGGAACATCTTTCTCAAAAAAGAGAGCAGGACAGAAACAATAATGGCTGCTTCCGTTGTTTCGCGAAAAACAATAAAGAAAATCGGCACATCAAAAAGATCTTGCGACATTCTTCAAATCAAACCAAATCAGTGAAAGGGATATTGAAAGAAAAGAAAGCAATACTCGATGAAAGACAAAAAGTATCAATGATGAGAAGAAGAAGATCAAATAAATGTAAAAGTCCAGAGAAGAGAAAAACAGGCCCTTTTTTAAATGGACTTGATCCTTTGTACCCCAGTAAGATTATTTTTTATTTTTTTAAACAGTTGAGAGACGCCATCTAAATCAGGTTCCGCGGTCGCTTTATCAGATGGTATTTGACGTAATACAGAGTTGTGTACTACTACAAGTGTGTGTTCCACGTCCATCCGATCACTTCAGTGGACACGAAATATCATTGTTACACGCTGTTTTAGGATGGTCTCCGCTAATCTTTTGAACACCCACCCCCGTCCCTTCCATCTGATAAAATTTTTTGGTACTAGAATTCAATTCATGGGGATGGCCACTTATCTTTTTTTTTTTTTTGATCTATAAATTCACAACTGTTTCTTTTTTATTTTCTGATTTCTCATTTCTTTTCGCTCCAAACATATCTTTGAAAAAGTATGCGTTTTACAACAGGCTGCTTTTTATTCACTGCCTTTACTGGGCTCGCTCATGCTGCTCGTGTTGTTTATGATTGGAACATTACCTATACTACCGCGAATCCTGATAACTTATATGAGAGAAGGGTAGTTGGTGTTAATGGAAAATGGCCGTAAGTCATCAAGTCTTCATGTTTAGCCATGGATAGTTTAAAATACTTAAACTTACCGTTCATCCTCTTTCATTCAGTCCTCCACTGGTTGAAGCCACTGAGGGGGATACTTTGGTGATTAATGTCAACAATCAGTTAGATGTCAATACTGCCCTTCATTCTCACGGTATGTTCCAGAATACCACTGCTTATATGGATGGTCCTGTTGGCGTAACTCAATGGTGAGAACCAAAATTGTCGAGTTCCAAGATTGGTATCCCAAAACAACGCTAACTCACTTGAATTTTCATCCCACGTACAGCCCTATCCCGCCAGGTCATAGCCTGACTTATGAATTTGACCTCAAGCAACATGGTTCCTATTGGATTCACTCTCATTTCAGAGTAAGAGATACATAGGGGATATTGCTCGCTGTGCCAGTACATGTTCTTACATAAAATTTTCTGGTATTATAGGGTCAGTATATGGATGGTCTGCGTACCCCATTTGTTATCCATGCTGGTAATGAATCTTATACATACGATCATGATGTAACGATTCCTTTTCAAGGTACGGTTCTCAAGAAAACTCTTGGCACATTTATTTTACGGGATATTAACATATGAAATTGTTTCTCCCTCTGCTTTCGTAACAGATTGGTATCATGCTGAAAGTGAAGAAGGCATCTCTGTCTTTATGAACGAATTCAACCCTACCGGTGCCGAACCTGTACCTCAATCTGGCTTTATTTTCAACAGTGTCAATGATACTCTTTCCTTCCAGCCTGGCAAGACGTATCGTCTTCGTCTCATCAATATGTCTGCTTTTTCCATGTACTACTTTAGTATTGATGGCCATGATCTTGATATTATTGAAATTGACGGTATAGACGTGCAACGTCAAACCGTGAAAAATGTCTATCTGACAGCTGCCCAACGTATCTCTGTTCTGGTCACTGCAAAAAACTCTACCGATACCAATTATTATATGCACGCCGATATGAATACGGACATGTACGACGTTTTACCCGATGATTTACTTTATAACTTGACAATTCCCCTTTACTACAATAACCAAAGCAATGTGTTTGCTGCCTCTGAAGATGTTGGAATGGAAGGCACCTTTGACGATATGAAGTTGGCCCCTATTGAAGTTGCCCGAGCTGTCCCGTTTGATCATCAAGTAAATCTTACTGTTGATTTCCAAGTCACTACGGATGGTATTAATCGTGGTATGTTTAACGAGGTCCCTTATCTCATGCCCAAGGTGCCCACCCTCAATACAGTGCTTAGTCAAGGCAACTTGTCTACCAACCAAGAAATTTACGGTCCTCAAACGCAAGCTTTCGTATTGAAGCATTTGGACATGGTTGAGATTGTCCTCAACAATTTAGATGCAGGTGCTCATCCTTTCCACCTTCACGGTCATGTTTTCCAAATGGTGGGTCGTGGTCAAGGGGTTTATGACGGTACAAACAATAGCGCAGTCGAGTGGTTCCTTGACAACCCCGCACGTCGTGATACTGTTCTCGTTCCTGAAACCAGTTTTGTCATTTTACGTTTTCGAGCTGATAATCCCGGTGTTTGGTTTTTCCACTGTCACATTGAATGGCATTTAGAATCAGGGCTTGCTGCTACTTTTGTAGAAGCGCCTGACGTAGCTCAACAACGTATTACTTTACCTCAATCGTTCAAAGATATATGCACAGCAGGTGGTAATGCTTGGGAAGGCAATGCTGCCGGTAAACAGGGCCTTGATCTCCAAGGTGTCCCTGACGGCATTTATCTGCCTTATGATGGTTTTACTGCTAAAGGAAAGGGTGCTATGGCTGGTTGTATTATTGCTGCTTTACTTGGCATTGCTGCGATCATTGCTTACTCCAAAATGGACCCTTACAAAGAAGCCCGTGCCATTGCTGCCGCTAAAGCTTCAAAAAAATAGAGTGTGCCCCAGTTCTTAGAAACTCACAGCATACGGCTTAGCAATGCTTAGCTAATCCTCGTCTCGCAAAGCTCCTTAATTTTTAACCTTTACATATTTTACAATTTTTATATCAGCACCTGTATTTGTTGCTTTCATTGTCATTACTATTATTTGTATATTATAACACATCCTCTATTATCGCAAGCTTATTTCAAATGGCGTCTCCCTACTCTATTTTTCTTTCATTCTAGCATTAATGTACCTACTTAATAAACTATATACGAAGGCAAGCCTGCATTTTCTAATTCCAGTACATCTTTAAAAATATGAATAAAATGACGTTCATGATGAAGTGATTTTATGACGAGGGTAACGGATATAGGTTTAGCTAAAGCAACCTTCAACGATTGAGTAACGGAATAATCTTTTTTGAACTTTTTTTTTTTTCAAGTTATTGCTATCCATAATGATTTATCCCAAGGAAGGTCCAAGAGCATTCTGAAACAACCTACAGAGTAACTTAGACTTGAACGGGTAATATTTAGCTGACCGAAATACTCAGTTAGAAGAAAAACGGAACAGGTACCCAAAATAGATGACAAATTAAGTACGTTTACAACAGGCCTTCAAAAGACAACCGTTGTTTGTGAATGACGGGTTGCGCCCTATTGTTGTTTTTTCAGATAACAATGCAGTCAAGTAATGTAACAGACAGCAACAAGTATGAGCTGATTCTTCTGCGTCTGGAAAATCTATTTTTTTAACCGTTTTCGTAAGAAATTTTTTTTGTTCTGGTTAGATAATCTTTCGGGAAAATTGAAAATGGGGCTTTCGGTGGGAGGGGACCCTTAATTTTCCTGAATCGGGGGTCCACTCACAGCACGAGTTTTGCAAGAGTTTTAATGGGACGAGTTCAGGGAATGCCTCCAATCATATGTTAGAAAAAGAAATTTGGTCAGGGTCGTTTCCGTGGAAACCCTTATTTCAGGGTTTTTATCCGTATTACATAATTTAAACAAGAACCAATCGTCTGTGCTTAATGAGGGTCTTTGACTAAAATCAAGCAGAGACATTACCTCAAACCGCAATAAAAAGTGGGAAAAAGGGTTCATCAAGGGTTGCATTGAAAGATTTTGCGCTTCCCATCTTTCCCGAAGACTTTTCATTGGCCCTGTAAATAAAAATATAAAAAAAAATTCAAAAAGATGAAACGGATACTCAGCTTCCCTTTCTAATCAGCCCCCTCTATTTAAGTAAAACTACTTTTTCAATATTTCTTTCTTTTTCCTTTTTTTTTTTTCTTCTTTTTTTCTTTTGGACCCTGTTTCTCTAAATATCCAAAGCTAATTCCAATATGTCTGCTGATTCTCTATTTCAATCCGTCGAAAAGGACTTTTTACTCACAAGAGAACAACTCAAGCCTATTGTTGATGGTTTCAACTCTGAATGCAAGATTGGTTTGAAAACACCTTCCAAAGGTTTAGCTACCATGATTCCTTCCTTTGTCACAAAAATGCCTCAAGGCAACGAAACCGGTACTTTCTTATCATTGGATTTGGGAGGCACTAATTTGCGTATCGCTGCTGTTGAACTCAAGGGCAACGGCAAAACCGCTGTTCACGAACTCAAGCGTCGTCCTACTGTTGAATTAAAGACAGGCGAAGGTTCAGTCTTCTTTGACTGGATTGCTGATGCTACCCATGAACTCATCACCTCTGAAGCTAAGCATTTGTTCACTGAAGATCAAGTCTCTGGTAAAGAAACTCTTGCTTTGGGCGTCTGTTGGAGTTTCCCTGTCGAGTAAGTTGTGTGTTTGTATTTATTTTATGCGCGGTCAAAGAAATTGAACTAATTAGATTTTCTATTATTTTCCAATTTTAGTCAAACTGCAGTTGATCGTGGTACCATCCTTAGAATGGGTAAGGGTTTCACCCTTAAGAATGTTGAAGGTCATGACCTTGCTGATATGTTCCATGAAGCCTTTGCTCGTAAGGTAATTATTGTCACACTACTTACCAAGAAACCCTTTGGTCATTCGACCCAATGAGTCCAACTGAATTTTTTTGTTGGGGGAGGGTATCAGGAAAAGACAGAAAAACCCGGAAAGCTCATACTTTTTGCTTTGATGATTGTAGAATTTGAACGTCAAGGTGACTGCTATTTTGAATGATACTGTCGGTACTTTAGTTGCTCATGCTTATACCAACCCTGCCTGCCGTATTGGTCTCATCTTCGCCACCGGTATCAATGCTGCTTACCCTGAAAAGCTTCCTCTTATCACCAAGCTTGATGAAAGCATCCGTAGCAAATACCCTGAAAATACTGAAATGTTGATCAACACTGAAATTGATATTTTCGGAAGTGAAGCTTATTTGCCTTTGACCAAGTATGATCTTGCTTTGGATGCCTCCCACAATCAACCTAAATTCCAATTATACGAAAAAATGTTGTCCGGTGCTTATATGGGCGAACTAGTTCGTTTGATTGCCATGGACTTTATCAAGGCCGGCGCTTTATTCGAAGGTCATGTTCCTGAAGGTTTCGGTAAACCTTGGTCTTTCCCTACAATGTATATGAGTACCTTGGAAAGTGATGAAACACCGGACCGTAAAGAAAGCCGTGAAGCTCTTAGCGCTTTCAATTTTGTGAATGCTCCCACCTTAAATGACATTGCCATCTTGACCCGTATCTGTCGTATTGTTGCTGCTCGTTCTGCTTCTTTAGCTGCCGTCTCTATCATCTCTTTGGTCGAACAACAAAAGCTTCTCGAAAATGATCGTGATGATATTGTCGTCGGTATTAACGGTTCCACCTACCATTTCTACCCTTATATGGACAGACGCGTCAGACGTGCTTTGGATGAATGGTATGGCAAGGAAATCAGCAGCAAGATCACTTTGGAAAATGCTACTGAAGGCGGTAGTGTAGGTGGTGCCTTGATTGCTATGTTGTGCAAGTAAACACATTAAACCCACAAATAACCTATAACCTGTAACATTATACTAGTTCCCTTTATCTATTTTTCCAGCTCCTCTGTTGACCTCGCTTGTATTCTTATATATTACCTCATCCCTTGTATTTTTTTATCCTTTTTCATTTTTATTTTCTGGTCAACGTGCTTGTATTTTAGACTATTTTATTCATATTGTAATAAACGAATTTGTTTATTTCTGTAAAAGCTCATCTCTCAATAGATAAACGTTTGTAACGTTAAATGTCGGCATACTGCCATGGCTAGTTTCACCTTATCTGGCATTTCTTTGAAAACAGCGTTGTTAACAGTTATTGTTAAAAAATTTTTCCTTTTCTATTTTTATTAAATTGATGGCCAAAAAAGTTGAGAGAAACTTATCAAATAAGTGAGAATGATAGAGGATGATAAAATTCCAAATTGTAGAGGCGACACCCTTTCTGAAAAGCTTTCAAGCTTAACGGTTCCCCTGTTAGCGCCACCAAATCCTTTGAGACTTGATTCTGGTTGTGCTACAGCACCTTTACAAACAAAGACGTTGCCTTTGATGACACCATGTCTAAGCTTGTTCATACCGTCACAATCGAAAGACTGACTTGACGTTTGTATGTTTAGACCTCCACGAACATCCAGCAGAGCAGGGAATTGAATTTCGTCGAAACCACCTGTTATATCGAGAGTGCCATCCACTTGTTGTAGGGACGGGAAGGCATTGATGTTGACAAGCTTCTCATTGGTACTGACAGACAAAGCACCTCCCAAGTGCATCAATTGTGGCATGGATAGATTGTAAAGGCGCAAATTATCAGTGAGCGTTAAAGTACCAGCTATTTCACTCGTCTGAGGCAACTGTAGATTTTCAAAAGAGTTAGAGATGAACGACATATCACCACTGACTTTTTTCAAGTTCTTCATAGAGAGTTCTGCGACGTCACGGAATGTTGCATCATGTAACGTACTCAGGTTATCAATCTGATGCAAAAGAGTAAAAGAGATGAGTTATGTATGTCGTTTACAAGCAGAAAAAATTTCAAGACAAGCCTTTCTACTTACATCCACTCGAATCGCCGGTGAGTTGGCAGAAATGAGCATACTGCCAATGGCAGTAGCATTCGTGAGTGATAAGGATTTTAAGTAGTTGTTATTAGAAATCTCAAGTTCTTTGCAGTTTGACATTTTAAGTCCATCGACTTTCGTAATGGTCGTATCGGCAATTTTCAATTTTTCAACCTGCGTCAAACCGGAAGTGAAAGCAAGATCATTCAGGGCTGGATGAATAGATATCTCAAGCTCACGTGTAGCGTAGAGTTGAGGTACTTCAAGACTATTCAATAGTTTATTATTCACCATCTTGAACTGGCCATTGATTCCTTGAAGGGACGGTATTTGTAATCGTTGAAGAGCACTGTTATTGGTGATAATGAGATCTCCTTCAAGTAATTCAACAGTGTTCATTTTCAAGGATGTAATGGCTGTGTTATCAACAATGATACTGCCACCATAGGTCTTACAGGTGCGGACTTGATCCATGTCCTCTTGAGTTTTGACATGAAGATCCCCTCGACAGGCAGCTGCAGTGACACCTTGGATGATACATAAGTGTGCTGCCAACAGAGTTGATAATGCGAAACTTAACAGCTTCTTCATTCTTGATTTTGCACTTGTAAACTGTGTATTATGATAAAATGAAAAATGGAGGCTGGGAAATGTTGACAGGCTTTCTGAGGCTCTTTATACATTCATCAGCCAGATCAGTTTGAAATTATTTCTAACGTCAATCATGCATGAAATACTCCAACTTAAATTCATCCTATTACGTTGTTGGCGAAACGAGCCCTTAAAGGGTTCTTGCACCAATGGATTTGTTGGAATGATCTTTCCTCTTCAAAAGTCAATTCCCTTACAGAAGGTTAGAAGTATATCAGACGTACAATGTGTCAGGGAAAGTGCTTTTCTATTAAGCTCATCATCTCTGACGAAGCTTGCATTTGCCTATTCAAAAGGCAACATTTGAAAAGCTTAAAAAGAAAACTGAAATGAAAAACCTCTATATTGGAGTGTTCGTCAAGTTAAGTGCTATACAAAGTAAACAAATAAACAGAGGAGAAAAGAAAGCACAGACCAGTATTCCGGACCCCAACTCACCCAAAATGCTCATAATGCTGCACATTATCCCAGCGTACGTCTTTAAATACCTATTGATGTCACTGGACAACCGGAAAACACACCTTCTACTAACGAGCTCTACAGAACGCTGTCTTATTGACAGCAGAAAGATAAAAAAGTCTGAGGGCAAAACTATGGATACTGATTTCTCAACTTTTTTTTATTTTCCCTTTTTTGTTATTCATTAATTCGACATGTCGATAGAAGGCACATTTAAAGATTCACTTCGCAAGTTTCGACTGTCTCGAGGAAATGAGCAGGCCATTCATTTATCAACAAATACGTCTCCAACCTCATCACGTTCAATATTCCAATCAGTGCGTGATTCAGCTTCAAACGCTTTCTCCAAGGTAACCAATACAGTTCAGGGTTATAACCCTTTAAGCAGTTCCGATGAGGTAGAGGAAGATCCTTGGTATCAGCTTTCTCGTGTTGAGGTATTTTTTCTCAGTCTATTACAACTGTAATGAGTTGAAGAGTCACTGATCTCAAAAGTTATGACCTTTGTCCGGCAGCGTATTATAGCTTTTGCTCTGTGCCTTGCTCTGGGTGCGGGTTGTTTTTCTTTGGTAAAGAAATATTGAGCTACAAAATTCTCAAGTGTATACAAGTCATTTGTCCTAATGCTGTCCAAACATGTGTCCGTAGTCATTTTTCTTCTTGCCATTATTTCCTGGAAAATTTGCTGCAACCTTTACCTGTACGGATATCGTATAAAAAAAGAGCCTGAAGCCTTTATACAATTGTGCTAATAAGCGAAAACTGTTGATTCGAACTGTTTTATTTTAGTGGGTAGCATCTTAGTTTTGGTTAGCGTCGCATTATTACGTGGACCACTCAGTCATATTAAACATATGATGTCAAAGGAAAGATTACCTTTCACAATATCGTATGTAGGCTCAATGATATTGACTTTGTATGCAGCGATCGGTGTAAGTAAAAGCGAAAAGTACCAAAAATGGACAGCATTTTGATTTCTAACTCTCCTGTGTTAGTTGCGAGCGATGATTCTGACAATTATATTCGCTGTTATCCAAATCATTGCTCTGATATGGTAAGCCTTGGTTAAGTTGTATGAGCATTGTTTCATACTAATACAATTATCTCTCTGTAGGTATGTCGGATCTTACATTCCAGGCGGTATTTCTACCCTGAGATACGGAACTTCATATATAGGACGAAGAGCTGCATCAGTTTTACCAATCTAAAAGCGATCAAACTCTCATGCGTAATCCATTCTTCAACGATAAAAGTAGACTTTATGCTTTATTTACTGAAAGGATCGAACGTGTAGCTAATAGTACTGAAAGATGTAGTATTTACAGAAGAATAAAATGAAATAGGCGTGTATATATGTATATATGTGTAAGGTAATTTTGCAAACCTTTTCCTCTATCGATCTATGACTGAATGAAACAAATGGACAGAGTACTATTTGGAAGGATTAATCTTTTGCCTTTTTCTCGTTTCAAAATCTGCAGCTTGTTCGTCTTCATATCTAAATAAAGCTTTTGCATGTCTTTTTTGTCTCGCTACAGGCGCGTACTGTTCCCACTCATTAATCAGCCCGTCTTGAATGTCCAAGTTCTGCAACCACTCCAAAACTTCTGTTGCCGATTTTCTTTGGTCAGGCGAAACCTTTAAAAACTTGAGCAGAAGCTCTTTACTCAGTTCACCGGGAACCTCTCTTTCTAAAGCCTTTTCAATGTGGTAATCTTGTCCAACTGTTTCTCGTAAGCCCTTGAGGTCTGTGTCAAGAATACCATACCATGGCTCAGTTTCAGCAAATGTCTTCCAAATAAGCGTGCCGATAGAATACAAATCTTCGGCCAATGGGTTAACCAACCATGGAAGATCATCAGTATCTATACGGCTTTTTGGCAGAGTCTGAATCGAGCGATAAAGACGATAACCGTGGTCAGGTTTGGATCTCATCCAAGGCAGTAAATGACACCATCGATCCAGCTCCTCTTTGCTTTTAGGCACAATTTCACCTTCATACTCATCGTTGATTTTGACAGGTTGCTCTACCCACCAACGACGATAGCTTTCTGGATTTGTAAAGGTGGATTTACCAAAATCGATTAAAAATAGTTCTGCTTTACGACTACCATCTCTCAGCGTTTGCGTTGTTTCATTCACCATAAAATTGACCTCAGATATGTCACGATGTGCGAGGCCTATATTATGGATCGTCTCAATAGACTGTAACAACTGGATAATGATGTCCATCTTTTGATGAGCTGTAAGCCGGTGATGAGAATGTGCATGAGCGTACTGTTTCAACGTCTTCTGATAACGTTGCATACATAAACCAATAATTTCGCCATGACTTTCTTGCAAAACTTCTGTTATTTGGCCAACATGCGGGAGACCTTTTAATGCTAGTAGGCCTGCAATCTCTGTCGTTCTTTGTGTGATGGTCATTCGTCGGAAAGTTTGTATCACTTTTTGATCATCGTTAGGCATGAAGAAAACGTGCTTGAAAAATCCTTCTGCATTAGGTAGCCTTGAGGTGTTTACATTATAGTGATCAATATTTACAATAGGGACATTTTTCTCCTTGGCAACTATACATTAATAAAGAGATTTGAAGTTTTGTTAGAGCCTAATATATAACACCATTATGTTTCCGCAGAAAGGTACATACAATCTGACAATTTATGCCATAATTCTTTAGATGCATTTATGTAATATTCCTTATTATGCAGTTGCGTCTCCGCTGAAGACTTGGGTATTTCATCATCCATTTGTAAATAACGTTGAAAAGAATCAATAGGATTGTCGTTAATCCATTTTACTGCTTTTTCCAGTGTTGGTGTATCGCTGAGTGAAGCATCATGTTTTCTATCTACTGGAGTCATCTGTTTACTTTTACTTGAACTTCTATCATCCTCCTCCTCCTCACTATATTCATATGACTCTGTTGAACAACTCGTGTATCCACTATTTTTGTCCTTTATTGGCTGCTTTGTCTCCGATTGTGTATTTGGCTGTGTAGTGGGTTGAGTATTGGATCCCGTCTGAGCTGATACTGTACTTATGGTAGGTGATGCAGTCATTTCTGATACCTTTTTATTGTTACTACTAGATGAGTTCAATTTTAAACGTATTTGAGGCTTCACTGGTGTTGTTTCTCTGCGTTCTGTTAAAGGTTTACTTTCCTCTGTCATGCTCTGATCATTCTTAATCGAACGCTCAGGTATCCTAATGAAGTTTTTAGGTTTTGAAATGGAAGCGGATGAGATGGCTGTTGTTGTTGTTGCTGTTGGTTTGGATGCTGGTTGCTTGGGAGAAGAGGAAGTAGACACACTCTCCTGCAATTGAGATGGTTCTATAGATTTAGCGGTCAAGTTTTGTCTTTGAGGTGATAATGGTGGTGGTGTTTGAATTCTAACTACAGGTTTTTTTATATATTCTATAGCTGATGGAGAAGCTTGTTTTTGCGTTGTCAATTTACGCGATGATTGTGAGGTGGATGTTACAGAAGCTGGCTTTCCTTCTTTGGATACAGGTTCTAAAATGGATCGTACAAACTGTTTCGCTAGCTCTTGATTGCGTACCTTCTTAGGATCAGCAGGAAACTTTGTTGATAAACGGAAAGTGTTATAAGCTTTCCTGAAGAAATTGCGATCAATCTCTGAATTGATAACTGCCTCCACATTAGGAACCACTTTTAAAATCTTCAACTTCAGCCAAGCTTTTGGACAGTATTCGTATTTTTGGCTTTTATCCATAGTTGAATCATCAAAATTATGTGTCTCACCCATCGGCTCGCATATCACAACAGTTGTGCTAAGTCGATAAAGATCTTTTGATGCGCTTTTTCCCTCGGAATGAATCTCAACATTGAATAGAATAGCTAAGAGCCCGTCTGGATCTGTTCTTGATTGATTCAATAAAGTTCGATTTTTGGCTATATAAAACCTTGGTAATGGTATCTTTGTTGTTTTTGTTTGCTGTGTATTCAAATACTGAAAAAATGACGAGTTCAAGTGTTGAAATAATTGACGAACATTGCCAAAACCTCTTAATCGTCTGGTCAATCCATCCTGTTCACTCAATGCTTGTATGAAATATAGATTACTACAGCGAATGAAACGCAAAATCAATAAAAGAAAATCTACCTTACTGTCACCTGTATGGTATCTTACCTCTTCCTTTTCGGATCTATTTCTTTGTACATTGGAAATGGTGGTAGAGGTGGAGGCGGTGGTATTAAATCAACTTTTTCTTCTGGTAGTTCTGTACCAGTAATTATATCCGTACTATTTATTGACGTTGATAGATAGAAAGGTCTACCATAAATTTTAGACGTTAGTTAAAATACCCAATTCTTGCTAAATATTCTACTTACAGATCGCCTCCATTCAAAAACCTTTCAAGGCTTTCATATCGCTTGGCTAAATTTTCTGCCTGTTGATATATAGGATCGAAGGTGCGGTGGAATCGTTTCGCATTCTTCCAAATCAAACTTAAATCCGCAATGAAGTCTTCATATTGCCGGTATTTATTATTGTAGAGATTTTGCTCCAAAGTCTTAAAGTCCATGGGGCGCTCAATCTCTTTTAAATAAACGAAGGCTGTAGCAGGTATCGGTATTAAGAACTGGTAACAGTCATAGCAAGACAATAACTCGTCTATGACAAATATACACTGTCGGAAGGCCTGAGCTGTCATTGTTACGTCTGGCACGTTTAGTACACTGCTGCAAGAAGTTTCTGCAGTTTGATCGCTTTTCTCCATCGCTAAGGTTGACTGTTCCATATTGCAGTTACTAAAATCAATAAATAACAAGTAATAAAAGCTTTTTCAACAACCCTTGGTTGCTATGTTTATGAATAGTCGTCTTCTTTGAAAGTTGCACTTTGCAGGCATAACATAGCCATATTTTCCTACCTCAACAACAATGAGCTGAGCCAGAAAAGCAGTCAGAGGAAATGGTGTAAGAGGGAAAATGCATAAATTGTTGGAAGGCATTTTTTCAATTTTCTGATTCATTTCCTGCCTTGTCTCTAATTTTGTTTCTGTTCCTTGAAACTATGAGAATAAGTCGATTCTCGAGCGCATTATATCCGATAAGAGGCTTTCTTCATGTTATACAGCATCCTGCGCATATTGGTTCTATATTTGTCTCTATCGCCAAGGTCATCGCAGCTAGCTCCATCACCGTGATTCCAATTTTTACTTTTGGCTATGTTTATCAACACCGCGCGTTAAAGTATCTTTACATGCATTTCATTTCACAGCATTTCAAAAAACATGCTATTTCTTCCGTATTTTTAAAGGCTAGTAGCGTGTTTCTTTGTCTTTTCGAGTCATCCATCGTTACTTTGCAAATCAGTGGCTATTTTATAGGCAATGTTCGCAATAGGCTTTTTGATTCTCTACTTCAAGAAAGAAATGGATTACCAAAAAGGTCTCGCCGCAAAAGTGATGAAGTTGGGACTGTAGCTGAAAGAGTAGGTGGAGCCTTGGTGGGTAGCTCGTTAACAAAACATTTTCTGCTTTCTCCTTTGAATCTCATGATAATGAGTGCTGAGGATGACGATACCTGGAGCATAGTAATTGTAAGGTCAATTATATCAGTGGTGACTCTGCCTATCAATGCAGTACCTATTGTTGGACCTATCTTTTATGTCTCTATACAAGCTGTGTTTCGTGGAGGAATGTCGCATAGAAGATACTTTCAATTATATGATTGGTCGCCTGCTCAACGGCAGCGCCGTGTGGAAGAACACTTTTTGGAATATCAGAGCTTTGGCTTAGTGGCCACACTACTGGAGATGACACCATTTTTAGGGCTTTTTTTTATATACACAAATCAAATAGGGTAAGACATCAATGAAAATAGACAATTAATCAAAATATACATTATAGTGCTGAAAAAGTTGTTCTATTTTGCAGAGCTGCAATGTGGGCAATGGACTTGCATGATAGAAAGCTTTTGGAACCATCTAGCATTAAGAATGATTAGGATTTATCATTAAGAATAGATATTATATGTGTATATTCAGCAATTTGACTGGCTAACTAAAGCCTATATTGTATAAAGCTATCCAGAGGAACACGCTTAGTATTCCACCAGAAACTTGTAACCGTTCCGGGCCACAGTCCAAATACCTTTAGGATAATGTTAGCTCAGCAAATATATACAATTGTGGCTTTAAAAGATGGTTTATACTTACATCTCCATCCTTATTCAAATACCAAGAGCTACAACCACTCTTCCATACGGTACCCTTAAAACTATTCCTCAATTTTGCGACATATTGTTTCTGTGCCTCCAACTTAGGCTCTAAAGCAATAATGTTGCTTTTGATTGCGTGTTTCATTAATTTGATTGCTAAGTTGACTTGACTAAAAAAGAATACCTTATCAGTTATCATGCAGTTGTCGTACTTTTACCAAATGGATGCACTTATTACCATTCAATAATTGTCACCACTGAGTTATGACCTAAACCAACATTGGCACCTAGCAACAGGAAAAAATTAGGAAAACCATGAATTGTTGTTCCTTTATACATTTCTGGGAAATTAGAGAGCCATTCTTCTTGTAAAGATAAGCCTTGTCTACCGTAGACTAAGTTGTATGTAGAACAATTAAGGTTAAGCATGCGCTGTATTCACAAGTCGTCACCTTCGTTTTGTCACAAAAAAAAACAATATATACTTTGTAAATTTCCAAGAAATCCTTGAACGTTGAACCCCGTGGCCATGACAAGAACGTCGACTTCTTCTTTATTTCCTTCAGTGTCCACGACAATATTTCCAAAGGTTTCTTTCACAGCTCTTGGAATCACTGTTACATTAGGTTTGGCCAAAGCTTCTAAGTAATTTTCAGATTTCACTATACGCTTGCACCCTAAAGGATAGGATGGGGTCAAGATAGGTATAAGGTCCATACGCCCAGCCTTCTTCAATCTGTACGCTGTCAACTTTTCAAAGAGTTTCTGGACCATTTTGCTGATGAAAGAACCGTGGTAACCAAAACCAATGTAATAAAGCTCATGCTGTAGTATTGTAAACTTTAGAAAGATAAATTCAAAAGCTTGATATACTGAAATTTTTTTTTACCTGGAAGAAGACCGTATTTCTGTATAAACGCATTAAAAAGGGAACGTGTTTTAAAGCAAATTGCACGAAACGAGAGTATTTGAATTGATCTCTTGGGACAATCCATGCCGGCGTCCGCTGATAGCTAAGGATTCTTTTCGCAGTTTTTTGTAGTACAGGTATAGCTTGAATGGCACTTGCACCGCTTCCCACTACAGCGACTGTTTTGTTGGCAAAATCAATAGACTTGTCCCATTGAGCTGTATGAACAGATATACCAGTAAAGCCTCTCAATTCTGTTGGTTTATTTACAACTCTCAAAGGGCCTGGACCAAAAAATCTTTTCTCCAAACAACATCATAAATTTTTCAAGTTTCTGCCTTACTGTTATTCCTAACATGATTACTTACACATAATTATAAAATTCGACTACTATACGATCATCTACATTGTTAGTTGATCGACTCTCCAATCTCCAGACGTGTTTGTCTTCTAGCCAAGCAATCTGAATCACTTCTGTATTGAAACGGGTATGCTGATATATATTATACTTCTGTGCTACATCCTTCATATATTCATGTATTTCTTTCTGAGGGCTATAATGGTGTGACCAATCTTATACATTTATTCCATTTGAATCAATCACTAAACTTAGGCTACAAAAAGAGTGGATCATTTCATGAAGACTCACTTGGATTCAACTCAAAGCTGAATGAATAAAGAGGGCTAGGTATATCACAAGCGCAACCTGGATAGGTATTTGCATGCCAAGTCCCACCGATATCAGACGAAATCTCATATAACTGTGCCTGAATGCCCAATTGCTTCTTCACTTGAATTGCCGCGCATAATCCACTGAATCTATTTATTCAAAGCTGCTTGTATTAGAGATGATATAAAACTATTTAGCAGACCATTATAACTCCTAATTGCCATACCCTGCGCCGATAACAGCAACAGATGGCTGCCCGTTTATTGAATACATTTTTTACGTTTAGAGTAAAGAAAAGAAAGTAACAGGGCCCAGCTTTTTTTCGAAGAAAAGCTAATTGAAATTGCACTTGCTAATTATGTAGTATTTAAGCTTATTGTGCAAAGTTCCAAAATTTGTATCACGTCCTTTGAATAACCTACCTTAAAGAGAATGGGTGTGGGGAATACACTGAGAACAGATATAACTATATTTTCAGAAGGAAATGCTTTGCTGCCTTCTCTATAACTGTTTTTTTGACTTTTAATCGAAAGAATTTGTTTGTATGCATTATTCTTCAGTATGTTTTGAAGATAGTATTATCTGCTTGAAAAAAGGTGGTGAAAAATGTATAGATATGCTGCCCTGCTTATCACTGATGCTGTTGCTGTTGATAGCTTTCTTCAATAAAGCTACTTGCTGCTATAGGCTGCTAATATTACTAATAACGCAAAATTCAGTTTGAAAAGTACATTTAATAAACTTAAAAAATCAAAGTGGCTACTGAGAACCGGTGGCCAAAAGCCACTGATTGCCACTTTAGTGAAGCAAAGAAAGTGCTAATGCTCGTTTGACCCACAGCACATTAGAGAAAAAGCATAGCTCAGCAGCAAGGAGGCCACACTCCCCGCCCCCCACCCCCATCTCGTCGCCCTTTTTTATTTTCTTATCAAAATATGAACCTGTTCTAACCGCCTGAAACAAATCAATCTTTTTGCAGTGAGCGATTTTATGTCGCTCATAACAGGAATAAAGCGACAATCAAAGCAAAAGATTCATAAACAAATGCATTAGCACCTTAGACCATTTCTTCTCTTTCGACGCGACTGGAGTCTCTCTGTAACAACATGTGAAAGCTGTGTCTTTAGCAATCCAGTTTCTACAGCCTCAGCTTGAGTGTTAAAAGCATAGTTAAATGATTTTTTTCGCTATAAATGCTCTCCATATTGTTTTACGGGAAATGATGAGGCGATTCTTGAGGTTATTGGGTTAAAAGAAGCATTTTATACTGCCATAGAAGCAGAAAAAGCAAATTTTGCATTTTGAAAATTGTTCAAGGTAAAGTGTTAGACATAAAACTCTGCTTTTAATAGACAAAATAGTGATAGACTGTCCTTGCCAAATACAAGAGTTAACTAGTGTATTGAAAGCCTCAAAAAAAATAAAAAAATAAAAAAATATGTATATATGTAGGAAAGAAAGGATGTTAAAGTATGATTTAGAGCAATTAGGAATTGAACTTACAGATCGAGAAAAGCTTATTCAATTTTATAATATTTCGTCTAATGCGGCATACTACATATTAAGCCGGAAGAGCTTTCTTACCAACAAAATCTCTGCACGGACTGCACAAGATAAATGTACATTGACAAAAAGTTGGTAATGCTACCGCTTTTAAATAAAGTGTACAAGTGTTATCACTGCTGTTCAGGTATTTGCTTTTCAACCAATTATGAAAGAGAAGTGGATATGATGATATTAGCATCAGAAAGAACTAAAACTTGGGACAGTATTTTCTGTTATATGCTTACCGTTATCACTCTTAATCCGGTGATCACATGCAGTAAGCGCAATGACGATATTTTGTTGAGATCAGACCGCTTCTGCACCTGTTCATCCAAAAGCTATCATTAAAACGTGCTTGATCGTTAAGCTACAGTATTTTAGCTAATATTTTAGATAAAAAGCATTTTTTTGGACGATTATAAGTTTTATTTTAGACAAGTTGTAACTGTGTTGTAGACGAAAATATAAACCGTTCAAACAATGATTCAAATTCAAAAACTTGTCAGTACATGGCTCTTCCCAACTCCCAACACTTTTCTCGGTCAGCGGAGTCCAACTCGGCCTCCAAGCCCAAAAATCATTCTAAACGCTCCTATGCCCAAGTGGTCACAGCGTCTAAACGTGTTTCGCTGATGCATAAAGGCATCGAAGCTCCTGATATTGATGAAGGCACGACTTATAGTCGCCTTCAAACACGTGTCTATAGGTCCTCACGTACAATGGGGGCTTTGCTATTATCTATTTCACCGGTTCTCAAAGACTACTCCGAACTTCAATGTATGCAATTAGTTAAGGAACAGCACCCGGAGGTATATGGGTGCACCATTGCAAACGACGGTAGTCACAGATATCTTGAGATATATATCCAGAAGGACAGTAATGATCTCGCTTATAATGGCGTCAAGTTTCCCAACGCCAAGCTACAAATTCTTCCCTGCCAAGCTATCGATGACACGAACACCATTACTAAAGTCACTCTCACGAATTTACCTATGTTGCCTCCCACCGAAGTATTGGCTGGTTTACAAGAAAGCCTTCAACCGTTTGGAAACTTAGTTGACATAGGCATCGTTACTGAACCTACCACCGGCCTGTTCATGGGATCAGGTTACGCTGTACTGAGCACAAACCCCACCGACTCCACTATAGTACCATTGGCACACACTGTTATGTGGCAAAATACAGATGAAGTCTTTCATTGTACTTGGAACAACATGCCCACGTGGTGCCGCTATTGTCATGAAACTGGTCATACTAAATTTGAATATGAAAAATCCAAAGCAAGAATCCGCTGTTACAACTGCCACCAACTTGGCCATCGGGCTTTTGAATGCCCTCGTAAGACGATTAATCCGCAAGCTAAGAAAAGAAAGACAACTCCCGCTCCCGTAATCGCCGAATCTATTCATGCAGCCAGTACTGAAACCGCATCACCTAGTAAACCAATTGAAGCTGAGAGCCTTCAGGATGAATCAGATACAGATATCGTCAGTGACGCCGACGAAGATATTGATGACATGGAAGTTGAACAATTAGTCGCAGAGAAAGATATACCTCTGGATGAATTAATGATCGCATATAAACATAAATTGTTTGACGAAGCTCAACTTGAACACCAAATGGAGAACAACGGGTTAGCCGTGGAAGACTTATCAACCGAAGATGCAAATGCACTGCGCAGGCTTCATGATGATCTAACTGTGCTAGTAAATGAAATTAATAGACGTCAGGATGACGCCTCTGCCAAAGAGGCTCATCAATAATACATTACCCTAAACAATATATATATAATGACAAAACATATCTCTTGTCACTACGCTTCACTGAACGCCAACGGCTTGGTGAAGACCATCACATCCTCAACTTCAACTTCAACCCATAACTATCTACGATATCTTAAACTTCAAAAATTTGATATCCTTTGTCTACAAGAAACGCATACCAACTCCTCAAACATAATCGATCGCTTACAACTACAATTACAACCTACTCAAGCCTTTTGGACTGATTATGTAGGCATTATCTCTTTCTCACCAAATTATCAATTGACTTTATTAGATACTTCAGCATGGTACTCATCCCATCGATATCAGCTTTGTAAAGTTACCCATCCTCAACAGTTTTTTACACCTTTTTATATACTGAATCTCTATGCACCCGCTTCATCCCCACCGACTCGACGTTCTTTCTTTGCTGACTTGACTAAATTACTACACAATTTGAATACAACCATCCAGTTAGACAGATTAATTATTTCAGGAGACTTTAACTATTCGCATCTCCGTGAAAATGACTTAACCTCTGCCACATCTAACATTTGGGAAGCACTGCTTACCGAATCCTTTTTCAATAGTATGATACTTAACAATATGGACAGCATACCCACTTTTCAACGGCAACACGGACCGACATCGCTCGTCACATCCGTCATTGATTATATCTATCTGGGCGAAAGCCTTAGACACGGTATTTACGACAACGCTAATATAAGAATTGACCCTCGATGGTCTGACCATTCGATTTTGTCCATCCAGTTACGGGTAGGCAAATCCAAACTAGGTCCTGGAATGCTTCGGGCGAACCCATTCTTATTAAGACAAGATAAATTCAAACAACATCTCACCCATCGATTAGAGCGTCTCGTGGAATCGTTTGATTCACGAATTACGCCTCAAGACCAGTGGGAACAAATAAAGCAAATTACAAAAGAAACAGCCAAAACGTATGGAAGGAAAATCTCCTGTTGGCGACAAAAAACTCTGACTCAACTTGAAAAACAACGCAACCGCCTGTTACGGTCCAAACCACCTGCGTCCGTTCTTGCAGAAAAATTACCTTCACTGATGGGCAAAATTTATAAACTACAACAGGAGCTCACAGATATAGCAGCTTTAAAATCCGGCGTTCGATGGAGGGAACAGGGCGAAAAATCAGCCTCATACCTGAAAAGATTACATCAACAACGAAGCACACAACAATACATGGCCGGCATCCGCCGAGACGCAACCAATGAAGCTAATGACGTGATCATAGATCAACAGGGTATGCAACAGCTTGTCAAAGAATTTTATCAAAGATTGTACACCGCCCAGCCAGTTGCACCTGAATCTATTCGGGCGTATTTAGATAGCATCCACTTCCCAACTAAAGTAGAATCATTCGAATCTGAGAACTTAATAACGTCCATTACAATCGATGACTTACGCCAGTTGGCCAAGCGGTCTCCTACCCAGAGTAGCCCTGGAAATGACGGACTAGGATATCCCTACTTAGCATTTTTATTCAGCCTTCCTTTTCTTCAGTCAATTATCGTCAAGGTATACAATTATGCTTTAAGTGATGGGATCTTTCCTATCTCATGGAAAGATATACGGGTCCGCCTTTTGCCCAAGAAAGGTGACTTAACGTCTTTGAAGAACTGGCGTCCCATTTCTTTGATTAATTGCGACGGGAAAATCTTTACACGCCTCCTCACACAACGCTTGGCTCCCATTATGACTAGAATAATCAACCCATATCAGAAAGGTTTTCTTCAAAACCGTTTCATAGGTGAGAATGGATTGATAGTACATCTAATTTTACAACAAGCGCGACAGTTCAAATCAGAAGGAATAGGCCTCTTGTTAGATCAAGAAAAGGCCTATGATCGTGTTCACCTCAGCTACTTGGAACAAGTCATGAAGCGCTTCGGTTTCCCTGCCACATTAATTACTTGCGTTCAACAACTTTTCTTTGGCAATGCTGTTCAAATCAACACCAACGGGTTTTTCACCGATGATATTGCCCAGACCCGGGGACCAAGACAAGGGGATCCATTATCCCCTCTCCTTTTTAACCTCGTACTTGAACCACTGCTTCTATCTATCCAACAGGATCAATCATTTCAGGGTTATTACTCGTATGTTCAAGGATCACCACAGCGAATCAAATGTCTCGCTTATGCAGACGACATCTGCGCATTTGTTAAAGATGCGAATGATTTTCAACTGTTAAATCAGCACCTTCGACGCTATGCAGAAGTTTCTAACGCTCAGTTCAACCAACACAAGACGGAAGCCTTTTCTCTATCAGGGGATAAATCCATGTCTTGGACATCCTTATTACAGTCGCATAATATCTCTGTTTTCTATACTAAGTTCTCTCCTTCCCCTCTCCGGTATTTAGGCTTCTATTTACCTTATACGACTCACCAACGAAATTATGTTCAAGATATATTATTAGAATCTGTTCAAAAGCAAGTGGCACTTTATTCACCGAGACAATTATCATTACGTGGTCGGGTAACGATAATGAATACACTTATATTGTCCAAAGTTTGGTACTGTCTTCGTATATTCCATCCTACCAAAACCTTTATCAAAGCCTTACAGAAACTTAGCTATCAGTTTGTATGGCGGAAAAAATTCCCACTAGTTTCCTATGCTCGACTTCTAATGCCCAGACACTTAGGAGGAGTTGGTCTGTTAAATGTTGCGATGCAACATTTAATCCTGCAAATGAAATGGTTAATAATGTTATTCTCACCACAGCCTTCCCTAGTTCAAGTACTCCTTCGCCATCATTTCCGGTTGATGGGCATCACATTTACTAGTCCCTTACTTCCTTTCTTTTGCGCTATTCATCGTTCTCCTCATCTTTGTCATCCAACCTCGGTTATACCGATTATGTTCACAGCGTTTGATCATTTGAATGTTACCCTCCCATTGGAGGATATTCCACTCAAGAGCTTGTTACTCTTCCCATTACATTCGTTGTTTACACGTTTACCAGAGTCGCACTGGCTAGAACGCCATCCCAAGATGCTTGCCAACGCCTTTTTCCGCTACGACCAGTCCACTAACCGCCTCATAATGAAACGACCAGGTGAATATAATGTGAAACCGCGGTTGCTTTCACATTTCTTGGGCCAATTGCTCACCGATGCTACAGTTCAACTTCACCCGTATATTCACAGGGTGCCGGCAGGCTCTTCTATCACTACCGACGACCCAGATAAGTCATTGGAAATTACACTACTACGACGATTGGCCAACAGTAACCTTTGGCGTCATTATTCGGCTTCAACGTTTAGACTTCATCATCACATCCAAATGCAACAAGCATCAGGTATAGGGGTGATCCCCAAACAGATGTTCACCCTGTTCTGGTCCCTTCCTTTGTTTCTTCCGGCTCGTGACCTAGGCTATCGCACCATTTTGAAAAAATTACCATGCTTATCAGTCTTACAAGCCGCAGGGGTAGTTTCATCTGCTACCTGCAGACTCTGTAATCATGATATTGATACGTTCGAACATTTTACAACCAGTTGTCCACCACGCTGGCAGATATGGCAAGAAGGACTCGCGATATATTTCCCATCCTTCGACTTTGATCCTCAAAGCATCTCCGCCGCCCTAAGATTACAATCGCCACCATCACTACCTTCGTCCGAGCAATCTCGACTTTTCACCGTCTGCTTCAGTATCCATTGGGCTATCTGGACGTCATTTTTTCAAATGATATTCCATGATATTCCTTTTCATCCCCCATCCGTCTCTAGTAAAGCATACAACATAATTTCTTTGAGCCTGTCTTCCTCGCAGCTCATGCGGGAAGCGGCTGCTTTCGACTAAATTTACTTGTCATAGAAATCTTCCTTTCCTCTCCATGTCCCACCCCTCAGCGATGTGTGACTAATTTATTATTTTAAATAAAATAATCTACCAAAAAAAAAAAAAAAAAAAAAAAAAAAAAAACTTGTCAGTAGTGCGAAAAAAAAAAAACGGTATTATTCCTCACCTGTAATGACTAAATCCTTAACATATAATGAAAACCGTGCTTATTACGGCGATACTTTCTTCTTCTTCGCTGGCTTGAAATCGTCGGGTCTTCCTGCTCCAGACCAAACTGCTTGAGATATAGTCATCATATTGATAGCGGTGTTAATGTCTCTCTGCCATAGCTTTAGACATTGCTTGCAATGAAGAACGTCGGTACCCTTGAATCCAGGAGTATCAACAATTTGCATATCATCATAGAAACAGAGGCTGCATGTTTTAGAAGATTGTGACAGCAATCAATTGACCTTCAGCTTCACGTTTCTTCAGAGTTGCAAAAAGTTTACCGACAACACCACATCGTTGCCCTTTCAATCTGACTGCATCTTTGCCAAACATTCCAGCACCAAACACAATTAGTGGTACCATTTTGAGGGGCTCCGAGTACTTCTCAAGCCTCCACTTCCTGGCACTTCTGACACAAATAATATTCTTCAGTGGGTGAGGTTGAATCAAACCTTTGTTGGAACACATCGCCATATCATAACAAAGTTGTCAAGCTTTTCGTAGTTCAGCTTTTTGCAAGGTAATGTCAACAAGACCATTATTGGCGACTTTCGTACTGATAGAGACTCATTTCTTGGGTTCGATTTATTGTATGTCATCCTTAATGCTGCTTGGATATCACTGAATAATTGAGTATCCAAATTGATATCCAAAATACTATAACTTTCTAAAAATATTTTTTAATAAATCTAAATTTAAATGTATTTTGTCCATTAAAAATTGTAAACTGTCTAAAATGCGAACTAAAAGGCTGTATAAAAAAAAAGGCAAACAGCATTTCAAACGATTTTTGATTGGTTAAACACTAGAGAAGTGTTTCTTCCCACAAAACAGGAATTGGAAGGAGAAAGCTCGTTTTTACTCCACCAATTTTATTGAAACCCCATTTTATTCTTCTCGACTACTTTTTTTCTCTATTAATAGTTCGTTTTACAATAGAATAACTATTGTAATCAACACTAGCATTATACAACAAGGCTATTTCGGATAAAGTTGAACCCTCAACTAATTGTAAGTTCAAATGACTCCCTTTCGGTATTTATTTAAACCTTTTTTTTCGCTCTCTTTTTCACTTACACAATTTTTTCCTGTAATAGAATATAAACCCGAGAAATATACAGACAGTTTTTTTTCCCTAATAATACAACAATAGAGAATGGCGCACGGGCCAATGAGTGGTATGAAGATTACGGGTACAGTTGAAGTAGTTCCATTTCAAATAAAGAGAACTCGACTAAAGCGTGTCTACTTTCCAACAACGAAATACAAAGAGCATAACTGATACAATATGTCTACAACTTTCAATAAGTATAGGCATTGACAACGACCCTACAAAAGTACATGAAGAGCAATCTAAAGATGGCAGAACAGGGCAAGACATGTTATTTAGATACACAACATATAAAGTGGCTGGCAATGGATCTTTTGGTGTCGTATATCAAGCAAAAGTAGTAGAAACAGGTGAAAGTGTAGCTATAAAGAAAGTATTTCAGGATAGACGGTTCAAGGTAAACAAAAGGGGATAGCAAATAGTATGATGAAGCATGAATGATCAACTGATGATGGCTGTTAAAAATGTTAGAATCGTGAGCTACAAATTATGCGAAGTGTTTGGCATCCAAACGTAGTTGCTTTGAAAGCTTATTTCTACAGTCATGATGAGATCAAGGTAAATCAACAAGAACATGAAACACCTGAACAATTGCACACATACACTAACAAGTGTTAGTAAAATAGAAGGATGATGTTTATCTCAATTTAGTCTTAGAATATATACCAATCACTTTGTATCGTACATGTCGTGATTATGCCAAAGCAAAAGAGTACATACCTATGCTCTACGTGAAATTATATACATATCAGCTTATGAGAGCATTGGCTTATATCCATTCACTTGGAATTTGTCATCGAGATATTAAACCACAAAATCTATTGATTGATCCCAGTAAAGGAATATTAAAACTATGTGATTTTGGAAGGTCTGATAATAGGAAAAAGCTTATTCAGAAAAAGTAGAATAGCAAAAGTGCTAACAAGGTTATATGCTCTATATTTAGTGCCAAAGCCCTTCATGCTAGTGAACCGAATGTTTCTTACATTTGCTCTCGTTATTATCGTGCTCCTGAGCTCATCTTTGGCGCAACAAATTATACGTGTAGTATCGATATATGGTCTGCCGGCTGTGTTATGGCTGAACTCATGCTCTTACAACCTCTCTTTCCTGGTGAATCAGCTATCGATCAGCTTGTTGAGATTATTAAAGTCCTTGGTACACCCTCTAAAGAACAATTATTGGCAATGAATCCCAGTTATACAGAACATCGTTTTCCTCAAATCAAACCCCATCCATTCGCGAAAGTATTTTCGAGATCCCGTACACCTGAAGAAGCCATTACATTCATTACCAAAACTTTACAATATGAACCTCAAAAAAGATTAACAGCTTTTCAGTCTTTAGCCGATCCATTTTTTGATGAACTGAGGGATCCAAAAGTAAAGATGTTGAACGGAAAAGATTTGCCACCATTATTCAATTTTACACGACATGGTAAATTAAGAAGAAGAAGAAAAAAAAAAAAAAAAAAAAAAAAAAAAAAAAAAAAAAAGAAAGAAAAATTATTAGACTGAGTTACATCTTTACTAATCGAAGACATTGGCTTTGACTATTGTAGAGCTATCCATTAAACCCGAACTGATTCCTAAACTCGTACCTGCTCATTATGAAGCAGAATTATTAGCTAATGATGGTATTGATGTACATAATTTTGTACCCATGACGCCCGATGAAATGAAGGGTAATGTAAAAAACTGATAAACGATGATAGTAATATTCGGTAATAGTAGTAGCTGGTGTATTTTGTTTTTGCTGCCCCTATTTAAATTCAATTTGTAATAGTCTTATATATACGTATTTTCATAAACTCTTTTACCAGTTCCATAAAGACGATCTTCTTGTTCCACAAAAGTTCAACAAGTATTCCAATGATAGCTCTTTGAAGGAAAAGATATTGATAGGAAATTATAGTTCTTCTAATTGAACAGCTTCCCTACGTTAATCTTGCAGAACCAACAATAAATAGCCACTATTCAACACAATAAAACCTACCCGTTTATACAAGAAAAGAGGACAATTCTATATTCCGAATTCTGTAAGTTTAAATCAATAAATAACAAAGATGGTATGATTATTTGCAGTCTGAAAAGACGATTTCTTACATGTGCTTCTTATTCTTTAAAATGATCTACTGCTGAAGGACTCAGATTTTCAGAGGATTTTATCAATCAAAGGATAGCGAAATCGAGATTTTTTTTTCTCAGCTTTGACATATACAATGTCATTGTTATCGCTGCCTTTTCTATAATTATAGCACAGTACTACAATTTCTGACCATATTCCAGAATGACAGTAATGAAGGATATTGGGAAAATGTGAAAGAGCTCGGAAGCATAACTGAAAATACTTTCATCAACATCGTTGAAGACGCCAATATTATCTCTGCTGCTTATGTATCTGGCTGGAATATTACTCACACCAAGGCTGATGCCACTTTCCTGTTAGGCAAGGCTTTCACGTAATCACTTTAAAGTTCAGTGGATCAAGTGGGAAATGGCCGATGATATCGTGCCTGTTAGTATTTATATTGTTCTTCCTATGTAACTGATCAAACCAAAGAATGAAATCCTTCTCCCCTGTGGAAAAAATTATGCGATAATGGTCAAGTGAAAAATGAAATGATATTCCTGGTGCTACTGATTATAAAGCAAAGCTTGGAAATGCATCCATTATAATTATCAAAATCATTGATACCAGAAAGCCCATGGCTCCTAAATCGTAATGAATATGGTAAACTGCTACCATGGCCTTTAACACTAGTAATAACAGCTCAGTCAAAAGTAGCGTCACAAGTATAGCATTTGTTGCTGTCCTTGCTGCTTATTGTCTACATATTTGACACTAGTCCCTGCAATTTTACAAACTATTTCATTCATTCGTTCCATTTTTATTACAGCACAACGATAAATGAATGATTAAAGATATAACCATATCTCCAGAGTCAGATATGCGTTACCCACAGTGGTCCTCGCTTCCATGTATTCTCTGCGTTCTTCAATTAAAGAGTCTCAAAATCGTGTTCCACCTAGTCGCGTTTTAATTAACTGCGACAAGCTCTTGAAATTACTATTATATGCAGCTCAAATTGTATTCATATAGTTCGCTAGTGTAAGCCATCTTCAGTCAAACTCTAGCAGCACTCACAAAGACTCGAGCGCAAGAGTAACAATTGCAGCTAATACATTGCTTTTCGCTTGTACTCGAGTTTTGCATTCACATTTATTATTGCGCCTTGATTATTTTAGCCGTCAGTTATATCCCGCGCATCTATTATTTCAGTATCCAACATCTCGGCCATAATTTGCTTGTACAACTCAAGTTTTTGTAGTAGCAACATTACTTCTTCGAACAATTTAACTGTGAGAATAATGGATTTTTCATTACACATTAGCCGGAATCGAAAATTGTTACGTTTATATATATCAGTGTCCCCTTGATACCTTCTTCTTTTCAAGACACATTCACTTTTGTTTTATCGAAGATATGAAAGTAAGAAGAACTAGGAATTAGTTGTGAGAAAAAGAATATAAAGCAGAGAGCAAAGTTCAATCAGAGCTGCATTACGTTTCTTTCTATCACTTTCCGCTTTCCAATGAAATGGAAAATGATCATACAGTTGCAACAGAAGAAGTGCTTGGTATTACCATTTAAAAGTGCAGCATAGTGAAAGCGATTATATTAGACCATGCTTAAGTGCTTGGCTGACCAATGTATGTAAGCTGATTAAAATGCAAGGAGAAGTTGAAATACCGGATATAATAGACTTAAATTTTCGTTTCTCTACCATGCTATCAAATGGGAACGGAATTTCGGCACAGCGATATATGCGAGTGGGTAAAAAAGTGGCGTTAAAACCGCGCTCATTATGCCAACGGAGCATCAAAATTTCATCATCAGTTTATCAGATTAAAAAAAAAAAGCCTTGGAATGGAAGAAAATAAAATTCGCTGCCGAAATACAATAGCAGTAACACTATAGCTTCTTTCCATTCTTCTCCATATCGAAAGTCGAACCCAATCTCATCTTAATTGGAAAAAAGTATAAATCATAGTTCGAAACCTGTTAATTCAAGGTCCGTTCTACTTTCCAAGCATAAATATTCCTGTATTCTCATTCATTTTAAATAATTTTTCTTAACCTTTGACTTTTAACAAAAGATGGAGAAACAGGCCAAAGCTGATTATGTCGCGGTTCCTACGAACGATCCTGATGATGTTAAAGCAGCAGCACCACCTTATGTAGAGCGGGTTGTTTCTGCTCCGCTTGTTGAGGATGATAGCCAAAAATGTAAGGTTATCTGTACGTAGCAATATGCACAGATTGAACGGTAGAATTCTAAAAATCCTATACATTAAATAATTGCAGGTCGTAAGCGCTTTCGCTTTGCTTTAATTGGAGGTGCACTTGCTCTTTTGGGGCTTACCCAACTTTGCAGCAAAAGCATGAACAGTTTCCAGGTAAGTAGGCCTGCCAAATTTTCGGTTTTAACGTTTTCATGCATTTGCTTTACTGACATCCAATTTTCAATTTGACTATAAACCTAGGAGTTATCGAAGGACTATATCGTACGTCAGCTAGTTATCCTACAGCATGTTACCTACTATTAATACCCATTTTTTTTTTGTTATACAATAGGACATCTCACCTGAAAATGCTCGTGTACCCTGTGCTTTGAGACATGATGAAAACTTCGCCGAATTAAAGCAATATTTAGAGTCTCTTGATCATCAATTTGATAAGCACAGAAATAATGCTTGGGTGCCAGGCGACGAACGAATGGGTCCACCCCACAACCATCAGCACCATACTTACGGGAAGCATCCTAAAGACGATAACTTTTTTGATTTTGACAATAATATTGACAACGATGGAGAAGAGCATCATCGCCATGGTCATCATTCTCCTGCTTTCCATCCACACATGGAAGGTTCTTGGCCTCACCATCCTCCTCCTCCTCACCATCACTCGAATGAACAAAATGGTGAGCAATTTGAAGCTTTTGACAAATGTAATTCCAAGCATCATTGCAAGCATCATAAGCACTCTGAAAGGTTTAATGAGATGATGTACTCTCATCATCATCATCATCATCATCATCATCATCATCATCACCCTCCTTATGAACCAATCTGTAAGCCTGAAGAACTCCAAGGTGTCAGTACTGTCTATAAATTTTCACCTAAAGAATTTAAAAAGACTGGTATCTTCACTGGTGGCTGGTTCAGTAGAGGAAACCACATCCATTTATCTAAATCTGTCGATTCTACTCTTGATGCTGTCAAATTGAATATTACCATTTACTCTGGCCATGACAGCCTTCAAAAAGAGGTTTCTATCTCTGCTTTTGACCATGAAGGTCAATTTACTGTCCAAGTTGATCGCGGTCATCATTTTCCTCGAAAGCCTCATGGCATGATGATGAAAAAAAGAGACGCAAAGAACCATCATAAGAGGGCTACTGATAAAGAGGTAGACATTGAAAATGATGATGACGAGCACTGTAGGAAGAACTGCCTTATATATGATATCAAGGTCGAATTCCCTGCTAACGTTTCATACTATGATGAGATTCAAATTCATTCCAGTGGCGCTTTGGTCACTGGTGACAAGGATATTGCCAAAGTCAATTTTGGAGCAATCAAAGCTGGTCTCAAACGTGGTGCAATCATTTTTGATGTAAGTGTACCTTTTCAAACTCTGTCTAGCTTAATCACATCAAGCGATACGAATTACTTATCTGTATGCTGCCTCTCATATCAATATAGAAAGGTATAAAAGCAGAGAAATTCTTGCTCGGTAATCTTTATGGCCCTATCATGGGAACTTATCGAGCTAGTGAGAAATTCTCAGCTGGCACTGTTTCGGGTATTACTAAAGTCAATGTTGAACCCACTGGCGACAGTATTAACATTACTGCTTCTTCAACTTTTGGTCCTGCCTCTGTTGATATTGTAAGCTGTTTTTCGTTTTTTTTATTTTATTTTAATTTTTTTCCTATACTTGAAATTCTCACTATACGTCTTGCTACTGTTTATATAGCCTGCTGACAGTTTTAAGGGTAATTTTGTTTTATTTAACCTGTTCGGTGAGCAGGCCACTGTTCAAGCACCCAATCCTGAGGATATTCATGTCACTAAATATAAGCCTACAACCAAGAAAGGCTATTATAAAGAGGAAGACACAGGCTCCAAGGTAGTGGTTGTTGCTAAAATGCATGGTGGTGAACGCCTTTCTTTCAACTAAGGGTTATACAGCACAAAATGGAATATCGTAATCTGATGTCATATGTTCTATGTCAACGAAAAATAATCTAAAATAATCTTTTATTCTTGTTATACTGCTTTGTATGAGTGATGGTATATGTATGCAAATCTTTTTCACAACAATATATTTGGACTATTACAGGCTGTGTTGAAATTATATAAAAAACATATCAATTCAATTAAGTATAAATTGGACGGTTCCCGTTTTGGTATCTCCATATTCTATCAACACATCTCACTATAATTTTCAAAATGTTGACATCGCAATGTGACGTTCAACCATCCAAATACTTTATCGTGAATAGGGAGCTTTGTTCTTAAGTAAGCATATTAGTAGTAAGATAATTTAGAATGGTGTTGAAGAACAGTATGACCATGGACTGGAAGAGATATTGCTGTTTACGCCGAGAGCTTTTTTTTAAATAATCGATAAGGTTGCCCAGGTTTATTTAACAAGAAAAAAGGATTAAGATTTTTATATCAAATATGAAGAGCACGGTTTCCGACGGCAAAGCACATCTCTGTGTAATAATGGCCAAATAAATTGTCTCTTAATGGCTGACGCACACATCCATAAACAAGTCCCCTTTTTTCAGAAGCTTAGGCAACATGCGACGTTTGAGAGTGGGAAGCAAAATCATTTATAGCAGTTCTGAGAATCAGTCTTGCATAAACGCATTTCCAAGTGTGGTATGCGTTACTGCGCGTTACAACCAAGTTATGCGTACAATTGTTGAGTTCTTCTAGATTTTGAGCTGTCAGCGATTCATAGCATTTTGAAAAGGATATAAACACACTCTAATTGCACCACCTACATACTTAAAATACACATTCTCTGAGCCAACGGTTGCCTATCTTTGTTAGACCAATTACATGAACTAGCTAAAATTCCCTTTAACCTTTCATTACATTTAGCCGTTCAATGTAACTTTATCATCTATGGATAACTCGGTTATCAAATAGGAACGAAATACCTTCCACTCCTGGCATTTTATCAAGTTTCATTTGAAGTTCTATGTTTCAGCTCTATGCATCCTCAACCTTGAACAATTCATTACTAATATTTTCAGTGTGTTTCGAAAACCAACGGTATCATATCGTCTATTCAGTCAGAGCATTCTGTTGAAATGCTGGGATAGACATTGTCTAATCGTACGAGTGAGAAACGACTGAAGGAGCGTCGCCATAAGTGATTTTCAAAAACAAGCACTTCAACAAGCATGAATATATATTGATGATCGTAGTATCTAATTTTACCATTTTGACTTTTTATTTTTTATAACAGCAGTCTAAAAAATGTTGTTATGATGTCCTAAACTACGCAATATAATAACACCCAGAATGACAAATAATACAAAAGTGAAAAATGCGATTAAATTTAAAAAAGGAACCAGCGAAACGCAACAATGCAAGAGAAAATAAGCATTTGCGGACAAATAGATGGGACCATAGGTATATTAGCGAGATACTACGAGATCTTCAGATTGGTAAAATGCAAGTTCTATGGCTAATTGACTGTTTTGACCATGTTAATGATAATGGTAAGAATTTTTAGCTGGTTTCAAAACTCACCGGATCACGAGATTTCAGAACGCCTACAGAAATAGAACGAGGCTGCCCATCATTAGCTTCTTCAACATGCAACTTTAGATCAACTGTAGAGTCCCACAAGCTATATGCTTTATGCTGCTTTTGGGGCTTTGATGCTTCCATGGAGATATGATGAATATTGACAATGCAACAATTTAGCTTTCCACATAAAGTTTGGAAGATACGAATCAAATGATCTGAAAGAGATACCTGATGTGTCAAATTATACGACATAGATAAAATACGACCAGAGTTTGTTACTGTTAGTTATTCTTACGTACCTGTTGCTTGTTGTTGTTGATCTATTATTTTGGACAAGTCATCAATAACAATTAAAACATGCTCGTTTTCCAACCATCCTGAATTGGCATTGCCACTCTTTGATAGAAGAAGTGCTGCTAGATTTTCTAATGATTGTAAAAGATTATGCAAATTGAAGACTTGGTGACATTTAATATGAGCAAGCATATTGAATTTATCCTTGTCGTTTATGAATGGGTTGCTTAGACGTCTTGGCTCTAGCATTCCAGTTACGTCGAAAAGATGTAAGTTATCTGTGTTATATGAAGAGGAGAAAGATAACAGCACATGAGAGACGAACTACTCCACATGAGCATATTAATGGTTAAAACTGATTGGAAATAGTAGATCAAAGTTGACGCATCCTTCAAACAGTAATTACTTTGAACTTATTCGCAGTAGCTTCACCGCAAATCTCAACAAATTGTCCGAACTGTAATCCCTGAGAAAGAAGTTCATCAAGTCTTGGAATAGGAATGTTGGCGAACATCAATAAAGGTAAGGAATCTCGAAAAGACGAATCAAAAAGCGCCGTTACCTTTCAAATCCTGTGGATAGATATTGAACCCTTGGAGTTGCGTCGTTCGTAGACATTATTTCACTAAAGTTACCGGTTAAGCTTTGGCTCGATGATCCTATATTGTCTACTTCATTCTCATGCTTTAGAAGGTCATACTGGATTTGTTTGACAAAAGCATGCATTATCTAAGTGATTTTGAAGTTTCTTGTTGTTAAAAGGCTATATATTCGTTTCGACGGACATAAAACACAAGAAGGCTCTTCCTTACAGGCCTAGGCACATTTGTGATCGTATGCAAATCCTCAAGGCTTTTCTGTTTCAGAGTGCTGTCTACAGGTAGCAGGTTGTATGTTTAGAATGCCTGAAATGAAAGTATCTACTTGTTATGGTTGTAGCAAATTTACAAGTTGTGATATCGTTGATTGCTAAAGCTTCCAAAACGGATGTATAATATCGTTGCTGTACCGTATTCCATTTTTCATAGAACTGTTGGAGGGGCTTTGACATCTGCTTATTATCATTCGTGCTGAAGAGAAGTAAAAAAATTTCAAAAAATGGTACCGTTGCATAAAAAGAAGGTGAAAATAACCTACTTGCCGCGACTGCTTCTTATGCTTCAAGTTGTCACTGCCGGGTCAAATACGCTACGGCCATCAAATAAGCGACTAGCGATTTCAAAGTTCAGAAAGAAACTGTAGGAAAGCTTTCCTTGAGCCCTTAACTTGCATGATAGATGCTAGTCTGCTCTTCCAGATTTTCTATCACCGAGTATTAAAATAGTAGTCATCTTTTCCTTCAAAAGCTTTGAAAAGTTTGCTATACAACGTCTCGTTCCAAATGTCCGTTGATATTGACTGGGAAAAGCTTGATGCCGAACTATCTCAACATGTGCAACATTTTCTCAACAGGCACTTCCAATCCATCACTAAGCCATCATTCATCGGCGATATTGAAGTAACTGATTTTGATTGGGGCAGTGAGGCTCCTCGAATCGAAATTACCAATATAACTGAGCCGTTCCCTGAGTTTTACGAGAATGAAGACTTGGATGCAACACCTCCAGACGATAATATAAATACTACAACCTCACCATTGAGTTCGATACCTACGTCTCATTCCAGACTTAACACAGCTCACTTAGATAATCATGAAACACAAAGTCCTGACTTATCAACACTTCATTCACAACCGTTACTGGCTCCTCCGTCACCAAGCGATTACTTTGCTGACTATAGCACTGGGACCAATGGCAACTATAGTAATAACAATGCGGCAAGGTTATCCTTGAATTCTCAACTCTCTCAACAACAAAGATTCAACTTTATGCACTCTTTTCATCGTTCTCCGTTTGTGGCTCCTCAACATCCCTTCAACAACAATAATAACCAGTATGGACATGCATCCAATTATAGTAGCGGCGGTAATATGAACAGATCGAGTTACTACAGTAACATTGGTGCACAACAACCATCCTCATATTTTAGCTCGCTCTCACCGCCCTTACTGCCGCCTGGTTGGAATATGTCACGACCTGCTTCCACGTTCGAAGAAGAGTGGATTGATGATGAAGATATCAACCCGATTTCTACCGACCCTTCTTTTGTATCAGAACCCAATGCTGCAGATGGCGTCGCCACCAACTGCAATACTACTACTGCTACTACTACAAAAGCAAACAGCAGCAATCTCACCAACTCTGCTGGATTAGACAAAAAGTTAACAGAGATGGATTTTCAAGTGAATATGCTGATATCGTATAAAGGAGATATGAGTATGAAAGTTATTACGGAACTAAGGATGAATTACCCTAGTGTCATGTTTATGAGTTTACCTATTCATTTACATGTACGCTCCGTGGAGTTTGAGGCCACAGCAGTAGTAGCATACATCCAAAGCATGAAAAGGGTTTGTGTTTCGATGTTGGAACCTGAAGAGAAGAACCACGATGGAATCGCTTGTCCCAGTTCAGGAATGCCAGGTCCATCTTCGACAACAGCAGCAGGCAGAGGAAAAGATATTAGTATGGATAGTTTATTGAAAAATGTACATATAGAAACAATTGTAGGAGATGAACAAAAACAAGGTAGTTATTACGAGCCATCTGTGTTTGTTATTATTCAAAGTGAAACTAAGTATTATACTAATTGATGCCACCAATCTTATATAGTGTTGAAGAATGTCGGTAAAATTGAGAAGTTTATAATTGATCAACTCAGAAAAATTGTAGATGATGAACTTGTATTTCCCAGTTATCAACTCATTCAATTAGGTTGATAACCAAAGGATGGGATTAATTGTGCTTTTAATTTCTAGTGTAAATGAGAGTAGATGTAGGAGACACTTTGCCCTTTACCTAATAAGATACCAATACTTTAAAATAAATAAGACGGCCTTCCGCAATTTATAGCGTTACGACAGTAAATTTGGTTTTTATAACTGCTTTGTAAGGCCTGAATGTCGAAGTAATGCACGAATATCCACCCCAGGACGACCTCTAAATTTCTCCCAGACTTCTGCTGGCGCAGTTCCTCCACCCAAAGCCAAGATTGTATTGCGGTAGCGTTGACCCATGGCTTTTATACCTTCTACTCCATTCCTGGCTTTAGCTTCCTCGAACGCAGCATAAGCGTCAGCAGAATAAGTTTCGGACCATTTGTAGCTGTTTAACACAATATAAAGTTGATAAAAAAACACTTTACGAGAAAATATTACTGTTGCGCGGAAGGAATGTATGGTTACCTATAATAGCCAGCACTATAACCACCACCAAATATATGACTGAAACTGCACAGGAATTTATCTTCTGGCAATCGAGGCGTCAATACCGTCTTTTCTGCGATAATACGATCAATATCGAATACACTGGTATCGTTAGGAGATGTGGGAGGTGCAAATCTTGAGTGCAACTCCAAGTCAACTTTAGCAAAGTGAAGTTGTCTTAATGTTGCCAAACCGCTCATAAACTCACGATTTTTCACTAATGCATCCACCATTTCCGTTGGCATAGCGGCACCTGTCTTATAATGACCTGATAAGCGTTGAAGCCATTCCGGCTCACTGCAGAAATTTTCCATAAATTGCGAAGCAACTTCAACGAAATCCCATTCAATACCATTAATACCGGAAGCGGGTGCGTAATCAACACGAGTCATCATATGCTGCAAACAATGACCGAATTCATGGAAAAGGGTTTCAACATCGCGGAACTTCATTAACGAAGGTTGGTCTGACGAAGCAGGAGGGGGCTGATTACAGATTAAATAAGCAACTGGCAATGTTACTTCCTCGCTATCATTATGTTTGTAACGGGTAGTAACCACATCCATCCATGCTCCACTACGTTTTTCTGATGGGCGGGAATAGAAGTCACCATAAAAGTAAGCTTTTACTTTACCCTCTTCAGCTACTTCGAAAACTTTAACATCTTCATGCCAAGTAGTGATGCCGTGGCCTTTCATTTCGTCCTTCCCCAGCTCACGCACTTGGATACCAAATACTTCCTTAGCAGCATCGAATAAACCGTTTAATACTTTGGGGAAAGCAAAATACTCTGAAATGGTCTCTTCGTCATATTTGAACAGATCCTTTCGATATTGTTCGGTAACGTAACTGATATCCCAAGGCTGAATAGGAGTGGTGAGGTTGAGTTTGTCTGCAGCATATCGGCTTAATCCTTCCAATTCTTTTTTGGCGTATGGTAAGGAGGCTTCATATAAGCTGTCTAGCAGTATTTCAGCAGCAGGTAGTGATTTTGCCATTTTAACAGATAATGATAAATCAGCAGGTGTTTCGAAGCCAAGTAATCTGGCCTTCTCCCGCTTTAGAGATAAAATTTCGTTGATGATAGGTTCATTGTTCAATGATCCTTCAGAAGCCTTAGTGACGTTAGCCCTGTATATCTAAGAATACAATATCAATTCGTACATCCAACTTCAGTTTACTGATGTTCCGCACTATAAGTTTCAATTTACCTTTTCACGTAGCTTTCTATTACTACAGTTCATCATAAATGGTCCGTAAATTGGAAAGTCCAATGTAATACAATAGCCTTCAGTAATTCCATTCCGCTCTGCATTTTTTTTTAATGTATCTAAAAATGTAGAAGAGCAACCTTTCAACTGATCCACATCCGTAACTATTTCTTTAAATGCTTTGGTGCTGTCCAATACATTATTGCCGAATTTCAACGAAAGCTGCGATAAACGTTCTGAAATCTCATTGAATCGTTTCTTCTCAGGTGAACCTTCTGCAAATCCAATGCCAGCATGCTTCATATCCCGTAGAGTATGGTCTACAATACGTTGCTGTACTCTGTCAAGTTTTTGCCATAGCTCCGGTGTATTTCGAAGTTGATCAAGAGCTTTGTATTTGGGAACAGATTGATTCATCATTAAGTTTAACTTGACAAAATCTGGTTGAATCTGTTCCAGTGTATCGCGTACATCGGCAGAGTTTTTGACACCATTTAAATGAGAAAGAATGCCGTAAGCTCGTGATATTTCGTCCTCTAATTCAGTTACTAAGTTTGTTCAAATTTTTTGTTTTGCATGAATTATACTGTTGAAAATACAAGCTCAGTTAACACCTCAAGTTATTAGTAATCACCTACATTTTCCTATAGTTCCTTCGTAAGTTGGTTCAAAGTTTTTCTCCATTTCAATAAATTGATCCCTTGCAGCAGTTATTAACTTTTTAAAAGCTGGGACAGCAATAGCAGGAGAAGTTTGGGTCACTAAATAGCCGAAGTCAGGAAATAATTTCCACTTCAAAAATGGCATTTCTCTGTAAGAAAGATCTTTTGCAGTAGTAGCAAGCCCTCTGCATCTTTGCTGAACAGCTAATAATTGGTTTGATTGTAAGCTGAATAGAGCTGCTTTGCTTGCCAGTGGTTGTTGTTGTCTTGCTAAAATTATTGATGCTTGAAATGGTTTAGATGGGGATTGTCGTAGACTAACGAAAGAGCGACGCTGAAAAGCAAGATTACGGAGCCTCCTACTGCTAGATGATTTAGCGAATCGATGCATATGTGATATCCCAGCTTCAAGTTCGAAAGTATTGCAAAGAGAGGAAAAGTGAAATTTAGCATGTCAAACCCAGGGCCGTTACAAACTGTTTTCGGTCCCTGAATTATTTTTTTCAATACAATATTTTACCTTATATTTTAGACGATTTACAACTTTTAGTGGACAATATACATTTTAATTTTAAATTTATCAAAAAATATTTTTAGAAAAGTCCATAATATTTTGGATATTTGGAAACTCAATTATTCAGTGATATTCAAGCAGCATTAAGGATGACATACAATCGAACCCTAGAAATTAGTCTCTATCAGTAAGAAAGTCGCCAATAATGGTTTTATTGATGTTATCTTGCAATAGGACAAACTACAAAAAGCTTGACAACTTTTTTACTAAATGACGATGTGTTCCGAGACCGCAACCAGATATTCGTTGGTACCTTTTTTGGACAAGAATTCCAAAAAAGGTTAACTTTGAATTGATTGACATCAAACCATAGATAGAGGGCTGAGGGCCATAGTATAACAGATACCATAGCGAAATGGGATGGTTATATTAACTGTTGTCAATGTTTTTGTATGCGTTCATGGATGACTTTCAAAGATAAGCACTATAAAATATATTGCTCTCTTAGAGTCAAATGTTGTCTCTTTCACTTTTATTTCACTTTTTTAAGATACATACTATGACCCATGTTCAAAACAATAATTTATGAAAAGAAAAAGCAAATTTTTGAAAAGAAAAAATCAAGTGCTGTTAATGGTAACTTGCCTTTTGAAAGCCTATCTACCTAATCATATATATATGTATAGATTAATCATCGTGTACTGTTAGATGTAACGTGTATTGATTGCGGTAAAGGGGGTCACTACACCAAACAATACTTTAAATGTGAATTATATGAGCCGGAAACTGCAGATCAAGGTAAGCACCTCATAATGGCTTTAAAAGTTGGTAAATTCATCATTAGTAAGCGACTTCATTGTACCTATAGTTGGTTCGAAAGGCAGAAAACGCAAACAAAACTTTGAGATCAAGAAAGAAAAGAAAAAAGCAAGAACAGAGAAGAATGAAGACCCAGATGAAGACAATGCGTGCTGTACCAAATGCAAGCAACCAGGACATAAATCGGTGCGTTCTCCTCTGTGTCCTCAACATGTATTATCAAAGGCAGAGGTCTTTCAACATCATTTGGGAAGTAATTACAAGGCGTTTACAAGAAGGTTGCCTCTTGATAACTGTGTTTTTGGTGACTATCGCAACACATTCAAGTCAAAAGTTGTTGAAGCTTGTTCTGTTATCCGCAACTTGGTTCTTAGAGCCAAGCTCTTTGTGAATTATTACGTCTTGGAAAATGCCACTCTTGCTGAGCCAAAGTGTATTAAATGTATCTTTACACAAAATTTCTGGTACTCTGTGATACAGCTAGTGAATGGACAGAGACCAACAAATAGTAGGCTGATATCACAACAATTACTGAGCTCGTTTGATTCTTTTAAAACGACTTACCCTAAGATTGTCTTCCCTATCAAGCTCTTTCCTGGACTTAGTCAAGCCATTACAGAAGCATGCACCGAAATTGCTACTTCCTATACGAACAGTATAGTGGAAAATTTTGAGGAGAAACTTCTCTATTTTTTGATATATAAAATACAAACAGCATTTGTGGTAAGTTGCAACTCAATATTACTTGGGTCTTACATGAATTTTAAAAAAAAAGCTCTCATATTGCGTAGTGTATGCCTTGGAAGCTTGTAAAAAAAGTCACAAGTGATTTCTGCTATCAAGAGATATGCCAAGGAGAACCTAAATGGCCAACTGATGACTATCTTACCAAAGATATAAAAGCAAAGATCCAAACCTTTTGTGAACCTTGGAAAAAGAAGCTGGGGAAGAAAGTGAACATGAAGACATTATCTGCTGATCCTGGGTCTTTCGTACCCTTTTTGTTATCTTTGAACGCAGAATTTGAGAGGGAACACGATGATCATAAGCCATTTGACGTACGACGACGTCCTCTTCCAAAATTGTTATCCTTACTGCCAAAGGTTTCCGTTCAATGGAGGTTCATTACCTTGAGCGTGAACGCTCTGTCTTCTTTTGTGAAACGTTCTTTACCCCGCAATTACCAAAGCCAATTAGAGCTGTTTTTCCATGTCTTTGATTTCAAGAAACTCAGGTACAAAAGGTAAGCATACAGTTAATACGGTATGCAGTCGAGTATAATGTATGAGGTTTAACTTCTTGGGCACATGTAGTATCTCTGAACTTACACCGAATGGTGATAACAAAGAGCTCTTTGGTAATATTGTCAGAACGGATGGGTTTTCAGTTGACTTTCTTTTTTACAAAAGACAACAATCTGGCCATGGTGCCTCGTTCCAAAAATTTGACCTCACTCTTGATGATTTCTCTCTGGATGAAGTTGACAATACTTATTTACCTATTACCCTGGATCCCGGAAGAAAGTCTGTTTTTACTGCTGCTATTGGCCTTGAATATAACAGACAAGTGCGAAGATGCACTACATCCGAATACTATCATATGGCAGGGTCAACGAAATATTGTAAGAAATTGAACAGTATAAAAGCTGTTACAGGAATAGATCTAGTAGAAAGTCAAATCCCCTCGTCAAAGACCTCTCGTCTAGGAGTATATGAGGCGTTCACCAGTTATATGCTCAATAACTTAGACGCTCTCTTTAGTTTTTATGGACATGAAACAGCAAAGGACCGGTTTACGTTGTACCAAGGAAGGCAAAGAGCACCCGAAACTATGGCCAACATGTTGACTCATGGAACGGCCAAGTACAATCACCAGAAGAGAAGCAAGGCAAGGAAGAGGAAAAGACAGCGGAAGAAGAAGAAGAAAGGAAAGAATGTTGACGAACAGCAGCCAACAAAGTGAGTTTCAATGGAATTACATGTTCATCGTTTAGCTTATGCACTGATTGATAATTTTTAGAAGTGACAAGAAGTGGAAGGCTGATAAGTACTCAGGATTCCCTAGAAGGGTGCCACTGATTGTGTTTGGTGCTGGAATGTTTGGCAAAGATGTAGTCAAGCTGAAAGGGCAAAGATGCGGTGTTGTCGGTAAACTTTTTGCAACTCTGAAGAAACGTGAAGCTGAAGGTCAGTTGATTGTTGTCACAATCGATGAATTCAAAACCTCTAAAACATGCAGCCTCTGTTTCTATGATGATATGCAAATTGTTGATACTCCTGGATTCAAGGGTACCGGCGTTCTTCACTGCAAGCAATGTCTAAAGCTATGGCAGAGAGACATTAACGCTGCTATTAACATGATGACTATATCTCAAGCAGTTTGGTCCGGAGCTGGAAGACCCGATGTTTTCAAGCCAGCGAAGAAGAAAAAAGTATCGCCGTAATAAACACGGTTTTCCTTACATTTTGAGGATTTAGATCATTACAGGTGAGGAATAGTATGTTATCTTATTTTATTTTTATTTTTTTGCACTACTGACAAGTTTTTGAATTTGAATCATTGTTTGAACGGTTTATATATTGGGCTACAACACAATTGCAACTCATCTAAAATGAAAATATTAATCGTCCGAAAAAAAAATGTATTTCATCTAAAATATTAGTTAAAATACTGTAAACGCAAACAATTCAGCACGCACTTTCAGCTAACCAATTTTTTGGCTCGATACACACTAAATTATTAAAAAACAGTACACTATGTTTATAACGCTTGTCACCTGCATCAAATATTTTGAATGACGATATCTCATTGTTTTATGCTGATTTTGTAAAATGGCAGCCTACTTTGTAATAATCGATCATAAGTTTTTAAAAAAAAGTATATCATAAATTACTTTACATTGACAGCTTTTTCCGTCAATGACAAAATTGATCCAAACCGTTAGACTCCTATCTCAACAACGGTTCTGACATCGTTTGATAAGTAAAGGTTTAGTTTTTTCAAACACTGGAAAGATTAGAGTAGCATAGCATGCGAAAATGTTGAATACCTGATCAATAGGTGAAATTGGTGCAATTGCGCTGAAAGAAGAGACCGAACAGTGATTGTTAAATGAGAAAATGAAGCGTTATAGGTGTGAGAAAAGATAGGAAAGATACCAAGCTATCTTAAATACATCACTAAGGAATATACTTAATAGCAATAGCGTATTCAATTATTCTCTAACACCCGAAGCCGGCTGTGAACAGTTCGGTTTTCGACAGCATTTAATATTTGCACTAAGCATTCAAAGGCAGGTCAGGCGAATTGAAGCTTAAGACAATGACATTTGCAATCAAGAAAATCTGATAAATGATAGATATAACCAATGGTGTCGCTTATATGCAATCTCATTTATTACAATTAGTACTATGGAGACCAATGAATATACAGTTTACAAGAAAAGGTTACATACTAGAACAATAAAAATAAATGAACTGTACTTTACATACAAGGTAAATATGTCGTAAGACAACAATTCTAGGTATATTTATTAATGTATAATGTAGGAAAACAAATTGTATCTCTTCAAAGAGAAAGCATATACATATGTATCTATCGAGTGCTTCAATACGGGATAAGTACTGTTTGGTGGAGACTTACTGCACGATTGTATACCATATTCCGTACGGAAGCGGTTTGAGATTCCTACTAAAAGTACAAAGTAAAACAGTCTTCTACACTTTCTAACGTTGTCCTAAAAGGCATCGATGTCGTCGCTACCAAACATACCGCCTAATCTAATTTTTTCGCCCTCATTAAAGGCCGGCATACCTATGTACGGACAAGTCGAACATCTAAAAGCATCGCCAAGCGAACAGTTACCACAGCCTGTATTCTCCTTAGGTGTTGGGTCAACTTCAATAATTTCCGGCTCTTTTTCATCTATTTGCATTAAGTCTAGAATAACAACTTTTCCTGTTTCCTCTTCATCATCATCTTCTGTACGGCCGCAGGTACAGTTTTTACAAGCCTTGCGTTTTCCGCCTGTTAACTCGCAATCATTTGGGCCTAAAATCGTTGTGGATAGAATAACAATGGGTTATTTTCTTTGGCTTAGTAATCCAAAGGATGCAGTAACATTTTAACGGTCATACACTTACGTGCTAAAGATTCCTTGCTGGGCTTTATTTTATCTTCCTCATCTAAAAGCTGTTCATCATCCTCCAATTCAATTTGGTCATCATCGTTGGTATTGATTAGCCAGACTTTTCTCTTTGACACTCGATTATGGCTGGTGTTATTCCTTTTCTTATTGAAGTTGAGTGTCACTTTCTGTCCTACATTGTATTCAGGTTTTTTTGCATGGATTTTAACCATACCGAATTTGCCAGATAAACGAGCTACAACGCTCTCTATTGCAGTTTCCTTTCATGATATTCCATAATTTACAAAAAGCGTACAATTCTTGTTTTGAAATGGGTGTAATATCTTGAACTATGATGTCGACGAAACCAGCAAGCTTTAAAAGTGATATCAGATCAGTTGCTTTACGAGAGATAGGAGAGACTGTATTACTCAAGTCTTCTAGTAGAATAGCTTCTTTCAAAATGAGTCGACCACCATTCTTGAGTGCTGCTAAATAACGAGCGAAAATAGTAGGCGTATGAATTGAAATAGTGGGTATGAATAGATTGGAATAAATCCGATCCAAACTGTCATTGGGATGCGGCGCTAGATAACATTGCTTTGATTAGTAATGTGCTTGTAATGTGCTTACAAATACTTTTTCGCGTTCTACCATTTGCTACTCTCTCGATAATTTCAAATAAGACCTGACCGAAAGGACCAACCTTAGTTTCAGTTTCGGCCTTAACTTTAATGAAAGCTTGTTGATCAATAGTCATTGGTCCGGTAAAAAGAATACGTTCACTGTTCAATGCTTGCATGGCTATTTTCTATAATTTAAAGTAACAAAAGGAAGAGTGGCGAGGTTTGCAAGTGAAACAAAAAGAAGAGAAATCAAAAGTAATTTGACAGCACATTATGCTTGTGTTATATGAAAAGTTTTGATTTGCCGCCCTGTTCTATTTTAGTCAAGCATGATCTGCAGTGCCGTACGACAATAAAGTACAAACTATTGTTCGGAATCTAATACCGAAAGAGTTCGAAATCCTGGGAACAAACAGTAGAAATCTCACTATGCAGTAAGACTGCCTGGAAACAATCAGCTAAATACTACCTTCAATGTTTTTGTAACAAATGTCATGTGTGTATTAAGATGATAGAAGGGCTGCAAACGGTATTATATATAGTGATCGGCTAAGCAAACACCGATGAGTTCTTTCACTACATATATCCTACATCATTCCCATCATTAACGCGTCCATGTCAATGCGGTGTAACCGATTCGAGGATAACGCCATCCGTCAATTTAAATAAATGAAAATAGGCCGAAGCCAATTTGAAAAATCGTCGTAATGAAGATAATATTATCAGCTCATCTACTGTGTTTCGACTTAACGATATATACATATTAGATTCTTTATAGCTTTGAAATGGATGAGACATGTTTATTCTACATTGGTAAGTTATCACTATCTGTTTGATTGCCTTTTTTTTTATTTTTTGTTAATTTACATCTCTCATTTTGGCTAATAATGATTCATTTTTGACATTGGCTTTTCTACGTAAATTAGATAAATTGTAACATGGTAAGTTAAAAAAATTATATTGGTTGTGATCAACGCTGCTATAGGGGATGTCTCCAAAGAGTTATTTTGTGAATTAAAGGGAATAAGAAAAAGTTTAATTGACAAGAACTGCCCTATATCTTGGCTGTCCTTCTCGAACAAACTTAATAGCTTCATTCACTTGATCCATGCGAAACTCCTTTGCCCACGTACGAACACCGTGCTTTGCAGCAAAAGCAAGTGCTTCTCTAATGTCATCTGGTGAGCCTATGAAAGATCCTGCGACGTTGATTTGTTTTGATGCCATTGTAAGAGCACTCAATCCAGACAAAGGCTCTTCAGGTATATCGCAAAGAATGAAGGTGCCACTTTTCTTCAACATTTCAAAATATTGGCTCCATTGTTTATTTAAGACCTTTGTAGCAAGGATATGTGTAAATGTGTTCATATGTCGTTGTACTTGGTCGGGTTGGTTAATAAGGACATAGTCATCACATCCTAAATCTTTAGCATCTTGTTTCTTATCTTCATTGATATCATAAGCTACAACTTCTGCCCCCATCTTTTTGGCCCATTGAACGCCAAAATGACCAAGACCGCCCAGTCCCAGAACAGCAAGTTTGCTTCCTTTACCTACGCCATATCGCTTTAATGGTGCATACGTTGTGACACCTCCACATAGTATAGAGGATGCATCTATACTTGACAAAGCATCTGGTATCTTGAACACAAACTCTTTACGACCTCTCCATCGATCTGCGAAACCACCATAGGTAACATCACCATTCTTCCATCGGTCATTGAATGTCCAAGTAGCATGATCCTCGCATAAATTCTCCTTGTGGTTTTGGCAATTTCCGCATTGATGACAGGCATCGCATTGACAGCCAACGCCAGCCCTATCGCCTACCTTAAGATGTTTGACATTTTTACCGACCCGTTTAACACGCCCAATAATTTCATGTCCCACGACTGTGGGGTAATGCGTTGGTCCCCATCCAGAATCAATTGTATGAATGTCAGTTCCACAAATGCCGCAGCAGATGATATCCATGTCTACCGAGTCATCATCGAATTGCGTTAGCGGAAATTCAGCTTTCACTAAAGGCTGTCCTTTTCCATAGCAGGCCCAGCCGTTCAATGTCTGAGGCTGATGATGAGTGGAATCTGTCAGATAGGACGAAGATGTTGACGAATAAGCTCGTGATAGATTGACTGCTGAGAATGCTGAAGCACGACGATAAATGGTATAGGAGAATGCTTTATTGGCAAATACTGTTTGCTGAGTATGTTTACAGTAGGCAGCTATTGCTCCTGTCGATTTACTTAGTCTGTTCATTATTCTTTTATGAATGTATAAAGAATATCTTTATAATGTTCAGTTTACGTGAAGAAGAAGAAATTAATGCGATTAAAAGTGAAACCGACTTTATATTATTTTTCTCCTCTTATACGTGACTCAGTGTGATCTTTCTGAACATGGAGAAAAGTACAGATGCTAGAAATTATACCAGCACTGAATTCCGTGGATCTAATAAACATGTCCAGTTATCTATTAAAAACTCTTTTTGTCTGGTATTTAGCATGCTTAGATATTCTAACAATCCGAAAGCGTTTCCGTTCAACGAGGATTGTTCACTATCTTTGTAGCAAAATGCTCGCCTGCTTAATTATATAAGGAAACAAAGCCGCGCCTTTGTCCAAATAAAAAAGAAAGTGTCTAAAAAAAGATAAGAATCAAGCTACAACTTTTTATGTTTCAGTTTGTCATAAACCGGGGAAAAAGTGATGAAAAAGCTGTTAAAGCTAAACAGGTTATTACTCATCAATTCCCTTGCTTAAACAGCAAATTCCGGGAGATGTTATATAATGCCAAGTTAGGCTGGATAGAATACTTTGAACGGCTGCCCAGAAGTCAATATTTCTTCCGAGGAACAGTTGTATAGGTTATTAGGGTCAACGTTTAATTGGACACCATTTTTAAATCTTGGGCTGAAAGACTGAATAACGTGATATAATTGTAGAAACGACGATAGCTTTGAAGGAAGATCGTGTTCGTTGGCTATGATAGGGACTATAAACCCTAGCGACAAAGAAGCTCATTGTTACAGAATGAAAGTGTGCACGTTCCTTAAACTTTACGTTCAAAAATTAAAGATCAGATGCATCTGTATCATTGTAAAAATGCTGAAGAATTGTCAACTGAAAATAAAGACAACCGGAGTAGCAAACATACTTTTAAAGCTTGAAAAGATATCCTAATTCAATCTAGCATAGCTACAGTGTTGAAGTGAGAAAATGTCAGGAAAGTTAAAAATATTATGTCTCCATGGCTATACACAGAATGCTATCATGTTCCGTAAAAAGATAGCCGCGGCTTGTAAAAGTGTCCAAGAAATAGCTGAATTCAGTAAGATTGAGGGAATTGCAGTTTCCATGACACTTGACATTTGTTAGTCTAATCATCAAAAGTGTAGCGTTTGTAACCGGACCACATCATATTATTCCAGCAACTCTCACTACCGTAGCTGAACGAGAGGAAGTTGCCAACGAATATGTCTCTGAGGGTAAATTTTGGTCTGAGCATTACTACAACTACTGTGAGAATACTGCAACGATCGTTGATAGTTTCATTCAATTTGCAATAGAGCATAAACCTTATGGTTGGTGGTTTTCACCCAAGTACAAGCCAATAGATAAGGATGGGTTTTTCATTGGCTTTAAAGAGTCTGTTGATTTTATTAAGGATATCATGATCAAAGAGGTAAGGAATAAAGTAGTCATTATATGCCCACTGTGAGATGTTATCTAATAAACTACTCGATCTTTGAAGGGCCCATTTGATGGTATCTTGGGCTTTTCTCAAGGTAACAGGCATCCATTTCTTTGAGACAAGCAAGAAAATAATGACACAAAAATGCTCATTTAAAAAATGTTTTATTGCTTGAAGGAGCTTGCTTCACAGCACTTTTGACACAGCTTCTAGAAGACAGGAGTTACTTTCCTGACTTAATATCACCTTCTTTTGAACATCCACCTCTGAAATTTTCAATTATTGTTGCAGGTTTCAAACCAGTGTTGCAAGAAGCTACGAATGTTATGCTAACTAGAGACAAGAAGGTGAAAACGCCTTCTATGCATTTCATTGGTGATCTAGATACTTTAGTTTCACCAGAGAATATGGTTTCATTAACAGAAGCCTTTGATAATCCAACTATATTTCGTCATATGGGAGGGTAAGGCTCCACATTATTAAGCATTTTGCCTTATAACGTATACATATTGCTTCCATCTGATAGGCTAATATCCCCTCTTCTTCCTGTACTCTGTAGACATTACTTACCCTCAAATTCAACGAGTTGCAAGGCCTTCCATAAGTTTCTTTCGTCTTTTGTGTAGAACGACACGACGTCACAAATTAATATACGTGGCTTAGAATGAAAAAATTTTTAACGCAGCTTCGTATAAATTCCACTTTGTTCTTTTTTTTTCGCTGTTATTGAACAACGTTTCCCTTTGGTGCTCCGATAATACTTTTCTCCAAAGAGACTCCGTTTGCCCTTCAAACTTTCGTAAAGTAATAATAAACTTACTTACTATTTTCAATACACGCAGTTACAGAGGCACACGCATATTATTTACACAGCTTTTTTTTACTTTATCGAATCAAATTATATAATACCATAGTAAAAATAAGTCGAAAACACTAGCAGAACTATCCTTGTTTAGCAACTCAAATAACTTTAGACAAGGGACTATCCGAATCGCAGCTTCACTCACTAGAAAGTACCAATCTCGTTATTATGTAAGTGAAGTTCTTGAAGCTTACTTATACTAGAGGGAAGGAAGACAGAGACAAAAAAGTTAAACGAAAGCAGATAAAAGGCGAAGAAAGAGGAAGATAGAAATTCCCATTATATCATATTTTCTCTTTATCTTGCTTGTCTACATACCTTCATACCCAACAACCCTCAATGTATAAAGAGCGTTAACAACTGGACTGTGACTAATTAGCGATTGGTCTAATTCCTTCCTTTCGTTCTTTTCGATTTTCAGAATGCAGCAATTCACGCCTTATTTCCCTACTACCGGTTATGGTAACCAACAAGACCCTCAACAGCAGCAGCAACAACAACAACCAACACCACAACAGCAAGCTGCTCAACCTCAAGGTCAAGACCCTCAACAGCAACAACCACAGCAACAAACCCCTCAGCCTGGTCAAGCACAACCTCAACAACCTCTGTCCATGAACGGTCCTAACCTTGCTATTTACAGCCCTGCTGCTATGCAACCCTTATCAGTTTTAGCCACTCCACATGTCAAACCAGATCCTCAACAGCCACAACAACCTGCTATGCCTGGCGCTCCAGGTGTTGATTTGGGTGCTCATGGTAAACCAAAGAGAAAGCAAGTTAAGAATGCATGTGGTAAAGTATTTTTTAATGGAAAACACGCATACAGAGATAAGACGTGATTTTTTTTCTTTCCTGAATTTTTTGGCCTTTGGGCACTTAATCCAATTTGTTCTCCTATTTTATTGTCATTCTTCAATAGTCAATTGTCAAAAGGCTTGTAAGAAGTGTGATGAAGGAAGACCTTGTCAAAGATGTATCAAGTATGGATTAATGGATACCTGTGTTAATTCTGTTCGTAAAGAACGTAAGAAGGGCATCAAGCGTGGGCCTTATAAGAAGAGAAATAAGAATGGTATGGAAAGGAATAGCTTCGGTTATATGGATAGTGATTATATTAACTGGGTAGTTTGTATGGTTATTTATTTTATTTCTTTTGATCGAATAGTCAATTCTGAAAGTGCTACCACTTCTGGTACAACCACACCAAATGCTTTAGCTTCTCCTATGGCCAATGCTGCTATGTACAGTCAGAACACCAATGTGGATGCCAACGCAATGCCTATCCATTATCAACCTTTTACTACTACACAAGCATCCAACAATCCTTATGCCTATGCTTATAGTAATCAAATGATGTCAGGTGCTTATATGGTTCCAGCCGCTATTCAACAAATGTATCCCAGTAATCCTCCTGTGATGCCTTTCTCAGCTGCTATGAACATTATCAATCCTCAACAACAAGCACAACAACAACAACAGCAGCAGCAGCAGCAACAGCAGCCACAACAACAGGATCAATCTCCTGTTATCAATAATGGATATAGACCACGAGATCAGCAACAATTGGGAGCTACTGCATCGGCCGATGGTATGAATCAAAATAACGGTAGTGCAGTTGGTACCCCTGCTTCTACTGCCACTGGGGACATGACTAAAGTTGAAGATGAGGATGAGGGGTCCAAGTTGAACTTGTTATCTCAACTTTGCAGTGCTGTTTTGAAAGATCGCAATGATCTTCCCAAGCAGGAAGATTTGAACGGGGCTGCTGTTGGTAACAATACTGCCCCGTCCACTGCTCCTATGATGGACAATACAGCTGCTACGACGCTTAATAGTTTGCCAGTAGAGATCAAAACAGAAGAACCTCATCAAAATACACCACCTTCTAGCCATCCTCATTCACGCGAGCCTTCTCAGCAAGATAATACGAATAGCAGCACCAACGCTAGTAACCTAGTTTTACCTGGTGGTGTTCCTTCCGCGCTCGAATCAAACAACAATAGCAACAATATGACCACTAACACTACAACTACTGCGACTACAAACAGTACAGTCAGTACTCCTTACGGTACACCTGGATCTTCACCAGCCGATTCTCCTTCTCTTAATAAACCTCAGCAACAACAAAGCTGGAATATGGCCAATGATCAGGAGCAACAACAGCGACCTATAACGCAAGAAAACACGACACAACAACAACAATAATAGGAAACTTTACATTTTTTCTTTTAATTCTGAAAGCTGAAAGGAAAAGATTTGATTTATTATGTGGGGATTAGAAAAGGATTTTGAATAAGAGGCTACTATTATTACTATTTTAGTTTTCATATAGATTATGGGCCTTTTTTTTTTCTATTTTCTGTTATACTTCTTTGTCCCTTTCTTTTACCTCTCTGTCTCTATCCTTTTCTTCTTTTTTTTTTCTTTCATATTTTACTTTATATTAAACATTCTTTATGACATTCATTTTATATGTGTACATACCACAAAGTTAAGAAATAAAACAAAAAAAAAAAAGATAATTACAGTACGAAAATCGATCAAATAGAGGTCAAATGTTCAAAGTAGGCGGATAGTATGGGAGTAAGGGCATTGCTTATTTAAACGGTCCATCAGACATTATGCTTTACGTTACTTAAATCCGTTTATTGAGCAAGCTTGCACTAAGCACTGTCTTGTAGTCATAATGGCACATTCAGCTAGACCATAATCTAATACAGTACGCTTTATTTTAAAAGAGAAACATTGTGTGATAAGAGGTGAAGGTAGGATAGAAGTGGGACAAGGGCTCCGGTCACTTCTTTTTCCAACTGATAAAACACTCTTGCTGTACTTGCTAAGATGACTGTCGAACAACCAAATACCTATCTAAGTAATTGCGTAAATAATACAACGTAGAGGTGAAAAGAACAAGAAAGGAGACTATCTACAAAATGATGAATCCAATCGAGAGTATAAAAAATTATTTTGCTGCATTGCCGGTGGTGGTTGCTGCTGTTGCTGGTGCTTCCTTCACAGGAGGGGGTATAAAACCAGCACCTACCACAGGCTTCGTTCCACGTTCAACAAATTCCGTCTTCACAGGCAACTTTCCGGAAGCCAAACGAAACGTTTCTTTGGCAATTTCCTTTCTCATACCACTAATTTCGAACACGATACGATTGATAGGCACTCGACAGGCCCAATAATCAAAGCTACCTTTACCTTTACCCATACGAACTTCATTACCCTTTGTGGTGACAGGAATATCGGGAAAGACACGCATCCAAAATCTCGCTCCTTTGACTGCTTTCAATTTACGCTTCAAGACGTTGTGTACAGCTGTTAGTTGTCGACCAGTTAATCGTGCTCCTTCCTTAACACGCAAACCGTAATCACCAAAGACAACAGTGGTTCCTTTTGTCGAGCCGCCAATATGAATGGGGATTCTACCCTTTTGAGCCTTTTTGTATTTTGTTCGTTTGGGAGCGAAAATGGATGCGAAACGGACGGATTGCGTTGTGGGGTTGGTTGCAGCTGTTAAAGGTAGTAAGATGCTTTTTTGTTGTTGTGACTTGAATACATTAGAAATAATTTGACTGGTTGTATTGATGGTACCCAATGTGTTCTTTTTCAGAATGGACAACATGGTCAATTTAGTTTTTGTGTGGAGAAAGCGAGAAAAAAAAAAAGGAAAAGTCAAAGAAAGAAAGGGGAGCCCCTTGTTTGGGTGGGGAACAAAAGATGGAGCAATCTTTGAGCAACTTTTCCACTCCCGACCTCCAAACAAGGAACTTAACAGTAAATGGATAGAGACAAAAGAAAAACACTTCGTATAACTAATAATAACTCAACTCTAGATAGATATTTTTAGCTCTCCTTATACATGTAACATCAGCTTTGGAGCCTATAATATATCTTCAAGGTATCTCTACAGTATATAATACCTGGGCATCCTTAAGGGAAGAAAGAGGGACGAAAAAAGTGGAGTTATTATGCCTGTCATTATCATTGGCTGATATCAGCCGCTGTGTTTTTATTTCTTTTTTTTTTTGCATTGACAAGTCTCTCATCCAAACTCTTCCTGCCATAGAGAATTTGATAATATTTTGTACATAGCCTAATAAAAATGAAAGACGTTTCACTAAGTGAAGGTAATACAGCAAACACTTACAATTTGCGGTCCGTGCTTCTCACAAGGCTATAATTATTTCACTCGAACAGATGATTCAAACCTACTAGTCATTATCCTTGACACGAACCCATTTGCTTGGGACGAATCAGCAAAAGCATCATCACCGCTCTCATTAGAAGTGGCATTAAATCAACTATTGATATTTATTAATGCTCACTTGGCACTGAAATACAACAATAAAGTAGCGGTCATAGCAAGTCATGTTGGACAAAGGTTTATATTCTGTTACTGTTTCAGTTCTTGAAGATCGAGTCGACTGACTTGATCCCACCTTGCTGAATTTCTCCACCTTAGTAGAATACTATATCCTTTACCACATAACGAAGTACCACAGAAAACGATGGATCATGATGATGATAATAATGTGAATAATGGAGGATTACGAAGAGATGCCAATATTTATCCACATTTCCAAGTGGTGACAGAGGAGATAGTCAGCAGCTTACAAAAATTACTTGCCGATACCAGTACAGAATTTTTGAAAAAAGATATAGGTGTATCTTCAACGATTGCAGGCGCATTATCTACGGCATTATGCTATATTAATCGAATTACAAAAGCAGATGAAGAAGGACATATCAAACCGCGAATATTAGTGCTATCAGTCTCACCAGATTCAGCCTATCAATATATTGCATTGATGAATTGTATCTTTTCGGCACAGAAAATGGTAATCCTTTTTTTTATTTTTCCCTTTTATTTCTTCTCTTCATTGACCAACAATGATAATAGGGTATACCCTTAGATGTATGTAAAGTTTATGGCGAGGAAACAGCATTTCTACAACAAGCATCCAACATAACAGGAGGGATTTACGTGAGAGTAGAGAATCCACAAGCATTATTAGAGTATTTGATGATGGCGTTTTTACCTGATCGATATGCCCGCAACTTTCTTAATTTACCAACGCAAGATCAAGTGGATTTTCGAGCGGCGTGTTTCTGTCATAAGAAAATTGTTGATATAGGATTCGTCTGCTCAGTGTGTTTATCCAGTAAGTATTTAATATATTGGTTTCTTTTCAAACGAATGTAAGCCATACTTACATGGTATCTTTACAGTCTTTTGCAAATGGTCCCCAGTATGCTCTACCTGCAAGTAAGTACATACTATGGTTTTTTTTTTTTTTGTCGGTTGAAACTTCATCTTGGGACAAACATCACTCAATTCATCCCAATGTTTATATTTAGGACTAAATTCGCGTTCAGACCAATGCTTCCACCACCCTCACAGAATCATAAATTAAAAAAATAAAAAAACAAATTTGCTTTGGCCATTTTTTATTGGCCAGCCAAAGTACAAAGGTCGATTTATTGTTGTGCGTTGTGTTATACCTATTTGATTAGGGAGACAATTACTTTCCCGGTATTTCCTTTTTTTTTCTTTTTTTTTTTTCATCTTCAACCTCATCTTCATTCCACTTCATCTTGTCCAGTTGAAACCACTATACTTGTTTTGTTATTGTGAAAGATGAGTCACGTACACGGTCCCGATTGCAATCATGGTCCTCGCGCAGCTGGTGGACCTCAACAAAGAACAATCAGAGTAGCTGATGCCAACAAAGGACCTGAAGTTTGTAAAAAGACATCCAACTACCTCAGAGACGCTAAAAAGTCCGGGATGAAGCCTAGACAAGGTGTATTCAATGGCAAGCGTTTTGAATATTTCAAGGGTAGGATTCTATAGATGAAGTGAAACGAGAAATGATAAGCATTGCTTATCCTTATTTCTTATGGCATACTTAGGCAAAAGAGCCATTGATGCATTATTAAGGGAGGACTATAGCAAAACAGTATCAAAGAATGATAAAATACCAAAGACTCGTGAAGAAGCATCTTTCGTCTTAAACGAGTTGGGTAAGCATGGGTTCATATTACGTGTCAATCGAGGTGATGCTATCAGTGGAAAAGGATCTCCCCGTGTCTTACAAGTGAATCCTGAGCAAAAGGTACAAGAAGATGGTTATTATATGTGGATCTGGGAAGGATCGAAATTAAAGGTGTACTTGGGTGCTATCGGTTTGGTGGCCGTCATTCTAGCTGCTGTCTTGTTCCCTCTCTGGCCCAACTTCTTAAGGTTGGGTGTTTGGTACCTTAGTATAGCTGTTCTTTGCTTGGTCGGTCTCTTTTTTGGTATTGCTATTGTTCGTCTTATCCTTTATTGCATAACATGGCCATTCTTGCCTCGTGGATTTTGGTTGTTCCCCAATTTGTTTGAAGATGTTGGTATTATTGAAAGTTTCATTCCGTTATATGGTTTCGATCCTGTCAAAGAGAAGGCTCCAGCAAAAAAGAAAGCGAAAGCGGCAGTAGCAGAAGCAGCAGCCGCCGCCAATGATATAGCTTCAGGAAATAGCACAGCAATATCAGCAACTACTGGTGATAAAAAGGCTGAATAATCACTCAACATCATCTTGCAATATAAAATTCTGTCCATTTCAATTCATTCTACATAATAATTATATCATGTACATTCTTTTTTTTTTTCCCTCAGGGCAAATAAACGCGCTCCAACTTTTAGCAATGAAAAAAAAAAGAAAAAGGAAAATCATTTCAAGCAAACAAACGTTTTTCCTTCAGCCTTCAGGATAATCAGTTTTAACTGTAGAACCAGGACATGTTTGCAGCAGTGAAGTGCGAAAGGATCTAAATAAATGTTACTAAATTGTTCAAGCCGATAACTATAGCAACTACTCTCTCTGTAACTTGTTTCCATGTTGGTAACAATATCTTATCTACCAAATTAGTATGTTAAAGACGGGAACTTTTTGCTTTAACGGGGTGGGAGTGGCGAATAATGTCTGCTGTGCTCACGAGCAGCCAGATGAAACAGTTGCTGAATGCTGAAAAGAACCCAGGAGGTTCGGACTTTGCGTTGAATGCTCTTTTCTGGCACAACCGATTACGGTTAAATTATTCATTTTATTGGATAAAATTTTTAATGACCTGTGAGCACGTAATGCCTTTAATACATTGGGTCTGCTCTGGCCAGTTCCAGTGGTTGTATAGAACTAAAAACCCATTTAAGAGACAAAAGATAAAAAGGAAAGGAAAAGGCAGAGGGAGACGACCGATTACCTTGCTTTCGCTTCAAATTCGAACTTTTTTTAAGACCCTTTTATTGGATAAAATTGGATACACTTGGCGATCTGTTCTAACACATCCTATATTGAATAGGTCTTATGGCAGCTGTTCAGCTTAAAGCACCTTTAGGAGTGGCAGCATAGTAGCCTAAAGAACCCTTCTTTTACATACTTTCTGTTGAGAGCCCCTTTTGAAGAGCTAAAATGTAGACCTTATTGAGCGTAAAGCTCTGCTTGCAGATTCTGTTGAGCATACGGAAACAGATAACTTTTACGCCATTCCAATACATCAAGAGTAATGGAGTGATAATTGTTGTCAGGAAAATATTGTCATATATACTACTCTCACTTTTACCTCTTTTTTTTTTGTTTACTCATGTTTTTCTTTCTTTCTTAAAAGTTACTTAAATTCATATACTCTTATGACAGGGCATAAGCTCTATGCCGAAGCTGAAGCTCTCATTAATGAAAAGAAGAAAGTAAAGTTAGCTGCTCTCGATGATGAAACTGCCGAAAGTTGAAAGAAGATTGAGAAGTATGAATCCCTCACATTGCTTATGTCTACTGAAAACTTATTATATACTGTAAATATTGTATTAGGCCAAAAAACCAAAGATTCCAAGAGCGTTGTTAAAGGTAAGAAACGTGCAAAACAGACATTCTTTTTTTCTGAAATCTACCACGCTTCCAATATAGAGTTCTGATAATGTATCGGGTCCAAGTAATATACCGTGATTTTGTCCCATATGTACAATGGGTAATCAGCAGGAAACCAAATATCATTAATAAATGATGGAGTAGGATCCTCAGAGACAAAACGCGAGTATACATTTTATCAATAATATATCCAAAAATATTGTACTCAAAATCCCAATTTTTTTTTAAAGCTGTCCGAAACTGAACCGAAGAGACTGGCCATTTTATACAATTTATTCAAAGCCAGCTAAATTTTTTACTTTTTTCAAAAGCCTAACTTAAGCTCGATTTGAAAAATGCGCCAAGTGAGTAAAGGTGGTGCCATTTTCCCCTTTCTTTTTATATAAAAAAGTTTCAAAAAATAAAGCGTTTATGCTTTTGAAGACAGAATGGAAGAAGAGTCGAACGATATTTCAATAACAATTAGCGAATTACCGCCTGAAAGTAGTAGATGTTTTCTTTCTCGATTCAATTCTTTTCATTCAGTAGGTAAATGTCTTGCCTCTCCTCATTTCGAAAACGACAAAGAAAAGCGTTTTTATTAACACCAATTTTTTTTTCTTATTTGTTTTCTCAATTTATTATACAGCTTCAAATTCTTGTTCATTTTCTGTAATTTATCTTTTTTTTTTTCTTTTTTCGTTTCTTCTTCTCTTTTACTTATTATTTAACGCTGTATTAGTGAAAGGCTTTGAAAAAACTAATATTGAATATTTCATCACTCATCTTAATAGAGCAATATGACCAAATCATCGGGTCGTTCACTTAAACAAACATTATTAGATGTCTGGTTTGAACGTACAGAAAATTGGACATCATCATCACTACTGTTGGAAGAAGACGAAAGACGAGTCAATGCCCTTCCACCTTGGGTAACAGCTCACAAACCGATCTATACGACAAGAGCAGACAATCATGACGACCTGTTACCAGCTTGGATTTCCGAACGCCCAGATACCTCCACAGCCAATCCATCGAGCAATCCTTATCCTAACGGAAGTAATTACACATCAAATCTTACGCAGGACCCTTTTTCGCTAGTCGAAGAAAATGGCGTGCCTTCCTCTTTTTCAATCAAATCTTCTGAACACACGAGCACTAAGAAAGAAGAAGAAGATGATGATGATGAAGAAATAGCAATAGACATGGAAGATGATCTGTGTTCGCCCATAATCGAGGAGACACAACCATCGTTCTCTTTAAAACGTCTCGCGCCCAGCAATACCTACCGAAGCTATCCCTTTAGTATAAGAACGAACTTTGAAACCTATGATGAAGAAGAAGCAGACGATATTCCATCTCCCATTGGAATAGATGACGGTGATGATGAAGATGAAGCAGAAGAAGAAGAAAACGTACAAAAAGGAGCAATAATGGCCGAAGATACACAAAAGCATGATTATTATCCGCTGGCTAAAGACACACAACATTACTTCACCGACTCTGCAACAGCAACTGTATTGTTGCCTTTAATTGAAGAGGAATCAGTAATAGTAGAACACAACGGATATTCATCAGCCGAATCCATAAACCTTGATGAATACTTCCAAGAAGTCGATGAACAAGATACATATGAACAATGTAACAGGTTGATTGGTGGTGATGACGACACGCAAAACTCCATATATCACGCAGCCAACGACGATAATGGCACGCAAGACACCGTACCTTATGCAGCCAACGACGATATTGGCACGCAAGACACCGTACCTTACGCAGCCAACGATAGTGACACACAAGACACCATACCATACACAGACAATGACGATCATGATATACCGTATACCATACTTTACGCAGATAATCACGAAATAGAAGAGGAAAATGATGATGATAATCGTACAGTACAATATAGTTTCCACGATAACAATGAAGTACTTACACCCGATACAGTTCCGTATGACTCTTATGAGGAGCATCAGGATGATTCCAATACAGTTAAAGCTACCAATGATATACCCCAATTACAAGAACAGCATTCTCATTCTGTCGATACCACCACTACCAGTAGTCATAAAGAGCAAAACAGCAACAACAACAATGTAAATGAAGTGCATTCTGATTTTTCGGCCGATTTGTCAGATTTTAATGAAGAAGAATGGATGCAATTAGAAAGAGTAATGAGCAATGCATCTTCGAAAGACACTTTTTCAAGCTCTCCTTCCTCTGCTACAGCTTTCTCTCTAGTGACTAATACTGTTACTACTACAACATCAGCAGCAGCAACAGCAACATCATCAGGTAGAACAAAATCAGTCACTAGCGGTAAGAAAAGAAGAGCCGCGTCTCCTATACCCGTGCCAACTCAACAGCCACTTATACGACCAGAAGAGAAACATGTATTAAAAACCATGAACACACTCAAGAAACCCACAACGATCATGGATTACTTTAACCATCCCAGTAGTAATGTAATTAGAGCCAATGACACACAGATAGGTACGTAAAAAAGCCTCTTTACTTTATAGAAAAAATACTAAATATAAATTGTATGTAACCTACAATAGAGGAAGAAGAGGTGGGTAAAGAATCGACAATTCCTTATTTCACATCAAGCCCTGAGGAAGGAGAAGATGAATACTGTAGGAAGAAAAAGTTCAATGAGGAAACGATAAGTCAAGCACAGCAGAAGAGATTTGTTAGGAAAAAACCGCGTATGGGTTTATCAAAAATGGATCTTGTCCCAAAGAAAAGTATATAAATAGTCTTTGCCAGTTCCCCGCCCCCCCCCTGCCTCTTCTCTTTCAGTCATGATTGTTTCATTCTACTTCCAGTTCTCTCTTTCAATTATATGTTGCTTTATTAGGGCTCTCAAAGGTATTTGCTATATACGTATGTATATAAATAAAACGTAATACAATGTATACCACACGCGTCAATAACCAACCCAGATAAAGAAGTATAAAAATAAACAAACACGGGTTCACTATAGTTTTAAAAAATACAAAATCTGGGTGTTTGAATTTACCGATATTTTTTTTTTTTTCTTTTTATAATATTTTATTCTTTTCTTATGCGTTTGATGGCCACTACGTTAAGAAAAATAAAGAGATGAATAAAGGGAATATGGAATGATTATATATGTAAAATAAGAAATAAACTAGCAAATAAATCATAATTAAGAGAAAAGCAACGAGAAAACTGATGTAGGGATTGGGAATATGTATACATAATGTATGAAAAATGAAAAAAAAGCCAGGAGACATGGGGATAACGGATAGGATTGAAAATGTGTCGGATGAAGGTTCACATACAAGTGATAGTATACATATAAGTACATGCATATCTATCGATAGGAGAGTCATGACATGAGAGAGACAGAGACAGACAGGATAAACCAATTTTGCTTAACGAGTGTAGATGACAGAATCTAAAAATATATAAGAAATTTTTTTTTTTTTTTGTTATGCGTAAAAGATTACCAAAAAGTACCCGTAGGCCATATTAGAAATAGATTCTTAATAAGGAATGACTTGAAAGAACTATCAAAAAATGTTGATCGTTACCAAGATTGTTAGGATCCATATTACCACCATTAATCATTGAAGCATGCGGAGGAACAGCAGCAGCATATTTCATATTATTCCAACTGTTCATCAGGTTAGGATCGAAATGGGTATCTGAATTTTGAAGGCCAACAGGATATAATTCAGTAGCCATAAGTGCTTGATGAGTTTGTCGATTATGCGCATTTGCATCAAAGTAGGGTCCTATAAAAGATTCATTCAAAATATTATGGCATAGGTTAGATCAACTAAAAACTTCTTGAATCAAATAAAGAAATCAATTTACTTACCGTTCATGGGTGATGTTTGATGGAAATCAATATCATCTTCCATTCCACTACTTGTTTCCTCATCATCCGATTTTGAACCACCAAATTCCTGCTTTGATAATTCTTCCGTGCTACTATAAGGTGTCATTTGTGGAGTTACCAAATGAGTCTCAGAAGAGGACCAAGCATGATTGGAGGAAGAGTAAAGGTTAGGCAGGGAGGCTGTAGAAGAGTTATTGTAAAACATAGGAGCGGCAAGATTGGTATTTGTATGAGATGTAGCAGTTGTAGTCATAGGAGGAGTTGTCATAGCGTGAGGGTTATTGTTAGCAGCAGCACTGGAGGAAGGAGTCATCGTAAGAGTCGTGATATTGGCAGCTCCCACATGTCTATTAGTAGTAGTAGCAGCAGCAGCAGTGGCGGCAGCAACAGCGTTAGGAGGCATTTGATCAAGACTAATATCTAAGGGTAAAGTCCCATTTAACTGTTGAGAAGGATGTTGAATAAGTTGCTGTTGTGATGATGTGGATGGTTGCATTTGAGGTTGTTGTTGTTGTTGTTGTTGTTGCATAAACTGAGCCAGCAGTCTCTTGTTCTCTCTTTGAAGTTGTAAAATTTGATATCGGTAACGTTCTTCTCTAGCAATACTTTGCTTCACCCAATCCAAAGCCTTTTCAACAATTTGACTTTTAGAAGGTCGACGATAATTGATCAGGTTAGGAAGAGCTTGTGCAAGTGTTTGGAATTTGATGTTAAGATTTTCACGTCGTGCGCGCTCAATAGCATTGTGTTCTGCTCGACGTTCGGCTTTTGACAATGGCCTATTTAGGTTATTTTTGGAAAAAAAAAAAGAAGCGTCAGATAATTCTGTAAAATGACACGGGAGGATTCAGACCCCGCATTTATTTTTGAAATCAAGGAACCACGATAAAACGCTCTCTATGACAAATATTAAGTCCTATCGGTGAAGGCTTACTTTTTTGACGAAGCTCCATTAGAAAGTGACGTTTCTTCGGCCTTCAAATCTATATCCAAGAGGTCTTCAGCTGAAGGAAACTGAGAAACCGGTGACTCATTTGGTTGAATGTTCATATTCGCTGACGCGTCGGAAGGGGAGCTGGAGGCGTTAGAGGAGGGAGAGTTATTGTTCGTGGCGGTGGTGGCAATGGTGGTGGTAGTGGCAGTAGTGGCATTTGTTGCATATTGAGCACTTGTATAAGGAAAAGGATCCATATTCATGAATGGATAACCGGGTTTTGCAAATTGGCTCATAGTCGATCTATGACTATATAATCCACGATGAACTGGGAACATAGCTGACTGAACAATAATGTGGCTGATTGATTTGTAATTGTACTGATACTTTCTTTTTGTTTGTTTTCCTTATGAAACGTACAATAAAATAAATGAATATAATCTGAAGCCAAACTGAAGTTATTCTGAGAGTGACTGAAAAGCCTTTTGTTTAACAAAAAACCAGATGCAAAAAGTGTGAAAGTGAAAAAGGAATGTAAAATATGCAAAGGATTGGAGAATATAAAATAAAGAAGAAAAGCAAAAAAAAAATTGGTAAAGTCTGTACAAAAGGAAGAAAGGCTTTTCGATACCTTTTTATATACAAAGAAACAAAAGAAAAAAAAAAAAAAAAAGCGTTGTTCGTGGTAAGTGATAACAGTGGGTGTTTTTTTTTATAGAATAATAATAATAACAACTGACAAAAATAACAGACTTATTGCTGATCTAGCCGCTGTCATCTAATTTTACCTTTGGCTTTACAATTACCGCGGTTAAAACTTCCTAGATTTTGAATTTCCGCTTTTGCCTCTCCTTATAGCGCGAAGCACTTTTTTTTTTTTTTTTTTTTTTTTTTTTTTTTTATGCCTCATCTTTAAATGATACATTTTACGGCAAAGAAGAGGAGAAGGGGAAGGGTAACCTGTGTTCATCGGGATTCAAAATGTCTTCTTCCATTATGACAAAAGAAAAAAAAGGCTCTATGCTTTATGAAGTAGTACTACGGAACGTGTCTAATCAATAAACTTGGACGCACGATAGTCACAACAGTTTGATAAACACAATCTGTGGAAACGTTTTTGTTTACAACAGTTGAACAGAAGCGGAAATTATTTGTTTATTGTTGCTTGACTTTATAAGGAGCAACGTTTTCTCTCAGATTTGCTTAAACTTTCAAAAAATGTCTTTGGAGAAATTGATACCCCGAAAAAGAGATTTTTTTAAAACAGTTTTCTTTAGAAAAGCCAAAAATAAAGGTTCGAAGATTTAAAGAAAGAAAGGCTTCTCTTCGGTAGAATGAATTACGCAGCTGTATGCTTGCAGGATGCTCTCTTTTTAAATTCTATCCATATACATCTGTCTACAAACCTATGAGATAGAAATGGTTCGTTATCTCTAGCGATAAAGAGAGAGAGAGAGAGAGAGAGAGAGAGAGAGAGAGAGAGAGAGAGAGAGAGAGAGCGAGAGCGAGAGCGAGAGAGATCTATTTATAACGTATCATGTTAATTAAATACAATTACAAGTTGCACGGTGAAAATAGCACACATCCACCAGCATTCACAATTATCCAACGGAAGAACAGTAGCAGTGGCAATAGGAAAGCAAAGGTACAGTGTTTTACACGACTTAGGATCAAGTTTATACATTAAGAGTGCTGAGGTCTTTGCTACTGATGAAAAAGATGACAAACTTGACACTGTGGCGTTGGCCATGTCTTTTTGAAAGGATGCCAATTAGCAAACAAAAACACGAATGACGATCTTTACACTTATGTAAACACTCCGCCTACAAGTTATTGAAATGTTACTTACGGAAAAGACTACATCCACACTTTCTATTAGACAACCGTTCTTGCTTCTTTTTTTTAATTTTGCATCCTTTTTTTAAAAAAAAGCTTAAACCACCATGAGGCTGGTTTCTTTTCTTTTTTAGAACTCTCTTAAGCTTAGTATGCACGTTTGTTTGCTTTACTGACTACGAAAATGTCACATCATCGCCAAAGTTCAGCTTTTTTGTTTGTTAAACTGATCTGGTCACTTTCATGACACACCATCTCTCGGGCTAAGACGTAAAAAAGTGATTGAGACGTTTTTGTGCTAACAGAAATACATAAGTTTGGACTGCAAACAGTCTTTCATATGTATATATACACTGTGCTTAGGAACACCCTCCTTTTGACTTTTTACGCGTTTTCTATACTTTGTTTGTTATTGATGTCTATTCGTTGTTACAACAAGAACTCGTGACTCTGCTTGGATTAAATTGTGGCAACCAACAACGCACAGCCCATCTGTCAGTTCTATGTAAGGCAATGTGTTATATTTTTAACGAGGCCGAAACAAGAAGATCCAAAAAACGAATCTTCATGTGTCATCCTTATCATTTTTCTTCTATTTTTCTCCTAAAGAATGAGTTTTCCATGGCATAAGCTTGGATACATTATCTTGTATAAAAATAAATTGATGATTGATTTGTACTAGGAAATAGGAACATAGTACACTTTAAATTTATCCCATTTTAAAAATAGTTTTATGCAGCAAAGAGCGCCTATCCAGATTTGGATCGTGGAGTTTGAATTATTTTCAATATCAGTATCTCGCTGACGGTCTGATATATCATTTAGCCGCCTGTAGTACAATGGTTACACCTATTAATGCAAATGCTTGGAGGATAAACGCGTACGAAGTTTAAAACTTGGTTGCCATCCTTTATCTATCAGAATACAAAAAATGAAAAATAATGGCATTCACACATGATTTCTAGACAGTTTCTTCAACTCCTTTTTTATCTCTTTTCGTCATGAAAACAATGTCATTGAGAAGCTGAGTATGACGGCACCTAGAATTTATGAGTACACAATTGATCTTTCCCGTTGAAAAGGGAGTAACCATGCAGACATTCTTTAACAACAATGTTCATGCACTGAGAAGCATACTCTTCCAACAAGTTTTGTGACGTAATTCGTAACTACTTTTTTCTCTGCCAGTAGAACTTCTTTATGTAGAGGTCAGACAGATGATGACATGGATCCTTGAGTGCAACTTCATGTTTCATCGTCCATCAACCCTTACAAAGCATGTATGCAATCTTTTTATTCATGACCAGCAATAGAGTCATTGATGAAAGCGAAAGAAAAGAAAATAAAGGCTGACAAAATGAATAAACCAAAAACAAAAGAAATAAATAAGTAAGGGAAGCCAGAAAAAGAAATAAAATCTAACAAGGAGCGACGCTAACAGGCGTAATCGGTAAGATAGGAGCATTCGCATCGGCAATTTCACCGCTCGCGCCTTCTTGCAGAGTGGGTATGTTTACTGTAGATGATGTTGATGCACTAACAAACTTATCGTTGGTTAACCGACGAGAGACTTGTCCTTTCGGTCTGAAGGTATCAACGGCACCGACATCAACTTATAGGGAACAGCGTTAGTCATAGAAATTACAAGTATGATCTTACATTAGGAAGCAATCTTTACCTTTATAAAGCTTTTCCTCACAATCATATGCTCTCGGTGTCAATTCAATGATAGTATGTAATGGGATTCGTGCGTATGGTAACTGATCATGACTTAAACCCATGAAATAGGCATACATACACCGGATGGTCGCCTGATGGGAAATAATCAGGATGTTTTCCTGTCTTTCTAGATCCATAATGACAGGTTCTAACCGCAACACCAAATCTCTGTAACTCTCTCCTCCACGATAACGATAATTGAACTTGTCCTCATCTCTTTTTGCAAAATCATCTGGATACTTGGCCTTTGAAAATATATATATAGGTATATAAAAGACAAAAGCAGGGAGAGTTGAGTGCTTTTAGAAATGAAAAGGAAAAAGTGAGCTACTCGGGACTTACAGCAATTTCATTATAAGTCATGCCATCACATATTCCCGTATCCAACTCATCCAGTGCTTTCCATTGCTTTTTGGGAAAGGGCAAGTGTCTCGCTGTTTGGATGGTACGTTTCATGGTCGATGTCCAAACGGTCAAGGGTCGATCGCCAATATTCTGTTTAACCAACTCTGGTAGTTTTAATGCGTACTGCTCTCCTCTCGGTGATAAACCTGAATCGCCACCTATTTTGTCCTCCAGATTGAATAACGATTCGCCATGCTATAAATAACAACAGCAAAAAGGGAAGGTTGGTACACTTTTAATTTGTCCTTTTTCAAACGTCATTCACGAGGGTTAGGTTTTTTTTCTTTACTCTGCTAAACCATATTCGTTTTGGACGAGTGTGCAAGTTCATCAAATAGTACACAATACGACTTTCCAAATATCCACGTATCATATTGATGATAAACTGACTTCCCACATTAATCAACTTGATATACGTCAAATCCTGTTCTGTAATTGTTTCGTACGCGGCTTCGTAATGACGGATGCGCTGCATAAAATCTTCGGTAGCCACTTCGGGATCACGTTTACGATAATCAGGTGAGGATAATTTGACGTCCTTGATATTGGACAAGATGACACGCTCGTCTTCACATATGGATTCGATAAACAGCACTTGAATATCTTTTGATGTCAACTCCTGATGAATCCACGCTCGGGCTTTCTTTGTTGAGTTTGTAGCGTCTAAAATACCGACTGTGCCTTCTGCTTTTTCAAACCATGCTATCATATCTCTCAGGGCCCACGCTGCTGCTTCACGTCGTGTTTTCATCGCTTCTGCGTTGTGCGGGTCGAAAAAGGTGTGTGGTAAATTTAAACCTGCTAATTTTCGTCGATAATTGCCCACATGAAATACTTGAGTTTTGATGCCTAACCAAGTCAAGTATCTAGACACTACAACGGGTTGATTGGTTGGTTACTTGGAGTTTATGGAAAACTTTTTTTTTGACATTGTCCAAAAAAAGGAATCCTACCTTTTGAGGCAATGTATGTCTTTCCTCTTGCAGGTAAGCCTACCATCTAATCAAATGTATACATATGAGTGCCTGCTATTTGCGATTTTTTCTTTCTTTTTTTTTTTTTTTTTACTTACTACACAAGCTATACGTAAATCTTTTTAAAAGAAAAAGACGAGTGAAAAAAAAAGGATAAATTGCGCATGAGTGTGCGTGTGTTGTGCAAATCTTTCACTTTTATATGTATTTTGCAAATGTTCATGTATCAAAAAAAAAAAAGTTACGGATATTTACTTGCTGTTGTGTTGCTCATTTTTCTGTTAATTATATTATCGCACAAGATAAAGTTGAACTTTGTGTTCGCTCACTAAAGAGTCTTCTGTTACTCAAAAAAAGGGAATAAAGAGTGTTGATGAAAGATAGCAAAGAGTTAGAAGAGAGGAAAAAGCAATAAGGAAAAGAAACAAACCAGCATATTTCAAATTGGCTCAATGTAAAAACTAAGACCCACCCCCAATCCCAAACTGAAATCGTCAGTTTAAATTTTACTGCTGTTGTTGTGGCTGTATACACACACCCTTTTGCTCCGACTCCTTCCCGTTTTCTTTTTTTCCTTGAAGCATGGCATCGAAGAGTGAGGCTTACGTCCTCAACACGAATAACGTTTGACACTCTTGTTCAATGACAAGAGTACTATCGCCTCGTAAGCATGATCTATGCAAAATCAAAATATACATATACTCTATGATCATAGTATTAAGGGGAGGGGTAGGTGGAACAGCAGTTGTCCAACTTTTTTCCAAAAAGAAAAAAAAAAAAGTGATGCTCTTGTGATATCATGTGCATTTGTCGGACCCAAAGGGCATTTTTCATCGGAGGAGGGTCTTCAGGGACTCGTCCTTAATTGTTCTTTCAATCCAACCATGGGTTATCAAAAGAAATATTTGATCATCTACAGTTGTATCAAATACAATATCTCACGTAATGAAAAGGATCGACTTTTTTCCTTGGTTTCTTCATACACACATTTGTCTGTTCTTGTTCTCTTTTTCTGTTGTTACTTCCTAATTAAAAGAAGGCCCTCATTCTTTTCATGTACTAAACATTTTCTGATTTCTAAAGCTTACGTAAAAAAAACAAACTAATCTTCTTTTTGTCATCATATATCTCGATGGAAAATCTCGGGAAGTATATACTCAGTCTATAGTTAAATAATTCAAAGGGTCTTGTGTGCAAATTGCAAGTCAGGTACATTCAAAGATTCGCCTTTTAAATGATACGAATTGCACACAGAGCCAAACTAATTCTGCATATCGACCATGTCTTTAAACAACCGATGAACAACAAATTTTTTATATGCATATATTTAACTGCCAAGAGGTTGAACATATTTTTACTCATATGAGCAATATGTATACATATTTATATGTGTGAGAGAGAGAGGTATCCTTTTATTTGTAAAAAACTAGAAATTTGTTCATGAAGATGTGGATGTGGATGATATAGCATTGTTTGCTGTGTTATTGTTATTTGTTGAGGCTGCATTACCAGTACGGCTGGTTGAGGCACCGGCCTTATTTCTGTTATCTTCTTCTTTTGCACATGCCTTCAACTCTTTCCATAAAGTTTCCTTTTGCATACTTGCTTTACACAACTTGCTACGTGCTTGTTGAAGACGTGATATATACTCATTACTATAATTGATATTTTCCTAAAATCATTGTAACACGTGATGTTGTGAGTTATTTATTAAATGTACGCATCCACTGAATATCTGCATTTTTACCAATAAAAGTTCTTTGACTCGCTTCACCACCTCTCTTGCTTCTACATCAATGTCTTTCATATCATCTTCCTGATCTACGTCCATTGCTGTGCGACTGCCAATGTCAAAATCTTCTTCACGCTTAATGGCTGCTTCCACTTCTTTGTCCAATTCCTTTGGGTCTAAAGGTTCGACCATTTTACTATCTAATTGACTACTATCATCAACCTCATTTGCCGTTGGTTGTTGCGAAGCACCTGTTTGAGCTTGCACAGCAGCTGCTTGAGCGGCTACTGCCAAAGTATTAGCAGCTGCCTTCGCAGCTTCCATATCTTCTCTATATTTTCTACGCTGTTCCGGTGTACGATCAAACGTTAAATCTAGATAACGCGGGTCGTCCTGGTGCATAATTGCATTTAATCGACATAAAATTTTATTGAAATTCTTTTCCCCTTCAATGAATTCCATAGAAGTTTTGGCAAGTGCGTCAATCTGTGGTGACAATAAGATTCTTCGTAATGCTGGTCTACGAACGATATCGGTTGCCATTTCAATAGGGCTCAGGATATCTGTTGAATGAGGTAGGTTGTGCGGGAGGAAGACGAGATATTTACAATGAAAAAAAAAGGATGTATGTATATATGAGTATTATGCTCTTCACGTTTCATGCAGATGATTTCCTACCTTCAATATTAATCAAAGTATACGGATCTTCTTCCTCATCAGACATGCCATCTTCCAGTCTTTTTCTTTTTCTCTTGACGACTGTTCTTGTTTTTCCGCCTTTTGTGAACTAGTAAATGACAAGTAACATATTTTTTGATGAATAATACTGAACTTGCCACTACTATTTACGTATCTCTTTGTTATCTCACCTCTGTTTCTTCTGATAATGAGCCTGGTGCACTTAATTTGTTTCCTCCAAACTCTGAATTAGGTGTAGCCCATCTCTTCAGTAAAGAAAAAAAAACATTAATAGAAGTTAAGGACAAATAGAACTGTTCATTCCTTTTAAGAAAAGGGAAAAAATGAATAGCTCAACACTGTTGAAAGATGTGAAAATGAGTAACGTAAAAATGTTGTGCTTTGAAAAGGATATGTTTATAGCCTCTGTTATGAGGAACGAGTCCAATTTGGTCGGTCTCACTATTGTCGTCGTCGTCCTGCATCCACTTTGAGGCTGCTGGTGCTGGCGCTGATGTTGAAGCTGGCGATTGTGCTGGTTGCAGAGAAGGAAGCGCTTCTGACATTCTGTTACAAGCTAGAATTCAATGCTTTATCGATCGACTTTATTGGAAAAAAAAATTCGCAAAACTCTCTTTTCTCAAAGAAAAATTGAAATGGGACGGAAATTGGATTTGGACAATTCAAGATCGATAAAATTTGGTTGGCTGGTGTGTGGGCACTATCTTGCCCCACATATAAAAAAAAAAGAAAAAAATGCTAGGGGGAGGGGATATAATTTCTTGAAAGCAAAAAGTAAAACTATCAGCCCTTATCTTTTGACATTTAGAGAGATATCAGCACCATGGCTTACCGAGCACAGCCACAAATCATAGCGCGCCATGTCAACAATTTACTAAAAGCTAATCTCTTGAAAGAGCCGCCAGTGTGGCTTTCTGCCGTTCAAGCGTATCCCCCTGGACCCAGTATCGTTCGTGCTAAAAACCCTGAAGTCAACGTATCAGGCCAAACAGAAATCGAACAACAATTATTCTCTAAACCACCACCTAAACAGCGAATTCGTTATTCATCAAAACATGTTCGTACACGTGCACCGAAACCTTTGCCCATCATTTATCCTGAAGATCGCTTAAGAAGACAGTTTTACAGAGATCATCCTTTCGAATTGTCAAGACCCAAAGTGTTGGTAGAAGATGAACATGGTATCAATAGAACCGATTTTAGTAAACTCTTGTTGGATGGTATGCATCCTTCCCAGATAGACGGTGAAGCGTAAGTGTGTTGGTCTAAAAGTTTATTATGATCCCTGAGAAAAAAAGAGGGTTGCTCATTCCAATTTTTATAACTATTAGTGTCATCAAATATCAACTTTATCTAATGACGCACGAAAAGATGTCTGAACGAAAAGCATATGCAAAAGCAACATCTGAATTCTATGAAATAAGAGCAAAGCAAGAGGAAATGGAGCGAGAATTGAAGAGGAAATTATTGGAAGCCTTGGGCAAACAACCAAAGAAGAAGTGGACTCAAAAGGGTCTAGCATTAGAACAAAAGGCGCTAGAAAGAAATGAGGCATCAGCATTAACAATGTCAATGAATATGGCTTTGTCGATGTAATAGAAACCATACTTTTCATTTTTCATTTGAGAGAGGAGAGTAGAAGCACATGCGATTTGATATATGTATATTAGTATGTAATAAATAGTTTAAACGATATGTCGTTCAACTTTCGTTCTATCCCTGTGCTTTACGTGTCGCCCTTTACACAAACTGTATAGCTCTCCAAATATCGTTAATAAACGTACTGTTACAACAATTCCTATCCCACATCTGCGCATACTCTATGCTCAACAAACCATGCATATCGATGTATACGGTTTGCATGAGACAGGCTTAAGAACAATATATTGTGAACAGATCAAAGGGTACGGATCCAATAGCAGACACATCCTATGGACCAAACCTAATCACCTTTCCTTTATAAGGAGAGCGTGGACGTTCTAGCCTAAGGCTTAAGGAAGAGAATAGAATGAATTTCAACACCATCTCTTGATAGATTAGGAGCTACAATTCGAGTAAAACAATAGTCTCACTCGTTGCTGCAATAGATAACTCTTTAAACAACGTAAAATATTTACAGAAAAATAAAGAGGATACAAGTTTTATTATAAATCCACGGGTTAAAGCAGGATGGTTTCGTTCATTTTCAATAAATGATGCATTAAGATGAATGAAATGAAATTGCAATAGAGTAAATTGATAATTATAAAAACACTATTTGTTGTGATTCAAGTTCTAACCTTCCATTAAAGTCGTAGCAATTCCAGATTCTTCTACAAGCAACAAACACAACGTCAATCGTACAGCTAAACGATACTCAAAGTCATGCTTTCTATGTTGCAAAGCCATCTCCCATAGTTGTTTACTTTTTAATTTATTGCCCCTAGACCAGGAAATAACGCCTGCTTCCCATAAGGCATAAGGCACTGTCCAAGTATCTTCTGAGATACAGTCTTTATGGTCTACCACCCAGTTAATATCCAATAAAAGATCGTCTCCATCCAGTACTTGCTGTTGATTGGAAGGGAAGGAATTCCTAATAGATGACTTTATAACATAAAGAGTAGCTCGTTCATTAAAGTAGTCTGGTAAGGGCGTATTTGGTGCCAAGTCCAATAGACGCTGTTCTTGTTCTTTCATTTCACATTTCTGAATAGCCATTAAGGCAGTCTGCACGTGTTGATTTAACCATTCTACTAATAATTCTGGGCTTGCATAAGGAAAGAGATTCCATAAACACATGAATTCTAAAGCGGGTACGTAGAAGTGTAAATTCTGATATCCGCTTTTTTGAAACATGGTAACTTTACGAAGAATATAAGTGTTGATATCAGATAGTCCGCCTCCCAATTGTTTAATTTTGTGTTGAAGCTGTTGGTAATATTTTCTATTACCATGATCATTGCTGTTGCTCTTGTCACCTCTACTGTTATTGATCAATTGCGGCACTTGTGCAAAACATAAAATGGCGTTTTCTCTACGTTCCGGTATCATACTATAACAAGCGCCTTGCGCATATCGACAAAAGGCAACTGACCAATATTGTTGTTCTTCCAAATACTCAAAAGTAGCAGCAGCATGCTCCCAATTCCCCGTCACCATATGATTGAGAGCCATTTCAAACCGGCAAGCATTGGTAACAGCCACTTCAGCCCATTCGCCTCGACTAATTTCCGCTGCGTACAAAAAGGATTGTGTGGATAACGGTAGATCAAAACCGTATTGACGAGCTGTACGTCCAGCAAAGAACAAATTGAGTGTTGAGTCAGGATGGTATTTCTGAGCATTCTGCAGAAGAATATCCATGCAAGTCTTGCTGTAGACATCTGTCAATATTTGGGGTGCAAAGGAAGTAGCTACTGTATAGTATGATAACAATGTGATCGTAGCCATAGAGGACCTGACACGTTGGCTCTGTCGACATTTGTTCAATAATGAAATACCTAGTTCTCTATCGGGTTTCCAGCCGAAAAATGAAAAGGCTTTCAGTATCTTTGCTGGTAGAGCGGATAAAACTAAATGGACAGAACCGATGCCAAACTGCACGCCGGATACTGTGTCTGCATCCATAAAGGCTGTATGATCAGACCCCATTTTCTGGTATTCTTGCCATACATAATTATAAGAGACAAAAGCTCGTCGTAGGTTCAACCCGCATTTCAAATATCCCATCATCGATTCTTGTAATAGTTGTAATACAGCCATTTGTAGGCAGCATTCTGCTTTGATGACATGTGCGCGTAGAACGCCATTGGATGGATGATTACTGATTCTGCTTTTCTTCCCTTGGAGCTGTTGTTCCTTCCGACGGCTATTGGTAATATTACTACTAGACGTTTGCTTTTCTAGCGCATCAGTCGTATCCTCTGGTCTCCGTAGGTATTTGTAATAACTCGGAAAGTAAGTCGATATTTTTGAGGGTTGTTTACTCAGCTCGAGTTGTGTATTGGCGATATCGTATGTTACATTGAGCGCATTTAGTGCCATATCCTGATCTTGTTCTGCTGAAGTCTTTATTTTTATGGGTTTGTAAAATAAGATACACACATTTGACAACCGTTACTACATTGGTGATAAGTGGATGGGGCTACTAATAAGCATATGATTCTCTTACCATAACGGCTGCAAATGGTATAAAAAAAAGAAAAAGATGATGTGAAATCGGTCAATATGATTTTGCTTTTCTCTAAAGGAAGTTCACCAAAACAACATAGGATACCTTTTAAAAAGGCCATTGAACTGAGAGCCAAAGCACTCAAAGGGTCACTGCATAGGGCAAATGATTTATTGCCGGACAATAGAGAGACTTTTAGCAACAAAGTTTGTTTATGTATGGAGCAGCGGATGGTCTACCTTTGGGCCTTCTTTTCGAAAATTGTTTTAGCAGCCATAAATTCATTGTTCATCAAACAATCCAAGCCTTTAATGATGGGTTCATCTGAGCAAAAGAGCTGCTTCTTAGTCTGTCACCTCTTTACACACATAAAAATCTGGATATTTGGCCCACATTAACCCTCCTCACTATTTCTGCATTGACTCATCTTATGTACCTTCCTTTTCCTGTTCTCTAGGATTCAGATTATTTATTGTTACTGAACCTTTAGTTAATTGAATATCATTTGCACCAGCCACGGTTGGGTCGCTTTTGATATAGGATGAGGTAATGGCTCCTTCTCCATTTCGTACAGCATAGCTTGGAATGAACTTTTTCGAATTTCCCTCTTCTATTGCTGTTACTCCTGTCGTTGTGGTTGTGTCAGAAGCAGCATCACCACTGGAGGTCATTCTTTTTGAGAACAAAGAAGACAATTTTACTATTTCTTCATTTTGAAGTGCTGTTGTGATCTCAATAATTCTGTTCTCTGAGCTCTCCATAGGCATCATCATCATGTCTTTTTTTTTAAAGAACTATTTTAGCCTAATGGAATGTAATATCAATTGTTTAATATGAGAGAAAGAGAGGAAGAGGGTACTGGAAGAAACCAAATATCTCGGGTTTCTTCAGTTTGTTGGAGAAAAGAAATAAGCGTATACATATAATGTTACGAACGTGCTACAATATCCAATTCTGTCACACCACCGTTGTGCAAACCGGATGTGTTACCAATACGGTATTTTGCATTGGAAGTTTTACAATAGCAGGATCGTTTTATTCTCGAGGTACTTTCCTTCAAATCAATCTTCATTGGTTGAATTGATATCATTCATGAAGAATAGAAAAAAAAGTTGAGAACTAAAAAATAACTGATTTTACAACAAATCATTGGAAAAAAGAAGAGGAACGCTCCCAAAAAGGCAGACTCACCTGTTTACAAGCTTGAACTGGAATATTTTCTGATAACACAATGACAGTTATAAAAGACGAATAAAGCACCAAAGTCAATACATACCATATCGGGTCGAAAAAATGTATGCGTGCGATTTCCCCCAAGTTTGGTCCACTGATAGAAATGTATATACTTACAAACCGTATATTGAGTCTTACCCGGTTGTGTATTTTATTACCAGTGTTAATATTTTCTTTTTCTCTGCATTCTGATTAGAAAGACAAATTTTTATTACCAACAATAATTACTCGGTTACCCTGAACCTTTCTCTGTTCTACCTGTAGAAAGTGGTTCTCCCGCAATGGCTGATGGTAGTAATGAAAGTGTTTATGTTAGATTTTTAAAGTTATTTTACGGTTTGCTTCCTGATGTACAATAGGCGGAACGGCAAAGAGATGGCAAGAAGTTTCAACATGGGCGTATATATCTTTTTGAGATTAAGAATTGTAATAGTAGTAGTACTAAAAACGTTGTGAAGTAAGTTTGCCTCTCCTATTAACTTATCAATATCTATCTCTTCGACCGCCACCTACGCGGTCTCTTGATCTATCCCGACGGTTATACCCACGATCCCTATAACCTCTTGGGCTCCGACTTCTTGAGCGCATACGTGATTTCCTTCTATCGTCATCTCCTCTTCTACCACCACCATATCCACCACCATAACCTCTACTACCACCACCGTGCCTATTACCACCACCTCCATGATAACGATCACGGTCATCGTAACGTGAAGAGGATGACTGTCTTGATTGTGACGATGATGGATGTTGTACTCTGCCACCTAAACCTCCACCTAGACGTCGAGGTTTCCAACCTTTCACTGTACGAGCTCTTTCTACATCAACTAATATACGTCGACCTAGCATTTTCAAACCATCTGCGTCTTTGTAAGCAGCTTTTATCAAAACAAAGGAAACCGAATGAAAAGAGGACAGTAAGAAGATACATGATCATATTCAACTTTCGCATATTGTCTCTCAAACTTACCTCGCATATCTTTTTCTCTTTCAAATTCTATAAAGGCATAACAGCGTGATTTTCCTTCTAAATCACGGATAACACGAATCTACGGTTTATAGGTGTTAGCACTTTGCTTCTCTCGACATAAATTATTTCAAGCACCCAAACTATTAAAACTTTGTTCTCCATTATATAAGCACCTTTTTAATCGGTCCATACAACTCGAATTCCTTCTGTAAATCGGTCTCGTTTAATTCGGGGCTCAGATGGGTAACAAATAAAGTGTTGAAAGGATCGCCTGTTATGTTCTCATCGTTTTCAGGATCATCTAATAACGCATAGACATATAGATATGAGATTTAGTACATAAGCATACATATCCATCTACATTTAAGTAGACCACAAATTCCTTGCTTACACTTTGCTAAGGCTTCTTGTAATTCTTCTTCAGCTTTTTTTCGTTTCGCCTCGGCCTAATGAAGTGTTCTAAGTGTTATTATACAACAAGAATCAATGCTTACATAAAAATAGTTAAGAGCTTGTTTACTTTTTCTTTTCGCTTTTCTGCCAAAGATTTCCAAGGCACATAATCTGGATCATAGTGTTTAAGTTGTTCAACTAAATGCGCAAGTCCTGTTACTTGACAACCAACACGCTTTTCTGGATCTTTGTCAAGAGGTGCCAAGTATGGTAAAGGTGGACGGGGAGCAAATAGTTTCAATAAATTGGGAGGTAGTTTGTCTGTCATTGGCTTTATATATGATTAACGAAGAAAGAGGGTGTTGAAGGGAAATATAAAATTGAAAATGGTGAGGATTAGGGTTCGGTTTTCAATCCGGGAAAATTTACGTGACTGGGAACAAAATCATCATCATTATGGGTATAGAGATCGCTATTGTTGATTTCTTTTCAATAATTCACTGTTAGAAGCCACCATGTCCTATTATTATGCAACGCGTAAATTGGTAATTTTATGTTAACTTTGAAGATAAGGGTTTCTGATCAATTTACCTTTTAATGAGTGTCAGGCATAACTTATCGATTCTTTGGTTTTTAGCTTTCCTATGAATGTTTTATTAATTAAATATAGTATTTAGTTTGTTTTTTTCTTTATGTTGATTCTGTATTGTTGAAAGGCTGGTCTAAGTATACAGCATGTTTAGAAATTATGGAAAAGCATTGTAGTGACTCTCGACTAGAATGTCAGCTTCAACCAAATGTTTATCGAAGCCTTGCTCTTATATATAATGTATACCACTACAGTTCATTTAAAGCGAAGAAGACGATTATTTAGAGAGATAGTTGCGTAACCAACATGCCATTATAATACCCTGCTTAATTCTTAAAAGGTATATTCAAAGTCGCTTTGTGAGTGAACTGAAGCCGAGTGAGGAATATCTTTTCACTCCCGAGCAAGTATTTTTACTGTCGAAACTGTAAGACAACCTGCACCTTTATTTACTGTAGTTTATACAAGAGAAAAGCAGCTATACAGCATAATCATTATGATTGCTGCGAAGGGCCTTGCAATTTAGCCTCGTTATACAAACAGAAGCCTAAATCCATATTCTGATACATATTAAAATCATAGTACATCAAACTTTAAGCATTCAAATTTCGAAACAAATCGTTGGAACAGATCCTTCATGCTTCTCTTGTATGAACATATGTTAGCATACATCAGGGCTTCTCGTTTTCCTTCTTGTTCAATTAAGCTTCTTCAACATAAATTTATTTTCAAATGCAAATATGCAGTTCTTTGTCTGCACTGAAAGTAGTGTTTCCCATGACGTACATGCTTCTATTACAAACATAGTCTTTTTATCATATTGATGTGATTAACCTCCCAGTAGCGGGAAGAGCCAAAAGGGCGACGATGTGCTGTGCCTTTTCAACTTTCAGATCCAGCCTGCAAAAAGTAAAAAAAAAAAAATTGACAGATTTTAGAAAAAGGCATACAATTTCATCCTGCTCCTCCCTTTTGAGTATTTATAATTTACATTCATACACTTACTTTTATATCCTGCTTCATATTTACTCTATTAGTCATACAGCCCTTTCGAGGACAACAATAATTTATTATTTTTAGAGAGAAGGATCCTCAAATCTCGCTCACATGCAACATACGACATCAATGTTAGACACTATGAGTACAATGACCAATAATAATACTACTCTTAACTCGAGTCAACATACTATGGACAACCAACCTTTTACTATGAACCTTGAGCAGCACCACTACCAACAACAACAGCAACAACAACAACAAACTGGAGCAGTACAACAATATCATCCATTGAAATATGGTTGGGTATTTTGGTTTATGCATAGATCGCGAGGAGAGAAAATTACTGATTATGAAGCAGCGATGAAAAGGATTGCCAGTTTCAAGACAGTAAGTTCTAACTGTTCGTTGTCAACTGTAATAATTGTTTTATCCCTTACTTAATGTCTACAATACATTTACTTAGGTTGAAGAGTTTTGGGCAGTGTATAGTCGACTTTCTAGACCAAGTGAACTACCCAATATCAGTGATTATTCCTTATTTAAAGATGGTGTTCGCCCTGTTTGGGAGGTAACAGAGAAAAGATTTTTAACCTTTTTGTCGCTTTCATTAAACGATTTACAATTGCATTACAGGATAATGTAAATATAAATGGCGGAAAATGGATTGTTAGAATCAAAAAAGGTTTAGCAAGTCGGTACTGGGAAAGTTTAGTTCTGGCTATCATTGGAGATCAGTTTGATGTAGAAGATGAGATATGTGGTTTAGTATTATCCATTCGTGGTTCAGAAGATATCATTTCCGTTTGGAACAAGACATCATCTAACGGAAAGATCAATTTGAAGATTAGGTAATAATTCCACAACGAGTTGTGTATGATTGTCAACTGTTCTAATTATGGTCCTTATTTAAAATAACATCTAGAGATACTATCAAAAAATATTTGAACCTACCTCCAGATACTACAATGGAATATAAAACACATAATGATGCACTTCGAGACAACTCCTCTTTCCGTAACACTGACGTTTTTCGATGAAAGAAGGAACGCGTACTTTTCTAAAACAAAGATTGACAGCCGCTGTAAATAGTTTCTATGTCGAATTCGCAATAAAAATAAACACTTCATTGGCTTTCATTTTTTTTTTATTACGCTTGACTTAACCAACCATTGGACGATTTTCTATCATTACCATAGATTTATCATGTCGGTGAGGCCTTTGAGTAACGAAGATAAATGAAAGAAAAGCCTCTTCAGATATGCAAATATTATCTTGATTTATGCTGTTGAGAACAGACCTGAATAATGCTCTTGAGTCCGATTGCTTAATTAAGTTTCAACTTCTCCGCATTATGGGTGCTTTGAACGTGCATTACAAATAAAGGTTTACCAACGGCAGTACTCATTGGGAAGCCTAATTCTAAGCTTTGATGCCTTTTTATGCGCCAACTGTGTTTGGCAAGAACAACATGAGGATATGGGAAAGGAAGAAGTATCAAATTTCGACGGTCGATGGTGCTTGTTAGCTTCCTTGTTCATTTAGTCCTGTTTTATATGTTGTACTGAGAACCAAACAGCTTCGGACAGTAGTTGGCGCGGAAAGATAAAAATGTCGTCCACCCCCACATAAAATTTCCCTGTTATTTTTCAATCCGTCTTTTGTATGACATGAGGATATATCTTTCTTCTCTAAAACAAAAATAACTGAAAATGACGCCTTCAGGAACAATAGATAGGGTTATAACTGATACTATTGAGAAACATGAGCAGGAATTGAGAACTATCAGCTTGAAGGTAAGAGTTTGAAATAAGTGAGCATGTTATATCAGCCTTTTCTTATCTTTCTCATTCTGTGCGTTAATGATATCCTGTCACTGCAATTCTGCTCAGATACATAATAATCCGGAGCTGGGCAACAAGGAAGAAAAAGCATCAGAGTTGCTGTGTAATTATCTTGAAGTAAACGGATTCAAGGTGACTCGGGGTGTAGTTGGCCTCAGTACTGCCTTTATAGCGGAATTTTCGAATGGTAAAGAAGGTCGTAAAGTTGGATTTTGTAGCGAATATGATGCACTTCCTGGGTAACAATGACAAAGATGTATTACAGCCTCGAGGCCTGTTGTACTTTTTATTGCGGCTATGCTAACTGTCTTCATACCGTACTAATTAAACCCTGCAGTGTTGGACATGCCTGTGGTCATAATTTAATAGCCATTGCTGGAGTTGCTTGTGCTTTAGCATTCAAGAATCTATTAGAACAGAATCTGATAAAGGGATCTGTTTATCTCTTTGGAACACCTGCTGAGGAAACCACGAGTGGCAAAATTCAGTTTGTCAAAAAGGGAAAGATAGACGAGATGATCAATTTCTCAATGATGCTTCACCCTGGACCATGGGACAGTGTCTTTACTTCTTTCTTGGCGTTGGATTCCGCTAAAGTTGAGTTCTTCGGTCGCCAGTCGCATGCTGGCATGGCGCCGTGGGAGGGCGTCAATGCGTTAGACGCTTTGATGCAGAGTTTCGATAATATAGGCTTATTGAGACAGCAGACTTTACCATCAAACAGGTAATTCGATCAGAGGTTCTAGCACAAAATATTGAATCAGTATAAAGCACTTACTCAATCTTAATTCTTTTAGGATTCACGGTATTATCACTGATGGAGGAAAATCTGTAACGTTACGATAGAAATATCTGCATTTTTCTATAAAATTGCAGGGTGCTAAACTTTTTTACTTTTTTTTTTTGCGATTTAGGCAAACGTTATTCCAGGATATGCTTCTGGTGAGTTCTATATTCGATCACTCACACGTCAACAGTTGAACGAGCTTAAGATCAAGTTCGAACATTGTTTCGAAGCTGCTGCAAAAGCAACTGGTTGTACTCATAAAGTTACATGGGCGCCTTGGGGCCAGATTGATGGTACGTAACGATAGTACATAAAAATAGATCAAAGTTAGGAGTTTACAAAAAGAAAGAAAAGATAATGTCACGATTGAGATTTTGTTAACTTTGTATTATATACGTTTAGACGTGTTTCAAAATGATGTTTTAGGAGAATCGTTCAAATCTTATATGAGCGATAAAGGTGTCTCATACTTAGATCGTACTGACGAACAGCTTATAGTTGGTGGAAGTACTGACTTTGGCAATATAAGTTACGTTGTACCTGGATTGCATCCAAGGTAAATGACTACTTTCTCGAGATTTCTATAAGCAAGAATGACAGATGATGGGTAATTAATGCCTGCATATCCTTTATATAGCTTTAGTATTGGGACGACTGCAGCAAATCATACGGTCGAATTTGCAAAAGCAGCAGCCACCGAAGAAGCACATAAAAATGTACTTCGTGCAGCCATTTGCCTTGCAAAAACAGCTTCAGATGTATTCATTGACGACGTTATGTTTGAAAAGATGGTTACTAACTTTAAAAAGGGCAAATTGCAGTAAACCTGCATTGCCTTTTAAAGAAAAGTAAACCAATGTTTAGACAAGCGTGCAGTATTAGATAATGTTACTCTAATATTTTTTTGTGTTTAACAATAATGCTAAAAAATCGACTGAATTCGTCTTTCGTAACTAAATGTCTTTTACTCTCCTTTATATCTACTTTCTTGATAGTCCTACACCTTTTCTTTGCTTTTCCTTGCTTTTCTTTGCATTTCTCGTCTTTTCATTTACAGAACTCAGATTTTATTTTTACGTTCCTGAGAATCTTGAACCTCGGGGAACAACCTAGCTGAGTTTTTTAGTCCTGATTAAGCAGACTTCAAAATGACTACAACGACAGCAGCAACGATGGGGTTAGACCTTGAAAAGTTAACCAAAGGTATTATCGTCAGAGAGTGAAAATGTACTTAGTTCTCTTAACTCCAAATTTCATTTTTGACATATTTCTTTTGCTTTCCTTTTTTTCATAGGATGGTCCGATAAATTCAAATTTGTTCGTAAGTCTCAAGATTAAAAATGTTCTTTGATTGAACCGACAATTATCTTCTGCATATACAGACTCATCCCAACAAACCAATCTCATGCTAAATATAGTGGAAGATGAGTCGAAAAAAATCGAAATCAGTGAACTTTCATCGCCAGATTTAAAATTGGAGGACAGTGATTCATCATGTTTATTAAATGCGGCATCCATCAATTCCAGCAGCAATACCACAACTAGTGATTTATATCTTCAGTCCATATTATCATCAGCGCCATCTTCAGCAACAGCAAAAACAACAGAAGCATGCACGGGCAATAGCGATTGTGTTTGCTATAAATGCCAAAGACAGAGACGACGAGCGGTCACTTTCAGAAGTATAGCGCCAAAAGCACTTAGCACCATAAATGCCTATACTCCACTGGACAAATTGCAGACAGGCACTAGTACAGAGAATGACCTATCATCTCGAGCTTGCCCTGAACAATTTGCTGCTATTACTTCTAATGAGAAAACGCTAGATGCTGTGAAAGAGAATCAGGAAGCGCTTCTCAAACGGCACCAATCCGTTTTAAATACAATAATCAATCCACCAGGTGAAGCAGCACAGCAGCAGTTAGCCAACAAAACATCGTCAAAAAAGAGAACCAATACATTGAGAAAGACACCCACAATAAAGTCTTATGAAAAGCACATGCCACCACCTGAGTATCCAGAAGATGACAGTATATATCGTACTGAAAAGCAGAGAAGAAAACTGATTGTAAGTCAGCAAACGAAGGATTTAGCAGCTGGTGGAGTATCTTCTCGAAATACGATAAGTTTAGAAGAGCAATCCTGCTACCGTTTCCCGCAAAAACAACAACAAAGTGATGATTACAAAATTTCCTGGAAAGAAGATGAGACAGGTGATGATTTGCTGACATCGCTGGTCACTTTTCAAACAATTTTTGAAGAGAAAGGCAGCACAAATGAAGGCTTATCTGATCTTTTAGAGCAACGAGCAAAAGAACTAAAATACCAAAAGCTGAAAGAAAAGGAAGAGAAGGCGCGGCAGTCAAAATCAGGAGCAGATTTGCCACCAAGGTTACCAGACTGTTTAACCCTAAGTTATCGTAATGGCTCCAGACATACATCCCTTACACTATTTCACACGATGAAAATGAAAAATGAGAAGGCCAGGACTCAAGCGTATGGTAGGAAAAGCTTCTATCACTATATATATATATTTTTTATTTTATTTTTTTTGTTACTTTAGAGACATGGAGATACTGAAAACGCATATAACTCATTGTTCATTTCTTCTTTTACTAATTAGACGCTGCTTTTCATCAGTGTATGCATGCTGATAGTAGTATGCGACAATGGCTCAAAAGAAAACGCGAGGCACCCAAACAAGAGAATTCAAGATTGATACAGACTGTTAGACGATCAACGGTCAAAAAAGGCTTTTTGACTTCGCTTTCAGGCAGAAAGAATAAAATCACCAGTAATGACAATGTGTTTCAGTTGACGAGTGGATCTTTATCATCTACCAATGAAGAATGTTCAAACTATTGCAACCCTGTCCTTATTGCGAATGGAACTACTGTAGACAAACGTTCAATGGACATTGAAAACGTGAATATCAGAACAAGACAACAACAGCAGCAAACGCCTCATTCTCAAGATGGAACTATGGATCCAAGTACATTAACACTGCAGCCGCAACTGCCAGAATTACCGATCGATATACCATTACAGCAAACAAAAGGCTCGTTTGACTATAACGAAGCCTGGTCACGGCTAGTCCCAATAAACATACCGTTCACTATCAGTAATAATGACAGGAAGGAGGTAACTATTGTCTAGACTACTTTTAGAGTTTTCTCAAGTACTCTTTTACTCACTCTCCGCTTATATACATGATTTTTTGTTTGCTTGCTTTTTAATATTCTACGTCTATAGAACAGGGATAACAGTAGTATCATTTCGTTGGAATCAAATAATAGTAAAAAAGCACAAGCCAACATTTTAAGAACAAAATCAAGTCGTTTATTTTCATCTATTGGGAGAAAGGCTTCAATAAAACCACCCAAAAGCAACTCAAGTCAAAGGACACCCTCAATACGTTCATTTGAAAAGGTATATTACATTGTGAAATATTGCCAGTTTGCTTGTTTATATACTCATAGCCATTCTTTGTAGATTGATAGCGGTATCAAGATTTTTAGCATGAGAAAGGCTGCCAAATAATAATGAGCTCCTTAGCTGATGCCCAACCTCAACTTACAGCACACCCTAAATATTTAATATATACTTCAAAATCATCATGCACCATATTTCGATAGATTACCATTTTACTCATAAAATGCATATAAGCCTTCTAAACTCATGTGTACAGTGGAACAAAATCGCAGTTTATTTTATCAAGCTAGTGAGATGGGATATATACATACATATAATGAAAGGTAAAGAAAAAGAAAGATATAATTCATGAGATAATCAAAAAGAGCATGTTGTTGTTGATGGAGTTTATGTGGGGATTTCAGGATGTAAGAATCTTGTTGTGTGTATGAGAAAACTTCTACTGATTAACGTCTAATTAAATTAAGGAATTCCTCTCTTGTTCGCGGGCTACTACGGAAGACGCCCAACATACAACTCGTGATAGTTGAGCTTCCAGGTTTCTATTATTTTTATAAAAAAGAACAAGTCAGTATGTTCTTCACTGAGCCACGTTTCATTTTCTTCCATCATTTACCTGCACACCTCTACAGAATAAAATAGAAAGTCCCGTGGGAAACAGTTAGTGTTACAATACTAAAAAAGTCAATTATGTCAACTTGTGATCCTTTACCTTGAACACATGCACAGGTGAGAGCATTCCATGACAACAGCAGCACCCTGAGGTTGAAGGATTTCCATCAGTGCTGTAGCAATTTGCTTTGTCATACGTTCCTGAACTTGGAGTCTTAAATTTTTTTATTTCAGTTTTGCTGGTCCACACGAAAACCAATCAGAACAAATGTGGGCTTACCTTCTTGCAAACATTTCCGCAATTCTCGCTAGTTTACTTAAGCCTACAACACGACGATTGGGTATATATGCAATATGAATCTTACCCATAAAGGGAACCATATGATGCTCACAAAGTGAAAATACGTCAACATCTTTAACAAGAACCATTTCATCATGATCTATGTTTCATTTTTTCAGTGACCTGATTGCCAAACAATTCTTCTTTCTTTACTAGCATTCTATTCTTACCCTCTTCAAACACAGCATCATTAATCACCTCTATATCGAATGGTATCATCCTGCTTTAGTCGTTACTCTCATGTACACATTTTATCTATTAATAGCGTTACCATGAATATTTCTTTCATATCCTTGGGTGAAAAACATTAGCGCTTTAGCATAGCGTTCTGGAGTTTTAAGTAACCCTTCTCTTTCAGGGTCTTCGCCAATGCATGTCAAAATTGTTTTTACTGCATCTGCTATTTTATTTTCCCGTTCCACTCGTTGCTCTGGTGTTTCATCACGACGTTTACGAGCACCTAGACCTATAGATTGAGCAGCCATCCATGTCATTACAAATTATTTGTCATTTATTCAATAGGTTATTATTGAATTGAATAAAGTAAAACCTACTTGGCCAACTCATGCCATCATCTTCTACAGGTGTGGCAATTCGACGTGGGTTCAATGCTTCTTCTTCCATAGTTTATAATTATTATGCTTTGCCGAGAGTAGGAGAAAAAAGAGAGAAAAAAGAAGGTAGAAGCTTAGAGCCTGATCCCATAGCAAGTTCAAGGATAGGTAAATTTTTATCATCCGAAACTCGTGACTGAAAGATATTTCCATCAAGCGGGCTTTTTATGATTCAACACACAATTGCCCTTTTCATCAAGAAACTGTCATTGGATGCCACTCTATTTTCAAGATTAGATCCTCCTCTTTAATTCGGTGTCCTTCAAGAATAAAAATCAGCTGAGATTCTTCTAATAACATATAGATTTGACGAAGAGTAACCCTTCAAACGTCCTTAGACAGTGCATGTTGATATCATTTTGTCAGTTCGTACATATTGATACTCTTTTAACAATGACACTTTAATTGAGGTATTTCTGGTCACTACATTATCCAAAATATGTTTCATTTTGTAGAACACTATTAGAATAAATTTGAACCAGTAGACATAGAGCGTCTCCACTAGGATGAACCATAGAGACTCAACTATTCGGATGTATCATTCTGTTGATGCGATATATATGACTTAATAGCGGCTTTAAGAATTAGGCTGGACTATTCTTCTGGCTCGTCAATAATCTTGTTAATTTTCAAACTGTTTAGTTTACTGGGCAATTCGAAATATTAATCAGTAGCATTGGCCATACTTTGTGTCTGTCTACGAATAGACAAGTAGTCATAACTCCAGACATCAACTTGTGTTTTGCGGACTGACTAGATTATACTTTGTTCCAAATCTGGCTCTAATATCAACGGTGAACTGTTTTCTTCACCATATACTTGTTATAACAAATTGGTTAGATTTGTCTAAAATTGTTTTACAATGAATTACATACGAAATGTATTACTATTTGATCTTAAGCCCTTTTGGAAACAATGCTGTTAGTCAACAATCAATGCTAATTGTCTATAAAAATCTGTAGAGTGGGGAATTATATTTAACTAACAAAATTATTGTCTTGTTTGATTCTACATCCCGACTAGCGCGCAACGTTGAAGTTTAAGGACTACAGGGTCAATATTGAAAGTTTAAGATGGTACTGGTGATGCTTATTAATTCTTATAAACAATTTTGACGCGGTCACTATCTGCAGTCTAATGGTTCAAGCAAGCATTACATGTGCCATCATAAATGCAAATTCGTTAGTACGAAAAATTCAATTATCTGTACTAGAAGGATAAATGTTATGCAGTGAATCTACTTAAAAAAATAGCTTTGCTTGTGAAACGACTTTGTATAGTTTACTTCTGAAGCCGTATGTACAATTATCAAATGCTGAGATGGCAATAAATAAAATGATCTACGCAGGTGATAAAACATGTATAATATGCCAATTACAAATAATGCATTAATGAAGCAATATGCTATTTTCCCAACGACCAGATCTTCCAAAAAGCAGTGTTAAAGCTAAGGCTAAGTCAACTTCCGCCTAAATGCAACCAAAATTTTCATTGAACTATTTGCAAAACAAAAAAAAAAGCAAGCAAATGCTGAAGTTTGCTATCAACATTTTATAAAACTTTTTGTGGTTCCTTAAAATGCCGTACAAAAAGATTAAGCAAACGAACGTGTATTTGTTGAAAGACGCTGTAACTTTTCAAAGGTTCCATTGTTGATTACGTTCACTGATGCTTGAATAAGTTTTATAGTATTCTGCTGTGCACACTTTGCATATGTTGTGAGTAATAACACTGCTACTTCATTTGTTGAATATATAACTGATGATAAATGCATTCAAGGGACAACAACATAAACAATGTTTTCAATGATAGCTGCACTTTCATGGTGGTGAATGAAAGAAGAAACAACAAATGGATAAAATTCAAAGAAAAATAGAAAGCCCAATCGAAGAATTTATTTTTTGAGGCCTATGTGTATAGTGACGTATGTACGGATAGACCGATTGTTAACGCGATTGTCAGATATGTGCATTTACTCCAGCTCATGAAAAGTCAAGATTTGTATCGTTGGAAACATGCGGGATGTGTATAAAACCTTCAAGAGATCCCCTTCTACATCTATAAATATCATACATTGTTATACATATAATTGTCTACCAAGGATGCGGGCCCCGTAGCTCACAAAAAATTATCCTGTAAGAAAATGACCGATGTCTAATACATTTTACTTGTCTGTTACTCTGAATTTCCACCTCACTAGTCATTTCCTGCATATTGGGGCTACCTTCCTGTTTCAAAATGACCAGAAAAGGAAATCTAAAGCTTAACTTGTGAATTGATCCTTCGAGTTGAAATTTCAATCTGAACATTTAATATAGGACAGTCTAATGAAAAAAATAGAGACACTATACAATCGGAATCAAGTTTAACATTTCCATGAAGTGGATACTAGTACAAACTACAGCTTTGAGCGAATACTCGATCATTTCTTCGTTGAGAGTAAATAGCTAATCTTCTTGTGTTCAAAAATTGCATACATTCTTTGCTTAACCCGAATTATAAATCAACCAGAAGGTTTAGATTTAAATTGATTTTCCAAGCTAGAAATGAAAGTTCATATTCATTTTTTCCCCTTCTTTTCCAGATCAGCGTTAAAATCATCACATTTAATAACAATATGCCTGATACAACTGTAGACCAGCCAGTAGAATACCCTTTAGAAGATGTCGATGAAAAAGTCATAACCGAAAGCGAGGAGACAATAGATCTTGCGGAAGAAGAAGTCAGCAACAATTATTCAAGAAATGAGCCAGCTATTACGGTCGAGGAAAATGTATTAATTACGTCAATGACATTGATTCACGTGGAAGACGCAATAAATGTGGATAACACTATAAATGAGGATAGTGTCTTGGCAAATAATAATTCAGAAGCTATTGAAACAAATATTGCTAGTGTTAGAGCAGTTGAGAAGGCTGCTTCACCTGTATCAGAAGACGATATACCTCAACGATTACATCGTAGGTCTGCCAGTGGGGATGTGTCATTATTATCTAAATCTTCTAGAGATGACGAGAAGAAAGCCGCAGATATCAATGTCAAATTCAGTCCAGTTACGGAAGAGGAGAATAAAATTGTTAATGCGAATTTAGACGAAGTCGTGCTCAGTATTATTGATAACAATGAGGAAATACAATCGAGTCGGGAAATTTATAACGAAAGGAACGTTACTCACAGTCCTTACACAACAAGTAAAGAAGCCGAGCTTAATCTTGACACTAATGATGACGATAGTAACAGTTACAACCCAATAATTGATAATGTAGAAATAGTCAATCATGATCATTTTGCTCATATTGAGAAGAGTCTTATGTTCAGTAGTCCTGATGTCAACAATGAAGACGAAACTGATATTAATCCTAACCTCACCGATCATAATGGAGACATTATTGACCTTGATTCTGCGAAGATTAATGAAGAAAACAATGTCCTTAACCCTGCTATAGAAATTGGAGAAAAAACCAAGCCTAACACGGTTATTTGTATCAAAGGTGACGAAAGGTTTACACCTGTCAATATTATCAAGGAATGTGTTGAACCTGTTGCTATTTCTAATGGTAGAAAGAAAGCTGAGCTCAACCCAACAATTGATATCCTGAGAAAAGATGCGGCAGGTCTGCACATCAATATTGAGGAAAAGGCAAAACTTAGCCCTACTCTTACTACTGAAGGAAAAGCCATACACATTTGTGCTATTGATACTGAAGGACCACCTACTCTCAACTTAGTAGTTGATAAAGAAGTAGATCTCAATCCTGTTACTTTTTCCAGGAAAAAAGCCAACTTAAGCACTGTTACCGACATTGACGAAATTGTTGACGATATACAACTTCCTGTTGCTGATAGTCAAGAAAAGATTAACTTTAAACTAATTAATGGAGAAACAAAGGAAGCCAAGCCTGACTTACCGCATAGCAGCGAAGAAAAGTACAATTTGGGCGTTGTTGAAGATAACGAAAACTGTGTCAAACTTCAGCCTGCTACTGAAAATGTAGAGAAAACACCCATACCATCGCCTGTTAATGTCAAGAAAGGGTTAAGACTTATTAATCGAGACATAAGCATTTCATCTATTTTCAGTCTTTGTAGACAAACGCGATCAGCTAGGTATATAGAAAAGGAGAGCCAGAAAGAAAAGTCAAAGAAGAGAAAATATGGATCCAAGCGATATTTATCAGTCGTAACAGCAGTCATTATGAAATATTTCGCAGCGACTAGAAGAGACTCCATCATACTGGTATCATCATCGTCATCAGCTAAATCATCCTTGAATAGTGATACCGTTTCAGAAGCATTATTAAAAAGATTACAGGAAGAAGATGACAAAAGAAACCACATTTCTATACGTTGGAAACTGTATCTCGCCCAACAACGACGAACACGTTCTGATACAGCACTATGGAATAAAAAGGACCCAATGTGGGATACGATGCGCGAATACTGGCAAGAGTCGCGTTTCAGTGATATTTTTAACCGCAATAAGTTGGCCCACCGATCTGTACCTGGTCTCGAAACCGATGATGACTTGGGTAGAATACAAGTGCCTTACGAATACCCTTGGCGAGAACGTACACCCCAGCCGAGAGAGCGCTGGTGGGATGATGGCAAATTTCATGACTTTCCTTATGACCAATTCTCCCCTGCTCGTTCGCTCTGTTCGGAAGATAACCTACGGGCAAAATATACTTATGGGCGTTTCGATCAGCCTTTACGCAGTTACGCAGGTTCAACAGTTTCGGTAAAAGAGGTCACAAAAGAAGACAGAAAGTTGATGTACCTAGAGAATGCTATAAATGAATTGTATCAAACAGAAGACGCTTATAATCGACAACTTGAAGGTCTCTCTGAGGTAAATATCGAAAATTTCGCTTTTGTTTATTTATTTAAGAAGACTTCAGTATCTGTAAACCATTTATAATGTTGTTTCGATTTCTGTAGCATTATTTCAGACTGATGGAATCAGCAGGTATCGTAACAGACGAGATTCGTTCTGTTCTAATGCGTAACGGAAGAGAATTGTATCAATTCCATGAGGCCTTTAAGGAGGAGTTAGAAGCTGCAAGGACTACAGATGGCATAGGCTACTGTTGCTCTTATAAAAATTTGCTTAATATTGCAAAATGTTTAAAAAAATGGGTAAGAAACCAATCGGTTGTTAACAAGTATGAATTATTATTGACCTAATTTCCACAACACCAAAGGCACCGAAATTCGATATTTATGTAGACTTTTGTACTGGGCATGAAGCAGCCTTAAAATTAGTTGAACATCTCGAAAAGACCAATGATAGGTTCTTTACTACAATGTCTCAAATTCGACGATTTCAATGGGTAATTTACAACAACATCAAGGTTACCTTTGAGGATTATTTGCATTTTGTACGTTGACAGATTATCATCATTCATCACAGAAACAAAAGACAAATTCTTTTCTAACTCTTTACATATCCAGCCTTTTCAGCGCATTTGCCGTTATAACCTACTAATTACTGCTATCGCCAAGGGTATTGAGGATAAAACTTCGGAAGAATATCGTACACTTGAAGAAGCCAAAGCACTTTATCATCAAGTTCTCGTTCAAATAAACGAACGGAAAGCACAAATGCAAGCCGTAAAGAAAACAAAACTATTCATTTCCAGAATAGAACCAGATTGGCGCTTACCCTTTTTCTGGGCTGAAATGCTTGGCCCCTGTATCTTGATTGGAACGCTCGAGGTGCGTTATAACCAGGAAAGATGGGCCAAACGTAGGGGATGCGGCCTATTCAAGCAATATTGCATAATGGTAAAAGCGAAAGACGACGATAGATATGAGGGTACACATTGGTTTCCACTTCAAAAGTGTGAGATTGAAGACCACTCAGAACATAAAGGTAAATATAATCCACGTACAACTTTTCTAATGTATGTATCACTATTACATACTAATTTGTAGTGACCTCAACATATTATAGTTAGTTGGGTATTACGCTATAATGACCACAGATTCGAAATGAGCGCGCTCAGTGCATTAGAAAAAAATCTATGGATAACCACTCTGAAAAATGCAATAGCTGAGTCAAAACAACTGTGTCAGGAAGACCCAGCAGAGCGTCTGCTGGGAAATATCTTTATCTCCAATCTTGATCCGCAACCTTCTGACCCGCGAGAGCTAAAGTATAATGAAGGGCTATTTGCATTTGGAGCAGAGCAACCCTCAAATCGACAATCGATGGCTAGCACCGTTACATTTGCAACGGCTGTTTCGTGTTCAAATCTTCCCTCAAAGCGAAACAGTAAAACATCTATTTCCGATGTCAATTTACACGAATTGGGTCGAAGTGAAGCCAAAAATGTCAACACACGTAAACTTCCTTCTCGAAATAGCCGCCCTCATAGCATGGAAGATTTACAATTTTTTTTTTCCAATGCATCAGAGAGATTACCAAAAAGACCTGTTACCATTAGCAACAACCGACAGAAGGCATTTGAAGCAAAGTTTTCAGATGTTTGTTACACTCCTGTTCTGAAAGCTCGCATTGATTTCTCTGCTTTCAGTCCTGGAAATAGCAGACGGATGTCCATCATTAAAAATCCGGCTGATTTGTTCAAAAGACCAGTCTCTGAAATACTCTTATCTTATAATAATGTCAGGGACTCTTATTTACGACATTCGCGTTCACTTAATCTAGGGGAAGGCTCTTCCTCCAGTAAAACGGAAAATCAGTGTAATGATATCGATGATCGTACTAGCCTAAAAAGCCAGAATGATGGTAATGATAGCAAGACAACCTTTTTCGAAGTGCGACCTACAGTTTCACATCGTCGAGCTGATTTGGTGTTTAAGAATATAGCTCTACGTGCGAACACTTTATTCAGAAAGAAAGCTTTTAAAGACAAAAAGAAACACAAATAGCTCATAATTTGTAGATACTTCAACTATACCTTCATGCAGGAGTTCTGACTATTTAACTTTACCACTTCACAATCACTATGATCGTCGAAAACCATCATACCTTTTGATTTATTTGTATGCTTTTACTTGTCGAGTCACATTTTTTAATATCAGATGCCCAGTTATTCATCAATAACTGGGATTGTATGTTAGTTTCATTACTTAAAACGCAAAGTGTTAACCAATATAGAGACAATTTAGAATGGTGAGGTTTGGCGAGTGCTGTCCTTTCTATTTCACTGCTTTAACTTTTTTCCCCTTTTTAGAGCCAGTATTGCTTTTAATCGCTTCCTTGCTGCTGGAGACAACTTCTTCCGAAGCATCTTTATTGTTGTCTTCAAGCTCAAGATTCTTCTTTAAGGACTCAGGGGGAGATGGAAGAGGTGTAGTAGTGGAGTGAGTTGAAGCTACAGCAATTGGAGAAACGGAAAATGACCTCGTAACTCCTGTGGATTGCTCATTGAATTGAGGCTCGTGCTGACCAGCACTCAACTCCTCTTCAGAACCGGTTTTGTTAAGTTGGTCATTCTCACTGTCTTGATTGCTTCCCACTCTCTCTTGTAGTTCTTGATACGATAGTTGTGACTTATCATCAGCTTTCCTTTCATTGTTTTGCTCTAGTGTTGGAATCAGTTCTCGTTCCATTCTGATATCATCATTCACTTGTTCAATGTTACGAGAGGGATCATCAGTTTCTTTCAAGACACCGGTTAATTGTACTTGGCTTAGCTTTTCAAGATTGTCTTCATTCTCTTCATTTAGGAAGTCATTCATAGATAGTCTACCACTATCAGGTGTCGACCTGCCTGTCTGAGTATCACCTTCGTAGACAAGAGAACGAAGGTATTTTTCATTGGGGGTAGATTCAGGCGTACCAACGAAGCAATTTTTGTCATATCCGTCAGCAAACAAGGGCGTTTTGTGTGTATCAGCTTCTGTACGTAAAAGGGTATCGCTAACACCAATAGCATCCTCATTATTGTCAGGATTAATCAAGAAGTTCGATGATAATTCGTTTAAGGATAGTTCGTCTTGTAAATTCATTAAACCTTCAGATCTTTTCATGGTCCCTGTGAGGCCGTCAGAAAGAGATATTGTCATCATGTCACCTTGACTTCTACTTCTTCGGTAAGCTGGTGGTTTAGGAGATTTAACGCCATCAATCATTGAGGGTGAACGTTTGAATGGACTAGGCACAGCTTGATTCTTCAGTTCAGAAACAGTTTCCCGCAAATAGCTTAGTGCATCGTTAATTCCATATCTGCCTGTAACAGATCTTTTCGACTGCAATGAACTGAGCAAAAGCTCCATCTTGCGTTCCATAGCTTTTATATCCATAGAGCTCGAAGATTTTGACAAGTACCTTCCTTTCAAAGGCTGGTTATTGATTTGATGCCCTTTACCTTGAATAAGTAATTTATTCTTGTCCCTTAAGCGATAAAAGAAAGTGCCCTATGTTCAACAGATTAATGTATTATTGGCATAAGAATGAAGAATTTAACTTTATTAATTCATGTCAAAATGTAAATAGAAACTTACATCATACGCAGATTGTATGTCCTCCTTCGACATGATACCCTTATGGCCGGTAAAGAAATACAAAGCACATAGCTCTATCATTGAGGTGGTCCTATACACGTGTTATGGGGTGCCGTTAGACTTTTCAGACAACAGGATTTATATTTATACTTTCATCCAATATGGCTATATACCATGCTTTGAAATCCTTTCCTAAGTTGTTCTGCTCTTTTGTCATTCTCATAAGTTCAGTAATTGTAATAGTCTGTTGAGACTTGTCAGCTTTTGCATATTTATTGAAGAGCGCTTCAAACTTTTCAGGGTTAAAATTGCCAGCCAGATCATAGGCACCCGCATGTTGGTTTGCTTCTTTTGTATGAATTATATTTGCAACGCTAGACCTACATAATGGATCTGGGATCCAGCCGGGCTGTGTTGACACTGATAAAAACACACCTAAGACAGAGCCTACTGCGACACTGAACACAACGCCATAGCCTAATGTTATGAAACCTACAACATTAGGAATGTGGCGGATAAAAAGTCAGTTGCAACATCAATTAACTTAATTGTTTGTGGAATGACTCACCTGATATTGTATCAAGTGGGGTTATGTAGCCTTTGTTCGTTTTATCCCAAAAACCGGTATGCCTATGTATACTCTAGTGAAATATGTAAGAAAAATCTGTCACAAGAAAAGCCTTTATCTGTGACAAATCTATTCCTTTAAGACAATGCTTACCGTAGGTGCGGCCGAAGGCGCCAATAAGGACGAAAGTGGATATTGAGCTTCAACTGTAGTAGTGATTGGCAGCTCTTTAACTATATGGAAGTTATGAATACAAATATTAAGCTAATTATTAGTTTTTTAGCGATGTAAGAAAGATATTGGTGGCTCTTTTACCGAACTGTCTTTGACTCATTTAGAAGGATGAAAATTAGACCCTTATTTTGAAATTGATTTTGAGAAGGAAAAAGAGAAAGCGAAAGAAAGTTACTGATCTCATGCATATTTTCACAATGCAAATAAGGAGGTCGTTCCGAAGGCCTGCTATCAATGACTGTTATTCCTGTCACACTCATTCTTCTTTTGAATCAAGGCGTAAACATCAGTATATAGTGACATGTTAGCTACAGATGAAACATTCTCAGTAGGAACTCAAACAAACTCTAAGCAATGTTGCACTACATTTCATATGATTTTTAATGTGTTGTGAAAATGTTCGCAAACAGTAGAGGAGTTTCTTAATTATCGCGCCACAGCAGCACAGTTTGAAAATTTTGTCCTTTGCTCTGAAATCGACTGTTGCTATTGAGCATTACTTTTGTCCTTCAAGAGAAACGGTTTCTCCTTATCTCATTGACATAAAAATACATATAAATATTTGTTTAAAGTAAGCTATTAGCAAGGACTTTGCTTTTTGCCATATTATTCAAACTACAAGAGTAAGAAAACAATAAAATAGAAGTTCTGCATCATAGGCTTTGCTCTTCGCTCATCTACAACGGTTCCTCTTCATTTCATAAAACAAATTATTTATTGTTGGAGTGCTAGAAATAGTATATCGATTGCCAATTGAAATCTATATACTATTTAAAAAAACAAAATTCCAATTGTTGACAAGTTATCGCCTGTAACAATTCTGTATAGTTTTTGGGTCTTGATTTGTTGATTTATACGCGCAGTAGTACAGAGTTGCAGCGTACTTTTGCCTCGAAAAGATATCCTCTCGGTCGGTATCCAGTAGAGGAGTATAAAATTTTTGTTTCACAATTGAACAACAAAGAGCATGAATTTCTTGGACATTTGTTTAAATATCATCGTTCTAAGTTACTAGCAGTGCTGTTTGTGTAGATAATCCCATTGAATCATTGTTTGAAAGCCTTTGGTAGTGATGGAGATTCTTCTCCGTTTGGCTCACAGCACTAACATATGAATCTGTTTTCAATTAAAGACTCATTCTGCATTTGATTCACCGGTTTCTCAAAAGTGAAAAAAGTCAAGGGACAGGACAGTCTTGCTCATCCAAGGAAATGACATTGGAGCATCGTTATGTTTTAATCGTTGGTGAAGTTGAGCATATTTGGTACATCTCTTTTTAAGATGGAGACAGGATAAAGATATTTTGTTTGTTGAGTCTGTCCCTTTCGGAGGTAAACCGATTATTGTTATTGCTGATGTCAACTAGCTTTCTGTTGTTGGGTCATAATTAAGGGTTCTTACAAGTGGACTGACGATCCTTATGTTAATTTTCAGGTTTATTTGGGGAAAGAGATGGTTGGAAGTATGCAAACTCGAAGGGAATATGAGGCAAAGAGACAATTTTACTCTTGCTGCAATAGTTCTATCAAATAATCTTAAGTAAAGTTTCTATCAGTGCGGATGAAATTGCTTCTTTAAGAAGTAATAGTATTGCATTTCCTCTGCTGCGTTCTGGAAGCATTAATTGCAACAAAGCACAATCAATTTGTTTATTTCATAAAAAAAAAAATGAATACAGACAACTAAAGCTACTATAATAACTAGCTTTGATACAGTAAGATGGTATCGGTAGCCAAGCTGCCATTCCAATGCAGTAGAAGAAATCAGGCAATGATTTCACAATTCACTGGGACAGTATGAGCCCTCTTAAAACTATTAACATGCAGTTGATGCTCAATAATTAACAATGATATTGACGATGGGCCTGTGTTTTGGTATGGTGATAAATCCAAAATCGAAAGATAGCACCTCCAATCTTTTCCTCTTCTCAATCCAATGTAGACACTCCAAAGCTCACTCGACTTTGTTGTCTCAAGTTATTGTGTAGCATGTAACAGACCTAAGATTGCTATAACCATAGGAGATTTACTGCAGAGCAAACACATAGTTTATCAACCTAGGCAGTCTTCCTCTGTATGTTAGATCACATAGCTACTTAGAGGTTGCCTCGTCGAAGTTCAATGTAAATGCTGGTTATGCTTTACGTCATGAATCAGTTTGGAACTTTAAAATAACTTTCGTCTGATAATGAAGTAAACACAATTCGCTTCAAGGCAGCACCGTAGCAATACATCTATAGGGAAACGAGAAATAGATTTCTCTTGAACAAGGTAATTTTCGATAATGACCATAAATTTCTTAACAAATGGATAAAACGGACAAAATTTACTAATCGCACTGTACATTAATCGACACATGCATGTGCGTATCATTTTTAAGAAAGTATTTTAAGGTTGCAGAGTTATCAACCTTAAGTGACAACCACCTCATATCTCACAGTTTCCTTTGCAAATTGTTGTACGTCTTTCATAATTATTATCAGCTGCTACCAGCATTTAAGTAAACTTATATTGATCGAAATGAGCTTGTTTGTGTGTTTTATTCTGGCTTCATCTTAATGAGTAAGTTTTCTCAGTTGAATAAACGAGCTGAACAACATGTTCTTTTTTTTCCTTTTTTTTTTACAACAAATTACACATCTTGGACTTCTTCTTCTTAGTCACCATCAAAGCAGCACGTGTTGCTTGCTCGAATACTTCACGAACACCTTCTCCTGATTTTGCGGAGCATTCTAAATATTTATAAGCACTGATCTTATTAGCAACTTGCGCACCTTCTTCATAGGTAACTGGTCTTTGAGAATTCTTTCTCAACTCCTCAATTGTAGCGGGGTCGTTGCGTAAATCTTTCTTACAACCAACTAGAATGATAGGAAGACCTTGACAGAAATGAAGCACTTCAGATATCCACTAATAGATACCATCATTTGAATTGTTAGTTTATCTGTGAACATGATTAAAGTTTTTGTGTCTCCCATTTGTTTCTAATCGTCGTTCAACAGAGATGAGTTTGCATACATAGATTACACTTTACCTTCTCTTGCACATTTTCTAACGAATCAGGTGAATCGACAGCAAAACAAATTAGGATAACGTGTGAATCAGGATAAGAGAGAGGACGAAGACGGTCATAATCTTCTTGACCTATATTATAGAGTTTATTTCATTATGTCGACAGCATACTAATAGAGTTGAGAGGCTATGTTTCGTTTGAATTACCTGCAGTATCCCACAATGCTAGTTCGACATGTTTTCCATCTACTTCCACATCAGCAACATAGTTTTCAAAAACGGTAGGTACATAGAACTAAAAATTTGTTTACATTAAAGAGTTAGCTAAATAACGTTGTTTCCACCGAGATAGAACCCTAAACACAATGTCTTTTCTGTTTGATGACGTTATATACATACTTCTGGGAAAGTACCCTTCGAGAACACGATCAATAAACAGGTTTTACCACAGGCACCATCGCCAACAATAACTAATTTTCTTCTGATTTCAGCAGACATGTTAGTTTGTGTAGTGACAGAATCCTTTACTTTTTAACTTTTGTTATTAAGAAAGGAAAATAAAGTGATGAGCTAAATAAGTTTTTCGACGCCCTTAATTTTTTGTTAATAATATTTGTGTGTGTGTGAGAGAGCTCTAAAGTCAATTAAGGCGCTATGAAGGAGTGTCTATCAAAGAGTTTTTATTGGCTGGAAGATGTTTAGAGAATGCTGATTTCGAATGTTAAAGATTTGACAGATAAAACAAAACAAAAAAAAAGCTAAGCTTTTTGCTAGAAAGTATGATTACAAGCTGTTGCTATAAACAACTTACCATTGCCTTCCTTCTATTATTCAGGCAAAGACAAATCTCCATGAGACAGTCTTTACAGAATATTAAATTACTTTCTTATAGAAATAGCATTTTCTTGTAAAGTTCAGCTACCACCCAGCAGTTGAGACTATTACCCAACAGCCTATATCGTTGTATTCGAGTTACTTCATCAGGAAACTCTAGGTAAGGTTTACAAGTTGGGGGAATAAAGGGATCATAGTCATCCTTTTGATCGTAGCTATTTGTCAATGGACCCTTACTATCCTCAAATCTCAGTAAGTCATGTAGCTGATATTCAGGTCCGGGAAATGCATGCAGACGGGATATTTCCGTTGGAGTGAGGAATCTTAAGCCGAAACTCAACAAGGACTGGGTATCGCCCCAATCATAGTCAGTATCCTATGGTAGACAATATAGTAGCAAACGGTTCAATGAGTGTAACATTCCAAACAAGTAGTAGATTATAGTCTTCCGACTTACTTCCAAACGCTTTGTTTGCACTAACGATCCACTTGTCTGTATATGGTGAGATCCATAAGCCTAAATGCGAGGTTATAATCGATTTGAGAAATTATTTGAAAAGTGATGCATAAAGAAAGTTTAAAGCTTACTTTTGTAATGCACGATGTAGAGGTACTTGACGGACGAACTATATCTAAACGGAAATGGTATAATCGTAAAATATATTTTTCAGGTACAAGGGATTTTTTAACAGCATTTTCGTCCTTCTCGAGAAAATAATCTAATCCAATCTCTTCTCTCGGCTTGAGTTCGGTATTAGTGGATTTCTGATCGGGTGGCCATGCTCGAATGATTGTACTAGACCGTTGAGGCCAAGAGTCAGCTTTAGCATCACCCTCTTTCCGTTTATTTCTTCTGCGGGCAGTCAGATAATATCTTAATCGATGATTGGGTATACCAAATTGTATAGGTGACAGCAAAAATTCTTTTACTTCGTATCCTAAAATTTCCAACTGCTCAAGCAACAAATCTCTGCTTTGCGATGACTATGTGCGATGCGAAGTTTTAGTATTCCTTCACTTATTGATTGCAGAAATAAGGTCGTCTAACAAAACTTTTACCTCAAAATTTTTGACGTTTTCCAGAAAGATATAGTCTGGGTGAACGGTTAATTTTGGTAGCAGATCGATTAGATGAAGTAATGGTTTTGCTCGATTATCTTCTATATCCAGCTGGCGACCACCTGTAGTATAAGGTTGACAAGGCGGGCTTAATAACCAACATTCTGCTCTGCAAGAATCAATATCTTTTATGCTTAATTGATCGATCGTTTTCTAATAACAATAAAAAAAAGGCGTTACAATAAGGTCAGTTGTTATTCTGAAGAAATCAAAGGAATCGAAATAGTATACATTTGAAGGAGCTAAACCAAAATTGTATTCATAGACTTTGTTAGCAATTGAATTGACATCGAATGCACGAATTACCTCCGCATTGAGGTTGGCTATTTTCAATGCATAATGCTAGAAATTTTGGTATCCTTTAGTTGTCAAGATGTATCCAAAAAAAGTCAATTGTGCAATCAAAAGTACCAGACCACCTATTCCACTAAAAAATTCTAAACAACGGATAGGATCATCTGCCATATTATATGTTGTGAAATGAGCGCAGTGGTAATATCTTTGGGAAACTTGCAATCAAATATCTCCAATGTTCGGAGTTTTGATTCAAGGAAGATCAGGTGAGCAGAAAAAAGACTGTTCCCCACTTCGATTACTTTTCGCTCTTCATAGAGTCTAAACCGCTCTTTGACTATGATGCTCAAGCAATTTAACTATGCCCGAGCAGTTAAGGCGCACCTGAAGATATTGTTACTTTATGATGATGGCCTCTACCCGATTGACAACTTCCAGTGAGACTTTAACAAATTATTTGGAGTTTTTTATTATTAAAAATGTATCCACAGTCCAAGCAGAGTCTTGCAGTCTCGTATATTTCATTCCGTCCGCTCCCCTGCAGCCTTCTTGTCCGATATTTGGGCTGTTGGTAACAAATCAGCGATCAATAAGCAATGCTCATTTTTCGTGTCGTATCTGAGGCACGATGGCAATACATTATATGAGCAAATCACTCACTTGAAACGTCTAACGAAATGTAAAAAGTAAAACTTGATCTCAGATATGAGTACTGCTCATATCTTCGTTCCCGTTTGGTAAGCGGTATGTTCGATTCCATACATTTGAACCTTAGATCAAATATATAATAAATAAAGATAAAATAAGAAAAGAATATGGATTAAGGATAATTCTTATGTGAGATTAGCTACCTCATATAAGAACTGAACAGGCTATCATTAATGAAGTATATTTTACTTACATTATCTATAGCTATATGACATCTAGGTATAGCAGGATTGGTATATGTACTCGTAGGAATATTGATCCAACAACCAGAATATAGTAGGTCGCGGTACTGCTCCCTGTTCTGGAAATGAAGTGTGGTTGGAGATAAAAAGGCTCAATTACTCTTTATTAACACAACAACTGTTCACGTAATCAAAAGAACACCGCGCACGAATATATCTTCCTAGCTAACATCTATAATCATTCTCACAATATCTGAGCTACACAACTGGTGGCCGATAGATATTGGATTATAGATGTAGCTGCATGATTACCCTGGATCTGCCAGGATAGCACACTACAGATCAATCCGCTCTGGGATGGATGAGTAATTACCCACCTAAAGGGAAGATTTATTCTTTTACGGAAACTTCTGATTCACTGAGTATCATATGACCACAATACATCAGTGTCAGCTATAGATCCCAATACACTCATTTTTACTAATAGCAGTAATCACTAAATTTCTTTTCTTTTTCTTAGTTTGTTTTGGAAAAGAGGGATAAAGACGGTGGTTTGATTTCGTTAAGCTTTCGTGTTTACTTTCTACTAGTGTTCTTCTTTTATGTTTAATCCTTAGTTAAAATCAGCGAACACCACAGATACAATTGTAATTACCCATCTTCTGTCCCTGAAATCACGACGCTGGCATATGTGGATGATATGTGCGTTATCCTTACTAATCGTCCAGACTATCGTCAACTTTAATATCATATGGATAGATATGCCGCTACCTCAAATGCTTGGTTCAGTACGAACATAACTTGACTGATCTTGCCTAGTGGTAAACCTTGGCAACTGAATGAAACCTGGCACTGCTAGCTGACAATATTACGACAGTGTTCAATAATCAATCTCCAAAGCCATTTCGCTACCTAGGATATCATTTCCTTTTTAAAGAAGCACAGCAAATGTTTCTTATAAAGCACTAATCTTAATAAGCCTAAACAGCAAATCGCCTAGTACTTTCAACGCAATGTGTCTATTCGGGGGTGTGCTATCGTTTCAAACACACTCATAGGGACAAATTATAGCACACTTCGACTGTTCAATCCAACAAAACATTTCTCACCTTCGTGCAGCAATGTATCTATCAAATTTTAGCAAAAAGATTGTCTACCACTCTCCTATCAGCAGCTAGGCCGTCCTCTTCACCGCAATGGTTCATGTGTTTCATACCCACGGCCTCATCACTTAGTTCTACAAAAACCTCATCTTAAACGCATATTGATGACAGAGGCTATTCCTTGATTCGCCCAGTCGTATACACCTTTTCTTCACTCTAACAGCCGGACACCAGTCTAGCCACTATATCCTTCTTTCTTATTGAATACCGCAACAAGTTTTCACATACACCCCACTTTAATTTTCTTATATTATATACGGCCTTCGACCATTTTAACCTTGAAAGCAATTTCAATACGTTTCTCTAACTATACTCGTTCATCTACCATTCGAATACTTTATCATATCGATCAAAACAAACCATTGAATCTATCGACGTCCAATAATGCCTGCTCACCATCTTTTACATATGACACCTATCAACGCCGTCTGCCTCCAAAATTTTCATGAATATCACCAATCCCACAACTTAGAAAGACGTCTTTACCAAGATATACCTGTTCATCGACAAACTCATTTACAACATTTCTTCTGGCAATATATTCTGCAAGATTTTAATAACCACATTCATGCACCCGAGACTAGTTTACATCATCTACAAATCTCACCTTTATGAGCTTGTTGCGATTCAGTCAGCTCCAAAACACACAAATATGCTTCTCATATCTCCAGCTTTTCATCATTTTCTTGGAAGCCTTTCAATAATTTTGCCAGCTCGAACATATGGTACCGTGTTTTCACGATAAATTACCTCACAGGTTGTATCAATCACTGACACAGCCTCTGCCTCTTGTGCCTCCATTCATTGAACGTCTGAACATTCTATTCTCACATGCCCACTCAAGAGCACCGTTTGGGCCTCAATCCTAGCGACCTATTATCCTTGGTTTACTTTTGATATTCCTAGTCTCTTGCTGGATCTTAAGCGTCTAATTTTTAATTCGGCGATTCCACGATCCGCATATGCCACCTTTATTATCATTCTTTGGTTAATCCAGTACCACCTCTGGAGGGTTTATTGGTCTCTTCACTCCGTCAACGTTCCCTTCCAAACAACACTTATTGAATGTTATCCAAGTTGACATTCACAGGCTATTCCCCTCCACAAACGGGTGAGTATATAGTATATAACCTGCACCAAGACAAACCCGTATGCTAGCTTACATTAGTATCCTAGACTCTATCTCTCAATTCTCATCTCAAATCAATTGTTTATGCAAGTGATATTCATGTATACTTATCCTACTTTCTGTAATCCCATCCCTTAGTGGAAAAAACTGACATGGAACTTCTAATTAAAACCAGTAAAACTCAGTTTTACCTCTACCAAAAAAAAAAAGACAAAAGACATGCTGTTACAGTGGAGTAAGGTCTAGTGTTTTATGGAAGAACTGATTGACGAACTTATGACTGGTATAAGCAACTACCAATATCGGTACAACCGTTCCAATGTGTGAGAGCGGGTTTTGACCTCGCCTACATAAATAAACTATATGAACGAAACTGGATATGGGGGGGTATAGTATCGAATTAATGGCATAACTAGTCGTACGGAATAATAGAACTCAGATTGCCCACATCTATATGAATGAAGATCGAATAAATTAAGAGAGCTTTTCATCCTTACTTTCCATATTTAAAGTTTTTAAGAAAGCTATGAGAGAGATATCCTATAATCAATTGACCTTCGATCGTTTTTAAAATAAATACGGGCTAGTAAAATTTCCCAAAAGCGGCTTTGATTTGTCCAAAAAGAAGTTTTTGTGCCTGAGTTTCTTTTTTCTTTTTCTTTTTAAAAAAAAAATAGGGGCAGTTTTGTACCTGAAGGTGATTTCAATGCATACAATGGACGGTTTGCCTCATCCAATGGGCGGTTTTGATTTTTCGTAGTTTAGAACTATAAAGCATTTTGTCACGAAATAACTGTCGTTGGTCATTCTTTTTTGTTAGCAATTTTATACGTTTCCATGTCGATTGATACTTCGTACGCAGATTATAAAATAAATACTTGTTGTATATTGAGGCATAAGTCCGTATATAGATATTGACAGAGACAAATAAAGCCTGTAATACTTTCTATGTGACTATCCCATAATATGACATTAGTCTCTTCTGGTACTTAATCATTCACTGTTGAGATTACATATGGATAAATGATATATTCTTTATTGTCTGTGCATTATGAGATAATATTATTATAATAATAGAGTCCAATGCTATAGCATATTCCATACATATTTTTAACCTAAGCCAGATAATATTAAGATAGATCCAATGGACATAATAGACTGAGGTATTCATGATATGAATGGCGCAGCAGAGACCTGAAGGTCGGATAAAAGATCTCTGGCTCAGCAACACCACTTGTATCAGGTATAGGCCCAGACATTATCCAGAAAGATCATGTCTATTCCAGCAATTTTCATATTCTCTTGACGTATCTATATCCGCCTATGAACATCCAATTGTATTCTTTCACATAGCCATATCAACTGATATCAATGATATGGATGATTAAACATGTCTCATGTTACTGTTCTGATTTCCTAGAAATTTCCAAGCAAGCAATTCTAGAACTCCGCAAGGCACATTTCATTCTCAGATCAAGTTCCTGAAAAGTATAAATATGATCCCAAGTTGAAGTGTAGAACGAGTCTTTGTCTTATTTTTTATCTTTTTATCTTAATTGACTCTTAATAAACCTACCACAAGTTTTCACAGACTTTCTCTTTGTCTTTCTATTTTTTTTACTATTATATTTTACCCGTACACAACAATACTACACTTACTAAGGGTTCCAAAACATTCTTTAGCAACTATGCTACAAAAGAATGGAACTTTTATAATTACTTTAGCTCAACGCATAATGACCTACAAAGGTTGGCTAACGTGAACAAAATCCAGTATGCTTACCGAAATGATCTTAAATGGCTTGCCGGTTTATAGTCAATCCCAACCAAAGTACAGGAATACGTCGCTTCTTTACAAAAGGAAAACTTACCAGCAAAAAAAGAGATAAAAGCCCATCTTTCTAAACCACACAAAAAAAGAAAAAGAAACAATAATCAAAACATAAAGATAACTGGTAATCATAATATAACTATTGTCGGTAATAACAATACCATCAAGGAGAATAAGTTACCAGAAAGTGAAGACGCAACTGCTGAAGACGATCCTGAGAAAGACGAAATCTCAAACCGCTTTATAAAACACTGGATCGAGTTTATGAAACATAGAACTGATGCTCATCCCTACAGCACTGAGTCTCACGGGATTATTCGATGTGGAAAAGGGGTGGATGCAAGCCCAAATTTAAACAAAGAGATATATAATGAACACGTCGAAAATCATGGTAGGCAAGTGCTCCCAATCCCTGAAGCGTGCCTAGCATACTTAAACGGAGTAATAGATAGCGTAAGTAAATTTAACAAATGTATAGATGCAATGGCGTTTTTAACCTGTTCATGAACAATATAGAAAACTTTGAAAGATTTCCGAAAAGCCTTGAGCAGTTATCCTGAAGCAAATGATGATGAAGAACGTACTTTGCAGTTTCTGGAAGAAATCTTGCGAGCTTGGTAAGTTGTCCTCTTTTCGTATTATTTAATAATTGATCTATGATTAACTAAAAACAAATTGAAGCTTGAAGTTTTATTCGACAAGGTTGAATATTGAAGATGGTGAAGCTGTTTTTGACTCCTTGTTCATTTATCCTTTTGTCAAAGCGGTAGCAGATGCTATTGCCGACGAAAGCGCTGATTCTGGTGCAGATTTCCGCCCTGGCGAAGCTGTACTGAAGTCTATGTCCAACCAGTTGAAGAAGTCTGACATCTTCAAAAATGATCGATGCAGCTATCTGGCTGATGGTATTGTAAAACTGTATGGATTGAAGGAGATTGAAATCCTTTTGTTAGAAACATCATGGCATTTCAATTGTACAGACAAATCAAAGCATAGCTTTGACCATCATAAGGGTGTCTTTGGCAGCCTTGCCATGCTGAAAAACATAGCCGATGACTTTCGGAGACCTGCATACGTTTTCAACAGTTAAAGTATTTTTCTTGCATGCTGCGGGTAAGATGCAACTTTTCCTTTAAATTTTAGATAATAGACTTATTTTACAGTAACATTTCTAGGAGACACATCGTATTTATGGTCTGTTCGTTTCGTGCAAGACGGTGGTTTTTATGAACTTTGGCTGGAACATCGACTACAGATAAAACCCAGCATAGATGACAAGCTTGAAAACCTGCTCACCTTTGTCATTTTCTTCTGGGACATGAAAGCAAGTATTCTTTCTCACTGTTCTTTCAAAGTATTTGTTCACTTATTTCCGTTTTCCTTTTGATAACAGTGTTTAATTTGTGATTCCAGAAGAAATATTGTAAAGCTAAAGGAGGAACACAATGCTGCTCTCGTAAATCCCCGTTTCAAGTCCTTAGTAAAGCACACAATATTATTTTCCTTAAGCCTGCCTTCCTCGCAGCTCTTGCGGGAAGCGGCTGCCTTCGACTAATTACCCGTCATAGAGCTTGTCTTTTCCTCTCCATGTCCCACCCCTCAGCGATGTGTGACTAATTTATTATTTTTGGATAAAGTAATCTACAAAAAAAAAAAAAACAAAAAAAACAACAAAAAAAAACCGCCAAAAGTCGTATTTACACATGCTATGCAATAATCTGGTTCTTTGTTTATCTATGATCCAATAACGAAATCAAGTGATGAGAGGTCTCATTCTCAAAGATGCTGATAGTTCCCTTAATGATTACCTGTATTTCATTGTTCAGATATCCTTAAAAAAGATTGTAAATAAAAAAAAAGTATAATTCTAAATTCAAGATTAATCAAGATAATTAGTTGTTATAAAATACTTCAAAAATCTTACTTTATTACAAGCGTCAAGGCCTTATCAAGTATAAAGAGCTCGGTGATACTTCCGCAAATAGTAGCTGAACTTCTAATATATATACAGCAAGTCAATTCCTTTGTTATGTTTTCATTGTAAGGAGAAGCTCGATTGGGATATACGCGGAGATGACCAACTGATATATTGGATCTTGTCCAGCCGTCTATTTTGTGTACAATTCTAGGAAAGTGGTTATGACTGTTTATTTACTATTACTATGAGGTCTTTGACTTGAGAACAATCTATTTCACAAGAAAAGTGCATTGCATGATGTAAATCTTTCGACTTAAATTTTGCTTAGAATAATATAGCATATTCAAAACCTATTATGCATTTAGTTCTAATTTTTTGGCGCAAGAAATGACAAATCATCTGTGAGGTGTAATCGTATACAGAGGATGATACACGCTATGCACTTCTCAATGGCCTTCATCCGAATGTGCTCGCAAGTATTTTGAAATTTGTTTGTTAGAAAATCCGAAATAAGTAAATACTGTACGTTTAAACAATGAAATGGACACGAGATATGAAACTTATTTGGGGCAGCTCCTAAGGCTAAGTAGTATGTAAAAACCCTTTAGGGTTCAAGGGTAATCAGGATCATGTTCTATTGGGAGGAAGGGTCAATTTTATTAGACTTTTCTTGAATACAATTGGCGATCTAATTTAAGAAAAGTTGTCAGTTATACTACTTCCACTTTTTCCTCACTTCTGTTTTTCTATATAACTGTTATCAAATATACTACTCTCTCTTTTCTTTTTCTCTATCTTTATCTTTCTTTCTTACAAGTTGCTTTAGAATCATATACTCTTTAGCAGAATCAAATGACATGACCCGAGCTTTATTACGAAGCTGAAGCTCTCATCAATGAAAAGAAGATCGACAAGTACGTATCCTTAACATTGCTTATGCCTGTTGGAAACTTGCAGTATACTGTAGACATTGTATTCATCATAATGATAATGTATATTCTCCACTCTTTTAGGCATATTTATCATACGTACAAAAGGAAAGGAAGCCATAAGATACTCTATCGTAAAAATTATAGTACTTGATGGAATTGTGTGATGTAACGGCGTCTCAAAATATGTACCATATTACTCAAGAGATTTGCGCTGGTCATGGAAGACCTAGTACATTTTGCTGTCACTCCCAAAGCGCCACATCGAATGTGGTTGTCTCCCCTCGCTTAAAGATTCTACAGGTAAATAGGTCTACATTTCATAAAAAATTTATCCAAAAAATATTGTACTTAAAATCCCAATTTTCCTATTTGTTTCATCTGAAAACCAACTCAACGCTGTCCTGATCTGAACCGACAAGACTGTACATGTTTCAAGAGGGTAAAGTGATGTCTTTCACAGATCGTCTTAATACGACAAGTATTTTCGACCGCACTGGAATAAAAATTAACAATTATAAAAAGGGTCTCTGAATTTTGAATAAAGAACCTAAAAACTTCAGTTATTTTATTGACGTATCAAGTCTTAAATTAACTACTTGTCCACACCGGCTCTTTTAGCTGCAAAAAATTGAAAAAGTAGGCGCAAATGAACATTAAGATGGTATCAATATCGATAAAAATAATAGAAGGTATAATTTCCCAAACAGGTCCTCTTGTAATGACGGATATAATAGTATAAAGATCATAAATAGACTTTATGAGCATCAGTGAACCCAATACTGTTAGAATAAGGCTAACGGCTATAATGATTCTTTTCACTTTGCATGTCGTTAAATTAATTGCATGTAGTTGTTCTTCTTGCTTTTTCAGTACTGGGGTATCGTTTCGAAAGAGTAAGACAGTACCCGTTGATAGTAATTCTCTATTCTCATCTTTTTTAAGTAACTTATTCGCTACTATGTTGTGTGAAAATACAATCCATGTATAATAAAGACAAAGAATAATATACAGTACTGCAAGTGTAACTTGACAGGCTGCTCCTGCGAGTTTCAGTTTTAATGCTTTAATCACTTGCTGGAGCACTTCTGTAGTCTCTCCGGCCTCGATTATTAGCATTGAATCCCCTGCAAGATTGCAGCTAAAAGGCAGAGCGCATATGACACCATATAAAACCGTCAAGTAATAGCTTGTTAGATGCTGATATTTCTGTAGTCCCTGTCGTATCCATACCTCTAATAGACGAAATAAAGCGAGGTTTAGGAAAAAAGATCCAATAGTTGTAATAATGAGTGAGCCATAAAGTGCGTTCTCGTGAGTGAAATCCAATAAGCTACTCGGCTCTTTTAAGATAGCAGATAAAGTTAATTTATCTATATCAGTTTCCTCTTTAATAAAAATCAGTGAAAACACATGCTGTAAAGAGTATAATACTTTCAGTTTATGAAAAAGAAATATTGAATTATGTTAGCAACATGTATTATAACACGATACAAACACCTTTCCGTAATAGTGGTTATTTACACGCTGCGTTTCCACAGTAGAGATAAGGTAAGAAATAATCATTTCTTATGAATTTTCCATAAAATGCGACACTTATTATTCCTGTGATGATACTTTATCGCAGAGCATTTTTGGTTATGATTGCTTCCTGTGTTTTAGAACGAAAACATGTATCAATTACCTGTATACGATAGATGGTACCAATAACGGTGTAATAAGAGACCGGATACAATTTTCTGCCAAGTATAAAAGCTTTTCATCGTCTATCAGTATAGAGTCCATTCTTGTTTACAATGAAAGGAAAGAAAAGAGTAACAGCATTAGCAATGAAACTATTTATAATTTTTCTTGATATGTGGGCTTAGTTTGCTATAATCTTTGTATTATGCATAACAAAAGGATCTAACATTTCATTAGAGTGAAATACTATGATAGAATTTGTAATCATACATAACTCTATCTATAAACTGTTATTTTGCCTCAGGCTTCTATTCCTCATCTTTTAAGACTGCAAAACGCCGGGAATTCTTATATCCTTGAATAAAGGCAACAAAATATTCATGCCGACTTTCCAGGTTTGATTGTGTGACATGAAACTCGCCGTTGGAGTTGAAAGAGACCAAAACCCAAAAACGATTGTTAAGCTCTCTTTCTTCTTTCCCTTCAAATAAGGTTTTTAATTTTCTTTCCATTCTGATATTCAACAACCAATGCCGCTATTAGCCGGTTCAAAACCTATGACACCATCTGCGCCAAACGATATGACAATAGCAGAATCTTATATGCGATTGGATAGTTTTCTTGACAAGAATAAATCAACGAAGAAGTTTAAAATAGAAGATGACAATCATGGTATGGGTATGATATCGACTGCGGATGAAAATGCTCCAAAAGTGGCTATGAATGTTAGATTAGATGAATCAACAATAAGAAATTATTTATTAAACAATGGATTTCAAACTGTATCAAATAATTCTTCAATTTTGTCAAAAGAGAATAATGAACAATAATAACGCATTTGTAGTAATATGCTATATCAATAAATAAAAAGAGGAGGCTTATTCTAATTAGAAATTGAAAGCTTTGTATTTAATGCCTGCGCTAAATTCTGGATCTCTTCGGCTTCATTCCGGGTTGTATCTAAGTCATCGTCTTCTTCTTGTATGTAGGATACTAATCGAGACATCGATTGATTTAAGCTTTGTGCTATTTCTGGTGCTGGAGTTTAGCAGTAGAGGTAAAAAAAAAAAAAAACTCCACGTCAATTTTATCGTTTGGCAATAAGACCAGAATAATCAAAATGATGTTACCGCATTCGTCTATATCAACAAGCCCATAGGCCATGATAGTCCAAAGCAGATACATCACGTTTTTTGCTATACCACGGTTAAATCCCATTCCAATGCCTACACCTTTTCCTTCTTCTTCCAATCTTTCTGTACCCCATCGAATCAATGTCAATGTGTCCGCTTTATTTATGAGTTCTTGCTCCTCTTCTAAGTATATCGATGCTGCTACTTCTTTTTGTTTTTCTTCCTCTAGCTGTTGTTGTTGTCTTCTTCGTTTAGGGATGCTGTGTGTAACGGCATTTATGTAAACGACAATACGCGTCAGTAATTCCAGACTTTTGAGTAATAGTTCTGAGTGAAGGGTGTTGCATATAATGGATGTATATTGATGAAATATGGAAGGTGCCATGGAAACGGGCGTCAAGAACTCAGTCAAATGATCATGCTCAATCACAGTTTGATGATCTGTATCAATAGAACAAGATAAGAAAGTGTACAAAAGTCTATTTGAGTACATCAGTTACATAATGTTGCTACTAATAATAGCCCAACGCATAATGTATACAGATTGCCTCTCCCCTTCCCGATAAGTAAACAATAGTTATTGATATCGTACCGCGTTGTTTCTAATAATACTCGAGCATCATTTTCGTTCCATAGAATCGACCGACATAATCTTAAAATATCCATATCACTCAATAAACTAGGTCCTATTCCAGCAGCCCAATGACAAGCCATATTGGCTAGTGTGCCCATGCTTAATTCTCTAGTTCTTACTCTTGATGTGGTTGTAGATACCTGGAAAAATGAAAGTTTTGTTGGAACCAATCATGGAATACAATTTCCATGTATACAACTCACCTTCAACAAGACTCTATGAAGTTCTAGACTATTTAAAGCGAGAGCATATTCTTCAACCGTGCATACATCCCAAATTGCACACAATGATCGCTCAAAAGGTGAATCATCTTTACAGTCTGCCATTGGGGGTAAAGCATCGATCGTGTCGTTAATAATAGCATCAACGATCTTTTGCATTATGGGTGCTACAATTGTGATGCTATCAGGATTCATCTCAGCGGGTGTAAGATCAGTAAAATTAGTGAGTGGAAAGGTTGTTGTTTGTAGAAAATAATGTTCGTATCTGCGTTACTGAAATTAGGCCTACAATTTTGCGGCATATCAAAAATTCTTCAAAAAGTGTACATTGGCGTTATCATCTTCTCATACTTTTCCTCATCTAATTATTCAGTTTCGACTAATGACGACTTTACCACAATTTAATACAAATAGTCAAGTAGCAACAAGACCTGTTTTACTGCAACTAGAGGATCAATATAATAAGCGTATCGATGATGATATAGCGAAGTTAGTAGATTGCTTTACAGATATAGTTAAAGCTGGAGAGGTATATTTAACGGTATTGTGATATTCCGCTGCCTTGACTCTGATTCAACTTTGATTCTTACCACAGAATAGGGATAAAGATAAATTCAAGGTAGCTCAAGAAGGGTATCAAATAGATAGTCAATCAGCTCAAATCGTAAGTTAAAGACAAAACAATCTATTATGTCAATACCGCCACGAACTCAATCCCTTTTCAAAAACTGTAGGTACGCTCATGCGAATCACTTCTTTCACTCATTGGCGAGTTAAAACAGAATCTCTTACTGAATGACACAAAGACATTGACAGCTTTACGGCAAAAACGATCAGAGAAGCTTACAGAGAATACTGCAGCTATAAAAGGGAGACTTTCAACAATGAGATCGGAGCTAGCAGAAACTATTTATGACCTAGAAACGGTGTATTATCGTTCCTTAACAAACAACTGAATAAACAACCCGCGTTCATTCTTTAGGAAGTGTTGTAAATAAGCAAAGGAAATGAGAGTGATGTAAGATGGTAGAAAAGATTGGAGTATGAGTTGTATTGTATATAGAGTTCTACTGTTGGATGTCTTCTACGTGTTCTCCATTATTGACATCTCCCAGCGACTGTAATTCAACCAATTTACGGAAAACACCATTTTCACGACCGAGCAATTCGTAATATGTACCCAATTCAGCAACATTTCCATCACTTAGACAAGCAACCAGATCAGCTGAACGGATAGTAGATAAACGATGTGCTATTGTGAATACTGTACGTCCACGCATTAAGCGATTTAATGCTTCCTGAACTAGCACCTCTGATTCAGAATCGAGTGCGCTAGTTGCTTCGTCTAGAATCAAAATTTTTGGATTCTTCAATAGAGCACGAGCAATTGCAATTCTTTGCTTTTGGCCACCGCTCAAACTGACACCACGTTCACCGACCACAGTGTCATACTTATCCGCAAACGAATTAATGAAAGAAGCACAGTTTGCTTTGATAGCAGCATCTTGAATTTCCTCAAACGTGGCATTTTCACGACCATAAGCAATATTTTCACGGATAGTTCCGGCAAATAGAGTGGGTTCTTGAGAAACAACACCGATTTGGTCACGCCACCAACGTAAATTGATGTCTTTGATATTTGCATCATCTACATATATGTTACCAGCGAGTGGATCATAATATCTGAGTAACAAAGATCCAATCGTTGATTTACCCGAGCCAGAAGAGCCAACAACGGCAATCACTGTGCCAGGTTCTACAGTCAAAGAAAGGTTTCTAAAGATTTGTGATTGAGGTCGGGTAGGGTAACTAAAATGAACATTTTCGAACTTGATCTTTCCTTTGATGTCCGGTAAGATAGCACCACTATCTAAAGGAATAGGGCTCTTTCTTCCCAATAACTGGAAAACACGTTCAGAAGCACCCACACCTTTCATAATCTCAGAGTAGAACGACGTCATACCGCCGAGGGCCGTACCGACATACGCCGTATATAGCATAAAAGATGTCAATTCACCAATAGTGATTACATTTTGCATCACCATTTTTCCGCCATACCATAAAACAGCCAATACTGCTAAATTGCCGGTCAATCCTGCGCCGCCAAAGAAAATACCACTGGCCAGTGCTTCCTTTTTGGCTAATTTGAAAACATCCTGCACACGCAGTTTGTAACGTTCTTGCTCGGCTTCTTCCTTTGCAAATGCCTGTACTGTTCGAATACTGCTGATCCGTTCCTCTGCTACTTTGGTAATCTCACTCAATGCTGTTTGCGTTTTTCTCGAAAGTGTTTTCACATATCGACCATATACGATAGCAAATAGTGCAACTGGAGGAACAATCAGCATCATAATACCTGTTAATTTGGGGCTTACAATCAACATCATGGAAGATCCAGCTGTAGCAGTTGCAAGAGCTCTGTTTAGCAACAATAATAGTCAGTAAACGTAAAAAAATGGCATATGTCATGCGCTTCATTTCTGAACATATTCTTAGTTCATAGCCTCCGCACACCCTGTTCTCCTTCTCTCCTTCTCACTTCTTGCTTTACCTTAAGCCATCACTCACATTGTTCGTCAAACTCTTTCCAACAATAGCTGTATCAGTAGATAAACGAGAAATCAATTCACCTGTTCGATTTTTATCAAAAAAAGCCATATCTTGCTTCAAAATTGATTTATATAAGTTTTCGCGAAGTCTTTGTATAATACGTTCTCCAGCTATTCTGAAAAGTAAGACACGACCCATATTAGCTGTTGCGCCAATAACAAATACAACAGATAAAGCTCCAGCAAACTCTGGCATAGATAAACCTAGATAATTATCCATGGAAGGATTGGTGACAATATCAATGATTTTGCCCATAGAGAATGGTATGGACTAAGATCAAGAAGAGCAATTTTAAGAAATTGGATGAAATGAACAATCGTTTTGGGGTTAATAATAGTTTTTCTACTCGTTTATGCTTTAGCTGCGAACATTCATAATGTTGACCCACCATTGTTACCGACGATGATATGACCAATAAACCAGTGGCAGCTATGAGATAGTGTTCCAAAAAAAACTGACAGTTAGGAAATAGAAGGGAACAAAGCAACCTTGTCAAAAACAGTGACGATAATGTGTATCACTTACCAGAAAGGCTTTTGACTTCTGGCTTTGCAAGTTGAAAGAGTCGTTTCAAGTCACCTTTACTTGCTTTTGTCACTTTTTTTGTATTTTGCTCCTGTTGTTTTACTATGGTTTCTTTTTCAAGACGAACAGAGGTCGTTGTTGAAAACGGACGACGCCGGAAAGTAGAAGGGTATTTTTGTAATTGTGATGATCTGAAAGTTGAAGTGACGACATGAGGCGATCTATGCCTTGCCAGTGGCATGAGCTTCAAATGAGTAGCTGCACACCTCAACATGGTGAGTCGTTCGTAAGTGATGAACTGTAAGAATTGATAACTAATGACAACGTCCGCGCACAGACAAAGGGAAAAATTGTACCCTTTGATCCTGAGTGGGGATTTTCGGGCAATGTTACAGTTCTGAGTGTTGTTCTTACCTCAAACTCCGAGATGTTCGACCTTTATGGGCTACGCTTTATATCCAATCAGCTAGATGCTCCCTTGCTGCTTCTATTGGATAGATTGATGTCCATAGGTAAAATATATAGATGCTCAAAAACGAAAATACCGCTTGAAAACTTAACGATCCCAGTTCCCGTGCGTACCACTTCATCTTTCTTTGTTTCGGTTACTAAATATAAATATTATTCAAACGTTCAGCCTTTAGAAAAACCGACAGCGATGCCTTCACTATCATCTATAAGAGTAATAAAATTGTAGCATATCTTTGGAGCTTTTTTTGTCCCTAATCTTGCTACATTAGGAATTTGCTATACTTTTTGACTGTTTTGTCAATCACTCGAGCTTCTGCATGTTCCATGTCTTTATTCGTACAGTTGCAGAAATCTATTTTTATGCTGTTAGATTGATGCGCATAAACGTGCTATGTCGAGGCCTGAGCCACACTTTGCGTGTTCAAGACTTTTCAAATCCGCCCGCCCACATACATAGCCAGGAATGCTGTAATAATTTCCTGTATAACATTGCATTTGCTTCAGCTGAAGTTCTCTCATTTTCGCAGTGTCTTTGCTGATCACTACGTTGCCAAAAGGGAAAAAGGTAGGAATGAAGCGAGTTCACAAGATCTCTCAATTTGATTCACGCATTCTATGATCCACATAGAGGATCATGTATGTCTTTTGAATATTGCAACATAAATGGCATGAAGAATTAGAACTCTACGATATTTATATTCCTTAATACTAAGGGAGGTTGAGCCTCTCATTATTCATAAGCTCACTTTTAACATGCATGTTAAACCGTTTAATATGAGTAGCAATGATTAATTGCTCGTTTTCAACACAACTATATCGATATATAGTGTTGTCTGATCACCACTAAATTTTGTGATTGCTTATACTTGTTGGTTTTCACTTGCGACAATACTGTCAGTTCAAACAGTTGGCGAATTAATCTTGTGGTTTGCTTTATGAATTTTTTTCGTTATACTTACTCTTTGTTGTTAATCAGAACAATATTTTTACTGAAAGACAAGTTCTCACTGTTAACCATTGGAATTTTATCATTACTTATATAACTTATTACAGTAGGCCAGCCGTTGTCGTTTCATGAAGTATGCCATGAATATTGGCTTTTTCAATAGTTTCGCTACTACGTTCCTGATGAAAAGAAATGTTTAATACTATTGCTTACTGTGATAAGAAGACAATTGATCGAGCTGATTTATGCCACGAAAACTACAAGAATGCTTTAAGCGAACTAAAAAAAAAACGTCACTGAATTGACAATCTCACCTTATCAAAAAGAGAACCTTCTCCAGTATATGGACCTTTGAGAATTATTTGAGACTTCCGAACCAGAAACAGTACATGCGTTCACAGCCGATAGCTATATACCTTTCGGGTAAGAGATAAAGAAATGAACGGGATTGCCAAAAGCCTTCAATACCACTACCTTTTCTGTCAAATGTTTTATTTGGCTCAACTCTAAGTTTTGACATTATACCTCATATGTGAGTATTACAGCATTTCTTATTTTTTATTTTTTTTTTCTCTTGTTTGTGCCTCTTCGTGTACTAGTAGCAGACAAATAGTTAGCATTTATCATTGATCTATCTTGAATCTGGGCCTCATAGTTCATATACTCTGTCAGTTTTACTTTGTGTGTCATTATTGAATCTACTGAAGTAAGCAATTCTATTTTGTATTTAACCACGCTTACCGATGTTCTTTGTCATGGAGTGTCATCCTTACCTTTTGCTTTCTATTCTGTTTTCTTGTACAAATGTATACATACATCGTAATATCCTCATTGTTGTAATGAATTCTATGTTTAAAAGTGGGTTCCGAGATTGACATATACCAACACAGTAATTAAGGAGAAGCATCTGTATTCCACTTTATTCTTGCAACGCCGGTTATAGCAGCGTAGTGCCACGGAATTATGCTTTTTTAGGTCACACTGAAACGACATATTCCCTTATTCTCTTTATCAATTTGAACATTCTGATTTCTTGTATCACTGACGACCGAATACATGTTTGTAGGCTAGCATGCAAAAAAGAAACATTCAAATGCTGTGCTCTCAATCAATCGAATACCCCTTTTAGAGACGATCAGATCACGAGGCTATATTATTTGTACGATACGTGCTGATCATATTTGCTTTTAGGAAAAGCTGCTAGAACTCGCAAATTATTTCTTTTTTATAAGGAAAGAGCTTGATGGATTATCAGAGGCTGCTTTCAAATGGCATTCAGCGAATCCCTTAGCAGCGCAAAGAGCCATTTAATGCTCAAATCTGTGTTGGACGCAAGTGCTATGACCAATATTGTATAAGGAATACCTGTTCTAGATGCCATAGAATATACTCGGTCTTCTCACCTTAGTTGCGTGGCTGAAATAAACCGATTGATTATGTACCGAGCTCGATTGACTGACCAATTTATTTTCTCCCACCCCTTAATCATAATACTTACTCACTGATACTTGCAAATCTGAGCATATTACTTCAAACAGCAGAAAGAAGCGATTCATCATCATAACAAAAAGATGTTGCTCGCTTAAACTCATTCCTTCGTTTCCTATACCTCTATCTTTTTCATTGGCAATTTTGCAATCATTTTTAATTATGCTATTTTGTATGAAAACTTTACTCTACTCTCCTACTTTACACCTTTATTAACCCTAAAACATACAGTAGAGTCGCTCTTTACTTGCAGCCTTATAGCAGAATTTGAAACTTGTGAATTGGTCTAGACTTTTTCTTGTGTAAACAGCCCTAAGAAGTAGATATGTATGGGTAACCTACGGTTTATTACAACTTTCTGCATGATGGAAATATATGGATAAATGTAATCTCTGACTTTGAAGAATGTGTTTGGTATGCGCAGCTGAGAGGGAGAATGGCATATATCATCACTATCTCTCTCTACCTATGCGACTATAACTGGTATGTATATTCAAAGCTATGAATAGATAATATGTGGTACTATGAATGGGGGGGTATGGATTGTATGCTACTGGCATAAAGTTTTTTATGTCGACGATGGATATGTCATAGTTAACAGAGACCTAATCGATGGTAATCGGTAAGCATTGTTTACGTCTTCTTCTGATTTGTTGAGAGTAGCATTATCAGCGAAGAGTGTCTTGTTATCCAAGAGTGGTGGAAGGTAAACAAGCTGATGATGGCCTCTAATGGAAGCTGAAGTAGCAAATGGCGATCGTGGCGATAATTCCTCATCAACACTACTGTTACTACTGCTACAACTATCGAAACTACTGCTATTTATATTGCCATTGAGATTTGAGGCTGCCAACATGTTCTTTTCGGGCATCGAAAACGGTATCTGTGGATTGTTAATGGTTAAATTATGTGCTTTTTCCATATGGCGAGATAATTGGCCTTTTCTCCAAAAAGATTTATAGCAGTTTTTTACAGGACAATGGCTAAGATGAGGTGCCGGTTTATTGGTATTGGACAGTTTATTCTTTGATTTCAATGTATCAGCACCCATAGTACCAGTAGACGGCTTCTGATGTTGTTGTTGGATAGGTTGATTTATAAAGCGTAGAATTGAACAATGCTGCTGCTGCTTTATATAAGCTTCCTCATCATCACTGGAATATGCTCTTGAGGAATGGTTGCTATATGGACGTATCTTTCTACGACGCTGCTGCAACAACACAGAGGATGGTGCCAAATGAATACGTATATGTCGGTTTAACTCATCCGAACGTGAGAAACGCTTATCGCAATTGAAATAGTTGCATACATGAGGCTTCTCGCCGGTGTGAGTTCTAACGTGACGTACTTTATGTTCGAGACGATAAAACGATTTGTAACAAAAGTCGCACTGATAAGGACGATGCGTTGAAGCTGTAGCAGAATTGCTAACGGTAGAAATAGCAGAAGTAGCAGTAGTATCCATTTAATATAGAGAAGCAAGAAAATAAAGAAAAGAAAAAGAAGTGTGAAGAAAGGGGCAACACCTTATATATTTGCAGATTTCTATGTCTTGTTTTATAAACAAATGCAAAAAAACCCCGGAATTGCTGTTTATGGGCATTTTATATGGGTTGCAAAGATTTAGACTTTCCGTCAAAGTCTTATTGTAAATTATTTATATGGGAAATTTTTATGTGTACACCTTGTGCTCCTCTTACCCCTTAAAAATAAAGCATTCGAAAGGAAAAGTAAACAAACAGTGCCAAAAAAAAATTGATACGGATTTTTCCAATCGATTGGCGTTTATTGGCGGATAACCAATAATCTGATTGGCGGATACTGTTTTTTCGCTTGACTTTCGCACGAAATGGCTATTAAATTGAGACTATCTTACAATCAAAATTCAGACTAGTTTAAGAAATTATTTTGGATGAAAAGTATAGTTTTTCAGATCATACCTTTTCTGTCAAAATGCTCAATGCCAAATGTGCGACCTACTCTTACTCAAACAGGGTAGATATTCTGTGCTTCGTCACAGTATATTTACCCTGTTTGAGTATGTAGTAACGTCAAGTAGCAGTTAATAAAAACTTCGGAAATGTATAGTGAGAAATTTCACAAGACGGACTCACCTAAACGCGTACAGATCTTTAAGCCGTTGGTTCCGGAGAACCTGCGGCACTATTTTCGTTATGGCGATATCGAGAGAAGATTTCGGGTCGACCATTGCTGTTCCATATGGAGTTTTCAATTTGAAGCATGTTCTTTGCTGCATTCACATCGCGCTGCCATACGATACCACAAGCGTTACAAGCTTTGGTACTGTAAATTGACGATCCATCAGCAACCTTCACTTCATTCATGTTTTTAGCCAGGCAGCCGTTACAGACCTACAAATAAGGTGTCCATCAAATTAAAACCAACTTGCACGTGCATTCTTTTCAACATAACTTACGATTGACGTTCTGAATTCGTTAATGTCTACAACGACTGCAAGTGAACATCTTTGTCTCTTTAACAATGTGCGATACCACTTTCCTGTCACACCTGATGGGTGGCCTTTGAATGATACACAATCCTTATTCTTCATCCCGTCACCGAAAATGATTAGTGGAATTTTCTTGTGGTCTTCAAAGAATGGAGCAGCGGTCCATTTCTTAACAGTCTTGGCTTTGTATCTGCAAAGGACATGTTAATATATTATATATTCACCAGTTACTGTAGAAGCAGTAGTAATGAATGCATACCTTTCTTGCGCAGCTGCTTTTACATTGATCGTTAACTTCTTCTCTTGTCGTTCCTTCCTTTCTGCAGCCCTCTGTGCTTTTCTTGCATGTACCTTACTCTTCGTTGTCTTGCTTCCTCTCGGCAACTTTCTTTTACGCCGTTTATTCTTGTTGGTTTTTTTTCTTTTTTTGGGGTTATACTTTTTGCCTCCATCCAGAAGCATGTTAGCGAGCTCTTCGTCAGCTCTTTGACGGCCTTGATAGTCGTTAAATATGAATTTGGCAGAGTTGAAGCCATAAAATTCATGTAAGCTTTGGATATGTCTCAATACATAAGAAAGGTACAGCTTATATTGTATTTCGGAGTGAACAGTCTTGCACGTCGGTAGATTGGTCTCAATTCCTTTAATGTCAGTTTCAACCTTCTTTTCATCTACGACCGTTGCACGTCTGTTATATCCAGCAATTTGAGCACGCTCCTCTTTGCTACATGTGCGAATTTGATGCATATCCGTGTTGTAACCAACTAAAGCTGTGAATATCTCATTACTCCCTGGATCTGCAACTATCGGTATGAAATACTTGTTGATTTCAGCAGGAGTAAAATCCTCAAGAGTGAGTGTAGCTGTTGCACTTTTTTCTTGACGGGAACGGACAAATAAAAAGATTACAGCAAAGCCATCTGTGTGGATTACACAATTGAACATGTCCTTAGAGTTGGCTGGAGCTCTTATAAGGTCTGGTAGGCTATTGAACAACAAATGTTTGTTAATGTTATTAGGTTTTGAAAGCAAAGTGTAGATTTTTCCTTACGTTTCGTATCCGAACTTTGTAAAATTAAAAACATTAAATAAGACCTCGAGATTATTAGCATAGGACCAGTTGCCAATGGACTGTCTGAACAAACAGCATAGGGCCTTTTCATTGATGCTGACATGCTTCTATTGGAATGACACAGTGGGAGTTAATGAGAATAATTTGGGTTTTTTGTCATTTGGACCAGCGGTAAGGGCTTTCGTTTCAATCATCTGCAGCATGAACGCCAAAGGTGGTAAAATGTTGATGGCTGCTGTGATATTTTCAATTGTTGGAGTTGATGGCATCTTTTCCATCAATCATTGGCATGTTGCATCGACATCGGGTTGTTTTGTTATATCAACATCCTCCAACCATTTACAAGTATCCATATAATTCACAATTTTAGGAAGGCAATATGAGTCAATGAGTCCGTAAATCACACTGTTCTTCGTTTCCTATTATTTGACAATGAATTGGGCAATTAAAATCTTCTCTATGAAAATATAAGTCAAGCATTTTACCTGGAAAGTAGGCTTCACTGCCCAATACAAGTAATATCTGATACTGAGTACATAAACAAAATACAGCAATCATGAACTGACTTTCTTTATTTTCTTGCTGCTATTTTTTCAACTTTGCTTCAAGGTAAACCTTTGCTTCTCTTGATGGCATGATAAAAAACTACTCAAAAGTTATAAACACTCAGTTACAAACAAAATATGTACAGTACAGTCGTTGTGGGTGGGTCGTGATGAGATCTTATTTCAATCTACCTGATGATCCACTATTAACTCTTCTTTAATAATTATTCGAGGATATATAACTAGACTCTGATAAAAAAGGGGAGAAGGTATCAAAGAAACTGAAACTTTTTGTTAGAATGTTATTTGGACAACAAAGAAGTTTTGACAACAAAAACAATCTAGACAGATTCCTTTAGACGCGCTAAATTTTGACACCAAATCGAGACACGTTTATTCATCACTTCATCAGTTACTGACAATAAACAGGCTTTTTAACTTAATTTATACAATCACCTACTGTTATTGCTTTCTTTAAGGGAAAAATGACACTAAAGTGATACGATTTTAGATCAAGAGAGATGCTGAGCAGTCAATGAAAATACAGGATTGTGAGTTATTTACATAGAATACAACTGGACAACCAGTTCAAATGGCAGCTAAGTAGGTAATTCTTCTGGGCCGATCAAACAACGAAACTTACTGCAACAAATGCGTGCAAAAAGAGGTAGTTTTGGTTAGCAGCTTTGTACAATTTAACTTTTGAATTGCCAAGTTTTTTTACGCATTCCTTCTCACACCACCCTCTATTGTGGAGCAGATTAGTTGAATCGGAATTTAAAACGGCGAGTAACGAGGCAAGTAGACTACAGTAAAATCTCGTTCGTGAATGCTTTGCTGAACTCTTCAGTTCTCTGAACCGTACTAATATCCATAATAACGTATTGTCTGTGCATGCCATGCTTATCTAAGATATGACACCGGTAATGAACTGCAAGAAATACCCGAATTTTGCGCCTACTTCCCCGGTAACCTCTTGTTTGATTTAGTGTCTCCATCATTTATTTCCTCTTCTTGTTTGCTTCAGATTTCCTCTTACCAGCTTTTGGCTTTACACCTAAAGTTAAAGTCGATGACATGAACAGTTACCGATGTTTTTAGACCACAAACGCTATATTATGATGTCGAGCTGCTGCTGCTGCTGCTGTTGTTTATTATGAAGCAGTAAGACCTCTACTCAGTCTAAACACGAAAAGTATCCCTCGTTTATAACCAGGAGAAGAAGTCTCTGCTGAGTTAATTTTTTATGCATCATGACAGTGCTAGTGTATCAACGAAAAGGATAAGAACAACTTCTAGCGAAAAGTGGGCTCATGAAAAACGCCGTTCCGTATTTGGATGCTTTTATTTATTAAACTTTAGGGGCGAACGATACAGCAGCATTTTAAATATTTTGTATCAACAAGACAAGACACGATATTGGATGATAAAATTATGAACACGTTAGTTGATTGCTGATAGGCAGTTAGTAAGTGCATCCCATAATTGTAGAGTTGAGCCAGTAAGTATTACCGTTGAGAGCATCGTTTCAACAATGGAAACGAGCAACAGTATGATACAGTGGCGTGCAGACGATAATAGTCTTACACTTGTTTTTCCAGAGTAGCATTGTCCCTCAAATTGGCAATGTAAAGTAAAAAACTCATATGATCACCTTACATTCTCAAGAAACTGAAGGAAAGAGTTTGAAGAGACGGCACTTTACCGTTTCCATCGTTCATTTGCCGGAAACAAACTCTACAAGGAATGATTCATTCAAATGAACGAACAGAAACAAAGCTTTTGATTTCACATCTACGGACTTGTCAACCTCTTCTTCGTCATCATTATCTTCTGTTTCTTCATTGTTCCCACTACATCCATCCTCCGCGTCTTCTCCTTTTTCTGAGGACCAGATTGTGATCTAGCATCAGCAGCATAAGCACAGAATAGTCGTAGAGACATAAGACGAACAAGGTCTATGGTGGTCAGTTACCCACCATACAATAACTCTCGAAAAGAAAAAACAGGTAAGTGAGGATATTATTAAGCTACAAGTAATTGTAATTGCTGAGCGAACTCCATCTAGCTGTAATAGAACAGATAAACTAATCGATGACATACCTCTGCATTGTCCTCGAATCTGTCCAAGTCTAGCTAAATACATATTTGTGATTTGGAGCGTCGCGATTGCATATAAATGGTTGCCTCACATAGCTTTCGCTTTATTGATTTTGTAGAATTCTGTTCATTGTTGCTGCTGTCCTGCGCTCTTACATTGCGGGTAACTTATTTTTCTACAAACTTTGCTTCCAAGTAAATGATATTTATTTTAAGACATTCTTGATCATTTTATGAAATTGTCATGGTATTTTTAGAAACATCTGCTAGTAATTCACTCCCTATTAAACAGAGACATATACACACGCAAAAGCAGTACAAACGACACGAACGATGGGGTTTTTTTTGGGGAGTGGTTTTTTACATATATCGTGGGTTACCAGGACATAAATATTGTTAAAATGATTAGAATAAGCATAAGGACTGTTGTACATAAAGGTCGGCATGAAAATTGCTGAACATAAGTGGGGCGTACATAAATGTAGGCATAAAGTGAGTTTTAAAAAAGTGCCCAAGAAGGTGGGCGGGGATTAGTGTGACGTAGGGTGTGTGGTGGGAACCACATCTCCAAAGCATTTTCATGCAGCTCAACTGCACTGCCAGCAGTGCAACGAACGTCAGCTACTGCTGAGCTGGCCTCCTAATAAAAGCCATACTTGAGTAACCTCTTTGTGCAAACTCAGATGGGTGAAACTTACAGCGAACTTTTGTAGTAAGTTGATTACTTTCCTCAGGTCTTTCAGCCTATATTTTACATCAGGGAACGTTGCGACTCCTTCAGCAACGCCCACATACAAGCCTTTTCCTGCCAAACGGAGGCTGTACAACCGCAGGGTCAGACCTAGAGTGAAGGGAAATTAATTGAAATTAGTGTATATCTGAGCAAAACGTAATATTAGATGAATGGCATACCGTCTATCTGCAAGCAAGGTACTGCCAAAGTATTGCTCTCTAAAGCATTTAAAATAGTTTTGGCCTCTAGGAACAGCTTCGTCCTATCGGCCTCCTTTTTTCCTAATCCACTGCCTACAGCTGCTGCCTCAGCAGTTGACACGCCTTGCTCCTGTCGTTTTCTTTTCCTTGTTGGGATGTCTCGAAGGACACGCAAGTCCACCTTGAACTTCTTGCCGTCCTCCTGCAACGATTCCAGCCTAGAATAGTTGAATGTTAATTTGGCCATAACATGTATGAACAAGACATTATGAATTACCACTTGCACCGGAAATCTGCTAGGGTCATCATCACCTTCTCTATCATTCGTCCCCAGACTTTGATGATTAAATCGCCTTCGGTGAAGTCCACCGATCCTTCGAACAAGTACATGTGCTCGTCTAGCAATTCAATGCTATAAATTTATCTGTTAAGGGCGTTCTTATTTCTCCTTTTTAATCTACAGGACTTACCAATGCTCATAAATAGAAAATACGGCTTCATACAGTTTTTTATGTGATATTTGTAGTTGTTTTATGTTTAGTGAACGCGACTTATAACTTTGATATAAACTGTAAGGTGAAATGAGTCTCCTTTAGTCCTTTTATTATACACCGAAAATGGGAGAGGGAAGCGTTCATAGCGAATTGGATGTTTGTATTGACAACAAAAGAAAGAAGGAAAGGAAAGAGAAACATTAAAAAAAAGGAGTTAAATACTTATACCTGAATTTCTCAACCAGTAATAATGCAGCATTACATATGCGCATCTTTAGAAATATAAGATGACGTGTACAAGTGTTATTATGATTCTATGATCATAATAACGAGTCAAATGCTTGAAAGTGTGTCTAATTCGTTTTTATATATTATAGGAGGTATGGAAATACCACATCTTATGGGTGGTGCTGCTGATTTTCTGCACCTTCTTTTTGGCACCATCGAAGTTGCTCTTGGCTAACTTTAAGATCAACTACTTATAAGAACAACAATTATATGCCTGGTGCAAACTGTTTGTTGTTTACCTTTTCCACATCATCAATCTTTGCAATAACTTTGGATGTCAACAAAGGATGGTTCAGTTTAAATACGGGACCGTGTTTCTCGGTTATTCTCTGCCATTCAGCAGGAAGGAAGAGCTCCTTTTGCGAGTTATCCTCGCACAGATTGAGTATACCGTTGAAGCCAAGGCTGAAACGGTGGATAGTTAGTCGAGCGGAATTGTTCTCGCAAAAAAATTACGCAAAAATTTACATGATATTGCTCCTCTTGACTGGGCAGGTTCTAAAATCCAAGTAGCTTCTTATCGCTGCTCGCTTGATGGTTGTTGCAGTGATGTTTTCATTATCGGTGAAATCCAAGCGCAGCTGGAAGCGTTCGTCTCGCGCGGTGCGTACCGCTTTCAACGTTGATTCTGCTGCAGCAGCTACGACCTCATTCGCCGTCTCTAAGGCGACGCCCAAGATCACTGCCTCCGTTTGCGCAATTGTATCTTCAACACGTTCAACAGTAGACCTATGTAATTTTTTCTTCAGTAACCGAATACTATATTGTGTTTTTATTTATCATTACATTTTTCAATTAGTATTTTGTTGCAATGAATGATTAATAGTGATGAAAAAGGGATACTGCGATTGTAATTGTTCCCTTTTGAACATAATCAAATATCGTAATAGGAGCGGTGACACGGTTGGCTGATTCTTGCGAGGATTAAGGGGTCTCTCTGGTAGTAGTGATCGATCGGGTGCTATTCAGGGGCAACGTCATTATCTTTTAAGTTTGTATAGTTTGCATTCCAAATATGGAATCTAATCTTGAGCAACTCAACAAGCTCACATTAGTAGCAACAACAATGACAACTGTGCTAATTAACCGTTCGGATGTTGTTCCGTCAATCAGGCCTCAAATTGTCCAACATTCCGCCACAATTATTATCTATAAATCTTTGGATCAACAAGTTGTGTAAGTGCAAGCTATCAATATAAAAGGAGACAATCATAACATGTTGGCTTTTTCACATATGGGAACATATTGTATCCAGTGCACTACAATAAAGTAACTATAAAACAACGTTATATCAGCTTTATAACCTAGCGCACATTTAGTTTGATGTTGCTGTTACTATGGTCAATTTCCTCCGTTGAAATATTATAGCTTCATTGTGTTAATAACTCAATACCATTCAATATTCCCGCCCTCATATGTATAAGGTAAACATCAATATTTCGAAGGAAGCCATCCTCTTGTTTCTAGTCTGTTCCATTTGTCGTATGTGAGGCACAAATGGTAATATATTTACATAAGTACTCGCAACACCTAAAATAAAACTTGGATCTCAGATATGAGCACTGATCATATATCGTTCCCGTTTGGTAAGCTGTGTGTTTAATTGCGTACGTTTAAACTTTAGATCAAATGCATATCAAATAAAGATAAAGTAATAAAGAATATGTATTTAAGATAATTCTTTATATGAAGTAGCTAATCTCACATAGAACCGAACTGGTTATCTTCATGAAATCTATTTATTTATGTTATCTATAACTATATGACGTTTAGGTATAAAGCAGGATTGGTATATGTACTCGTAAGATATATTGATTCAACAACTTTTTATTAGTACAACAACTGTTCCCGCAATCTAGGAAACCACGCACGAGTGTCTCTTCCTAGCTAACATCGATAAGCATTTCCACAATATCTGAGCTACATAACTGGTGGCCGATAGATGGATTATAGATATAGCTGCACGATCACCCTGGATCTGACAGGATAACATACTACAAATGAATCCACTCTGAATTAGACGAGTAATTATCGGCCTAAAAGGAAGATCTATACTTTTACAAAAACCTCTGATTCACTGAGTATTATCCGGCCATAATACATCAGTGTCAGCTATATATTCCAATATATACATTTCGTAGACAGCAAAAACATAACCCTTTCTTAGCTGTAATTTTAGTTTTCTTTTCGCTTTTTCTAGTTTGATTTTTGGTAGAAATAAAGACGATGGTTTGGTTTCGTGAAGCTTTCGTATTTATTTTCTGTTGCGTTATACATTGTTTGATCCTCATAGTTAAGAATCGACGAATACACACTATTGTCTTACAGGACAATCAAAACAGTGAGACCCCTAGTGTCTCCGCCGAGCAGCATGATATTTATTGTGCCCAGGGCGTTTATAAGCGTCGCACCCACCATACTTGTCTATTGAATTCCAAGAATCATTCTTTTTTCTGTCTCCTATCAACCATCCTACTTCACAGAAGATTATTCCCGTGCAAGATGCAAGCTCTTCACCAAAAATCAGCTCTCTATTGTACGCTATTTTGAACTCTTTACCTTTCGACACCTTATATTTACAAGAAACTCTGCTTCAACACCCAATCTTCAAATGACCCTCAATATGCAATTCCAAACGGCTTCGACCGTCTGAACAGCTCACTATGGTACAGTTGTAACCAGTCTATCTAGATTAATACATATAATGCGCTAATCAGGCAGTTTATGCAGCCATCTGGAAGCTCAGTAGCATCAGTTGTTGCCTGATCTACTTCACTGAATATTCTCAACCTCCAACGAGACGCAGCTCAAAAATAATTCCGATATTCCGCCGAGGCACCGCTCAAACCACTCTCGACTTCCTCTATGCAACACCCACTCTTGGACAGCACTTATTAGATCTAAGAGTTGTAATTAGACAGACCACGCAATAGAGGGTGCCATTTCTCTCCTTGCGACTTCGGATCCTGGCATCCGCCGAGAACCCGTACTTCGAGCGACTGCTGTCGCGACGCTTACGTATTTCATAACACCTCGAGGTGTAATCAGAGCTTCGATGAAAAAAAAAAAATTATGAGTTACTTCTATGATAATACATACTTAAAGGTACAATTATCGTTCTATATGTTTTTTGCAGTTATTAGGCCTTAGTTTTTTAGTTGTGAAAGAGAGGGAAAAACTGCCATATAGGCTAAAATTGCCTTTTGATACTGTCTGTATAGTTTTTGAACTAAACTATAACAAGGTATTTTGTCGAATTTGGCGGGGCCAATTCATACTGTACTTGGCGAAAATAAAAAATTACACAAATTTTGGCCGACACCTACAGCCGACCACTCCTCATAGAAAGACATGGAAAGCAATGAAATAGCTTTAAGCTTAGTGATATATGGTTATCATTTATATGATGAAAAGTATACGGCAAGTTTTGGAAAAAAAAAATAGCTTCCCATTCAGAAATTGAAAGTGGAAACCTGCCAGGGAAATAACTGGGCTAGATTAACAACTGGAACTCACGCTGTGGTTAAAAGTGCAAAAACAAAGAATAACTTCTCGCTCGGTTATTGGAGCCATCCGGTTCATCTGCAGTGCTTCATGTTGTTTCGAAAAAGCCCCCTCCCAAACCAGAAACAGACACTGTTGCTGAAAAGAAGAGAAAGGATAATAGTGGAAAGAAAAGGAGTGTAGCTGAGATTAACGACGACAAAGAAATTCAGAAAGACGACACCAGAGCAATTGATGTAAAACCAGCTCCAAAAGGCACAGCACCTGCTCATTTTACTAAGTTTGTCAATGAGCTCCTTATATTATGATTGAAGATGAATCTTTAGAGGACAGTTATTTAGTGATGGATAATGCTAGTATCCATATGTCGAAACCGATGATTCGACAAAATGGAAGCTAAAGGCTATAAAGTAATGTATCTCCCCCTCCCATATACTCGCTTGAGTTAAATCATATTGAACAGTTCTGCGCCTTAGTAAAAGGAAAAATAAAGCGTCATCGGTTGATAAAAGAAGAGACATTATCTTTGGTGATGCATGTAACGACGTTCATTTTAATGATATTTATGGCTTTTGCCTTCATTCCAAACGTCAAACAATAAATTGCCATAGACGAACTCGATTCTAAGCCTTTCTTTGAATAAATATCTCACTCATTTTAACTACAAATCAACTGAGATGTTACGAGAACCAAAACACTATATGATTCTCTTAATTAAATTATGGTTAAGAGCTATGAATTAAATTTAGCAGCATCTTTTCCTCTTATTATGTTTTATTCACTTCCAGTATTTGACCGACAAATAATACTTGAAACGTACTATCGAATCCGTACGACTCACCGTACCCTACCAGCCCTCCAGCATTCCACAAGCCACTCCCTTCAGGTTATCCACGATTAACTTTTAGCCAGCCCTTTTTTACGTTCTGCCTTCGTTCCTTTCCCTGTCCTTCCTCTTACATATTCACCTGTGCCCTTTTGAGAACTTGATAAGAACAATGGGTTTATATGGTACATCACCCTTTTATTCCTTCTGTTGTTGTCATCTTCCTACTCGCTTGCATTCTTGTCTAGAATTGGATTGAACTCAGTAAGGAGTAATAGATACAGTGGTTACTTTATCTTAGTATTTTTCTATCAGTTCACAGTTTCACTACACATCTGTGTTTATTCTTAATTAGTCTTTTTATTCCCTCATTGCGGCAGTACGAAGACTCTAGATAAAACCGGAGACAACCTTCTACTACAATAAAAACCAACCCTATAATGCATATGGAACTCTTAAGTTCATTATCAAGTTTGTCAGTTCTTGGTATTTCTCTGTTTGCTTATAAATATTACTTAGTTGTTACCGATGAGAAGCTCACAGTAACAATTTAATATGAGAAAAAATGTATGCTAAACAAATGATTTAATTTCGTTTGTGCATGATTTTTTCCAAGTTGAACACCAGACTGCGAACTAGAACCATTTGTTTTTGGACCTTTGTCTTCTTTCTACTGCAACAAAAATTCTTCCCTGCATCATAAATGTTTCGTCTTGACTCATTACTAAAGCCGAACTCTGCGCTTGCCAATGAAGTAAAAGATCCGCTAACAGAAAATACGGCTATAGGCAGCAATAAGCCAATAACAACGTCATCTGCAACTTCATTTTCTATACCAATGCCAACTAATTCGTATGGCATGCTTATGTTGACGTGTATAAAAGAAGACAATGAATTACAACAGTTTAAAGATGTGGTTGAACTTTTGGTGACTCAAGACAAAGTTAGTTATTTGCTTAGAAAGCTTTTCCAAAATACATGACGCCGATCAATTAACGGTTCTGTGTATCTTGCATTACAGGCTGTACTGTTATTACCCGTTTCGATACCCCCCAGTTCATCCTTTGTCATTGATAAAGACTTTATTATGAATCATGTCATCGTGTACAAAGATAACCAAGTGATTTCTCTTAATGGAGTGCGTGGTATATTTCAAAAGTAAAGCGCACATAATGTTAATCAACATAAAGTCAACGCTTTATAGATATGGCACTAATATCTCATCCTTCTACGTTGATAAAACCAAAAAAAAAAGAGATCAATTCATTGCTTTGGGCCTTTTACCGTCAGAACAAGAAATTAATGATCTTATTGTTGATGCAGACAGTCATTCAAAGAGAAACAAGAACAACAAAGGTCAGCAAAAAAGATCACTGTTCGATACCTTCAGCTTGGATCCTAGCTCTATTACACCTGACCATCCAAAATACAATATTCTTGCCAGTCACGTTCAATTATCGCTGAAGCAGGACCAGTCCATAACAGTGATGCTTCTACAAAGACCTTTGTTAAAAAAAGATATTATCGAATGGATCGATACCAGATCGAAGCATAAGGAAACATTGGATACTCCACTAAATGATCCGCTTGACAATCAAGTATCCAATTTTATCAAACAGTTCAAAAGAAAGCCATCCAGAACAAGGGATACTGCTAGCCGTAGGGTATTAGCGTTAATTGATGAATTACACGACCTTATGCTGTCATCAAAAGAAGGTGAAGAAAATGCTTACACGAATGAAAGCCAATTAGAAGTTGATAAGCGACTCGATAAAATCGAAAGTTATATATGTAACCAGCTTTATGATCAATTATTTACATCGCCTGAAGGAGATGAAGCCATGGAAGACGAAGCATTAGAATCACGTATAGCTGCACTCAATTTGTTGGACCTCAATCTAACTCATTTGGGCGTATCAATGGAGCAAGAAAACGTAGACGAATTGAACCAGATCATCAAGAAAGCCGGTACTCAATTACAACAGCTGAATATCATCAGGGGCGCTAAAGAAAAGCTGGATATCTTGATAAAGACGCATGAAATTATTGTAAATACAACAGATCAGAATACAACAAGAACGACTGTATTGGCTGATTCAGCCAACACAGAAATTATACAAGAGATCATATCCAACAATAAAATCTCAACTGTCAATGCAGATATTTTATTACCCATCCTTATTTTCACCATTGTTAAATCCAATCCATCGCACTTTTTATCCAACTTGAAGTTCATACAGAGATATCGCAGACCGTCCAAATTGATAGGGCAAGCGAGTTATTGCTTAACGAACATGGTAATGTATTTGTAATAAACATTATTCACTGTCTTAATTGCACTTCTTACTGATACTATATGTTCGGCCGAACATAGATGGCTGCAGTATCTTTTTTGGAAACGACCAATCTTGTTGGGTTGGGGTTATCTGCAGACAAAGTATACAGTCATATAACAGATTTAAGCGGTACAAAAATATCCACAGTCGACTCTTCACCTTTGCCAACATCCAATCAAGCTTCATCATCAATCTCACTGAAGCTACAGCAACAACAAAATACGGGCTTAAAGCTGGTTTCGGAAGTAATGGATAGCTCATCCAAAATATTTGATGGAATTAACAAATTTTGGCAAAGGAATGCACAAGAGTTAGTAGAACAGCATAGTAAAAGGAGTGGGGGAAATGGCACGAGTTTGATAGAGCAAATGAAAGGCCGCGTTGGAAGTGCCAGTAACAGTAACAGTAGTAAAGTAAATCCAAAGGAAGGGGAACTCAAGGAAATGACTCTAAACAACGATTCAATGCCTACAATATCGTCAACATCATCATCAACAGCAACAAAACCTATATCAAGCTCATCGTCATCATCCTCATTACCAGCATTTATGGAAGAGCGTTCATTTAGCAGATTCAGAAAATCAAAGGTATATTCCAGGATAATTCACAGATTCAGTTGCAGTTTGTTAAACTTGTCTTATAACATAGAGTACTGCTACTACTGCCTTGCTCTCGGGTGAGGGTCCCATACAAAAATTCTTGGATATGAAATCAGTGGATGAGCTCAAGATAGGAGAGGTGACAGAGCTATTAGCAGATTATAAACGACTAGCTGCAATGATTAAACAAGCAGGTCTTGCTTAATAAAACTCTTAATCGTTACTTGCACTATATTTCTAAGAGAGAACAGCGAAAAGTAAATTCTAAGCTGTCCATTTTTGAGCTATCGAAGCATGCGATTATAATAGGTTGCTTTATCTTTATAAACGGACCAATGTAAAAATCAAATCCGTCTCATCTCGGGGATAAGATATATATCAATGTTATTCTTCTACTTTATTTTGTAAGTTTTGGTGGCTGATCAATCTTATCTCAAATTAAAGATATCTAAAAAAGGGTCCAAAAAACCCAATGGTTGAATAATCATCAAAGGAATACAATTTTTTGAAGACACCCCAGAAAACATCTGGCAATAAACCGAACAGGCAGTACTTGAATCCTTAGGTTTAGTGCTTTCAAGTGCTTTTGTCTATATCAAACACAACGTATATTGCGGACCCAGCTAGAAATCAATTCCTTACAGCTTTCTCTCCAGCCGACTAACGTGAATCGTAACTTCGTTGAACCAACTTTGCACGTCTGGGTTCAAAATGATGACGCATGTATTAAGCATACAAAAATTCTGGGGTAATTTATATAATTTGGCATTTTTTTTTGATTTTTTGAGCTTTTAACGAGATTGTTTTCTGCACCGTTTATTACACTTCCTGTATTATTCTTCAAACTGATCAGCAAATAAATCTCGAATGAGTCAAGTATTTGGAGTTGCCAATTTAGCTGTTACAACCGCTTCTGCAGCCTCACCAGAGGTTGCTAGAATGCGTGCTTTAGCCCTTTACAGAAAATGGCAAAAATCTGTACGTTGCAAAAAATATATTGCTTTCATCTGACAAAACTTGTCTCATAGTACTGTTTTTTTTTCAAAATTCTTTGAAAATCCTCGCTTAGGTTCCTGATATTATGAAATTACATGAACTCAATATCCCAACTTCGTCCATTCGTGCCAAGATTCGTGAAGAGTTTGAAAAGAATCGCGATGTAGAAAAGCTCGAAGTACGCGATATTTTGTACGCTAAAGGAGAAATGGAATATCAAGAAGTGATGAATGTGTGGAAACAAACAAATCATATCATGAACTATTTTAGAAAAGAGGAAACACCAGCTAAACCAACGACATTCTTGGACAAGTTTTATGAAGGACGATTCTAGGGAACTGCAAAAAGTGCGCCTATGACATGTTAAAAAGGCTCTATGTCAGTGTGAAAGTATACGAGGAAATGTAACTATACATTGTAACTTTAAGCAGTCAATTAGACAGTCTTATATTTAAGGCACATTTCATCCAGACCTCTTTAAAAAATCAATAACCACGATAAAAAGAACAACCAACAACACTATTTTATTGAAATATACCACCTTTCACAAACTGGGATTTTTTTTTTTTTCTGTTCCTGATTCATACACTGAAACAATAAGTTAACTCATTTGATATTTTTGAGTCATTGAATTACATTTGTCATAATTCGAAGTTGTTCTGAAAAATTAAGGGCTGCTGACTTGTCATGCATCCAGAGCAATTGAACACGATTTGTATTTGCAATTTCAAGTGTCGTGATTCAGTGACTTTCAAAAGTATGTAAAGATTGGATTACTGGCTGAGATGAAAGCTTTATACACTTACAGAACAAAAAGGAAAAAACTGCGTACTCGGGCCTGACATATAATTGTTATATTTTACAGCTTGAATGATATCATTTTTTTTTTCATGTCTTTTTATTAATAGAGTATATAATAGATGACGAAAAATGAATAAGTTTTGCGATGCTATTTAAACATATTGAGAAATCCAACGGAAACCATCACCATAACCTTGACGCATAACAACGGAACACATGAAGACTTCAATAGGACGGATATCATTCAAAGGAACCTTACCCTTATTCCGATTATAAACAAATATTTATAAGCTTATCCATCATTCTATTATCGCTTTTTTTCCATTTGCCGTAATTTCTTACCTTGCCAGTTGTTTGGAATAAACCTAATTCTTGTCTAAGCGTTTCTTCACTAACTGCACCGGGAGCATCAATCTTATTACCAAGGATCAAGAAGGGGACCTTGGAGAGTTGTTCAATAGCCAAAAGAGCCTAATAATCAAATGAAGCATAGGATATGAGTCTGACAGCTTCGTGCTCCTTATCCATACTATAACTTACATCTAATTCCGCCTTTGCTTCGGCGAAGCGAGCATGGTCAGCACAATCCACTAAAAAGACGATACCGCCAACCTCAGGGAAATAATCTCTCCACAATCTACGTGCTTGTTGATGGCCACCTAAATCATAGGTGGTGAACTTGACATTACCAATGGAAAGTTCTTCAGACGCTATTCATTTTGAAAGAATAGAATGTTGGAGAGTGAGAAGTATTGCACTCTTTTTTTTTCTCGTCATTCTTCCAACAAGGAGCACATCTTACTTACTGGGATGAAGAGTAGGTTGTAAAGTTGCTAAACGGTCATTCTTCAACATATGTAATAGGGTGGTTTTGCCAGCATTATCAAGGCCCAAGAACAAAATCTTGGCATTCTTATTCATAAGGCCTGTTTATAGAAAAAAGTAACGTTTATGAATAAGACATATTCACTGTTAATAAGGTCATAATTCCAGCTTTGCTCTTCATCTGTCATCCGTTCCGAGATTCAAGGAATGTCCTTCTGCAATCTCCTGACTCTCCAACATATTGCCCGTTTCGTTTGAAGTGGTTAATTTTTTCTTTTTCTTTACCTAAAGAGGCCAAAACATCCCAAAACCAATTGACAAGAAACATTGCTCAAAGACTTTTACGTAAACGGAGAGATTAGGGTAAGAAAGGAAAAAAAAAAAAAACCAACAAAAATGAAAACAGAAGTCTCGAAAAAAAGGAAATAAAAACAAAAAAATGTCAAAGAAACTATAAAGAAGGTGAAACTCAAAAAGATTGGGCTTACAATCATTGGCTAAAAAAACTTATAGCCAAAAATTGTGCAGCCATTTGTTGGTTCCTGACATAGTAAGACCTTCTTTTGCATAATTTGCTTTCCTCGAATTGTTTGTACCTGAAGATATTTGACCATTTGAACATTGCTCATCATACAAAGCAAGTATAATAGGAAAAGAAATACATCCAGGGCTATTAGTGTTTCGTAAGTTCCAGTATTTCTACGACTCTTACCCTACATCTGATACAATGGAAAGAGAAACCAAGGAAGGCAAGCGGATAACCGTTGAAGCCTTCTAAGAAGAGAAAGAGTGCCAACAGCAAATAAGGAGTAACTAAACTGCGCAGCGCAAGTGTTTCTGTCATTCCAAAATAAACGCATATTTCTGAAGTACTGTTTGGTTCTGCCTTAGACCCTAGTGGCCCTAGCATAAATAATAAGTCGATCAAGTTAGAGATTATATAATTGCAGATGCGTTTTGTTTCGTATTTTTTGTTTAATTCGTTTCCTTTGTTCCTTCCATATCTCATTGCGTACCTTTCGAACAAATTCAATGTAAAAGGCAGACCTGTTGAACAGAAGCAACTTCAATACGTGTGTTAGGTGTTCAAACGGCTACAGTGAAGGTGTTATTCTTTTATCACTCTCTTCTATTCTGTGTTGGTTAGAATTGACAAAGTCATTAGATTTCTTTCACTCCTCACGCAAATATGATGAAATGTAGTACTAAGCCTCTACAAACTTCTCAAAAAGGTTATCCTCATATGTACCCTATACAGAAGGGATTGGAACAGCGCAATGTGCAAATAACGCAATCATGTAAAACCAACTTCATAATTGTGCCGAAAGAAATACCTGAATAAAGTCTAAACAGGTAAATTAATATACATTTTACTTTATGAAGATACTGAGAACTTTTAGGAAGAATCCCACTTAATCACAAAGCAATTGGCGTCTACTCCAAATAATCATATTCAGAGATCTTTAATGAATTCTCATATCGCTACTTTTATACTATGCAAAGTGCGACTTAGACCCTCAAAAAGCACTCACAAATAGCCCACAAAAAGTGCACCGGAAATGTTAATCTACTATAAGCATAGTCCAAAACCAAAATTTCAATCAAAATAACATTTGCAACTTATCGTTGATGATCCAAAATTTCAAAGCGTACTATTCTCCTTGCTATCAAATAAATTATCAAACATCAAAAGAGCATCACAAAATAAAGTAACGAAGGTATACAAAAGAAATGGAAAGTGATATTCCAACTAAAAAGCCAGGTCATCCTTTACAATCTCAAAAAGGAGTTGCTACACTGCAAGATGATAGCTCTAAACAACAAAGGTAAATTACTACTCTCAACAAGCATGATAATGCTACACTAAAGCCAGTTATTGAATATATTAGTCATTGTGTATACCAAGCTCCGGCTATCGCTTCGAAGGATCTGAGCAAGTTTGCTTCGATAGACCGGTCTATAAGTTAACAGCGTGAATAATCCTCTAAAACATACATTTTTCGCTACTCAATGTTATGCCACACCTACATGAATGTTACGATGGATGAACAAGTAGAAAAGAAAGCTGTCAGAGATTCCTTCGTTTGTTGTAATCCAAATTACGTCTTTGTTAGATATGGCTCGTAATATCGGGTCTGCTTTGGCGGTCGGTATTTGAGGCTCTCATATACATTATTTGGCTCAACATATTCCTAGGCTGCCATTTTTGGAATCAGTCAATCCAAAACCGAGGACCTCACAAAATTCAGCTGACTTCGCTAATCGAAGAGACGCGAAGCTGCGGATGCAAGTTGATCACCCTTCCTTTTTCTTTTAATTTTGTGTGACTTAATTCTCGGGTATTTAATGCTATCCTCAGGTTATGAGCCTGAAATAGGGGGTGCTTGTCCCTCCAATTTCGTTTTGCTTTCAGAGAACCTTTCCCCACGTTTAGATTCCCAATTTTGCACACATGCTGAAGCTATTTAACAACCTGGGAAGACCACTATCAACGACACAATATGTATATAGAAGACACTTACACACCACAAGTATATTATTAAAGCCACCGCCAGCAACTACTGTTACTGAAAGCGTAGGTCGCCATCGATCGTCCAGATTTCGAAAGAATGAGATTTCTACAACAGCAGGGCTGCCAGGTAAGTGACTTCGCGACCATGTGAACGTCATACTTCTTGTTCGTCTTAAACGCTTTTTGACACTATTTTGCTATAGAATCTTTCTTATCAACAAACTACATACGATATAATTCGGAACCAAACGACACAGCAAGAAAAGCTTTACAGCGTTTTCGACAGTTGCCTTCTACGACAACAGCTGAAGCAATAAAATTCAATGATTACGATAGATTTATACCTTCTTATGTATGGAAAGAATTAGAATATTCCGTTCGATCAGGTCTAGCACCAAAAGGATCAACAGCTTTTTCCAATCATACAGATCATTTAAGTATCCATATACCCAATCCCGGCGCTTGCTATATGCAAGATCATATTGTTTGTCGTCTAGCTCAGAAAGTAAAAGCACATTTGCTAGTTTTGGATCCTCAGGATTTTATCTATTTAGCGCAACACAGTTTCAAAAAAGACGGTAAAATTAAGAGGCGAGGAGTGAATGAAATTGCTTTTTAGGCAAAACAAAGAAGAACTGATGAAATATTGTGAACTATTTTAAATTAGCTGCGAGATTACTACCAGTACTTTCTGCTTCAGATCCACTTTCGAATATTCTATTAGCTCTACGCCAACATAATCATATTAGCAATAGTAAAGACAATGCGTCAAAAGGCGAGGCAGAGGAGGAAAGTTTTGGCCGACTTAAACCAGGTGGAGCAGTAGAAATTGTTAGAAAAGATGATAATACTAATGATGATGATGATGTTGATGATGATGAGTATTATTATCTGGAAAATGAGGACACTGATTCGGATGATGATCCAACTGCAAAGGCAGGACTGCATCATTTAAACAAAACCAAGGCATTTTATGATACTAAAGCAGTGGATCTCGAATTGGATGTGGATGATTTCATTAATCGACATGCAACAAATTATAATAAGCGAAGTAATAATAGAGTTAGTGCTGAAGGAGGAAGAAACGAAGCAGAGACATTAAACGATGTGCAAGAAGCGTCAAAGTCAATTATTGCTTATGTTTCTTCTAGATATACAAAAATGTTCAAAAACTTACTTTTAAAAGCGGACAATGGGAGAGGTATTAGTACTCAAAGCAGCAATACCAGTTCAGCAACAACAGCAACAACAGCAACAACAGCAACAACAGCAACAACAGCATTAATGCCAATGACAAAGGAACCAAAAATTATTTATTTGAGGGATTATAGTGGGATGCAAGATGCATTCACTCGAACCATGTTAAAGTCACTCGTTATGGCTGTGGAAGATTTGCGTCAAAATGGGCATCCCATTATGTTTGTTGCTTCGCATACTGGTGCAGAAGATACTTTACAAAGGCAACATGACATCTCTTCTTATTATCTACCTCCTATTTCCAACATGCGCTCTATGGCCATTTTGCCATCCGTAGAAGACGAGAACCAATACCAGCTTTGGAAGGATTTAATGGATAAGGATAGAAAAAAACGAATCACTGAAATCAATTCTAAAGGATTTTTGGCAATGCTTGATCAAAAAAGTGTGAAAAACTTGAGTATCCAGGAGAGAGACCATTTATTGGATGAATTGCTATCTATAGCCAACGACGATGGAGATGACAATGGGGGCATAAGTAAATTCGTTTGGGCTCCTGAAGATATTGATCGACGCGTGTCGGCAGCAATCGGACATGCCTTGGAACAAAAGAAGTCGAAATTGGAATTCTCTGATATTAAAGCTTCTCACGACATTGTCAAGCAAGTATCTGAAGTGAACGTTCGAACATGGAAAACAATAAAGAGGATGGTGACTACTACGGACTCCTTACCAACCTTGGAAGATGGTACCCTTAACTTAGATCAATTGAAAAAGTCCTGCAACGAATATGAAAGAAAATTGTTATCTAGAGTGGTGGATCCCTCAAAAGTTTATAGCTCATTCAAAGACGTACGCGCACCACCCCAAACAATAGAAACACTGCAAATGTTGATTTCCTTGCCTTTAATTCGACCTGATCTGTTCCAAAAGGGTTTGCTGAAAAAGAACTTCATTCCTGGGGTATTGTTATTCGGTCCGCCTGGTACAGGAAAGACAATGCTGGCAAAAGCAGTAGCGAAGGACAGCGGCAGTAGAATGTTGGATATTCAAGCCAGTGATGTTTATGATATGTATGTTGGGCAAGGTGAAAAGAATGTTAAGGCTATCTTCTCCCTTGCTCGGAAGCTGTCTCCTTGTGTTATATTCATCGATGAAGTAGACAGTTTGATGAATCAAAGAGGCTCAGATTATTCGTCAAAGTCGCACCGAGAAATTATTAATCAGTTCATGGTAGAATGGGATGGCATATCGAGTAACAACCAAGGCGTTATCGTCATGGCTGCTACCAACCGACCGTTTGATTTAGATGATGCTGTTCTAAGGCGTATGCCTCGACGTATCCTTGTTGACTTACCTAATGAAGAGGATCGTAAAGAGATATTGAACATTCTTCTTCAAGATGAAAACCTCCAAGAAGAGGTGTCCATCGATAGGTTGGCAAAATTGACAGAGCATTATTCAGGGTCAGATTTGAAGAATGTATGTGTCACAGCAGCACTGAAAGCTGTTCAACAAGAAGTTGCTACTAAGGAGTCCCAAACACTATCCATGAAACACTTTGAAGAGGCTATTAAAATGGTGCCTCCAAGCTCAAGTGAAGAAATGGATAGTCTAATAGAGATTAGAAAATGGGACAGTAAATTCGGTGACGGCAAAAAGAAAAAGAAGAGTCTAATAGGCTTTTCTATATAAATGTACAGGTAGATATCATTTCCCTTCCACTTGTTTACACTGTATAGATTTTGGAAATTGCTATTATCGATGATACCATGTATATTTGTCAATAAAACGTTGAATGAGTTTATTTGTTTTACTATTTTGCTTATTCTATTATTCCCAACCTGTTACAGACGAGAAATTATATTTTGTAAAATTGCGCTAAATTGATAAACTAGGTATATTCAATCTCGTGTCGCGTAGATGACATATGTCAAGTAATTTAGAAGAATCTGGCTTCAAATCAGTATTTTTTTATTTGCGTTACGCCCACACTTTGTTAGCAGTCGCTCCCCCATCATTTTCCATCATTTGACTTATTTGGTCATTTTGTTTGACTCCTGTTTTTCTTTTTGATTCTTTCCTCTTCTGTATTGGTACCGTTTGTTTCGTTTTCCTCTTCTCTCAACCTTGTCAGGTCAACTCCATCATAAAGCTAATATTTTAAACTATTCAAAATCGATATACCAGCCTGGCGTACAACGAACCTCTAAATGAAGTCAACTCATTCAATAATAGATGCAATTGCAACACCGACGCCCAAAGACATATTGCATAAAGTGACAGTCTCCAGTATCCCTTCTGCCCCACAAGAACAGCACTCTCTGATCGCCAAGATCATCGGTTTCGTGTCCTCTCTCTTATTAAGGATAGTGGGCTTTGCAACTATCTCCATACCAGTTTTCTTTTATAGAGTGTTAACTTGGTCCTTCACTTTACACCTCAACTTTACGTCATTATTGATAATACTCGCTATCATTGCAACAATTGCCTATTGGGTTGTAAGATACCGATTTTTAACCAAATATTCTCGGTTGAAGCCAATCAACAAACCACCCAAAGTTGCCTCATCCTTCGATTTACATCCTGATACAGGTGACGATGATGATTTTTCCGGATTCCCATCTAAACCAGGTGGCTACAAAAACTATCCAGATGAATTTCTATCTGCCTTCTTATCCTCCATCAAAATTTTTGGCTATTTGGAACAACCCGTGTTTCATGAGTTAGCACGTCATCTTCAAACAAAAAAGCTATTAGCTGGTGACACCTTATTCAAAAATCCTGAACAAGAAAAATCATTTTATATTGTTGTGGATGGACATGTGCAAATGTTTGTTAAGCCTGAAAATGCAGATGATGATAATAACAGTGATACTGAAGAGGAGGACGAGAGCGATCTAGAAGCTTCGAGGAGCTCTTCACAAGCCAACAGTTTTAATGGCAGTAGCGATGAATACGATTTCATGGACAATGGTATCAACAAAAGTACCCCGCGCCGTGATAAATTCAAAAATTACACACTAATTAACGAAGTAGGTGCAGGTGGCACTTTATCGAGCTTATTCACTATCTTATCTATTTTCAGAGAAAGCTTCAATCGATCTGAAGCCAAACAGAAAATTCGTAATCGATCTTTATCTAATAACCGTACAATTTTAAATCGAATTGCACCTATGGGTAATACAACAGAGCCGGCTGTGGCGACAACAAATGTTGTACCCGTTGATATGAGCAGAGAAGCTTCTGCCGATGAATGGCGTCAGGTGTTCCCTGGGCTCAAGGATTCGTCCCTGAATGCTCTCAGTGCATCATCTTCTAGACCGGACTCAGAGAATAGTCTGGCTAATGGAACAATTGCAGCAGCTAAAGCAGACAAAATAGCACAATCACCACCAGCAGTCGAAAGCATGATTGTAGCAGAGGATGATTACTTCTCCAACGAGCTTGGGCCTCGTGATACGAGTATATCAGATTCTTTGAGTAATATTAGCAGTGTCCCAGTGCACCAAAAATTATCTGTTTCAGCATCCATGCCTCTTAAAAACAACAGCCTTCGGATGATGGTTACCGATAATACCGGTAGACCCTCCTTACGCTCCCAATCGTCGTTTTCACGTCGCTCATACCGATCTGTGCATCCTAACATTATTGCACGGGCAACTGTCGACACAACTTTGGCCGTCATTCCGGAAGAAGCCTTTCACAAACTTACACAAAAATTCCCTAAAGCAGCAGCGCATATTGTTCAGGTTATTGTCACTCGTTTCCAGCGTGTAACCCTTATGACAAGTCACCGATACCTTGGTTTAACGAACGAGTTATTACGATTAGAGAAAATGGTCAATGAGTCAGCTAGTTTGCTTACTTTGCCTGCTAACTTTTTCGTACCTGGTGGTATGGATCGTTTAAGAAGAAAATTCAATCAAGAAGATGAAGAGAGCTCAGAAAATGGAAGAAGAAGCGAAGGAGATACAATAGGACCATCTGAATTAAGTCGTAGTGAAAGTTCAGGTATTATTCGAGCCATTAATATCATTGATATGCCGGGCACTCCATCCATTAACCTCAATCATTCCGGCCACAACAGCTCAATCAATTTGGCTGCGAAAAATAATTCGAAAGGCGGTAGTAATAACACTGCAGGTTCACCTAATTTGATTCAGCATCATAAGGACTTAAATCGTAATGGTGAATATAGCATGGAAGATGATGAGCACCTTCGAAACTCAGTGATGCGCTGCATGGCAGATGCGTTGGGTATCAAAATACCCCAGAATTACCGGTCAAGCACGATGACACCCAGTCAACAAGAGCATATTTCTCGTACTGCTGCTGCTGTTACTTCTCAAGCTGCACCTCGCAATTCACGTCGTATTCTGCAATACCCAATGGATTTGTTTTCCCATGCTAACGTTGGCTCGACCACTTCACTATCTTTGGATGATGATGAGGAGTCTTACGTAGATGATGATACAGACGCTCGATCTACTTCGTCTTCAGTACAGTCAGGAACGACCATATCTGATATATTTTCCACTGGTCATGGCCACGGTAGTCGAAATACTCAACCTATCTCTCCAGATGATATTCAAATTTTGTATTTCCCTCAAGGTGCAGTTTTGGTAAAAGAGGGTGCTCATAACAATGGCTTATTTTTTGTTATTGATGGTCTGTTGGAAGCTTCCATGACTCCAGCCAAGCATGAAAATGGTTTGTGCAATATTCCTTCAAGCAACCGTACAAAAACCACAAAAACAAAAGATTCGAACATTAAAAAGATAAAGAAAAGCAAACAAAATATACAGCAACGACAAAAGTTTCATGACCATGATAGTAGCTTTAAAATCTCTCCATCGACGTCTACCGAAAATCTTCCACAGTTGGCAGAAGAAGCGCAACAAGAAGCAAATAGGCCAACAGAAAACGATAAGCGTGCCAAGATCATTGCTTCTGAAGCGCCTGCTGGCAGAACCGCAGATAACCAAAAAAACGAAGGTGGTGAAGCCAAAGCGAAAAAGCCCTTATACCTCGTTAAGCCTGGTGGTTTAGCCGGTTATCTTGATGCCCTTACTGGTTTCCCCAGCTTCATGGAAATCCGTGCTAAAACCGACACTTATGTGGGATATATTTCAAAAAAAAAGTTGGATCGTATAATTGATAAGAACCCCAATGTGATGCTTAAGCTTGCAAATCAGTTGGTTGGACATGTTAGTCAATTGAGTAAGTCAACAGAAATAATAATGAAGTAGTATCTTTAACAAAACAAGAATTGGCTAATCAAATTCAAAACAGTTCTTCATATTGATATCGCTCTTGAGTGGATGCAAGTTAATGCAGGTCAAATCATTTGCAGAGAGGGAGATCCGAGTGATGCTATCTATATGGTGCTTCACGGTCGTTTAAGAACCATACATGAGACAAAAGAAGGTGTCATTGAGATTCTGGGTGAATTCGGTCATGGAGATAGCGTTGGTGAATTAGAAGTTTTAAGTAATTTTTTGTTGCCTTGCACTATCTTTTTCACATTAACTCGGTCGATATTCTTATTAACTATATTTTTCTGATATAGCTGGTGCTTCAATTTCATCTACCCTACATGCGATTCGCGATACAGAACTTGCACGCATGCCTAAGACGTTGTTTAATGCGTTGGCTATCAAATACCCTCAAATTACATTACAAATTTCCCGTATGGTAGCTTTTAGATCTCTTGAACGGGCCATGAACCCTACTGCTACTAACATTAAGTCGAAGAGCTCCAGTTTTCGACAAATCAAAACAAGTGATGATGCTTCAGAAGCCATTTCATCTATTACAAGTTCTGGTAACGGCAACAGTTCTTGTAATTATCCAGAATTATATGGTCGCAATAATGTGAACCTCAAAACAGTTGGTATTATTCCTGTGAATTCTTCCGTGCCTATATCAGATTTTGCTGAAAATCTGAAGTCTGAACTTATTCACTCGGTTGGTGCCACTTGTGCATTGCTAAACAGCGCCACTGTCGCTACTATTATGGGAAAGTATGCTTTTGCTCGTTTAGGTAAATTAAAGATGGCATCCTGGCTTGCTGAACAGGAAGAAAAGTATCGTATTGTGCTTTATTTGGCTGACAGTGGCGTTACCTCTCAATGGACGAGAACTTGTATTCGACAAGCAGATTGTATTCTGCTCGTGGGCTTAGCAGATGGTGATAATTCCGTTGGTGAGTATGAACGCTTCTTGATCAACATGAAAACAACCGCTCGTAAAGAGCTTGTCTTATTGCATCATGAAAGACATTGTGCTTCGGGTACAACTCAGAACTGGCTTAAAGTAAGATACCATGAATTGATATTATACGGTAATTCGAAGAGTTTCTAACCAAACCACTAACTTCTCACTTACCGTCGTTTAGAATCGTTTGTGGATCCAAGCGCACCATCATATTTGCATGCCTTTAAAGCAACACACAAAGCTTTCTGTATCAGAAAGATTTAGACCACCATGGTTAGTAGAACACGGTCGTAAAATGACTGCAAATTCCATCCAAGTGCTCAACAAAGTCAAAGACCAAATCAATGAGTACTACTCTGTAGTCCCGACATTTGGACGCTTACTGGACATCAACAAATCCACCACGAATTCCATAAACACATTTAGCTCACCTTCACGTAATGATTTTGCACGCTTGGCTCGTCGTCTGTGTGGTAAATCAGTCGCATTGGTGTTAGGTGGAGGTGGGGCACGTGGAATTGGCCATGTTGCTGTCATTCAGGCTATGGAAGAAGCCGGTATCCCAATTGATATCATTGGCGGTACAAGTATTGGTAGTTTCGTAGGTGGTCTCTACGCACGTCATATGGATTTGGTGTCCACTATTGCTAGAAGTAAAATGTTCGCGGGCCGAGTATCAAGTATTTGGAGACAGCTCATGGACCTCACTTACCCTGTCACTGCTTGGTTCACTGGTCATCAAATGAACCGGGCTGTTTGGAAATGTTTGGGCGACAGCCAAATTGAAGATTTCTGGTTGCCATACTATGCTGTAACTACAAATATCACGTTTTCGAGGATGGAAGTGCATACTACTGGTTATGCTTGGCGTTATATTCGTGCGTCTATGTCCCTTTCTGGCTATATGCCACCCATTTGTGATAATGGTAATTTGCTGGTAGATGGTGGTTATATGGACAACCTGCCTATTTCTGTGGCAAAGAATATGGGTGCAGATATCATTATTGCTGTTGATGTCGCATCTGATGATGACACAAGCCCTGTTTATTATGGTGATTCTGTTAGTGGTTGGTGGGCTCTTTTGCACGGCTTGAACCCATTTAGAACGTACAACATACCCAGCATAGCTGATATTCAAAGCAGATTAGCATATGTTAGTAGCGTAGCCACTTTAGAGGAAGCCAAGGTAATAGACGGAGCACTTTATTTGAAGTTACCAGTTCAAGAATGGGGTACGTTACAGTTTGGAAAATACAATGAGATCTTTCAGAGAGGATATGATGTTGGCCGTGAAGTAATTGGCCGTTGGAAGAAGTATGCACATGGTAGAATTACAGAAGCTGATAGTGATGCCAAGGTCGGAGGAAAGGAAGTAAAAGGATCAAGAGGTAGACGAAATAGTATTTAAGCTAGTACTGTTGACACTTCGCCATGTAAAAACTATACTGTATAACAAATGTAAAAGTCGTATCCAAAATTTTTTTCTTGTAAAATACATTTAATTAAAAAAGTTACGTATCAAAAGAAACAATCTACATGTAAAAGGGAGGAAATTTGGTGTGTTCTATAGGAATATGTTGGAAAGACTACTCGTCATTCAGAAGGTCTTCCCAATCATCAGCTGTAGTTTCATTTGACTTATTATCCGACTTGAGAGTGTTCGTCGTCGAAACTTGTGTATTCTTCGATTCCACCTGAGGTATTGACCTTCTTTCCTCTATATTCTTAATAGGCTCACTTATGCTATCTTCTGCAGGAGTTACAGTTGCAATGTCAGAAGAAGCGTCAACTACGGTAGAAGTATTTTTTGTTGTTGTTGTTGGCTCATCAGACCAAGCATCTCTTATAGGCTTGTAAGGATTGTCACCGCCAACCTTCATCCAACCGTCATCCTCATTGTTTTTGACCGAATTTAGAGCATCAAAAACATTTGTAGATTGGACTTTGTTTGCAATACCAGTTGAGGGCACATCATTCTTTGGCGTTAACAATTGCTTTTCTGTCCATGTCACTTCTCCTTTTTGGTTTACCCAACAACAATCTACGCGGGCAGCTTTATTATTATGGCTACCCGGTTCGTTTGTCACAAACGCATTCTTTACAATCTTCTTCAACTGCCAAATAATCTTCTCTTTTTCATCGATGGAAATTGCATCATTGATAGAAGGAACAACTACAGCATCGTTTTCGTTCACCCATTTCGAAGTAAATGGTATTGATTCATTATGTAAACTGAGTAAAGGAACCAACAAGGCGTCCAGTTCAATTTTGGTTAGACCAAATGCCATATCGGTTAAATAGAGAGCATTAATAGGATTCTTCGAGGATGGGCGAGCGTTAAGATCTGATTCAGCTTGCAAGGAAGGAGGAAGACATGCAAGTGAAGGATTTCGTGCAGCTTTTGATAACAAGATGGTTGGTATTCTACAAGGACTCGAAGATTTGCGCAAAATTACGGAACGTTGTGGTTCTTGATCTATTGCTTCAGTAGTGAGATTGAAGTGAATAGCATATCGATGAATAAATTGGCGGTTTTCTTTGCGCATAGGTTTGAAGTAATATGACTTCTTCACATTATCCTTGACGAATTCGATCATTGTGTTTTCAATGGCATGACACCAAGAAGCATTACTCAGATAGTATTCACGAAGTGTGTCATCATAATATCCAAGTTCGTCAGAACTTAAAGCCACAGTAGTATTGGACAAGCTAGGCGAAGGCGAACTAGCATAGTCATCTCTTTTGATGCCAAGAGCCAAAGCTAAGCGACGATTACGCTGTACTTTTGCGCAAAAGTCATTACAATCCAGTTCCTTCTTGACTCCTTCAGAAGTAGCTGTGGCATTGCAAGTTAATTCGATACAATTTTGTCCACATTTACAGGTAGTCTTGATTCTAGCTTTACAGGGTTCAACTTCTGGGCATGGGCCATCATGACATTTTTCTGTACAAGCATGTCCACAACGTGATCTTACTCCACCGCATATTTGAGTGCAAGCTTCGCCTTCATCAAGACAGGGGCCGCTGTGACATGTTTTAAGACATTTGTGCTTACCGCAAGGCAATGTCTTATCGCAGATACGACCACAGCGTGGTGAATCTCGGAAACAAGGTACATTCTTGAGTTCGGTTTTGCCACAAAGACAATATCGACTAACAAGGGCAGGACAAGGTGGACAGGGTTCATCGTCCGGATGACAGTTATGGTTCAAGAAACGGATGTGTCCACAAGGATTTGGTCGTAAGCAGGGAAAAGGGCAAGGAGGCAATTTCGTTCCACAACGTACAGGAGGTTCCAAGCGAGTACGGCCACAATGGCAAGTAACTTCATCGAATATTGCTTCTAAGCAAGGTGGACAATTTCCTTTGTGGCATTTCTCTTTACAATAATGGTTGCCACAGGATAACAAGCGGCCGCATATTTCTGGGCAATCGTGAATAAAATCAGTGCCCGTTTTTTTCTTTCCCTTAGACTTCATGGCTGGACAACATTTAGCACCGCATTGATGACGGCCACAGTTTCGCATAGACTTACAAACCCGGTCGCAAATAGGTGGCTCACCACCAGCAGCTTCACAAACATTCGCACAGGTGTCCACAAAGGTAGAGGACTGACACCGACAAGGAACTTCCACTTCTACTTGACAAGGAGGACAATGACCCAAATGACATTTGGCTTCACAACGATGCCCACACGGTCTAATCTTGTCGCAAATGGATTCACAAGTAGGAATAATATCTGTACATTTCTCACGAGATTTGCCATTAAGCAATTCCGAAATACTATACTTTCCGCAAGGACAGGTACTTATTACAGTTGGATCAAAGGGACATACTTGGCTATTTGCTAGACATGGATGGCAAGATTTTTGGCAATGATGTAGGCCACATACGTAAGGTCTAAAAACCATTTACAGGAAAGAGAAAACTGATAAGTAAACGTAGCGACTCACAATTATAGAGCTCTCGTCATTCTGTTACATACGTATCGCACTTTTCAGAACAATTATAATAGCCAACATGTCCTCGCAATTGTATTTGTTTACCGGTTCCGCAGCGAACTGTTCTTTCGTGTCGTCCACAATAACATGATTGTACTTCTTCCACTTCGCAAGGAGGACATAATCCTTCATGGCAGGTCTTTTCACATCTATGCTTCCCACATCCCAGCAATTCGTTGCAAACCTGTGTACATGAGAATCCTTTGGTGGTATAGTCTGTGTCTACGCAGCGTGCTTTTCTCTCCGAACGTCCGCAATAACAAGTTAAAGTAGGGCCCATCAAACTACATGGTGCACAAGGCCCTGGATGGCAAGGACTACATTGACATCAAAACAAAAAATTAGGTTGTAGAAGCAATGGTGATTTCAAACAGCTAGTTCACTTACGAAATACATTCATGTGGGCATTTTCTGGGGCGTTTGCACAACTGCTCGCAGCTGTGAGGTGTGCTATATTTTGAAGGATGTGGATTCCTTTGTTTACCACAGAAGCACATGTAATCTTTCGCTATAACCGTTCGCGTGGTTTGACATCCAGGACACCTCCAGCCAGTAATCATTTTGTTAGAAGAGGTATCTAATATTAGAAGACATAGCAGAGAATTTAGCGTTTACGTCCAATAAAGAACAGATCTTTCATCCATTCATAGCCCCCCCCCTTACCATTGAGTGATTTTTTCGCCCAATTTTGTACACAATCCAAATGAAATATAGCCCAACAGCAATCGCAACTCCAAATATGATGGGCAGGTCTAACAACATCCATACAAATCATGCATTCATAAGTTGAGGTTTTCAATTCATGAGCCAATACTGTTGCCATATCATTTTCCCCAGATAATATTTGATGTGATCCTTCCTTGTTGTTCCGTGTTCTATTCCTTCTCCGTCTATTATTAGGTTTTGATTGTTTGTTCGTTGCAGGGTCTTCATCTTGCTTTGTTGATGTATCATTTATTTCATGACTTTCTAGTTGCGCTTGTTGCTGCAGTTGCGTATCCACTGACGCATCTGAAGACGCCGAGGTCAACCGACTCTGATTCCTATTTTTCCGTAATTGACTAAACGATGTACTTTTCTTATTCGATGATATATCATTGTTCGATTTTTTATTCTTCTCATCCGTCGCAGCATTTTTATCTTTGAGCTCCTTCGGTTTACGGCTTCTATTCCTGTTCTTATTCTTATTCTTGTTCTTGTTCATGTTATCTGCTGAAGCACCAGAGTCCTTCTGCAACTCTCCCTCGGGCGAACTTCCACTCTTGGAGGCCTCAGCTTCAGTCGCATTCAGAACGTTGGCGTTCTTCTTGCGCCCTCTACCTTTGTAATGCTTTTTGTTCTTCTTTTCCGTATCGTCTTTCTTTTGTTGATTTGTAGGGCTGACTGAGTTGTCCTTGATTTTGGTATATAAAGACTTGGATATCACAGAAGAGCTATCTGTCTGCCCTTGAGTGGCTACGACTTGGCTGGTATCGCTCATGATATCAGAGTAGAAAGTGTTTTGAAGCAGTAGAGATTTGAAATAATAAATGTGCGGTTTTTTTTTTTGAAGATTAATGCTTCCTTTTATACCAAGTGACTTGTAACTGCGGCCAAAGAACTTTTTTGAAATTCAACTGTGCTGAGTCTCTCTCTCCATGAACCCACTGCTGCGGCTGCTACGGAACGCACCAATAACATTCAAAATCGCAGGAACAAAAAAGAAATATGCCTTGTTTTTTTATGTGTTTTCTTTCATTGGACACCATTACAACTACACGCGCACATAGCAGAAAGATTGTTTTCTAGCTGGACGCACAATTGGCTTTCAATAGACACATGGATTAATAATGAGAACCTGATAGTAAATCTATTAAACTGTGTAATAAAGCAATGTCGATACAAACACAAATCTAAAGCCAATAACACTTTATAAAGTTGCATCCACTTGATAAGAATGGTCGTAAAGTCAAGTGAACACTTTTCTAACAAGGTTGATCTACTACTTTATGGTACGTATGCAAAACGTTTGGAGTTCCTTTTTTTTACCATTCGTTAATGGTTATGCATGGAAATACATTAGTTAAACCTAAGATGATACCACGTAACACGTTTTGGTAAGTGTTATTGGAACAAATTTGACATCACTTATTCATGTTACGGGATATTGAGTTGATCTCTCTGCTTTTCTCACATGATGCATTCAGTCATAAAAGACTGAATGTAAGTTAAAGCAGACACAGTTACTGTGGGATGGGAGCAAGAAGAATAAACAGAGCCCTTTTTCTGATCAGCTATTAGAAGCAAAATCTCCAGCGAGCCCGCAGACAGTACACAGTGGCAGTGGGGGGGGGAAAAGCAAGTGATTCAAAAAAGTCGTAGACTGTCTAAAGAGGCTTTTTAGTTCTGAGGTAAACTTAATCTGACCTATCTATGCTATGTCGCGATAGAGGAACGTAGAATATCGAATACCGTGTCAAACACTGTGCCACAAGGGCTCAATGAATTAAGAAGAAGCTGAGTTTTTATTATCATTACAATTGATCTGTGAATCCATGGTTGTCATTTTGAAAAAAGCAGATGTGAGGTCAGGAACATTTTGCAGTTCTTTTGTAGAGTAATAACGTGAGCCTGATTGGAGCATACCTTGTTTCTTCGCGTTGTCGTCATCATTATGAGCATCCTCAGAGGAACCATATTTATAATTGATACTGCCTTCTATATCGGTAGGACTGATAGCTGCCACAGAGTCCCTAATTCTACTAAACCATTGTTTCTCATTTTTACCATTCAGAAAAGCTATGATTTCGACTGTCATATTGTCACATCCCACACCGCCTGTATTGGAAGAGTCTGCGAGACAGTTATCCATCAACTTTTCACAGATTTCTTTCAAAGAAACGTTGTTGGCAGCGTTCTTTCTTACGAAATTTGCCACTTCTTGATTAGTCATACAATCCCAAATGCCGTCGCAAGCTAAAACGATAAACTCGTCTCTTTCAGTGATTTTGTGCATGGTGATATCAGGTTCAGCTGGACAAGTAGAGATTTTACAGGAAAACCCAAAACAAAACAAAGAGGAATAAAGGTCAATACACCAATGAACGATGGATAAAAGTCCCAACAAAATGAGTACCTGACACTGCTTGTTTTTCTGCTGGTAAAGTAGGATTATTCTTGAACTCAAAGTCACCTAAAGCCCTTGATAGAGCAAGATTTCCATTGACGCGACCAAACTCGACGTGCCCTCCAGCATTTACAATTCTATCTTTTTCTTTCTGATTGGTGGGTTTATGGTCTTGCGAGAGAGCAATAGCAGTACCATTTGTGCAAATGATGGCCCTTGAGTCGCCGGCGTTACTCTATTCACGAAAGGAAAGTTAGGCATTGGTGTTGTTTCTATGCTACATGAATATACAGAATGGTTTCTTACCACATATAGCACGTTATCTTTGGTTAACATTGCAACAATGGCAGTGCAACCTGAGGTTTCATGTTCATATTCAGGATCTATTCGGTCGCATGTACTTCAGATCAGGATCCGTTCAATACCAACATAACAACAACTACGTTTTGAGGGCAGATCAGTTGCTTATTTACCTGCGCGTAGTTTGGTGTCAATCTGTAGAAAGCCTCGTCTTAGGCTCTCTTTAAAGTCTCCATTCTTGAATTCGTCAGATTCTATCACTAGTGAGGGTAAATGTTGACTACTATATTTTGCAACCTTCGCACCTATTGAAACCAGCATTTTATGAATAATAAAGAACTAGGTCGTAACGTTTCCAGTATTATGATATACCTCCATGCCCATCGAATACTGCGAAAAAAGCAGCACCTGTATCATTGTAACTTAAATGATGGCTATGGGCATCTTCCATGCCTATAAATGTAATTTAAGTCGTTGTTCATAGCCAGAGATTTGTGGATATTTTCATTTACTTATTCTCCATCCTTGCATAGACGAGGCGCCAAAAGAAAGACGTTCATCCTTTCCTTCTGTCGTATGCTTTGTAGTTATGGGCGAAGAGAGAATTTGGCCCATATCGTTTCCTTTAAAAGTTTCGAATGAGATTGTTGCAATGAGGTAGTGGAAGTAATGGAGTTTGTCAAAAAGCTTCTTCTGCTGCCAATACGTCAATGGTAGGTAATAATTTCGTCTGTCTTTTTTTTTTTTTTTTTTTTTTTCCTTATGTTGTTGACAAGGAAAAAGAGGTGTGTGGATCCTAAAAATTAATGGAAAGAAGAAAGAGAAAAAGTCAACAAAACGGTAATATGCAACTTTTTTTTTTTTACTTTATTTTAGAAAATAATGCAAGATTAAGGTGTCACAAATTCCTCATTTTCTTTGTTAACGAACCCTCCATCTTCCGGGCTAAAATGATATACACTTTTCATATGTTTGTGCTGTTGTGCCGGGACCATCTTTTTGTTATAACAAAAAAGCGGGAAATAGTTGAATGAGTCTCCTCTTTTTACATATAGATTACTTAAGACAGGGTTGGATTCGATGCGCGGTAGTCTGCCTATAAATTGAAAGATCTTCTCTTTAACTACTGTAAGCACTGACTCATCGAAAATGAAGTTGAGCAATGTATCGTTTTAACCGATGTTGGAGCAAGCAGTGCAAATATAAGCTGAAGTTCAGAGTGTCTACTTTTAAAGACACACCTTCGTTTTTTGTTTATTTACATACAAATAATTGTCAAACCCTTCAATCCCCAATTTGGCAGGCATCACGTGCGTCAACCAAATTATGGTTCTAGAACTTGCGTACATATTGACTATGGCAATATTTTCTTTTCATACAATTCGGATAGAGTAGTAACGAGCTCTAAAGTACTTTGCGTTTTGGAAAGGAAAGGATCAAGGGTAGGATAGACTGAATGGCATATTTCAACTTGGACTGAAACAGCCAGTTTCCTGTTGATGTCATTTGGATTTTTTATGGCTGCTGTGTTAAAAAAGGGAGAAAGCAGCACCAGCAGCAACAACAGCAGCACCAGCAGCAGCAGCAGCAGCAGGGCAGCAGCTTCCAGCAATAGCAGCGATTAAATTTGTGTGAGGCGAAAAGAGTGAGCTTCCAATTTTCTATTTCAACAAGACACTGCAGTTGCTCGTTGTTTTCACATTCTTTTTCCCTTTTCAGAAGTATTATTTATTGACCTTTTCTCTTTACACCCTACATCTCTAATATACAACAGCTTTCTTTATAAACCAATTCTAACACTACAACGAGATGGGAAATTCTTGCAGTAATTGCTGTTCAAACTGTTTTGGAAGTAAAATACACCGACCGAATTAGATTACAAACGGGTTATGACAAGTGTTTGTTTTAACTATCTCATCCTTCACGCATTCAATACAAATAGAACGTAACCGAAATGGACTTTATGAACCTTTATTACAAGAAAACGAACGGGAAGCTATTGCCGAATTACTACAATACCTTGAAAGTACGTTTCCTTTTCACTTTCCTTTTTTTTTTTTCATTCTGTTTCATCCTTGCAATGCACAAGTTCTTTTTGGTTTATTCGTTCATATCTTTATCTCAAATCACATTATACATAAGACCGTAGCGATACCAACTTTTTCGAAGGAGAACCGTTGCAAGCACTGTCAACATTAGCGTGCTCAGACAATGTCGATTTACAGCGGTCAGCTGCTCTTGCATTTGCAGAAATCACTGAAAAAGATGTTCGTCAAGTAGGACGTGATACTCTAGATCCAATACTATTTTTGTTACAATCCCATGATGTCGAAGTACAAAGAGCAGCCAGTGCAGCGCTTGGTAATCTCGCCGTCAATAGTAAGTGAACCAATCTTACAGTAGTTATCAGTTTTCCAGTCCTAGTTGGCATTATATGATACACCTATACTCAAATTAAAGTTGAATGCTCTTCGAATAGCTGAAAACAAGTTATTAATTGTGAAACTTGGTGGACTTGAGCAGCTTATTCGGCAGATGGGTTCTCCCAACGTTGAAGTGCAATGCAATGCTGTAGGTTGTATAACCAACCTTGCAACTCATGATGAAAATAAGACAAAGATCGCAAAATCAGATGCTTTGCGTTTGTTGGTTGACTTGGCAAAATCGAAGGATCAACGAGTGCAAAGAAATGCTACAGGCGCTTTACTAAATATGACACATACGCGTAAGAAAAAGAACACAAAACATGATTTGTCCATTCAGTTATTCACATCGTTTTTGTGTCCCTTATTTTTATGTAGAGGAAAACAGACAGCAGTTAGTGAATGCCGGAGCTATTCCTGTATTGATCAGTCTACTTAGTTCTCCAGATGCAGATGTGCAGTATTACTGTACAACAGCATTGTCAAATATTGCGGTTGATGGTAAGAACGGAGGATGCGGCCTCATGTTGTTAGACAGTACAAGGAGCTGACATTTTTATCAATGTTATATAGCTAGCAACAGAAAAAAACTTGCTCAAACTGATTCGCGGCTTGTACAGTACTTGATCGCCCTGATGGATACAAAGAGTCTAAAAGTACAATGTCAAGCAGCCCTCGCTTTACGAAATCTAGCATCTGATGGTAATTCAGGAAAGAACATGTAAACTTACTTGATGTAGATGACATACTTATCTTTTTTCTCTTTGTAGAAAAATATCAACTTGAAATTGTTCGCTGTAAAGGCCTTCCGCCACTATTGCGCCTACTCAAGTCATCCTTTTTGCCACTTATTTTATCCTCAGTAGCGTGTATTCGAAATATATCTATTCATCCCGCGAATGAATCTCCCATTATTGATGGTGGTTTCGTTAACCCACTCATTGAGTTGTTAGCTTACGATGAGAATGAAGAGATACAATGTCACGCCATCTCGACACTTAGAAACTTGGCAGCCAGCTCAGAACGCAACAAGCGAGCTATTGTTGAAGCAGGAGCAGTAGAGCGTATCAAAACGTTGATTAAAAAAGTACCTGCAAGCGTTCAAACGGAAATGACAGCAGCCATTGCTGTATTAGCATTGAGTGATGAACTGAAGCAAAAACTGTTGGGCATGGGCATCTTAGAAGTGTTGGTGGATCTGACATCGAGTTCAAATATGGAAGTAGAAGGAAATTCCGCAGCAGCTATTGGTAACCTAAGCTCCAAAGTAAAAGACTACACGGCATTTGTTGCAGCTTGGAATAGTACACCTTCAGGTGGTTTGGAGAATTTCTTGATACAATTTCTTTCAGAACAGCAAGATATTGCTTTCCAGCATATAGGTGTTTGGACGATTGAACAGTTCTTAGAGGGTGAAGATGAGAAGTTAATCGCTTTAATCGCTGGTTCCGACACGATTATAGAGTCAGTACAAAGAATTGTCGATGAAGGACGGCAACAGTCAGTATCACAAGGAATCAGCGAACAGCAGCAACAATCAAATGCAAGTGACGACGGGGATATTTACGGTCTAGCTAAACGTGTTTACCAGACTCTACAGCAAATCAGAGAGTCCAACGAGAAAACACAAAGAAAACAGCGTTAATCAAGTCTTTTTCAAAATAGTAACACATGGTTGATCTTCCCCCTTCACCAACGCAAACGTCTCACACTTATACTCAGAGCTTCCATGACTTTTCATACTTTTTCCCTCCCCCCCCCCTTTACCGACATTTTGCTATGTTAGCTTTTCTTTTCTTTTGCTTCTATTTCCAACAGAAGGATGGCTTCAGTATGCAAATCTTTCTTTTTCTCAAAATTTACGTAAAAAAAAAAATCAATAAAAGGCCTTTATGCAGTTACCGAAGATTGATCTTCCTACTACGTTTTCGTTTTTCGCAGAGAACAATCGGCTGAGATGAAATTTGAAGGTGTCAAAAATCATGCAATAAAAACGGAGAAGGTCTGCAGTCACTTTCGGTTTTGACATTTTGTAAACAAAAGAAAGAAAAAAAAAAAAAAAAGGTTTTCTTTTCTGCTTTCTTTTTTTTAATAGAAGTAGAACACTTCAATCGTCCAATGTCAATTGAAAAGAAAAGACCAAGAGGATTAAAGGGCAGTGCTGCCTCCAAAGCCAATAAAAAAGCCAAGACCGAAGAAGTCAGTAATAAGTTGGAAAACGCTCAAACAGTTGTCATTGACAAGGAAATTGAAGAAGGTGATGAAGTAGGAGAAACTGCTGCCCTCTTTGAAAACGCCATTGAAAAGCTTGGTAAGTCTCCTCTCTCTCTAAATCAACCCACAGTAGCTCTTCATCCTTTGATGAAGGAAAACAAAATACTAACTTTTGCTGTGTTATTGACAAACCACTAGACTCTGATCCTTCTAGTGCTTTGGCGTTACTTCGAGGCACTATTCACGAATCCGATCGAATTTTGCGTAATCATGACGATCAAAAGGACGAGAAGCCATTGCCTGCTATTTTCTACTACACTTATGGTTCCGCTCTTTATGAATTGGGTCGGTTGGCTGAAGAAGAAGATTTTGGTCCTTATTTGGATGCAGCTGAAGAACGTCTTTCGGAAGGTTTAGAGCTTAAAGATAGCGAAGAAGTCATTCAAAAGATTTACTTATCACTTGCCAAGGTATGGCTTGCTAAGGCTGCTAGCACTGTATCTCAAGGGCAGCAAGAGATCCCCGAAATGTCTGTTAAGGCACTAGAAGCTCTTGATAAGCATTTAGTTGTCGATGCTAAGAACGTAAAGGCAGTGGTCGAATTGGCTGATATTGTTCAAAACCATGGTGATTTGTACGAAAACCCCGAGTCTCGCGATAAGTTCAGACTTTGGGCCGAAAATGTCTTGGAAAAGGTTTTGAAAGGTAAGAAAGAGACACGAGATATAAATAAACCGGTTTAAGAATAGGCTATATTTATTCGATGCTTCCTTTTTCATTAAAGACGAACCTAACAATGCTCAAGCTCTGTCTGCGCTCGGTTTGTGCAAATTGTCTTTGGCTAACTTCATCTTGGACAACATGGATAACTCAAACGAAGATGATGAAAAGACTGAACGTACCGAAGAAGAGGAGAAAGCCTACAAGGCCATCCTTGAAAGCAAGGACTATCTTGAAAAGGCTAAGGCTACACTTATTGAGGAAGATAAGCTGTCTCCACAAATTCTCTCCGATTTGGCTGAGACCTATTTGAATGAAGCCAACTTGACTTTGAAGGAAGAAGAACAGGCTGAAATCTATACAAAGGCGGCTGATGCCATCAAAGAAGCCAAGAAGTTGATTGAGGAGAAGAGCCTCGACTTCACATTACCCGAGGCTCTGACGTCTTATTTGGAAGAATTTGAAGCCTAATTTCTAATCCCTTCGCTATAGATATAGATATTTGCATTATAATAAAAGTACATCATTCGTTCGAGCATCTGCATACGAAATTTACCGTCTTGAAAGCATTTGTTGGCCAACCGGACAATTACTTCTCGCAAAGTAAAGATGAGGAACCTTCGAATCCAGAATAAAGTAACTCTTATATCGACATCTTGTGGTAAGGACTAAAAAAATGCGTTATTGTGTATTACATCCCTTCCCGCCCAAAAAGGTATTTATACTCAATAATAGCTAAGGTATCACACACCAGAGACGGACCCATAGAGTAATAACTCTTTCAATTACCTTGAATCGAGAAGTAGCAATAATAGAAAGAGATAGTCTGTCCACGTTACTTCTCCATTTTGGAAAGTCACTTTTTCTTTGGATTATTTAAAGACAAAATTTAAGTGCTTATAAAGGAGATGGTCAATAGCAGTACCGAGTATTCGTAAGTGCTTTACTGAAATATCGTGGAGGCTTTACCTAGCTGCAACGTACTGATCCCTTGAATACAAATTCTATGTTAGCAGAGCTTACTATGTTGGCGGGCATTGTTCATTATACGACGTCAGGGCAAAAGCATACGGGTCATTTGAAAGGCTGTTTTAAGCTTATCTATTTCCAAGAATTTGTACTTGCTTACCTTTCGCTGTTTCCTAGTTTATTCCTTTTTGTTTCCCTGCTATGTCTCGTCAAAATGTTTAAATTAGTATGAGAGAATGATGACATACTCAGGTTATATTATGGACCTAATTTTCGGGGCATTCAAAAAAATAAAAAGAGACCCGTCCGTTTCGATTTCATAGAGCCTTACAGACAGATGTTCCCAGGGACTGATCTTCTAGTACGGTCTACCTTTTTTCAAGGTCGACGTACTATTGTAAAATAGCATCTTATGGAAAATAACTGTTCATAACGGCATTAAATGAAGAATTCAGCTACAACAGTTAATAACATTAGAATTATTCTAACATATAATTATTTTCATTATTACTTAGTTCCTTGAATAACTGGAGATTTAAAATGCACAAGAAAAAAAAAAAAAAAAAAAAAGTTTGGATTCATACAATTAATGATGGCAAATTGGTTTATTAATCAGTTTGACAGACTTCTTATAGTTTGGTTGGCTTTACTTCACCCAAAAATAATGTCTTATCTGTACTAGCGCTCATGACAATGGGTTCTTTTGGATGCCAATCTACATCATTCACGCATCCTTTATGTCCAGGAAGCTTATACAATATCTTTCTTGAATCCACTTTCCAAATGACTACTGTTCTATCAGCTGAACCGCATGCAATTTGTGAACCATCTGTTGACCAACAAGGTTTAATTAAATTCTTTTCAAATCCATGTGGTGCTCCTTCGAATATTTTAACGCATCTGTCTGCTGGCGCGAAAGGCTTCACATCCCACATACGCACTATTTTAAGTCCATGAAAAAGAATAAATTCATCTGATATACATTAAGCTACTCAAATGCACCCTTTCTTCTTTCTTACCGGTGTTATCCATAGCATTTGATAATAGATAAGATCCATCTGGACTCAATGATAATCCCGTCACCGTATCCATATGTCCCTTCATTGTATATGCCAATTGATTTTTACGTAAATCCCATACTTTGATTTCATTGTCTATACCGCCTGAATATACCATATCACCCGCCTCACTGAAACAGACACTTGTCACTTGATAGTCATTCTCAAATGTATGCACAGCCTCTTTCGAGTTGTTATCCCAGATTTTGACTGTGCCGTCATCGCTGCCAGAAACAAGACGCTCAGGTCCTCTACGTGCGACCTGACAACTATTCACAATGCCTGTATGTCCTCTCCATCGGCGAACCCGTTGGCCAGACTTTGTATCAAAAATACTGACAGACTTATCGGCAGAGCAACTATAAATATGATTGCCATCTCGAGACCAATGCATTTCCATGACGGCATTTGTATGACCTTTGAGGACTCCATAATTCTTGATTTCACCATAAGTATTCCATAGCACTGTATACCAATTTGTCATGTGAGCAAAACAGTTAGGATGCAAGCCAAGCTTCGTTGAAATGAGTAGTTAAAAAACTTACATATTTGTCGATCAAAACCTGCACTAGCTATGTATTCACCGGAGCGATCAAATTCACAAGAATAGATTTCTCCCTGCAAAAAGAGTAAATCGTTAATTTCGCGTCTTACACTAATCACAGTATTGGCTATATCTTCTAGTGCCTCTCATTGAGAATTGACGTTCTATTGAAAGAGCAAAAACTACCTCGTGTCCCATCAATTGCATAACAGGTGCGTCTAATCCTGATGTACGTTTAATCTATCGATTTTGATGAAACATAGTGTACACATGTAATCATACTGTTAGCTACTTTGTCATCACAAATCAAATGTTGGTTTTTTTCAATAAAAGAAAAGGCTGCTGACACGTACAGTTCCTACAATAGCATTCTTCGTTCCAGACTTCTCATTAGACAGGTTGATGAGGGATTTATCGTTGTTATCCTGGCCGTCTTGCTTGGCTCGTTTCACAAGTGCTCCTCCACTACTATTACTTGAAGCGTCTTTTCTCTTCTCAGCCATCTCAAATATCAAAATTCAATGTTTGCTGCTATCGTTAAAAAGTGTAGAAAACAAAAAGAGTAGTGAAGCTGTTGGCTCTGCTGTTTTTCCGGCATTGGATTTCAAATTTTGGCAAAAAAAAAGTGACTTCCGCGCACATGATTGAAAGGAATTATATACAGGTGGACCCCACATTTGAAAGAGCCTTTTTTTGTCTTCTTTGCTTTAAACTTTGAAAATGTTTGCTACTCAACGTCTTCGATCGATCGCGGCTTCCCCTATTTTGAAAAGACAACTTCACTCGAGCTCATATGTTATGGCTTCCGAAAGCAAGCAAGGATTATTCAGTAAATTAAATCCATGGGCTAGTAAAACAGATACAACTGTGAGTGAATCAGTGGCTACCCCTGTCAACAGCCCCGAAGATGATAAAGTGACATTCAGAGTAGATTATGAAGAGGAAGAAAAAGAGAGCATCAAACCGTAAAGTATTTCTCAACATTATCAATGGGAAAAGATTAGCATACTAATGCGATATTACATGAATAGTTGGTTGAATGAAGCACAGTTAACAGATAAAGCCGAAATTGAAGCAAAAGTTAAATCTGTTATTTTAGAAAGAATACAAGAAGCAACAGAAACAAATTGGAAAGGTTTACCTTTCAAAACACTCACTGCTAAATTTAAAGTCATCAAGGATGCGATAAAAGAAACAGGCATTGATGTACCCAACTACAAATTAAATGAACTGAACACGACAGATGATATTCTATACTATTTTACAGAAGAAAAGGATATTATTTTGACAGCCAAAAAGCAACAAAACGAGACTATAAAGGACTTCTTTGAAGAAAATAGAGAATCATTACCATCAAACATGGTATTCGTACCTAGAGATTAATTTATTGTTACAGACGTTGGCTTACATCATCAAATAATTGTTTATGCAGGAACCATAACTGATTTAGTGGAATTTTGTCAAAATAAATAGCTAGTAATCCTTGGTTTTGTCTCTGCTGGTATAATAGATAATGCTCTTTATTTTTTGATTTTTGCGTTATCTGCTTCTGATTTCGCGGATATTTGTATTCTAAACCCATCTGCAAGAGCTGGGCGCACTGTAGAAAGAGAGTTTATTAGTGTATACGCATCGTCATTTTTTGATATGCAGCAACATTACCAGTTTCTTTAATCTAGGCTCGCTGGGCCATATCCATTGACGATCTGTATACCGATACTTCTCGTAGATTTGATGTAATAGTTCATGACTTTTATCGAGATCATTTAAATCAATTAAAAGAGGCGCTGTCATCAAGCCTTTCTCGTAATCAAAATGTACAAAATGAATTAAACCCGGATAATTGATTGCAAATGATAAGATAGTGAAATGAGTTGATTCCTTCGTCAAAAGAAAGGCTTCGAAATCTTTTAAGTAACTCCTGAAGTTCTTCTTAAACATTTTCACTTGAACTGGCAACGGTTTCCAACTAGCTTTGGTTGTATTGACAGAATCGGAAGGGGATAAAAAGCCTTTATTCAACATCTATTACATTAAATTTACAACGTTAAGGTTTGTTAACGAAGTTTGGTGTAAAAAAAAGAGCCCAATTACTACATTACCTGTGCTTGTTGTGGATTGTCACCAAATATGATAACGCTACTCAATCCTTCACTCAGTATGATTAGTAGAATATTTGCATAGAATAACCTACTACTATTGGTACCGTTATCGATCAACTTAACCCAGCGTTTGAGTAAGCGTACATCTTCTATTTGATCAGAGTAGCTTATTTCATTATTTACAAGATTCGTTAAAAGGTATCTTAGAGACAAATCTTCATTGTTATTCGTTGATGTGTTCGTGGCATTGCTAGTAGCGGTAGTAAGGCTATGTGATCTGGATCGTTGAATAGGCGATAGAGTTGATAGGACAGACATATTGTCATTAAGCTGCGTTGTTGTTGTAACAGTATTTGTCGAATTGAGACTACTTGTAATAGTAGTGTCTGAAGGTAAACTACTCGATAGATATGAGGATGAACTGATTGTATTATATTGGGGATGATAATGGTTATTAAAATTATTGTCAATATTGAGTAAATCAGATATAAGTAACTGCTGAATATGTTGATCTTGTGGTATCGTCGTAACATTCGAAGGTGTTCTGTTTAACGAGGGTATATGATGTTGATGTGTATAGTTGCTATAATTGGATGACGAAACCGACGACGCGAAAGGGTTGCTCCAATAGGGAATAGAACTTGATTCAGGTGCAATTACTGTAACTGAAGAAGCTGATTTTTCCTTTATCTTAAAGGGTGCATTGCTACTATTGCTGCCTGCATACATATAAGTCAAGGAAGAGGGTTGGCTAGCATTATTCAAAGTGTTGAAAGACGAATTTCTTGATTTTATTGATAAGGAGGATCCTGAGTCGGTAATAGCACTAGTATTGATAGTGGAATTACTATTGTTCTTTGAGTAATCAGCTGTCGTAGTATTCGAGAAAAATGTTGCATTTTGTTGAATTGTTGATAAAGAACTCGAACGTGCTATATTCTGTGGGGTTGTATGATTAAGGTTGTGCCTGTTTGTATGGCCTGTCAAAATATGAGACGTGTTGGTCAATTTTACTTTCATCAGCATCCGTAGGTCAATTGCCAATTACAGACTAACCATATTCTTGCTTTTCCTGCAAAAAATTGTTCGCCAGCACTTTTATAAAGTATAGAAATGGCTCGGACGTATCAATTTGCTGAGAGGAAGCTTCATTCCGACATTCCACAACCAACTTGTCTCTTGCCAATAAATAGCAATTAACCCAGGCACCGCTCTTGCTACAGTTTTCCTTTTCAGCTGCCGTTTCAAAGGAATGAATATTGAACTTCTTCAAGTTATCAGCTATGAAGATGGAGTGCCTATGCTTATGACGCAGCTTCGAATGTTGTTGCTGTTGCGACAAATTATTACTGTGATCGCTACTATTAATGCTTAATGAGTGCTGCTGTTGACAAAAGGACGTATTACAGCATTCAGCTAGATATTCCATTAATTTAAGTCGTAAATCATCGTTTAATTGCACTTGCTCACTGTAACACAAATTATCAGGGACTGTTAGAGATAAATGCTGCTGCTCTGGTGTCATGAATGGTAATAAGGATAAGCATTTCCTCAGATCTCCATATATCCTATAACTAGTAGCTTTCCGTTTTTGTTGCTGTTGTTTGCCTTTTACAAAGTGCATTTGCCACTGAGGTCCGAAATGAAACTTTATAAACTGATGCATAAGCCTTAAATGTTGCTGCAACAATTCAATTGAGACATTCCTTTTTTTTGTGTATGCAACGTATAAAAGACCTTGTTGCTAGAAAAATCGGTTTCAATTTCCAGGTTGATAGAATAACTCTTTTAGAAATATTAAAGTACCTCTCGAAAAACGACAGTTTTTCGTCCCAACCTAACATACTGCATGGCATCGTGAAGATTGACTTTGATGAGATCTTTAATGACCAGAAGAGGTAAATAACGTATCCCGAGATCTTCGTTTAGATCTGCGGATGTTGGTATTGTTGTTGTCTTCAAATTGGCAGTAGCTGTAGCATCACTTTTTCCATTTACAGACTGATAAATAATACTCCCTGATTTGTTTATTATAAAATAACTTATCATTGAACGGAGAAAGGGAAGACGCAGGAAACGAAGTTCGATGCCAATTCACCAGTCTTCGTCGGGGTCGGATTTTTTAGTAGATGCGTTTAAAAGAGAGGTATTTTTTTTTATTGATAACCCAATGGACACAATGGTTACAAAACCGGGCAGACCCTACTGATGGACTCAGTACCGACGCCTCGCTTAATCAACTACTTATAAATTTGATTGCCCGGTCCTTGCATTTTTTCAATCAACTTAAATTGCGTTTGGTCCTCGGTTTGGTCCTCCAAAAAAAAAGCATAAAAATGGTACTTTTTCTGTAGTTTAAAAGCTTCTACAGTTTTATAACATATATAAGAACTTATGCGAAGAATGGATTAGAGTTTACCGAGAAATGCTAAAAAATTTTTTTCGAAAAGGAACGAGACGCAACTGTCACTCCAATTGAAATTGTTGAAAGTGCTGATTATTTTTTGTTAAGAACTTTAGGACTAATTCAATAGGAAAAATGAACTGGGCAGTTTGTTATACCTCAGGACGGGATAAAGGATTATTTAGCAGATATGGTAGCTTTCTATCTCTGAAAGATGCATTTGTAAACAACAGATTGTAAATTTGTTTTATATCTATCCCGAATAACTTTACAACATTGTACAATTGAATGCATAAAATTGAACTATAATATCCTATTCTATTAGTGTTCTTTAAACCATTCTAAATATTCGAACATTAAACCCCTCCTAAAAGAACCACCTGCTGTGTTTCGTGGGATAGCAGTTATAGTGTACATACGGTTAGATAGAGAACACGTTCTACCGCATCTAAAATGTGTTATGCAAATATATGACAAGATAGAGACCTAAGTTTGTTTGTTTTTTTATATTAATGGTCACACATACGCGGAAAGGTGGGACGTGGAGAGAACTATGGGTATAAGGGTAAAAGCTAGTTTATAAATCTTCGTAGTTTGAAACGGGGGTCCCGAAAAGTCGTACTCCCCAATAGGCTGCCCAAAGAAATCACGTAGTGGTCGATAGAAGTTGACACCAGTTATCAAGTGTGTTCTTGGTATTTTAAGATACAGTAGATAATCCAGAATAACAGAGATATTGGATTCGATCGAGGAATACCCATATATATTAAGAATAGCCGATAGATTTCTAATTAACGGGACAGTACACTAGAAGATGTTCCAGGTTATGGACACATACCCATAAAGGCAACAATGTCGTTATACTATCTTGCCGATGGCGAAGAAGGTCCCAGGCTCCGATGTTAATCACATTGATGGTGATCTTATCGTTCCAAATCCCCTTTACCTATCAACTCACCTGCCAATGGGCATGCACACCAGTTAACTGGCGAACAGCACAAGCCATACCTATCTACAAAGAGGACCTCCCACTGATCCAGCTTCCTATCGCCCAATTAGCTTCACATCCACCTTTCGGAAAGTCCTTCAGCACTGCCTAAGATATTTGCTTAAGCGCTGATGATTGATAACTGCTATAAGTCGATGACTATGAACTTAGGTGTCTTTACTACTCTTCAGATGAAGTAGAAAGATTCTTTTCTATGCAACGTCTGATAGAAATTATATTATATTGAAGACGCGTATGCTAGTCACTAATTTCAGGTTCAGATGCTTTGTGTGTGTCTTGTTGTATATTGTAAATAACCTATATTAGATGCAATATAGATAGACCGTGATAGAATGTATTCTCTACTTAGTTGTACGTACTGAGTATTGTAGTTGTTATCTCACTAAACACGTCAAGAAGGATTGTAAAAAACCGGGGCTCGACTTTTATAAGAAAAAAAAAAAAATAGCTACAACTATGTCTGGTGACGGAAACGCTCATTAATTACGTATCATCGCACTACCCAAACACAAGGTGGCCTGGGCCTACTTGCAGCAGATAAACAGCACTTAATGTTACAGATGAAGTACTTATTTTCGTTGTGTAATATAGATAATAGCCATGGCTCTATTGTGACCACAATTTACATACGAATTAATGGGTTCACAAACGACAATATCAAGCATTAACATTGTCAACCATATTCTTTATTGATTCAAAGCTCGATCTGTTAAACATATATCCCACTTTCTTTTTCATTATCGTCTCGTTTGTATAGACGCTTGGTTCGCGGCAGCATTCATCAAAATATAAAAACCTGCAAAATTGCTGGTTTATAGATAAATAATCCTTACTGCCTCTGTAGCTAAAAAAAGCGTTCCAACATCAAACTATTGTTAGAGATAACAGGGAACATTATCGAGATATGTTGGGAAAGACCAAGTGAAAGCATTTGGCGGTCCTTTAGGTGACACTCTGAACAATTCTCTTTCAATAAGCATCTTTAAAAAGCTAGCGAAACAGAATCGAATCACATATTTAAATATGGAAAAGCAATAAAGCCGAGCAGTGCGATTTAAACATTGATAACGAAGTAAATCAAGCAGTAAAGATGTACAAGTAAATAAGAAAGCAGGAGAATGAACGAAATTATGACTGCCGGCACTTTTAAAAGAGCAGCGCTGCTAACTGAGGCCTCAACATTTCTTCCTTGCATTATTCGAAGAGAATGAACGCAGAAGAACTCGAAATTGGTACGGTGCTTTACAATGCAGGGGATACAAAGGTAAGCTGTGGTATACAATCGCATATACGTGGATTCGGTCAAACGAACTAAATTGCGGAATGATCGATTCTGCGAATAGCATTCCGATTATTGGGACGATTCAGAATTAATTGAACATTGGGATAGAACGATCGACACCTACAGAGTAAAAACATAACATCCTCAAATCGGATCGAGTGGGATTAAGAGTTTACAGTTTAGAGAAACTGTCTTTCACACTCGCATTCTACATAGAAGTACTACTCAAAACCACGGGCGGAAGAGGAACAGAAGTTGCCGAACTTTGACAGGACGAAGTAAATCTTGATGTTTTCAAAAGTAACATTTGAATGTACTAAAGCAATATATACACTGACATAGGGACAAAGCACAAGAAGGATGCGTGAAGAAACGCAAAGTAAGTTGAACTATAGTTCCCAACGATAATTGGGTATTTTAATTAAAGCTTTATATATCAACCATAGCAGATGCAAAAGAAAAAGAAATCGAACTTAGCAAAATTAGATCCATCTGTAAGTTTTACGTTTTGTTGTAGCCTTTTTTATTTTTGAAAATGCTGATCCTTGGAATAGGCCGCACAGCAACAATTTGTCCGTCAAAAACAACAATATCTGCCCCAAACAGTAGAGCAGGACATCGAGAAAGGTAAAATAGCAGTGAACTTCAGGAGGCATTCCAATTGTGTCTAAAACAATTATTTCCAGATATTTCCAATCTAATGATGTCCTGGTATTATTGTGGCTACTACACTGGCGTGTACCAAGAAAAAAGACAAAAAAAAGCTATCTCAGCGCTATACCCACAAGAACGTACGCGGAGTCCTGAAGTTTAGGGTGGCCTTTTGGATCTTTTACAATTTATTAACTTTAGATTTGGACAACACACACAAAAGTTTTAGACGATAAGGAAATTAAGTTTAAGCGGATGTAAGATAATAGTAGACCGTTAAGAATAAAATGTTAGACAGTTTGCACAACACTAGAAAGTATAAGGTTTTCATTCTTTTTACCTGTAATTATCAAACTGGGTTCGTTCCAGCGATATTGAGGGAGAGGATGCTTTTATATTTTTGTCCGCGTGAATTCTTTTGGCCTTCCTAGAGCCTTCCAAATAGCACAACTAATTTTCATCATATTCTTGGCAGCATTGACGTCTCGATTCCACAGTATATGGCATGTCTTACAAACAAGTATACTGCAGGTCTTAACGCCTTTCAACCTCTCTAAAGTATCGTTCGAACAGCAGGAGCATATTCTGGATGTCTTGTATTCATCAATTTCAAGTACTACCAAGTCTCCGCTTGCTTCACGTCGCTTGAGTGCACGCCACAAAACACCCACCGTTCCACATCGGTGACCCTTGAATGCGACATTGTCTTTAGCGAACATACCATTGCCAAATACAATGAGAGGTACTTTTTTGACATCACCGACATTGAAGGGTTGGGGCCTCCATTTGGCATTTGAACTACTGTTACAAAAAACATGTTACTTTCTATAAGTTGTTGATGATGATTGCTTATGAACTTTACCTATCTTTCTTCTCCAATTCCACTTTAACTTTTGATGTCCCTTCTTCTATACTCTTTTTCTCTGGTGCTCCTTTCTTCTTCTTTTTTCGTCTTTTCTGAGAAACCGCCTTGCCATTGTTCTTCTTCTTTGAGCCCTTCTTTTCTTTTTCTTCTCTCTTCTTCAATCTGAGATCCTCGTTATACTTTGTACTGCCATTAACTAGCATATTTACCATTTTGTCTGCTGCACGTTTCCGTCCTTGGTATAAATGAAATCGATCTTTGGCAGTGTCATCACCGTAGAAAGAAAACAAGACTTCCAAGTGCTGTAGGATGTATGCTGCATAACAGTGATATTGGGCTTTGGAGCCTGTCTTGGCAGTTGGCATATCACTTTCGATGCCCTTGATTTTGTCCGCTTTCTTCTTCTCTAGCCTTGCAGAGTACCTGGTGCTACCAGTTATGTGATAGTACTCTTTGGTAGAGCATCTTCGCACTTGGTGCTTTTCATCATCCAGCCCGATCGCTGCTGTGAAGACGTCTTTTCTCCCGGGATCAATGAAGCAGGGCCTGTAACCAGATTCGATTTCGGCATAATCAAAATCTTCCAAAGTCAACCGATGGTCTTCAATGGTTTTCTCTTCTTTTGATTTCCTCTTCTTACTAAAAATAAAGTCGACAGTGAAGCCATCCGAGCGAACGATATTACGGAATAGGGTCTCTTGGCTTGTCTTGAGGTCATTCCAACTGTTGTCACAAAAAATGAAATTCAGTAAATACCAATGACAACATTTCTGCCAAACCTTTTTTTTTTTTTTTTTTTTTTTTTTTTTTACCTATCAAATCCCATCTTTTTGAAGCTGAATACTTGATAAAACTTTTCGAGTTGATTTGTATAGCCTTTTGGAGCTGTACCGGGAAACATGAATGGGAGGAGCGAGTTGACGCTTATGGAGATGAAACGCCAATGGAGCGAAGGCAGAGGGAAAGGGAAGAAGCGCTTCGGTAACGGTAATCTACGGACATCGTAAGCTGCATGTTCGTCATGTTCCTTTTCATACGAGGATAGGATGTGCCATAATGCTTTGGTAAACTTGGCGGGATCGGATGATAAGGAAAGCAGCGTAACCTTTTCCGTTATAAGTTTCTCAAAGCTTTTGCATAGCATCTCTATCTTGCTTTTGTCTTCTTTACTAAGCATGATTCTATCAGGCCAGTTGGGTTCGCCTTTGCAAATTACTTGGTAGCAGTATTCTTTTGATATTTCCACTGCGTCGGTCTTCTTCATGCTCTGATTATTATAAAGTAAATACAAATGGTTAGAAACTAAGAAATCGAAATTATAGTAGTGATAACAATACGCACAACAAACATGTTTTGCAGCTTATAGGTTAGATATTTAAGCACTCGTTGTTCAAAAAGCTCAACAATAGAGTTAGTATACGAAACGCTTATCTCCTTGGCGGCTTCTGTGAGACAGTGGCTGTAACCTTTAGTGAAGCTCTGACTGATTACTATTGTCGGATGCTTTTCCTTAAAGTCATCAAAATAATTTTTGATGTCGTCGTTCAGCGCCTTCTTGTGAGTAACCTTTTTGCCCGTAACGAGTTGTCCAACAGAATACCAAAATTGCTGTGTGAAGACTTCTGAAGGAATGGCATTCTTATTATGCACGAGGTAGGCATTAACAAATAGCTGGCAGCGAAACACTATAGCTCTGATGTCCTTACAGCAGGAGATGACCTTTTCCTTGAACTTTTCACGAAACTGTGGTAAAACGGCACTGTCGATAGGAAGCTTCCTCGCAAAAACAGTAGAATCATGGCCAAGGACAGATGAAATGGCCTCGTCCTTTGATTGTATGTGATTAGGACAAAGAGGCGAACGAGGAGAAGCATGGTCATCATTCCCACAACTGGAACACTCTACAGCCTGTGATGCTGTTCTCTTCTTTTTCACTGCTTTCTTCTCTGCTTTAACACTGGCGCTCTGTTTTCTCTTCTTATTGCGAGTCCCAACTATATGTGGAAGAGATGGTCTATTACTTGGCTTATGTGGCTAAAGGCAGGTCGAGGCTCAACTTACCATCATCGGCGGATATAGCTTTATGGTACTTGCATCCCGGGTAATTTTTATTAAAGTGACCCAAATCATTACAGTCCTTACATTTGGTATGCTCTGAAAAGTGTACAATAAGGTTACTAATGTCTCAAACTACACACTGTATAGTGATATGCCATTACCGGGCGGATTTTCCTTCTTGGTATGATTTTCTTTCACTGAATTGATTTTATCTATGATGATTGTCTTGTACATGTGTGTAGAAAATAACGTTGGTTTGAAGGTAATGAAGTGAAAGAAAAAAAGAAGATAAGAAAATAATTGAAAAAGGTGAAAGATAAGAATGATCACTAAATTTTGGCAACATAACATGTCGTTTAACAACATTTATAATAACAGTATGATTTACGCGTTTAATGTCACATTTAAAAATACGCAGATATTGAAAAATTTGATCCGATACAGTAATTTAGCGTTGGATTTAAACAAAGCTGCCATATGAATGGACAGTACAAACCAGATTTTTGAGACGTCTACTCAAACCTTCAAATTTGGCACAGAGCTCCTGTCTTGCAGCTTCAATTGTTGTCAAAGGTCTCGCATCAAATAATGCTATAAGAAACTCAGTATGTTCTGCAAAAAGCTTCTTTGGTCGAGAGATGCCGGTTCTTGGCTTGCTACCAGGAAGGACTGTACCATCACTAACATTCCACTGATCTGAAAACTTATAAGCGGTGGACCTCGGAATGCCACACTCAACCGCAGCTTTGGGAACTGTAAGCCCAGCCTCTTGGATTAAGTGAATCAACCGTCTAATGCTGTGCTCACTATATTGCTTGCGCTTCTTGGACCTATTCGTTAATGCGACAGTGCTGAATTCTGTTGTTAATTCTTCAACAGTTTCTTCCATTTCGCATCATCGACTACAGGGCGCCGCTGCATATCATCATAGTCGACGATCTTCTCAATTTGCCCGAAAGTAACAGCCATTTCATCCAAGTCTATAGCAAAAGTATTTTCGGAAAGCATAGGCTCACTTGCAGGATTATAATTTATGTAATCCATGTTGCAGGGATATGTTTATTTTAAAGCAAAAGAAATCTACTCGAAATATTTCGTCTACCATAAAAGCCCAGTTCGTCTAAAATCAAAAATCTATAATCTACTAAAAAAAAAGAAACGTCCCAACTAAGGTTCCGACTTCGTCCACAAAATTTTCGAAATCGTCTCTTATGAAACCTAAAATACTGTAATTTGTCGTATTTAAGCTGTGCAATTTCTAATTAATCTGATATGCTTCGAATAAACTTGTTTTATCAAACGATAAAGCCGTCTTCTAGCCTTGATCATGCCATACTTGACTTTCAATTGTATTCTCGTATCTCAATTTGCTTTCATTTTTCATACAGTCTGACAGTGGTTTTTACAGCGCTAGCCTTTTCCTGATCGATTAGTTAATGATCAGTTGATATGCACAAATTTCTTTGCTGAGCAAAGTTGAAGTCTAAATGTAGGACAGCTCTTTAACGTGGTATTACGCGATATTTAAGAGGTCTTCTTGCATCCAGAGAAAACGTAGGCTTTTTGACAGCAGAACAGAGATAAATATTGGATTTAATCGAAACTTCGATATTGCACCAAGGTGTAAAGTCTTCCTATTCAACAATAAGAGTATTGCTTGTTGTAGTGTGCTATATTCACTAGGTTCCCGCAGCGATTGCTCATGCACAATCTGACTTGGAGGAGACCTGGTCGAGTTTTTGGAAAAATGTTTATTTTAATGTTGAGGTGCGTGGAGCTTTCAAGGCTCTAAAGCACCTTCGGCTTGTTCAAGCTTTAGACATGTCGAGCGTCGTTTGTTACCCACAGTTCATGTTTTTGAACAACAGCCATTCGAGCTTGAAAGCTTCCACGCCGTTGACAATGTAATTGCTTAAAAAATCAATTAATTTAACCAAAAAGGATAGCAGTATGAATAATATGCATACTAATACACGTAACGCTATAGTTGGAAAATGATCTTATTTTCTCCTGTTTAGGAAGTGCTATACTTGTCGAGTCGAACAATAAGCACGTTCAAATGACTTTAAAGATGTTTTTTTAAGGTTTACACTCGGTATGGTGGTAGCTAACTGAAAAGACAATTGACATCAAAGCAAAGCCCTTACAAATGATAAACAGATTGTAAATAAGCGACAGAAGTTGCCCGACAACTATAAAACTATTCTGTTTAAGTACGTAAAATAATGCGGTTATCTGAGGAAGCTCTATTTGAACGACAGCTGCTAAATATCGAAAGAGAAGTACTCAAAGCTATATTGAGGTTTGGTACAAATTGTTAACTATCATCTGTAAATATTCGACATTGGCTCATAATTACTGTTTAGGGAATTTTTGGCTAATATAGTATTTTGACAAGAGGACAGTTAGAAATTTGGAATTTTCATGCCATACATCTCTTATGTTCAATCCTTAAATTGTAGATTATCCGTAACTATAGCACTCAACAGACAAATAACTTGATCGTTAGGTTATTTTTAACATTGTTGATGGCACCATCGATGAGTAGAACTATCACAATCGAGAGGCATGACAAGACTGTTCATATATTTAAGGGTAATACATACTTTATTGCACATGCATGTCCTGAGCGTTTGAGGTGTTTTTGTGCACAAATATGTATTCGAACATTGTACAACGATATTTTCTCTGAAACTGAGAACTTTCCGTATGTGTCTTCCCACTTTCACTAACCATAAATAACAGTATTAATGCCTTTCAAACCCAGACAAAGACTTTCACTGAAAGAGGCACATTAGGTCAAGCAAAACAATTACTTTGGGCAACTAGGGATGATACACTTGGATGCGGGACAAATATTTGCAACCATGTGAGTTATCACAAACGCTTTAATCTTCGGATCAATTTCGAGAGTCACAAACCCCATGGGAGTAAAGAATACTGTAAAACAGACGTACATCTATCATTGATGAATGTTTATAGTTATTAGTGCTTTATAAACGTGATGAGAATTAAATTGTGGTTGCCCTGTATTTAGTTATTAAGTATGTTTCGTACAATGAAATCTGTATTGCCTTCACTTATTGATGCTTTCATCTATAATGTTACATTAAGAAAGGTACAATATATTCTTTGTTTTCTCATTTCACACAGGTCATTTTGCATAGTGATAATTTCTATGAGCTGAATCTAAGTACAGACGGAATATACAGGTAAAAAGCATACTTGTAACCGGGTGATTTCAACTTTATGTATTCTTTATTGAGGGCTATTAACTTTAAAAGAGGCAAATGGACGGTGTATATCTGATGGTGGTTCTTCTTTATGCGATTTGCTATGACGCGTCACTAACACCACTCTACTGGGTTCAAAAAAGCTTTCTAATCAATATTAACCATTAAGAGCAGTAAAAGCTACCATATACCTTAAGTATACTCCTGAGATTTCGAGGAGTTCATAACATAACCATAAACTTTTTGGTCTTGCTGTTCAATAAGTATTTGTAAAAGATAAAAAAAAAAGTCAGTTAGTATTACCGAAGAATTGCTATTGACGGTTGGGAAATCGCCACATGTTCATCTTCCTCCCGTGTTACTGGAGCGTGAGTTTATACTCTCTGCCATTGATTTCTTTTCCCAAGCAGATAGTTCCAAAATAGGTTGAAGCTTGTATTTTTGTTCTTCCAAATTGTACTGCTTTTATACATATGGTGACTAAGTACAACCATAATGGAAAGATAAATTCAATAGTATTGTACGATAACGGATCACATACAGACATTCAGCCATTATTTTGTCCACTCAGACTGTCCAAAACCGCTCTATGATAAGAAGCTGCTCTTTATGTCAAGGGTAGATTGTTTGTTATCTTGATCCTATCTGAAATAAGGCGAGCATTCAATCAGTCAAAAGCCCGCTTTACAAAGTTCAATGTGTTTCTGATAACGTTAAAAGGAACTCCGGTATTGACACTAACTTAATTTTCCGTTTCTGGAATGATGAAGGTTGGGATGGGGACAGGTTCGACTGCCATTTTGAGGATATAGCACTTTGATTAACAATTGGAGTTGAGAAAAACGTACTTCTTAATCATAAAGACGAAATAATAAAAACTGTATCCATTCGTTTACGTGATGTTAAGCAGCAATAGCTCCATAGAAGTCGACTTATTGCTCAATAGTTGAATTTTGAGATGATCGATTTGCATTTATCATCTACGTCGTATTACATTCAGTAAGGGCACAAATTATTCCACGACTAAAAGGCTGGAGGATTAATTTTTGTTCTATTCTATTGACCACCTGATTGCAGTTATTCTTTAACCAGCGCTATTGAGACAGTAATGCTTGGCTTTCGTCCGGTCATTTTTTTGCTCTTATAAGATATGGTCAACTTCATTATCATAGAATGTGTGAATTAGATTTAAACCCGCAAATCGCGTATTGATTATTCATTGCAATTTTTTTATGTTAGTACCTGCCAATTGTCCTTTGAAAGGTAATATTTTTTTTTCTGCAATATCCCTTATTGGGTCGTTCTACAAAGATTAATCTATATGACGCATAAAATTATTTCCCATCGATTGTGCATTAAATGTATTATCTGTTATATCGGTTGCGAGCCTTACGAGATGTTGTTCAAATCTAAGATGTAACAATTCAGTCTATGTAACTTTTGAGCTACTTCTGCTATACTGCACCAAGTGATCCGAAACACTTTCTAAAATTATACCCCGCAGTACTGAAAATTGCTAAACGTTGCTTAAAGTGAAGAAAAGTCAAGACCTTAGATAATAACAATTGCCTTGCTTCAGAAGAGTCATCTGTGAGCTCTCCGCTTTAAATCAGGTGAGCGAGTCATTTGACTTTATTTTTGCAGATCGAAGAATGAGCACCGTTGAGTTGCCAACTGAAATGAAATTGTTCGAGATTCCAAATTTATACTCGATGTCTCAGTGATAAAGTAACAATAACCCCCAGATTGTCATTGATAACGGAGTATTTGGCATGGCTTTTTAGTTTCCCTTCGGACGGCGTTGCGTCAAGCAACGTGTGTACCAATTTGAGTGTAGGAGCGTTTAAATGACAAGAACCGAGTGTATATCTATAAATTGTAGGACAAACAGACATTAAGCTTTTTTATTAGTTAAGGAGCGTGGCAACTCCGATCCCGAGAAAAAAGTCAAAAAGCTATTATACAATAACGATAAGCGTTTGCCAATGGAAAATGTAGCAGACGGCGGCGTGATCCATTTTCACATTTATTATTGGCTACAGTCAATGTTTGTTGAATTCGCGTGAAATATTTCTGATGAATAAAGCAAAGTGCATATATAAGGGTCACAGAAAAAGCTTAATTCACGTTTTTCTGCAATATCATTCAAGCTTTGATATAATTTCTTCGTACAATCATGTCTCAAACCATTACTGCTACTACTCCTGGCTACCGTCTCGGCTCTGGTGAAGAATACAAGCCTGAAAAGAAATTGGAAGATTTCAATAACTATAAGTTTGCTCCTATCAGAGAGTCACAAGTTAGTCGCGAAATGGTTACCCGTTACATGAATGATATGCTCTACTATGCTGAATCCGATGTCGTTATTGTTGGTGCTGGTAGTGCTAACCTCTCTTGTGCCTGGGAATTGTCCAAGGACCCTAACTTGAAGATTGCTATCATTGAACAAAACGTTGCTCCCGGTGGTGGTTGTTGGTTAGGTGGTCAACTCTTTTCTCCTATGGTTGTCCGTAAGCCTGCCCACAAGTTCCTTGATGAACTCGAAATCCCTTATGATGAAAAGGATAATTATGTTGTCGTCAAGCATGCCGCTTTGTTTACCTCAACTTGTTTGGCCAAGGTTCTCGCTCGTCCTAATGTCAAGCTTTTCAATGCCACTGCTGTTGAAGACCTTATTGTCAAGCAAAACAAGGTCGCTGGTGTTGTCACTAACTGGACTCTTGTCGCTTTAAACCATGATACCCAATCTTGTATGGATCCTAACGTTATCGAAGCTAAGGTTGTTGTTTCCGGTTGTGGTCACGACGGACCTATGGGTGCCAGTGGTGTCAAGCGTTTGGAATCCATTGGCTTGATCAAGGAAAAGAAGGGTATGCTCTCTCTTGACATGAACGCTGCTGAAGATGATATTGTCAAGTATACTCGTGAAGTCGTTCCTGGTATGGTCGTTACTGGTATGGAACTTGCTGAACTTGATGGTGCTCCTAGAATGGTAATTTATCCTTTATCGTTTTCGGGTTTTTTTTTTTTTTCTTATTTTGACTAATCAAATATCATATGTGTCAATAGGGTCCTACATTCGGTGCTATGCTCATCTCTGGCCAAAAGGCTGCTTATGCTGCTCGCGAGTCCCTCAAGAGACAAGCTGAACAAGCTTAAGTTTCTTCGGGCTAAGGCTTACTTCAGCAAAGCTTTTCACTATTCTTTCAAATCATGTTTCTAAGTCGGTTGGAATCTTTTATTTCCTTTCTCGATGATGATCTACACTAGGGGTGCTTGGTTTTTATCATTTAGTTGCATTACAATGAATGTAACTCTAACCTTGCTGAGAATATACCCTTCGAACGTGATTCTACATAATAGTAGCGCACGGAAGTCTAGCCTGTAATGTCAGATTTTTCATCCCTTTTAATTAAGCATTTATCATTTCAATAAAACAGATTGATATTATTATTATAAATTATATACATCTTTAAATGTTCACTACTTTCTTCCTAAATTTCCCATTCAATGCTAAACTTAATACATAACAATTTGTTCTTTGCATAAGATTGTACCAACAAAAAGAGAGTCCTTCTTTAACGTCTCGAATATGCTGTTGAATGTCGAGAGTTATTCATTGTCAAATGGAAAAGAGCTTGCGTATCCGGTTTCTGACTGTGAGTCATACAAACATGGATGATGGGTTTTTCACCACCACCATTGTAATACGCTAGTCGAATATTCTCGCCCGATATGATCTGAACCAATTCACCCTAATTTGAGAGTTTACCAAATTTTCAATTTTCAAGAATAATTGAATAGATCAAAGCCTTCAAGAAATAATTACTTACAGTATCCACATGGCGAACTTCAATAAAGAAAGGATCGATTGCAATTATGTAAGGATGCTCGTACACGATATGTGTTGGGGAGCCTTCCCATTCACAAATAGTCGCAGGTCTATACATTAAAATTGCAAACATTAGTCACAAGCGACAAGGGCTATGTTTTTTAAATAGAGTGCAGTAGTTAACAAACTTACTTTCTCTTATCGGCTCTGGGTACGAGAGAACCATTCCGATTGTTCACATAAAATGCAAATTTATCATAGCATAGTAGAAATTTGTCATTAATACGATACATTGCCAAGGGTTTCAAGGGTTCTTGATGACGAGTAACAAAATAGAATTCTGGGTCTTCAGAATCAGGTATATCACGACCCACAGTAAGGTTTTCTGGATCGATTACTTCAAAGCCTCGTTCACACACGACATTCAACTTAGCCTTGAGGAAATGAATATTACTTGCGTCCGCACCTATGTAGAAATCCTAAAAAAGAAATCATGTTCATGAGTGTATTCGTTCTTGGTAGATACAGTTCAGCTCCCGTAGAAGTCTTCTTTCTTTTTTTTACCTTGTACTTTTTAAACCATTTGAGATAATCCGGTCGATTGCTAAAAATTGAAGGTCGATGGGTCAATAGTTTCTCGTTCTTTGGGTCTCGCAAATTGCAAAAAGGTTCTAAAGCAGTGAAAACACTAGCCGTATTTTTTTTTTTCTTGTAAACAAGTAAATCGCGGCCATTGCAATGTCCAGTCTGGAAAAAGTTGACATGTTGAGCAATTTCCACTTCAATACGGTCAATTGCTTTTGTATTACTTTTACAATCAAGGGTGTCCAAAGGATAAGCACGAAGCGCTTTTTCGGTGAGTACAATTAGAATGTGGTACTTTTCCATGACAGCCAATTGAACCACACTTTCACACTGTATGATACGACGTACAGAATTATCTTGTCCTTCTGTTTTGAAAAACACTCCATTATCGGTTCCGATGGCTATTTTCTTTTCTTCGTTCAGGGAAATAAAAGGTACCGAGCAGTTGATACGTGTTGTGAATCCGGAAGCAACACCAGAAGTAGCAGTATTCCTGAAATTGACATCATCCAATGGCCTAAGTTCAAACACATCTGTATCTCCTTGTCGTTTCTTCAAGGACGCTTTGGCATCCTCAATAGCCTTCACCCAAGTTTGTTTCTCTTCTACCGAGGAGCAGAAAAAGGGGTATACCGTCCCACCCCTTGACCCGAGATGATGCAATATGAGTGTGATATTGCCATTGAGTTGACCAGCGTTAGGACTACTGTAGTCCCAACTTCCATTGACATAGCCAGCGAGTGAGCTGGTGGTTCCAGAAGAATGATTCCGAAGATTAGAAGTATTCTTTTGAACCACCAGCATTTGTAAAGGAATAGGTTTTTTCCAAATACGGTATTCTTCGCCTGTATTTGTCTTACGTAGTTTTGTCATGACGAGCATATGGTCAAACACGAAAGCGTAGATATCATTTTTGTCCGGTGCGTCATGAGTGCCAATACGGCGTCTGAGGGTGCCTTTATGGTACAATCGACGGTTGGGATCACTCAACTGCAACTCGTAATACTCACCTTGCTTGAATGTGGTACTATCTCGAATGTGAAGAATAGCCAAACGTTTTTTGATGTGTAATGCGGCATTGTCTGCTTTTGTTGCAACTGAACGAATAATGTCGTGGCTGCGAGTTAAAAAGACATAATCAGGATGATCCTCTGGTGTTTTTTTCAAAAGTGCCTCAATCAGTAGTGGATAACGTTGCATACGCGTAACTGGACAGAGGAGGTAGTGCCAAATAGGCAAGCGGTTGGTGCGATCATGTTTGGCGAGTTCTTTTGCGAATCTTTCAAACTCGGGGTTCTTTTTTATCTCTGCCTCAGCCAAATACTTTGCGAGAAGTGCATGAGGACTGTATTTTACATAGGCTTCCTCAAAGAACTGCATGTGTTGGACTAATATATCACCGATGGTTGGAACACACTCTCCTTCATATTGTCGGTAACGAGCAAGCATATCATTGAACATGGATTCACTCATTTGTATCAGCTCTTGATAATTGTTAAATACAGTACTAATGAAACTAGCAACCCGGCTCTTTTCAATGACACCAGATGTTTCTATCCCGGTTACAATAACCTATGTCATTCTTTTTCTTAGTAAAAGGGATCCTACAGAGCGCACATAAAAGAAGAGAAAGAAAGGAAGAGGTTTACCTCATGTAAAATTCGTAAATCTGCTAAATACTTTTCTTCTGAATAAATTGTCTCATTCAGCACTTCTTGTCTTCCTATCTCTTTGGGATCCAACGTTTTTAAAAACTCTCTATCCATTCTAGCCGACCAAGCGTCATGTGAAACCAACTACATAGGGAATGATAATGCTTTTAGAAGGGCAAAGAGAAAAGAGGTTATTTCTACATATTCTTCTAAATATTAGAATACTTACCCAACCACCGGCAGGTGACGTGATTGTTTTGTTTAAAGCCTCTAAAGAAACATGAGCTTCGATCTACAAATTCCACCCTGTTTAGAAATACTTGGCTTGGGCATTATCTTATGTTAATTACATTCAGTTTTATACCTTATTATCTACAATGAAATCTTTTCCAGTATTGGGGCATGAATATGAGTAGCATCCTTTCAATCCAGAGCGACAGGCATAGCTGTAACAAGGTGTCAAACTCGGAAGAACACCGGTTGAAACGTTGCTTTCCGTTATATCCTCTTCTAGAAAGTAAGTATCGTCTGCATTCACGAAATTGGAAATGAGCGATTTTTGTGAATACTGTGTTGGCGAAAACAATTGATCTCTCATCAACACATTAGCCACTTGAATGCAATATTCATCCGGTACTACTTGTTCTTCCAAAAGATTTCGTATAATTGTCTGTAACAAAAAGATTGTATTAAGTAACAATGGTTTTTCTTATCTTTGATTTGGTTAAAAAACACTCTGCTTCTCTTTCTCTCTTTCATACCATCGCTTCTGCTCCTGTGAAGGATTCATTATATTCACTAGCACACCATAGTTCTCTGACGTGTTCCAGGCCTTTTACGTGACGTATAAATGCTACAGATAGAACAGAAACCAAACCATAATTGGGTTTTAAAGGAGTTATCTCTTTCACTACCTCCTCGCCTTGTTGCTCTGTTGCTACAGCAGTTAACTCCACACTTCCTTCAAGACGTTGCTGAGTGATAGTGTCAACTGCCGTGGTGTTTTCCAAATGGTGGGTCGATTGGTGTAGGATGGCCTCTTTATTAATAGAAGAGGAATTGGCAAATGATGGATAGCCAAAGTCTCCCATAGATTGTTGTTGTAAGTAATAAGCAGTCGGATCAATGTGTTGGGGGAGTTTATTGGTTGGCGGGATGGCTTGCTGCTGTTGTTGGTGACTATTGTAATTGTCTGTTGTTTTCGTCGTCTTGTGGAAATCAACATCGTCTGCCTGTTGAGGTTTTTGCAAATATTCATTTTTCGGATTGAAATAATCCTCATCCTCGTCGCTATCTGTATCCGGCGAAACGGGGATAAAAGGCATCTCTCCATTTTCTTCTGACATGCCATTCGTATCAATATGTTCTGGTAAGTAACTATAGCGTGGGCGTTCAATGGTAGTAATCATGTTATTGCGTAAGGACGAATGAGGTTTTCGATAAGGAGTAGAAATCTTGGAAGTAGCGGCAGCTGTGGTGGCGGTGGCGGTGGTAGTGGTCATGTTGTTTGAAGCGACAGAAGGCATAGGTTGAACACCATTATTACCGCTCATTGAAGTCAACTGACTAGTCGATGGATTACTCGAGGATGATGCTGAAAATGTGTGAGTTGGTAACGGTGGAGGTGTATTTGTAGCAGAGATGCTGGAAGGAGTGGACACAAAAGTAGATGGATCTGATGCTTGCTGAGTAAAGGTGGGTCTGTATGAGTTGTTGATGATCTCTTGTGTAGCATCGGGATACCCTATGGGAGGGTAGATCTGCTGCTGCTGTTGCTGTGGAGAGCCTGGCGGACTAGTCGATTGTTGAAATGGAGGAGGAGGAAGAGAATCATAAGGGGGGTATACCGTACCAGAGTTACTGCTATTGGATGAGTTTCTTTGATGATGATGTTGAGGTACAGGCATGGACACATTATGGTGCATGTGGGAAGCAGAGGAGGAGGCGGCAGCTGAAGGAGTCGCATATCCATACCTCTCGGGTACTGGAAATGATTGAGCAGTAACTGAAGAGACCCGTTGAGGTAGAGGTGTTGTGGGTAAATGATTTCGATAGTTTGATAAAGTAGAGTAGGACGGATAAGGTTGTGGTGGAGGATAGCCGTAACTGTTATTATTATTTTCGGTGGTTTGATAATAATACTTGGTGTGTGGTTCTGTACTATTTCTTATATATCCATTGTATTCGTTACGAGGAGGCAGAGGAGGAGGCGGTCCGGGAGCACTGGTTCTTGACTGATTGTAAGAGTAGTAATAATTTTGATAGCTTTGTGAAGACTAAAATGAATGGTTTTTTGTTAGATAAAATAGTTTTACTGGAATAAAGTTCTGGTCTAGAATAGCCTTACACTAGGCTGCTGCTGCTGCTGCTGCTGCTGCTGATCATAACGGAAAGAAGTTGCATGTTGCGATTGTGTTTGCGAAGGTCCACCGAGTGAATTCAACATTGCATCCATTTCCTCATCAGCACTCTGCTGGTATTCATGCTTGTGCTGATATGGTTGTGTACTGCTGGACATTTATTTCCTCCGTATTTCGCAAAACAAAAGAGATAAGCAAAGTATAATGAGCACGATTACTGGTTAAGTTATTTCTAGTTGGGTTCCTTTAAAGTATAATAAAAAAAAAACATTTCAGGCGGACTTTTGTTCCCGCTAAATGACTCTTAAACCAAGGCGTGTCTGTACCTACTTTTTTCTCCACATAAAGCAAAAAGCCATAGTACGTGGTGATTCAAAATTCTCCAAACGTTAAAAGGCCAACGGTAAACAAAAGAAAAAAAATAAAATAAAATAAAATGCATTGCTTTCAAATGAGCAGCTAAAAAAGACATTGATCTTTTTATTAAAAGTTATAATTTGCCGTTTCATGGTATCAACATAATGAAGTGAAATATGATATAAGTTAATGTATAGGAAGGAATTTCCTTTACTGTTTTCAAATAGCTAAAAAAATAAAAGAAACATAACTTTTGATGAATGAATAATAAAGTAAGGGTCTCAAATGGTATCTGATGAATATTTGAACTGAAAGGTATGAATCATAGAGCAACTTTTTCTGTTTGTTTGTTATTTGTTCAGAACAAATGTGGAATTAGTAGAGCTGGTTAAGCAGTTATTTGTTGATGATGATGTTGTTGTTGTGCAGTGGTATCCGACTTCTTCGCAGCCAAAGACTTTGCATAACGAAGACCGCAAGCATTACATAATTCCTTGGGACCATTAGGGCCCTTTCTCCATTCAGGCGAATCAGTACGTTGACATTCAACACACATCTTGGGGATCTCAGATTCAGTAGCAGAAGGTTTATTGCTCTTCTTCTTTTGCTTGCGGCTACGTTTAGGGTTAGTAATGTTCTCAAGTTGTTCCTTCAATTTGCGGTTTGCGATTTGAAGTTGATGAAGTTCATATTGCCAAGAGGTACCTCTGACAGTTTCAAGCTCTGAGAACAAGTTTTCCTCAGAATCTGTTTGTAAGAAGCTCTTTCCAGTCATTGATTCCAAGACAGGAGAGTGTTCTTGGACGATGTCGGATTCCTTGGCTCTGATTTGGATGAGGGCAAATGATGGACGACCCACACCAAAAGATACGTCACCCGGATAGAATGTGGAGAAGACAGGAACATAATCACCTTTGTTGTTTTGCATGGTGTGATGTAAGTTAACGATACGACCTTCTTTGACAAGCTCCAAAGCCCGTGTAATATCACGAACATTATTATCACCGACATACTGATAGAGAGTAGCACCCTCTAAAGCATCTCTGTTGAAACCCACTACTTCATCACTGGTAGGAGTGACATGTAAGAAAAGACCGTGAAGAGTAGCCTTTGCCCAGAATTCAGGGCCGTTGGTAATATCAAAAGCGTTCACCATTTCCTTACGCACCAACTCATACATGGGACGCTCACGACCAGCTAAAATGAGGCACTTTCGGCCCTTGCTTTGATCAATGTGAACTTTACCTTGGCATTCCATCCACATGTAACCAGAGTACTTGCGACGGACACGGTAAATAAGGTTAACTACTTTATCAGGGTTACTGGCAGCTTCCTTGATTTCACGCATGACGGGAACGATATCAGAAGGATGGCAAATGGAGGATAAGGGATGGCCGACCAATTCTTCAGGATCATGTTCCACGAGATAAGAGGAAGAGCGAGAGCAATAAAGGAAAAAGCCCTTCAAGGAAAGGACATGGATAAAGTCTTCAGATTGATCCAAGAGTAACTTGTTCCACTCTTGTTGTAACTGTTGCTCATTTTCGCCAGAACAGTTGACGAGCTCTAAGATTTCCGGAGACACCAGAGTTGAAGTAGCAGGAGCAGTGGTAGGCAATTCACGGAAGTAATCATCCACAGGTTCAGAGCTGTAGTCTATTTGTTTAAAAGAAGAGTTGAGAACGTTGTGTTTGCTGGTTCACAGGTTTTTTTTGAAAGTCTCAACAGTAAAATGGAAAAAGATACGTACTGCTACCCGGGATGTAAGGTGGGATGTTCATCTGTTGATAATTCACCATATAGGTACCATCTACAGAATGCAAAACATAGAGATCAATAGTAGAAAACAAGCAAGTAGTTTGTAGAAAGACGATTTTTACTTTTCATCTTTTCCAAAATGGCATTGGGTTGTTCTACCAAGTCGACTTGCAAGCCAACAAAGAAGGCAACCTGGTTATTGTCATTTGTAATAGGGATCACAGTAACTAGATTAACAAAAGGCTGTATGTGCAGGAGAAAAAGGATAAAAGGTTAAGATGTTTACAAAAAAAGAAAGCCAGCCAACAGATGATGGAGATGTTCCTTACCTGACCACCCTTTCTATAATTGATGATACTGGCCTGATGTTCCTTGTTTTGCAACATTTGAGCCTTCAAGTGAAAAACAGCTTGATTATCAGTATAGGTACGTCGGGAACCACAGGTCACTTGGCCATCAGGGGCTTGTAAGAAACGGCAGTTACGACCAACGATTTCATTGGCATTATAACCCGTCAAATATTCAAAGGTGGGAGAGCAGTAAACAATTGGACAATCATATCGGCGAGCATCCGTTACCAAGAACGAACACGACATATCAACGGGACCTAAATTGATTTGAGGGTTGGGTCTGACGTGGCAAAGAGTGATAAGAATGAGAGCTTCTCATCATAACTCTCTCAGTTGATTTTTCATTTACCTGTTGACCAGTTTTGACAAGATACCGATAAAATCGAAACCAGAACTTGAATAGACACCCGTCAACGGTGCATCTGAAGTTTGTTCTATTTCAACCGGTGCAAGTTCAATAGCAGGAATCTCGGCTAACTGTTGGTCATTAGCAACAGGCTGATTCAAACCAGGAATGTTGGAAGCCTGGTGCTGTTGTTCTTTCTGTAAAAACTGGGCCATTTTTCTTTTCAGTTGTAAGCTTATACTGACTTAAAATTGGAGAGAATGATTGTTTTCAATGAATATTAGTGAAAAAAAAAAAGCTTAAAACACAATATATCAAAGAGGTAGAAAAGCTTTGAAAGAAAAAAACAAACAAACAAAACAAATCGGTTACTGAAAAGCTTGTGGAATTTATCTTTGAAAGTGTTTTCATGGTAGGTTATCATCTTCAATATGATTGGTTGGTAGATTTATGCTTTTTTTGGAAAAAAAAAAAAACTTGATTGACACGCTAAGCCAAAATGGTTTAGGGAGAGCGTTTTGAAGGAGGAGCCGGAATCTTCTACAATGGGCTTTCGCGTTTATGCTTTGTGCACTATCTACTTAATCGCTCATCAACAAAGATGAAAGCTTGTAAGAGTCTTAGTTTCTGGGTGCATTATTTGTCACACCTAATATAAGAAGTCTTAATTACACAGATCTCGATTTAAGCGAGTTTGAATACACAACGTCTGATTTTGTTCGTCGTCTTAGTGTAAAAAGCCGATATAGCAGCGGTACACTATTTTGTATCTGTAGACAGAATCATAAAGTACACGAGCAATCCATGCTTGATCTAGACCATCAAAATTCCGAAACGTGGGGGGGGAGTGTGGGCGTTGTCTCAGGGATGGCAGAAGAAAGCTGGGATAGAAAACGAGAAAAAGGGGTCAAGGAGGGATGATCAATCTAAATCTCTGAAAAAGCTTAATTTTGACTCAGCCAGATTCATTTTAAATTTGTTGAATTCGTCTTTTAATGCCGGCATACCCTAAAAGTTCCATGAATAAATTGTCTATCTCGATTGTGGAAACACCAGTAAAACAGGCGTAAAACAGGCGTAAAACAGGCGTAAACAGGCGTAAAACAGGCGTAAAACAGGCTTTAATTATTATATCTTTGTAAAAGTGGATGTTATTGCTTTTTGCAAGAATAAACGCCACACAAAACTATATTTCTATTCCCTTTTGGGAAGAGAACAGTTAAGAAAAAGAAAGAAGAGCTGCAATTGCATCTGTTAAAAACCTTAAACAAGTATAATGCAGTCGTTCCTGTCCAAATGAATTGTGCAATATCAGATATATGGTTACATTACTAATATCTTGTGTGTAAATTGAAAGATTTCCTTCATTGTTGTGAGGCCAACTGCCAAGTTCTTTAGTGAGTAAAGGGAAGGAAGGGGTGCTGAGTGGATGTGATCGATATACGCATTCGAAATGGAAACAAATTTAGGCGTTTTATGACAACCTCCACATGCAGTACTCCGGAATGGAATAGCAGTTCCTCATTCGCTGTGCAACCATCTGTCAAGCATGCCTCCTTTTTATTTTTGTAGATCTATCCTCCCTTTTTTTTTTAGGATTTGCAGCGTGTTGCAGTACACACTATGGTATAACTTGCAAAAATAACCTCTGCCGTTTGCTTCTGCAATGAGATTTTACCTAGTAAAAGCAAAGATATATTTGAGCGCTTTCTTTGTATGTCCTTTACAGGAAGTAGCAAAATGAATGGTTCTGCATAAAGGACTGTTACTACGACCAGAAAGAAAAACTTCTAGTCTATGATCCCTTAAATTATTTTTTTCCAAACGATTCTATGAAACCCAAGTATTTTCTAGATGTTAACCATAAAAGTATAAGAGTCATGAACCTTTTGCTTTCTCTAGGCAGATCGCTCTAAGCTTCTTATGTCCCTCCCCTCCCTTCTCTCTGGTTCTGAACGCTTTTGGCAATTATGTAGAAGTATGTATATAAGGGCTGTCGTTGGTATGCATTGACGAATAATAGGAATTCAGCATGTAAGTCAATATCTCACCGGTACAGAATGCTGGCGTGCTTGTTATGGTTTTTGAGTTACTGCCATTTTTCATGAAAAGACCACAAGGTTGAAAAAAGCGACGCATACTATTTTTATTCATAGACTTAGTTCTGATAGAAAGAGTCAATGCATAAAAAAGAACCAAATCTGTTGAGAAGTAGCTTATTCTGGATAGACCAGAGTAGTATTTACATTTGATATATTAAAAGTCCAAGCCTGCTCAACTATACTATATTGAGAATTGGTACTCGTATTGTTTGAATTTCTGGAAGCCGTAAACTTTCTAAGAGTACCTCTTTGATTGTGTTTCCATTTCTTTCGTCGCATATGAATTATAACTCTAAAACACATTTTCAACTTCAATGCTATATTATGGTCAAAGACGTCATTGTCATAGATGTCGGAAAACAAGGCAGTTCCCGATAAATTCATTATTGCTATGAAACGATGCATGTGTTTGATAATAAGCTCAGTTGAATTGGCGTCGGTTACTGCTTTCGGAAATTGGAGGTTGTATCTTATAATATATTGTCTCTTTTTAATCGAATATATGCTTTGTCTTTTTCATTGTATGCAGTTTGAAAGGGGATTATCTATAGAATCTCGAGTACAATGGCGTATGATGGGAAGGATGCTATGAACTTCTTTCCAACATTCACAGTAATATAGTCTATGTATTATCTCTGCCCAATAAGCTATAGACTCTGCTTCATGTCGTTACTGTCAGCGTCCTTATGTATATTCTTCTTTCCATAACTTTTCAACCATAGGATTTCATTATGATTAGCCATAAACAGTCTCCAAACTCATGAAACAATGCCTACTGTCATTAAAATAGGGAATGCATATTGTAGCCCAGAATTTTTTTTTTTCAATAAAGTACGTTTACGGGAAGCTGCTTGCTTGACATATCTCACCTATTCAAACACAATGTCAGGATGCTGTTCTTTACTATGTCAATTTCAAAGCTACAAGTACAAAATTCTTACTTATAGGTGAGTAAACGATGGGCAAACAACATCATTAATGGAACTGGGCATTCTTGCAAATACGAAACGTAGCATTCGTCAAAGCAGTCAATAATGATTTTTACTGCTGTCCAACATTGGTAAAATTTCAATGTTCGTTCTCTTTTTGGCTCCCTTCCCCCTCTCCCCCTTTTTTTGAATAAAAGCTTGTCTGCAACTTTAATTTGTCAAATTCAAGTTCATTGTTATGACAGCCAATCAATTGCCATTTTGAACCTTAAGCACATAAATTACTTTTTCTTTTGCTCTTGATAACCCATCCTCCCTATTCGTATTTATTGTATCTGGGAAGGTAAACACTTTCTTTGTTATACTTATAGCAATTGAACTTGCAAAGCAAGAAAAGAGTTTGTTTTTGTTTTTGCTGCAAATCACAAATTATGACCATGTCACGTCGAGATGAGATTGCATCTCGTTTGAAATACTTTAACGGCGGCGATCAATATGATGTTATCGATGTTGTTGGCGAGGGCGCTTACGGTGTTGTTTGGTAAATTGACAGAGCTATGGCTACTCGATACAAGTACTCATTTCTGTTTACTTTATAACCCACAACAACGCTATACTTTTTTTTAAAAAAAAAAGTTCGGCTGTACATAAACCAACAGGTCAAATGGTCGCCATCAAGAGAATCTTACCTTTCGAGCACGCCATGTTTTGCCTAAGAACACTTCGAGAAATCAAACTGTTAAAGTATTTTAACCATGAAAATGTAATGAAGTAGCCGTTATTTTTGTAACCATAGTGAAATTCAGTTTTGGTAACTTGCTCAAGCTTTCTTTTTTCTTTGTCATATTTCTTTAATTTTTAACATAGATTATCTCTATTCTTGATATTATGAAGCCAAAGACAATAGAAGATTTTACTGAAGTGTAAGCGCTAGACTGATAGCAAGATTGCATTTTGAATGCTGATCATTTTAGGACCTCAACCAAATAGATACCTTGTCCAGGAATTGATGGAGACGGATATGCATCGTGTGATTCGTACCCAGGACCTTTCAGATGATCATTGTCAATATTTTACATATCAGACATTAAGAGCATTGAAAGCAATGCATTCAGCCAACGTTCTTCACCGAGATTTGAAACCATCCAACCTATTATTGAACGCGAACTGTGATCTGAAGGTAAATATCACCTGCTTTTTTGGGGCTTTTATTTTTACGGTGCTATTGGGCCCTATTTCTATTATTCCTCACACATCGAAACCTTAGATCTGTGATCTAGGGTTAGCAAGATCTGCCAATTCAGCTGATGAAAATAGTGGTTTCATGACGGAATATGTTGCTACGAGATGGTATCGTGCACCCGAAATCATGTTGACATTCAAAGAGTATACAAAGGCCATCGATGTATGGTCTGTGGGATGCATCTTGGCAGAGATGTTGAGCGGTAAACCATTATTCCCGGGTAGAGATTATCATCATCAATTGACACTTATCTTGGATGTGCTTGGTACACCTACCATGGACGATTTTTACGGAATCAAGAGCCGTAGAGCTCGTGATTACATCCGTAGTCTACCTTTCAAGAAAAGGATACCCTTCTCTAAATTATTTCCCAATGCAAACCCCTTAGGTAAATAGTCTAACTTACCCAAGCAATATGGAAAGAAAAAGAGAATGTTCTTCTCACTCAATTTATCTTTTGTATTTTTTATATCAGCGGTTGATCTGCTGGAAAAACTTTTGGCATTCAATCCTGCAAAGCGAATTACCGTAGAAGAAGCATTGAAACACCCTTATCTTGAACCGGTATAGTCCCATCCGTTCTTAAAACTCGCAGAAAACAATTACGATAACTAATCCCAAGTTTTTTAATTAAAAAACACAGTATCATGATCCAGACGATGAGGTAATATATCCTTTTATTTTGAGAGTGAGAGGTAGAAGCTATCTGCAATGCGTGTGCCTAATAAGAACTATCTGCTGTAAACATTCATAGCCAAATGCTCCGCCTATTCCGGAAAGCTTTTTTGATTTCGATAGATACAAAGATCAACTTACGAAAGAGCAATTAAAACGTAAGCAATAACGAGGTAAAAGTCAACGAGAGTGTTTGTCAGCTAACTCTACTGTCGTCTTCTGTGCGTTTGTAGAAATGTTATTTGAAGAAATTACACAATAGTGAAGGTTGCCACTCGCTATTCTCTTTTGTTGTTGTGATAACTTATTACACTTGATGATGCGCGCCAGTCATCTACAAACATCAAGTAATAATATGTTTACACGAATGAAAAAGTATTTATACCTTGGCATTTTTTCCCTTTCCATATCAATTTGGGTTGGTTTTTTGTTTTAACGCTTTTTAACTTATTATTTTGTCTTTTTTCTTCGACCTTCCCTTCAAGCCTTCCCACTTTAGAAAGAATAAAATAAAATAGGCAATACATTATGTTGTTTAGACATTCGGATAGTTGATGTAAATGCGATATGCTTTGTCCTTACATTTTTTTTAGCAAAAAATCTCTTTTTTGTTCAATGAAGCACAAAAAATGCACGTTCACTATGAAAGCATGCTGCTTGAAAAGAAAAGGCTTTCATAGCTCTATATTTTAAAATTTATGAGAAGAGCTGTTGGTAACTAAGGATACGTTAAGTTGTAAAAGACATGTCGTCTTAATTTCCTGGTTGTCAACAATAATTAACAGATGACAAGTCCCCTGACAAAGGATGCTTAATGAATAGTGCGAGCTGGGTCTACAGGAATTTGGCGCCCCGTAGTCAGTTGTCTTTTGAGGGACTAAAATAGAACAACTTACTAATCATAGTATCTCCAAAATAGGTGTGTTGAGACTTCCATTCGTAAATTTGCAAATATCCTCTTTGAGTGTATGCTGAGGTTGGGCCGTACACTGAATGTCTTTGATTGCTGGACGAATAGTATGGGACACAAAATAGAAGACATGTATTATGGACAGCTTTATTCTGCCACCATAATTACAGATCGTACTTTAAGGGGGGCTGGACGGTGCAGACTAATGTCTTTTCACGTTCATTTGTAAAAGGTGTTCCCTCTAATAAAAAGCGATCACAATCAATTATCACCGTTTTGGTATAGTGCAGGTTAAGACGGAAGTCTTTAAGAAATGAGCTTCTGTTTATGAAATTCTACATATATGCTTGCGAAGCTACCGGTCCTCATTGGTCTCAATTGCTCTGCTAAAGCGCACAATAAGAAAGTTATCCTTTTACAATCCAAAAATACTAAGATGGATTGGTATCAAGCGCATCAAATGGTCTCTAGTTGAGTGGCTTCCCTTCATTACAATTCAAACAAATATGGCTTGAAATTGCAACGCTGAACTTCCGAGCATGGGTGCAAGCAAAAATATTAAAATGGTAAAGCATTTATTGACTTCCTTTGCGCATATAAAAGCTTTCAAAGAACGAGATATTACAAAAAAAAAAAAAAAAGAAAAAAAAAGTTTAATAAAAAGGATTTACTTAGTTACATTTTACACAGAAAAAAAAAAAGGTTGAGAACAAAACTATACATTATTGTCATAGTCGTTATTATTTACATGATGGTCTATATTGCTTGTGTTATTATTGTTATTGTAATTGCTATGGTTACTAGCGTCATTGTTGTTGGAAGTTAAACTGCTATTGCTGCTATTATCAATACTATTGCTACTGCTATTACTGCTGTTACCATTATTGTTACCAGTACTGCTGCTATTGTTATTATTATTATCGTTGTTGTTGCTGCTAGCATTGTTACTATTGCCATTATTATTGTTCTGCTGACGTTCTAAAGCTCTTAATCGCTTTCGTTCGGCAGGAGGGACCAATTTACCATCTTCGGTAAACCAAAAGTGAGTAGCAAACTTCATTTTCAACTCATTGACGAGCAAGGAACCGCCATTAATGTGATCCTTTTTCTTTCTATAAGCGTGCTGCTCATCGTTATATATATAGGCATCATCGTCATGACTCCAGTCAATCGTGTCATCCCAAAGACCCTGCGACAGACCTTGAATGAATTCTTCCCATTCGTTATTAGTAAACGTCAAATGCAATTTCGAACCGCTCAATTCTTTCGTCATTAAGAGAACACCTTGACCAACGACTTTAGTTAATTGCATAATACGTTCGCCTACCATAATATTTCTTCTGAAAGCTGCCCAGTTTGTTTCTGCCAAGAAGGGTTCTATCCAACCACGGTAGGCTTTCATATTGGCATTACGTTCACGATCTTTATCGCGTTCCATTTGGGATGAATTGGAGGATAACTGGTTATCAGCCGATGGTGAAGTAGCATTGCTGTTGCTGTTGCTACTGTTGTTGCTATTGTTGTTGTTGTTAATAATATCATCCAAAAAGCTTGTAATACGCACCACTTCATTAGGGAACAGTGTAGCGAAAATCTCTTGAAACTGAACAAAGGCCAAATACAAACGGAAATAATCGTTGTTATAATAAATGCCATTTTGATTCATGCCGTTATCCAAGTGAGGCTTCATGTTGGAATGGTAGCAAAGAATACGAAGAGCAGGTGCAAGTAGTTTGCCTGCTTCCTCTGTGCTCAGATTTGAATAGACCACGTTAGGTGACAAAGTCGCTTTCTCAATGCTTAGCGTGAAGGATTCTGGTAATCGTTGTGCTTTCTGTTCTAGATCGGATATCAATATGGTTCTCATTCTACTGATGATATCATCACCTGCAAACAAACAAACAAACAAACATTATAAAAAAAAAGACAGTAGGGATGGGTTAACGTTTGTTGTCAAGCGTTTGTGACAATGTGAGAAATGGAACTTACGTCTTTGTCTAAATTCACCATGTCGATGAGGAATTTTTGGTTTCTTGGCTGGTGCAGGTGTACTCAAAGCCTCAACATAACTTGAGGGGTAATCCTGATCCAGTTGACCAAAGATCTTTTTTCTCTTCCTCATCAAAGAAGCTTGTGTTAAGACACCTTGTTCTGCATAACGTTGTAATAAAGCAGGTTCTCTTGTGATACGACCGTCTTGATAATAGAAACCTCTCTGTTTAGGTTCCATCAGGACTTCAGTATTGGTACCATTACCATGAATAAGGGTATTCAGATGAGGATATCTTGATAAAGTAGTATAAGAGTTACCCGTGGTCGAGCTAGAGCTATTACTATGATTGGAAACAAACGATGATTGTTGTCCGGTAGTGACAGTATTCGCAGTCATTGTAGCGGCAGTAGACATATGAGTTGATGAAACAGCTGTGGTATTTGAGGAAGGGAAAGAATTGCCCATGGTAGGTGAGCTTGCTTCAGTTGTTGTTGTGATGCTGTTTGCCGTTATTGATCCAAACACCATAGAAGATGTTGAACCAGAGGACGGTGTAGTAAGAGGCGTTGAATGATGTATATCATGAGATGAAGATACGGATGAAGGAGGTGGAGGAGGCGGCGGCGCCGACCCTCCATTGATGCTTGCAGAGCTTGAAGATAACCTTTGTTGTTGCTGTTGCTGTGACTGATAGGAAAAAGTAGATGATTGAAAATGATGAGGATGCTGATGATACAATGCATGCTGTTGTTGTTGTTGTTGTTGTTGTGATGATGTTTGTGGTGGCATAGAAGCATGAGAAGGTTGTGGTGGAGGTGGAGAACCTGGCTCTTCTAGGGGCGTTGCTGATGATGAAGACCAAGATAAAGAAGAAGCGGAGGGTTGATGATGAACAGGATAGGCAGAACGAAGGTTAGTATAAGGTCGAACTGTATATTGATCCGTTGCTGTCTCATCAACATCTACAGCTGTTGGTGTAGGTGTGGCTGTTGGTGTAGCTAGTGCTGCTGCTGCTGCTGCCTGAGCAGCTGATTCTCTATGTTCACGCGATAAAAGCTGTGAATCAGAGACTTGGGGACTCGCTTTGTGTTGTGGAGAAGGATTAGTTAAATAAGAAACGGATAATATTCTTTGAGGTACTGCTACTGCGCTTGCTGGTACTGCAGAATTGGCAGCAGCAGCAGCACTCGGTTGCGAAGATAAATTAGGATGGTTTGGTGTGGAAACGCCAGCGTTTGCTGATGAGGCGACAGCAGCAGCAACGGTAGAAGAGTGATGATGGTGATTATAGTAATAATGGTGGTTATTCCATTTTGTCGTTACACTTTTGGTATTGTTTATTGTTCCATTAGGCGTGGTTGGTGTCAGTGCGGCGGCTTGTGCTGGAGACGCAGTAATTGCTCTTGTTGTACTGGTTGTCAGCAAAGGATCTTCTGGTAGTACATTCTGACAGCAAGTAGCCGAAGGAGGCAATTGTACTTCAGCAAAAATAGGGCCTATACTGACATTTGATTCATCTTTAAAGATTAGAACATCACTGTGAATAGGTTTATAAAACTGGTATAGATCGCCCATAGCATAAGTTATACAAAAGTAAAGTTTGGCGATTCGTTCAGAGTCAGGCTTTTTTCTGATGATCTGTTTGATAATTCGAAATAGGTCGAGCAAATCTTCATCTGATAAGATATCTTCAGCTTGCGGACGATAATGATGGATGTTGTTAGGTGTTTGTAAAAAGCAGTGAATCGAGGATGAACGATTCATTTTTTCCAGTTGGTTTTTATTCTTTAGAAAAATAAAGAAAACAAGCTAAGGCCAGAAAAAAACCGAGAGAAAATGTATGTAAGCCTTAGTCAGTATGCTTCCTTTCCTTCTGTTCTTTACTTTAACGAAGAACGTTTATAACATATAAATAGAAAAGAGATCGATTGTTTGTTAGAAACTGAAAAAGGGGTTCCAAAAAAAAAATAATTCGTATAGGAAAAAAAAGAAGAAAGAAGGAAGGAATTTCGCACACTTACGTTTTTTCATTTTTTTTGTTTTTTCTTTAACAGTGATATACTTATCTAGCAGAAACGAGATGAGAAACAAATCTGTCTGTATTTGAATTTTTTTTTTCCTTGCTTAGAAAGCCTTTTTTTGTTCGAAAAAAAGGGTTATAGTACATTATTATCACTGCTAAGTAAGATGTCTGCAAAGCATAGCGTAATAATTGCACATTTCAGAAGCAGGGTTTTTATTGCAAATAATGTTATCTAAGTGTAACGTAACTCTTATCCATTACAGGTAACTGAAAACTACATTGCGTGTAGCTGCGTGTGTTCTATAAATACTCGCTTTTGTTAGCAATGGTTACGTTTTAAAAGTTTTGAAGGTATAACTGTTATAGGTTGAAAACCGGCCTATCCCTGCTAATTTTAGTTTATTATACCGCGTATCTATAACTATTAGGAAATCTGGAATACACGCTAAACTTAATATTAGTGTGTCTAGAGTCTAGACTAGTATGTCGTAGAATTTCGAACAGCTGCAAGACATATTGTTTGCAATATGAGATTCAAGTACACAGTTGGGCGAACGAAACGTTTTTGGTGCTTTTGCAACTTGGTTATCCTATAGTCAGTTTAGTATTTTTCCTTTTACTTATTTGCGGTCAATGAAAAAAAAAGTCCACTTTTTGCAATCTACGCGCACACACACACATAAACACACCAACACTTATTAACATTGTAGAAAAATGAAGGTCCGCATTGTTCCCTTTTTAAAATGTATGCTGATTGTCTGCACAATCTCGCAATACGAACGCATTTTGTTTCAATCGATTCTTCTGCAGCCTTTCAGCAGAAAAGGAGCGGGTTATGGTATGATTTATTGTGAGAATGAAAACGCCTGGCAAACTCAAAAATTGGCGGAGATCATTATTCCAATCTGTTGGGTAGGGCCTGCCAATCAAAACGCGGAAAAAGATAGAGATAAAGTAAAGTATCTCAGGCTGTGTTTAACAATAAGAAAAAGAAAGGAAAAGTAGGGACCGCAACAACACCTACAGGAACAGAGACGAATCAGGTACAGACACCCACAGCAAACCAAAACGTCCAACCATTGCTTTTCGCTACTAAACTAAAAAAAATAATAACAAATACAGTAAACTAATTTCTATTCAGCAATACTGATTTGTTCTACATCTTGACACTTCCATGTTGGCAACGGAGGCATCAGTGCAAATTTGGTATCAGAGATAAGTGGTATTAAAGTTTATGAAGGAACCACATAAGTGACACTTTGAGATTATACTTGATAAAAGAAACCAGTTTTAATAACAGAAACGAATAGAAACACGGATAAAATGGCTGATCTCTGGACTAAAAAAAAAAGGTGAATATGTAACGGATGATATGTTTTCGGTTAAACTCTATATTGCCTATTTGTTATGTAGCTTATTCCTTTAAAGTGATATTATTAATTTGAGAAGGATGCTATTCGCTTGCAAATGTAAAAGAGAGCTGTCACAAATACTATGTGGTTAGGACGCGTATGGCAGTTGCTTATATGTTCTCATCAGTGGACAAATGCAAAGACCACCATTGATGAGACTTAACCGCTTGTAAGTACTTATATTGGATACAAAGACCTACTCTAAAATATCTCCTATTTCCCATGTAGATAACTTTGATAAGAACTATTCTCGTACGTGCAACGGAAAGAAGAAAATGAGAGCCTTTTTTGATCTGCTGGAACGGTCAAACGTTTACCCCACTAGTGAGAGAAATTTTTGCTTTGGTCGCTCTCCCACCTTCCCTCGTTTCTAAACGCGCTGTTAGAAGCCGGGTCAGCTATATTGCGGAAATGTGATTGAGGTTCAAATCATTGCAGACTTGAGAAAGGAAGTGTTGGGTATTTGAGAATAAAATGTCGCATATTTGAGAGATCAGATTGCGTGGCATCTGAGCAATTTGTGTCGTATTTCTTAACAATGCTGCTGAAACAATGCGTGAGCTCTTGGTGCCTGAAGAAGTATTAATTGCAGAGTATTTTATATACTAATGGTTTTTTTGTGGATCCTTCGATGCCAAAATAGAAGCATTTGTTTTTGGGCAACAATTCGTAAAGAGAGTAGCTTGAAAGCCTCTGACGTCTTTCGTCTCAAGGATCATTTATGTTCGCTTACATGTTCCTCAACACAAAATCTTTATTGATTTGGAAGACAAATTTTTGGTCGCAAAGAAGATAAACTATGCAGAAATGTGTTGAGACTACCCTAATTTGAACAAAAGAACCATTAGCAATCAAAAAAATTTGAACAGTATATTCTTCGTGAGCGAGCGTGTCAGCAAATCTCTATGTATGATATGTTATTGAAGATAATCATATTGATATTGAAGAGAACTTATCGCAGTGTAATATTAAAAATTGTCTGACCTTGATCCATCATAAGAGTCGATTGCTATCGAAACTTGTCATATCGCAGATGTTGACCTTTTTTGCTTTAATCTTTTGCCACTTGAATGATTCTATCGTTTTATTCTTGATTTTTTCTTAACAGTTCATACTGCCCCTTTCTTTCTGTCCACGTACAACACGTATTCTTAACTTTGCTAATATGTTTAGAAATTCGCAACGTAAAAATTTCCAAAAAAAAATGACATCCGTATTGTCAGTCGACGTATCATATTTTTTGATGATGTGATAAGTTTTCATTTTAAAGTGCGACAGCATTTTGCGTAAAAGCGTATAGATGCAGACTACGTGTCTGTAGAAGACATGCTTACACTGTAAGGCAAACAATAACAGTTCTTGTCATTATCGCTTATTAAAGAAAATAGCATACAAGCCTACTTGTGATCATATAGGAAGCTCATGGCAAGCGAAAACTTGCTTCTTCTTCCTACTACTCGAATATATAAAAAAAAACTATTAAAATTTCCGGAACCACCATTTGGCATTTGCGAGCCATTCCCATTCCCGATTTGCGTTATACATCTTTGATATCCACCTAATTTTTGTCTCGTGACATTTTTTTTTCTTTTTCTGTATAATGAGTAAAAACAGTTGCCATTAAATCAGAAAAGGACTTTGTTCACGGGAAATCGGCCTTTTCCATTTAGTGCCAACTTAGCCGTTCGACCACGACCAGTTGGGCAGTATTAGTATTCGTTGAGTAACACTGTAGTTGCGTTGTAGCTTTTTATTTTGCAGATGTGTCAGTTATAGATGTTACAAATATTGAGGAACGTATATTAGTTGATACTTTTGTAGTAGTAGGTATTCTTGTTGATTTGTCAAGTTGTCCGTGCGCATATCCCGAAAAAAAGAAAAAACTCGACAAAACCTTTGCAGAATCATATAAATGGGCATTTGGTGAGCATAAGATGCCAGCCGTCAACTATTAAACAAAATTCAGCCTTAATAAGAACTACACACAGCTTTTACCTATTTTCACTCATCTACTTCAAAGCATAACAATATTGAGGACGTAACTTCACTCACAAAGTCACTGATTTTTCACCTATAAATGCCTTCATAGAGAGGTTATCTTTATAATGGTATACCAAGTTTAAATAGTGGTTGGCTTGAAGAAAATCTTATGCCAAGTCTACATTAAGACGCAGCTTGCAAGGTCATCGCATTACTTTACAAAATCAAGAAAGGGATGGCAATCTATTTGGGCACTGCAACAATGCGACCATCAGCAGTTACCATACGAATACTTTAAGGAGTTAGTCCTACATTCAGCGGCACAATTATAATTTTAATTTTTGGCGTGCGGAACGTGCCTTCGATCAACTACGTCCTTGTGGCGGAGGACATGTATCGAATTTAGTACGGCGACACAATGCGAAAGAGATTTCATTTGGCAGTATTCCAAAACGTATTTTACTTGAATCTGTCTTCATCCATTCATAAATCACAAACAAATACAGAATCGTACATTCATTATGATTTGTTTATTCCCGTGATATTTCTGTATTAGTTTTGTTTCTAGCGCCCGTTATCCTTGATGTTCCTCTTGACGCCAAGACTTTTAATAATTTCAACCCTTGAAGCAACCAACAACAACAACAACAATAATAATAATAATAATAACGTAGCCATAGCGGTTATCATTCCAAATTCTGCCTGATTCGACAATCTTACGATGTTCTAGACAGCGATAGATAGGAGGATGAGGTAAGCCGATTGTACTCTTTCCACCCTATCTGCATAAAAATGGTCAAGGTTTTATTATTCGACTCGCTCAACAAACATGCGATTTCCCTACGTGTACAATTGAGGTTTTTTATAATAGTATATACCTTCTATATCAATATGAAAATCAACTGAAGGTTGACCATACGAATATTGGGTCTCCTTGGAACATTAAATCATAAATGTTGATGCGTGAAGAATAACCAGCAAGAACAAAATTATTTACAATAGAGTAGCTTAAAATGATAGGCGTAGTTCGACCTTCGAACAAATGATGGGAATCAGACAACTGCATTCAATTGATCAATGGAACGCGTATGCTGTAGTGTTTTGATACACACAAACGTCACCCTCACCAACCCCATTTTTCCCTTTCCCTATTGCAGGATTCTTTGTCTTTTGAATACAAATTAACTGCGCTCGCTTTCGTATCAAAGTAATTTTTCCGGTGAATCTTTTCATCTATTCCATTGTCAACGATAAAAAATTAAAATTGGTTCTTTTTTTTTTTGTTGCAAAAGGTGGTAAGATCATTTTGTTGTAAACAGTGGTTGCTTTGCGATATAATAGTTTACAAGATAGGTCCAAAGAGATTGAATATCAAAAATATCATCTCAAGATTTCAAGGCCCAAAGGACACAAAATACCTAAAGATTATCTGAATTGCTCGGGGCAGATATAAATGTTTACAGAGCTGGAAACCTATTTGAGCTTAAATGAGAAAAGGAAGGAAGGGTATACCTGTAATATAGTGAAGCAGGTAACCCGTCAATAGAATGTTGCCCAAGAAGCGGTGGAGGAAGGGATTCCTGGCTTGGATATGTTGGACATGATAGAGTTGGAATAAAATGCGACGGACAGCGGGCCAAATCATATTTGAGCGCTGGGCGTTGATCCGAAGGGACATGTTGAGAGAAATTAAGGTTAGATGATGATAAATCAGGAACAGAAAACGGTAGAAAAAAGGCGACAACGCATGTTGAAACAGGATATAGCGTGCGACTTAGTGAGGATCGTTGACGGGTGTTGTGCCCACTTTGAAGCCAGTCCAATCGCTATCGAATACATCGGTTATATTCGGCCTTACTGATAGGGAGCCATATAATAGGATTAATAAAAAGGGTGGGGGAGGCATTGACAGATAAGTTTGGACTTGACGTGTCGCATTGTTGCAGATGAAGAAGCTGTGTACAGAAATTGGTGATGCAGCACTGAAGCTAGTTGAAATCATTGGCTCTATGTTAGAATATATACAGCTTTCAAATTGAAGAATGGGCAAGCTGAGCATACACAGATTTTGTTGACGCCTGGGAAGGAAACACTTAGCTTGTAGATTGTAATACATTTCCGCATGGACTGTAGGTTGGCCAAACATAGCATGATCTTCGCGGGACCGCAAGTAAAAACCAACAAAGAATTCGCATGCGCATTTACTTTAGGTGTCTTCGAAATTGCTTGTGTTGTTTCAACTGTGGGTACACCATACTCTATTTTTACCCAGATCATTTTGGGCATAAAATTGCATGGAAAGGTGCTATTCAAAGCCATCAGAGATTACACCAATGACACCTATTTGCTTCGTTGCAGTGTAGGGTTTTCATAGTATTAATACGGATTAGTTTATTCGCATTAATGCTTTCCCCCTGGTTGAAAGGGAACTTCAAGGTACCGAAAGAACCGTTAGTGCTGTAATGAGGTGCGATGAGTACATAGTCTAGAGGGGTCTAAGAATACATATTTATCAGAATACCATCGATATTAAAGTGAAGACTATCTTCTTCAAAGTTATGTGACGTCGATCGGCCATAAGCTCAACATCGCCAATATAGAGAAGATATAAGAGGTAACATCACATCAGCTGGTGCTTGAGAGGTATCAGGCGGCGAGTGGCTGTGATCATAATAGCGATGGTAGCTCATTGATGTAATGGGAATACAAAAAGGGGGACATAACAGAGCCCTGGAGGACGCTGATGACAAGGTAAAGTTGTTCTAACTTGGCGTTGTTGTGTAGATTTCTATTCGTACTTTGTCAAATAACTTCTGTAGCAGTTCAAATAGCTAGACTGGTGTGCGAGGCCGTATTGTATTCAATTAGCATAGCGATCAACCATGTCATACGCTGATTTGATATCAAGAAAGGTAAGGATTGATCAGTACTGTACTGGCGCTTTAGAATGTTACAAATTTCAGCTTGAAAAAGTACTTATTCAAAAGAACGTTGAGCACTGCAGAAAACAATGAGCAATGTCGTGTGGCGAGTTGTTAAGCAGTAGATGATGTTGCATACATTGTTTTAGAATCTTACGGAAAATAGCGGTAAGACTTATTGGACGATAACAACGTAGATCTGTAGATGAGCCTTTGTTATAAATTGTGATAGGCTTGATCGATGTTAATGAGTGTAGGACCCTTGTCAAATAGTTGAAAAAGACGTAATAGCGGCAGCTATAAGGTTGGTAAGGGGCTGAAGCATTTCTAATCGTTTATCACGCACGCTGGGAGCCTTATTTCGTGGAACTGTTTTTGGTGGTATCGAGAGTATCTTCTTAGATCGGAATACCTCGGAGTTGACTGGCTGTTGTGAATCATATTGTGGTTGTGCGGAACGGAAGATTGATGGTTTATGTCGTCCAGAATATATGTTTTTCGTATGGGTAGTCATCATATCTGCGGCTGCTTCTGGGCCTTCTGGCTAGAAAAGAAAGGATTTACGGTTTTTTCGGATTTGACTTAAGTGGGCAATTACTGCTAGATATTCTTCACGGCTCATCTGTTGGCAAAACTGATCCAAGCTGCCTGACTACGCTGCTTGTATAAACTTTTGCGTTGAGCCTTCGCTGTTGTTATTCTGTTCTCAAAGTCGAGTTTGTTGAGGCCATTGGCCGGCGCCACTTATATATATCTAAAACGTCTCATTACGGGTTCACATGGTTCCTTGAGGGCTCTTTTAATTACAGTTTCAGAAACCCGATGAGCACCAAAACTTGCCCGGGGCAGATCCTATTTATTGTATAAGCTGATACATATCTAAAAAAAATCCCTTTGAGGATTAAGAATAAAGAAGGTGTTTAGACAGTTGTGGTTGCTGGGGACCTGGGGATTACCCATTGTAGCATGGCGGAACTAAAAGGCAGGTCTAGTGAAGGGGGATAAATTCCATCGAATGGATAAGTTCATATACAATGTAGCATATAACTGGCCAACTGATTGTCCTTGATTGGTAAGTGGTAAATGAACGAGGAGATGGGAAACGCCTTATTACAATACTCGTGTTCCTTATGAGACGATTGCAAAAATTTCTTGGACAAACTCAGTATCTTAAATAGGAGAAATTTGTTTTCTCAAATGGACAACAAAGATTTTTGCTTATCCAAACCAAGGATATCGGACGAGAAAGAAATCAAAGCAATTTTTGTCTTTCGCATTTTACAACACCTTCTCTAATTTAGCATAACGTATTATGGTATGTTCTTAGTACATCGTAATATTATTGACGCTGGTGCAATCGCCATTAAATCATTATTCCAAAGAACTAACTCTTTGGCAATTTGTTTAAATGTAGTCTGCCATTTTCAACTTTCAATCCTTGTTGCTGGTCATCTTATTGACGATTTGCACATGTACTTACATAAAGGCACAGGCTCCTTCATTATTAGATAGAAACAAAACAGGGTAAGAAGAAGTTTTCTTTTGTTTAAATAACCAAACACTCGCTTGATAGCATGACTGAAATCAGTTTGTGACCCAATAGCGTGCTCGGATTATTCTGGAAAGCAGCGAGAATTGGAGAAAGATTAAGCCCCTACGTATCACTTGCTTGTATCATCATGGGGTTCACATTGATGCGTTCCTAAATACGTAGACGACTGACTTTCATACAATCAACATCCATAAATACTTCTAACCATCATGAAGTATTGTTAAATTCCAAGCATTTCCCTTCGATATAGTCGATAATTACTCTTATAGCCTACTGCTACCACTTGAACATAAAGGCGAATCAAGCAAATATTGTTTATTATACATAATAATACATAAGGAAACAAAAAAAAAACCAAAAAAAAAAAAACCATTATCCTTATTCGACAGGATAATGCTTTTCAATCAAAGATAATAATTCTTTTTCGTGTGTCGTCGCATTCGTATCATTACAGGGTTCAGTACAAACAGCTTTATGCTTCATTTCATCACAGAGTAAATCCAAATCAAATTCGGAGAAACGAGGATGTTCTGATAACTTATCCCATACATTGGTTATATTTTCTGATTTGAATGTGGCTACATCTTCTTTAGCTGTCTCCGTCGTTTCAACACCTGTCATAGTAGCAGCAGTTGCAGCGGCAGTTGTAGTGTCACCAAAGCTAACTGGCACTGAATTGTCAGTAGTATTCATAAGTATATTATCTGCCGCTGTGGGAACAATAGCAGCAGTAGTATTTGATGGAAGAGGGTAGAAGAAATCAAACTGACTTGGGTCTGTTGAAAGTGTCGTTCTATGTTCTTTCAGAAGATCATTCAATTGTTTACTATAATCCATAGTTGTGGCTGTCTCCATTGGAATAGGATAGGATATCGAACCAAACAGATCATTCGTAAATATGTTGTTCGAAATGGGCATCGTAGAAATGGATGATGCCGAAGGTGTTGTCATAGGTGAGTTTGTAGAATCGAGATTCAATATATCTTCAATTGTCATTTGCGGAGTGAACACAATGCTACTGATATCACTGTTACCGCTACTACTACTTTTACTGTTACTTCTCTTATTGCTGTTCCTACTATTCATTTCATCTTCTGTTTCTGGAGAGTAGCTATTATGGCTATTGCTACTGTTGGGTGATGCCGATCGAGTGTTTTGTCGTATTAACTTAGAAGGTCGTTCTCCATCCGTATCCTTTAAAAATGCAGTAAGGGGTTTATCAAAGGATGTCGTGGAAGCTTTAATTAATTCATTTTCTCTTCGTAATTCGGCTATCGAATCTTTTAATTTTCGATTCTCCTCGGCAAGTTCTACATTCTTATACGTGCTCAAACTTTCTTCCAGTTCTTTTAATTTTTGTTCTAGTTGCCGAACTTCGTTCTCCTTCCTTTCCCTAAATGCCCTTTGAGCAGCTCGATTTTGGGCTTTTCTTTTCAATTTAGGATCATCAGACTATGTATATTTGTAATGCAATAAATTGTTATCAATTGTAAAAAGGTAACGACGTCTTTTCTTTTTCGTCGTCTTCTTTATTAAATCGTTTGATTCGAATAGCTTCCTTACATTATCTTCGTCGCTGGTAACTGGCTTACGTCCGACCTTTTTCTTTGCTGATTTGGTCTCTTCTAGAGGAAAATAATGTTATTAGGGTTCACTATAATTCGGATAATGTTTGTGGGTCTCTCCAACACTTACTTGCTGGTTTTGCAATTGATTCGTCTATTGCCCAGCCATTTGATTTAGGAGTTTGAGATAAAGATGAGGTAGGGTAAAGAGCAGCTATTAATTGACCTAATTGTTGATGATTCAAATTATTCATTGGTGTGGGTGTTGTTGCTGTAGTATTTTCAGTAGCCGTGGAAGCAGGGTTTACAGTCTGTAGAAGTGCTAATAATAACATCGTTTGCGCTTGTGGATTGTCTTTCAAAAACGAAAGATCAACTTTATTTCCCTGACGAGATATCTTTGCTATAATATCTTCGAGTGATAATGATGTCACAGAAGCTGTTGTGTTCATATAAAAAAGTCTGGAATTTTTTTATGGATGAGGATAATTTTTTAAAGATATTAAGAAAAGGTAAAAAAAGAAAAAAAAAAAAAACTAAAAAAAGAAAATACTTACTGCTGCAGTGTTAATCAAATCAACAGTTCATTAAGTGAAACCCAGCGAGCAAGAAGTGTAAATCTCAAGTGCAGTGACAGCTTTTCGGAGCGCCAAATACACTGAATTTTTTTGCCTGGATTTTTCCATTTCATTATGCGTTTTGATTTGTGGATACAGTAACTGTAATATTTTCGGTTTTGACGATTTTCTATCAAAATTGGATTTTTTCAATAACCTAATTCAGACAATCCAAGTAATTATTTTCCCGATCTCATTTCCAAAGTTCGGATACTTTCAGTATATCCACCACCATCACTACCTTCGTCTGAACAATCCCGATTTTTCACCTTCTGCTTTAATATTCATTGGGCAATATGGACATCGTTTTTTCGAATGATATTGTATGACATATACAGTTCCGTCGATGATATTGTTAACGATCGTGAAATAAAGCTAAACTGCACTGCCCAAAGCGATGGACATGGTATCACACTACAGTTTGTCAGACGAAAGGCTACTTCCGGTAATACAAAGGCACTACTACAACTAGACGACTTCAATCTCGCGGAAGTAGGTGAGTATTTTCACCCAATTACTGTTGATCCTGGGCGGAATGAAATTTTTACAGCTGCGGTTGGCTTCAACAATATTAATCACAAGAATCACGAGATACGCAGTTGCAGCAAAAGTGAAAGAGTCACCTTTGCGGGCTACACGAAGAGAAGCACTTATTCGAAGAAATTAAAAGAAAGGAAAGGAATAACGTCCATTGAGTCATCGCTGCCTTCACCGAAGGTCGTATCCAAAGAGGCCTATATTGTGTACTTGAAATACACATTGCAGCATCTGCAGACACTATTTGACTTCTACAGCTTCAAATCGGCCCAGTTCAACTTCAACAATTACCAAGGCAAACAACGGGCAGATGCTGAGGTAGCTAATGTGTTGATTGATGGCGGTCGCAAGTATAATAGGAGGGAAAGAAAACATATAAACAGAAACAAGAAAAGGAACGACGACTGAAGAATGGCCAGAAGAAGACAATTAGAAGCAAAGTTAAAAAGACAACGGGAGCGTATGGAAGCTCAAGAAGAAAAAAAAGAAAAAAACGATAAAAGAGGAGCCGAAGAGAAAAGAAGACGTTGACTTATGCAGGTAAGCGTTTTTGGTGGTAGATGGCTTTTCTTAAGGCACTTAAAGATCTACTTCTGATACAGATACAAGGAAGATGGACGGAGAATCTGGCGTCAAGAGCAGTTTATGGATAAAAGGCTAGTCATTCCTCTTGTCGTGTTCGGGACGGGGATGTCGGGAAAAGACACAGTAAGAATGAAAGGACAAATCTCTGGTGTCACAGGTGTCCTCTATAAAATCTTATTAAAAAGGCAGAAGAAACAACTTGTTGCGGTAGTCGACATTGATGAATATTGCACGTCGCAGGTAATTAACATTTCCCTTATACTGTGCAATATATGCCGTATTTCTATGAGCCGTTTTTCTACATTCCTTACTTATACATGCACAATCAAATATTAGGTCTGCAACAACTGTTTGCTCAAAAATATGGAAAGTGTAAAGATCGGTGCTGGTTCACGTTGTTACAGTACGAAAGTTTGTAAACACTGCCACATACTTTGGCAGCGTGATATAAATGCTTCAAAGAATATGATGACTATTGCCACTTAAGTTTGGGCAGTTCATGGAAGACCCTCACAGTTTACCCCCACAGAATCGCCGTAGCGAAGACGGTGCTGTCGGTTCCTCGAACCAGGCGGCTTAAAGATACTTACGCGTTTAGGTGAGTTCATCTTGTGAAATTTCTCACTATACGTTTCTGAAGCTTTTATTAACTGTTGCTTGACATTACTACATACTCAAACATGGTAGGTATTCTGTGCTTCGGCACAGTATATTTACCTTGTTGGCACAGTATATTTACCTTGTTTGAGTAAGAGTAGGTCGCACATTTGGCATTGAGCATTTGGACAGAAATCGTATGATCTGAAAGCTATACATTTCATCTAAATAATTTTAAAAATGAGTCTGAATTTTAATTGTAAGATAATCTCAATTAAATAGCCATTTCGTGCGAAAGTCAAGCGAAAAAACAAGTATCCAAATCGTCCCCAAAAAGTTCGGCCTTTTTTTATAATACCCAGCGGCTAATTACATTTATGCCTCAACTGCAAGACCGCCTTATTTATGTTGGTTGAAGTTTGAGGGGCGGTTAGTTATCCTTTGAAGGTTACGCATCTCGTAAATGTTCTACAACCAATCCCTCCATACCCATTTTCTAAAAATCATTTGGAACTAGTTTTGGAAAAGATCAAATTGTTCGTCTCTCGCTTTTCCAGTTTTATGTTTGGTATAGAGAGTAAGTACTTTATTCATTATAAATGCCAAAGGTTCAAGTGTTAGTTCTTTGAAGGACTCTGTGTCGACTCTATTGGCAATACTTTGCTGCTACTACTATTGCTATTGATATTATCGAGAAGTGTAGCATTAGCACCATTTCTACTGTCCCTTTCTTCCATAACAGTATCTATTCCTTCCGAGGACGATTTTGTTATTGTTGTTGCTGGTAGTGCTGTTCGCTCAACAACATTTAGTGTTGTGCCTGATTGTTTCTGCCTTTTTCTTCTTTGCATAAAGGTCTCATAATTGACAAGTGGTATGCTAACATCTTTTTCCTCCTCATATTGGATTGCTGAGTGCTCAGCATAATCATTATCTATTATCATTGCATTTGGGTTGCTTTTTTGTTGACGTCTCAAAAGCTGGTTTTCTGCAGACATGAGTTTCTTCAAATTCTCCTCCACAGTACGTGATTGTTCAGAATTTAACTCTCTCACTTTTTGTGGATCGTCAGGTCTATCAATATATATCTTTTTCGAGCAAAGAAATTGGTCAGTTTAGTGTAGAAAAGAGAAAGCTGTTAGATAAATACTTACAGGTGTCTGTTGAAATGAATGTTTACTGGGGAATGGAGGAAAGTGACGTGGTACATATGCTGGTAAGCTGCCTTCTTCACCATCTTCCCTCGTACTTTCATCTTCATTGTCTGAATTCTCATTGTCTGAGGGTAGGAATTCGGGAACATTTTCGACAGTTGATTCTTGTTTAAGAGCTTTAAAAAACTTCTTGGTTCTCTTTACTTGTTGCGGCATATAAACAAGAGTTAGGATAGATATAATATCCAAGGTAGCAAGAAAAGATAAACGGATTACTTACAGGTTGGGGTATCGTTCAGTTTCGTTTGCAGGTAGTGTTTGAATATGGACAGATCTGTGCCTGCTTTCTGAGCTGATCTGGTAATATCGTGTATATTTGGTCTTGCTCTGTTACCTAATTCTGCTTGTCGATGAGCTGTTGTCAGCATATTGTCAATATCTATAAGAAAGGGCATCAGTCGAAAATGCTAAATGGACTTAAAATGCTTCTCACTTTATGCTGAATCGCATCGGAAATTACAAGCTCCTAGTATATTGGAAAAGAGTTCTAAAGATTGTGGTTGTACCGCTTCATATCCAGCCTCCTTTGACACAATGCAAATAACCTTTTCGAGGGCTTCTAAAATATAATCATCTACAATACTTCGTTTGACTTGCATCTGTACTAGATTAGATAGTGTTGAATGTTTGTATGGTTAAAAAAAAGTACGAAAAAGTATTCGAAAATTGAAAGGCTAAAATGATGCAGGACTTTCAAATGCTTCTCCTTGCTGCCATGGAAATTTGCATTTGACAAACGAGCAACAAAAGACACGTGTAGAGTGGTAAAAGATAATATCAAATAGCGTAGAAAAAGACAAACTCGTTTCCTTAATAAAGCAAACAGAATTAAGAGGCAAAACAAGATATTTACCGACGTAGAAAACTTCAATTTTCAATTTGCTTGAACACTTGAAATTTTGATAATCTTCTACAAGGAGTTTATTCTTTTCGTAAGTAAGCTATTGAGAACGACAAATTAAGAATCGTCAAGTCATAAACTTAGACGTTTGCTGAAAACGGTTGAGAGGATTATTATTGATACCGAAGCGAAGTCATCCTGACTACCCACAATAACAAGTTGATCACGTAGTATTTATAGGTAGTATTTTCTTTATACAAACTATATATTTCGTCAAAACATCAATGCTTGCATTTGTAATGAAGACAACAGCTTCTTTCCTGGCAGGCAAAGATTGAGTTCATTGTTTAAACAAGCGATGGTCAATTCCAATTCTTTCCTTGCACTATCGTGTAATTTTTTGTCTGCCGGTGACATTTTCCTGTTGAACAATGGTGGTCTACAACGTCATAGATAAATAAAGTGCTTCAACTGAACATTTATCAAATCGTTTTCCTCACCTTCTCATATCCCTGTCCTTAAAATACTTCAATTGACATAGATTGCTAACAAGCTTATATCCTACACCTCGCTTCTTTGAGGCGATTTCGAGAAGTTCAAGTGTGTTTTTCGCTACAAAATGTTTTTATTAGGGTAGGTATGCAAATGATATACAAGTATATATATAAAGAAAAACTACGCTTCCATCTAGCTATCTTCATTTACCTTTTAACTCAATATTTGGATCTGATAGAAATACCTTGTTTTCGAAACCTTCTCGAATCAAACTTTTAATATGTTTCCTATTTACACCATCCACGGCTTTTTTACCGGTTCGTAGAAATATACGATACTGACTTCTCAATTCCGATTGCGCTTTTAAATCCGTGCATCTGCTAGCGGATGTACTATATCCTCTTTTCTGCTGTTGAGCAAATTGTCTAATACTGCTTTTGCCCTTAAAAGTGCCCGTCATACTAGCACTAGTAGCATGATCAATTGTCACTTCTACATAATCGCCTTTATTCAACGGGTCATTTTCAAAATCTTTGCGTTGAATAAAGACTTTATGTCCTCCGTCTGTTCTACCGCTCCATTGTGTATCGTATCCATATTTTGACCTTTGTTTATCTGAATCTACTAACACCAATTGCCTTGAACCTAACAATGCCTGATTCTTTTTTGAAGCTTCTCTATGGAAAGTATCAACAATTTCTTGCAGCCTTCTGATTTTATCTTGCTCCGGTACGTCGTCCTTATATCGACGATGAGCATGTGTCTTTTCGCGCATACTGTAGGCGAACATAAAGGCAGTATCGTACTTCACTTGTTCCATGATGCGTACAGTATCACGATGCTCCTCCTCTGTTTCTCCACAGAAGCCTGTAATAATATCGGTGCTGATCCAAACGTTTGGTATAATTTTTCGCATCTCAGCAACTAGTTCCAAATAAGCTTCGCGTGTATAACCTCGTCTCATCCTGTCTAAAACGGTGTTACTTCCGGACTGGATAGGTAGATGGACAGAGTTACATATATTGGGTCGAGAGGCAATCAGATGTAACAAGTCGGTAGGAAAGTCCTTCGGGTGTGGAGAGGTGAATCGCACACGCATTTCAGGGTCGATTTGACTGACTTTATCTAAAAGTTCCGTAAATCTTCGACCACCGTCTTTCCGTTTATATATTGTTTTGAAGCCTGAATTACTTAAATTTGCTCCTACATCGTTGATTAAAGGACCCTGCATAAAGTATTTCGATTCTGATTCGTCTCTATATGCTAAGACCGAGTAGAACAATTAAATAAAAGTAGGTATCAACATCGATAGAAACACGAAATTGACACATGAGCATGAAGCTTACAATTGACATTCTGCCCCAATACAGTCACTTCTTTGACTCCTTGATCACTCAGATATCGCACTTCATCCAGAATGGTGTCAATGGGCCGACTTCGTTCATTTCCTCTAGTGAATGGTACAATACAGAAACTGCACATGTTATTGCATCCTCTCATAATGGAAACCCAACCTGACGTTTTTGTAGAATCGAGCCGCATTGGCATAATATCAGCATATGTTTCATCAGCTGATAGCATAACATTGGCTACACCTTTTGAATATTCGTCGTTTTCTGCTAGGGAAATCAAATGTGGAATAGATCTATATCCATCAGGTCCGCAAACAATATCAACTAGTTTATCGTCTTCTAATAATTTTGTCTTCAATCTTTCCGCCATACACTAAATGGAAAGTAGAATAGCATTACTAGATTGCTCTTTCTCCCTAATTTACAAAAAAAAAAAAAAAAAAAAAAAAAAAAAAAAAAAAAACCTACACCAAGTACACCCACAATAGGCGAACTATTTTTATTAATCTTGGTTCTAAAGTGTCGAAGATATTTCAGTCTTTCCCAAATTTTAACTTCTGCGTTATCTCTGATTGCACACTAAAATTAATAATAGTTCAAATTAGTTTGATTTCACTCAGTATTTCACTATACCCGTCGATCTTTTATATTTACTGTAACCAAGAATACTATATTTGCATCTTCTAGAGTATCAGTACGCTTATAACCGCTGTTTGTCATTATAGCATTCAAAATTTCCGTATCATTGACATTCATCTAATTATTTCGTGCTTTAGCTGTATTTGCTCAAACAGTGGCATAATATGAAGACTTACTTGACAGCCATAAATTTCAATGTAAAATTTTCTACCTTGTCCCCATAAATCGGGAGTTCGAGCAAGATAGGGTATTCTGTCAGGGTTTGTCAGCGCTGGATCAATATCTCTCTTTGCATTCTTCAGTTGATGTTCGTATAAAAAATCTTGTAATGAGGGTGATCGATTGTCGAATACTAATCGTCGTCTTTCATTCGTTAGGGTCGGTTTTACTTGCTGTTCTTTTATGATCGTTGTCGTTGCTGCTGTAGTATATAGTCTAACTAAACTTTTTCGTTGCAATCGATGTAATGACTTTGAGAGTTGAAATGTGCTGTTTTTGCCTAATGTAGACATGTATGCTTTACGACTTCAAAAGAATCAATGCTGCAAAATATAAAGTAACCCCGGGGTCGATGATAGCCAAAATGGTTCTACATGATCCCAAAAAGGTGACTGACATTTTAACATCCGGAGTGGTTCCTGAATTCTTGGTTTTTTCATTGAAACGGCGACAAGCTGAATGTTATACAAACTGTTGTACTCATAAAACTTCTATTTCATTTAACAAACATGTAAAAATATCATATGCAAATAGAATACATAAATCCCAGTATTCACGGTAATTTTCTATGCGAGTGCAATCACATTAATCACAACATCAACATTTTGTACCTACTATCAGCTGCTGTAAGTGCAACGTTACAATGTATTGCTAGGTAGAATATTATGATGACCAAAGAATATAAGGTACTGAAAATAAAGAAAAAATTAAACGAATTATCTCAAGATGACAATGATTACAACATAAAAGGGATCTCTCAATTCTCAATTGATTGTATCTGAAAACTTTCTTCCCTAACAGCATATCAACCCCCACCCCTACCCCCTTAATTTGAGGTTAGTGATAAACCGTCGTAACAGATAACTACAAGGTCATCGTCTTAAAAGTGAAATATACAAACATTAAATGCATCACACTTGCCACACTTGTTAGTAGGTGTGTTAAAGCCCGATATACAGCTGTTTTATTCGTTATCAAAGGTTAATTGTTCAACAAACTTGCTCTATGAGCGGTAAGTATGATACGTGAGGATTACGATTGATACGTATCAGATAACAATAGAAATGCTCAGATCGCCTTGTCTGTAATAGCAATGTAGTAACTTACCGTAGAAAATGGTATTTAACAAAATATATCAAGCGAAAAATAAACTTCTGGTAAGTATATGCATACTTGTATTACATTTTCAATCTCTTTGCTACTGGCAGCTTATTTACGATGTAGTTAATTTGCTTCTGCAAATTCATGTTCGTAAGCAATTGTTAGCATCAAGTCTTCTTCAATCCTAAATACTATTACTTCCTCGCAGTAAACATTCAGTAAATTTGGCACACAAATTTTTGTACATTTATTTTGTCATAGTTCCTGCATTGAAGAAGAATCTTTTCCATTCTATCAAAGTAAAAAGCAATTGTGTTTCCTCCCAAAAGACCTCAAGCGCCATTACTCACCTGATCCACTTACGGTATATATAAAAGTTAATGCTCACAGCTACAGCTAGTATTTACGGCAGACTCATCGTATATAATGTATTGGCTTATTCGGATCATTATCGGTTGCTTCTGATATGCCAAAATAGTTTATAGTGGTAAGTGATAGCAGTAGAATGCTGTATCAGAAATAGTTGATTAGCAAAATTTAACCGTTAACTTTGTTCGGTGCCCATTTCAAAGAGGAAATCATTGGCTTATTACACACGTTGCGAACAATTGATAAAGCAGTTCTCTTTGCAATAAACCATCATTTTTATTTGATTGTAAGGTTATGCTGTTTATAAAAAGATGAGCTTATGTATGCTTAATATACCTCGCAGTTAAAAACAGATATCAATTAAAACACATCTTCGTTTTTCACCTCGTCTTTGTACGTTATTCTTTTAGAATATATTTCTTGCTCTTACTTGCAAAACTCAATTCTTGGAAGCCCGTGGTATAACTTCCACAACTAAAAAGGGACAAACGAAGATGCAGCAATGCTTTTTGAAAATAAGCTAAAATATTCTTAATGATGAAAATGAGTATTTATTACAGTGTAAGATTTATGTTGTAATATTCAAAAATCATCATCCCCAGGTTCCTGTTCATAAGCAGGCATAAATTCAGCAGTATCAGAAGGCTCACAATTTAAAAATGTTTGATAAGCTTCTTTCGTCGCTGTTGTGAAATCCAAGGTCGTGTCAGGATCACTAGACGGTATCACATTATCGGGAAGATTCCATCGACCTTCTAAATCTCTAATACTACGAATACGTTGTTCAAAGTACACGCTGAACAACACAGTGGAAGCATTTTCGTTGTTTCTCTGCATTTCAGCGTTGCCAACTTCGGCTTTATCAACGGTCGCCATTTGTTCATTGCCTTTACCAAGAAGTGCAGTGACTGCACCTTGCAATATTTCTTCCTTTTTTGATGCTGTCCACAAATACGTCACGTCTATCTCATATAACGTTAACAGTAATGTTCATATAACTTTTGAATAGACGATATTTTTCTTGACGGCATGTACTTACACTCTCCTTTGGGACATGCCATACTTTCTTCATTTTGGTGAATGATAAAAATTGGCTCATCAATATTTCCTTCTAAGCTGCCAGGAGCAATCACGCTGTAAGCCAGCGTATCAATTGACTCAGGCTCATCTACTGTCTTCAAGCGAATTGGTTTATTTGTCACTATAATTGCCCGCGCTATCCACGTACTTCAGAAAAGCCCCATTAGTTACGAATGATCCAAATGGTTATAAGGTACCTTAAAGCTTTACCCCAAATCTTCTTTTCGCGGTAACCATGCTGCGGCTAAATAGTCTATACCCGAGATAAGCTTCTCACAATAATAAGTCTGCCCTTCTTTTGTAACAACTCCCTTGCATAAATTTGTACCACTCTCAATGACATATCTATCAAGCGCTTGGCCTAAAATATAAACCCCACCGTAAACGGCGCATACTCTGCAGAATGCTTGAGCAATTTCGCTGCACCCACCATATAGAGGACAGAGATAAGCACCTTTACCAAAACGTCCCATAGATCGCATGAGCTGGTGTGTTTTTTCCAAACCGTCCTTAACCGAGGCTATAAACATCAAGAGCAAAAATCAGTTTGTAACATCATTATGATGAACCCATTAAATTGTTTGAACGTGCCTCTAGCATCTACAAGTGCAATAGCATATATAATCGCTTCCTTCAATCTTCCTGTTAAACTAAACTTTTCCTCCAAAAATTGTCCAAAATTCATATCTTCCGCACCTTTCAAAACAGAATCTTCTGCAACATCATTTTTCGGGTTTTCCATTGCAAAAGTTAGAAACTTCATCAATTTTCTTTTTTCTATCAAGCTGACGGACTTGCTGGTGAATACATCTTCCTTGGAACTGGGCACCTATCCAGACGATGAAAATTCAATAGAGTTCATCTAGCTACACTGTGTTCAAATGACTACCTTTTTTAACCCATATGACTGATGATCCATGAGGTAAATATCGTCGACGGTTTTGAATTCTAAATATCTGCCTACACCACTTCGTATCAAAACCTCCACTAACTCCTCACGCGTTCCCAACAGTTTCGGTGTTGTATCTAAGTTATAGGAACGAGACTTTTGCAACAATTCGACAAAAAGACGCATTTCGGCCAACTTATCACATAATTCAGTGTTCGTCACATCACTAAAAAACTCATCAAATAATGCTCTATCTGACTGGGAATTTGGTTTTGGATAGAATTCCTCTTTTGCTGTTGTGGACTCTCCTGTCAACTTGCTCTCAATGAGTTCTCTTTCCGAAGTCGAAAGTGGAGTACCATTTAATTTAAATTGAACATTTCTAAAATTTGAGTTATAGTTCCTTTCGAAATCTATGCTGAAGTCGGTCTCTGTCAATTACCGTTTAGAGTTTTTAGCCCGGTGTTCATTTCTTCTCTACTAATCGTTGACCAGTGAAATATACCTGCTGTCGACGCACAAATTCCCGTCTCTACAGACAAAGACTACAGTCAATGCGGGATATATTGGTTACAAAAAACGGACGTGCGGCCTTACGTTTACATAGGCTTAAATACCATTGAACAATTTCTCGAAAACCAAACACGCACCCATTTCCGCCATAATAGGGATGGCTATCAAGGTGAAGAACCTTTTTACCCGTCCTAGCAAGTGATCTGTTTTTCAAAACTAAGAAATGAGTTTCACTGATCATTCAACATATTCAATTTTGAACAAGCTTCACCCTGCTAAAATCGATTCGATGAGTCCAGTTCCCAATAAAATATAATCAAAGTTCGAATCCTCTAAGCTGTCTAGCATTTGTACAAGCAATTATTAAAGTAAAAGTCAAAAGCACAAACATAAAAGCAAAATTAAGGTTCAGCACACAGGATTTTGAACCTGAAAAGGGGCGGGTTGCTCAATTTTCAAACAATCGGGAAATCAAATACACTTCCCATAGTCATTCAGGCATTTAGAAATAAAAAATGCCAGCTCAAAAAAAATCTATAAAGTCAACCATAGTGCATCCAATCCACTAGAGACTAGAGCCAAATGCTATTTTGCGACTGTTAACATCACAAAAAATGGGCATCACATCAGTTTACCACAGCTTAGGTTTTATTTTCCTTCCTTTGTTGGCATAAATAATGCTGTGACAATCGATAAAGTATTCGTCGAGTAATCGTTCATGCGTTGAAGCGAACTGCTGAAATCAACCAAAAAAAGTTGCTGCTGGTGATGCTTTGATACAAAAAAAATCTGTGCCAACAGAACAATATTCACTGACTGATTGATAAGCAGTAAAACAATTTACAAGATCAATCAAGAGTAACGATGAGGATATAGATAGTAGGAAGCCTCTGAATAAAATATTGCGAATTCACTGAGCGGTTAACCGTGGATCATCACTAGTCAGTCTTAGAACGTACAATTGGAAAAAGAAATCTTACTGATTAATCGAATCTTAAAAGAAAGTATTAAATCAATAATCGTAATATCTACAGTTAGCAAAACTCTAAAAGCAGCTGTGGAATGGTATTAGTAGTAATAGCATTACATAAAATGATATCTTTTCTTACAAAACAAAAGAGAGACAGACAGTTTAGAAGCTCACATGACCAGAGGGCGATGGAAGTAAGGTTATAGTGTGTTAGTAATAGCAGAACACTCAATGCAGCAAAGAAGAGAAGTATTCGTTTTTAAACAATGGCTCTACGGTAATAAAACAACGTCTTATTGATAATCAGTTTAAAAAATGCTAAGGCGGTGTCCTTTGTACGTTATAACTGAAGAAAAGAAAAAGCAGGGCATACAATAGTTGTGCACTTGGAAAGATCAGGTTAGTTATTACGTTATAGTAAGCCCGATATGGAAGTTACAGTCTTTATTGAACGGAATCCCCATTCTCAAAAAACAATTATGTTCTAGTACAACTGGTAGGTACTTCTCGTAACGTATAGGTAAGCTTTCTATAAACATAAAATATACAAATCACCAATAAGCAAACCTACAGTCGTCAATGAAACGCAATTCAGCACAATTCTTTTTTCGAAAGTGTTGTATTTGCTTAATCAAAGATTGGTAACTGTTGTAAGTCGATGACTATGAACTTAAGTGTCTTTATTGTTCTTCAGATGAAGTAGAAGGATTATTTACTCTGTGAGGTTTAATGGGAATTGTATTATTTGAGGACGCGTATGCTAGTCACTTTCAGGTTCAGATGCTTATTGAGTGATTATTATACTTAGACCTGTATCTTGTTCTATGTTGTACATAACCTGTATTAGATGCAATATAGATAGACCGTGGCAGAATGTATTTTCTACCTGGTTGTACGTACTCGAGTATTGTAGTTATTATCTCACCAAACACGTCAGTAAGCATTAATGGATGTCAAAATTTTTGATATATGCCCTCTGTGGTCTTTAATGAGTACTATAGTGCTGATATATTCTTCTTTGATCGTTACTGTTGCTGCTATAGGATGATAAGGCAAGAAAAATTTGTATACCGCTGCTGCTCAATAGCATGTGTCATGTCCAATATTAGTTTATGGATCCAAAATAACATTCTTCTCTTGTAAATCTTTGCCTTTCATTTTACTATGACTGCAGATAGAGAATTGACAGTTATAGGGAGAAATTTTACGCCACTCTTACTTTTAAGACCGGAATACATGGTAAGGATACAATAGATATAAAGAGATAGATTTCTAGGTTTTTGAAATGTCCTATAATGAATTATTAAGATTGCTAAGAGTTTTACATGCTTGCAGCTTGTGATACTGATGATTATAATTTTGAATGAGTAGCAATTTTTTGCAAATGGCTTGAAAATTTTGCAGTTAGAATTATAATATGTTTCAGTTTACTAACAGAATTCAGCAAAAACTGCCAAGTACATTGAAAATGCGACGTAAAGGATCAATTTATGTATCACTGGCACTATTTTAGTCGAGTATACCTACAGGATTCTTTTACTTACCAGAATCTGCATATAAAAACTGACAGTGGGTTTGCTGGTGACCTAAATTATATACACGTTAGAGGCTTTTGATCAACCCCCTTTTCCACTCAATTCATTAATATTGTTTGATCATTGCTTTTTATTTTTTAAAAAAAATTATAGTTTTGAATCAATATTAATGACAAACTCTCTTTTGAAAAGTGATTGATGTTATTGAGGATAATGTGGAGTATGAAGATGTGTATAATTTTTGTCTGACTACAAAAAAAGCAAGTTGTTCCTTTGTTTATTTCTCCTACTATTAAAAGTTGAAAAACAATGGTTAGAAGAGGGAAAAAGAAACTGACTACAAAATCATCCGATAACATTAATGATGAAGCAAAGAATCAGCAAGTATCAGCCAGTCCACAATTTCATAATGAAGGTCTCAACAGTAGCAACGAAAAAGAAACACTAAGGTCAAAGACATCCGCACAAAGAAATAGCCCAGATTCGGCTCTGTGGACACCAATACAGCTTGAGCAGATGAAACTGTCTAAACAACTCGACAATTACATTGAGAGCTTCAAAGTCAAACTTGCACAATTAAACTTTAGCCCTACAAATCGAGAGCTTGTCATTCTATTCATAATGAACCTTCACCCACGTTGGCGACGTTTGGTCGAACCTTTAGAAGTGTGGTGCAATGAATGGCTAGAAGCAGCAGCATTTGCACGGCTTCATTGCGAGCGTGTCTCAGCTATTTTAGGCTGTGAATCAATTGATTCAACAATGGCGAATAATAGTGACCTTTTCAGTTCACCAGAATCAAAAGCGTTACGCGACTCACATTATTTTGCCTTTACAGACTGTCCGTCGAATATACAGAAGGACATGTCGTCAGTCGAGCATCTGTTATTGAAAAAGGAAACCACTGCAGAACCTGAAGAAGAGAAAGTAAGAGCGCTTTCAGAAACATCAATACCATTGCATCTTAAAATTGCAGCGAAAGCGTTTCAGAAACCAATGAAGCCCTCAATATCATCTTGTAGCTCGGCTTCTAACGCTAGCAATGCTTCTCAACTTACAACCGTTGACAATGATAATGCGAAGAAAAATAAAGCAAAGGAAACAACGCAGAGTAAAAGGAAAAATAATACGAATACTTCCGAATCATCACAAGCACCGACTGCAAAAGCAGCAACTGCAATACAGAAAAGCAACATATGTCTAGACCAGCAATCACAATCACATAACAAACCCATGCACGCGGCATCAAAAATTGAATCGAGTAAACAGAGTGATATACAAAAAGGAGCATCAAACTTGAACGTGGATAAAGCGAATGAATCATCAATATTGACAGGTACATATCTCAGCGAACAAGACAAAACAAAGGTGGTCCATCCATTAACAGCTGCGGCTGCTTTGGCTCAAAAGATAAATTTGCCTGTCATAGAGAGACCTGAAGGAGATATCATCTTCTCCGAAATTCCTGGACATCATAAAAGTGTTAATTTGGCTTTCTTGGAACTTACAATTAACCAAAAGAAGGTTCGGGGACTACTAGCGAAATTAAGCTGGGGTAGTTCGGCTATAGCCTTGGACTGCGTTAAAAGATTAGGGTTAGTCATGGAATATAACGATATGTTCTGCTTAGAAACAGATTGGGGAAATGTATCATCTTTGGGAATTTGTATGTTACCTATTCACCATCCAGCTGATCCTAGCATTAGTTCTACCATGCAAGTTCAGGTTTTACCGTCCATTTACAATGGTAAAGTTGATCTGGTTCTGGGTGCAGACTTTTTCTTTTTCTTTAAACCGACTTTGAATATCAAATCTAGATCTATCAAATTTTTAGAGAAAGAAACGCCTTACATTGTTGACAAAATTGAATAAAAAGTGAGTTACACTGCTTTCACAAAAATTTGTGGGCAGTATTGTTTTTCGACTAATAATTATTAAAATTTGGACACTTTCAGCAACTTCTGAATTTGCAGTGTCTGACAAATAAGCTACTGGTTCTATATTTATTGCCCCCGTTTTGGTTAACAAAGGAAGCAATAACAATAGTTGATTATATAGTTTAACTTAGAACTGCCTGTTTGCCATCAGTAACGGATGGAATGGTTGATAAACGAGTCTCAATTTTGCTGTCAAAATTTAGCGCGTTTTAAAAAGTACAAGTTATGTGGAGAAGAGTGCACATGCATGTTGCCTTGGTTCGCTGACACCGGTACCAAAGCTTGCAACGCTTGCGGTTTTGTATGGCAGCGCGATGTACATGGCAAAGAATACGCTTCATGTGCAGATTTCATATTGAATAACATTGATCGTCTTGCTATTTTCACACAATCTCCATAACGAAAATGGTGCTGCAGGTTCTTCAGAACCAACGGCTTAAAAGATATTTACGCGTTGAGATCAATTCATTTTGTGGGACTTCTCAATGTACCTTATTACAGTTCTTATGAATTACTGCTTGGTATTTCTAACATAACCATACATGGTGAGTATGATTAAGTCGCACAATGGGCATTGAACATTTTGATAGGATCATCCCAAAAACTATGCTTACCATCCATATCATTGTTACTACAGTCTATGTTTTTGACTGTTGAATGCCTCTATTTGTTATCCATTACGTGCAAAAGCCAAGCAGAAGAAAAAAGGTAGAAAAAGAACGAATCTAGAGTAATTTAGTGAGTTCTAATGCAGTACATCCGGTTTGAAAGACATATCCAGTACATTTTTAAAACCGATAACAGCCGTCAATACAACAATTAAAATAAGTTGATACGTAAGATAACCAATATGTGTTTGAAAACAACCATATTAGCTCCTCAACCTATTGCGCAATACGTGATCCTTATATACATCATTTTCTGTGGGCAGAAAGCCTAATCAAATAGAGTCAGCCATTTCTGACCTCCTTTGCATTGATCCTAACAAATTGTTGATAAGGTAATGGCAGCGTTAATATGTAGTCCAATTTACGAAGCAGTTTTTTCACAAATACTAACTTACCACATAGATATTAATATTTATCAATCCAACCCAAAAGACACACATAGATTATTAAAGATTGGTGTCCATTGTTTGAATCCTTATGGGAGAACGTGGCAAAATTAATGATCCGCTCAACAGATACGTTTATGTAGAGCAAATATATTTTTATTTATGAGATATACGATATCGGTACGACTGCACCTCATCCATTTAGTTTATTCATCTGCTTACTAGCAGTATTTCATTCAAAAGTAAACAGTCTATATTAGCTATTAAACATTGTAAACCTTTTTCAATTATTCTGTAGCTTTGTTTTCTAGCATTTTGTCAATCTATTCAATTGTTATTTGATTATTTTCTATTACAACCACTTTATATTCAAGGTCCTTATGAAAGCTTGCTCTCTCAACTGCGAAAGGTGTCCGTAGAACGTCTGAACAAAAATTAAACTGCGTCATGTGTTTTTATTGATAAATACACAACATTTCAGCATTACGTTTAAAATAGATTTTATTGACAAAATATTTTTAAACCCAATGGGCACACAGATAAACTACATATCAAAATTGCCCTGGGCAGAACAAAAAATGGAATAAGAATTAAAAAACCCTTAAAGGTGCAAGGGGAAAACTGCTACCAAGTAATTTGCAAAGGCGAACCCAACTGGCCTGATAGAATCATGCTTAGTAAAGAAGACAAAAGCAAGATAGAGATGCTATGCAAAAGCTTTGAGAAACTTATAACGGAAAAGGTTACGCTGCTTTCCTTATCATCCGATCCCGCCAAGTTTACCAAAGCATTATGGCACATCCTATCCTCGTATGAAAAGGAACATGACGAACATGCAGCTTACGATGTCCGTAGATTACCGTTACCCAAGCGCTTCTTCCCTTTCCCTCTGCCTTCGCTCCATTGGCGTTTCATCACCATAAGCGTCAACTCGCTCCTCCCATTCATGTTTCCCGGTACAGCTCCAAAAGGCTATACAAATCAACTCGAAAAGTTTTATCAAGTGTTCAGCTTCAAAAAGATGGGATTTGATAGGTAAAAAAAGAAAAAAAAAAGTTTGGCAGAAATGTTGTCATTGGTATTTACTGAATTTCATTTTTTTTTGTGACAATAGTTTAAATGACCTTAGGACAAGCCAGGAAACATTATTCCGTAATATTGTCCGTTCAGATGGCTTCACTGTCGATTTTCTTTTCAGTAAGAAGAGAAAATCAAAAGAAGAGAAAACCATCGAAGACCATCGGTTGACTTTGGAAGATTTTGAATATGCCGAAATCGAATCTGGTTACAGGCCCTGCTTCATTGATCCCGGGAGAAAAGACGTCTTCACAGCAGCGATCGGGCTGGATGATGAAAAGCACCAAGTGCGAAGATGCTCTACCAAAGAGTACTATCACATAACTGGTAGCACCAGGTACTCTGCAAGGCTAGAGAAGAAGAAAGCGGACAAAATCAAGGGCATCGAAAGTGATATGCCAACTGCCAAGACAGGCTCCAAAGCCCAATATCACTGTTATGCAGAATACATCCTACAGCACTTGGAAGTCTTGTTTTCTTTCTACGGTGATGATACTGCCAAAGATCGATTTCATTTATACCAAGGACGGAAACGTGCAGCAGACAAAATGGTAAATATGCTAGTTAATGGTAGTACAAAGTATAATGGGGATCTCAGATTGAAGAAGAGAGACAACAAAGAAAAGAAGGGCTCAAAGAAGAAGAACAATGGCAAGGCGGCTTCTCAGAAAAGACGAAAAAAAAAAAAGAAAGGAGTAGTAGAGAAAAAGAGTCAAAAGAAGGGACGCCAGAAGTTAAAGTGGAATTAGGTAAGAAAGATAGGTAAAGTTCATAAGCAATCATCATCAACAACTTATAGAAAGTAACATGTTTTTTGTAATAGTAGTTCAAATGCCAAATGGAGGCCCCAACCTTTCAGTGTCGGTGATGTCAAAAAAGTACCTCTCATTGTATTTGGTAATGGTATGTTCGCTAAAGACAATGTCGCATTCAAGGGTCACCGATGTGGAACGGTGGGTGTTTTGTGGCGTGCACTCAAGCGACGTGAAGCAAGCGGAGACTTGGTAGTACTTGAAATTGATGAATACAAGACATCCAGAATATGCTCCTGCTGTTCGAACGATACTTTAGAGAGGTTGAAAGGCGTTAAGACCTGCAGTATACTTGTTTGTAAGACATGCCATATACTGTGGAATCGAGACGTCAATGCTGCTAAGAATATGATGAAAATTAGTTGTGCTATTTGGAAGGCTCTAGGAAGGCCAAAAGAATTCACGCGGACAAAAATATAAAAGCATCCTCTCCCTCAACATCGCTGGAACGAACCCAGTTTGATAATTAGAGGTAAAAAGAATGAAAACCTTATACTTTCTAGTGTTGTGCAAACTGTCTAACATTTTATTCTTAACGGTCTACTATTATCTTACATCCGCTTAAACTTAGTTTCCTTATCGTCTAAAAATTTGTGTGTGTTGTCCAAATCTAAAGTTAATAAACTGTAAGGGGTCGAAATTTCATCCAGAACTGTGAACTAACTATGATATAAAACAGCTTTGACTTCCTATTCAACCTTGACAATAAGTGACAATGCAAATTTGTCAGCTTTCCAATGCACTCATTTTATTTTCAATCGCAGTTGTATCTGGTGCAAGTGTTAAGAATATAGTTGTATTCGGCGATTCTTATTCAGGTATTATCAATTTAGAATGACTAGAAACAAAAATTAGAGATCTAACATTTATATCTGATTGTAGATGTTGGAAACGTTCAGAGATGGTCCAATGGACCCAACTGGAGTGAATATCTCGCTGCAGCATGGAATAGCTCTTTATACAACTTCGCATATAGTGGAGCAGTATGTGACTCTGGAAAATATAAAACAATGTCAAAAGAGGAAAATCGAAGTGCTAGTCTGCGTGATCAGCTTGAAGCGTATTACCGCCTCAACCTGAAGCTCGATCCTGCAGAAACCGTATACGCATTTTGGATTGGAGTGCAGGACGTGTTTGAGATGGGAAAAAGTATGGTTTCATATATTAAATAATGACCCTTAATTTAAATGCCTCTCTTTGTTGAGTCTAATACTTTCGCTCTTTGGTCATAGACAGTCAGGAACCAGATTATAAAGGAATAGTTGATTGTATAGGACAACAATTGGTATGATTTGAAATGCACCAAGCTCAAACAATGATATTGTTTTTAACATTACAAGATAAACTTAGAGAGCAGCTCGGAAAGTCTTTTTATCTGATAGATATTTGGTTTTGAATGTTCCCCCCATTGGGAAAATGCCATACTATCAGAATTCAGAAATAGCCTCGAATAAGAGTCAGGCTGCAATTGATATCAATCGAGGGCTGGAGAAAGATGTCACAAATTTAAACAAGCATCATCATGCTTTAGAAATGGATTACGTTGATATCCATACATTGATCAATGATATTGTCATTAATCCTAGTATTTTTGGCTTCAAAAACTCCAATTCATCGTATTTGGACGATTGTTATTCTCGAAGCGAATGCAGCAGTAATGAAAATGGTTATATTTGGTGGGATCGGACACACTTTACTTCAGGTAACTGTCGCAGTATGGTAGTCATCATCCTGTATTGTGATGATACTTAAGGACAAGTCTTTTCACAATGCTAGCATTTCACAAGGTCATAGCTAAGAGTATCGTCGAAGCAGGGTCATATATGCCGGAGGCCGTATTCACCAGTGATATAGAAAAAGAGCTAGAAAGTCCAAATTCCAAATTCCATTCCAAGAAATACGTTGTAAAATCATATGAAGGTATTTTTGATGACCAAGCGAAGATGTTTGATCTTCAGAGAATGCAACCTATAGAACCTCAACAATTTCCATTGGACGATGAAACAAAAAGCCTCTATTATACAGCAAATAACAACGCTATTTCTCACAAATCATCTGAAGCAGCTATACCTGCATGGACCCTCGCCATAGCGATACTCATCATTTGCATAGTTGCTTGGATAAAATTCAGAAAGACAGACGATCAATACCGTGGTAAATTTGTACCAGTACGTAACGAGTGCGGTTAAAACTCGAAAAGTCGAGGATAAAATAACAATAAAATATGATTTTACTGAGCGCGTCATTCAGTATGTAAGCAGTCGTTTATAATTATCAAAACTTCACTCCACAGACTCACCTTTCATTTAACTGGAATCAATACACTTCTGAACACATCAATTGGCCTATTTAGGCTTCTCAAAAGTAGCATAGATGATTGTCTATTGTCTTCTAGTGAAGAGAGTTCTATTGTGAGGTGTATGCTATAAGAAGGCGTCTTTATATCTTTTGTTCGCTCAAAAAGGCAACTCTTTTGTATGCTATTGACCATAGTATATAAGTATGCTTCGCGATTTATTCAAAGGTTCAAGAGTTTGTATTAGATTTTAGCTGTAATACTTTACTTCAAACAATTTAACTTTGAACAAGGAAATTCAAATTAGATAAACACCCTATTTTATTCTTTCCCAGCAACAGGTAAGTAACTCGTCAGAACTACTATTTTCAAGTTTATTATGGCGTAAACTTCGTGTTTACTTTCCTTGGATATCCTTTTTTAAGTGAATTACTTATTGGGCGATGATATTTAGGAAGGCAATATCTATTTAATATCAAATTCTATCGTTTCCCGCATAGCTTTTTCTTCAATAGGAGTACCGTTTCTTTCTGACAAATTCAGCTTCAACAAAATAATATCTACAAACAAATGAAACACACAGGAGTTCCCTGCCATCAACATTTAGATCACATGCAGCCATTTTCAGCATCTGCAGAGCATAGTGTGAATCACGAATCTTCCGTTTCAACCTATGCACTCGATCCATATAATTACCGTTCATTTCCTTCCACACCCGGAAGCGCTTCAACCGACCACTCTTTTGGAAGCCTTTGTTCTGCATTCAGCCAGACAATAATTAGTGACTCCCAAACATCTAGCAGCTTTATTGAACATTTATCTGATCAATATAATATTAATGAGGAAGAATATGACGAAGAAGAAGAAGAAGAGTTGAATGCGCCATCTTACGAAACCATTCTGTTTTATGAAATTTTGAAAGAATTCCCTGACCTTGCCACATTTATATGTCATAACGATTTCAATACTTTTTCTCAAATATGGTTAGAGCTACAACGACAAAAAGATCTTGCAAGATACCCAACAAATCGAATGGCTGTTCAAGCCTGGTTAAAAGCTACTGCGCTTCAAATTCACTTCAACCTTGTTACACTTGTCAAAAGCAATCCTGCAAATAGTGAACTCAATTCAGAACCACGGCGTATGTTTTCTGCCTGGAGAAGACTCAAGGATCGTGTTGAAGTTACTCACCAAATTATTCGAATAGTTGAGGATCGACGCGTTTCCTATAATCAAACGCCCAAGGAAGCCATCACTGACTTACAGCAGGCAGCCGCACAATTGAATGACGACCTAAATTTTTTCAAACAGAACCCATCAATTGTCCCCATTATAGACGAGAAAGCAGACTGTATTCGTTTCAAACCAACAGAACAGGTTAGCATAACAGAACTAACCAGACGTACTGCTGAGACCTATAACCTGATGTCCTATGATCACAACGCATCATTGACGCCTCGGATAAAAAATAACACAAACCTTATTAGTGAAGATCGACAGATTTTACTATCAAAAACTTCGCTACTCACTGCACCTTATTATCCAGTAACCGGTTCGACGCCTGAAGCGGAGGAGTCTGTTTTTATTGATAATGAGTCATATGTTCCCAAAATTCAAGAGTGTAATCAAGCCCAGAACAGTTATACGAAATATGGACTTTCAGACATTGACTCTCGTGTCAATCAAGCGTTAATTGACGATAAAAAAGCCAAATCTTCTCCTTCTCCTCCTGTATGTCCTTATGTTCATCCCTTACAAATTCTTGTCGCTACAAGCCAGAACGCTGGATGGTCATTACCCGTGACACCTCAAACAGAAGCAACTCAGCAACAACTATTCATTTCACTTCCATCATCTCCCGCAGCCATTGATGTGCAACACAGAAATAGTTATATATTTGCTCCATGCAATTCAACCAGAGACGAGGCTATGTCGCCAGCAACGTCTTCAATTATTAACTCCCCATTGAATACTTTGAGCGAAGACAGTTTAGATTATCAGTTCATAGATTGTGATCTTGTAACGCCGCGGATAGAAGAGAAAGAATTTGACTATGAGCGCTCTGTTGAAATTGCTGCAACTGATACAAGTATAACTCCTACTACAACTGTTCCTTCTGAAGAAATAAGGGAAGATCTACCGGAAGAGGATGGGTACCAATTGCAGGAAGATGACGTAGATAAAAATATGAAAACAATGCAACATCGGCAACGCAAATCAGCACGTGCTGCTGACCCAAAACGTAGTAGTAAGAAGAAAAAGCTGAATCTGAAAGATTTGCGCAACATGATACCAGTGACTAGAAATCAAACCAGACGAACAGCAACCTCTTATGATGCAGAAACAACGCATTATCTTAAATCTGTCTTTTATAATGTTTATAGTCAAACGAATAAGCTCACTAAGGAACAGCGGTATCGCATTCAAAAGGAAACAGGTCTCAAATCAAGGAATATTACTTATTGGTTCAGTAATCATAAGCGCCGATTTCACGAATCCCTTAAGCTTTTCAGAAAGGTCGTTGAACAGAGCGAAGGACGCGTTAAAACTTACGATGACTTTTTATCTTGGAGACGCTCTCAAGGGCTCCCAGAGGAAATCATGGAAAATGAAATGATAATAGAAGAATTCTGAATACTTTCTTCTTTGAGGCCTTTTTGCCCATTTTCTTGAAAAAGCTCTAAAATGATACCCTTACTGCAACACAAGCATACAATAACAAAACGCAAGCTCTACAACAATAACCAATCTCTCATTCACTTGTTATCGCATAAAAAAAGTAAGCATTACATTAGCCTATAGTTCAAAGTGGGGTATCTTCCGTGTATGGTTTGAATATTTGGAATCTTTTTCAAAAATCAGACGAGTAATACAATTCCAAGAAGTATGATACGACAATTTGAGTGAACCTCCTGAGCTCCAGTTTAACTGACTAAATGCCTTGTATTTTTCCGGGAAAAGAAAGGTTCAATAAACGTTTTTAACAACTCAAAATTAATTGGCATTACATTCTAACCCCAAAGTTTTCAACTTTAAGGAGCATATGTTCTTTCGAAGTCTGTATCCCTTTTGATCGACTTGACTAACTTTATTTGTAAATATAAACTTGCCACCTGGACTACAGATTACAGTTTTTATCTCTTATTCCCCTCTTATTACATTAGATCACTAGCAAGAACAGTTCAACATTGCTCAAAAATGAACCTGATACTAACAGAATCAGCAGCCTTATCCACATCAGCACGGCTCTCCTTCATACCGATATCCACATTTTTGTTATATTTTTTCAGTAAATATACAAATGCTCTAGCGTTATTCAATAATAGCTGGCTGCAATCCTTATTTATCGGCTTCATGTACATATGTACGATTGGATCGGTGGTATTGCTGGCAAATCTATGGAAGGACATTAAAATTGCTTGTCAATTTATGTACTCATGTTTTTTAAAAAAACTGGGGGATTGCGGAAATAGTCCGCAGGACCGGTTGGAAGCATTCTATCAAGATCAAGCTCTTAGTAAGTGTATATGCATAATTTGACGCTGTTGCTCTAATCATAATCTATCCAGATATTGTTAATAAACCTGTACTTCTTTTTCCGTTTCTCCGGAACCCCCTTCTTCCTTTGATCTACTTGATGAAATTTTTGTGTATTGTTCAATTACTCCCTAAATTTGTGTCCGGAACGTCCATTAGTTTACGATGAATCTCGTGAAGCGTTACTTAAAGGCAGAAAAACAATGCTTAAACTATGTGCTGCTCAACTCAAAGAACAAATATCCACAGGAACTATGAACAAAAGGCCAATATGGGTAGATTTGGGTGGCGGAACTGGTAAGCTTCATACCATGTATGTTTATGTTGGATGACTTTTTTCACCTACTGTATTGATTTCAACTTTATAATAAAGGCTGGAACATTGAAACTATGCATAGTATGTTTTCTATTGACGAATTTGAAAAGGTGATTCTTGTAGACTTGACTCCATCACTTTGTGAAGTGGCACGTAAGCGATTCTCAAAAAGAGGTTGGAAAAATGTTATTGTTGTTTGTCAAGATGCATCTACTTTTGAAATGCCAGGTTGCGAAAATGTTTTAGATGGACAGGTGGGGTTGGTTACCTTATCTTATTCGCGTATGTGTGCAGTTTATGGAGTGTTCATAAAAGTTACATCTTGCTCTAACACTGTCATTATCCAGTTTCGATGATGGATCATTTTTACCCAATTGTCGATCGAATTCAATCTCTTCTTTTACCAGAAGGTCTTCTTGGGGTAGTTGACTTTTATGTCTCTGGAAGGTCAAAAGCGCCTGCTACGCACTGGTTTCCACAGCTGGGTAGACAGTGCAATTGGTTTACACGGCATTTTTGGCAAGGTTGGTTTGAATTAGATCATATACACCTTGAACCTGGTCGACGTGATTATCTGGAATACAAATTTGCATCCATAAAGTCTTTAAATTACCGGAACCACTTTATCATTCCATTTTTGATACAAATCCCCTATTACATATGGCTTGGTCGCTCTCACGCTCAACAACAAAATGGATCCTGTAGACTTTCGGAACTTGCTGATGATTCGGATAGTGTAACGAGTGAACAAAGTAACCAAACGTTGGTCAACGGTTCACAAAACAGTAATAATACAGTGATGTGCAAACAGTCATTATCGCGGCCTCAGTTATCATTTCAGAACAAAGCTTGGCGTATTGATTATGATCCCGAATTATCCTGCAATAAACAGTTCAGATCTTATATCTATGCTTTTACATGGGAAGATCCGCGCGTTGATCTCCAGTATTTAAACTTGTCTAAAGATGATACTCTCTTCCTTATAACCTCTGCCGGTGATAACGCGCTGGAATATGCGATCCACTCACAACCAAAGAGAATTCACTGCGTCGATATGAACCCTTGCCAGGTATGTGATAAGATAGAATGAATAGCATCGTCACATAAATGGTTATTTAACCTTAAACAATATTCGTCGTATTACGTAGAATCATTTATTGGAGCTCAAACTTGCTGCAATTAGCTCTTTAGACTTCAGTGACTTTTGGAAAATGTTTGGTGAAGGCTGTCATTCACAGTTTTCGCGATTGTTACATGATAAACTTTCGCCACACTTAAGCTCATATGCCTATGCTTATTGGAATGAGCATAGCAATAAATTCAATCGTAAATTCTATAAAACGGGATATTCAGGATTGGCTCTGACTATTGTCGAATGGTGGATTCGTATAAAAGGCATCCGCGATGATATTGATAAACTGATAAATTCTACCAACAATAAAGAGCAAGCAGATATTTGGATGCAGAGAATCCGGCCACATATTTTCACAACTTTTATACAAAAGATTATAAACAATCCAATATTTATGTGGAATGCACTTGGCGGTAAAATTCATGAAGAAAAAATCCAAAAAAATACACAATTACTCACACAGTTTGTTTACACAGTCCCCATTAATCAGATGAAAATGTTTTTGAAAGAATGCACAGCTCAAGAATATATTGAGAGCACGCTGGACCCCATCTTACAATCTACATCTCTCAAAACTGATAACTATTTTTATTACCTTTGTCTAAATCAGCGATACAACCAAGATTGTTGTCCAAGCTATCTCACAGAGACGGGTTTTAAAACATTAAAGGTAAATGATCCCTCATATACAATGGCTATAACAAAAAAATGAATTCATAACTTATGGTTTTGTGCAGACTTCTGGAGCTTTGGATGCATTCCGCTTGCATACATCATCGATTCTCAGTGCACTGAAAACTCTTCCGGAGAATTACCTTACACAGATTGTTGTTATGGACCATATGGATTGGTTCAACCCTGAATCATGTATCGAATTGGATCAGGAAATATCGGAAATGATGCGAGTACTTCAAAATAATGGCAAAGTCTATTGGAGAAGTGCAAGTACACAACCATGGTATAATGAAACATTTGTCAAGCATGGATTTGTCAATATTGAGCCTTTAAACGTCAGGAAACCAGGACAATGCATAGATAGAGTAAATATGTATGCTAGCTTTTACAGAGCTACTAAACCATAAGCCTAACTTCACATAAACGGTTTATCAAGCATTTTTAAGCTATAAATCTTCAGTCTGTGCTAATTAAGTCTCTTGCTAATGTTTTTTATTGATATGAAGAATCGGTTAAGGGTTATGATCACGATAAATATAAGATGCTGAGCCTCTTGATATATCGCGACTGCTTGAAATGTTTCAGGTTTCCGTCTAAACAGCTTGCCGTGATTACTCATGTTTCTTCAAATCCAAGTATATTATTGTTCTAACTGTCAAATACTTTTCAGTAAAGACAAGTTTAATAAGGAGTGTCACCAGGTATCTCTTGAGGTAGAGTGAACATGTTCATTTCCAAAGCTGTATTTAGTTGTTAACAACTTTTCAGGGGCTGTTGTTTAAAATCCGTATGTGGAGAAAGTCAGACCCTGTTGCAACAATGTGAAGCTCATAGTCCTCGGCTAGGTTATCGCTGGCATCCGAATAAATGTGTTATCCTAGACAGATCAACGCACCCTATAGATTACCAGCTTTATGGAGTTACTCTACAACGTCAGCTCACTTTTCCGTATCTAGGGATACCTTTTCAACCAGGTGGTAGTATAGATATAAATGAACTAGCACGTACTAACACGTTTAAGGCCCTTACTACGATGAATCAATTAGCAGCAATCGGTGTCAATCCTGGTGGATTCGAAAAGGTGCTCTCACTACAGTTATATGTCCAATTAGTCCGCGCAAAGATGGAATACGGACTGGCCATTAGCCCCCTAACCGCGAAGCAATATAAACAATTCGAAGATACCCAGAACAAGTGTATTCGACGAATCTTTGGTGGGTCCAGTAGATCGTCTGCCTTTTTTATGCTTCATTTTGCCAATCTGCCCACCATGAAAGAACGCTCCTTCGTCCTACAAGCTAAGTTCCTATCACGTTCCACCTCACTGCCTACTGATACTTTACTCTCGATACTACTCCCATATATATGCCAGCAACAGAGTAAATCGTTATATTGCAAGCTTGTTCGTTCTCCGATCTGGCAAGATTACACTTCTTCTCCGCTCAATCAACAATCTGAATCAGCTGCTCTGCGACGCTGTATTGCTAACTTCCGTACTAGCCTCCTTCACATCCAGCAATCGAACAGCCCCAACTCCAAACTGATCTATCAATGCCGTTCTCGATTAATGATCGACCCGATCCTTTATATTCCAATGTCAACTAATGAACGCAGCCGATGTATCCGATGGCGTTTGGGTTGGCTTCCTGGAGGCCACCGAACCTATTGTCTTAAACATCCCTCGTCATTACTTACAAAGTTCCACGCTATCTCCTGTTTAAACATGCACCACCGCCTACGACTCCCCACATCAGTCTGTGATCCCATATCCTATGTCCTTAACCGTCTTCCCACACATCCGATCTACAACCCATCCCAAATACAAAACTGACATTTCCTATGGCCAGCACTTTGTCACATTTTGTTTGAACTCGACTACTTACACCACTCTCAAGAGCCGCCTACAACTCCTCGGTTAGGGCACCTATTGCTCGACTGGTTACCCTCTTCCCCTCCCCCAACCCTTTAGTCCATAATCCTTTTTACCCTTGAGCCCTAAGGGTTTTTAGATTCTTTTCAGCCTTTGGGGTGCCCCGAGCAATTTAGATAAGCTTAATATCTCGTGTCCATTGGGTTTAAAAATTATATAATAAAAATCATGTTTAATCGTACAATACATTGACTTAGGATAGCTACTCTTGGATTGGATGTATGCGCCCGCGATAATTACACCTTGATCGTTCCGTTATTCCCTAGTTTGCCTCTGATCATCTTCCCTTTTTCCTTTGTCCCTTTAAAGGTTTTTTAATTCCCTCACACTTTCCCTGAACCTCCCCGGGCAATTTTGGTAAGTATTTATCTGTGTGCTCATTGGGTAAAATTTTATTGTAATATCTCTAAAAACGTATTAAATTTCTCTTATTGCCACCTTTTTTGATCGCTTCTTTTTTTCATTTTTTTCATTCATTTACTAATAGAGGAACGAATAAGCCAATAATGAAGCTATTTGGTATAGCCACCTTTCTCTTTTGTACATTTCATGCTTTTGTATTAGCTCAACAAGCAGTCCAGAATGGTTCTACTGTTACTCCTGTCATTTCACAGTATAGCAACTTATTTCAAAATACCGGAGGAAAAGTGCTCCATGACAAAGTGAACGGTAGGGAAACCTTTGGGTGGCATGTTATTGAATGAGGTAGAAATGGTAACTGACAAAACTCAAACAGTATATATCATTTTCTATGGTAACTGGAGCGCGCCTCAAAACCAACAGGAACAGAATATTTTTATGCAGTTTATCGATAATATTTCGACCAGCTCTTGGTTCAATTTGTGTAAGTATACAAAACCGACTAAATTTGGCTTCATCTAATGGTTTCTTCTTCATCCCTAAATTTATACAGTAAAACAATATTCAGACAGTGACGGGCATTCAGTTACGGGACCCCTTAATTTGGCAGCCGCTGTCAACGATGCAGGAAGTCATTCATTAAACCTGACCAATTCTGTCCATAAACAAATTATCATTGATGCTGTCAATTCCGGTTATCTGTCACCTACAAATCGTATTGACAGTAATGGTGTTTATATCATCATGGGTGGACCGGATGTTGCTGATGCTGATTTTTGTAAATCAAATTGTGGATATAACAGTTATAGTGACGAATTCCAATACATGTTCATAGGTTACCCTAGTGTCTGTCCAGAGACGTAAGTAAGCTTCGATTTATACCAATGGTGGTAGCAACACTTTACTAAACTTACCGAGTGCTTTTTGTCGTTGACAGTTGTATCCCAACAATGAATAAGAATAAGTCACCCAACAATTCACCAGCTATTGATGCTGCTATCACTATCTTTTCACATGAAATTCAAGATATTTTGACAGACCCCAGAGGTGATGCTTGGGTTATCAAAACTGGCGATAATGTTGATGTAGAATTGGGAGATTTCTGCTCAAGCCAAGGTACCAGCTCCGACCAATTTGGAAACCTTGTGCAAACGCAAAGCGGCAGTTACAACCTAGAGTTGAACAATATGAAATACTTGGTTCAAACGATTTTCGATCTTGAATCCAAACAGTGTAAGCTCGATTCGTCTTAAGACAATGCTCCTTTCCTCTGTATGTATACCCGATTGAATCCTCCAAATTGTACCTTTATGTATATCGATAAAAACCAAGATAATCCTTGAAGAAAAGGTGTTTTTTATTACATAAAAAAATGTTTAAACTCATTTTATAGAATTTGAATTGAGGTTAAATAACCGTCAAATTTGCAAGAGGATGACTATTATCTGCTTCATTCGCTTCTCGTCTTACTTATTATTGCAGCTCCTTACCTATTATCACGTCTGGCAGTAGCATAAGAAAATAAAAATATTGTCAAATTATCGAGGCATACTGTATGCCATACAGCTGTCCCTTAAAGAGTATTGAAAAAGAGGAAAAGAAGGGTGAAGACTTAATGCCGCTCGTTATTATAGCTTTTGACGAATCATGGACAGATATGCCATGAGTGTAATTAAAGGGTATTGCCTTTAATATATTAACTTTTCCGCGCTATCCACAAACTGTGATGGCATGGAAGCATAAAATTAAGTACATAATGTATTGTAATATGTGATTTGCCGAACAGGTTTTCCTTGTTGATGTGCTTTTCTTTCACTAAATTTATCCTATCAGTGATGATACTCTTGTATATGCATGTGGAGGATAACATTGCTTTAGAGCTAAGAAGTGGAAGAAAAGAAGAAGGGTGTTGAAGAAGTTGAAAGATAAATACGCTTTTTAAATTTGGCAATATAAGTTTTCGTTTGACAACACTTATAATAATAGTATGGTTTACGCGTTCAATGACACTGAAAATTTGACTCGATGCTATGCTGATATCTTTGCCGTGTAAGGCAACAAGCACTAATCGAACTCGCAATACTTGAATGTCTTTTTGATATATAGCTTCTTACACGGACCACATGTCTTACAGGCCGTAAATTGAATTATCGTTAGGAAATGAAGAGACTTCAATGTAAGCACGATATGAAGGGTTCTGTATAGTCATGAATAATTGTCAAAATCATCATTGTAAATCTGTTGCAGATGCTATCATAAGCGTGGCTTCAAGCCTTTGTTCTTTTCTCCTTACTCGCCATCCTTGAATTCTATTGAGGAATGCTGGCCAAAAATTAAAAGCCATGTTTGACGCAATCCGTTGCAGAAGAGAGCTAAAATTATCGCTTTCAATTCAGGAAATGTATAAGACAAGTATTCATGATGATCGTGTGGGTGGTATTAGACATGCAGAAACATTTTGAGAAAAATGCTTACAGAAAGAAATTGGCCTTATGAATCAGGAATCATCTGTCCAACGTATACGTGTTTTTTATTTATAAAAGTTGTATGTCGTCTACAATGGATGTTAAAATGTTGTAATATCAAACAGTAAAAAGACTTGGACCCCTCGATGATTGTTACTAAATCTTCTTTTATTTTCTAGGATTTTCTTTACATCTATGCCACCGGCAGCTATTTGAGTCATTTACAATTTACCAGGTGTGTGTGGCAGCTCGAACATAATCTAGAAGGTTTGTCGGAGAAAGTATTCAAGCTGGAGCTCATGCATGCAGAACAGAAGATTCCTAGTCAACCAATTATTAGTATCGAACCTCAAACAAAAGGTAGTTATTATCTGCAGATTGTTTAAATATACCTCCACAAGTTTTACAGTGTAGTCTACGTTCTGTTTGGTGATGTAATAAAAAGAAAATTAGGAATTGCCACGATTATAGGTGTATTTTCAACATGCGTACCCAAAACACCAAATATCTTGCAGCATTCCATGCATTCCTTGTGTTTATCGTCTTTTTCGTAGTGATAAGTATCTGTGGTATCTGGAGATACAAAGGTATAAACAAGGCCATGCCTATTTCCTGTGAATAATGTTCCTTTCGAGGGAGAAAGAAAAAGGGAAACAATGTCAGATTTGTTGAAGCTAGAATCAGCACGGTTTATGTGAGCCATCTCTTTGACAAGTTCAAGCGACCATTCACCATGTTTTGAATGCTTCGCCCAAAACTTGACAATTCCGTTCCTATGTCCTGTTATGATCAATTCACGCTTGCTCCATTCTGACAGCTTTTGCTAGAATATTAGAGTATAGGTTTAATAATACAGTATATTACTTCCTATTGCGCTTCAACGTGCGTAGTTACCTCATAAAATATACAAGCTAAAATGGATTCCGAACTATTGCATGCTGACTTTTTAAAGTAAAGATCTCCATTTATGGTCCAAACACGAATTGTATGGCCCGAACATGTGATTATATCACCCTAATCAATAAGACATTCGTTAGAATTAAAAGAATCTGTATCAAATTTAAAGAAAAGACTTACTGAAGTGTTGTTAATTTGCACAATATCAACTCCATTTTCGTGATTACTCAATGACCTCACATACTGTTTCCGATTGATATCCCAAATGATTGCAGTTTTATCCTAAAGAAGAATATTCGTTAGTTTACTAACTAAAATTCATAGCGAGTAACTGATCTTACATCAGATCCGCTGACTAATATACCATAGGCTCTTGATGAAGCTACTGTATTGACAACCGAAGTATGACCTCGAAAGCATTCTAGTAAGTCGATCTTCATACCGTTGTCTTCAATTCTCCACATGCAAACCAGCTAGGTATTTATTATTAATAGTGTGACTTTATACTGAGTTAATCTTTACATTTACCGTTACTTACATTATCCGTCCCCCCAGTAACGAATGTGCATGCATTTACAAAACAAACACAACTAATCAGTCCCACATGCATATTCTCATAAATTTTCAGTACCTACGGGTTGAAGATTTGTCAGTCTGATAAATTGTGAGCTAAAGGTGAACATTGTAACATACCTTTCCACTTTCAGTGGATAATACTCGTAAACTGTTGTCCGAAAATCCCCATTCAAGATAACGCATGCCATCCGGAGGCATTAGATGCTGTTGACACGCTGTAACGCCCAATTTACCTGCAAAAATGTCAATATTAGCAATTTCTTGCTTAATATCTCGTACCGGCAAATAGGATTGCATTAAGTTATCCAAGTTGTTTTCAATGTAAAAGTTATTATTTGTTATTCTGGTATTCTTAGGTGGCCTAGCTGGATGGGCTCTCTTAAAAAGTTGGCGTGGGGTTTGTCCAAAGTTATTTATAATACCTATTGTGGCTGTTTTTTCTATTGTATTTGTGATGGAATCTAAGTCAACAGCGCCTTCGTAAGATACATGATGAAAAACGTTCATATTTTCAACGGCTTTTTGTCCTTGCTGTTTGTAACCAAAAATTAAATCGATCCAATGATGAAGGTTTGCGCTAACATAATCACTTTCTAGTGCCTAAACACCAAAGCAAAGTTAAAAAAGATCGTTGTACCATATCTATTCATTGTTAGTTCAAGTATTTACCTCACGATGCTTTTGAATGAAAATCTTGGGATCATTGTGTGCCCAGGGCGGTAACACGACGGAATCAATGGTCTCTCCTGTGTTCTGCTTGACCCCAAAATTGAATTTATTCACATTTATCAAAAATTCAGGCAAGTAAAAAAACTCGGGTATCAATTCTCTAACGTCACCCATGTTCTTTTCAGATGCAGATTCCCATGCTTTACTGATCGAATCAAAGAGGCGGTCAGCATGATCAAATGTTCCTCCTTGCAATTTCAAATAATGCTGGGTGAACGGTTCAAGACGTATCAAGAAAGAACAAACAATCATAGCGGAAGAGTAATGTGTGCCGTAATGGAAAGCTGGCGCAGGATCATTCGTTTCACTCCATTGACGATATCGCTCAGAAAATTCTTGCCGTCTCTCAGCAGTTTGAGCACCCATTGGCTTTGTTAAATCCCTGAAAGTCTTCGGATCATCAAGGTCAAGTTCGCTGCTGTAGTAATCTGCCAAAATCCAAGGGAACACAGGATATTGGGTCAAATCATTGTATGATCTACCAGCGATAGCATTTAAATACATTAGATATTGGAAGTTCGAGATTTCACGACGTTCCCAACGTTGGGTCAACCCAGACAAACTGGAAGCACCAAATATACTCGATAATTTGAAGGTATTCCCTAATCCACTAGCTGTATATTTATCGATACTTTGATCAAATACGGTACTTTCGGATTCTTCATGTACAGATACTCTGTTAATAATTTTTGAAAACAGTTCGTCACGTTCTTCTAAAGCGACCGTAATAAGCGCGTTCTGCCCATCATTTAAGAAAATTTCTAGTGCAACATCTCTAAACAGAAAACGTCTCTTGAAAACATCTCGAAGGTCAGCATTTGCCCACTTTCTGCATGTGTGAAATTCACCAGAAGAGCGATTTCTTGGCTCAGTTTCTACTCCGGCAGCTTGAGCAAGCAAAATTAAATATTGATCACGTTCTTCTTTAGGAACATCCCAAATTTCTACCACCTCACCGTTGCCCAGCTGGAAGAAATTGTCGATTAAGTAGATATTATTTTTACACAGGAGGAGTAAGCCTTCGCATGCATCTAGACCAGCAATTTGGCTGACATTATAAACATCCAAAACCATATCACCCTGCTCCAATAAACGAAGCACCTTTCTGTTCTTATCTTCTTCATAAGACATATCTTCATTTTCATCGTCATCATCATCAAATTCTAATTTACCGAGATTTTCTGCCACTGAGCTACCATCGGCCGTGGTTATCAAATGCTCATCATTTTTCTCGTGAGTAAAATGGTCCTCGTCGGCTGTAATATCAGCTGCAACACGTGTAAGCTTTATATTCCTGCCATTGCTATCATCAAGTGGAGTGACTGTCTGACTTCTTTCTTCCTGATTGCTTCTATGAGAATGACCAGCTGCTTCTTGCTTTGATAAGTAAGACGTATGGCTCACATTAACAGCTTCTTGTAAACGCTTTCGCATACGATTTGGTCCTTCGGTATAATCTAAGCGCCACTTTGTATCTGACGCCTTTTGCATACCCCATATGGCTCTTTCACGCATAAAGTCTGAAGCTATCCGTGACCATTCACCCTGTACAAAACTTTCATGACCATCAAAATCTTGCAATGCTTTGGCGAACCGACCTATCTCGACTTCATAAATGTTTTGTGACCACAATATAGTATCATTTTTGTAACTATCGATGATACTTCGTTCAAGAGACTCTCGCTTTTGGACCTTCTTAAGTGTGTTGATGCGTCGCGTTACGAAGTTTTTGAACATCTCTCTGCTATACTTAATCTCTTGGAGAATTATCGTATCCCATGCTTTACTAATATGTTCATTGAATATTGTATTTAGTTCAATTTTACGGGAGTCGAGCCACCTGTGGAAAGATTCATGATCCTTATTAAAGTTATGGTATTAAGATCAGTCTATCAGAAAAAAATTATTTTTTTTCAACTTATTTATTTATTTACCATTTCCAACATGTGTATAAATCCACTGATCAAATCTTGAGATTCAAGACCCTTCGCGCGAATACTCAATACATTTTCTAGATCTTTGGGTTTTTGTAAAACAAGTAGTTTCAACAGCTGCAATTTCAAAGTTAGTTAAACGCCGAAATTTCGTCAAATATAATGGTTTTTATCCTTCAAATAACTTACGCTGGTAGCAGCATCTCTGATTTTGTTGTCAGCAACGAATAGATACCGATATAGATGATAGCAAAAACACTTCAAAAGCTCAAGATCAGTATTCTTGGCGCTCAGAATAATTCTTTGATGGTGTATGCAATGATGTATAAATTCATCAATTTTAGCAGGCTCAAAGTTATTGTACTCCAAATCAGATAACTTCGCTATCACCATACGATTAAACGACTTATACAATAACATCACAGAAGCATCATTCCCTCCATAGTACCCAGTAAAGCTATCCGTATGCAAAATTTCTAATATGGTTGCCAATAGATCGTATGTTTGTTCGATACCGCCTTCTCTGAATTTACCGTGGATGACAGCATCAGCTGAAACTTGTAGGAACTTGGACAAATTAGCCATGACATGAGAGTCCAGCAATAAGTGTGTGTCGAGCTGTGCGGTGGCTTTTAGTCTTTGCAAAATATGTGTCATCAAAAAGCTTTCAAAAAGCACTTGTTCTTCATGTGGACTGGGAGGAACAGCCTACAGAAACGGGAACAATAAGTAGCTATTATCATTTTTATATGTATTTTAAGCATAATAGATTTACAGCGAATACTGTCAATAAGTCTTCTATGCCTTTGCTTTTCGGATTAGTGATAAATTGTACGCAGATATCTACGACAAAATTCAGCAGAGCGTCCATCATTGCATTTTCTGGTATTTTGAAAACATGTGCATCACTATTCGCTTGATTCCACATTGCAAGCCTATGATGGGTGTTTATATTTCTTAGATTATTCACAAAGTTGAGATGCAAAGATATTGATGGAACTTACCTTAAAGATACAGTAGACCCCACCTTTTGATTAGAAACGTGGGGCGAAGTTTTCGTTGTCAAAGCTGCCGTCCCACCTCGTTTGATAAAACGGCTGCTAGATGTTACAGCATTAGTAACGGTAGCGGCATCGTCTGCAGCTGAGGAAGATATAGGAGACATAGGTGAGCTTAACGAGTCAAATTCAAGATTAGCGATAGTGACTTCTCTGGACAACAGCTCGTCCTCAACTGCCATTTGATGCGTATCACAAATAAAGGCAAATAGAGTCCTGACAACTATATCAAGATTTTCTGGTGTGGTAAAGATATCTTTGAACGACGTGTAAGTGTTATAAATGTGGTTAAATAGCTCTACATGGCTTTTGTAAGCATGTATAGCATTGGACCGTGATGACTCTGGTATATTTTGGTAATCTTTCTCTTTCATAATGGTTTCCCCAACACTATTACTACGAATGCGACTTGGTTGGGTCAGTGTAGGCGTTTGTGAGGAGTTAATACAAGCGTCATCAACGAATTTTCTTGCTTCATTCCACATGGCGGAGATAACAGGCAAGATTTCCGGTATTCTTACTGTATCAGCAGCCTTATTATTCTTTAAAAACGAGTATAAAGATGATATATCATAATTTTCGCCAACATTTTTCAGAAACTCGTCGTCATCAACACCAAATATAGTCAACGCCAATACATCATAAAGCTGGATTACATTCCAATAGGTAGGTAATAAGTATCGCATTACCAAAAACCCTTCAGAGACTGATTTAAATTTGTGAACGAATGTTGCGCCTTGGGTGATGAAAAGACGAGATAGTATTCGTGTCGCCATCAAAACTGTATAGGGGTTATTGTTCGGCGTAAAGAACAACAAAGGCCACTTATTAGTTACTGTGCGACTGAATTTGTTAATGTATTCAAGATCCTTGGTATTATCACAAAGGATATTCTGTAAGGCTTCCATCACGATATTTCGCATTGCAGCAGCTTTAGTTGTACTTCCATATTGCCTAACATCATGGATTAATCCCTTGTCTGTAAAGCTTTCTTCTGCTTCAATTGAAGCATTTATTAATGTTGAAGCTGTGCTATCTGATGGTTTAGAATCTTGGTTGGAGAGGCTGCTCGTAAATAAATCTACATTATCTGAACGAAAAAAGTTAGCATCGTAAATGATAAGACACAAGATACGAATACTCACTATTACGAATAGTAGATGCTAGAAACGCTGCAGCAGCTCTGATACTCTCTGTCGTCCAGTTAATCAATAAAATAGCTTTGAAAGACTTGGTGAGACTGGAATAGAGCTCCTTAGCATATACGTTCATCCTTAAGGCCAACAGGAACTTTTTGACAAGATCTAAAAAAATATTACGTTCAGATGGAGTAATCTGGTTATAGGTGTGTTGTCACTTACGAATTTTGGGCAATCGTTTAGAATTGTAATGTCGCGCTTTACTAGTTTCAAAGAAAAGTATAAATTGATCTAGATGTGTTTTTTGCACTACGAGGGGTGTTTTCTTCCAAATGTTAAAATTAAGAACAATGTAACGATAAGCTAAAGGGTTATTGATTGTGGAATTCCTAAAGTTACGGGCCAGTATTAGCAAGTTTTCATTGTAATTCATAGAAAAGGACTATACTTACTCTAATTCTTGAGTATTTTTGCCTATGAAAACCAGTATCAAGTCGAGCAATTCTGTACTAATCAAGTCTCGCTTACACTTTAGAAGATAGGCATATATTTCATACCCATGACATCTCTCTATGTCTTTAGAGTTACGCCATGAATATCTGATCAATTCAAAAAGGATAGATGTTGATTTACATAGCATTTCTTTTGTCTATGTGAAAAATGTTAGCCTGTGACATGGAGGTAAAATACCTTATCTTGCTACTGAAATATTTACTTTGGAGAGTTCAACGAGTTTTAAAGCGATACCACAACCGCCAATATTCCATATTGACTCGTCTAAACCAAGCGGATAAGCGACAAGAGGATTCCCTTTCAAATGTACCATATACTCCAAATGGCGCATGGCAACGCCTACTTTAGCAATGGCCGAATTGAGAAGTATTCTAGAGCCGTTATCAATCTCATCCTTAATAGTCACTTCGGTTATCATGTTGAATTTAGTTGATATTAAGCCAGCTTGAGCTCCTTCACTCAGGAAATTGCTAGCAAAGATGGCTAAGAGAATCTTATTTTCAGATACCTGTTGTTGAAGGAAGTGTCCATCTTTTAAAGATATCAGAAAAGCATGAGGTGAATGGGCTAATTCCTTTCGAAGACGGTGGGATTTTGCCGTCGTTCGAAAACTTGTAATTAATGCAGTGGTTGCCTCATTCGTTTGATATTGATGTAAAGAGTCTTGGAAAAGTGATTTGTAGCGAGCTCCTAGATTAAACATCAAATTTATGGTTTCTTTTCCCAAAACCTCTTCGATAAGGTACATTGGGCCCAAGTCCCAAACAAGTCGTGATTGCTTAGATACATTCTCGTCGAAAGAACCTATAACCGCTCTAAATTCTGTCACTTCAGCGGTTGTAGGAGGCTGTGATACGTATGGAGATGCCACTTGTTCAACAAACGAGCCATTGATGTACAGATTCATTGTGCTCGACTTTAGTGATAATCTGGACTTGTGGTGAACAATAGCCACATGATACCAATATCCTGTTTGAAATTGAAAGGAAGTGAAATTGGCCTCGTGGTGTGCTGTGGGATTGAACACTTTTATAGTTTTTGTTTGAGAATCAATATAAATTCGAAAAGCCAGATGAGCATTACTGTCCCACAAACTAAAGAGCAACAAATTTGACCCGCCATCTTGACGATCAAGGTGAATCCATGCGAGCAAAGTATACCCTTGGCTTTGAGGCGGAAAGCCCGATAGTCGTGGTATTTCTAACGAGGAATGTGTAGATGTATCATTATCAAATTGTAAAAAGTTCGGCCATCTACTACGTGATGCGGTGTGTAATAACAAATCTAATAAACCAGGTGAGCTTTCTAGTGCTTTATCGCCATCGTTAACATTGAATCTTTGAAATATATAACGAAGATCTTTAAGGTTTACACCCATAGCCATTACTCGCTTCGTAATGCGCAAAAGAATCGCCCTTTCCTGCGATTCAATTACTGGGAAAAGCTCCGTAGCCTGTTGCTCCGGAAAAATTCGTTTTAGCAGGTCTAAGGTCAATCCACAGCTGTTTATCTTTACTTGGTTGCCGCGAGAACTTTGAGCTAATGCACATATGATACGAAGTATACTCTCCGATAATTGAGGATCTGATGTTGATACTAATTTTTGTAAGTGTAAAATAGTGGGTAATACTTCTGGATTGACCAGATTCACCGACAGAGAAGACTCAATATTTGATCTGATACTTTCCAATCTGTTACTAGCTGTATAAGTTCCTTCTACATCTGTATTTTCGCCACTTTTTCCATTGTTGCACTTCCAGTTATCGTCAAGACCAAAAGCGAACAAGACATTAAATATCTTCCTTGGAATACCTTCTCTTTTGAAAGCACCAGTCAATATTAATGCATTTTCTACAGTACCATATCCCACATCTTGCAGAAAAACTTTCTTATTGATTTCATGTTCTCTCATGGATTCTGATAAAATAAAGAATATTCCCTCTAGTAACGATATAATCCTGTCTTCTAATAGCCATTGCAAGTTGTTATCATCAGCCTCTCGTGGTATATCACCAGCAGACGCAAAGAACTGCTGTGGATCTTCAAAAGCGCCTTCCAGAGCCACAATCATATAGATTAAATTGACATAGCCGCCCACTTTGCGAAAAATGTTACGTGCTGGTTCATGGGCAATAAAAACACGGTGAATTGTTTTAAGAACTTCTAATTTGAAATCTAAATCATATTTAGGTATAATTTGGATGGCTTCCATCACTTTAGTAAAGGCATTTCCGGCTTCTATTGCTGATCCAGTTGTTGTGTCAGGTGACGAGGGAGGGCTTATATTAGAACCAGAATCTATGTTAGTGTGAGGTACATCTTTACTGATACTGCCACAGAAATGTTCGAATAATTTCAAACCACCTAAACGAGTCTTCTGGTATTGTAATAAATCAAATAAATCTGCACGACAACTGAAAAAGAAGAAGTACGTGTAGTTTTAGTACATTGCTAAATTAGAAAACTGCAAGAGACAAAGTATGAAAGTATACAAACGATTTGCGAAATAGGGATCTATTGTTAGACGTGTAATTCATTGCAATCACACATTTAATGATGACATCAAAGTTGTTTATGACATGATATAAAAATGTATCAACAGTTTCATCGATAGGCACCCCTTTTTGTAATTTCTCGATAGTATCAGATAATAATAAGCTCATTATTTTGATGAGTCCAGCGCCTTGAACCACGTTATCGTACTTGTGAGATGTCCTTAATAGTCTAATTAAATATGTACAAATAAGTGCAATCATCTTTCCAGATGAGTTGCCTTTTCGTATTTTTTAACAAAAAAAAATCGCAAGCTAGTGAATGAATGCATCGTTTATATCTTACTTTGAAGATGGAGTGACAAAACAGCCAACTCTTTCAATGGGACAAAATTTAGGTCGATCATAACAAAGAGTAACAGTTGCATAATTTCTTCTTGGGTGGCATGATCATAAAGATCAATGCTTTCTATCAGTTGTGGCAGAACATTTGTGGATTCAACAATGAAGTAATTACAAATGTGAGCTTGTAAGAGTTGTTTCAGCGATATGAAAATATCTCGGCGTAGAGAGGCGGGCAATTGTTGCTTTGTGTAGTATTTAGAACAACTTGTGATATTCGAAGCGCTATGATCAGCAAACAATAATAATGATGACAAGCATTTGAATGCTTCTATATTTTTCACGATTTTATCTATAAAAGAGGGGAAATCGAGGTTAATTCAAAATTCTGTAAAAAAGCCCGCTGTAGCTGCGAGGTTATTTTACCTATATCACCCGTCACTGGTGGTATTTTGAAATCTGATATCTCAAGCTCAGGATTAGAAGTCAATGCATTATTGTTTGCATTTGGTTATTAATTACCTGCATGTTGATAAGGAAGTCCATCAGAGACCATTGATATTGAATTTATCTTGCCGAGAAGAGTCAAATCTGCTAGTTTATGGACGATGTCTGCCTATTATTGAACTCATCAGCTATAGCTACTAAGAAGAACACAAGAGAAATTGCTATTCTATCTACCTTCAAATCAAGCACTTTACCCTCGTAAGGCCCTTTATATACCATATCCCGAATTACTACATATCCTGAACTTTGAATCATCTGATCGAATAATATGTAAGACCGTGCTTTGGATGACTGACGGAACAAGCAGGTAAGTAGCCTTAAGCCTATTAGTATTTCATGATGATCCGCAATAGTCAACTTGTTTTTGCTAGAAATAGTTTCTGCCCATTGAGTTGTAAGTAAATTAACACAGCGCCTATGGTACAGGTATTGACATACATCCTCACTGAACGTCATCGACTCTAATACAGCTATGAGACGCTCTTTCCATCGGATGTACATGGGCTCACTGTCTTTTGCAACGCTGTCATTATTTGCTGGCTTTGAAGTTAATATACGGATCAGCATGAAAAATGTATCTTCATGCAACAATCGTTGTAAAAATGTTGGGTTCTGAACGAACTGCTTCAATATGCTGATCATTATTTTCCCAACATCTTCAATACTCTGCCCATCATGTAGATTGTCTTCTTCTGATATACTTTCGCTATTGTTTTTACTGTAATATGTCGGTGGTAAATCAATAAAAGAACGGAATAACTTCATAATGATCAGAGGTATACGTTGTTGTACTGCTAATTCAATAATTGATTCCTGGTGTTTATTCACTACTGTAAGAATTTTGAAAGCAACCCGCAATTAAAAAAATGGTTAAAGCAAAAAATTACTTACCGGACCAAAGCATACAATCTTGATCGATTTTATAACATTGTATAAATATGCGTTTGACCGCAAATGATCCATTAAGACTAACAGACAGCCATTTACACGTTTTCAATACTCTGATATGAAAAAGAGATTCGATGATGTAGCTGAAATACCTTGACTTGTCTCTGCTTTATTTCCATGTTCAGGAACTTTAAAAATGCCATTGATAATTTCTTGAGATAATTTTGTGAAAAACGCACGGATATCAGGTATACAAGTCAATGTAAAATTGGCATCAAACATATCAAAGGAAGAATTTAACGCAGGAAGGAAGTCGGAAAGGAAACATTCAGAGCTTTCCTGCATTAAATTCTTATGTTAGAGCAATTACTGGACAGTTCACATCTTCTTCTTAATAAGGATACCTGTTCATTTAGTGTTGATGAGGTACAATTCTGCCATAAATTGAGAATGGCCTTTCTTTGTTCCTCTCTCCTTCATTCAGAAATAAAAAGCCGAATAAATAACTGTCTAAATTGTTGTACTGCAAGAAAATCCCTACTTTAAAAGCTCTTCGTTTGATAAGTGAGGCTCTTCAACGGGCGTTTTATTTAGTGTGTTTATTTTGTCAACCCAAGATCGCCACATCTAACTTAAGATTGTGAAGAGACGCAAAAATGGATATAGAGGAAACACGATGGGTGAGCTTTTTTTTTTTGGGAAGGGTGAATTGATTTGTGTGGAGGCCACATTTGGTTGGCTTAAAGACGTACATTTACAGTTTTTTTCGCTTTAGTTTTGGACAAAGTTCTTTTTTTTTCGAAACAAATTTGAAATTTATTTCAGATTACTAAACAGTTTTTGGAACAAAAAATTTGGAAGGTAGGCTGCGATTGTCTATTTCCTGTACCTGTAGATTTCTCAACCTACTAAAAAAGAGAAGTTGTATTGAAAGCGAGAAGAAAAAAATACCATTGCTTGCTTCTGTAAATGTTAGGATGACCGTACTCGATAGTTGATATGTGTTCAAGCGTATTAAGAATAACAACTTGACATTGAATATAATGAGTTCTTAACAAAGAAGATTATAACCGTTTCGAATTGGCCTGGTAATCACAAAGAGGTCGCACCAAATCAGGAGACCTAAGTGATTTCAGGTTATGCAAACAGCAAAGAAAGAAAAAAAGAACCATAATTTAAGCAGTATTAAAAGTTGAGTTTTTTTTTTTTTTTGTTGGCTCATCTGCATCACCAAGAGTCGCGTATGTTTAAGTATTGTAATTTTTTCACTTATTACTAGCGGCTTGGAGCTAAGAAGATTTTCGGTGTTCGAGCAAATATGAAGTACTTGCGCGTTGGAGTGCCCCTTAATCATCTGAAGGAACTGTTATGGTCACCGCGAATTGGGATGGTACCTACATCAGAAAAAGAAAAAGCTTTCTTGTACTGGAAAACGCGTTACCTTTCAGGTAAATAAACTTCGATGCACCAGCTATAATTAATGATACTCCCTCAAATCTCCATTGAAGGTTCTTGAAAAAGTTGATGAAGAGACAAATACCGATTTAACTGTACAAGGGATGAAACCGAGGCTGAAATTAAAGAGTTTGAACAGCTCATTATGGAAATGAATCGTTAGAAGAAAAGAATATACGTCCTGATCGTCAACAAAATTAAAAGTATTATGGCCACTGCTATATGGCTCAATTCTTTGCTATCTCATTCAAAATTGTTTCAAGTATTTATTTATTATTAGATGTGATGCTTTTGCAGGAAATTCTATAGGTATATTTTTGATACATCTCGTAAACCACCTCGATTTAATTGTGCAGCTGCCTGCCGTAAGTCAACGACGGCTTGTTTGGGCGTTTGATTATATAAAATACGTCGATCTTCGATTATTTGAAAGATTTGGTGAGTAACTTCTACTCGATCTTTTAATCGTCTCCAAGCAGAAAACATACGACGTGCTTCCGAGTTTTGATCTTTATTTCCGGGATTGTTCTTAACGAGTGTAACCAGTTTAGCATGAATTTGAAGCGCTGTGTACTTCAACCAAGCCTGAACAGCAGATCGATTTGCTGGATAACGAGCAAGGTCTTTTTGTCGTTGTAGCTCTAACCATATTTGAGAAAAAGTATTAAAGTCTTCATGGCGTATAAATGAGGCAAGATCTGGAAATTCTTTCAAGATTTCGTAAAATAAAATGGTTTCATAAGACGGTGCGTTCAATTCGTCTTCGTCATCATCGTCTTCTTCTCCCTCGTAATCTTCATCGTCGTCTTTTTCATTGTCGTCTTCTTCTTGATCATCATCTTCATGGTCATAATCTCCTTCATGGTCGACTTTCTCGTTATTTACTTTCTTATCTTGTTTATTTGTGATTGTAGTAGTGAAGTATTGATCGGATAGAGACTGAGTACAATGTTTAGATGCTTGTGGGTTATTAACTATTGTTCGGCTGAATGCAAAGTATGGGCTTCTTATGGGGTGGTCAGCCGAATCCCTCGCGAGTGTAGAATGGCAATTTGATGAAGTAAATGAAATGGATGAAAAGGAGAAATCATGATTAACATTATGCTCTGGAGGCGTTAGAAATTGTTCAATAGGAATGGATTGACGGCAGGAGGATTCTGTGCGATGCATTTGTTCGTTGTTGATATGTATTTATTTACGAAAACCAAAGTTATATTCTATTCAGAAAAAAAAAAAAGCGAAGTATGATGGCTCAGTAAGTGGATCACAAAAAATAATGACAGAGAAATACCCCTTTCAAATTGCAAATGGCTGTACTGATGGGTTATTTACCTGTTGCTGTAAAATATAAAATAAATATGTGTATCTAACTCGAATTCTTTGTTGAAGTTTAAGTTTCTAGGCAAAGGAATGGGATCGTAATCTTACCAAAACTGTTGGCGGTTCACATAATTTCCAAGCATGCTTTTATACTTTACCAATGGCCTGCAGAAGAATTACCTTTTTGAGCGAACAAAAGGTATAAAGACTCCTTCCAACGTCGCACTACGTAATTTATTATATCGCTTTTTTTGAAAAAAAGAAGTGTCGCATTTTGTAAAGAACCTTGTCGCATTTCTAAAAAAAGAACGCAATGGTTTTTTTGGCGCACACACGACCTTTCATTCAAACTCGATTAAATGATTTTGAGTCCAAAAAGCAAAACTAATACGGATTATGGAGAAGGCTCATTTCCCGAGATTCACTCTATTTGAAAAATGGAATAACAATTATGTGTCCAATTCATTCTTCCACATTTGATCAAAGCACTCAACACAGAAACAGGGATTACTACTCCTTGCATTTCCTTCTTTTTGAATCGATTTTGAAGTATACATTGTATGTCAGAACTATTCTAATTATTTGACAAGACGTATTTTGACAGCTGGTTAACAAGTAATATGTGTCAACTATAAAAAAAAAAAGATTACAGCTCTATCTTCATCGTTAAACAGGGATTAGAATCTTGTTCGAACAGTTAAGTGGTATTTTTGAGATAAGGGCGTAAGCTTGGTACATACTCTTCCTAAAAAATAGAAAAATAAAGACCGAAAATTGTAAAAGGACGCAAAGTATTGTTACAATGTTGCGATTTTGAAGTGTTAGCTGAAATTGTTCAGAAACATAGAATGGTCGTACACGCTCTATAAGTGGCGTAGATAGCTGAGATAGTAAAAAAGCATTATCCATATTATTAATAAGGGTAGTAGAGATGCAAATTCGCTACAAACGTTTTAAATGCAACAACTTGAATATGCGCTGGGATTACCGCTCGAAAAAAGCAGTATAGAAAGAAACAGATCTGTATAATTATTGTAGGCAGATAACATGCAACGTAAGCTGCTTCAGTTATGTAATGTTCAAAACTTTGTTATTCAGAATATCGACTTACAACTTTATTGTAGATTGGTATTTAGGGAGCCTCTGCATTCTTAAACAACACAAAATTCTGAAGGCAACATAACATTATCCATGCCAATAATGGCATAAAAGATGAAGGTACACCTTAACTTTCAATGACCGTCGGAAAATAGTTTCTCTTCATAATGAAGTATGTATCATAAGTTTTACAAAACCATTCCAATGGATAAGTCTTCGAGAAGTCTTTGTCATAATTTAGATGAGTATCACAATTGTAAACACTCTGCTTTACATTATTTCAATTACTGGTAGCTTTGATTCGAAAATCTTCAAGATAGCTGCTATTTTATATTCATTATTTATCACCACCTAAATTGAACTCCTTGATCTGCATAGCGATCCGAGGTTAATCTAATTGCAGCAGTAATTGCTGATATTTTGGTCGAATAGCGCGCATCGTTAACCAATGATGAAATGTCGATTGAAATAAAAACACGCATGTGTTAGACAAATCTTAGCTCAAACAATCTACAGACATCCTTCACAGTTAAGATAGCAAGTAATCATGAGGGCCACAACTATAAAGTGGTTGAGAAGAAAACTAACTTTTTACTAGGGAACAAAGTCACAGAACAACTAATATAAATGTTTACTTTAAATAGAATGTTTGTAAGTAAACAGATAATTGAACTGAATGGATGACGTGCAGTAGTACCGATTTCGTAAATAACTATCTGAAACTTCATTTAAAGATACTGCGCTACCTCATAAGCAGTAATACATTCATAAAAGTATTTGTTGAATTTCATAGATTTTACCAAGTTCTTCAAGCCTTAATGGAAACCGACCTTCAAAAAGCTGTGAGTGCCTTTTGGATGAGATTGGTAGTCATTGATAGCTATGTGGAAGGTTAGTTTTCGTGAGAAACTGCTTCGTTAGTTCGGGCTGTATATCAGGATTGCCATTACCATATATCAATAATCTATGGGGCAGAACAGTTGCTAGAAAAATGTCTTGTGTACATCCCCAGAAGCAGTTTCTAGAAATGTTGGTCATCAAAGAAGTCTGGGGAAAGATTAATAATCAAGCAAATGCAGCGCCGAGGAGGAGCGGGGATCAATGCAAAGGAGGCCAGTATTAATTTAACTCCGTTCAATTAGGCTTTCTGCCCACAGAAAAAAATGTATATAAGGCTCATGTATTGCGCAATGGTTGACGAATTGATATACCTTACGCCAATTACTTATTATAAATCTATCTCAGGCAAAATGGTTTCTGAACTTAAGAATCTCGAACTTCATTACTTTTCCTTGCTTAAAGGTTCTCGTAAGTATAGCACAAACCATTACATTAAGCATGTAGGCTCTTACAAGATATTGGTTACTTTTGATTTATAGCCATAATGGGCCGCGGTGAATATGTTCGCTTATTACTCATTGATGCTGGTCTTGACTTTAAATATGTTAGGCACACTTTTGATGAATGGAAGGTGCTAAAGCAACAATTAATCGAACAACAAAATGCTGGCATCCCTACTATGCCCTTCATGTACATCGATGGTAAATACTACAGCAAGACTGTTCCCTTAATGCGTTTTATTGCTCGTAAACTTGGTCAATACGAAGGCAAGGATGATGACGAAAATCAATTGTTGGACGCTTATAGCGACATGATTATGGATTGGGCTACTGCATGGGCTATCGCTACTTTCCGTGGCACTGACGAACAACGCGAAAATTACAAGACAACCACAAGCCCTGAAAAATACGAAACTTGGGAGACTATTTTATCTAATAAGAAAGGCCCCTATGTTCTTGGTGAAAGGATCACTTACGTCGATTTCCTTTTATTTCACGTGCTTGAGGACGATGATCATGTTGATGCTTTAAAACACCCAAACTTGAGCAAATTTGTTGAAGCTATGAAGAATAGACCCAACCTTAAACCCTATTTAGCTACTGATAGAAAGTAATATTGTAATTTCCATTAACAATATTCTTAAATAAAATACGGTGGCAAATTTTTTTAAACGCAAATCAAACAAACTTTAACACATATTAAAGTTAGTCTACAATTGTTTGCTTTCATTTTTGGCAGTCTGATCTCCAATAATATTGTTTTAAATGCCGAAAGCATAACTTGATTTGTGAGAAAAAGTGGGGCAATTCCTTCCATGAGGCTTTTCTTTTTTTTTTCTGCTTCTCATTATTTATTTTGACAGTAAAAGGAATACATTATGAGAGACTCTTCCTCTGAAAACACTAATATGGAAGACTCTAAAGTGGGGTCAGGGAACAATGCAGACAGTGAACATTTTGACCGAATCAAAGTTACAGCTAAACTCAGCACATCCCCACAACCACATCTTAACAACGTTCACACTAGCCCACCTCCTTCACGGAGCATCCATTCTCACGAAACTAACAAGAAGTCTATCTCAGCAAAAGATGTTACTCATTCAACCCATAACAAATCAAGCTCGCCATCTACTGACATGCTTGATGATGAAGTTGCTAAAGTTGTTAAACGACATTTAGTGTTATCTTCTTCCCCTGTCAGTCAGAATTCTTATCTCAATGTTCCCTCCGCCCATGGAAGTCGACCTAGTAGCCGTCAAAGTCACCTTCGTTCAGAAGAAGTAAATATAGAGGAAATGCAAAGCCCTGAAGATATAGTCGAAGGTTCACATCATCTACGTGGGGGAGCTATTACTCATGATATTTACAAATGGACAGAGGACCAAGAGCGCAAAAAGGCAGAGATGAAAAGATCCCGATCGATGATGGTCCGTCCCCGACACGAATCTTCTAACCCAGCCCTAACCAATCTAAGAGATCCAGGAGGATTTAGGCGACATTACGTGATTGATCGAGCTGTTAAGAGAGGAAAGAAACCGCCAGCAACTATTACGCATTCCTTTGTTGATTTCTTGGCTATGTATGGCCATTTTGGTGGTGAAGATCTGAGTGATAATGAAGGTGTAAGCAGTGATGAGGAGGATGTAGAAGACCTGGCTGAGAGTTCAAATGAAAGAACAGCTTTGATTAGGCAGGCTAAAGCAGACGCAGTAGAAGGAACCGCCACTCCAACGAAGGCAGTATTTTTATTGCTGAAATCGTTCATAGGCACAGGTAAAATATTGTAAGGATTTTAAAGAGTTTTGAACTTGGCTTTCTCATTGAGCCTTACCTATTTTGATTATAGGCGTAATGTTTCTACCTAAAGCGTAAGCAAGACCATGAAGGTTGCCATAACTGAATTTTTAATACTATGATTAACATTTCTTTTTCTTTTTATATAAAAAGATTTCATAATGGCGGTTTACTTTTTTCTACCTTATTTTTGGTATTCATTGCAATCGTTTCACTTTACTGCTTTTTATTGTTAGTCCAGACGCGTAATAAGATTCCCGCTTCCTTCGGTGATATTGGTGGAATCCTGTTCGGTAATAATATGCGAGTATTGGTTTTAATTGCTATTACAACTTCACAGGTAAGTTACGGTGTATTTTTCTAGCTATATTAGGTAGGTGTACACTGATTAACCATCTATGATGTAATATCCCAGATCGGCTTTGTGTGCGCTTATATGGTTTTTGTAGCACAAAGTGTTCAAGCTCTAATTCAGGCTATAACGGACTGTCAAAAGAGCGTATCTCTTGCTTATCTGATATTGGCGCAAGTGGCCATCTTCGTTCCAATGGCAATGATCCGAAAGATCCAAAAGCTTTCTATTTTTGCATTAATTGCAGATGCATTCATATTGCTTGGCTTAGCCTACTTGTATTACTATGATGCTTATGTTCTCATAATGGAAGGTGTAGGCAACGTAGAATGGATTGTCAATGTGTCATCTTTCCCTATGTTTATTGGTACAGCTGTTTTTACATTCGAAGGGGTTGGTTTAAGTAAGCGGATTGTTTTATATTTTCACTTGGAGGTACAGAACCATATCTAACCCAGTTTACAGTTATACCCATTGCAGAATCCATGAAGGAACCAAAGCGATTTCCAAAAGTATTGTCTGGAACAATGCTATTCATAACGCTTCTATTCATTTCCATCGGTCTTTTATCTTATCTTGCATTTGGTGAAGATGTTCAAACTGTCATTTTGCTCAATTTACCAAACACATCTACTGTTAGTACCATCCAAAGTCTTTATGCTATTGCTATTTGTTTGTCTATACCTTTGCAGCTTTTCCCTGCTATTCGTATCATCGAAACTGGTCTCTTTATGCGATCTGGTAAACACAATCTTGTCGTTAAATGGGAAAAGAACATTTTCCGATTTGTAGGCGTATTGTTTTGCGCCATCGTGGCTATTCTTGGTTCTTCTGATCTAGACAAGTTCGTGTCTTTGATAGGCTCTGTCTTTTGTATTCCTCTCTGTTTCTTATTCCCTCCACTTTTCCATCTTAAAGGTGTTGCTCATGGCTGGGGGCAGAAAACCATCGATATCTTAATTATTATCTTTGGCATTCTGTGTATGATTTATACTACATATGTTACTGTTTGTCTGTGGACCGAGGAAGAATCTGCTGCTACTGTGCCAGTCACTAGATGTGCAACGCCTATATTGTAGTTCCAGATTTTCTAGAGCACTGTATTTTAAAAATTGTAAATGCGTATACATTACAGTTTATTTGTATTCTATTTCACATTCTTAAGAAAAGAAAAAAAAAAAAAAAAATACAATAAAGGGGAATATGTACATAGTAGGTTATAATCTATTTCGCCATCAATTTACAGACTCTACTTTGGGAGGGAGTTCTCTCCCAGCTCTTATCCATTCCTTGAGTACTTCTCCCGGTTCACCCAACACCTCAACTGCTCGTTGACGCCGATGATGTGCAAGCTCACAACTAGTACCTTCCTTACCTACTCTTAGGCGAGGTACGGCACTTCCAAGTTTAATTTTGTTATCTCCTTCTTTGATAAAAGCACGTGTACCATGGTGCAAAACTGGGCCAGCTTTATCGTACGGCTGCTTTGGTCCTGCTGTAATAAAGTCATGCACTATATCGTAACATTTGATCCTAGCACATGTATGGTGAAACTGTGCTGAGCAACTAGGACAGCACAACATCAATAGATTGCACGAAGTATGCGCGCAGTTCTGATACCGATTACAAGGTTGCCCACAGATATGACATTTGCCCAGCACATCGTCAGTTATCTTTTCACCTAATCGACCATCAAAAGTGAAATTCTTTCCAATAAACAATGATTTCTTATCTTTTTGCTCTGCAATCCATCTTCCGTAAGCTGTTATACCGCCTTTCACCAAATACACTTTATTGAAACCAGATGCAGATTGGAGAATGGCGCCGGCTTTGGTACAGCGTATACCCCCTGTACAATACATAAAAACTTCTTGATCACGCGGCAATGGTTCACAAATTGTGTTCATGGCAGTAATACTGTCCCTAAATGTATCGGCATCTGGAGTAATTGCTCCTTCAAAGTATCCAATATTACTTTCATAATGATTTCGCATATCGATAAGCACAGGCTTTTGGCCATATTTGTTTTCGTATTCAATGAGTTTGTTATGCCATTCCTCTGGTGTTAAATGGATAGGTTCATTCGTTATATCGTAGCTATCAGAGTCTAACCCATCAGCAACCAACTATATAAAGGAGCAAACTGATGGTTACTGATGAAAAGATAGAAAATAAGGTGAACGTGAAATTGCGGATATGCTATCAGTACCTGTTTTCGAATACGAACATGTAATGCTCGAAAAGATAGCTTATTCCCATGCTCTGTCCCTATATTCAAATCCATCAAATCGTCACCCAACAAAGGTTTCAACACTTTTTGATGGTATTCTTGTAGTTTAGGAATATTCTCGGCGGGACACGCTACTTGAGCATTAATGCCTTCTTTCGAGATATAAATTCTCCCCACTATGCCGAGCTTGCCAAAGTCCGTCAGCAATTGCTCCCTGAGAGCTTCTAATCTTGCTTGAGGAAGAGTGTAAAACTTATAAAAGGCGAGGTTTTTGTATGAAGCAGGATCGTAAGTGAGAGGCTTTATTTTATGATCGTCACGATTTAACCGACATGAGGTTGAAAACTGGGACGTTGTCCGTGACAGCGCAAGTCGATTGGTAGGAGCAATTCGTGTTATGTGCCTTAACGAGCTTTGTGAGTGTACTTTCAGTGCTGTGCATACCGGTAGCTGAAAATGGTAAAATTGTTTGGTTGCAGCTAGTCGTCGAAACATCACTAGAGAGAAAATGTATAACGCATGACAGGTGATACAGCAATAATTTTTCAGGGCTGCTTTCCCTCTTTCCCCCGGTGTCTGAAATCCTTTTCCTGAAAAGGAAATTGTTACAAGCACCAGTCTGGGTTTCCTCCATGAATAGACCGAAATTGTGCATTTGAATCAGCTTCTGAACGTTACGAAAAGAAGCTGAATACATTTATATCCTCAGCTTATGATTAATGCTGCAATGTGAGCTGAGTTGCGTATACTGTAGAAGCATTATCCATCGTCCTGACAGCCCAAAAGAAGCTGTTTGAAAGCATGGCCGATGCTAGAAGAGCAAAGAGACAACTACTACAGTTTATTGTGAGTAATTGGTTCAGTAAAGGTTCGTAAAAAGGAAACTGTCTACTAAAATGTTCTTTATTTAGCCATAGAGAGCTGATTCCTCGGATTTATATGTCATTGCTGAGAGATGGTGAAAATTAGCCTTGTTTGTCATAATGATTAACTTCAAACTCTTGGAGTGAATGGACAAGTCACATTTAAATACTGGTACCCCCAAAGTGTGCAGTTTAAAGAATGATATGCGATAATAGCGATAAGAATTATTAGTTCCTTCAACACTAGTCAATTAGGATTTGCAAAAACGATGAGTTATTACTTTCAACAGAAGAATGAACGTTGAAAGCACTGTGTATCATCGAATAACATGCAGATTACCATTACACTATACCGGTACTTTTTTTTCTTTTGAACTTCACGGGAAAGCTCTCAAAGCAAGTCGAAGAAACTCAGTAGTTTGTAGGTGTACTGCAACATGCGGCGTGAGACAATATCATCATCTGACTTTCGACACCACCACTTACCTCATGCATGTTGATCCCTCACTTGAATTGTTGCTCTTCTTTCCTTTTCTTTGTAGCACCACTTGAACGTCAGAAAGATAGAATATCCATGGCTTTCTCAAATTTAAACTTCTCAAGAAGGCATATACCAACTTATCTGTTGGCCTTTTTTGTAAGCTTGACTCTGCTTTCATTGACAAACTATCTATTGCCCTTCACAAACCTACGTAAGAAACCCCTTGAAGGAGGCAATGATCAACCACCAACGTACAATTTTACATATGCGCGACCGAAAAAGAAGAAGTACACAAGTCAAATAGTCGAGGAATTTCTTGAATCGTTAGAGCCAGTGATAAAAGACCGAGATTTATACACATTATTGCAAAATTGTTTGCCTAATACCTTAGACACTACGATTGAGTGGTTTAACAAAGATAAAGGCGATCCAAGAACATTTTTAATTACAGGAGATAGTAAGAAAATTATTTGCATTTTTGCAAATATGCCATAGATATGACCTTAACAAATGCTGTTTAGTTCCGGCTATGTGGATTAGAGATTCTACGAACCAAATTAAACCCTATCTACGATTCGTGAATGATGATATCGAATTGAAGGATTTGATATTCGGTGTCATACAAGTCCAAGCAACTTATTTAAATTACGACCCTTATGCAAATGCTTTTTTAAAGCCATGGTACGCTCCCCAGAAAGATCATGAGGATAAAAGGAAAGGTTCAACAACTGATAGGGTTGTACCATCCTATGATCCCAGTGTAGTATGGGAATCAAAGGTAAAACGCTCTGGTACATGAATATTAACGCTTTTAGCAATTAACATTCAATTTAAAACTTTCCAATAACAATCATCCAATTTTATAGTATGAGCTTGATTCGATCGGCCACTTCTTTCAATTAACCAATGAATATTTGAAAGCCACGGGGGAATATGACAGAGTGTTCAAATCAAAGGTGTGGACAACTGCAATACCTCGCATTTTTAAGGTTCTACAAACGCAAATGCAAGATACCTGGCCAAGTAAACAGCTGAAATTGCCGAATATCAAAGTAATGAATAGCAAAGACCCACAACCAGTATTGCTTGAGGATGGATACCGATTCAGACGGCAAACAGATCGACCTACAGAAACACTGGGAGAGTACGGAATAGGTGGAATAACAAAAAGATGTGGTTTGATTCGCAGTGCGTTTAGACCAAGTGATGATGCGACCACTCTTCCATATCTGGTAAATCATTACCAGAAAGTTTCTACCTTGTTGATTTGTTCTGCCAACAATAACCTAATTTTTCAATGCTTGATGCTTATTTTTAATGTTAGATCCCTGCTAACGCTTTAGTATCTTCCCAACTAAAGCAGTTAAGCGAATACGTCAATCTATACTTAAGCAAACATCCCGAGAATGATAACACAGAATTTTTCGACGATCTTAAGAATAAGGCCGGCAAACTAAGCAAAACAATAAAGCGTGCAATATTCAAACACGCTGTGATAGATCACCCTGAATTTGGGAGAGTCTTTGCTTACGAAGTAGATTGTTACGGCTCTCATTTGATCATGGATGATGCCAATACGCCCTCTCTGCTGAGTATGCCTCTATTCGGATTTGTTGCGACAACAGACAAGATCTATCAGAATACAAGAAAAATGATATTGTCTGAATGGAATCCATGGTTCTTTCAAAGTGAGTTTGGGAAAGGTATCGGTAGTCCCCACACCGGACAAAATATGATCTGGCCATTGAGTTTGTTAATGCAGCTACAAACAACAACGTCAGAGGCAGAAGTGAAAGAGGCCCTTCTAACTGTTAAAAAGATCGCTAATGTTACAGGTGGGCTTATGTGCGAGTCTATTGACGTTAATAAGCCTGATAAATATACAAGACCGTGGTTCAGTTGGGCAAATAGTGTAGCTGGAGAAACGATATTACAATTAAAAGAGAAATATTCAGATTTATAACTTCAGCTATTCGGCAACTTTAATAAACTATGTTCCTTCTATTTAATTTTCCTTTTTATGTTCGCTAAACGAAAAAAAAGCAGCTTGCCATTCCATACGAACACAAAACGAAGCCGAATAAAGGTCAAGCGAAAATCAATATGGAAAATAGCGGCTATCTTCTCTTTCATCATTCTTTTGATTCTATACAAAAAACATATCACCAGCAATAGAAACCTTACATCCTATTTTAATATAAATTCATTTCACGATAATCTCGTAGACTTTGAAGTGTTAGTAGCATCGCCAGACGTAGATTCATCAAAAGATTTTAAAGAACTTGCAATAGCAAGAGACACTATCTTGGGACCTGTAGGAGATGACATCCCTAAGATTGTTCACTTTGTATATGGATTAAGAGAATTCGAGCCAACCCTTGATCTCATTCATTACATCGCCATCAAAGCGACGCACGAAGTTCTGAAGCCTGATAAAATTATGTTTCATTATCATTATTTACCAACGGGGGAGTATTTTGATAGGGCTCGACCGATGTTGACCTTGCATAAAGTACCATTAGTCGAAACGGTGTTTGGTAGGCCTGTGGCACACTATGCTCACAGGGCTGATGTGGTTCGCTTACAGGTACTGCAAGAGTATGGCGGAATATATCTCGATCTCGATCTAATACCGTTAAAACCAGTGGATCACTTATTAAAGAAGGAGTTCGTTATGGCACAAGAAGGTGTTGGTAAGCTAAATCGTTAGTTCAAAGAGGCAAAGAAATTGTGTATTAAGGTTCAAAAATGATTTCCCTGTATGAAGATGGTTCTATAGGATTGTGTAATGCCATGATAATGTCAAAGCCGCAGTCAAGATTTGTACAACGCTGGTATTCTACTTATTCAACATTTGACAGCTCCAATTGGAATTATCATTCAGTGATTTTGCCTGGAAAACTAGCACCTTTCTTCCCTAACGAAGTGACCCTTTTGAACCACACCGCTTTTTTCTGGCCGTTATGGGATAGTCATGGTTTACGTACTCTCTATTTGGAAAAAAGCTACGACTTCTCATCTAACCTTGGAACTCACATTTGGGAATCGGCAGCAAATAAAAATTTGATGAGAGATTTAAGTGAGGATGTCATTATGAATATCGATAATAGCCTTTACTGCCAGCTGAGGCCATTTTTGCTTGACGGTAACCCAGACCCACGACCAGGATCTTGCGAAATAATAAAATACACGAAAAGGAGCGACGGTCTGATCGGTCATTGGGCGCTCAGTTCGGTGCCAAGACTTGTATCTTCTTTATCTACTACCACTAGTAGTACGTTTAGTATCAATCCATTACCAGCAGAGGATGATTCGGGCAACGCATTAACAGGCATCATTCGAAATGGTAGATATATAAACAGCAGCATTTACCTTTCGGGCGATGCTAGTTATATATTTCTCAGCCTACCAACAGAAACACGCATTAAACCAATCACTGTCAGCTGGTGGATGAGAACAGAAATACAAGCCAGCAAGAAAATGGCTATGGTTTTACAAACAAACCAAGGAAGAATTTGCGTTACAACTCACTATGATGGTGCTTTATCACTAAAGTTGGATATACTCCACAGAAATGAAGCATGGCAATGGGCCGCTATAGAAGATTTAGGCCTGGGGCCAATAGCATACACGATTGATGGCGATTACCATCATTATGTTCTTGTTCTTGATGCTAATTCTATTGCATTCTATATGGATGGTAATATTGCTGCGAAGAGACCGACTTGGAGTTACCCACAATCGCTCGGCACGGTAGTGCATGGTGTCTGGTTTGGTTCCATTGAACCGTTAAATGATCATTATCAAGATCCCTGGGATACAACCAGTGATCTAGAAGCATTCTATACGGAGATATATGTATACGGAAGACCACTCGACCAACATGAAGCAATGCAACTATATACTGAAAAGAAGCCAAAAAAGCCTCTGTAACTGTATTCAGTTGGAAGTACGATATGAAAATTAGCACCCAGATTTAAATAAAAATGGAACAACGTTCTGATTTATTGCCATCCTGTATTTCTACCCTTGTCTTTTGCTGATTTGGTATACTAGCCATTCATCGACACTGCTGTCAGGACTTCAATGACGTTTTGCCAACTGAACAGCAATACATTCCCTTCGAGGAAAAGCTTCTCCAATTGGTATTATTTTCTTCGGTATTTGGAAATACAACGGATGTTGTCATTTTGATAACACTCGTTGGTCCCTCCTAGAGATCCTTGCTATCTTTCATACGGAAGCTCGGCTGCTATTAATCACAGCCGATTAGTTTAGATTCATCCTTTTTTTTTATTAAAACAATGAAATACCTTTATTCAAAGTACTCCGGCTGTCGCTATGAGGGAATAAGAAGACAAAAAGCTTAAGAGAGGGGTTGAAAAGCGAAAACGCTCTAAAGTTGATAATTCTTCAGTTTTCAAATGTAAGAGGCTACGTGAATGGGTACAGGTTTAATTTTTAATTGTCACCATATTGATTAAAATGCTCTATTATAATCCAGTCAATAAAGCTCTGCCACAAATTAATACAAAAAAAAAAAACGTTTACAACAATATATAATAATAATAATGAATGCATGTACAAATATACTGATCTTATTCGACGTAAACTTAAAGTTATTTAGACTTCTGCCAATATTCTTCTCTTGATCACGTTTAACTTTGAAATTTCTTGATCGTCATTACTTGATTCAACATTTCTTGTAGATCACTTGTTTCGACCTTATTTTCCAAACTAACCGATAAAAAAGAATATATATACAATGAACAGTTCGCTTATTACTTATAAGACTGACATTTACCTTGGTATAAGGGCTTTTACTTCTTCGGCTTCATCACAGCATAGGTTAGCCATTTGTGCAACTTCGAAAAGAGTCAAATTGTCTCTTGATAAAACCCTACTCAATCGTGTCAATAAACGACGAGTAATCAATATTCACTAATGTCGAGAATTTAAAGATTTTCAAGCTGTATTTACTGTCTGACTTCACGAACTGATTCAATGTTGCTGAATTTACTGAACTTTCGTACGTAATCGAGCGTTTTCTGTAAAATACTGAAAAATTTGGAGATGTTCGTTAGTTTTTATCAGTTTGCCGAACACATTCAACTGAAACCCAAAGCTTAACATTACTTCGATTTTTGTCTATCTTTTGCTAAGTCCTTATTATCTTCTTTAGCTTCTAGAATGACTTTGACTTCTGATATATACAAACATTGGGCTGACTCGAACTCTAACATTAACAATCGAAAATCAATAAGTCGAACCGATCAATAATCAATAACAACTAGAATAGTAAAACAGCTCAATGACAGCAATACCTTCTCCTAATTTCAAGGTAGTGGCGTCTTCTTGCTCAGCATTGCGGTGTATATGTCTTCTCTTAATTGCTTTTCTTGCTGCTGACATTACGAGGTATGGGTATTTAAGAAAGAAAAGAAAAAATTTGGAAAGATCAAAAGCAAACTATTAACAGCATAAATTAAAAGCAATAAACTCCGTGACGTTCGAGTCTGAACGATCTCTTTCCACATCATCAAATAAATTACGCATTTTTGGTCATTACTCCAAACCATCGCAAGTGTTTAGACAGATGCAACGAGTAGGACCAGCAGGTACGAAAATGATTTTATTTGTACCATTGTTCGTAGTGAAGTTTGAGCTCAATACTTCGGACGATTCTACCATATCTGTCTGTCGACTTCAAAAATAGGCTTCTTTAATACTCCTGTATCGAAGGGTTTCGTGCTGTTTATAGGAGGATGCTCCATTATAACAGCTATTCTAAAGTCAAAACAATATTTCTATTTACAACTCGAACCACACTTGACAGTTTACTATCAGGTCCGTTTAATCATTAGTTGGAGCTCGCATAACTTCGTCCTCGTTTTACCATAATTATATGTTAAAAATCTTCTTAAATGTATTTAGTACTGGCGAATAGTTACCTCACACATGGCATTTGGGAGTTCAGGTGATCTATTTTTCGGAATACTTTTGCTGTATGCTTTGAGAGTGTTAGAAAGACAATACGGGAGCTCAAAATATATCGTGAGTTTTTCATTGCAAACTCTTTCAAAATATCCATGTTCTCTGTTGCAATCAATCTCATTCAAATCTTTTAGGCATTCTTATTCATATCCTGGGCTATATCCACTATTCTAGAGCTTATATCATTAGCCCTTTGTTCTCAATTTGGGCTTAACAGAATACGAGGAGGGCCGTAAAGTATTCAAAGAACATTTGATGGCAAATTCTCTGAACACTAGCTTACTTATTCACTAACGATTATACTAAACACAGATATGCGCTTATCTTCGCTATGCTCTACCAATATTATCGCATTATACCCGTTACTTACAAATTCAGAGTTTTTGGTATCATCATGACGGATAAAATCTTTCTTTACATTATTGCTGCACATTTAGCTTTATCCGGTATCTCACAAACTCTCGTGCCAGTTCTATGTGGTCTGATAGCTGGTGCTGTATATAGAACAGATATTGCTAACCTTAAACGATGGCGATTCCCGGTGGCCCTGCAGCGATTTACCTCTCGTTACCTGAAACCGTTCTTATCGACTTCGCCGATTGCGCGTTCGTCAGCAACGACGCCGGATCAACGGCCTATATTGACACCTGTGATGGGAAGCTGGGCAATAAGAAATAGAAACAATGTTAATAGAGGTGCAGATGCTGTATCATTGAATGGAGACATGGAAACAGCAACAAATAGTACTGCTACTGTTGGTCACCCTACTGGTGTTCCGTCTGTAAGGGTAAATTATACTTTAGGCACATTGGCTTTTAATGTATACAAATATATATTGGCAAAGTAGCTCATCTCTGTATTCATAGGATTATTTGGACACAATAACGGGTAGAGATATGGCAGGTTCGGACATGGAGCCTCCCTCTCCAGAATATACCAGGATCTTGATGACAATGTTCCCTAACCATCCAAGAGAATCCATTACAAGAGCGCTGTCACAATCGCGCAATAATTTAAATAGGGCAGTTGAAATAATGTTAAGCACACCCGCCCCAAACTAGGAATCACAGCTTTAGGTGCAATAAATTACTGCTTCCATTAGCTGTTACCCCAAGTTTTTGAACGCTCATAAAACTCTATCCTTCTACCCCTCGATTAATTATCACTGTTAACCTTGTTCCTTTGTTCTGCTTGCTGTAGATAATTGTAATTGTAAGTTCATATTGTAAACAATCACATGTGGTTTATTAAATCGTTGAATTTCCACAACCCAATATTAAGAGTATCAACTTGTGGATGAGAAGCTTTAATTAAAGTTTCGTAAAATGGGTATTGAATCGATTTAAAACTAAAACTAAAGAAGAAAATGCTTAGGCAATGCTCAATTTTTTTAGTCACATAGTAATTCACTTACTCTAATTTGATAAGAGCCAGCCTTCGTCATATATCTCACCCACTTTACTGATTGATATCCACTTTTCTCAAAAACTTTCAGATATCTCACAAGCAAACCAGAAGAAGTGAACATTAAAACTTGAAAATCCATTGATATAGGCGGCCTGGACCACACTCGCTTATGTGTCATAGATGTTAATACAGCTTCGCCACTTAAATGGAACTCTGCTTGACCTTGAAAACGAGAGATCCTATGGACAATCAAGACATAAGTATTATACACTTCCACGTTGTCTAGTTTTCTCGACTTGTATCTTAAATACTTTACTTCCAAACAATGCAATTTTCTGAAGGCGCATATTTTGCTTTTCCGCCTGATCCGACCTTTACCTCTACCTTGGCAGAATTTAACGGTGTAGGAATCTTTAAAATTACGTTGTTTGCATAGAGCTTAGGCGAGAAATTGGCTTTCACACTAATTTTATATTCTACACGTGTATTTCCAACTTCTGTAACAACCGGATGTACCTTAAAAGGCAGATTGACATTATCAGTTGTACGGTACTTCATCAATTCAAATTCCCCATCAGGAGGCACAAAACTGATACTTTTCTCATTTTCATATTTGTTCAGCTTAACACATTGATGAAATTGGCAATCGTCAATTTCAACTGCATTTGTGCGTCGAGGGCTGTATAATTTACGGTTAGTGTGTTAGACTTTCTGTTAATTTTGTTCTCTTGTTTCTTTCAGATATAACAATGTTAATACTTACGGGGCTCGATTCACAGTATCCTTATCTACCAGAATTTTGTCATTAAGACCAATTTTACATTCTGGTGTGCCCGACAAATACGCTCGCATCAAAATCTGTCCTGCTACATCTGCTCTTAATAAAGTTCCTGTGCTGCTCATCAAGAGGTTTACACTTTCAATCACGTCAATAAACGCTTCATTTTTTCGGTATTTAATATCATTTCTTCTCCAGGAAGTTGCACCAGTAGCTTGTATAGTAATTCTACTGGAATCTTCATGTACTTTTTCTGATTTAACTCCCTCTGTTGTAATATACATTTTGAGTGTATCTGTTTCACTATTTTGAGGGTATCCAAAATCAAGAATTTCTATTGCAATAGCTGTTGTTAAGCGCGCTTCTTTCTAATTTGCCATTTATAGACTGGAGCATTTTTCTCGAATATTTACCGTCAAGTAGTTCATATACTAGTACAAAATTATTCTTCACTGCTTCTTCATCAAACTTGCCAAAATAGCTTCTGCCAATATTAACCACTCGATAACATAATTCAAAAATTAAGGCTGCATTGGCATTCCACTTAGTTACAGCTACGATGTACAGATTCTCATGACGCACATGAAAGAATGAAGTTGAACCGAGTGTTATAATAGGGGAACGAACGTCTGTATTGGAGATGACCTGAATACGGAAAATATCGGCCACTGAACGTCTACAAAGTCGGCTTAATAACGTATATTTAGGCTTAACTTTTGTTCTTTTTAACCATAGATTTTACCTCAAATCGTGTCTATATAGACGAGAAATAAGGACTTCTCCTTTCTGATTGTAAATAAAAAAGGCGCTGATCATTAACAGGAATGGAAAAAGTAAGCTTGGGAAAGGTTAAAGTGCATCAGCAAAACCTTGAGGTCCCAATTCGATGGCGGACTTCATCGCTTAATGAGGAAGATAGCAATTGAGAACCAGACAACCTTTTTAACCTCTTTTTCCTTTGTCTCTCATTTTATTTTTAACAATCAGGTTGCGTGAAGATGGACGATTCAAAAAAGGAACTTCGACGATTGAACAGACTTGCTTGGGGAGAGGGAAAAGGAGGTAAATTGACTCCCAAATCTCTTAATTTTCTACTCTGAAGGTGTTATGGAGGCTCTGATTTAACTGTCTATTCTTGATTTGCAGAACAAATAAAGAACCTTGATAGTAATATCAAAAAGAATACGACATTTATCAAGAAATGTAAAACATCTATGGGCGCTGATATGCGTATTCAACTTTTAAACGATATAAAAAAGTTGAGTCTCGAAAAGTACATTTCTGAAGTTGTGGGTGCTGTCATTCAAGGCATGGCGAAGTGCAAAACAACAGCAGATATAAATGCCTGTGTCGAGGTAAGAGCTGTTGATTATCAATTGCTAACCATTTATTTCTCTCATAAACGTTACTTATACTTTTCGTATTACAGGTTGTTTCTGCTCTACATCAACGCTTTCCAACTTCTTTCACATTATTGTTAACACATCAGCTCGCAGTCGTTTTACAACCACCTTCCAAACAATATTTGGCGACGCTTAACGCTGAACAAAGGGAAAAAGAAGAGTCGGCACGTATTATTCGACAACGTATCTATTTACGACTGGCTTGTGAGTTTTGGCTGGTTTGCATTCTACGCAATGTGCAAGATGGTATTTCCACTTATTCTTCGGTTGACGTAAGTGGTATTGAAACTCAAAGAGATTCGTTGGCTGGTTTAATGGGTACCAGCAACTCAGACTTAGCAGCATCAAGCTCAGCAACCCACCAACAACAGCAGTCGCAATCCAATAACAAGAAACAACAGTCTGGCCGATCATCGAAGGATGCTGGAGGGTTCATATACAAGATATTGAAAGACTTATTGGCCAATGATTCAGAACGACACGACAATCTGCCTTTAATGGCCTCCTTTTTGAAAAACTACAGTCAGTCTATTTTAGGCATTGTTCCTAGAAAACAACGTGCTGCGGAAGATAAACATGGAGAAGAAGGAAAGAAGGAAGCAGCCATTGAAATGGATAAAGATTCGGTCATAACTCCGGATATTCATGCTATGTTCACCAATCTATTTCAATCTTATTATAAATCAGTGTCAGAGCACTTAGTGAAAGTACATAAAATAGTGAAAAAAATGGAAAAACAGAACAACGAAGTCTTATTTGCACGTGGAGGATTATCTGACGAAAGGAAAGAGAGATTTGAAAAGGCTTCCAAAGTATATGAGAAACTTTCAACTCATACTCAAGTGTAAAGTGCATTCTTTTGGTTAAAATGCGTGTATGTGAATTGAACTTTTGTTAACATACCCAGCACTTCTCTTTGATTAGTCTCTCAGATACATTGGACTTAGATATGCCTGAACTTCCATCTATTGAGGAGATGGAGCCAAAACAATCCATTCTCAGCTCGAATACAGGTAGTTCTTTCAATGACGACGGAAACGATACCAGTAATAGTATTTGGGAAGATGAAGATGCTCGTAAGTTCTACCAAGATCTACCTGATCTTCGAGCACTTGTGCCTGATGTATTTTTGGATTCTGATCAACAATCACAGAAAAAGGCTACTGCGGTCAAAGATGAGAACCAAAAGGTTCCTACAGAAAATGAGAATACTAAATTCAAAGAAGAGCAACAAGATAATGGAAGCGAAGTGGAACAGCAGGAAGCAGTAGCAGCGAAGGAAGAAGAACTCTTATTAGAGGACGAATCGATACCCGCTCCTGAATTGACAGAAGATGACCTATCAGATCCTTCACATATAGTAGACGAAGTGATCAACAAATCGGGTGTGAACGAGAATGAAGATGATGAGACAGCTAGTAGTAGCAAAGCTATCACATCGCAGAATATCCCTTTAGACAATTTGCTTGCTCGCTTATCAGAATGTGCAAATCGTGATCTTGTAGATAGCATTGCTGTAGATTTTTGCTATCTAAACAATAAGGTCAACCGTCGTCGTTTAGTGAAAGCATTACTTAGTGTTCAACGCCATCGAGTTGATCTTTTGCCTTACTATTCACGACTCATTGCAATTTTAAATCGATATTTCCCGGATATTGGGGAAATGACAGTGGAAGCACTCGTTTATGAATTCAGAGGATTACAGAGAAGGAAAACTCAAGATCTACTCGAGACACGAATTAAGAATATCCGGTTTTTATCAGAATTGACAAAATTCGGTGTGGCGCCCATCCATACTATTTTCTATACTTTCAAAGTGGCTCTGGATGACTTTACAAACCAGAATATTGATGTTGTCTGTAACTTGCTAGAAACATGTGGCCGTTTTCTGCTTCGAACGCCTCAGACAGGCGAACGTATGAAGCCTATGCTTGAGACGGTAATGCGTAAAAAAAATGTTCATCATTTGGACAACCGATATGCACTTATGGTAGAGAATGCCTATTACCAAGCATGTCCCCCTGACAAGCCAGCTGTTTGTATAAAAGAGCGATCACCTATAGAACTGTATATCCGCAAGTTGATTCACGAAGATTTATGCAAGAAGACATTAGATAGAGTGTCGAAACAGCTACGTAAATTACATTGGGAAGACCCATCCATTCAAAGAATTCTCAGCAAAATATTCCAAAAAATTTGGAAGATCAAATTTGGGAATATTCATCTAATGGCTATATTGGCAAGCGGATTGAACCGTTATCATTCCGATTTTGGTGTGCAATTAGTTGACAGTATTGTTGAAGAAATTCGTGTTGGCTTGGAACAGAATATTTTCAGTCATAACCAACGAAGAATAGCAATAGCCAAGTATCTTGGAGAATTGTACAATTATCGAATGATTGATTCACCGCTCATTTTTGAAACATTATATACAATTGTTACGTTCGGCCATGGTAAGTTCCTCATTTTTCGTGTCCGTTTAGAGAATTTATTTATTGAAAGGTATCTTCTCCTGGCCCCTGTAGAATTCGGTCGACCTGCAAAAGAAAGGTTTTGCCCTATTGATGCGCCTGATGACTTTTTCCGCATCCGACTTTGTTGTACTCTACTTGATACTTGTGGTATGTGCTTTGATAGAGGAAGCTCTAGGAAGAAGCTTGACGATTTCTTGACGTTCTTTCAGGTAAAAAAAGACAAAGCTTTCATCAAAATAGATGGGTTTCGGGTTACATTTCTGTCTAGAGAATATATTCATGATATTTTCACTCCATTCTTTAGATGTATATTCTAAGTAAAAGCAAACCACCAATGGATGTTGACTTTATGATTTCAGATACTCTGGAAATGCTACGTCCACAACTCCATCTTTTTACTACATATGAGGAAGCCAATGAAGCTGTCGATCGTTTATTAATGGAACAACTGAAGAGCGTGCAAGGTACAAATGCAAACAACGAGGAAGGTAAATCATCGGTGGAGGACGGCTTGGATGACGAAAGTGATGCTTCTGATCTTTCACAGAGTGCCGATGAAGATGAGGATGAAATTGAGATTCCTGAAGATAATGATGATAGCAGTAATGTAGTTGGGGAGGAAGATAGTGTTGTTGAGAGCAATAAGGATTACACAGCAGCAGATGATGATGAGAATGTCATTGTCTTGAAAACTAAGCGAGAACAACAATTATCGAAGGAAGAAGAAGAAGAATTTGATAGAGAATTCAATAAATTGATGAACGAGAGTATTGAGTCTCGTAAATTTGATAAAAAGCAGGCATCCTTAGATGTCCCCATTCCTATGAACTTGAGAGGGTCTTTGGGTAAGTATTTGCTCCTATATACATATATATGTACGCGGCATGTTATACACTTACTAACAATTCTGTAATCTCTTATAGATCATCGCAGCGAAGCAGCAGAAAAGAGCCAGCCAAATATAGGCAAAATGGCATTCACCTTACTGACAAAGAAAGGCAATCGACAACAGGTAAAGCATTAAAACCAACAATAACGTTGAAGCAATTCTAACTTGCTTAATTGAATAGACAAAGATAATGGAGATCCCTGCAGATTCTACGCTAGCAATTAGTACACGTAATAAACAAGAGGCTGCTAGAGAAGAACAGCAACAGCTAAAACAACTTGTATTGAACTACGAACAGAGAGAAGCTGCTGCTGCTCGTCAAGGTAAACTAAATGTTAAATCCAGGTTATGTGTTTTGCGTTTGTTAAACTTTTGAATATAAACATAATAGCTGCATTGGATGAAAAGATGAGACTACGTGGCCAGCAACGTGGAAAAAAAGTATTCCAAATGGGGGCAGGTGCTGCAGGTCATTCTTATTCAGCTGGTGGTGGGTCTAATTGGTAGAGACAGAAGGGCGTTTTTGAATAAGGAACGAATATTCTACCCATTGACCAAACTATTTGAACTATTTTTTACCGTGTCAGTAACTACAAATCAATGATACGGTGGATAAAATGTTGTTTCAAAGGGCTTTGTACAAGGGAATCATTGAACGTAAAATGCTTTTGCTTTCTAAATAACAAATTTGCTGAAGAACAGCATCGTGTCAAAAACAATAATTATTCATAGAACAAACTGATAGCATTGATTGCATGAGTAGTAAATGCGTAATGAAGGTTAGAATATTGCAAAAGGAGATATCGTTAGCATAGTAGCCTTTGCTTGCCTTTCGAATAAAAATTGAATTACCAATATGGTAGATGACTATTAAGGGTCATTGTTGGCCACTGTTTCTGAGGGGATACTGCGAGGCGAATGTTAAATAAACTAATTACAAGGTGGCTGCAAATGAAGGCAATTTATTGAAAACGTTCAACTCTTGGAATTCATATATGATCGGTATAAGGAGGCTTGATAAAGACAGCCCCTGATGGTACATTTCGTATAATCAAGGACCAACAAAAAAAGAAAATTGCTTTAAGTTTGAGAACCCTAATTTTGAGATACTTGAAACCATCTATAGATAGAATGTACTTAACAAACAAAGCTTCTATTATACAGCTATATAATTGTAAATTGGGAACATCTGGCTTTGCTTCTTACTGTTACTGATCAAAAAAATTGCCAGCAATAACTCTTTTAGTACGATCATTTGTGTACACTTTTTAAACAGAAGGCTTTTATTCATTAAAATATTTGGTAATACTTACAAATTCTGGCAAAGTCTTCGCCCAATAACCTTTTAACTGAATGGCGGATGGTTTAGTAAAGTGGGGGCAATCGAGATTGACTTCCACGTTTTTTTAAACTGAGGCGATTCGGAATAATGCTCTCCTCTCCTTGTTTGTAATAAAGATGAGATTACTTTCCAGGGTCAGGTTTTGTGTATTACATTATATAACCAGGTTTTTGAGGAATATTGCGATCAGTGCGTGCGTAACTTGAAAAAGTGTCATAGGAGAGGGTAAAATGAAAACTCGTTATAGGTAAATAGAAAATTAATCAAGTGTATCTATAAAAAAGGAGCATACATCAAAAAACTATTTTTGGTGTGGTGGACTACTGCGAAAAGTATTTAAATAAAAAACTACTATCTTCATTAAAGTTTTATTCGCCTTTCCTTTTTTAAACCTTTTTCTTTCTATCTTTTATACATTATGGCGCATACCACTTTATCCATTACAAACTCTAAAGGTAGGCAAGTAAGCTTATTAAACGATGATAAGCAGCAACACCAGCAATCTACCATGCGGAGCAATAGTATAAAAAGGAGATACTACTGTACAGAACCTGGTTGTCAAAAAGGTTTTACAACGAGGTACATTAAACTATATAGCAATGTATAAGTTGTTTTTTACTCATAAAGTAATCTGTCAACATCTGTCAGCGGGCATTTGGCGAGGCATAATCGAATTCATACGGGCGAAAAGAACTTTCATTGTCTGTATCCCGGTTGCCCTAGCAAGTTTTCGCGTCAAGACAATATGATGCAACATTACAGAACTCATCTATCTTACCGATCTCGTCAGCATCATTATTCACAATATGTTGAATGTCGCTATTCCTATTATGGTCCAAATGGGCTAAGTAGTCACCAAGGATCGCTCTCAATCAATGGTAGTTCATCGAATTATAAACGCAACAATACCATCATTGCCACTGGTAATTATTTCAAACATAATTTAAACATATTCCTCCATAAATCACTGTCATTAACAGTAACAGTAATTCTGCAACACTAGCAGATCGAGCCTCTCCTTCTCCAATGCAGCCTTCTGTTATCTACACCGCTAATCTTTCGTTGTCACAGTCTCCTGCTACTTTAAATAAGCTAGAAGATAAATCACATAAAGCAGTAAACACCTTTCCGTAGAATTCTTTCTTTAAGTCGAGTCAAAGCAAAGAATGATTGTTTGATTCAGCCCAACGTTCAACTTTATGACTAGAGAAAAACCTTTCCTTATAATTATTAAAGCCCCAGTCTATATTATATGCTCTTTAATACGTTGTATATGTGTAAATTATATGCCCTACGAACACAATTTCTTAATTCAACTCACATTTCTTAACCTAAATAAACTCTTTGTTTGACGATCGGTCTTCATGAAGCATCCGCTAAATTCATTTCTCTTTTGATGATCTTTAAGACCCTTAACCTTAATCTATTTCAGGTATCCCATGAATAGTATTATAAGAGCACCACGATCTGACTTATTACGTTCTTTGGTTGCACAACTAAACATGTTTTTTTCATTTTTGCCACTAAAAACAGAACTTGCAGATCTTCTACTGCACTTTTGACTGTTTTAGAGGAACAGGAAGCACAAAACTTATTTTACCCTTCTGCAAGGTGGTTTCACAAAGTAGAGGAACCGAAAAAGAATTTTTTTTCGTCTAATTCAAGTAAGGGTTAGCGTCTGTTACATCTTGTGTCAGAATATTGCAGAGGCTTTCTTTACTGGTTATTATAATTTGAAGTAATGTCTCAACAAAGTCGTAGCGAAAGTGCTCATATCGTTGAATCATAGTCCAGAAAAAATTACTGAAAGACTTAAAAAAGGATCACAACAATGATATATAACAATAGCATGTAACTCGTTTTGATGGGTTGAGTAGGTACAATGAGCAATGAACAGTTTGAGCTTACAACTCCATAAGTGATATAAAAACGGAAACTGATCTGCTTGGCATATCCACGTCCCCCATTATTGATTCTGCTGTGAAAATCGAGAGGGAAAAAATTGTAAAATGATCTGTTAAAAGGAAAACTATTTTAAAGGAAGCGGCCATATTCTGTATAAAATCGCTCTCTTGTATTCTCGAAAACGATCATCTGAAACATATCGACTTTTTAATTCTCTCTAATAACCGTTTTTTATCATACTCTATTTTGTATTTCTTTTTGTTTGTACTGACCGTCTCAATTATTGTCTTACAGAGATTTGATCAGTACATCTTCATTCATTCATCTTCTTCCCCCTTTACCACTATGGGCAATTGTGTCAGCTTCACTCATAAAAGAGATGCCAATCCTGACGCTCAAAAAAATAGACTCATTGACAAACAAATCAAAGCCGATGAGAAACGTTTGAAGCAAGAGGTGAAATTATTGCTACTGGGTAATGATCGGGGAACAACTCTCATTCATGGCTCTTTATACTTACGCTTTTAACATTAGGCGCTGGCGAATCGGGCAAATCAACTGTTTTAAAACAGATGAAGTTAATTCATGCTCATGGCTTCGACGAATCAGAAAGAGAGAGCTTTAGAGTAATTGTTTATTCCAATATTATACTGGCTATCCAGATTATTTTTGAAATGATGGAACAACTCAACATACCCTTTGAGCATGAATCAAACTCTGTGTGTATTCTGAATTTTATGCATGAAATATGTAACCACGGGAAATTTGTCAACTAACCATTTATTACAATATCAATTTGGGTGTGTCGTTTACTATTGCTTTCTACTATAGGCTTACATTACATTATTTAAGAATCATGAAACTTTGAAACGTGGTCAACCATACCCTCAAATCTATTTACAACCTTTGAAATCATTATGGGCAGATGCGGGTGTGAGGGAAGCGAAAGAACATGGAAATAGTTTCGCTTTACACGACAATGCATCATAGTAGGTTATTGTGATCGACGACAAAGTATCATTAGAAAGTGCGATTCTTATACTTTTCTGTTAGTTTTTTTGATCAACTGGACCGTTTTTGGGAACCCGGTTACTCGCCAACAGATCAGGATATTATTCGATGCAGAGCGAAAACGTCAGGAATTGTTGAGACGATATTTCATATTGGCCCGTTAACGTATCGCATGTTTGATGTGGGTGGGCAGAGGAGTGAACGTAAAAAATGGATCCACTGCTTTGAAAATGTTACTGCTATTCTATTTGTTGTAGCAATAAGTGGATACGATCAATGCCTTGTAGAAGATAGAGATTCGGTAAGTACTGTTTAGTCCTACATCTTTCTGAATTTCTTGATTTGGTTTTAACTGAAATTTGCATTTTCTGTTAAACGATGAACGTAGAATCAAGTAAGAACCTGCAATTACAATTCGACTAAATTGTTACCTGAGGAACTTGCGTTAATTTATTATTTATTACTACTTTCATACTAGATGCACGAAGGATTGATGTTATTTGATAGCATTTGCAATTCGACATGGTTTATCAACACATCTATGATTTTATTCTTGAACAAAATAGACATCTTTAGAGAGAAAATCCTGGTTTCGCCAGTGTCGAAATGGTTTCCTGATTTTAAGGGTATGTGAAGCGAAAGAGTACGTTCATTCGATAAGAGGAAAACCGAGATTTTCTAATGAAACGTTTCCACCCTGCTTATGCCCACAGGTGATGATAAAAGCTTTGAAGAAACGAGTGATTATTTCAAGCAAAGATTTCAACGGCTAAATCATAATCCAAGCAAACAAGTTTATATACACAATACAGATGCGACAGATACACAATTATTACAACATGTTATGACTGCAGTATCTGATATCATATTGAATGAAAATATCAACTCTCTGATGCTCTAATGATGTGCTTTATAGCCATAAAAGCGCATACTGCTACCCATTACTTCACTATCATATCCTTTATTTCTTAATCCTTTAATTCTTAATCTAGATAAAAATTGAATCAACAACGAAGCACGTCTTTAAATTAATTCCACACCATGTGACTAAATGGCTGTTAACTCATTGATAAACATTATAATATTGATGACGGACAAGCTGGTCGTGTTGGTTTTCTCTTTCTTTTTTTATAGGATCAAGTAGGTCGATTTAGACTACAGCAACATGATCTATCAGTGACCAACATTGGATTAGAGGAAGAAATGTTCAGCTTCCCGCTGCCTGTATCTGTCAACTTTCTACAATTTAACGTTAAAAAAAAGCAGAAATTACCAAATTCTGCAACCCTCGCAAAGGTGATACAATGGGAAGGATAAACATCTATTGTGCACTGAAAAGAATCTTATTAACGAAGCAGTATCAATATTTGAGCAGCGTTTGAGAACAGCTAATAATTTAATGAACAATATGCTTGAATGCTGTTCAAGCGCTATATGGATTCAAAGAGGAGTAAATCTGAATCTGTTACTGTAGGCTTGTCAACAAGGAAGTGTGACATGAAACGCAGCCTCTTTCATGGAATTAAACGAATTATATCTTTGTAAAAAGCCGAAAAAAAAGTAGTTTCAACGTTCGAACTTTCTTTACCTTTGCTGTCTTTCCGAAAATCAACTAAGTGAAATAACGTAGTAGAAGGAACAAGATAATTTATCGTTATAATTTCCAAATTAGGATGCAAAGTTGTATGGTTGATAATCAAACACATACTCCATTCCTTCCGGCAGTTCAACAGTCAAAGCCAGTTTATGATATAATGCGTGCCATTTTGGGAAGATTAAGTGTAATTTGAAAGTTAATACGTAAACTCTCTATATAATCATTCATTTCTTCATTTTGTTCGTCTAATACACTGAAGATTGTAAACCTTCATAAAGGACCAGTTTAATGGCGCACAGTAATATTATGTTCGTTCTCTATATTTAGAACGAAATTCGAGTCAAGAACGGGAGTAAGTTCCGTTGGGTTATTTGTATCCAGGGGCATAATCTTGAGGCGATAAAAAGCTGGCAATGTGAATCTTCCCAGAGTAACATTGACTCCTACTCCATTTATTCCATAACTCACATAAATCGGCTTTTCGGGTTTTTTGGTTAGCACCAAACGGATGGAAGTTGTTTTATGGTTCATTGTGGCTGTTAAAATTTGGACGCCCTTCTCTTCAGACTCGATGGAGAATCCATAAACCTCTTCTACGGTATTTTTTAACCAAGCTTTTTTCAAATTAGTCTCCTCAATGTTGTAATATAGATAAAGTGCAGGTGCAACCTTATCACAAAGTACACGATCAGAACTGAGTGCATATTGATATGACATGAGTTGGAAAGCCAAAAGAGGTCCATTTCCTTCTTTAGCATGCATAGATGCTTCGGCCATTCTTTTGCCTATTTTTGTCAAACCTTTAGCGGATAGATGAAGACGATCGTCCAAAGCGCAGTCAATACTTGTAACTCCAGCAGTATGTTTCCTAGCCGAAAATAGGCTATATTGTTGCTGTTGTACTATACACCAATTTTCCTTCATTTCTGCTGAATCAAGACGATGGGGACCAATTTGAACGAACACTATAGGAAGGCTATCATTTTGAACGTCCATTTGCAGGTCTTTCTGCCATCTGGTAAATGTAGCAGCGTACGTTTTAGCAGCCTCAAAAGTTGTAGCATCTGATTCGCCTTGATACCATAGCACACCAGCAATCCGACCTACTTTCCGAATTTTATGTAGCATGGCGCCATAAAGACTTGTATCAGCAGTGTCTCTGTCTAACACGTTGGGCCTTTTCCAGTCAGCCAGTGTTGTTCCACCGTGAGCGCAGGCAACCAAGCCAACAGGTACACTCTTATTATCCCTATGCTCTTTACTCCACAGTATATATTCTTTTGCAAATGCTAACCCCAAAGACGCACCCCTGTACTTGAGGATTCCTGGTTCGCGAACAGTGGGATCTGGTAAAGTATGATGCACCGATCTCGGTGAAAGATAAAGCTGATGAGATGGATCACTTGCAATTGTCCAAACTTCGCTTGAGTTAAATAAGGAGATTCCCTTCTCTGCAGGTACGGTCAAATCTTCTAACGTATAGGGATCTTGAAGCCACCCATGACCGCGCATGTTACTCTGACCCGCCATTACCCATACATCGCCAACGTAGACATCTATAGCAGCACCCACAGTATAAGGTCCTCCTGTAGCAAATTCTTTTATTTCATTTCCGATTTGGATATATGCTACATCTGTATCAGGATTTCGTTGTAATATTTGATTGCTGTTGACGTTAGTGTAAACATACTCGTAATAATTGCTTTCTTTTGCCATTTGGGGAAAGTTGCAATACATATGAACGGCTAATTAATATTTATAGTCATTTGATGGGAATCCGGGACTTGTCGTTTCTGTTACGATTAAAGAGCATTGTATATTGTACCTACAGTATTGCATAACTTGTTCGAATTGAATACACGTAACCAAAATGACATTGTCCTGCAACCCTATCCCTAAAGGCATTCTGGTGAATTGATGTGTTCCTAGTATCCTAAAAAATTTCCGAATCTCGACTGGAAGTAAATAAATAAACATTCATTTGGTATGCATAGTTTTTATGACATGAAAGGACTGAGAAGGCGAATGTTGGAAACATTGCAGCTTGAGACAAGAAGCGAACATTATGGACCAGTTGATTCAAACTTACAAATCGTTTCGTAGCTACTGAGGAAGTAGCCTTCAGTGTAAAGTAACTGTATATAAATTGTTTACAGTTGAGGTATGTTATATATGTTATTTTAGGATACCATTTTAAAACAGCAGTTCGGTTGTTATTCTCATTCTTGCCCTTTTTTTTTTATTTATTTACTATCATTTCTCTATTTCTCTACACTTCTATCCTTTGTTTTAAAATAAGCATGCGGATAACATTTCATACCTATTACATCCTTTTCTTCGTGTCATGCATTTATGCAATGAATGCTGCTCGTGATACGAACGAAGAAGTAGACAAATTCGTGAAGGAATATGCAGACTCGACCAGAGATGATCCCGTTCTTTCTTCTGTTCTTTACGCGCCATTACCGACAAACAAAGTAAATAGAATGCTGCATCAAGTACCCATAATGCCTCAACAACCGAACAACAACAATAATAACAATAACGGCAGGAATAAGGAATGCAAGAGTTTTCATGTAGATTTCAGCAAAGATGTAAGGGGATGGCAAGTGGAGCATAGTAAACAGGACACTTATGATGTAGGCCCAGATGGTATACAGATGTTTTTGATGCCACCAAGTCAATATATTCGGAAAATGGATTTGAAAGGTACAAGTTTTCATGGCTTCTTGAGGGGAACCTATAATTTACAACTTTACCCATCCGCAATTCTGTTTTAGTCAATATGCCTTATAATGTGATTGGTGGCCGTGGACCTACTTTAAACGCCACGGATTATATAAGGTTTGGAAAGATATCTGCGACAGTTCGCTCTGCAGGTGCAGGCGGCTCTGTCACTGCTTTCATATTGCTGGCTGATGGAGGGGATGAAATTGATTTTGAATTTTTGGGGGGAGACGTTCGAACTGTCCAGTAAGTTACTCAAACTCTTATGTATGAGTATTTCATTGGGAAAAGCTCACATTCTTTCTGGGGTATTAGGACGAATTACTTTTGGGGACCATCGAAGGAATTCACCGTGAACGGTGGTTTTCATACTGTTGCAGGAGGTGATGTAGACAAAGAATTTCACAAGTATACAATTGATTGGAAACCGGATAGTATAGAGTGGCTTGTTGATGACAAACTGATAAGGACAAAAATGCGAAAAGATACCTGCGATAGCGCCGGCCTTTGCAAATTTCCATCAGAACCAGCGTAAGTGTCCGTTACTAAAGAATAAACTATTGCCGACATTTTAATCTTCTTTTTTTGCTTTAATATAGAAGGATCCAATTCGGCCTATGGGATGGAAGCATCGAACCTGGTACAGCAGAATGGTCTAGAGGGCCTATTGACGTAAGTTGTATTTGATTTATGATATTTGGACACTGAATTCACCGCCTTCCTCATATACATTTAGTGGTCTGAACCCCATAATGTTACAGCCTACTTAAGAGATGTCAAAGTAGAATGCTATTAAGAGCGAGATCTACATTTTAATTATATACTTTTGCTTCCCACTTTTACAATAAATGAAGTTGTTCTCAAGTATCACATTACTACAATGCGAAACAACAGAGTCCCAATCGCTCCACAGAATTAAATGCACACCAAATTTTATTTTCATTTTTCATGATCCCCCCTCTTCCGCAAGTTTCCTTTTAAGCTTCCTTTCCTCCTCCTACACTCTGATCCTCTATTCTTAATAGTTTTTGTATTTTTGTTAAGATTCGAAAAAGACTTATTTATTTTTTTTTGCTTGTTGAATTGATAATCTCTGGGGAGCAGCAATTTCCTTCTTTTGTCTCGAAAAGAAAAGGGAAATACAAGAAAATTATCTACAAAAAAAAAAAAAAATATCAAATTTAAATGAGAAGTTTACAAAATATACCACTGTCAATAGCTGATATACAGTTGTCTTCACCTTTGCCTTCCCCGAGTCGACAGTCTGTTCATATGAATAGTTCTCATCAAGACAGCACTTCTGATTCCAACACTCAGCGACATCCCTTGCAACATACCCAATTTAACTTTGCAAATACTGAAACAAACCCTACAACACCCATTTCACTCCTCGCACCTACTTCATCAGCTTTGAATCAAATCACACTTCCGTCATTAAACTTTGAATCCCCATATTTTCTTGACCCGCAAGTATACCCTTTGAAAAATTCAACCACTCCTGGCTTACTGAAAAAGTTTGTTTTCAAAGTCGATGGGATTCCTGCGTATTTCGAGGAAATTCAGGTATTTGAAGCACTTTGCGCAAGAACTACATATCTAAAGAATATTCTAATATGACATTTGTATGCGCATATTTCTCTGCTTATTAGGCTTCATCAACTAGGAAAAGACCAGCTTCAATCTGGGATGATGAAAGAAGTTTTAAACGAACAGAATTCGATATCGTCAATCGCAGTTCCATAGTACAGCCAACAGGCATGAATACTGCAACTTTACATATACCAGCTATTTCTATTGAAGCAAATTCAACAAATGCTTATTCACCTGGTCCCAATACGTATCCAATAACCGAAACCATGCTTGATATTATACCTGATAGTCCGAATTCAGCTTTGCCTTCACCTGTATCAGACGTTGATCATAACGACCCATGGTCATCCACGCCGTTACAGGAAATTCCTAGTGAAACAACAGTGGCTGCTGCTACTATATCATCGTCAAACATGAAGGAAGATGTACAAAATAATAAAAATAACGATGACACGATCGATATAGAGTCTATGGATGTAACAGCACCAGAACCCACCACAAAACTCCCAGATACCGTACACGATGTTTTTAAGAAAAGGAATAACTCATCGACTACAACTCCAACATCATTACAACACCCTAGTGACGCTATACCTTTCCCTTTAGTTCACTATTTAGAACAACAGCATCAAATTTATGAACCGTCTTCTCTTATTGCTTTATTTGATAAGCTTCCGGAACAGATTCAGTCCTATCTTATGTTTCAATTATTAAGGAGGTCGCCACATAATACTCTTCGGAAAGCAAACGACATAATTGAGGAAACACTGAAAAGAGATTACATTAATGACCTGCCTATCGACATCGCTCGCAGGATTCTTACATATTTAGATATTCGCTCTTTATGTCGAGCTTCTGCCGTGAATAAGAAATGGAAGTCAATAATTGAGGAGTCATCATATCCTTCAAACATTTGGGAAATGAAAATGATCGAGTCCGAGTATACACCTTCTGCAAAAGAAAGAGCTACCTATAGTTATAAGGAGATCGTTCGCCGTCATACTATCATACGTCGCAACTGGCGTGAGAACCGATATAAGAAAATGTTATTGGAAGGCCACGAAGAGGATCTAGTGACTTGTCTACAGTTCGATAACGAGAAGATAGTGACAGGATCCGATGATCACAGCATCAATGTATACGACATTAACACGGGCGAGCTAAAACGTGTGTTGAAAGGTCATGATGGTGGCGTATGGGCCCTACAGTACGTGGGCAATATGTTAGTTACAGGATCCATTGACAGGACAGTACGAGTTTGGGATATTGAAAGGGGAATATGCCGATTTGTTTTAAGGGGTCACTCAAGTACAGTGCGTTGTTTGAAGATCGTGATGCCTATGGAGATTATTCAACCTGATGGGTCGTCCACGATAGAACCCGAGGAACCGATCATTATTAGTGGCTCAAGAGATATGACAATTCGTGTGTGGAGGTTACCGAACCTTGAAACTGAACCGATTGTGCCTTTATCGACAAGTCTTGACGATGACGTTATATCAAAACGATTTTTGAAGTATAAGCTGGTTGAACATGAAAACTCAGTGAGGGATTTAGCGATTTATGGTAATATCTTAGTGAGTGGTAGCTATGATAATAACGTTATTGTTTGGAATTTGAGTACCGGAAAGAAAAACCACGTCCTTAAAGGGCACACTATGAAAGTATACTGCGTCGCTATTGATCGTAAGCGTAGACATTGTGTCAGCGGAAGTTTAGATGCTACTATTCGTATATGGGATATTGATTCTGGCGAATGCAAGTTCGTGCTACAGGGTATTATAAATTTCATATACATGATTCAAATTACTTGCCCGGGCTTACCAGTTCTATTGTCACAACATACGTTTCTTATCTATAGGTCATGCTATTTTGGTCGGCTTGTTAGGATTGGTAGGCGATAGTTTAGTTAGTGCAGCTGCAGATGCCACTTTAAGAATATGGGATCCTGCTACTGGTGATAGACTTCATATTTTGGCGGGAAATCATGGCCACCAAGGACCCATAACATCATTTCAGCACGATAGATACAAAATTGTTTCCGGCTCTGAGGGTGGTGTTAAGATGTGGGACACTCAAACGGGTAAATTCATGTATGATTTAATTGAAGATGTGACTGGCGTCTGGAGGGTTGCATTTGATGAAAGAAGATGCATAGCAGCTGTGAAAAAGTAAGTTGTAATTGCATGAGCACTGTATCACAGTGACTATAGCTACATCACTTACATGTTCATCTTTTGGTTAATTACTATTAGCGAGCATCGGACGCAACTGATTGTCTTAGATTATGGTGTGCATGGATTAGACGACGAAAAATAGTTGTAAAAATTTATTATAGGATGTACTTGCCAATGTGCTCGATTTTGCTTTCGTTATGTAATTTTGTTACTTTCCATTTATTACTATATATTCATCTTATTTGATTTATTTCATTTCCACAGCATTTTTTTCTCTATTTTACAGAAAATTTGAATATAGTCATTTTTGAGATAATTGTCATTTGAAACTGTGTTGCTAAAAGCAGCTCATTCGTTGCTATCGAACTGTTTGCCTTGCATTTGACAATGACTGATGGATTTCAGGTACAATGTGAATATCAATTGTAAACAATGAGATACTATCAAAATGTAAGACTTAATATGCGATATTTAAAGGAAAAACCAGGGTACAAGTGTACTGAACCCTAGCCAAAGATGTACATTACTTAAGCAAAGGATCAACTCATATAAATCAAAATGTACGAACATTTAAATCACTATAGACGATCTTTGGCGATCTACTATAATTCAGATTCTCGAGATTTTTCCTGCCTCCAGAGATACAGCTTTTGAAACAGAATGGCTAGGTGATATAATACATTTGAAATCCTTACGTCCATATTTGGCCATATTATGCTAACTAGGGGTTGGCTATTCGTACTATTCAAAATAAGAACCAAAATTCTGAATAATGTTCATTAAAGGCCTTGCGCATAATTCTGCACATTAAAAACCAAGAGTTACTAATTTTATCAACAATGAGCACAAGATGAATGCATAGCTGAAATTGTTCGGCTTAGCTTAGTATGAATAAAGAAAAAAATCCTCACAATCCGGGGATTGAAGGTCCAGTTAGGAAATATTGGTTTTCGTTCTTTGACTGTGGGTTCACTTTCATCTGCTACAGTGTTTTTAATTCCGTACGAGACACTTTTGAATTTTTAGTGGATAATCTGGGAGACGTTCTAGGTAAACCAGGACACGAAGTGAAATATCCTAAGAGACAAAATCAAACTTTTACCGAGCGAGACTACCCTTCAATCTCTAATCCAACAACTGCATTATGGAAGATTTTATTCACTTTAACCCCGTTAAGGAAGGCTATTATGTAGCAGACAATAAATCTAATGAAATGGATATTGATTACAACGATATTCAAACACTGGTTCAGTATGGTGAACCACAACAGCCTGCAGAGCCTCCTAATGTTGAGATGTCTGACGTAGTTGATGAGCTGCAATCGCATATGGAGACGCTTGATATCAAGGAGACGAAACAACGATGAGGGTATAATACCTCTCAAATTAAGAAAATGTTTTATCTTTTGCAAGAAGGCAAAAGTGTCACAGAAGCCGCGTTACTTTCAGGGATTCCGCGCAGCTCAGCATACAAGTTAGTTAAGAAGTTCAACGATAGTAATGGTACTATAATCCCATTAAACCCTACAGTAGATAAATTAAAGAAACGAACGATGTCCAGCAGGAAGTTTTCGCCTGAGCACACTACTTTCATTTTGAAACTATTTGACGAAAATCCGTCACTTACTCTTTCCTTAGTCCGTCTAGAATTGATTAGTAACTTTGAGGGTTTTACTATCTCTATTTCTGGTTTATGGAAGCATATAACTGAGAAATGTGCTCTTTCTTTGAAAAATGCATTCAAATATACTATTGAAAGAGACTCACTTAGAACACTTGACCTTCGTGTCAGTGTCATAACACAATGGAAGGCTGCAGGCGTCGATTTTCAAACAAATTGTGTATTTATGGATGAGGCTGGTTTCAATATGCATATAATCAGAAATCGCGCATGGTCGAAAGTTGGGAAAGCAGCAAACGTGAAAGTATTTCCTCAACAGGGTTTGAATATAAGTATCATAGGCTGTATCTCTCACTTCGGTATTGTCGATTTTTCAAAAGTTAAGCCTATGACAGTCAAGGAGGCCGAAATCATTTCGAAGGAATTCCAAAGTGAGAAAAAACGGAAACGAGACAATGACGAAAAACCGAAGCTTAGGAAAGGGACTACCACATATCATGTTGTTAAATTTGTCGAGAGTGTAATGGATATTTTGGATCAGCTTAACAAAAAGGATATGTTCATTGTTATGGATAATTGCAGAATACACCATTCTGAATTTGTCGTGAAAGCAATCAATTCACGTGGATACAAGCCTCTTTTCCTGCCACCATATTCACCCTTTCTAAATCCTATCGAAGAGTGCTGGTCCAAAATTAAAAGTATCATTCGACGAAACCCTTTAGATTCCAATGATACCTTAACTCCTAGAATTAAGCAAGCCTGCCTCTCAGTCTCTGTAGAAGATTGCTTAGGTTGGATCAGACACTCCGAAACTTTTTGGGACAGATGCTTAGATAGAGAAGTTTTGTTAAGATGAAGTTTTTATTTTATTTTTGTCTCCTAAGAAATCTTATCTGGTCTCATAGGATATTTCAATTCGTATCCTGGTTTACCTAGAAACGTCTCCAAATAAAATTCAGATTATCCACTAAAAATTCAAAACAAGCTGGGGTTTCGAACGGAGATGCGCGAATATGAGATACATGCAGCTGTCCATAATTCTAAAAACTACTACCCTACCACATATAAAATAATAGATATCCTTTGCATTTTGGCCTAGTAGTCTAAATGATTTTCTGAAAAGTCGAGCTATGCTCTTTATGCATTTACCGTGCCATTCTGCGTAATTTCTGGAAATGCTAGCTGAATCTGTGTCAACAAGGTCCAAGATCAACTATGATAATTTATTGTCAAGGTTGACAGCAAGCTCTACACAATCGTGACATTTCACTGTTGGTTAAACTCACTTGCTAAGCAGTTTCCATGGTCAATAGAAAGGTATAAATAAGCTCGTGCTTTTCACTATTTGTTCTCTGTCGAACATTAACTTTTAATTGATTACTATTGATCTTAGTAAATCAATCCACAGTTTTAACAATGTTTTTTTATGTGTCTTACATTTCTTCCTTTACCGAATCAACATAGTACGTAAATAGAACAGAAAAAGATCGCTGACAGTCAACGAAAAGCATTGGTAACAAAAAAAAAAAAGAGTACATAATATTCTGGCTGCTTGTACAAATGTATGTTATTGTTTACAAAGGGTAAAAGCTGATGGAAGAAAAGAAAAAGGTAATCAAAATTCAAGTGAGGTCTTTATTTTCTTGGGTTTGTGGGTATTGATGATTGTGTTCATCTCATATATGTTTCATGAGGGTATTTTGCGCTTGGAAATTGTTTTGTCCTTCTTCGTAGCACAGAAGAGCTCATAAAGATTGATCAAGCGTTTGATTTCATCCAATTCCATAATGAAACCAGGGAACTCAAGGATTGATTTAGGAACTTCAATACCCGTAACCTCAAACGCAGAATAGAAACCACCATCATGTTGTTGGTACAGATATACGATCACACGATGTCCTATATTATGAAAAACTATATGTAAATCTATTTTGCAATAGCGATTAACACTATATTTACCAACTGCTTACAATAAGGCAACATTCTCCACATCTTCATTGTCAATGGTATCCTTGCCGAATATGCATAGTCTGGGCAAATCTAGATGTGTGCTAACAGTATTAGTGCTTTATTTAGTCTAGTTACAGAAAAACTGTTAGCGTACATATTTAATCAGATAATCTTTACGTTTGTACCTACCATCTGTACAGCGGTTTCTTTTGGGGATCATGGAATATAGGACTGATGACCATATCAAGATAATTGGTTATTAGTTCAAATTCTTCGACTTCTTCATCTATGATGATATTGCTGGGTAACTTGTTTATAATATGCTTTACATGTTAGACCTCCAAACAGAAGTAATTCATTGGGTCATGTATGTCGTGCTTACAGGTTTATCAATAAATCAATTATCTTGGAATTCATGAATTGGCAGCTTCGTATAAATTATGTAAGTTTACTTTAAGTGCTTTACGATCAAATTTGTTATTACGCTCTAAGCTGTCAAAATAAGTCAGATGTCATTATAGGGTACTCACTTTGAAGATGTTGATTAGTTCAATGAATAGATTCTTTTATATCATTATATCTTGGTTAACATATTTATTTAAGAGTTCCGTATGAAATTCTTGAATATTTTCGAGTCCAGTTAAGTTTGACATCGCTTGGTTATGCTGGTCTTTTCGCAACAATATTGTGTGATATAAAGATCTAAATTTATGCCATTAGAATCTGTACCAATGAATGATGCATATGAAGCCTACTTACAATATTTCATGAATACTGGCATGAACAAATAAACCAGAAGATCTTGCTTCCTGATATGATTTCATTTGAAACCTCTTGAAGCTTTTGCTAAGATTGTGACCATTCTTCAGTATATGCGGCGGGTCAGTATTGGAAAATAAGGCTTGCTCGAATTTATTGTTGAATGCAATTTCATCCGATTTATTTTTAAGTCCCTTACCTACGGAGAGTATGTGGCATAGGCTATCTGGAGGCCTTTGCACACGGAGAGTATGTGGCATGAACTATCTGGAAACCTGTTTCCAAGATTTCCAACTGTTGAAAGTTTTCCATCATAGGGACAGTCTCAGGGCGTTCAGCTAAGCTTTTAAATAAAAGACAAAACGTACTAATCCCAAGCATTCCAGGCACATGAAAGAACCTGTTTTCAAGATTTCCAACTGTTGAAAGTTTCCATCATAGGAGCAGTCTCAAGAGCGTTCAGTAAAGCTTTTAAATAAAAGACAAAACGTACTAATCCCAAGCATCTCTCATGCTGCCCAAACCAGCTTTTAATCATTTATTAATAAGATAGTGCAAGGTGAAGGAAGAAAAATAGATTAGTTTACTATATTTGAACGTGTCGAAGGTGGTGGAAATTACCAGAAGAATTTGGTTGCTAATTATAAAAAGATTACTAGAAGTGTAGTAAAAAGTATATGTAAAAGAATGCAGACAATTTTTTTTTACATGCCAGGAGTATAATAATGGTAAATTTTTGGTGACGTACTATTTACAGTAAATCGTCTTTTCTTAGTGACGTCAGAAAAATGCTTTTTGTTGTATGGACCGCTTACACGTTTTAACACTGATACGTTTAAAATTCGAACTCTTATTTGATGTACGTTTAAAGAGATATTTTATTACAATTAAATTTTACCCAATGAGCACACAGATAAATACTTATCAAAATTGCCCGGGGAGGTTCAAGGAAAGTGTAAGGGAATTAAAAAACCTTTAACGGGGCAAAGGAAAAAGGGAAGGTGATCAGAGGCAAACTAGGGAATAACGGAGCGATCAAGGTGTAATTATCGGGGGCGCATACATCCAATCCAAGAGTAGCTGTCCTAGCTTATTTGATGTACAGTATTTTCGTTTCAGATTCAGACTCTTTGAAGAAATATTCGGACTTTATATTAAACAAATTCGGACATTTTTGTAAACTAATTTTGGACTGTTCTATGAATGAATTTGGACAGTTACGAGGGCTCTACTCCTAAACTATTTTCTGCTGAATAAAAGCATACAAAAGTACTGAGCCAAAGAAATAACAATGGATTACGTTCATTTCGAATATGCAGCTGTACTTGCTGAGATTGATAAGTCAGTTGACCATATGGAAACTGACGACTTAGCCATTCAGTACGGTGAACTAGAAACACTCGTCGAGGCTGCAGTTACTAACGATGTCGACATGTCGGAAATCACATCGAACGTTGTTCCTCAGCTTAACGACGAGTCTTTCAATGCTGATGAAGGGTTTAATGAAACCAGAAGCAAAGTGGATGAAGACATCTCCTCGTTAACGGTTGAGTTCCAAGAGATCAAAATCTCCACTAAGACCTACAAGAACTACGGGCCTGACCAGATTAAGCGCTTCATTTATTTGATTCAGGAGGAAGGAATGCCCGTAACAAAAGCTGCAAAAGCTTGCGGTATTCCAAGAAGTACAGCTTTTGAGATGAGAAGAGAGTAAAATGAAAGTGACGGTACTATTTTACCTCGTAGCGAGAAGAAAGGCCCTAAGAATGGAAATACTGCTAAAAAACTATTTCCTGAGCATACAAAATACTTGATTGAGCTTTTCGACGAAAATCCTTGCCTTGTATTACATGAAGCAAGAATCAAATTACTTGAGAGATACCCAGAAATTGAGAAGATTGCTCTATCCAGTTTATATACGCACATTAGAGAAAAATGCCGCCTCTCTCTGAAAAAAGCCAGCAAGTATACTGCGGAAAGGGATGCTCCTAGGACATTAGAGCTTCGCGCGAGCATAATTTAAAAATGGCGAGCGGCTGACGTCAATTTCATGACGAACTGTGTTTTCGTGGACGAAGCCGGGTTCAACTCCCAAATGGTTAGATGTCGAGCGTGGTCAAAAGTAGGTGAGCCTGCAAGTGTCAAGGTGAAAACACAGCGAGGGATAAATGTCAGCATCATCGGTTGTATATGGCCAGAGGGATACATAAACTTCACCAAGGTCAACCCTTTGAAGGCAGGCGACCTAGAAATTCTCCAGAAGCAATATTCTGTTGAGCCTAAAACGAAGAAAAGAAAGGCTGCTCAAGTTGTAACTGCTACCCAACCTGTTCCCAAGGGTACAACTGCGTTTCATACTGTAAAATTCTTAGAAATTGTAATGGATTTTTTGGACAGATCAGATAAAAAGGGTTACTATATCTTGTTAGATAATTGCAGAATCCATCATGCCCCATTTATCGTGGATGCTATTATCAAAAGAGGATACAAACCTCTATTTATGTCGCCTTATTCGCCATTTCTTAATCCCATTGAAGAGTGCTGGGCTAAGGTCAAAAGTAATATTTCAAGAAACCCATTAGACAGCAACGATACTTTGACGCCGCGTATAACGGAAGCTTGCAAAACAGTTACTCCTGATGATTGTAAAGGTTGGATCAGGCATGCTGAAACTTACTGGGACAGATGCATGCAAAAAGAAATCGGTCTGAGATAGCTTCGTAAACAGTCCCAATTTAACAATTGATAAGTCTAAAAATACTCCTTTAAAGAGTATGAATTTTCCCAATAAAAAGTCCGAATATTTTTTCAAAGAGTCTGAATCTAAAGCGAAAATACTGTATGATCTCCCAAGCTTTTTTTCCGCTTTCCAACACTTTTTTTGAAAATTGCCTTTTTTGGAAAGTAACTGAAAACTTTGTAAAAATAATAACTATCGTAGACAAAGAAAGTCCACCAAAGTTTATACTACCACTCTCACCCATGTACGACTGAACATACAAGTCGTGCCACCAGGAGTATCGTACTCTATGAAAGCCAACTCATAGAACTCAACACTCTTTTTGAACAATATCGTAAACATTGTTTTGCTCAGCTTGTAACGCCTTTACGATCTACCACCGCAAGGGCTCAGACCCTACGTACCCTTCGCAACCAGTCTTTAAATGCAGTCAGTGTAACCGACAAGTTAAAGCTGCCAATATGCTACCCATCCTTCAGCATATTAAGAAGAGCCAACAGCCCGAAACCACCCAGACAACAGTCGAAACGATTGACGAGGATATCCCCACACACACTGAGGACTCCCCTGCCCCACCCCAGGACCCCCAACAACAAGTAGCGTACCTTACAAAATTGGTACAAGAATTGAGCCAAAAGCTACAAAAAGCTGAGCAGGAAATAGCATCACTCCGTAACCAACCAACCACCCAGCACTCTTCGCAACCACCTAGAGCGATGCCTCCACCACCCATTAACTCATACTTGCCACGCATGCCCCTTACTTCAACCCAACAACTACCTCCCTGGAGAGATCCAGCTCAAGTTGCGCTCCTAAGACGCAATCTAGAGATTCACCAACACCAAAAACGCGTACACCGTCAAGAAGTCGCCGCTCGTCATTTCCAGCCTCCTTCTTTAACTCAAGGATTCCAATACGTGTACATTCCGACAAAAGCACGTATACCCATCGGACAACTTCGCAGTAAACTTCGCACCTTAGGCATCAACAACAGCCGACTCCTCGATATTCATTACCCCGACCGCAATATTGTCGCAATCCTTGTCCACAATGACTATGCCGAAGAGTTCAAAGACCAACTTCGCAAATGTAAAATACACCTTACAGATAATTTTGATCCCACAGACGGTAAGTTACTGAAAGATCCCCAGTATGACTCCCTATCAGATGGCGAACGCCAGACCAAAGCAACAGAACTTCATCAACAACGACTCCATCGTGCTCTCACCTACATTCGCACTCCCGTTAGATATGCAGTAGCGAGATACTTCTTCCAACAAAATATGATATCCCAAGAAACCTATACGACCACCATGCCTGCCAAAAGCTCTACTCAAAACGATATTTTCATCACAGACAACGACGAACAAATGAATGAATACCCCTCGGATTTGGAATTCGAGGAGGACAATCAATAATGACTAGTATCTCTATGTCATTGTTTAAAGCAACAGGCCTACCTAAACAAGCAATCACACCTATTCTTAATTTAGCAGAAAAATCTCATATCTTACTTGTTACAGAAACGTGGCTCTTAACCCCCAATAGATACCCCACCCATTGGCAACAATATCATACTTATGGCGAACCCGTAGGAAAACTTACCGTGGACAAAACGGAATAGCCCTTTTAGTGAACCCAAACCACTCCTTACCAGTCCACCACATCACAACAAACCAACCATTATTAGCTAAGTAGACTTTATCATTCACAATGCACAAACTTCTTATCCACTGTTTATACCTCCCCCCATCACTACCCAACGACACAGTAGAAAGCATTCTTGAGCAAATACCAACCTCATTGCCAGGCACAACCACTACTATCATATGCGGTGATTTTAATGCGAGAATGGGCTCACTCACAGGTGATTCGACATTTACATACCGTGGCAAGCTGCTGCATGATTGGATTCAAATTAATCATCTAGTTAATTGGAACGCCCGACTGCAATATGGACAACCCACCTCAATCACTTACAATGGAAGGAGTATTATTGACTATTTCTTTAGTGATACTGAGCTACTCTCACCAACACTAACCATCCTGGACGACATGTCACTAGATTCAAACCATAAATTCATGACGCTTGACTTCAATACCGCTTCCACAATCCCAACTACCTTGCCCCCTCAGCGTAGGATATGGAATTTGAGCAAATTGAAAAACCCTCAGAAAATTGATTGCTATCGTCAAACTTTCAATGAAACACTAACTGCCTGCTCCCCGGATAGCCACACTGACCCGCAACATAGAACACGGGCCGTCGAAGAGATAGAACATTTGAACCAAGCGATGTGTGAAGCGATATATACCTCACTGGATACAGTCTGTGGCCGTATGACACAACCAAGAACAATCACGATGGAACATTTTTGGACAGAGGAGATGCAAAACACGTTTGACAAAAAAGAACACTACTATCGTAAATGGCGTAAAGCTGTTGGAGTTAATGCACTTCATTACTGGATCCTCCACCAAAAAACCCAAGCCAAACTTCGAAGATTAATACATCAACGCAAACGTGAAACCTGGCAACAATTCTGCTCAACCATGGAAAACAAGGAATTTACTAAAGCCATTGCACGGTTTAGCAAAATAAAAAAACGACGAAACTTAAAGCCTTCCTTTTCTAACATAGCAGGACCTCAAGAAGCAGCAAATAAGATGGCTACCCACATGGAAATGATATTTTCAGGACGAAATCTCCCAGAAGACCGAAGTCCATCCAACAACTCTCCACTCCAAGAGACAGCTCCCTACAGTCTGGAAAATTTCCCTATCGACAAAGATTTGATACAAACGGCCCTCACCTCGTTACCCACAAAGAAAGCTCCAGGTATTGATGACGTTCGCATTGAGATGCTCCGTCCCGTTGCAGATATTATTACGCCCCATCTATGGTATTCATTCCGCCTCTGCTGGTCCTATACACCGAAGACATGGCGAGTGGCACAATCAATCCCAATCTACAAGAAAGGTCCTCCGGACGACCCAGGCAACTACCGTCCAATCAGCCTGACTTCTGTATTTCGGAAGATCTTCGAATTTTGTCTTAAGGAATACCTTATCGGAAACGGCCCCACCATAGATATAGCCCAAGGAGGCTTTCGTATTGCACGTAGCTCCTTAGACCAAGCACTATGTCTGGCTGAAATATGCCATATATTACGACGACACCATCGCATCAACCCAGTACTAGCTTTTTTGGATATTAAATCTGCTTATGACACGGTGGACCGACAACATATTTGGAACATAATTCGCCATCACGTACCGACAGCTCTCCTTATGTTACTTAAGAGTCTCTTTGATGAAGTGGAAATAGAGATACTGCTACAAAATGCTAAGTCCTCACGTTTTTGCCCAGTTACTGGTGTGCTACAAGGCTCTATTCTGTCGCCATTACTGTATTCATACTACATCAATGACCTACCTACTCAACTACGAACCCAAGAAAGAGTGGATGATTTACCGCCATTGGAATTGGCTCGGAACATCAACTGTTTGTTACATGCGGACGATGTGGTTTTGATTGCCGAAGACTCCCAAATGCAATCCCTACTTCAAAAATGTGAACAGCATAGTTACTCCCGTGGTTACCGATGGAACCCTGACAAGTGTGTAATACTGGCTTCGTCTGATCAACCAACGATGGAATATCTCCTTTATGGATCCACACTACAAAGCAACAATTCCTTCCCATATCTGGGAGTTCCTTTCAAGCCCGGTGGTTACCTGGACACTCAAGAGCTCATACATATCAACACAACCAAAGCCCTGGCTACTATGAACACCTTATCGTCGATTGGAGTCAACCCTAACGGCTTTAATAAGCTACTATCTCTCAGGTTCTACGCTCATCTGGTCCGCCCTCAACTGGAATACGGATTGGCGATAAGCAAACTGAACAGGACAAATCATATGAAACTGGAAAACGTACAGAACAAATGCATTCGCAGGATATTTGGTGGGTCAATTCGATCCTCTGTCAATATAATGCGTCACTTAGCCAACTTACCCTCAATGCGAGAAAGAGCCTACACTCTCCAGGCTAAATTCCTGTTACGATCACAAACACTCCCAGATGATGCCCTACTGTCCCTACTGCTGCCATATGTACAACAACCAAATAGCTCTTCTATCTGGATTCAGCTATCTCGTACACCTCTCTGGCAAAGAACAAAGGAAAACGCCCAGACAATGGATCAGAAAAATCTTAAACAGTCCCTGAGAGACTTTCGTACAGAATCCTTACAAGCAATGCAAAGCGCCCCAACAAACTCTAAGCTCATCTCCGTCTGCCGCCGAACAGTAAGTTTAGATCCCATACTATGGCTTCCTATGACAAGAGAAGAAAGAAGTCGATGTCTTCGTTGGCGACTTGGTTGATTACCTAGTGGTAACACCACCTACTGCATCCGGCACCCTTCAGCATTGTTAACAAAGACAGACTCAATCCAATGCCTGCATATGCACTCGCGTTTGCAGCAACCACAGCAAATAGAAGATCCCCTTTCGTATCTTCTAAATCAGCTACCTAACCACCCGCCAAGACAACTTATGATAAAACGTCAATGGGAACACCTATGGCCGATCCTCTGCTACATACTATATGAGCTTGACTATCTATTCCACGTCAAAGAACCCCCACCCTTGGATGCTGCTCTAGGATCTTTACTGCTCCAATGGATGTCTCCCCATAATCACTCAACCTTGTGATAAACTCGTTTTTACCCTTGATCTTGAAGGGCTTTTTAGATACTTTATAAACAGTCGGATCTGCCCCGGGCAATTTTATATAACATTGTGCCCACTGGGTTTTAAAGAAAATATTTTGTCAATAAAAACCTCTCTTTAAACGTATGATCTCCCATACCCTATGGTACCAACTGTCAATGGCGAATCCAATCTGGAAGTGCAACCCGTCCATCAACGATAGCCGAACGCTACGACAGGCCATCGATGCATACCGTCAAGATAATCTCAATGCAGCACGCTCCGCGCCTCACTCGAAACTGATTAAATGCTGCCGTCCAACCATCTCTCTTGACCCTATTCTTTGGCTTCCCATGCCTTTTATTGAACGTAGTCGCTGCCTTAGATATAGGCTGGGCTGGCTTCCAAACAACTATTCCGCCCATTGCCTGCATCACCCATCACGCACTCTCACGAAAGACCATGCCATCGAATGCCTCAATATGCACAACCGTCTACAGCTGCCACACGACATCTCTGATCCCATTTCTCACCTGTTGAACCAGCTTCCAACCCGACCAATAAAACAGCGCGCCAATGCTCCCGTCAACTGGAGCATAGTCTGGCCAATTGTCCAACTGCTACTTTTTGAAGTCGATTACCTTCAACATGAGAAAATGCCTCCCACCCCGTCAGAAACATTAGGACAGCTTTTCCTAGATTGGCTCTATGCGCCCACAACCACCAATACTTGAGGATCCCATTATCTCCTAGTCTGCTTCAAGAACCACTGCCTTTTTTCCCCTTGCACCTTTAAGGGTTTTTTAATTCTTATTCCATTTTTTGTTCTGCCCAGGGCAATTTTGATATGTAGTTTATCTGTGTGCCCATTGGGTTTAAAAATATTTTGTCAATAAAATCTATTTTAATCGTATGATCTCCCATATTATAATTTTGTTCCGCTGCTAAAATGTCTCTGACCCACTGCTCTATCGGACGTTTGTCTTTTTTCCACCTATTCCGCTGAATGACCTTGTCATAATCATCAAGGACTTGTAAATGGTCCTGTTGTTATCAGCACCGCTAAGCGTCGATTTGATTTGGTCCATTTCCGTATCTTCAATGGTTGTCATCATTAAATTAACTTTTACTTTTCTGTTATATATTCTTCGTAAGGGCTACTAAATTTCAGCGCCCAGCTTCTTCACTTTATATGGGACCGATTACACGTTTAACACTGTATGTTTGAAGTCCAAATTCTTATTTGATATGTTATTTTTTTGTATACGTGATTCCGACCCTTATACTTCCTAGAAATATTATACGAAAAAAGTAATTGATATATCAAAAAAAAAAAAGGTTTGCTGTGGACTATATATAATAATTTAGAACTTGATGCTTAATGGTGGAGCATGCTACGGGATAGCAGCATATTTATTTACGACTTTGCATATGGCCTTTACGGCTTTTATATCTCTAAAAAGAGTCATAATGTCTGTTGTAGATTAGCGAAATTTGTTGTGGACTTTTTTTTTAATACACCGCTCAGGCACACTCCACCACAGTTGCTGTGGATTTCGTAACAAATGCTTTTTCGCCCTGCAGTAATTTTTTATTAATGTGGTATTTCCATACCTCCTATAATATATAAAGACGAATTAGACACACTTTCAAGCATTTGACTCGTTATTATGATCATAGAATTATAATAACACTTGTACACGTCATCTTGTATTTCTAAAGATGCGCATACATAATGCTGCATTCCTACTGGTTAAGAACGAGTATTTAGCTCCTTTTTTTTTTGTATCTCTTTCCTTTCCTTCTTTCTTTTGTTGTCAATACAAACATTCAGTTCGCTATGAACGCTTCCCTCTCTGATTTTCAGTGTATAATAAAAGGACTAAAGGAGACTCATTTCACCTTGCAGTTTCATATCAATTATAAGTCGCGTTCATTAAACATAAAACAACTACAAATATCACAATTAACTTACTCGTTTCATTGCTAATACTTGGTCAAATGAGACAAACTGCAAACTCTTCCTTTATAAACGTCCCACCAAGAAAAAAGCAGCGTATTCTTGCCGCTGATATTCAGTGGTGCGTCGATAATAAGGATACAATGACACTAAACTCTTTCGCGGAAAATTTCAGTTTATTAGACAAACAATATACAATTAGTCGATACACTTCAATTATCAACAGTCGCCATCTTGTACTGGAACGAGAACGTTTGCAAACAGAATTTGATAATTTAAAGAAATCTGAAGAATTTAAATTGTATTGGATAAAAAGGACGCGAAGAAGGACGCAGCTCGAAGTTGATACCAAATGCACGGAATACGTCTGTGACGCTGCTAAAAGAGCAACGAAAGCACTTTCCTCCTTTTCCACAACAAATGATACCACGATAACTGCCCCTCCAACTTCTATACCATCCACTTCATACCATGCAACCACCATTTCTACAGCAAACGATATCACGAAAACAACCGAGGTTGAATTCACTGTAGATATTAGTGATTTAGAAGCTGGCATAGCTACTGCTACCATAATAGAAGACGCTGAAAACCCGGTTCCACTAATTCCATGGATTTTCAAAGGTGTGAATGTGGCAGAGTTATTCACGAAATTCCAGAAAGCCGTTCAAAGAATATCGACTGACCGCTTATTCTTCATCGAATCATCCATGCACGAGCTTTTGGCCTTGTCCAACATCTTACTTTTGAGCCCTGACCAATACAGCCCGCTGTGCATCAATATTTTTACTCTAGACGTTCTTTCAGATCTTTACAAGGAACTGCTGACTGAATGTATTGACTTAAACCAGGATATGAATGATGATGCATGTATGAAATTAAGCCGAATAATCAACAATATGGAATGAAAGAGACTTTCAAAGGACGATGCTGAGATTGATCTTTTGATGCTTGGTAAGAGCCTGAACCCCTTTGAACGATCTTTGGTGTGGGGCATTAAAGCTGGGTAAGTCAATAAGGTTGACGTTGAAGTTGAGTAACAAAAAAGAAATGCTTAGTTGCTGATTTTACCAAAAATATGTGGAGAATACGATAGTGGCAAAAACGCTTTGTGATTTTGTTAAAAATTTAGCATCTTTTTAATAGAATGCGCAAACTGCCTCTGAAGCCCATCAAGACTAGGAAATCCTTAGGCGAATGTGAACTCTTTACTATGTATTTTGATCCCATTTTGTCTGCCATGTTTTCCAATTCCGACAAAAACGTCCTGTTGCGATGGTCGAACGTCGCAAGTGACGAAAGCGGGGAAAAGCGCCCTGATGCCACTATTTCTGAGATATACCAACATGATTTTGGACCAAGCCTTGGGTATGGCGAAGTTAAGGTGGCGCGTCCCACCACCGATAACTATGCTTTATGCCATGATCTCTTGCGTTTAGCGACATTAGCCAAGGATACAATTGATATAAACAAGCTACAGGCTGCTTTGACTTTTCAAATTAACGGATTTAAAATCATTTTTTACTTGTCACGCCTACGTCATGATGGAATGTATATCATGCAGGAAATTGGCCGGCTCACGTTTCCTTCATCATTGGAAGAATTAGCATCCTTTGTCAATTTGAAGAACATTCGTACCTTACCGATGGTAACTGAAGCATTTTGGCGTTTGTGCCAACCTGTAAATGATAAAGAATTGTGGAAAACGAAGTGTCGTCCGACTTACCCTACTATCTACTCTTTAATTGATGTCACCAAGGATCGACATCGCTTTTGTGCCCTGCAATTTGAATGATGAATGGCAGTGCCACTTTTTTTTTAGAAAAATAAAGTAAATACACCAATTATTGTAGTGCTAATCGCAAAGAAATATTGTAGTGGCGATCAGAAGGCATCTGACAAAAAGGAATAAAAAAAGAGGGGGTATGTACGAGCGAAAAGATCATTGATAATACTGTTTATTATCGAAAGCAATCTACGTTCAAATTCAATCGATGTAGAATGTCTTTTTTATGCTTCTCAAAAATGTTAGTAGGATTTCTTTCGTACTGTTTCACCCATCTTTGTGCCGTATGAACGTAGATTCCTAACTGCTTTGCACCAGCAAAAAGCGCGCAAACACTTCCTAAACAATAAATTAGAAAATTTCACAATCCTGATCCGTGTACAGCGGAAAATTACGCTTGATCGATGCTTCTGTCATCGCTACGTTGGTTTCAGCGTATAAGCTATCTTTTATATTTGTATGGTTTCCGTTTGATTAGTTCCTTTTCGACCCATATTGTACAAATACTGTGTAGAAGGAATCAATGCTTCAAGACGATATTGCTCCTTGTCAACAATATCATCCATGGGTTCGAGCCTGCCAAGCTCACCAACAACAGTTCCTTTTCCGTCATTGTACAAAAACTTTGAACACTCACTGTGATAAAGGTTCCGGTTTAATTGTGGTAAAAGAAGAAACTGCGATAGGAATAGTTCGGGTGCACTTTACATATCTCAGAAAGAAGCCAAGGATTATGCGCCATTTAATTTGTCATCAAGGCGACGTCTACTTATAAAAGTATATACATCAAGCGCAACGTCAATGAGCATAAAAGGGAGGCCTCTAAAAATTCTCAATGGGCGGTGAAATATGTGCCTTTATCGATATGACTTGGTTCGGTTAAATTATATATAACCGGATATGTAGTATTTTAATTCGAAGTATTAAGCAAAAGAAAAGAGAAAAGAAGATTAAAGTAATAGTAGTTTGGCTACCTTTGGAGATAGACTTTTTTGGTGGCGTTTTTCTTTTGCAATTGCTAATATCAATCTTTAACTCTTTAAACGAATGCTCTTCAAAATCTCGAAGTTCCATTGAGACAACATATTTTGCTGAAAACCGCACTCAAAATTGTATATGATGTTGCTCTATAACTAGGCGTGATCACGATAGCTGGTGTGCCCTTAGCAGACCCTCCTCCGGGAGGTCTCATATTGATATCAAAACCTGATTCGTCTACAAAATTGCAGTTTTCAAGGTAATAAATATCTGTTTTGCAATTTTGATTGAATTATTTCGAGGAGCCGGATGACGGGTGAATTTGAAAGGTTGAAGTCAGTTTTTGAAAAGTTTCTGACACATGTTTCCTTAAGCGTAAACCCCATGAATTTTCAGTAAGTGAAGCAATTGCGTCTACAACTCGGGCTTAAGGGTTACCATCATAAAGGTTAACTAAATAAATTTTGTGCCTCTCTTCAAGCTGTCCTGTTGATCTATTAACATTGTTGGTTTGCTTTTCAAAGATATTCCAGTCTTTGTACTCTTTGACATTTTTAGCCCACTTCTGTGCAGTCCTTACTGCAATACCACTAGCTGATCTACCAGAACAGTGAACAATTTTACCCTAATATAATAGACAAAGAGCAGTTTCTGTTCGTTGAAGTAGCTTTTATATGGCTTAATTTGCTGCTTCGTTTTAAGTACAATTTCTTCCAACTCAACATCTAAGCCTTCATCTGTCGACTTTTGCTCTGTTGCTTTTCTCAGTAGAGTTTGAGATGGGTTAGCGTTTCTAGGTAATAGGGGCCTACTTCTTCTTCTAATTCCATTGCATCGCGCCCCCTTTTGTCAATGATTCTTTCCTGTCCATCCTCATAAAGAAAGTATATACAGTCTGTCGTTTTTGAGGTACGATGGCAATATTAAATGAGTAAATCACTCAAAACGTCTAACGAAATGTAAAATAAAAATAAAACTTGATCTCAGGTATGAGTACTGCTCATATCTTCGTTCCCGTTTGGTAAGAGGTGTGTTCAATTGCATACATTTGAATCTTAGATCAAATGTATAACAAATAAAGATAAAATAAGAAAAGAATATGGATTAAGGATAGTTCTTATGTGAGATTAGTTACCTCACATAAGAACTGAACAGGTTATCTTTATGAAATATATTCCACTTGGTTTATCTATGGCTATATGATGTTTGGGTTTATAGCAGAATTGGTATATATACTCGTAGGACATATTGATTCAACAACCAGAACATAGTAGGTCGCGTTACTGCTCCCTGTTCCTGTTCCGGAAATAAAGTATGGTTGGAGATAAAAAAGGCTCAATCACTCTTTATTAATACAATAACTGTTCACGCAATCAAAAGAACACCACGCACGAATATCTCTTCCTAGCTAACATCCATAATCATTCCCACAGTATCTGAGCTACACAACTGGTGGCCGATAGATATTGGATTATAGATGTAGCTGCATGATCACCCTGGATCTACCAGGATAGCACATGACAAATCAATCCGCTCGGACAAGCCATCATCCACTTCAAGGAAAGACCTATTCTTTTACGGAAACCTCTGATTCACTGAGTATTATTTGACCATAATACATCAGTGTCAGCTATAGATCCCGATACAATCATTTCGTAGACAGCAAACACAATAAGTCTTTATTAATAGCAGTAATTTTAGTTTTCTTTTCTTTTTCTTTTGTTGTTTGTTTCTGAAAGAGAAATAAAGACGGTGGTTTGATTTCGTTAAGCTTTCGTGTTTATTTTCTCTTGTGTTATTCTTTACCTTTTATCTCATAGTTAAAACTAGCGAATACCACATGTACTTTACTGACAGCAATGCAATTATTACTAGTAGTTCTAGTAATCCATGGGGACTATTTGACGCTGTGATACTACCGTAAAACTTTTAGTAGCTTGAGGAATGGGCCTTTTACGAAAAACTGGAATCAATATTATCAGTGGTAATACAAGAATGAAGGAATAAAGTACGCTTGTGCACTTGGTGAGATTCTCACGTGCATAAAACCTCTCCATTTTTCCACTTCATTTGACTCATCAAATTGTTGCAGAAACGTTTAAGTTCTGACTCTGCATTCTAAATACAATATAATTACACCGTATTTTGGATGCAATTGTGGAAAAACTGGCAAAGCCTGGTTTTTCATCCTGATAGCATTTCAACGAATGTGAACCTTCAAAACTATGGTTCTGCAAAGACAGCAGAAGGAAGTCCCGCAAATAGGAGGCTTCTGCTTTGCTATGATATAATCTTGAAAGAGTCTGTGAAAAACCTATTATGACTGTCCGCTGGCGGAAAGTACATAAAGTGATCTTTATACTCTTTGATGATGTTTGCGGGCAAGGTTTCTTCATCTCCGAATTTTCCTGCCCTGACCATCGTAGGTATCGCCTCTTCAATTTTATATGTTTTTGACTCGAATATCATCCATTACACTCCATTGTCTGGATTTAATTTCTGTCATGCAACAAAAGTTATTTTTGACATGAAAGTCAAGCCACATTGTCTAAGCAAGTGAAGCATCCATTTTTCTATAAAAATAGTGTGTGATCAACTATTCGCACTTTTAACTGATTCTGTCAAACACGCGTAAAATACAGTAATTATGATGGAAGCATAAGCACAGAATTCATCAAGAAGAACTTGGAAAGCTTCAGTTATTTTGAGTTTTGTAAATCATTTCCCGAATTATTCAGAGACGAACAAGAATGCTTAAGAGTACTAAAAAGAATTCTTGAGTCGATTGCTATTGGAAAATCAAACTCGAGAATAATGAAGAGGAAAGTTAGAAAAATCTTGGGTGACTTTGAAATATATTTTACTTTGGTAATATTGCACATGTACAGCATATAATTAAACACTCATTATATAGAATCTGGTCAAAGACAAAGATGTCAATGCGCTTCTTTTACGAAAAAAATTCAGAATAGCAGCAACTGAAAAGCCATAAGAGAAAACATCCACATCCAAAATGTTGGATCAAAGTCTTTTAAAGGTATAATATACTCTATAAGATAACACCTATCTTATTGGTTCTTTTAATAGATATGGACGATGATACTTCTGATTCTGCATATACGGGAAGGGAGAGTACTCTTAGCACAGACTCAACACCACGGCGAAAACATTATGCAAAAAAAAAAAAAACAAAAAAAAAACATAATTGTTCAGAAATCTTGAGCAATCTACAGTGGTAGAAAGCGCAGATTATAGACACGCTATTTTTATTTTATTTTTGTATAATTGTTCAGAAATCTTCATTATAAACTAATTTAGAAGCAAAATGAGTAAAAGTAGAAAATTATTTCATCCGCCCTTTTATTTAAAAAAACGCCCTTTGGCGTTGGAACGACCATTAAAAGTTAGTTAGAAAAGAAAACCGCCCTTTGAGACTGAATATGCACCATTGGTGTTGCGCTTACTGTATGAGCTTAATGATATCTTTAAGCTCTAACCAAGAAATGGGATACACTGAAAACATTCTTGATTGGCTGGCCAAAAACTTGAATCACAAGAAATCTTCGATTGGCTAATAAAAACCCTGAATCTCAAAATCATGAGCAAATCACTGTATCTGTACCCGTCCAAAACAGTTAGCGTCTTTCATGTGAAGTACTCACCCAGTAGCTCCCCCTTTTTGGACAGTACGACCAATTAATCAGTTCCCACTATAAATACTGATTTACGAACATATTGTATAGACCATATCTTTCGCTCTCTTTTTTTTCTTCCTTTCATTCTGAATAATATTTATTAACATTTGCATACCTCTTGCGTACTCAATGTCTAAAAAATACACAATTCTAGATGTTGCTAAACATCAGCAAGCAAATGACTGGTATAGATAAGCCTTTAATCATATTACGCACTTGATAGCGCAATGTTATCTAATGCGATTGAGTTATAAGCCTTCGCGCGATAATTAACTAAACGCTGCTTTGCGTAATTTGTGTAGCTGGATCATTCTTCACGACAAAATTTATGATATTTCTCAGTTTCTTGATGATCATCCTGGTGGTAAAAAAGTTCTTCTAAAGGCAGCAGGCACAGATGCTTCCAAACAATTTGATGCTTTTCATAGTCCTGCGGTCTTGTCCAAAATAGCTGCTAAATACTTGATCGGTGAAGTAGGTCCTAGCGAATCAAGTGACATTGTTGAGACAGATGAAATTGAAGACCAGAATCCTCTTCGTGTGGGAGATGCCTACGGTGATATGGTACCTTTCGGTGATCCTATGTGGTATCAAGATTGGTACAGTCCATACTATGGAGACTCTCATCGTGCTGTTCGAAAAGCTGTTCGTCAGTTCGTGGAGACAGAAATTATGCCTTATACCCATGAATGGGATGAAGCGAAAGCATTACCTCGTGAACTTTATGAAAAGGCTGCTAAGGCTGGTATTCTTGCTGCCGTTATTGGGCATGTTGAGTCTGAATATATTCCGTATGGTTTACCAGCCGGTGTCAGGCCAGAAGAATTCGACACATTCCACCATATGATTGTTGCTGATGAATTGTCTCGCTGTGCTTCAGGCGGTGTAAGTCCTAATAGTGGATTACCATATAGATTTGTAACAAAGTATTGAGCATATAAATTTTTAAATTCTAACGGTTAGGTAACATGGGGTCTCATTGGCGGCCTGAGTATCGGCCTTCCGCCTGTAGTTCATTTTGGCTCAAAATATTTAAAGGATAAAGTCGTGAAGGATTGCTTAGCTGGTACAAAAAATATTTGTTTGGCCATTACTGAACCATCTGGCGGTTCTGATGTAGCCGGACTTCAAACGGAGGCAAAAGATATGGGTGACCATTACTTGGTGAACGGTGAAAAAAAGTGGATCACAAATGGTACCTTTGCAGATTACTTTTGTGTTGCTTGCAGAACAGGCGAGCCAGGATTCAATGGCATATCATTCCTTTTGATTGAACGTGATACGCCTGGGGTTGGTAAGTGACATACCAAAAAGGAACCACTTACCTCTGGGTTAGAGGAAAATTTGAACCGTACTTTAAATGTATTCATACTGTCGTTAACAGCTACGAAGCAAATGAAATGCAGCGGTGTTTGGCCATCCGGAACTGCGTACATAACATTTGAAGATGTTCGAGTACCAAAAGAAAACCTGATCGGTAAAGAAAACAAAGGCTTCAAGTATATCATGTACAACTTCAATAATGAGAGAATGGGCATTGTCATCCAAGCCAATCGATTTGCTCGCGTTTGTGTTGAAGAATCACTTAAGGTAAGCCTGGTCAGACTTGCTATTCCAGAAACGGATAGAAAGGGAGAGAGCGAAGAAATGAATCAGTTACTAATAAACACAATTCTTTTCACTAGTATGCCAATAAAAGAGTAACCTTCGGAAAGAAATTGATTGACCATCCCGTTATTCGCAATAAGCTGGCTCATATGATCAGACAGGTCGAAGCAACCCATGCATGGATGGAAAGCCTAGCTTATCAAAGTCAGCAAATGCCACAAGACATACAGCCGATCAGATTAGTAAGTTTCTAAACGGATACAAAATATTTCGCGTGCTTGTGAATCTAATACGATTATGTTTAGGGTGGCCCCATTGCTTTATGTAAAGCCCAAGCTACACAAACATTTGAATACTGCGCGCGAGAAGCAGCGCAGATTTTTGGTGGTCTGTCATATACTCGTGGCGGCCAAGGTGAAAAGGTAGAGCGTTTATATCGGGAGGTTCGTGCATTTGCTATTCCAGGAGGCTCAGAAGGTAAAAGATTGAAAAATCACTCTAACAGATGAGACTGTATAACTCATACGTCGTGTTCCTATCAATGAAAACAATGTAGAAATCATGCTCGATCTAGGTGTGCGCCAAGCAATAAAAGTTGGTGCCTTCATGGGCGCAAAAATGTAAAACTCACTTGAGCGACTTAATGAAATAAAAAACTGAAATTATACTTACCGGAATCCACAATGTTAATCAGAAAAAGTTCCCTTAATGAAGTAACTTTCTCTTTCAATTTTATTCTTTCATCATTAAGATTTATTAATGATGGCTTTGTCCTTGCAACGCTTATAAGTGGGTGGTATAATTAATTTAAGTATACTTGATAACGATACTTTATAGCTACTTCTTTTGACAAACCCTTTTTTTGGATCGCATAAATTGCATGAACACGTAAGCCACAACCATGTAATATTTATGTATCAACGCTTAGAATTTGGCTTTTATTCGAAAGATAACTGAAGTTGCTGGCAAGGATCTTTAGGCAATCCACATACTAACATAAATTAGGTCATGATATATAGAGGATGGTAGCCTCAAAAAAGGGAAAATACGATTAGCCAGACTAACTACGAAGGTTTCCTTAAGTACTTTACCCATCGTGTAAAGCCACTAGCGAACTGACAACAATTGTCTTTTGTGTCGCAAATGACCACCGAAGGATTCGAGTATGACTTATTTTGCGTAGCAATTGCTACAAACCTACTAAATCCTGTATGAATACAAACATGCAAGCTTATCTTGACATTACAAAGAAAAAAAAAATTGTTACTCTTTTCCGCCTGTCTTATTATTCATGGTTATAGCCTTGTAATAATATCAAAGGGCTGTTGTTGGTATCATCAGCTCGGTGTATTACTAACGTTATACACATCTCTCAAATGTATCGGTCAACATCATGTATGAGGGGTTATTCTAGAATAATTTCAAGCATAAGAATCGATGAATTGCCTTATAAGAGTGTGCTATAACGCCACTTTGTTGTATTTCCCAAGGAATCTATGTTTTCAGTATATTGATGCATGCGTGCGTGCAAATAATCAGCAGAAGACACTTGAGTATAACGGGACATAGGACTGTGAAAATGGAAAGTATACGTAATATTGGTTACAAGCAGTAAACTAACTAGTCCTCTTTTATTTCCTAGCGAAAAAAGTCCATTGGAAATAATTACTAAATAACACAGTAAACATGAATTTAAAAATTTTGGTCAAAACCCTTGATAGCCTATCGAACAGCTATCTTTGAAAATGTACATACAGCAATGTTAATGGAAACTATTTATGGAAAAGGCACTCTAAGCTGTACATGCAAATGGAATTTTTGACTTATAGGGATATCTAATCAGCAATTTCGCCTTCCTCGATCTCACCTTCTTCTAAAGTTGGCACTGTAGACATAAATGTAACTGAAGGCGTAGGTTGCAATTTTTCCCCTGAATCCTTCATATTACCATTTTCGTGATTCTTCTCGTCCTTTTCAATTGTATTTTGTTCTAGGCTCTTGTCGAATGGTGGAGATGTTGGAACAGAAGATAGCATAGATTTAACAGATTTGACTTCACCTTCCTCATCCTCACTTTCCGTTGTCTTTGCTTGATTTTTTGAGCCGCTAGTGTTCGTAATGACATTAGTATTTGGATTACTGTCTTGTTTTGCTTCAGTTATACTTGAAGCTGTAGTTAATCTATCGGATGACAATGTATTAGCAACGGGTACTTCAGAGTTTTCTGCCGTTACTGGTACCGCTGCTATTGAAGAAGTAGACAAGTACTGTTGTGTTTCTGTTGGCATAGGAATATTAGTATCAAACGAATAACTTGCTACAACATTATCTTCCACCGCTGGTGGTGTCGGCAGTGTGGATTGCTGTTCGGTGATTGCTTCTGTCATCAAAACGTCCTCATCTACGGCAGGTTGATGTTGTAAAGCCATTGGTGCTGATATTACTCTGTCGCTACTATCTGTAAGCATATAATCATTCTGTTGTTGCTGTTGATCCGTCTGTTCTTCCAAGACTTTAGCAATTTCATCCTCCTCCTCTTTTGATAAATTATGCTGCTGATGTGTTGGCAATGGTGATGAGGTATTACTACCTTTACTATTGCTATGATTGGTATATTTTCCATCTTCATCATAATTTCTATCTAGGCGGCTTTTTTTGGCCCTCGATTCACCTTCATGTTGTGATTCACCTTCATCCGAATCGTAAAATTCATTATCCGGGACTATACGACGATCCCAAAAATTCTCTAAGGAACAATAACGCTACAATTAACAAAGATATCCTTATAATTGCTTTACTGCTTTAATTCAGTCAGCTTACGCGAAATTCGTTCATCTGGATCTTCATCATCTTCGTCGTCGGACATATCATGGTCTCTCGGAACCTCTGCAACAAGAACAATTTTAACAATTAAGGAGCTGTCTATAATCTGACAATGACTAATATATCTTCATACCTTGCATTTGTACACCAGGAGCAAACAATGTTCTAGAGAGATTTTGGAAGACTTGTGTTCTACAAATTTGCAGTAAGTAATGTGGTTCTTGGTGAGTATCAAATGAATCATTTAAGATTTACTTGATTTTTTCTAAATAATCGGGAGTATTCATATTTTCCATATTGCTTGGTCGAACATCCAACTTATAATCAGGACCGTAATATTCATAATAGTCGTTATAAGGCATATCTGGTCCTACTTCCTGTCCAACAACCACGCCTGTTTCATATGCCCAAGCTCTAGCTACATTTCTCATCGTGTAGCCTCCACCTCCAAGCACCAATGTCGGCAAGTTGAATTTCTTTACAAATCGAACACAGTTAGCATGTCCTTTCATAGATAAGTTAAAGCAACCTAGTTTATCGCCGCTGAGTGAGTCTCCGCCACATTGTAAAACCACAGCTGCTGGTCTGTACCATTCCATGACTTTTTCAATTACAGGTTCAAAGACTGAACGGTAACTATTATCGTCAATGCCGTCTCTGAGAGGTACGTTGACGCTATAATATTTCCCCTTCTGTACACCTACGTCCTTTAGTTCGCCGGTTCCAGGGAAGAATTCCCCATATTTATGAAAACTCACTGTCATGACGCGGTCAGTAGTGTAAAATGCTTCTTCTACGCCGTCACCGTGATGGACATCGATATCAATATAGAGGACGCGAGCATAGTACCTCAAAAGCTCCAAGATTCCCAAAACAATGTCATTGACATAACAAAATCCGGAGGCTTCTGATTTCTTAGCGTGGTGTAGTCCACCGGCCCAATTGATAGCTATGTCGCATAATCCACGATTTAATCTAGCTGCTCCCTCTGCAACAACAAAATTGTACGTCAATTAGTGTTGTGCGTCGTATGTACAAACGGTCGAATGTATTTACCCATAGATCCACCAGCACTGAGTCCACAATATTCAAATAAACCTTCAAAAATTGGAGAATCATCTCCTACATTAACTACATACAGAAAAAGGAGTGTCATATACTCTCAGTATCATAATGCGTCCTTGTTCTTTTGTCCAAAAGTATATTTACACTTCGCTTGCTCTTTTTGATATTGATCCATATTTTCAGGAGTAACTCGCGATAAGAACTCAATATAGTCATCAGTATGAAACTGTGTCATTTCCCATTTATTTGCTGGTTTCGCTCGCTAAGATTATAGATAAAAAGATTTCAAAAGCATCAGTTTTGACATTGTATTCTTCAAAGTGCATTTTGATCCAGCTTTACGTATATCTCCATTTTTTTGTACAGCCCATAATTCATCACTAAGCCGTGACACATTCTTATACGATGAGGTCGCATAGGGTGACCGGGACCATAGTGATAGTTGCCAACATTGGCTGAAAATGGGTTGCAAATTTATATTATTAGTTGCAGTTTTTGTTTTACAGTCTTTAAAATGTCTGCATGAGTACCATCGTAGAAATAACAGACTCGTTTTTTGCTGTCGGACGACATTGTTTCTAATCGTAATAAGAATGAAAGAGGGAATTGATTTCTGAAATTTTCAGTGAAAAGTAGTTTCTTTCTGAGCTTCAAAATCATCTAAGCGGTAGGAGAGAATTTATAAACGTTACCACAACACTCTGACGTTTGTCCCATAAGCCTTGAGTATCAAGCTTTAAGTATTCAAGATATAGTTAGCGAAAAACCGCGGAAAAATGCGTGGAGGTCAGCAATACTGAGTTATGAATTTCTCACCGATCAATAGACTATTATTGTTGTTGTTGGTAAGCCCAACAATAAGCTTACAAAAATTCCGGAGAATATAGACAGCTGTCAATCGTTATTGCTGCATTTAAAGCTGTTAACTGAATATTATTATTCATGAACAACAATAATACAGTGCGTCAATGCTTCGTTCGTAGTTAATGAGGTTTACTTTTTCCTTCCAGCTCTTTTAATATGCATAAGATACTGTATCTGTAAGAGCATATTTCGTCGTCTTGATAATACACTGCTACTCTTCAAGAGCCATACATTATACGGTCATGCTGATTATCTCAAAAAAAAGTGCATTAACCAATTAGAGCAAATACATATAACTGCAAACATATGATCTCAAGGACAATGTGCATATCATATTATTGACCTTGATGTATTGTTCAACTTTCCTAGAGCTATGCCATTCAACTGTAGATCTCGTGCCTATCAAGGAGAAGCAATAAATATTAAGCAACAACAATGCTGGCAAAATTAGAGAGTCTGACATGATGAGAAGGAACATTAAAAAAGGAATAGGAACCAGGCTCAGTAAGGAACGAGCTTTGTCGTCTACCGTATCGCGGACATATTCATAAACATAGGGCTTTTTTTTTTAAAGAAATGTCAGATGCAACATTGAAAATGAATTGGGAGGAAAGTCGAGTTTGAATAATGTTGTATAATTTTCCGTTCAGCCTCATTTGAAGAGACACTGATTAACCCTCAGCTTCACAATATAGTATTCGATTGAGTGTTTACTCTCATTGTTATCACAAAATTTGAAAACTTGTAAGACGAATAACTCTCTAACTCGTCCATTATCATTACTATGCATTTCCCTCTCAAAGCAAACACTGGCATTTCTCTTCTCTTATTGGAAAAGTAGGAACAAGATTTAAAATGGAAGCTTCAACCATGCTTGGACATACATTATTAGTACCGGTTTAGTACCGTTCGTCGTCTTTGGCGTCAGATTAAAGTAAAAACGGATCATGTGAACAAGCGAACACCAGGAGTAACTGAATGCTTAGATCAGTAGTTGATGCAGTGTCAGCGATTTAATGATACTGTGTTAAGGCTTGATAAACCTTTTGAAAAACTGAAAGAAAGCCAAAGACTTGTCAAACCGTATTTATGCGTATTCATTAGCAATACTCGAATAAATACGTTATAACATGAAGTATTAATATGAATTATGCGACAGTCGTGTCGATAGCAAAAACGGTGAGTTTTGTTGTATTCAAATTGTATTTTATGAAATAGAAGCTAGAATGCCTGTAACAAACGCTCAAGATAATTTGTTAGGCCGAAATATACAATAGATGTCACCATCGCTAAATGGATACTTCCAGTTCCTCGAAGAATCAGGCTACTTGATAGTTTGTCTGCAGTAAGTAAGCAGATCCTTTCGATCAGATTGAGAAGCTTACCAGCATTACTATTTATCGCACATATTCCTTTGAGAGACAATCAGTAAATGGAACTGATTTACTGCAATGAACGTGTTTATTCACGACGATACTTATACACTGAGTTTGTCTACTTCTACTGACGTGATGTGCACTCTAAACTGCTCTTTTCACCTCGAAAAACCGCTTAAGATAATATACTTGCCAGAGACATACGAAACTTAATAACACCAGCTGACCTATAGACCACCATTTTACGCGAGCGTTTGTACTTTCGGCAGCTGAAAAAAGTTCGAAGTTGTTATTCTCATCTTGTATACTTTTACGAACTAGTCATTATAGTATAATATTGATACTTTACTATCTCTATGTTGACGTTCTCGAACGACAATATATTCTTGCTGTGCTTTTATTGCGAAAATACTTTCGGCCAATTCTGCAATTTCTCTTTCCAATGGATCAGTATGCTCTTTTGTGGAAAATCATTTGATTAAGCAAACTATTTTCCATTTTTGCTATTTTTTATGTATTCGAGGATGTACCTTTGATATTGTCGTGAATCTTTTGGATATTTTCATGCAGATTGAACCCTACTTTCTTGGAATGGCCGGAGAATTCATTACCAAAACAATAGCGATATTTACCATCCATATTTGCTTGCAATGAATGAGTATTGGAAGACGTTCGTGTAGTGGAAACCACAATAGCGTCGGTAGGATCATGTATCTATTTAGAAATGGTACGTGTAATTGATATTTTTTGCATTCGCAACATGTACGCCTATGCAAAGGTTTGTAATTCTCATTACCCAAAAGTCAATATCTAGATTTCCTCCTTCACCAACCTGTGTAGTACATAGGTTAGAGATGATCAGTCTACGCATTTCTTCTACTTTTCTAATTAACAAGTTTCTAGTATTTCACCTGATAAGAGACTGTCAACTTTTCGCCTTCAGTCAGTTTTTCGAAGTAGCAATCAGCAGTCTTTGGCCCAATGACAACTGACATAGATTGAACAAGATGGATTATGGAGAGCAGCACCACAGCAAAAGTGATTATGAACAGCTGATGAGCCCTCATTTTGTGAGTATGGAAAAATGAATAACGGAAAAGGGAAGAACAACTAAAATAAAGTTGTAAAAGATATTACAGTCAGTACAATGGTGTAACAACAAAGTTTCAATGATAGAAGTCGGTTGGAAGGCACTGAAGCCACATTATCCTCAAGGACTGTAGCAGTTCATGTCAATGCTCGTCTATTAAGCTATTTAGCAAAACTTCATCAGCCGTTTAGCTAGAACGTGAGAATTGTCTTACTCCCATTTTCTGCCTGACAAGTGAAGTAGCCTAATTTATACAAGTATCTGCACCTTGAGAATCATTTGAGACTCATAAGTCACTTTAGATATCTTTCGTTTGACTCTCCACAGATCACAGTAAAATAGGTACAGTACATCGTATCTTTTATTTTCGAGACATATTTTCGAACAGAAAAGGCGTTCGGAAAAGAGGTAAAGCTACACTCAAGCAACAAACTGATGTAAGAAGGTGCTGTGTTTTTATTTGATTGAGGGTCAAATTGAGAAAATGTTCGTTCCGGAGAGCAACGTAGGAATGCCCGAGAGAGCAATAGCCTAAGCAGAAACCGTATCCCTGCTATGTTCAGCCTTCATATTCAGAACGGAGATGCAGTAGGGGTCAATACAAAGAAATGAACCTCTATGGTTCATTTTTCTTTTCGGTTGTTTTTTTCTACAACTGCGACGGCTGAAAGACATTGCTGCAGTAGACACCAATCTGACTGGGATTAAACTCGTTAGTAAGGCATAATGTATTCTTGGCCTCCATGGATCACCATAGCGTAAATGACCTTTAAGAGGTGAGGCGATTCCGTATCCTCTGTCATCTACAGATATTGTGGGGATGATTATAGATGTTAGCTAAGAAGAGATATTCGTGCGTGGTGTCGTTTGATTGCGTGAACAGTTGCTGTGTTAATAAGAGTAATTGAGCCTTTTTATCTCCAACCATACCTTATTTCCAGGACATGGAGCAGTACCGTGGCCTACTATTTTTGTTAGTCGAATCAATATATCCTACGAGTACATACAGTGACTCACAAAAATGGCTCATTGTCTGTGCATTTTGCAATTTCTTCACTATAACCAGACACTAAGTATATTAGCTTGATTTTAGAAGGATAAAGAGCAATACTACAAGTATTATTGGTATAAGTTCTTTGACATCGCAACAATTCATCTGCCTTTACGACTAAGGATTGTTGCAATGCCGACAATTGGGCATTTTGCATAAATTCAGGAATCTCTAACGATCGTCCGAAAAACAAAAGAAAAAATGGATTTTGAGGATCAGGCATTTTCGCGTATTGTATCTTTCGCATTAAATAAGCATATTTCACCCCTTCCCCCGCCCCCCTAAACTTCCCATTATAACTGTCATGAAAATCCATCGATTACCGTTACCCCACATTTCAACCATATTAACACTGATTCAATATGAGACCGATCCTTACGACATGAAAATGGATATTATTTCCAGACCGAATGGAAACGATTCCCACAGAAATACTGCAAAGTCACTGGGCGTTTCGCATGCAACAGTAAGTTGCTAGCGATCTGGCATGTGTATCTCATGGTGTAAAGTGCAGTGACTGTTGTATTTGCTTATTATAAAAATTGGTTACTGTTATAAGTCGATGACTATGAACTTAGGTGTCTTTATTGTTCTTCAAATGAAGTAGAAGGATTATTTACTCTGTGAGGTTTAATGGGAATTATATTACTTTGAGGACGCGTATTGAAGCAAAACCCCCCCCCCCCCATTCAAACAGCGTTCCATTGAACGGCTATAAAGCCTCACGCGAACCGTCTTAAGTCCTCCTTTTCTTATCGTTAAGGATTACTTATTGTACGGTTTGCAGGTAATTGATATTACATTATTACATTTTTTATATTTTACAATAAAACATCGTTAAGGATTACTTACTGTACGGTTTGCAGTGGTCAAAGAAGACATTGGCAATATTATTTTTTTTAGTAAGAGAGTTTTTTTCAAGCTCCAATGTTTTACTTAAAGTCCTTAAATGTAAGAAAGGGAAGTAAAGACTGTGGTGGGTATATATACAAAGAGGATCGGAAAGAATAAAAGAAAACACCGATTAACTGAGAGCAGTGTACTATTCATGGTAGCAAAAAAAAGATATATGAGAGTCATGCTAGCATGAAATTTGCGTGGTAGAATGCATGATGCTCGCAAATTCATCACGCATTTTGCGTGCCGCCACAAAGTAAAGCTGGTATAGCCGATGCTACCACGCAGGTTGCGTGCTGCCATGAATAGAGCAAGGACGGAGGACTTTAAACATCTGAGATTTCCACTCATATTCTACCAACTCTCATAAATCAAGTACAATTTTACAATTTTGAATAAGTTAAAACAAAAAAGAAAGTAGAAAGAGTCTCTTATATGTAGACTGGTAATGTATATGTTAGAATTTCCTAGACAAGAAAGTGGTATGGACGACAATGCATAATAAGCAAGTGCAGAGTATTGTTGTTTTAAATAGAAGCATCGATGAAGAATAACGATAGCCAAAGATAATGTCCTTTTTCTTCTGCTTGGTGCTCCCTTACCAATTTCACCAATTTCAGCCTTTTGAGCAATAAACAAAGCTTTACTGATATATCGCTGTGCAACCATTCGGGCTGTTGTTTTCAATTATTTGAGGGCTTCCTTCTTTCACCTTTTTCTTTTTACAAGGGCTTTTAAAAGCTAACGAAATACTGTTACTACATCTCAATTTCTTTTCATAATCTGCTCATTTGGCCACATCACCGACAAGATGCACATTGAATCATGACATCTGAGTAATTAAGGCACGCTCATCTTTGCCGTTACATTGCTGCTTATAGTTTAGCTTGTTTATTTACCAGGATTGCAAAGTCGTATGAAGAAAGTGAAGCAAACGATGTCAAATACGCATAATGCCGATTACTTCTCATTTAGCACTGCGAACGACAACTAAATAACCTTTCCAAACAGGTATTTTATTTTTGGCCCAGAAAAAAATAACTCTTCGTTTTATTTTTACAACTCATGGTCAGCAGACATTATATGTTTATACCATATCTTCAATTGACACTTTTTTTCTACAGAACTCAAGCTTGTGGCCTTTGATCAAACCCTTTCTTCAACTGTTTCATGTCTTCCGCTGGGCCAATACCAACGCTCTCAAATACAGTTGCAGCCTACCATTGCAAAAAAAGAAAAATACAGTTGTTTATGGTTGCAAATAATCTGTTTTGCCCCTATCAGGTAATCATACAACATTATTTTTTACTTCATAACCTTATAGCACCAACTTATTCATTTGTTTTACTTCTTTTTTCTGCAATAATTAAGAGTAGTAGACTGTAAGAATATCAATGATACCCAGTTGTCAGGTAAAAATTGTCACTGTCATTCATACTGGACCTTCGTCGTCAATCGAATGATCCACACGCTTACTTGTAGGAGTACTTTATTTTGCTGTAGGAGTGTATGTAAGGACAATATCTGAACAAGCAGACCAGCTACTTCTTTGCAACTATGGGAATTTGCAATCTTCAGCAACTTATTAACGCTCATATTTCAAGCAATAATACCGTATAAATTGCGCTATTACACCCTAAACACATACTGTAGCTCAATTGATTTCTCAACCTACTGTTTAATTCAGCAACTTTCAAAATAGCAAAGAGCTCGTCATTACTATTTTTTTTTCTATCAACAAGGCAGAGTAGCCTACAGTATAAGTAATCAATAAATAAACCTGAAATAAAACTATAGCATGATTTTCTGGCTGAACAAGAAGCAGCAGCCGCTCATGTAAATAGTGTACTAGGCTAACAATTGTAAGGAAATAATAAAAAGAGTACTGCCATGTTTGATGCTTTCTACGATGAAAATTGCGCGGTAGCATGTTTAAGGCGTCTTACCATGCAAAATGCGTGCTGCCATTTTTAAGTCGATTTAGCATGCACTATTCATGGTAGCATGCTAGCATGCTATTTTCAACGCAATTTGCGTGCTACCATGTTTAATGCACGGTGAAAATGTAAACGGTGAATTTACAGAATAAATGAGTCAATATCAAAACTAAATACTTCCGAATCCAGTTTCAATTCAGCATCCAAACGTGCAAAGGAGCGAACAATGCGAAGTTGAACGGTGTTGTATCCAACATCATATTACGCGTAGAATATTACATAATGCTAAATAAGAGACTACAGATCCTTGTAATGATTGGTTTAATCTTGGGTGATAGCTTTGTCAGAACAATTCTTATCGAGGCAAAATATGACAATAAGTTCGTTACACAAGATCTAAATCCTGTTACTTGGCTTCTATACTTTTTTAGGAAACTGAATTTTTTCTTAATAAATAAAAGTTAATAAACATATGTTCATAGAGCCATTAAGAAACTTAAAAAAAATATTTGATGATGAAAAACTAGCAATCGATTATCTATTAGATAACAATTTTATCGATAAACATGAAATATGCAAGATATGTGGTAAAGAAACCAGACTTAATTATAAAAGGAAGTTGTATATATGCAAAAATTACAAATGTGAAAAGGCCATATCCCCATTTCATGGAACCATATTTAGTAAAATGAAATTGCCTATCAATCTACAATTAAATATATTATATGAATTTTTAAAGAAATCCTCTGGATCAAGTATTTCGTCAAGTTTAGAGGTTGATAAAAATACAGTTTCAAAATATAAAAAACTTTTTAGAACATATTTAAAGAATAAAATGCTTATTACACCGGAAAAGAAAATCGGTGGGAAAGATACAATTGTAGAAATTGACGAAACTAAGATCGGAAAAAGAAAATATAATAGAGGACATAGAGTGGAAGGTGTTTGGGTTATAGGTGGTATCGAAAGAACTAGTGTAAAAGGTGGAAGTAAGAGAAACTTTTTGTGTCCAATTATAAAAAGAGATGCTGAAAGTATAGAAAAAATTATAACAAAATATGTAAAGAAAGGTACAACTATTTATACTGATTTATGGAAAGGATATGGTAATTTAAAAAATATGGGCTATAGACATGGTACCGTCAATCATTCTAAATATTTTAAGGACCCTATTACAAAAGTACATACTAACAATATCGAGAGTTTATGGAATGTAGTAAAACAAGGAATTCCTATAAGAAACAGAAATAAAAAATATATATTTCTTCATTGAAAAGAATACCAATGGAGAAAACAATATAGAAAGTCAAATATATGGTTAGAATTCTTAAAAGATTAAATTATCAAAAAAATTGAATTTTGGATATAATTAAAAAAGTTGCTCCTAAGGATTAAACGAAATGCATTTTAAAAATGCAACATTCTTTAATGAGGACCTAGTTATGTCAGTAAACTAACTTATTTAATACACGACGACAATGATATAATATGTCATACAGATACTAAAGTGTATTGAATAGATGATCATAATGAAAATATAAAAAAAAGAAAACATGAAACTGAAAAAAAGATATATAAAAAAAAATGGACGAGATATACGATATAATTATAAACGATAAATATAAATATAACATAAAACGAAGTATATTTATTAAAGATATGAAGAAATATGATTTATCAGAATATAGAATAAAACAAAAAAATGGGCATTATGAAGTATATATGAAAAAAAATGGTTCAAATAAAAGATTGAAAAAAGTTTATGAATTTGATACATATAATAAAGATAAGAATAACAGTAAAAATAAAAAAAGAAAAGAAATAGTAAATAAAGATGATAAAGACAATATCATAGTTAATGAGATAATGCCCATGATGAAAAAACTAAGAATATAAATATTATATCAAATTTACTAATATATGAATTACTTTTTATTGAACTATGATGTAACACAAATATTAAATGTCCAGGATACTCTGTGTCACGAATGGATCCTCATAATTACCCCTTATCGATCCCGGAGGAGGACATCATCTGTATGTACATCCGAGACAACATCATACAAGTAATTGGCTTGATTTAGAAATAAGTTAATATAGTATGTGGTATTTGACGACTTGAGAGTTAAATATCACTTAATTAAAAACAGTAAAAAGTTAACGAGATCAAACTAGTAGGTTTTTATTTTGAATCAAGTTAAGTTCAAAGAGAAGAAAAATATCTACTGCAAAAATTTAAATATCTTTTTCATATTGCGGAACGTAGAAACTGACAGCTGAGTTATTCTACTCAAAGAAGACGTATGTCTTCTGAACCGTAAAAGAATAGAATTCTCCTTTGAGGAGATTACGCATCTACCCGGAGCGGGTGGACTTGTAAAGGTATCCATGGCTTGATCTAGTGATCATGCAACTAACCTATTCTCCCGTGCTAACCATTATGTAGCACTGCTTGCAGGAAAATAGTATTAATTAGGAAAATGGTATTCGTGCGTGGTGTTTGAGTTGAGTGAACAGTTATTGTAAAGGATGATCACAAACTATTATCTTGGTGATCATTCTTTATGCCGAAGGCAGAGAATAGTACTTATGTAAACTATAATTTCAACATTTATCAGTTAAAAGAAATTGAAGGCAAAGTGTATGCGTCTGGGGTACACACTGATCGACTGGTAAAAGCCCAATACAATGGAACAAAAGTCTTGAAATCCTGGTATATTCCACGCCGTGCTCGTGCTCAAGATTAAAAAAAAAAAAAAACCATTCCTGATAATTTTCTCTCCTTGCTGCTTGCCTATGGTTATGCTTGTTCCTTTGTATAATATTCAACCGTTTTTGCTGGAAGAGGGGTAATGTCGTGTTACCCTTAGATAAATTAGATGTAACTTAGAATAAGTATATATAAGCAACAATTGTATAACGAATAAAACCCTAGTCTTTTTCTCCCATCATTAAACTTCGTGTCTTCGTCGCTTTGTGCACGTGTCGCGTCTGATAGGATAGCTTCTTATTTACTTTACTTATTTTTTATCACACTAATAGGATCCTGATTTTTAGAGAGATCAAAGAAAAACTTGACCTTTATCTTTATTTCATTTATTTGTCTTTTATACTATTCTATTGTTACATTAGGTTACTAATGTCGTGCACGAAGCTACGATAAGACTATATACTAATACCACAAAGGTAGGATTATTGTCAGAAGCAGAGGAAAGAATGACTTTATTCATTATTGGATTATTCTACATTTTATATCTTTGAATGTTACATCTAAACTGAACTAATTATTGGGGTAACACGACATTACCCCCTTTCCAGAAAAAAGGGTATCCATGGGGGAGTCCATTAGCTGTTTACACAAGAAACGGATCGAAGCAAACGAAGAAGAAGAGAGAGAGAGAATGTGGTTTTTTTTTTTTTTTTTTTTTTTTTTTTTATTGTCTATTTAGCCCTAGCATGTCGTGGAATATACCAGGATTTTTTTACCTTACTACCATCATACTGAGCGCGAAGTAAACGGTCTGTATGGACCCAAGAGGCATAAGTTTTCCCTTCAATTTCCCTGATTTGATACGTATGGAAATCATAGTTCACGTTGATAACTTCATAAGGACCCATCCAATTAAACTCGAGCCCTTTCTTGCTTTCATGACGTAAAAGCACATAATCACCTACACCGTTTACATTTTCACCGTGCATTAAACATGGTAGCACGCAAATTGCGTTGAAAATAGCATGCTAGCATGCAACGATGCGTGGGATGCGTGCCACCGCGCAAAGTTCATGCTACCATGAATAGTGCATGCTAAATCGACTTAAACATGCTACCGCGCAATTTTCATGGTAGAAAGCAATAACGATGCCAGCATGAATAGCGCGTGGTTCAATGAAACCCTCATGGTGGCACGCTTTTATTTTGTCCTTACATTTGTCAGCCTAGTACATTATTTACATGGGTGGCTGCTGCTTACTGTACAGCCAGAAAATCATATTATAGCTTTATTTCAGGGTTATTTATTGATTACTTATAGGCTACTCTAACTTCATGATACAATATATTGTATAATATAACGAGCTCTCATGCTATTTGAAAGTTACTAAATTGCACAGGGGTTGGATTATCAATTGGTTACAGTATGTGTCTAAGTGTAATAACGCAATTTGTACGGCATTATTGCTTGAAATATGAGCGTTAATAAGTTACTGAAAATTGCAAAATCCCACAGTTGCAAAGAAGTAGCCGGTCTGTTTGTTCACATATTGTCCTTAGACACTCCTACAGCAAAATAAAGTACTTCTACAAGTAAGCGTGTGGTTCATTTGTTTGACGAAGGTCCAGTATGAATGACAGTGACAATTTTTACCTGACAACCGGGTTTCATCAATATTCTTACAGTCTACTACTTTTATTTATTGCAGAAGAAAGAAGTAAAACAAATGAATAAGTTGGTGGTATAAGGTTATGAAATAAAAAATAATGTTGTATGATTACCTGATATGTACGAAACAGATTGCTTGCAACCATAAATATAACTGTGTTTTCCTTTTTGCAATGGAGGCTGCAACTGTACTTGAGAGCGTTGGTATTGGCCCAGCGGATGGAAGACATGAAACAGTTGAAGAAAGGGTTTGGTCAAAAGCCACAAGCTTGAGTTCTATAGAAAAAAAGTGTCAATTGAAGATATGGTATAAGTACATAACGTCTGCTGACCATGAGTTGTAAAAGTAAAACGAAGAGTAGTATTTGATCTGGGGCAATAATAAAATACCTGCTTGGAAAGATTATTTAGTTGTTGTTCGCAACGCTAAATGAGATAATCGGCATTATGCGTATTTGACGTCGTTACTTCACTCTCTTCATACGACTTCGTCAGCCCTAAGTTGAATAAATAAGGTAAACTATAAGCAAAAATGTAATGGCAAAGATGAGCGTGCCTTAATTACTCAGATGTTACGGTTCATTGTGCATCTTGTCGGTGATGTGGCTAAATGAGCAGATTATGAAAGAAAAGCTGAGATGTAATAACAGTATTTTGTTAGCTTTTAAGAGCCCTTGTAAAAAGAAAGTGAAAGAAGAAGGCGCCCCCACCCCCACATCTTAAAAAATAATTGTATTTGAAACGAAAATAAAAGCCCAAATGGTCGCACAGAGAAATATCGGTACCTTTGTTTATTGGTTAAAAACTGAAATTGGTAAAGGAAGCACCAAGCAGAAAAAAAAGAACCATCGTTATTCTTCATTTATGCTTCTGTTGACATAAGCAGCAGAGGTGGCGAGCGTCATCACCCGGGTTCTTTTGGCAGTGCCATCAAGACGAGAAGAAGGCCTTTTTCTGGTACCAGCAACAATTGGTGTCTCAATGACGCCATTAGCAGACTCAGGATCATCCAAAAGAACTACGCCGTGTCTATTCAAAAGATAGCAGAAAGTGACTTATCGCTTAGTTGCATTGATTAAAGAAAATGTATCATCCACCATGTAGCTAGAGCTATCCCTCACTGATCATAATGCTGAATGCACCCTAATTCCTTGGCTACTTACGCAGTTCTCTCATCTCCTGTTTGCCTACTAGTAGCGTCAGCAATAACACCAGAAAATGTTGACTGGTCACCAGGTACACCAATGCTGAAGTCAGCAAAACCTCCTGCAGAAGCATGATCATTGTTACCGACATTCATGCTATCGATCAAATAGCTAAGGGTGGAAGAACTGCTGCTGATGTCGCTAACACCCGTCGATTCATCCTAATAGGTATTGTTTCGAAAAAGAAGAAAAGATTTAGTTCCCATATTTTACAAACATTGTATCAACGGCTCAAGGTTATGATTATTACCCTTTGTTTGTGGGAGGGAGCACGGTTTCTGCGGCCGGTGACAGGAGGGACATTATTGGAAGTACCCGTAACTGCCTTGCGGTGGAGGTTGCGGATAGAATACCGCAACAGATTACGGGCAGCCCAGCCTTTCTTGCAGACGTCCAACGGAATGACATCGTTCACCGTTACGCTAACATCATCAGAGCTGGTGATGCGCCTCATCATTTCTTCGAACGCAACGATATACTTGTTTTGATCTCCCCTACTGAGATCCATCCACCTAAACTCCTTATCACCCGAAAGATGGAAGCGTACGAAAACCTTACAGTAGTAGTACGTAACTTCAAAGCGACGGTTTGCTTCTTCTAAAATGACTTCTTCAGGTTGGTGCATCCAACGAAAGTTTCTGCGAAGCGCCTCAACAGTCATGCTTAAGCACTCAGCCTTTTCAGACTTTGCTGAGACACTCTCGAATGTCCTGCCACCATCGTTGAGAGTATCCAACAAGTGTTTCAGTTCTTGAGCTGTGAGGTCACCCGCGAGAATACTGAATGCATTTTTGTCGAAAACTGTTTAAATTTAAGTTAAAAAGCAAAATTATTGTTAGCTCTGTATGTTTACAGCACTGTCATTCTCAATGTAAAGTATAACATCGAGATGAAATATTATCTTATTACCATCTATGCCCAATGATACAGGGGCATCCAAACCAAGGATGTTGCCACCACGACGAAGAATGCAGCAGGAACAATGATGTCTGGTAACAAGATTTGCTCCTTGTTGATTACCAGCAACACTGGAGGGTGGTAAGCTTTGGGGATTTTGGACAGCAGCTTGGATTTCAAGCAATTTGTCATAAATCATTCGGTTGGTGATAATCTCAGTAGAAGTGGTATCATCAGCAGTGAAAACGTCAAGGAAAGGGGAGGAGGAGGAGGTTCCGTTCATGTTGTTGGTGTTCATGTTAATACAGGAGATGTAGAGTAAGCGAAAACTATGGCTAGAGAATGAAGAAAAGTTGTGTATGTCAATTTTGGCTATTAAATATTGAGTCGTGTCATACGTTTCTCCACTTTGTTCATCTTTGCATCTTCGTTGTATCTTTGGTGTTGGCACAACGGCACTCCGCACATAGCAATTGCAAAACATCCGGATGTTGTGCATAGGAATTGTTAATGTTGGTATATTATACGTGTATCGTACTGTACCAATAAAAGTGTTAGAGAGCTATAAATAGTCATTATTTACTCATTCATCTGAATTGAGAGTTATTTGATAATTTGCCAAAAATAAACATAAAAGCAGATGTTTAGCAACTGCTACCGTCAAAAGAGAATAAGAAATTTACGGATGATCTTACCGTTGTACTATTAATATTGTTCCCCGCCATTTTTTCAGGTACAAACGATTTTGAATCCGATCGGAGGCTTACGGGTTTTGTTTACAGTTTACAGTTTAGGAAAAAAAAACTTTGATCTGTGCCGTTTAACGTTCCAGCAGCTTGGCAGTCTGACCTGTTACAAAAAAATGAATTATTAGGAAGGGCTCTCAGAACGAAAAAGGCAAAAAAAAAAAAAAACAAAACCAAACAAACAAGTTGCCATACCTATACATCCAAAATCCAATAGCAGCTCAGATCAGTTGGGCATTACAGTTACCTTCACCTTGAAGCTTTCGTAATTTACCGGAAGTAACAAAAAGCACCAAGCTAGCACAAGTATTGCTATACCTTGGCAACGGGAGAAACAGCAAACTAGACGTACGAATTTCAAAATGTATATAATGAGTTTCTTGTACACATGTCAAATTATTAACTTTTTTGCCTTCCAATCCATCTTGATCTGTCTATCATTATGTCAAACACCACTAGAAATATCAAGAAACGCGTTTTCCGTAGTAGACACAGTACTCTTCCTGTTTCTTTCAAAAAGGACGCTTGGGCTGTTTTTTCTGGAGAGAAGAGAATTAGCAGATCTAATAATCGTATCTCTTCTGCAGTACAAGATGTTTCCGCCGTTCCAACAGATATCGATGAGAGCGCTTTCAGTTTCCAGGAATTTGATGATGAAGTTACCGGTTACTATAAGACTGAAGATGATATTGATGAAGAGTTGGACGCAAGTGTTGAGGATGGATTGTTTAATGACTCAGATGACGATGTATTTGAGGGCTACGACGGCCAGATAGATGATATGGAGAGTAAGTATTCTTGAAGTGAGGAGGTCACTCAGTTCGAAAGTATGGATGACCGACCCTTTGCATACTTAACCCTTTCTTTTTAACATATTCTTTTTAACTGCAGTTGTGGATGCCCACCAAGATGTAACCACCGTTCAGATGATGCCTCTTCCCAGAGATTATGAGTCCACTGTTCCATCATCAGCTTTATATATTGAGCGTTCAGTCCAAATACCAAGGAATCCATTCACTACGTCCGAAATTCATAGTATTAGATGTTTTCAAATCTTCAAGGATAACGGTATCAGCATTCAAAGCAGTAACGAGCTAATTACCGTCATCAACAGCTATATTGCAAAAGTTTTAGCAGAAAACAATAGTAAGCATCAGCATTCCATTCCATTATACAACAGTGGCTAGGCTGCTTACCGCTTGAAGTACAATATACGCTAACGAACACCTTGCCTTTTCATAGTCCAATCAAGATATGTCAACTATGATATACTGATATTGCGTGCTACATTGGCTTTGATTCGTGAAAAGCTACCTCTTCCTTTCGCTCGTGAGCTTGAAATGTGCAGTAATGGTTGCTACTTGTATGATGCTGTTGCGGACTATGATAAAGACAAGTGTCCGATTTGTAAGAAGTCTCGGGGTTCTGTAAAAAAGACGTTCTTGAAAATGGTGTCCTTGAAAGACAAGTTTTCACAAATGCTGGCGTGTGATGAAGTGCGTGAGGCATTGGAGTATCGCAGTGAAGAGTTTAATCTACAAGCCTTCCAGGAAAACGAAGATAATGACAGAGTGTATCGTGATATATTCTCGGGTGAGGTGTATCAGAAATTCTTAAAGTCGCATGGTTATGGTAAGAAAAAGCATGACATCTTTATCATCATTAATATGGATGGCTTCACATCAAAATCGAGCTCAACAGCCATGGTGCTTATCAACGCGATTGTTCTAAATCTTCCACCAACTGAGAGGTATTGTGTTTATCTTTGAAGCCTAGGCGTGCCAACTTTATCAGGATACACTTTAGAGTTTCTAATACAATAATACCATTATATATTCTTATTTTAGACTCACCAAACGTAATGTCATTCCTTTGGCTGTTTTATACGGCAATCGCGCAAAAGATATCAAGAGCTTTCTTAAACCGATTTGTGATGAACTAAAGGAGCTGGAAAAGAAACCTCTGCGAGTTTTCAGAAACGGTGAATATATTACTGAAGCTAATGTGTACTGCCTTGGAGTCGCTTCGGACTTGATGGAAGCATCTAAGTTGATGAACCATTCGGGTAACGTTTTAGCGATGTTAACATTTTTCCGAACTGTTTCAGCTCTGTTGCACTGCTCTAATCATTATTGTTTCCTTCTGAACTTACAATAGGTCATCAAGGTTTATACGGTTGCAAGTGGTGCAAAAGTAAGATACACACGTCAGATTTTGCTACACGTTCCGTCGCTAACAAAACTTTTCAAATCATTTCATATTGTCTAGCTGAAGGACAGCATGCTGAAGACGAAGGAAAGCCGAAATCCACTATGTATTTCCCGTTAAGACACCAGGAGCTACGCACGATAGCTAATCTATTGGCAGAAGAAGTGAACGATGTAAGCCCTTAGATGCTTGATAGTAGCTTTTTGTGGTACAAAATACTCATCTTAAAGTCTTTTAATTGTTGGTAGACATCCAAGGAGAGTTGCAATTGGGGAATCCATAGTCGTAACATGTTTGGCGATTTTTGTACTTTTAATGCTCACTTTCAGCTAATGGACGAATTCCACTTGTTTACAAACGTTGCTCGACTAATCCATGAAGTTGTATCCCCTCCATTCAATTCGAAGTACAAGTATAATGGAAATGCCGACACCTATCCTTTCCTTCTAAAATGTCGAAGCTATGGTCCTCTTATAAAGCAAGCTACTGATATGTCGAGAGCTGAAATCCCCCCTCAATTCCATGCATCATGGAAGGGTATCAACATCTGCGATAGACTGAAAGGTCAATATCGTAGTACCGACTGGATAAATTGGCTGATTAATATTGTACCAACGTTGATAACGCCAGCATTTATGGATGTAGATGCAGCAACAGCACTTAATAAGCTTTGTCATGCTGTCAAATTGGCGACTCAGTGGACTATATCAGAAGAACAGCTTACCACCATCCGTAATAATATCGAAGCCTTTTTCCGCTTTCTTGATGCATGCTTGTTACAGCGGCGTATCTCAAAAACGTTATTCCGCATCAACCTCCATATGCTTTCCCATATTCCTGAATTCATAAAAGCACAAGGTAGTTTAAAGGCCTATAGTACAAGAGCCATGGAGCGAAAGATTGGTGCGCTGAAACGAGTAATGAATGCAGCTCGTTATGCAGGTGAGAACGCTGGCAATATTATCGAAATCGAGAACATGCTGTCTTTCCTTCAAAGTTCCGGTATCATTGATTTTGATGCTCCTTTTGCCAAACAGTCCGATCCACAAAGCTTTCGCGACTATCCCTCACTAGACAAAACAAAGCCACAACTCTGGTCGCCATTCCAGGCTTTTGACATTGTTCTAGGCAGTACAAGCAAGCAAACAAAATTGCACATCAACAGCGCCCTCAACATTTGTACACTTGCCATATCCTTGCTTCATTATATTGGTCGCATCAAATGCCAGACTCAATCTAATACAGCGTTCTCTTCCGCTGAGCTGTTATATCCTATTAAGTGTTCCGGAAGAATGTGGAAGGATGATGTTGTTTATCAATCAGAATTTTACCGACAAAAAAACAAAAATATCAGCAGAAGTGGCTACCATGTGTTGTTTCGATACGCCCATAATGTATATCATCGAGGGTATGTGCATTGTCTATTCACATTTACAGTATATGCATTTGTTTAGTATTAATTATGCCTTCATCGCAATTTGTCGATAATAGTCGTATTTCCAAATCGCAAGAATGTTGGTATGTTGTTAAAGTCTTGACCTTTTTTAATTTCAAGATTGACGATAGACCAGAAAGCTTTTACATCCTTGGTGAATTGCTGGAAGGTTCCCTATCTCCTACGAATAGTTACATTCCACGAGTAAAGTCACTTGGTGCGTCAGTAACCAATCGATATGTTGTAATCGATTGTAATGATGTTGTCTGTCCTGTCGGTCTCGTTTCTGTTTTAAAGCCTGCTAATGATGATGATGATGTTGAAGCGTGCTTTGTTTCATCCTTCAAATACGTTGTGACACCTGGCGATGCCCTGTCTGAGAAACTGTTGAAAAATCCAGGCAAGGTCTCTAATCTCTTCTTGCCTTCATAATTTACAATATCACTTATTATATCCACCTAATATTAGTAAATAAATATTATATATACCATCCACTTATATTTACTACAGCTGGCTTTTTCTTCCTTTAACGATTCTCATTTCGCTTACTTTGCGATTTCAAGATCCATGCTGAGCTCATGTCGACATCTCGTCCAAACATTCAGACAAAAACAAAGTTGCCTGCTGTTCACTGCTGCCAATGAATGCGTGTGCTTTCGCATTCTACGCTCTATATTCTTACACTTTTCCTTTCGCAAGATGTACTGGTATGTCGCTTATAATTGTGAAAGACATTGCGCGAATAGGAACATTCCTGTTGCCATTGTCAACATCTCGTTATGTTTTCTTTTAGTAGGCCGAAATAGTTAAAAGAGAAAGAAACAAGCATAAGCGCAAATTCTTAAAAGGGGAGTGCCAATTGTAGTTTCGTTTATGAGAGTTGGTGGTACAACTTCTTCTTTTTGTAAGATTAAGTCCAGAATATGAGCGGAAATCTCAAATAATTAAAGTCTACGCCCGTGCACTATTCATGGGAGCACGCAACCTGCGTGGTAGCATCGGCTATACCAGCTTTACTTTGTGGTGGCACGCAAATTGCGTGGTGGATTTGCGAGCATTATGCATTCTACCACGCAAACTTCATGCTAGCATGACTCTCATATATCTTTTTTTTGCTACCATGAATAGTACACTGCTCTCAGTTAATCGGTGGAAGATGATGATACTTGGGAACCTGCCTCACACTTCGACGATATCAACACTATTAGAAAATACTGGGCTCGTCGTCAAGTGAAATAAACAAACAAACAAACAAAGGCTGTCCTGAAAAATCGCTCATGCTACTGCTTGAATCACAAGTAAAAGCTCTGCCAATGTCCACTACCGATCGATGCAGCCATTGCAATCTTCTCACAAGTTACGTTGAAAAAAGCAAACTTTTTATCCAAGTTTGTTTCTTCAGCAACAACTTTGCCATCATACAATGCAGTCACAAATTTCGCAATTTCAAACACTTGCATTTTTCACTCCTTGACATTTCACTTCTCCACCATTTCGAGATCTACCATCGACATCTCCAGAAAGATTAGTTCCAACCTGGAAGGGGGTAATGTCATGTCCCGACCACTGTCTACAGTATCGAAACACGAGTGAGAATTAATTAATTTAAACACAGCATAAACGGCTGTCATCTTAGACTTGAATTGTCGATTAAGCAATTGTTCACAAGTCAAACTGGTATCAGATCCATAACAGTGTTAAAACACGCCTTCACTAATCTCTCATTAGATCCATTAGTACTCATTGGTTGTAACTACATCTTCCTAACATCCTATATAAGCTCAGCTAACTCTCTGAAAAATATATAAAGCCTTCATGTTCTCAAAATTGAAATAAAGATTATCTGACTTTTTCGGTCTCGTTCTATCTTGGTCTACAAAATTACTTAAGAATATCTCATGCTACAGCTGAATTCTCGTATTGACATGAAGAACACTTACTGTGACCTTCCTGGTGCTATCATTTATTTGACTACTAAGCCTGGTGTGGTATTCGCTAGTTTTAATTATGAAGTAAAAGGTAAAGAATAACACAAGAGAAAATAAACACGAAAGCTTAACGAAATCAAACCACCGTCTTTATTTCTCTTTCAAAAACAAACTAAAGAAAAAGAAAAGAAAACTAAAATTACTGCTATTAATAAAGACTTATTGTGTTTGCTGTCTACGAAATGATTGTATCGGGATCTATAGCTGACACTGATGTATTATGGTCAAATAATACTCAGTGAATCAGAGGTTTCCGTAAAAGAATAGGTCTTCCCTTTAGGTGGATAATTACTCGTCCATCCCAGAGCGGATTGATTTGTAATGTGCTATCCTGGCAGATCCAGGGTGATCATGCAGCTACATCTATAATCCAATATCTATCGGCCACCAGTTGTGTAGCTCAGATACTGTGGGAATGATTATAGATGTTGGCTAGGAAGAGATATTCGTGCGTGGTGTTCTTTTGATTGCGTGAACAGTTATTGTGTTAATAAAGAGTGATTGAGCCTTTTTTATCTCCAACCATACTTTATTTCCAGAACAGGGAGCAGTACCGTGACCTACTATGTTTTGGTTGTTGAATCAATATATCCTACGAGTACATATACCAATCCTGCTATATCTGAATGTCATATAGCCATAGATAACCTAAGTAAAATATATTTCATAAAGATAACCTGTTCAAGTCTTATGTGAGGTAGCTAATCTCACATAAGAATTGTCCTTAATCCATATTCTTTTCTTATCTTATCTTTATTTGTTATACATTTGATCTAAGGTTCAAATGTATACAATCGAACACACCGCTTACCAAACGGGAACGAAGATATGAGCAGTACTCATATCTGAGATCAAGTTTTATTTTACATTTCGTTAGACGTTTTGAGTAATTTACTCATATAATATTGCCATCGTGCCTCAAATACGACATTGCCCCCCCCGTTAGACGGTTGTTGATCTGAAAAGATGCAACTTAGCGTCGATGGAGAATAGTAGATGAGGTAGATGGGAAAGCAGTAAGATGGTTTAAGTGAGTTTGTTGTAGACAAATGCAATTGGCAGATTGTCAAAATGTGTGACGTATTGCAATTGTGCAAATGGAATACAAAAAAAAAAAAAAAAATAAAAATTTGTAGGGTTCATTGTTGGTTTTGTACTTTTTTATTTGTTTTCACTAGTGAAAGACATTAGATGTACATGACAGAAGTGATTGATTACTTGCGGAAGCGAGTTTTGTCAATGGCAGGTTCAAATGTGCGCATGGAACGACCACGAGGACTGCGACGAAAAGCTTGATGGGCAGGATTATTCGCTACCACTTTTGTACGGCGAGTGGGACGTTTAAAAGATTTCTGTTGTTGTTGAAGAGCAATGGGAGAATTGGGTACATCCGTGATCGCATCAGCAAATTGCTCAACATGTTCAATCAACGGGCCATTCTTTGTCAATTCCACCGTGGAGTAGTCATGTTCACCAGACATTAACTGGTTTAACAGTACAGAATCTTGTTTAGGCACACTACCTTTAACATGACGCCAATATTCCACAATGGATTGTGGGTCAGTGAAGTTTTCAGCAGTAATCCATGTATCATCTTCAGGACCGTAATTCTTCCAACGAACACGATATTCACGTTTTCCTGGAGAGCCACGATGACCAACAATGTTGTCGAATTCATACAGTGGGTGAAAAAACTGTTCACGTAAATTGCAAAATGCGCTATATTCCCTTCTAGCTCACGCTAATCAACATCTACGACGATGAAACTAATACTGGCAGATAGCCCAAAAAAATCTCTATAAAAGAAATGTATTTCGGAGTTTCAATCGAGCTATTTTATTAAGAGGAAAATTCCGTCGAAGATTTCTAAACACGTGAACAGTTTTTTCCAATGTTAACTAGTATCTAGTATGGCCACCATTCGCTTCCAAAACTGCTTGTATACGAGCTGGCATACTTTCAATATACCTTCTACACTCCTCCTCCGTAATTTTGTTCCACTCAGCGTCGAATCTTTCCCATAATTGATGGACCCCAGCTGCCCTTCTCTCATACATACTTAAACGCACCTTACACTGGTGCCAGAGGTGCTCGATTGGATTCAAGTCGGGACTTTGAGGAGGCCAATCGTCGATTACGTTCACCTTGTGCTCCTTAAACCACTTTTTAGTGCTATTGGATGTGTGTTTGGGGTCATTATCGTGCTGGAAATACGATTCTTGCCAGTCTAATCCATAGTACTCCATGGTATCCCTAAGTGTTGTGTCCAGAATATGCTGGTAATCCTCGGATTTCATGGTCCCATCGTATATCTGGCATGCGTAACCAGGTCCATAGTAGGTCATACAACCCCAAACCATGATATGGCCGCCCCCATGCTTGACAGTAATATCAAGATGGTGAGGTTTAAGTGGGTCACCTGGTCTAGTCCAATAGTATTTGCAACCATCAGACCCCCAAACGTTGATTTTCGTCTCATCTGAGAACACAACACGCTTCCAATCGTCGACTGTCCAATACTGGTGGTTTTTGGCCCATCGCAAACGCTTCTTTCTATTCTTCTCGCTGATGAAAGGCTTCTTTTGTTTGATACCAGAATGAAAACCCATAGATTTGAGAGCGTTTATGGACGTTTTGTAAGTCAAATCGTAACCCAAATCAAGAAAGGCTTTATGGGCCTCTTGGGCAGTATTTATAGACCCTGTTAATAGCTTGCGACGAACCACAGCTTTACTTTTCTCCGCTACAATAACCGGTCTACCACCTGCTTGACGTTGTCTGTTAGGGAACCACTTATTGCTATACTTGGAAATCACCCCTTTTGATATTCCAAGTTTCTTCTGGATGCTTGCAATAGATGTTTCTTTCGCAAGTAATGCCTTAAGTTCTATTTGAACGGCAGTAGAGAGTGTACGAGTCATAATTATAGGTAGGTATCAGTTGTAATGAAAATGGGAAAGAAAAGTGTAAAAAAGTTGTGAATTTTTGGTACCTTTATAATCTTTCAGGCACCCCTGCCCTCATTTAACACCCCGCTAAAATTATTTTAATTCTACCCTGTTCAGTCTCCGCAAAAAGTCTGATGCAAGGTTTCTACAGTAATTTGGAAAAAACTGTTCACGTGAGGTCTCCTAGTAAATTCAATCGAATTTAAACTTAGCGCCAATGAAATTGCTCGATAATAGAGGTACTTGTAAAGCAGAGTTTAAGCTTTTGAATGATACCATTTTGACCTGGATATCGCTTATTTTCGTCTCAACAGAGCTCAAAATGTCTGAAATCAGCAATTACGTGAACAGTTTTTTCACCCACTGTAGACGTCATCCTGAGAAACAAGTGCATCTTGCGAAACCAACTTTAATTCAGATGGTGTATAATCGCGAGAGGAAGCAACACCCATTTCGTCACGGAGAGTGTAATTACCAGCCTCAGTTTTGCGAATGA